AACGACCTTCCTGGCTTCCAACGACCTTCCTGGCTTCCAACGACCTTCCTGGCTTCCAACGACCTTCCTGGCTTCCAACGACCTTCCTGGCTTCCGACGACCTTCTTCCCTTCCAACGAGCTTCATCAACAAGCAAAATGGGTGCAGTCCTTGTAATCGGTTATCCCCTTTTCATGGGGGCCTTGGCCGCTAGCATCTACGGCATTCTATCGCTCGAGCACAAGAGCAACGAACGCAGTTTGACGGAAAAAGATGTCCAGCACACTGGTGTCACATTGGCACTTGTGAATGGGTTTATGTCTTGGGGCGAAGACTCTGCAATCGCTCTGACCTGGAACGGCGGAGAGCCAACCACGAACAAAGATATCGAGGAGGTACTCGTGCCAATCACGAGTGACGACAAAGCCGTGTTCCACCATTGGAACGACACCTTGCCGCAGTGGATCTCCGTCAAGAACCGCGGCGCGTCTCCAGTGTGTCTTGCTGGTGTCAGCATCCAGAAGGACGACACTGTGATGACGCTCGCAGGAGACCTGGGCAGGGTGTGCGGCGCCGAATATTACGAGTCATCTCGATTCGTGCTCCCCGAAGATCAACACACACAGGCGCCATCTTGCACCTGGATCGACGCAAACCATCCAATCCGATTCAACTTGGCCGGCAACGACAACAACGACAACGACGACAACAACGTGGTCAGAGACCCGACAGACCTGTGTAAGGCACCGTTTATGACCTGGGCCCCTTCCGACAAGGGCGCCGGTGCCGGTAATCAACAACGTGGAATTGAGGACGCTTCGCCATTCGACGGAATCTTGGTCAAGAGTTCAAGGCCACTTTCGAGCGCCGTACGCCTGTGCAACAGCGTCATGGCCAAAGGACCCAGCTTCGTGAGCGAACCCGAAGAATTGTACTGCGACATGACGACAAAGACTTTGTATCCAGTATGCAAAGAAGGAACGCAGGGCATTTGCTTCGACGACAATGAGGACGAGCTTATCGACAATGACGCTCCGCCGGAAATCAGACAGAGAGGATTCGACGCCGCACCAAAAAGTCTGGAAAAGACACGGGTGCTGAAGGCCTTCAGAGACGTGCGCAAGTGGTCATGAGACATCAAGGGCGGTTCGATGCCATTGCCGCAAAAGGAATGTGGAGGAGATTTGGGGGTTCAAGCGGTGTGAGTGTGGAATTACGGGGGACAGGAATGCAGGAACAAAGTACGACAGATGGTGAATACGAGTGAACTTGGGATTGTTGAGTGACGAATGTGGGAAATTGATGAGGAGGACGAGCGAAATTGGTACTGATATGGGTGATATTGATGCGGAGGAGTGAAATTGGGACTGATTGAGGATATTGATGGGTGATATTGATGTGGTTGTATTCAGGCTTTTTTTGCTACACCGGATGGGGTTAGATCTGACAAGGCTTTGTCAATACGGCGGCGTACGGATTTTGGGAATTACGAGTACTGTATTCTGTCTTAGGTACAGATGCATTGGGTTTTCTTTGCCTTAAGACCAGGTACCAGGTAACCATACATGGTCGAGAGTTGACTGTAGAATCTTCAATCCTGATTTCAGCCATTCATGTCTTCCTTCCGCGGTCTCTCGATATTTGCCTTCTGCCATCCGTTCGCAAGCTGAGGGCCGATGTGGAAAGGTAGAGCACCAACGTTTAACAGCCCAACAAGCCGGTCTCACAATGTCTACGCCTCAGTCAGACCATGCCGACGACCGCCCAATTGAAAATGGAGGGCAAATCAGTGCAGGTTATCGAGAAGCGCCATCGTCATCCCCGCCCTCAGCTGCAGATTTGAATACGCCACGACTCAGTCCAAGTTCTCCGCTTGACACCAGTGTGGACACCAGCGAATCAAACGAGACTTCATCGTCTGGCTCTTCTGAGGATGATACTACATCAGAGGAAGACAGCGATGATGAAGAGGACGAGGAAACTCTAGGGACCTCTGCTGTTCCTGACGGCCGTGTGTCAGTCCAACCAAGTGACGATATCCGATCACGATTACAAGCATTTCTCCCCCAAATTCAAAACGCAAACTTGGCGCTCCAAAATGCCGATGATGCCTTGGAAAGGAGAATCGACAACGTCAGCGACAGCGAAGAGCATTATATCGAAATGAATTTGGGCCTGGGCGTTCTCAGTGAGAGGAGGGAAGAAGCAATCGCGATAACTGGTGGTGACGACGGCAGTGCTACATCGGACGAAGCTGATGCTGAGGACGACGTCAAGGAGCCTAATGGCGGCAATGATGATCTTCCAGTACACGATGGCATCCTGGCGGCTTTGAGGGGAGAGAAGAGCACCCGAGGGACAAAGAGAAACGTCGAAGAGCTGGGTGAATAGGATTCCGGGGCGGTCTTTCGGTCATTTCACAACAGCTTGTAGCAATGGGAGAAATTCACACTCCCTGTAGCTTTGAACGTGAGGGCGAGAGAACTTGGTCTCCTTCTACCTGCCAGGTATTGTAGATAGTAGAAGCCGTGAAGGAGACACCCAGTACGGCGTATCTGATCTGTATGTCAAGAATACGAGTACGAGTATGTGGTGTCTGACCAATGACAGCGGGTGATGTCATTGTTTACTTCTAACCCCAAACTGCAACTTTTTCATCTCGCTTCAGGCTTCACCAAACCAAGTCTGTGCGTGGACGACCCCGTAACTGTGCCCGACACCTCATTGTTCCCGCAGCCTTGGGATTGTATGTACGTCTCATTACAGATCCGATATCGTGCTGCTATAGACGAGTGTGTTCAACTTTTGGAAGAAGCTGTCGCCATGGCGCCGCCAGGTCCGGGACGTGCAATCAACAACGCCAGGCCGCAGACGCCCACCCCTTCGACCGCCTCGAGTCCATCTCTCAGATCGAAAACCCCGGTGAGCGTCCCCATGACACCGGTCAGTAGCAGCATGAACCCAGGTGGGAATGTAAAGGTCGTGGTCAGAGTCAGAGGATTTCTGCCTCGCGGTGAGTGGCAGCACATTTTCAAGCACAAAACACCACACAATATACTGATCTACGTGCAGAAATCGACAGAGGCGCTCAGTGTCTGATAGAGATGAACCCGAACACTCAATCAACCAAGCTTCTCGTACCCCCATCGACCGACCCTGCGAATGCCCGCGCTCAGACTCGAAAAATCCTCGAAGAGAAGAACTTTACTTTCGACCGATCATTCTGGTCACATAACACCAGTGATAAACACTACGCTACACAAGAGGATGTCTACAACTCTTTGGGCGAAGAGTTTCTGGACCACAACTTCGAAGGTTACCATACTTGCATTTTCGCCTACGGTCAGACTGGTTCCGGGAAGAGTTACACCATGATGGGTACTCCAGATCAACCAGGCTTGATCCCGCGTACCTGTGAGGACTTATTTCAACGGATAGAGTCGAACGAAAGCCCCCATATTAGCTACAGTGTGCGCGTGTCATATTTCGAGGTATACAACGAACATGTCAGAGATCTTTTCCAGCCTCGGACTGATCCACCTCAATATCTCAAAATCCGAGAGTCACCCACTGAGGGACCCTACGTGAAGGACCTGACGGAACTTCAGGTCAAGAACTACACCGAGATTCTGAAATACATGCGCATGGGTGACAGTTCAAGGACAACTGCGTCGACGAAGATGAACGACACCTCGTCACGGTCCCACGCTGTCTTCACAATCATGCTCAAACAGATCCACCACGACTATCACAACGACGAAACCACTGAAAGGCTGGCGCGCATTCGTCTGGTTGATCTGGCAGGATCCGAACGTGCAAAAGCAACGGAAGCTACGGGACAGCGGCTGCGAGAAGGTGGAAATATCAACAAATCTTTGACTACACTTGGAAGAGTTATTGCTGCGTTGGCTGATCCCAAACATGCTCGAATGCACAATAACAAGAGGACGAATCGTGACGTTGTGCCTTATCGCGATTCCATTTTGACGTGGTTGTTGAAGGATTCACTGGGCGGCAACTCCAAAACTGCCATGATTGCGTGCATTGCGCCGTCCGACTACGACGAGACCCTTTCGACTCTACGATATGCCGACCAGGCCAAGCACATCCGTACCAAAGCCATTGTTAACCAGGACCATGTTTCCTCGGCGGAGAAAGACGCCCAAATCTCGGAGATGCAAGAGACAATTCGAACTCTGCGGTGGACCCTTAGTCAGCAACAACAGAATGGTAGTACCTCTGTGATGAAGGCGGTGCAGGAAAGCGCAGATGCTCAGTCGGAGAAGATCCGTGAACTCACGACCAAGTACGAGAACATGCTGCAGATCATGGAAGAAAAGGTCGCAATCTCGGAATCCAAAGTCCGTCAGCTGGAGGAGGAGAAGGAGGCCATGAGTATCCATCTCTCGCTTGTGCTCGACGAGCTGAGGAACCCGATAGTGATCAACAAGGAGGTTGAATCTTCTGGCGAGAGATCTAGAGTGCCAACACCCGATATGATCTATGAAGACGACACCGCTTCAAGTGATGAGATTGACACCGAGTCTGACTGGGAAGACGAGAGGGCCGAGATTGAGGCCGATGCCCACGCGCTCCTTACACAACTGGCCAACTTCAAGAAGAAGCTCGCTACTGATATGCAAGAATTTGGTATTGCTGCATAGGTGATGCTAGGAGAAGTAGCATGACGATTATGAAAAAAGAACTAGGATAGCGAGGCGCTCTGGTGTGTCTGAGGTTTGACAGATTTGGTTTCATGTGGGTTGCTTGCAATGATTCCCCAGAGAAAATAGTACATACTCCCGACGTTGTGTGTAATGTGCGCACCCGAGTACGCACAGTGTGTCTTGTCACTGGTAGTGTTGATATTTCAGGGGATGAGCGATTCTTTGGGAGGACTTAAAATTCTTGACATCGAACTACCCCAACTGCATTACCGGTTTCCGGCCTACAGTGGGATTACCCTCCCGCTATTTGGCCCCCAACACGACTATCGATCGGATGACAATTGGCGGTGCACACAGACGGCAGGGGTCGATTTTAGCATCTCTTTCTACGACGTAGGAGTCAATGCTTGAACGACTGAGAGACGGCTTCACTCTCAGACGTTCTGGTTGGGTCTAACTCACACCAGCCGACGTTGACTGTATATTGGGTTTTCCATCTCGCAAGGAGCGGAGATACTGCCAATGCCAGGGGAGGGTTTATGGTGTTGTATAGAGTGCCTTAGAACATTAAGAAATGCATGTGTTTTATTTAGACCTGTACATACTATAGTACCTTCAATGGAGAGCTAAGCCTAATTAGGTAACAACGATTGAGATGGCAACGAAGAAGAGACTAACTGTAAAAGGAATGGCGCGTGTTGTGGCCCTGCGCCGCAGTGTGTGAGACACTGAGACACCCAGAAAGATCTTCAATCCCTGGCAATGCCTCGTTTCCTCACCAACAACCACACCCATTCTTTCGACTTTCTCTGTCTTGACACTCGTTACTCCTCGATCGCCTCACAACCGCATACAGAGCATCGCCATTCTTTCCACCACACCTCACCTGCAGTTATTCGTTCTGTCCTCCTCAATCCTGCCACACCCCTAGAGTTCCAGCGACTTTCCCCTCTGCTCAGCCTCCTCGCGCCCTTCCACGCCTTACGTACCGTCGCCGGCCCTTTTCGAATCATCCTTCGTCTTTAAATACACGCCCTCTCTGTGTCTCCGATCTTGTCTTCCACATCTTTAGCCAACGTCGCGTCAAGGGGAGGCGGCCCACCATGGGCTTCGGCGCTTTCGACACGGTATGCGAGCAATCGCCTCTGCCATTGTGCTACCTTCTCGGACCACCCACCGATTTCACAGCCGCTCATAACCCAGCATTATTACCAGAATGCAGTGCTCGATCGATAGAATTAGGCAACACCATCATCTTCCAGGCTGCCACCGACTTTGCACACATAGCCGCATTGTCCATGACTGCCATCATGATCTTCCACGTTCGCTCGAAATTTACCGCCGTGGGCCGCAAAGAAATTCTGACCTTCTTCTACATCTACAGTCTGTTGACAATCGTCAGCTTGGTCTTGGACGCAGGTGTGATTGAAGCGACGAATCAAAGTGCATTCCCCTGGTTCGTGGCGGTACAGAATGGCCTAGCCAGTGCGCTCTGCACGAGTCTTTTGATCAATGGATTCGTCGGGTTTCAACTGTACGAAGACGGAACCACACTTTCGGTGTGGCTGTTGCGGCTAGGGAGTCTGATCATGTTCATCATCAGCTTTGCCGTCAGTCTCCTTACGTTCAAGGGATGGGCAGGTCTTTCACCCACAAACACCACCGGCCTATTCATTGTTCTGTACATCATCAACGCTATCTGTCTGGCGGTTTATTTCGTCATGCAAATCATTCTGGTCGCAAATACCTTGCAAGATAGGTGGCCATTGGGAGATTTGGCATTTGGCGCATTCTTCTTCATCATTGGGCAGGTCATTCTGTATGTATTCGGCAAAAAGATCTGTGAAGGAGTTAGTCACTATCTTGACGGATTGTTCTTTGCCACTGTCTGCAACTTGTTGGGTGTCATGATGGTGTACAAGGTCAGTAATTTTTTGTGAGTTGGTTTGTGTGACTCTGGTTGCTAACTGTTCGTGTTTCAATAGTACTGGGACAGCATTACCAAAGAAGATCTCGAATTCAGTGTCGGCACCAAGCAAGGCAATTGGGACGTCAAGGAAGGACTACTGGAGCCCAGTGCAAGTGAAGACTTCCGAACAAGCGTCTATGGCTTTGGTCGAGAAAGTGTTTACGATTCCCCCAGCATGGAATATCCGCCTCAGCACCCAACACAGTTTCCTTCGACTCGAAACTCGGGGTATGGAAATTTGATTGAAGCTAGACACAGTTATGGCGATATTCGGAAGCAACTGGGGAATTATGAAGATTATGATGCGATGAGAGCTCGAGACGGGGAATATGCTTATTAGATGCTAATGTCGGAGCAGTCCGGGGTTGATGGAATGTACCAGAAACAAAAACACTCTTGGACCGTCGAGCCATCTGCAGTCGCCCAGAAAGACCATGTGTATCAACATCAGGCTTACGCGGATGGAGTTTTTGATGATTTGAGCGAGAGGAATCTCTGAGGCTTGATGATTCTCAGAGCTCTAATAAGCCAGTTGTGTGTGTGGAATTAATTGTCGTCACTGCACATCTAGGTATGCTCAAAGAAGGGTATGTTGTGACAGTATCTGTTTTTGTTTTTAGCGAAGCATAGCATAAGCACAGCATAGCATTATTAGTTAGGTATAGATGTTTCAATACGGGGTTTACACATTCGGAATGAGATTCTTTCTGATTCAATACCTACCAGGTAAGCTTTGCGCTCATCTCAAAACGCCTCATGTGTTTCTTCCCGGTTGACTACCTACGGATTTATGGATTTTGAATCACGGGTGGTCATAAGGTTGTACCGTCTTCCCTTAGGTGCCTAGGTAAGGTTAAAGGTAAGTAATCATGGGAACCTAGTTAGTCGACACGGGTTCCGGTTGCCCCTCCCTTTCCATCTCGGCAATCAGTCTCTGCCTGTTCAATGTGTTGTACCTGGGTAGGTATGTAGGTGGCCGACGGCCAAGGTTCATCTAGTCATTGGTCTAGGAACGTAGGTACTGGTTAGGGTGGGTAGGTTCCTGAGGAGGCCGAGGACTGAAGGCTGGCTCTCTACGCCCAGGGTAATCAAAACCGTCGACGGTCATTTGACATCGGCGTCACTTTTTTTTCTTTCCTTCCCTTCATTCCTTCCCGTCTTTCCCTCTTCCTTTCTCTTTCTTGTTCTTGACTCAGAGCCCGTGGTTGAAGGTCAAACAATAAGTGGTACGGTGCTCTCGCCCTGTCCCTTGCCCGTTCATCCGCGCCCCCCCCTCCCAAACACCAGCGCCCCCTTTTTCGCTCCTGGTACTCATCACGCACGCCTACATTCGCTCTTGTCCTCCTTGTCGTTCATACACACCTACACCCGCTCAGATCGCTCATGTCACCATACCCCTCCTCGAGCCCCTCGGTCGACGTTGGCCGCGGTATTTATCGAACGCGAAAATCGAACCGGTCCCCACGGTCAAGGTAGACGACTTGATCGCCTAGGCCTGCCTTGTTGATTTCGGCCTTGAAATCGTCAAGAGGGGACAAGAAGACGTCGTAGTCACTGTTTGATTTTTGTTATTGGCACAATGTCACCAGAAAACGTCAAACCTCCAACCCCCTTTTTGGGGGCCGGGGGGGGGGGGGGGGGGGGGGGGGGGGGGGGGGGGGGGGGGGGCTCTTCAGGCGGTGACGTGTGTGCTTTATCAACCATCAGATTGGATTATCATGGACTTACTCATAATGAATAGGTATGGTCAAGTCCGGTTGGACCAACTTGACGAGTTGCACGCCCTGCTTCGCGTCCATCGTCACCATGAGCAACGGCATGTGAGGGCCCGGAATGGTGGTGCCGCCGAGGTGGATCAGCATCAGGTCGATCGGTCGCCCGGCGTGCGTGTAGAGCTCGGGGATCTTTTCGAGGTCGCTGACGTACAGGGTGTCGCCTGAGATGTAGATTCGGTAACCACATTCAAAGTTGGACGTGTCGGTGTCTTTTGCACCGTCAGAAGACGCAGCAGCAGCAGCAGCAGAAGACGACGACGAATAGCCCAGTTCGAGCATCCAGCCGTTTGTAGGCGGCACGGCTCCGAGAATGTCGTTGGCTTTGGCGAGGAGGCCGTCCCCGACGTGTTTACCTGGCATGCCTGTGACGTGGATTCTGGGACACGAAGAAGGAGCTGGCGATGGTGAGTGCGATTGTGACGGCTGGACCTCGCCGCCGCCGCCAGCAGCAAGGTCGACATACATGTCTTCCCAAGCGTCGAGAGCGTGGACGGCCGTGAAAGACTCGTGGGGGCCCTTGGTGCTGAGGTGGTGGTGGGCATGCGGTGTCGTTATGATGGGCAGGTCGCGTCGGAGGGAAGCCTCGACGTCCTGGTCGAAGTGGTCGGCGTGGTAGTGCGAGAGCAGCACGAGGTCGATGTTGGGCAGGTCGTCGAGGTCCACGGCCGGATTGGTCCTACGGGTGCCGCGGACGCCAGGGCCCAGGTGGACGTGGTCTCCCTGGTGCAGGAAGTTGGGATCTGTCATGAGCCGGACGCCGCGCCATTCGAGGATCGTAGTGGCCGTGCCGACGAAGAAGAGGCTGGCACTGTTGTTGTTTTTGTTCTTGTCGTCCGGGGAAGATTTGATCCCCGGATGCGACTTTGTGGCTTTGGCCGCAGGGAGGTGTTCCCTCACTGCCGCCGTGGTGGTAGAGTCAGGAGCATCATGGTCTCGTGTCGGACGTTGCTTGCGCGACAGGTCGATGGTGATGCTCGGTTTCGTCGTTGCCATGACAAAGTTTGGCTTGGTTTTGTCTTTCTTTTCTGTATGTACGACGAACCTGTAGATTGTGCTCTGCCACACGATGATGCCCTAGCTGCTTGTTTTGGCGAGGTAGTTAATAGTGGTTGTTACGTTCGGTGTTCGCTCAAACAATCACTTTTGGCAGCAGTCCGGGGTAAATACAATCGAAATACTTCTTTACATGACGGTAACATGACGACATACATGGTCAGAGATGTTTTACTGGCACTCGTACACACGCCCACACACCTCAGCAATTCGGGACAATTGATGAAACCTGGGCGGCTTACTTTGCCGGATCGAGGGTAGAATACCTGCCTGAAAGAGTTGTAGAACAACTTCCTCGACTTGCAGCAGGCCACGGAAATTGTCCCATTCGAGAACCTCCGCATGAACACCCTTGCTTGGACGAGTAGATCCGGGAGGATGATTGAGCGTCCTTGCGAAAATTCACGCAGAATGACTCTACGGTTCACTCTCACCGTCAGGTATCGTAGACAGACGATAAGATCGTCCGAGGACGTCTTGGGCCATCGAGACCTACCTACCAATTGAATTGATATGAGAAACATACCTTGGTCTGGTCAGCCCCGGTAGCAACATCGACGCACAGGATGCGGCCGACATGTACAAGCTTGGGTATACTGTCAAAGTCCAATGCAAGTGACCAGTGTGCTGTCGTGTTCTGTGTGTGGGCTGTTTGTCTATCCCCTGTGAGAGGGTGAAACATCCACATGCGCCATACCAGGTTTCCGAGTAGAAAACAACGGCCGACATGGCAGGTACGATATAGAATAAGGATAGCCGCGCGTCAATACACGACAGCGAAACGCAAGCTTGGGCTCAGAAGCCCTGCTGTCTCCCACGTTCGAAATTTCGAGTCTGTTGAAGCTCTTGGCAATAGTCTGAAAGCATGAAATACAAGGGCTTTCACAACTGAAAGGAATTTCCACCGACAAGTCGACTGACGCCCTTTGGGTGAAAGAAAGCTGGGCCATAGGGGCTTGCTAGTATTCGAATCCCTAAGGAGTCAGCGTAAGACGATGGGCATCCGCGGAACCAACTGGGATCTCGCTCCGACAAGCCGGATGGAAGCTCTGGTGTGAAACCTTTTCGGACATTGTCTGCGACAGCAAAGTGGCACTGCTCGAGATATGAGCACCTACTAGGGACAACAATGTCAGGTTCTAATGACAGCAAGGCGCAGTGTCGGCAAGTCGACCACTAGGGTACAGTATGCTGACCATTATCTGATTGACAAGCGAGGTAGAAATCAGCGTGCCCGCGAAAATCGATAGACAGCCGGCCGGCCTTCTGATGGTTGGGTGGACTTGTTGAGATGGGGGAGGGTGTTGCTGGTCAGGTAGGAGTGGACGACATGATCGAGCCGAATTGCCTCTTGATCCGGTGACAATGTGCATTGGTGCGTTGGTGCCTCCGTCTACATGAAAGGGACACAGACCCTAGGAAGAGATTGTCGTCGGGTGTCGAACATTTTGAATTTGCAATCAACCGATTTGGCGCCCTCACATGCTGCTCGCATAGATATTGTTGCAAAAGAATCCACTAACATGAGACCATTAGATGCCAGAACGCAATCTTATATCCGAGAGATTCCGCGCGACAGCCGCAACGTAAAATGTATGACCCCTATACTAGCAGTCTCCAGTCGATGGTGTTTAATGATCACTGATCGGTTGCAGCTTCGATGCGATAGTGCAGTGCGGGGCAACTAAAGATGTCTCTTCTCTAGTCGGATCCAAGGTGCATCTGCCGGGGGTTCGCTTGAGCATGCGATGCTGCACGTGGTGAAGGGATGGGCATCGCTTCCTCTGGTGTTGGCGGTATGTTAGTTGCTTGGATCTCGATGAGCTTTCCGCTCTTCCAGGTAACTGTTAGCAATGCATGGCCGGCGAGCGTTTTTTTTAAAGGGGAGCCCGTCGGCGGTGCTGCAGATGTTTCAGACAGGAATTGTCTCACGGCCTTCCGCATTCGTCAGCGTGTGTGGAAATCCCTGCTTGCAGTCAACTTGGCAATATTCGTGGCAAAGGCGCAGTCCAAAAGTGGCTCGCTTGAAAAGACTTTTCCTTTGAATCGTGATTGCATCGGGATACCCGGGGAGTCAGTCGGGCCAGTCAGCCGATACTAGGGACTAATAAAAGTCCCTATCAACTCGGGCGCAGGGCAGCCGGACTCGCACGTACCACCTCCTGGCCTCGCTTAAAGCCCAATCCGTGGCAATCGAAGCTAATGAGAACCTGTCCGAGTCAATCGACTGAGAGGCCCCAAAGTGCACCTATAACAACAATTGGTACTTCGATTGTCAAGGCCTAGGCGCCGCCTGCTATTTCAAGGGCGATGTTGACAAAACTAGCGACTCTATTGGCTCTTGACAGTGGTGCTCGCTTATGTCAAACAACTAGACCCATCGTTATATGAATTCAGAACGACGAAGATAGATGATGACCCCGGTTGGACTAGCAAGGCTTGTCAGGATCGAGACTTTGCATCTGACAAGAAGGACAACGGCCGGAGCGTCCTGCTGGACCTTGACTCAATAATGGATTCAGAGGCCCGTGTCATTATGTCCGGTTGTAAAGGTGGTCGACATCTAGCCCCAGCGGTACCAATGTCCATACCCATACCTGAATTGTGACGTGCTCAATTGTCACGAAAGTAATTCGCAAGCCCGTCGAACCAAACAGACGCATCGAAACATAGGTCAAAGCAGGCCATCTGACGGCGACATCAACTTGCACAACGATGAGAAGGTTTATGAACGGGAGTTCCCTTGTGGAAACAGCACTTCGGCAAATACAGGTAAGCAGACAAGTCCCAAAAGTATGACCGATCGAGGGGCGGAGAAGTAGGGCGTGGTTTTGCAGTCTGGCGAGCTGCTCGTCAAAGGACGGAGTCACTAAGTGATTAGATTGAATTTTAGAGACTGTGATGTTGCAAGGACAAGCACTGTAGCGCTGTTTGAACCAAGGGGATATTGTCGGAAAAGGCTTCATTGAGGGCATGAAAATGATGCCTTAGAAATCATGTTACAATCGTGCAAACCGTATTGGGAAGTCTCCGGTGTCCATTGGCTTCTGATGCGATGTAGCGTCATGTGTACAGTCTGTGGGCCGAAATTTGCAAACATAGACGTTCTCAGGGGTGAGTCGCATCATTAGTTTTCGTCGTAACCGCCTGAGGAACGTTTCCGCAATCCAAGGTTGCTTGCACAGTGGTAGCTGGTGCTGATGCCTGTTAGGAGACCTACAGGAGGCGAAGCAACTTAGCCGGGAGACGATCATATGCAAGTCGGCGTTATAGGAGTGGGCGTTGGAATTTGTCCGCAACTGGATGGGGAGCTATCATCGCACAAGCGCAGAGCCTGGTCGCAGCTGAACGTGTCGAACCTCGCACCAAACAGGGATAGTAACAATCAAGGCAACGGACAAGGTCTTTGGTGGGATGCCATCTCCAAGACCAGACCGGCTGACGAGGCGCCAGGAAGCAAGAGGTTGAGAGGCAGAATGGAACAGGGTGTTGACGGTGGGGTCGTCCTCGATTTCTCTACCTCAGACTGACCGTGTCAGTTGAAATAATGACAGTGATATGCAGCATAGTCCGGACTTGTACGAGTCAATGTAGGGATGTTGAGGGGGTATTACTCCATCCTGGTGTTGCCGCGGCAGCATCAGATCCAGGCGGCTGTAATTTGAACACTCGGAAGCCGTACATCTGTCGCTTGATGCTGTCGGCGACAGGGGATAAGAGACCGTAGGCCATGTGGTGAAAGTGGTGAGTGCTCCAGAGGCAAATTTTGCATGCCGCCAGTGTCCGTGGTGTCGCAGTGCAGGTCAAGGTGCAGCACACCAACGGAGCCGGTAAGCGAAGCCCCAAAGTCATCAGCAGAACTGTCGAAGTGAGACGAGAGGAACAGGCGCACCAAGCTCCATCATTCCACACCTACGTGACAGACGAACAAGGTAACAACGAGTTATCAGGTTGAGAGCACCGTCGGCCTCATTCAACGCGTTTGTGCTCATCCGCTGCCGGGGTCCATCTTGGTCGCTGGTCAAGCAAAGCCCAGCTGCTCAGCTACTCCACGGGTCATGATGATCCCGACCAGAGAGAAACTCGGAGGGTACGGAGTACGACGGAGTACGACGACTTCTCGAAAGGATGGAGATTTGTGGCTGTCCTCGTGCTCAGTGGTGAGGACGAATGCTGCATGACAATCATGATCACGAAACAGCACTTGACCTGAACGGGCTGGTGGTTGACGGTGGCATCTCGTCTGCCCCGTCGGCACCTCTTGTTTTACAAAGCCAGGCCAAAACTCTCGCCTGCCGCATGCAGCTCTCGACCGATCAGCCCCTCTGATTCGGCACACGACGCGAACGAGTTTGTGTTAGACTTGCACTACGAGCACTCAAAGGCAGCAACTCATTTCGGCGAGGCCTGTAGGATGAATCACGATACATGGATGGTTGGATGATCAGACCTAGCGAACTCGAAGCTATGAACAAGTCACACACCCTTCTTTTGATTCGCAGAACACGACGCACTGTTTGCGAGAACGGAGCGAAGACTCGTATTTCATTGCGCTGTACTCTGTACGAGGTACGGCTTCTTATTTCAGTTCGCCTCTGGTACGAGTGCTATTTGCTGTGAAAAGCCGGAGTCTCCTCCTGTTCTGTGCACAACACGCGTCCAAGGCGCAGGCGGGCGGTGGATGCTTGCGAGACAAATCTCTTCCGATCAGTGGTTGTTGGTTACGCCACGACCCGAATGTCTCTTTCTGGCTACGATTACGGAGAACGACCTGATGGTGTTCTGGTCTTTTCTTTGTTCTGGCGTTTGGCCCTGTCCACCACTTTCGTGATCATCGGACCAAAGCTAAAACTTGACCCTCCGACTATTGTATCTTCTCTGAGGTATACGGATTCAGCAGCCGTCACTTATCATCCATTGCGTGCACGGATGAGGAAAAAGCAACAACATTATTGTTCTCCGTGATAGCTCCGTTGAATATCGCTGACACGTCCGTAAACCTTACAGTGCAAAGTCCTCGGTAGTGGCTGAACACGATCGCATTGACGGTACGGAGTACTCGTCTTATTCGTCGCCGCCACTGACGAAGTTGCAGGCGTAGACCGAATTATTCCAAGGGATGACAGACGGGGCATATCCTCCTTTCCTGGAGTGGTGAATCTCGGTTGTCGCGACTCGCGAGATCCTTGAGCAGAGCATGGACGCTTTTTCCGTCAGATCCACGGGCGCTCTCAAATGTGGTCATACGGTCACTCGCAGCAACAGGAGCCTGTAACCTGATTGCTATGACCGCTTCATGTCAAGCCTGATCCGTCAACTTGTTTCTCCTCCAGGCGCGCGCCTTTTCACCGGGCTACCCTCCACCACAAGGGGCGTCACCACTCGTGGGTGGTGGTGATTAGTGGCTGATGGACTGGTTGATAGCCCCAGCTGGTGCATGAACACAATAAATAATATCAAGGATTCCTCAGCTGACACCTGACCGGGCTTCCGCAGGCCTTGGCTGTAGTGAAACTGTGACTAGGGATTCTGGAAACTTGAGACGGCCTTAGAGTTGCTAACCTATTGCAGATTGGACGAAACCAGCCCACTGGGTTTCTCATCTGTGCTGTGTCGGGCCCTCGCTATTTCCACCAATGTTGATGGGATGGATTGCCATGACCAAAGCACCCGCCATACGGAGTAACGATAGAAGGATATCACTGCTTCCAAGATTCGAGTGTCCACCGAGGAGGCTTTGGTCTGCGAACACCCCATCCTGCGTAATAATGTCTTCCACCATTCAGTGTCAAGACAGATTTTTGCGTAGAATGATCGGCCTGTTTGCAGATATTTACGATTTCTTGACTGGGCAGCGGGAGCCTGAGACAGCAGCGTCCAGCGCAGGTGCCCGGATTGGTTCCCTTTAGGCACAAATGGTGCGCCTAGTGAACCCCGGCAACCACCTCAGGCGGCAGTCCACCGCCTAAAAGTTCCACTGGACGGCGCCTGTCACCGCCCACCTACGCCCACCAGCTAAGAACAGGGTGCGAGGGACCGAGGGTCAACGAGTCGGAGTGAGTGGCCTGGCCTTCGCAATCCAAGCACGCTTCCGGCTTATCCCTTCGATTAGAGAACACTTGTAAAACACGGACTCCAACCAGGCAAAGGAGGAAAATCAATGAAAGTGTGCGACGGAGCATCAGCTAGCACGGTTGAATGACGCTCCAATCCTGTGCTGTGCCACGGTCCCCCCTTACATTTCACCCGCGTCGACGGCGTCACTCATGCAGTTACACACTAGCGAGGATAACAGGCCCTCTGAGCGTTTCCTTGTCAGTCCCACGGCTGATCAAGGATTCAACGTCGCTGTTTCCGGGCTTGTTGCATTGCAGCATCATTCGGGGGCTTCCCCTGCCTGGTACCTCCGAGCTGGTCATCCACTCCGGAGAGCGCGCGTCCGGGAGGCGAAAAGGGCGAAGCCTGTCTAGTTGCAAGCCTGCAACCTCTTGCTGACTTTAACATGCGCTCAGCGACCAGGCTCTGCAGGCATCGCAGCTCGCGGCTCGCCGCCCGCCTTTCTTGTGACTTTGTCCACTTCCGCCGAGGCTGCACCAGGCAGCTTGCCCTCTCGACCGGCCGTGCGTTGCTCAAGTCACCCTTCACATCTTAGCGCCGTGGTATCCCTCCGTTCAATAATGTCCGGCTGAGGAGGAAAGTTTTGTTGGCGCAGGGTGCGGATGACTGACACTATCCACTGTCGCTCCCTCCCGACTTGTAATTGCATCGTCTCACACGCTCTCAAGACGCTTGTACCGTGTACGCAATGATATGCGTATGCCCTTGTTGGAGGAGATTGAGAATGCGCCCTCGTCTGATACTGACGCTAGTGCCGCTGGCAGCCTGCACATACGCTCACGCCCAGTCCCTCCAGCCGGCGACCCGGCAACCATGACATACTGTACGAGGAGTGATGGGGAGACTGGCATGCGTTGTGTTGGGCTGCGTTGTCTTTCGTTGGTGCCGTATTCCCAGGTATCTTGTTTGCCGGTGACGAAACGCTGCTTAGGAGGATATCACCTCCATGCCAACCCCCAGTGTCAGTTAGGTCCCTACAGTGAATACCTACTGCCACTGGGTGTGAAGGGCACTAGGCGCAGTTCGTACTCGTACTCGCCCGTGCAGTCGGTCTAGCGCAATAGCTTACAGCAGCTGTGCTCGCAGACCTCGGCTCTAGGCCTCTTCTTAGGCGTTCTCCTACGACTCCTTGGGCTCCTTAGGCTCCTCGTTTTGGCTTTGGACTGGGGACAAAGGGCGGACCTGAAGCGACGGCAATAGTCAGGCGTGGCCCTCAGCCTCTGGATCCTCCACTAATGGTGGACGTGATCCCTGAAGAAAAAACTGCTCCGTTGACGCAGAGGCAAAAAGTCTGCCCCCTTCTTTCTTGCAAGCGTCATGGGTCCAAGTCAATCGAACACGAAAAAAGAGGTCGCGCACTAGCATTCTCCCAGGCTACCCAACCCAAGCCAGGCTGGTGTCGGTTACGTTACTCGTAGGCCGTGAGCCACCTGGCCCCAAGGTCTCCCGAACGAAGCTAAACACCGTCCAGTTTTTTGATACCCTTACAGTAGCCGAGCTAAAAAAAAATTGTGGTCAGAGAGTGGCCATCGCTTCGCTCTTCTCGCATCGCTTTGCGCATAGTGCAGCGTGTTTGTTGCCCATCACCGTCACAATCAAAGTGTCGCCTGTGTCAAGACCCCCGTTTCCCGTCTCCCGTTCCCCGTTCGTGTTCCATTCTGTGCTTTTTTTTTGCTTTCCGCCATCCATCATCCTAGTGCTCGTACGAGACGAGTCACCGTGGGCTGTAGCAGCCTCTTCGCCATCCCAAAACCAAACATGCCATCACTTCCTGGCCCTTCTCCCTCCGCCAGCCCGTCTTAGTCCACTTTGGCCTGCGCTCCATCTTTCCCTTGCCGTTACCGTCGCTCCTGTACCTCTATTGGCCAGGCCCTGTGGTGCTTCCCAGTCTCAGTCGTCGCTACCCTTCCTGCGGCTTGCCTGTTCTTTTTCTGACTTACTTCCTGCTTTCGCGTCGCCTCCCTGCTTGCTGCATCGGGCGGCTCGTCGATATGGGGCCCTGACATCAAGAAGACCGAGCCTCGAACCGCCTCCGATCCAAGACAAAGGCCCGTCTGTGTGTGAGTGACTTGACTATTGATGAGTTTACAGCTCTCCTCGTGGCAGTGATCAGCTCTCGCTGGCAGCCACGAAACTCTCTACCACCCGCCGATGCTCGGCTGACTGCCTTTTAAAACCCATTTCACTCTTGTGTCATTTGCTTTCTGATTGCTCCAGACCTGTCTTGCTGGATTAGGAATTGCTCTCACAGTCACCGTTTGAGACGGCGTTGGTCGTGGAGGTCACCATCACACTTCCCAAGGGGTCCACCCTTCAATACACTTCTCTCATTCCACAACCCCAATTCACCCAAGGTTCCAAAACATCAAATATGCTCCTCGCCTTTTGATTCTTCTTAACCCTTCCTGTTGCAATGCTTGCTGCTGCCGGACACATCCAACAAACCTCGATATACCTACTTGACCACCCCTACCCAACAGCCTCTCTCGTCCTTGGTCTGCTCAGCACCTCAATGTCGAGCCCTTCCTTACTTCCTCTCCATACTTGATCTCTCAAACCTCACCAGTATCGCCTTCGACCACACCTTCCGTGTCGATCGATCCTCTCTCATGTCGCTCATGTCTGCTTTACAACGAGGGGGCGGGAGTCTAGATTGGCCAACGGAGACGAAGCCGTCCTACGAGTACACTGGTGCACATGGGTTCAAGAGGCGGAATACGAACGACCCTTATTTCAGCACCGGCCTTCCCACACCTCCTGGGTCCAAAGCCATGCCGGGAGTGACGTTGGGAAATGGCTATGCCGCAGTTTCCAGTCACACCTCCCAACCTGTCGGTGATTACCCCCAAAATGGCGTTGGGTCTTTGCAAAGCTCTAGAGGGCCAACCACCCGATCCCAGGCCAATTCATACAGACTTGTCCATGGTTCAAATTCCACCTCGATTTCGTTCAGTCATCAAGCCGCGGATCACACTCAGCCCAGTGACATTGCACCTCATCTGCAGATACCGGAGTCGGTGAACAAGAGCAAAGGCAGCCTGGCAGAGTTCACAGCGGAGATTACTTGTCTATTCTGGTTTGAAACCGCCAGCACAATACAATTCGCTGAAGATCTGCCAAAGGACAAGCCCGTGGACCGAGGGTTACTTCCAGATGCCGTTCCCACCATTGGCTTTCGGAAATGGGTAACTACGATCATTAGCACTACCCAAGTAGGCAAGAATGTCGTACTCCTGGCACTGATGTTCATTTATCGTCTCAAAAAGTTCAACCCCGCGGTCAGTGGGAAGCGCGGTAGTGAGTACAGGCTCTTGACAATTGCTCTGATGCTCGGCAATAAGTTTCTGGACGACAACACCTACACAAACAAAACCTGGGCAGAGGTTTCTGGCATCTCGGTGACCGAAATCCATATTATGGAGGTCGAATTTCTCAGCAATATGAGATACGACCTATACGCCTCGGCCGCAGAGTGGACTGAATGGAAGGCCAAACTGGGAAGGTTTGGCGCGTTCTATGACAAAGCATCACAGTTACCTTCCGCCGACGAGAGCAAGATGACAGCGCCGGCCACACCAACGTCGCAGAGCCTTTCATATAAATTGCCTTCGCCATCTTCACCCCGCCATGCTGTCAGCCCCTTTACTTTGTCGCCTTCTACGAGCTCCTATCCTACCTTGCCTCACCCGTTACCTTCAACAGTTCAATTACCGAGCTCTCCTCTACGACCGCAATACGGAGGCGGCATTCCGCGAGAAGAGCGTAAGAGGAGCCTGGACCTCTCTACAGATCTCCCACCAGCGAAGAGGCCACAATATCCTACGCCGATGCAGATTGGCTCTATTACCAATTCTGGACCACATCTCCCCTACCCTCAGGCCGCCCTTCGGATACCTCCCGTCAATAACAATGCCCCAGAGCCACAGCAGTCTTCAGTGTCTTTGGATATTCCACGACTGGATCTATCTCGGGTTCAAAGCACGGCTTCTCATACTTCCACTCAATTGGCTCCCCTGTCGATGCCGTCCAGTCGTGCAATGGCCAGCGTCTATCCGAGCACGACCACTGGCTACTCTCAGCCTGTGACTCCGATATCTGCTATCCCTCAAAACGTGTTCCAAAATCCTATTCCCAACCTTGGTGAAGGGCCCCGGTTGATGTCGAATCACCCTTCGGCTCATACCTCTCCTTCGAATGGTTTTCACAATGTTACTCCTACTCTTCCCGGCCTCTCGCCATCATACTTTCTGACTCACCGTACTTCTCCATATCGTCCGGTACGACATGTCAACACCTTACTGTTTCCACCACCTTCCGCCACCCTGCAAGCTCCTTTGAAGAGTATTCCATACGACCAGATTCATTACCAACCCCTCGGCAAACTTCCTTCAGAGCGTCGGACTGGCCCACTTCCTTTCATGCAAGCGGATGCCTGGCAGAGGAGCAATGTCTCTACCCCTTTGACCCATCCCCAGTACCAATTTTAGAGTTCCGGATTGTATTACTCAAGCTTCCTCTCTTTTTCACCAATCGTTTCAACTCAAAGTCTTATGCATAGCGTGGTGGTTGTCGATTTTCTTTTTCACAATGTTCAACATTAGCGATATGCATTTTATGGCGTTCGGGAGGCCGTGAATCAAGGGCAAAATATAACAACCTTTGTCAGCTGGCGGGAAGCCCGGCATATTCACAGAAGTGAATACAGAATAAACAGTCCAGCGTAGAGTACCAGTGAGCACTTGTTTGCACCTGGTTTGAATAGGAGATAATAAAATGAGACCATCTCCGATTGAATCCCTCTATCTTGTCCTATTCCGACTGTGCTAGCGACTTCTAATATTCTGTCCTCACTAATCTCAGCCTGATGAATGGGTTCCGGGTTCAGGTGATTTGACGTTATGTCCACAAAAGAACATATGAGGTTGTTATGTTCACGTGACTGGCACTAACACAACGTCACCGCAAGGTGCAAGTGTGCCAGCATCCAGCAATCTCCAAAGGTTCACGGAAGAGTGAAACTATTCGAAACCACTCCAATCCATAACCTCATACCTGGACCTTGGGGGGTATCACGGGTCAACAGTTTCATGGGATCGTCGCAAAGAATGCAGTATTCCTTGACCCAGTTACTCCGTAAGGATGCGCAAGACATTACTTCTTGTCTTCATCCACGGCTTCAAGGTACGTCTAACAGCATACCATTATGTGCGTCGCGCTGATCTGTAATATCTCTAGGGTGGCGATGATACATTTGGGACATTTCCAGAACACCTACGTGCCCTTGTCAGCCACGCGCTACCCAACATCGACGTAGTTGCAGTCACTTACCCCAGATTCGAAACCCGAGGTGATTTGAAAGATTGCGTAGCCCGGTTCAGAGAATGGTGCGTTCAAGGCAGTAAATACATGACATGGAGAAAGAGAGCGCATCGCTGACGATACTGTGTGCGACACTTTTCCAGGCTTCAGAACAAGGTAATCGATTTGGAAGTCGCTCGACACACCCCATCTCCAACCATCGACCCGTCAGTGCATGTTATGTTGGTGGGCCATTCCATGGGCGGAATCGTTGCTGCTGAGACATATTTGATGCTTGCGAACGAGCAGCCCATCCCGACAGCCGCCTCACAGCAGAACCAAAGCAAGCCCAACTTTCCTTCCAACACAACTCTTGGGTCCACCACGTCCACTACGCACCCCAATCCTCCCGAGCCGTTCCAGTCACACACGTTCATGTTTCCTCACATACAGGGCATCTTGGCTTTCGACACTCCATATCTGGGTCTTGCGCCCGGGATGGTTGCGCACGGCCTCGAAGGCGGCCACAAGACTATCTCGAGCGCTTACAACACAGCGACCGAAGTCGCCTCCATGTTCGGCTGGGGCTCCAAGTCCGAACCTAATGTCTCCTCGTCATCCAAAAGACCCGTGGCCGCTCTTCCTGCTGCCAGTTCGTCTGCCGCAGACGCTGCAGCGGCGCCGAAATGGCAATCCTGGGGCAAGTATGCCATGTTCGCAGGAGCTGCGGGCGCAGTCGTTGCAGGCGGCGCAGCAGCGCTATACTCGCAACGCGAGAAGCTTAGCGCTGGATGGCAGTGGGCCAGCGACCATCTCCTCTTCGTGGGCGAGCTATTCAGGCCCGAGAACTTGCGCAGGCGAGTGGAGAATGTGGAAAATGCATTCAAGGAGCGCGGCGGTGGTTGTGCGAACCTTTACACTAACCTAGGCAGAGGAGCCCAAGAGGGCTATGGCATCACGGCGACTTTAGCCGGAAAGGAACGGACATTCTGCAACCTACCTGTCTTTGTCAGTAAGGAAGGCAAGGAGGTCAAGGCAGGGGGTGGCGGTTTCAGATGGTCCAAAGCCGTTAATGACAAGGCCCGTGACGAAACGACGGCACATGTGTCCATGTTTTTCCCGCGCGACAATCCCGGCTTCTATGCTCTCGGCGAGCAAGCAAAGAATTGTTTGGTTTCTTGGATCGATCAGGTGTGGTACCGGGCAAGTGACGGTGAAACCTTCTTGGGCAAAAGCCACGGCATAAGTTTTGGCGAGATTGGCGATGGTTGGGAGAAGCCCGATTATGATGCGGACGAGGTCAAAGCGAAAGAGAGAGAGCGAGATCGATACGGTGCGGCGTACCCGTTGGATCCCGACCTGGCTAAGGGCTGGGACTCAGTGGGCAAAGACGATGGGATGGATTCAGACGGTGAGAATGACGTTCAGATGCGTGATGATGATGGTCATGAAGATGAGGATCTCGAGGATAGTGTCATTGTCGACAAGGCTGCCGACGGGAAAGTACCTCTGCCGAAACCGAGAGGCGATACAGGGCTATGAGACTTTTGATGGACGGGGGCGGAATGAATGAATGAATGAATCACGGGAGGGCCCGCAATGAGAATAAAACGATATGTAACGTGTACTATAAACGCTCCGCCACATCGAGTCTGGCAAGATGCCGGTGGGCTATTAGGATCTTGTATTGGTTGTAGTTGCACGGCCAAACTAAAAGAGATATTGAGAAGTAGAATATATTGGAATGTGTCTCTTCATGGCAGAGAGGCGAACATTGACCTGTACATGTGTTCGGTGAAGACAGTTTAATTCCAGTAGCTGATGTAGACACCGACCTAGTATTTTCAGGATATCTAGTTACCGTAGCTAGATGTAACGTAGGGTATGATTTGTTCTCTTCATACAAGGGACCTTGTGTGTGTGTGTGTGTTATATCCTTGTCGTTCTCCTCTCTTCCTTTTTGTTTCTTTCAGCCAGTGCCGTCCGTCTCCTCGACCCCGACCTTTCGTGGGATTCTGTCCTTTCCGTCTTCGACCATGCCCTCGCACCCCGTCACTTGGCCCGCTGTCTTCTCGACGGTGCCCAGGACGGTGGACTGCGCGGCGGGGGCGCCGGGCTGCTGGCCCGCCGAATTTGTTTTCTTGGTGGCCTCACGCATTTCCTCCACGGCGGCGTCTTTGGTCTGTTGACCCGATTCGTAGCCCAGCGCAGACGAGACTGCGCCTTGCACGTACTATATATATGGACACACCTCATGTAAGTTCATTGTCAGGAAAGAGTCAAGAGAAAGTGTCGGGCGGCGGCATGCGGGGTGGTCGGCACACGGCGACGACGACGACGGGGGGCAATACGACAAAGGTGCACAAAGGTGAACTGGTCGAGGCCAAGTCCGCTTTCTGTTCTCTTCCTCATCGAGGTGGTGGTTTTGTCTCTGCCCGCTGCTCTCTGCCCGTTGACAGTGGCTTTGTCTGTACCTGTGCGCAACGGACTGAACAGGCGGGGTGGGGTGGGAAAGAGACCACCACAAGGTTCAGACAGGTAAGGGACACATGAGAAGTCACAGGTAGGAGGGTTATCAAGCGTACCTTGGCGTGACCACCTAACAGCGAGGCTTGAGATTGGGAAGAGTCCGACGAGGATCGATCTGAAGACATCCTCTCTGCGACGAATAGGCGACCAAGTAGGTATACCAGGTGTCAAGCAAAGTGTGGCGTGTTACCAGGTGTATATATATCTGTGTGTGTATATATACCAAGTGTGCAGTGTCAGATGAGAGGCCAGTAAGTGGTCTTTTTTGCGCAAATAGCTGTTACAACAGGTGCAATAAGTGGCACAGATTGGAGGTGTGGCGCGGTATTTAATCTCTGGCTACTAGTTAGGGCGGTGGTGGTCCTTGTGCTCCGGGCTAATAGGAGAATGAGGTCAGTAAGGTCTATTACGAAGTAGGCTCATAGAAGAGATGCTGGCACTGGCAGGTATGTGCGTGCGTGCCTCAATGACAGCATCGCCAGACAGCACGAGAAAACACATGGTTCAATGACAACACATGCCAAATGGAGGAGCAATGCTCCCTTTCAGGAGTAAACGACTTTCTGTGGTGATGTCATTCCGATATTTCTTTATCGCCACGTGAGATAAGGCATAGTGCGGAGTTGGCGTGGCGCGTTAGCCGAGGCTCGATCTACGACAAGTCCTTACTAAGACTTGTGTACGTGAACGAGTACGAGAATCATCAGCAACTCCATCTGGGCCGTTGATACATGCATGGCGGTTGAGGTGATGTCTAAAAGTTCCCCTTCGTGACTTTCCCTCTTTGGTGAACTACCAGGCGAGCGTGTCGGATTTTGTGTGAATGGATTGAGTCCCTACCGGAACGTCTGTCGGGGACGCGAAGAGCTACGAAGAAGCAAAAGACAGGCATGGACTCGAAGTTCGCACCTCTGCAAGGAAAAGTCCCGGTATCTTTCCGGCGCTTGATGGCGCTCAAGAAGATCGGCGACGACGTTTTCGAATCACTTACTGCTGCATGGCCGCCTGCACCGTTCCAGCGAGCATTCGGCGGCCACGTTTACGCCCAAGCGATGTACGCTGCAAGCAGGACTGTGGAAGAGGGACTCGTTGTACACGTAAGATTCTCACTCCGCACACACATACAGAGACAGTAGATGTCTCCATCGACAGTCCGCTGAGAACAGTACCGATGTAGCAAATGACAGGCCATTTTAATCTTCCAGGGACGATAGACGTGCCTTTCGTCTATCGCGTACGGAGGCTCCGAGACGGCGGGATATACTGTCTCCGATCGGTCGATGTGTATCAGCAATCCAACGCTGCCGCCCAAGCGTCTTCGCCGTGCTTTACGGCCACGTTATCGTTCAAACGCTCAGAGAAGGGTAATCGCAAATGGCGAGATTTCGAACATCAGAATGTGTCCAAGGATCATATCAGGAAAGAGTACGCTTGTGCCTTGGAGGGATTGGGACCGGAGGATCACCCCCTCGCACCAGGTGCCGACTCACGGTGGTGGGAGGAACAAGAGGCTGAGCGCTGGAACGAGACAGCGCCCGCATTCCCAGGCGTCGATATGAGAAAGGTAAATATGCAGCTGCACAACGGGAGCGTGGAACGAGGTGGTGGGAAAGACGGTCAAGGCGCGTCAAGATGGCGAGCTTTGCACTTCTATCGGCTTATCCAAGACGAAGAAGACACGAGTGCGGGAGACATCGATCTGAATCTGCACGCTGCGGCTCATGCGTACGCGTCAGATCGCAACTCGCTTTTTCTCCTGCAAGGCGCACTGGGATATGAGGACGTCCCGACCACTATGGCGTCGTTGTCACATACGGTTGTCTTCCACGGTCTCGCGGAATATCTGTGTATGGTCGACGGGAAAGGATCGTCGAAGTGGTTTGTCCAGGAGGCGTGGACGACTCATAGTGGTGATAATCGTGGCTGTCATAATAGTCGACTTTGGGATTACGCCAGTGGGAGAGTTATCGCGACGACAATACAAGATGGAATGCTGAGATTTCCGAGCCACCTGTAAAAAGAGCCAGCGAGAGATTTTGTAGAGACATGATTGAAGGATAGAAAGAGTGAGGTTCGGCCACGAATGCGACTACACAGAGTATCAATTCAAGTGTTAGAGCCAGAACCTTTTTTTTCCGAGCTACAGAAATGAAAATCGACCCGGCATCTTTATGAATATCCCGAAAAGGAATGTAGACGCGACGCCGCGATGACAATATATTAGACTGTCAAGTTCCACAGGGCGCCTTCTTGACCGTTACTTTTTTTTTCAACAATATTCTTCGCATTAATCTGCTGCAGCGGTCAGCAATAGCCTTTAAGAAGCCTGGATGTGAACGGAATCAAAGGCGTGTCAAGATCTCGAAGCGAATTTTCAGACTGTTTTCCCTGATAAGGAATGACAAAGTGCGAATATTCCAGTTCTTCGTACGATTGTCCCTCAACAGAAATCTCTCCTCGCTGAATTCCTAAAATGGGCATCGAAATCAAGCCCATAACACCCAAGGATATCCCTTCGGCAGTAGAGTGCATCCAAGTCTCCTTTGCCGACGATCCATACCACCTGTGGGCGTTTGACACGCGGCCGGGCAAGTTCAACAAGGAGCGCAACTTTGCCAGCCTCAAGGCCAAATGTGAATGGGGGATGCGCAATGCCTTGTTCTACGTGGCCAAGGGCACCGAAGACCCGGACGACAAAGTGCTCGGCGTGAGCATGTGGATGAAGCCGCGGAACGTCAACGACAAGCAGACCTGGAGCGAATGGATCGACGAGTACGTTTTGTGGTTCAAGCAGGGTTGGAACCTGATCCGGTTTCAGGGCCGAGGGGGCTTGAATACGAAGAGATATTGGATCTGGAAGCACGAGCAGGCCCAAGCGCAGAGCGCCATCTGGACGGACCCGAACGGATATTACTTTTGCAACATCGTCACCGTCAGGCCAGGCATCCAGGGTAAAGGGATTGGGAGGTCGCTGTTTGACATCGTCACCAAGCAGGCCGACGAGGAAGGCAGACAGTGCTATCTCGAGAGTTCCAAGGAGACTCCGAACATTGCAATTTACGAGAAGATGGGATTCAAAATGGCACAGAAGATGGTTTGTGATGACGACGGGGTAAAGTGCGATTTATTTTGTATGGTCCGGGAACCTCAACCGAAGCCTTGATCGGGGTCGGTCATGCTTGTTTTTTTCTTTAGACAAAGGCCTACCAGACAGAGACAGCTTCGTAGCGCCATAGCTGGAGTGGATATTGGCGGGTGGTGCGAAACCACAAGTCACAAACAGACAAGCATACTATCTATTCAACGCTTGATGTTTTTGGTAACCAAAATTGACACTATCAAGCGATTCCTATCACAAAGTGCAAGACACGCCTATCCGAACAATTCACCCACTAAACCCGAAACAGACGAAGATCAGGCCTCGGACAGGCGTCCTCATCTCACCTTGTGAGTCGTCTCGTCTGGTCGCGGATCCCTGTCGTATTTTCTGAATGCACCCTTCTTGATTGAAAGTCGAACTGTGTTGAGACCTCATCAAGACACCATTCAGCCCCTTACTTGCTGCCATCTGAGCGACCGAACTGCCTTCGCCACATCCCCTTCCCACCTGTCTAAGCTAAGGAGTTGAACAATAACAATGTTTCTCACGGTAGGCTTGGAATGTGTCTTGCCCGCTCTGAATTCGAGCATGTTTGCCCCAAGGACTGCACAACCGCTGATGTCCTCCGTTACTGACGTGCCTCGCACGTCCCCTTCCGTTCGGTCTCATCTCACCGCCTATCTGTGTTGCGCAATTGATAAAGTATTTCGACGGACTCCGGTAAGAAGCAGTTCGCATTCCTTGCAGCCTTGCTTGCTAGGTTCCTGGAAACGCAGTCCGCCGGGCAGGGGGGCGGGGGAAGGTCACATCTGGCGTCAAGAAGGTGACAAGCTATTCCAGCAACGGCAGACATCAAAGACTTCATAATCATCACTGTGCCCACGATTCAGCAACAGCGGCAGCAGGGCGTCATGCTGCCGACTCACTTGAAAATTGCACGGCACAATACTCGGCCAGACACTTTTCGAAATGCCAGAATACCGCATTGGCGGCATGCGAACGATGGCAAGGGAGGAACAAAGGGCATTGTGCTTGGACCATATTCTTCAGCAGCTACTCTGGGCGATATATTCTTTGACACGGCTGTGGAACTCTACTCTCCATTTCAACATGGATTACGATGGCCTCTGACATATCCTGGCATCTAAGCTGGGTGGTCTACGGATTCTGGGGAGTGATACTGCTAATAGGCATTATCCGTCGCCTGTTACATCACCTCCTCTCCTACCGCCGAGCTGTATTGGTTCGTGACCTTGAAGGTCGACAAAGACAAAGCGAACGCTCTGCACCTCTGTTTGGTGGTGTTCAACACTGGATCAAAGCGAATCTGATCACACCGGCTGCCGTGGGCTCGAAACACCAACGTCGATCGTGGTTTGGCACTGTCCCTACAAGAATCGAAGCGATAGTAGTAGCACTTTTCTACCTGCTGGTGATTGGTCTGTGCTGTGTTTCATACGATCTCTCTTGGTCTAGTTCGCAGTACGTCGTGTCCCGTCTCCTCGCATTTTTCTTGACCGAAGTTATACTGACGAGACTGACAGCTACAATCAAGCGAACGAACGATGGCGCACCATAGCCGACCGGACGGGGAAGATCTGCTATGCCACACTGCCAATCTTGTGGATCTTCGCAGGAAGAAACAACATTTTTCTTTGGTTGACTGGATGGGGCTTCTCTACCTTCAATGTATTTCACCGGCACATTGCTCGGGTCGCCACAGTACTGGCGATATTGCACTCCATCGCGTTTACTGCTATCGAAGCCAATGGTATGCCTGAGAGCCACTCCGACCAGAAGTGACGCTAACTCTGGACAGAAGGTCGTCTTGCACAATCTTGGAAAGAGAAGTTCTGGTACATGGGTGGCATCGTAAGCCAGCGGAGACCGATATGTAGCCTGCGGGACTCACTCCATCTAGGCAACCATTTCCATGTCACTTCTGCTGGTGTTATCGTCAGCCTTGTTCAGAAGATACTGCTACGAAGTGTTTCTGCTGCTTCACATCTGCCTATCAGTTCTGGCAATCGTGGGTCTCTTCTAGTATGTCCAATTGAGATCGAGTTTTCTCGATGCTAATCTGATCCAGTCACACAGAGATCTTTTCCGACAAGTTCAATGATTACCTTTGGCCTATGGTAGCTGTTTGGGTCTTCGACAGATCCGCTCGGGCTGTGCGACTAGTCTATTGCAACTTCGACCCTACCTTCTCCCGCGGGCTTGTAGCGACCAAAGCCACAGCAACTTATCTCCAGGATGCTAATGTAATCCGATTGGAGGTCATCCCAGGGTCGAACCTCCTCCAGCCTGGGCCGGGGCAGCATTACTTCATCTATCAGCCCGCGAGGTGGAAAGGATGGGAGAATCATCCATTCACACTAGGTGCATGGCATGCCCTCAACCCGCCCAACAATCCAGACGTCAGGTCATGCTCAACCTCAGATGACAGTGCCATCAAGAAGAAGGATGTAAAGATCCAGGTGTTACCAGTCAATTCGCCAATGACACCGATCGGGCCGAACTTTGCGAATCAGAAACGGAAAAGAATTCCTCAAGACTCAGGGAACAAACTGATATTCTTTGTTCGACCATACAGTAGCTGGACGATACGGCTGAAGGAGGAGTGCCTCAGGTCTCTTTCTAGGTCAGTCAAAGCAACAGCTCTCGTCGAAGGTCCTTATGGCGAACGCAGCCCACTCCATATGTTCGAAACAGTCGTTCTCATCGTCGGAGGTACCGGCCTGTCTGGGGCTTTGCCGTATTTGCTGGACCATGTCAATCGTTCAGCATTTGGTGGAACAAAAACCCGGCACATTACTCTGGTCTGGTGTGCGAAGCAGGCCGCCATGATTCGCGATGTGGCTGCTCGAGAGTTGCAGCCGGTCCTGGGTCGGAAAGACGTGAGCGTGCACTTTCACGCAACATCGCAGTACGAGATTCCCATCGCAATGGAGGCAAGGAACATTGAGAAGTGGGTACATGCTTATCCGCAGCTGATGATTTCATATCGCCGACCCGACATTCGACATGCTATAATTTCTGTGGTTGGGCAGGCTCATGCGGCGGGTTCAGCTGGCGGAAGGGTGGCGATCCTAACGTGTGGTCCGGCTGCCATGGCGGACGAAGCAAGATCCGCCATTCACCAAGTCCTGAGGGCAGGTATGCGTAACGTCGAATACTTTGAGGAGACTTTTGGGTAAGTCAAGAGCATGCTGTGGCGAGCAGCCGCTAACTTTGCCGTAGATGGTAAGAGGCAGTCATCGATGAGCCCGATTCGAGAAGCAGGAATGTATTGGTCAGTGCATGGAATGTTCATGGCGAAAAGGAAGCATGCGAATGGAAGCCTGCCGAGCTTGATTGTATTTGAGTCTGTCGTTGGCATTTGAGGGACGCGCACAACTTCTTTTCCACGAGGTTAGGAACCAGTTTTGCTTTGCGTCTGTACATTATAGGTATCCTCACTATCAAAATGTTCTGACCCAACCAGTCACCAGGAGCGGTTGGCAGCTATTGTTCCCCGTAGGAAGAGGTTGTTACCCGCGACGAGGCTACAGCCTTGCCGGTTTGACAAGCCAATAACAGAGCGCAGAGAATCGCCGTCACATGACCGAGCCTTAAGTCTTGCTTGGCATCGGGTTCCCACACTGCATTTTTCGAAAGTGTGTGTCCGCGCAATCTACGAGAAGCACTTTCGTAGACCGACTCTTTTTCACCTTTCAACGCCGCCCTCAACTTTCGCGCACAAGCAGGTGAGAACCTCCCATCCCCTCCTCTCGAAACGATTCACAGGTTTCCCTCGTTACAGTATCAAATCTCAAAAAGACTAACACCGGCAATCTTCTCTCCAGATCGAGAACCTTTTCTCCTTCGCGCCCTCCAACCTCACCACAACCATGTCTCACGAAAGCGTCTGGTACTCACGACCCCGAACATTCGGCAAGGGTGCTCGCGGCTGGTACGTCTCTTTTTTGGCCCCCGTTATTTGATTTGATTTTCTTTCCGAACGTCACATCCACAATACAGACGCATTTTACACGAGTCGAGGATTCGGAGAGGAAGCGACTTGGGAAGAGAAGAAGGCCAGACATGAGAAGGAGGAATGGAAAAAGACGTTCTTTGTACTGGAGGCTCTCGTCTTGACAAGAGAGTTGAAACTCTCCTGAACACAACGACTCGGAAGACACCAGCACACCACCCTCCTCCCATCTACGTTCATGTAGTTCAGGGTTTTTTTGGGGAATTTGGAAGCAATAAACGGATCTCAAGCTAACTGTCACCGTCTTGTACAGCCGCGTCTGCACCCACAAGGCCGGTCTCATCCGCAAATATGGCCTGAACATCTGCCGTCAGTGCTTCCGCGAGAAGAGCCAGGACATTGGCTTCATCAAGGTACGAAATCATCCCTTCCCCTACCTTTTTGTTTCTATCCCGCGTCAAATCGAACGAGAAGAAGAGACATTGACCGTGGCACGTCTTACCATTTAGCACCGATAAACGCACTTCTCTCCGCCGTACGACAGAGATATCGACTCATGACAGATGGATGGCGAGTTTGATTGGTGGTGGACCGTGGACCCTAGACCGACCGACCGTACCGACGACAAACTTTCGAAATCACCTCGCTCTACGATTGCTCATTGACATGGCCGGGAATTTTTTGAGATATTGTCGGCGGAAGGGAGGGCGGAAAAGTACCAAAAACACTGCAGTTGGCAGTCGAAGAAATATGTCAATTTTTGCACACAAGAGGCGGTGTCGACGAACTAGACCCGATTGTGTGCACGGCTTGGGCGCGTTTTGATTTCCAGCATTCATGAGGAACTCGAAATGCTAGACGGATGCGGCTCGTGAACGAGTCGAGAACCCAAAGAAAGAAAAACCAAATTTCACAACAACAAAATTCCGGGACTGTTCTTTCTCTCATAAAGATTTTTCTTTTTTGTTCTCGATGCCCAATGCTCCCCCTTCACGCTCCCCCTCCTGAACTCCTGAACATCTGGGCTTCTGCGTTTCAATTTGCTGGCTCGTTGTTTCTTTTTCCGCAAACAGCGCACTCGTACGTCCTCAACTCTTTGGTGAGAGACATCGGGGGGGTGGGGGGGGTGGATGTTCCGCCCGTTTATCAAATTTCTCCGAGGGCCTCCTTTTATCGACCCTCCAAAGGTAACGCCTCACATGCTAGAACTACACCACACCACAAGCGGACCAGGGATGAGCTCCATCCATGACGTACGAATAGATCCCCTTGGGTTTGGTTTTTGGCCCCGGGGGGTGAAGCTCTGTCGGGACGTACCACGATACAGGTTCGCCGCTATGCCACTTCCTTCTTCTGTCCTTATATGGAGGTTGACATTGACATTGAAATTGTTTACACAACTGTACTGTGAAAGCAAGGTTGGCCATTCGTTCATTGATTGGTGATGATGGTGATGATGATGAATGCTACTGGCTGCTGGCTACTACTACTGCTGCTGCTGCTGCTGCTGATGATGATGCTGATCTTGGTCTCCTTCTACCATACCCTATTTAAAGCCAGCCCACTAGCCTCCCCTGTACTATGCTTAAAATAAAGGACATCTAGATAAACCTCATCATGCCAAAGCCTGGTCATCCCCATGGACGCCATTAACGACGGGGACAGCCATGGGTGGCAGGCTTCCAAGCTCACATACCACGGCATCGATGTACTCTGCCGGTGTGACGTCGTACATTAGATTCAACAGATACAGCCCCTGCTGGTCCTTCCACCCCTCCAACCCCTTTGTCGATCCGGCGGCCTTGTCCTCGTCCTCATCGTCCTTGTCCTTGGTCGCACCTTTCCTTCCGCCGCTCTTTGCGGAGTTCTGGTCCTGTTTTTTTGCCGCCGCCGAACTCAACACGTTGGACTGGTGTACTTCGATCAACGCATCCGCATCACCGACTTCGTTCATAATCACGCTGTCCAGCGCCGCTTTGGCCGTAAACTTGACCGTCTCACAGAGCACAATGACTGGCACATTCCGGCTACGGTTCCGACTGCACTCCTTGACCATCATTGCGACCATGGCACTGCCAGCACGTGCTTGGAGTGCGCCATTCCCGAGCATCGCACTTGCGCCCAGAAAACACTTTGTCACAACTCCGGAGCCCTGGTCCACCACATCGCTCAAGGCGTTGAGCAATGAATACTGCACCTTCAGCCCAGCGCGGACGAGGGACCTCGCCAGATTTCTTCCCTCGAACATTGGTCGGCTATCGACGACGATGACTCGAAAGTCTTTACCCGCCCGGTGCGCGGCAATCAGCGTCTTCTCAACAACACTGCTCTTCCCGTACGTCAGGATGACTTCGCCATTGTCGATCCTACTCCCGGCTTCGCGGGCAATGACCTCGTCAGCCAGCGTGATACGCTCGCGAATGAACCGGTCTATCTCGGAGCAGAGACTCTTTTTGGCTTCGCTGTCCGTCGCGTCCACTGGCTGCGTTGAAATCAGGTTCTTCAGCCACCGGATAGAATTGCCTTGGGACATGCTCAGGGGTCGGGCATTGCGAAGGTATGCAATTTGGTGATTCAGATGTGTCAGCAGGTGTCTAGAGAGTGCCACGCCTGGAGGTGTCGTGTATGTCTGGATGACCTTCTTGAAAGCCAGGAGCGTGGCCACGCAGCGTGCATTGCCGCCGCAAATCACATAGTCGCGTAGCTGAAGGCCCAGAGAGAGGACTGCCGGGTGTATCTCACGGCCCGCACTAGCCAGAGTGGCCCGCTTCTCCTTTGGATATAAGTGAGAGAACATGCTCACTCGTTTGGCCTCGGAGTGCTTCAGTTTCTCGTTGCTGGCTGTGGACGTTTGTTGTTGGTTTTGCTGCTGGCCCGGACGCAGGGGAAGGCCCTTGCCGCCGCTCGACGACAGCGTGCGCTTGTGGTGAGTGCTCCCTGTGTCACTTTCACGTTTTGTGGTCGAGGGACGACGTTGGTGAGATTCTGCTTTCACGCTTGAGTTGCTTGTATTCTGCGCTTGTGCTTCCGATCCTTTCTGTGCAACTTTTTCCGCCCTTCTGGCTGCCTTTTCGGCCGCCTTTTGTTTCTTGAGTTCCGCCCCTGTTAATTTGACACCGGCGCCCGCTTCAGCGATGTTTTGTTCGGTCGTCGTTCGGGCAGCTGCATCAGGTCTACTAGCTTTCGACCTTTTCGAGTCCTTGGATCGATCGATGGCCCCATTTGAAGACGGAGACGGTGACACGATGCCGTTGGCGAGTGTACCTTCATTTTGGGAGGGCATGCTGAAGGATGCCGCTGTTGGATTCAGAGGTGCGATCGCAGCGCTAGTGGGGCTGGCTGGGGTTTGGGTTGACATGGTACACGGTTCGTTGGATCGAGCAGGGAGGGACAGTTTGTATAATGCACCTCAGCAGATCGGCTACACCCTCAACAGGCAAAGGAGAGGTTTGAGGCAGCCATGGATTCTCTGGTGTGACTGAGTCACGTCTGGAAAAGTGCACTTTACTCCAACAATTTGGTAGATTAGACGAGTGGACCCAGTTCGGTACTGTTTGTCACATCCTGCCAAGCAACTTATGTAAGCAGCCTTTTGCGGTTGACGCCGCAAGGCTGTGCACAGACAGAGCCTCATAACAAAAGAGAGGGAAGACATCGTCTTCTCGGGATCCTCAATAATCACTGTACTTTATTAATCTCATCAAACTCCCCTCAATGTGGGAAAAGGCCTATCTCATGCGGGTATAATGCAATGACAACATCAACGGGCTCGACCCTTGATCTCCCATGAAACTCCTGCGCCACTGCTACCCAATACCTCATGCCGCGACTTCGTAGACCCAATCAGTGCCGTTCAACGCCAGTCCCTTAGTTCTATGTGTCCTATCATCCATCATCATCATACACGGTGAATCTGTTTTGCTTCATGCATGCACTTGGTGTTTAGCATTGGCAACGATTTGCCGCGCCCGCTTCTGTGCTGCCGCCAGCTTGTGAACAACCATGGCTTTGCCAAATTGAGGCTTCAATGCATCCGTGGGTAAAGTCGCAAGCAAGCTAGACATTGTTGCCCTCGTACTCGACAGGCTTTCGGCCAGAAGCTTAACAGCCCTCTTACCTTGCAGACTTCCTTTCTCAGCCATTCCTTGCAACATGCTGAGAACTTGTCCCTCAACAGGCTGTATGTGTTGAGCTATGTCGCCGAATAACGCCCCGCTCTGCTTTTCCCAATGTGACTCGAACTTCTTGAGCATGTTTTTCAGGTACAGTAGACTCAAGGCCGAACGGTCTCCAAATGATATGGTCAAAGTCTCGCTCAGATCGGGTTTGCTCATAGCCAGATGCACCTTGACATCTCCATACGCATCGCGAGGATGAAGTTGAACGATGTATACCCCATCGAAGATCTCATGTACAGCAGCACGAATTGGCTCGTTGTCTCTTTCCAAGACGACAGATAGTGACGAACGTCTTTTTCGGCTTGTTGCAACTTTCGGCAGCCTAACAACCAACTGATTTTCGCCTGCAATTCCAACTTGGAATTGTACAGCGTCAGCCGTCATAGAAGAAGCAAGGCCGCTTGAGATTGTAGCAAGGTTCACATCTCTGACTGCCATGACGCTTGCGGAATCATGTAACGCTGCATCAGAGGTTGAGGCTGCAATTTCCGACGTACAGGTATGTGTCATGTTCAAGAGCTCTGCCATGTCTTTGACTGTATCGCCAGAGCTGCCAGAAAGAGCATCATAAATCGTAGGCAATAGCTGTGCACCAAGGAAAACGTAGATCGAAACCACCCAGAGTACCATAAATGCAGACTTCATCATGGGAGCGTAGCGTACTAGAAATGAAGCTGGAACTTCGCGACTCTTGTTGGGCATTTCTTCTGGGAACTCACTGCCCGTGAATGGTGCACTTTGGATGAATTCTGATGCTGTCGATGTGACGAAGGCGATATGCTTGTTTAACGCTGCCGAATCGAGATTCAGGAAGGATGCCATGCTCACAGGCTGCTTCATCAGCACTTTCCCCTTCAGTTTTGTGCCTGGACCAACAGGCTCGATGGTTTCGAAAAGCCAATCCGACCTCCAGATGCTGTCAGAGTACTGGCCAAACCAACCACGATCCATTCTAATAACAATGCTTGCAATGTTATGGCGAGCAGCGAACTTCAGGAAAGCGTGACTGTTTCCATCCATACGTTGTCTCTCATCGAGCTCGACACAAATAACTGCGAGGTCTGGAGGTATCCAACGCGGCGTCACCACCATATGAGTGCGCCCAACCCATCTGGATTCTACTTCGGAGTTTGTATGACTGTTTCTTAATCTCAGACGGGAATCAGGACCCAGGCTACCGTCCTCTTCAATCACGTCGTAACAGTCGAAATCGATTTGCTTGTCAATCGCAACAAGGTCGGCGAAGTCTGGTTCGGCACCAGGTCCAAAAGAGTTTGGCACCAGGTGATACCTCGATGTGGATGTTCGTTTGGCCTCCCCAGTGAGTCTCTGTGAGACCAGCGCATCACCAAGCTTTCTCTGAATTTCAGGTTGAAACTGATCAACATGTGTGCCAAGAAGAACGACTTTGAAATAGTCGAGAGTATTGAGGTCTAAGTTGTCATTCCGGAGAGTCATGCTGGTGACACTATTGTACTCTGTGGTTTCATGCCCGTCTCGTAATTTCTCATCGACCTTGCGAGCATCATCCTGCATCATCGGTCTTGTGGTGGTATAGATCCAGGTAGGGGGTTCGTGTGCGGAGTCAGTCTCGGCTTCATCTTGGACCGGGCCGAAACCATGAGTCTGTGACGAGTCGAGGGTTGGCTCCTGCTGGACGGACAATATCGCCGTTGATGTCTTAAGGGTACTGGTGCAGCCCAGATCTTCTGTAGAAGTGTCTCCGATATTACCCTCATCAGTAGACTCTCCATCACTCATATCAAGCCCTTCAACAACACTGTGAACATCGTCTGAGCTGTGTACATCGAGAAGCGAGCCCACATCTGTATCTTCGGACCTAAGATCGTCATCATTTGAGGAGTCAATATCCTTGAGAGATGCCCAGCTGTCGTCGAGGGACGATGAGGGTAGGTCTGAGGCAGGCATAGTCTGGACCGTTGAGGAGGTAAGATGCGAGTGAGCGAGCAGGGACTCGAGCGACATACGTAGGTAGATTTCAGGATAAGAGAGATCAGGTTGTTCTGTGTGTGGAGGGGTCCTTGTGCCTTCCTCGTCTAGAAGAGGGGTGACTGGATCTAGCATGTCAGTCATTTTCTGGTGAAGGGAAGGACGGCAAGCTGAGTGACGATGGCTCGTGACAACAGCCTCCCTTTACTCAACGACTGTAGGTTTGGTGGTCTACTCGGCAGTACCACGTCTTCACTCAGGCAGGAGTTACACTCTTTGCGAGGAGAATGTGGTCGAGAGGTGGGAAGACTGTTGTTGTGCAGTACAGCGGAATATCTCAGAGTCAAGCGCTGGGATCACCTACTGGGTAAGTTGCCACAGATGAGTCGCTCCGACACTTCACACTGACAAGACTAAGACAATGTTGCAGTCAGCCCAACTAGTGGTTCGCGTATTGCGTTGCGACCATTCCTCTGGTGGCAGGAATGTAGATAGTGAGGCAGTATCTGAAGGCCGCAAGTGTCCGACTCAGTAGGACATCTAGGCGCAGGAAAGGACGAGCAGGGCCGGGCGAGAAGAAACTCTGGAGACAAAGACAGGTTGAAGGCAGATAGACAGATGTCGGAAGCAATGATATTAAAGGTAATTCGGGGAGGCCCAAGGCAACCAAGAGATTTCCATCTCAACGAAGTCATGACACAAGGCAGCAGACAAGTCAACGTTCATCGGACCCCGCAGACGAGCCCCTCCGTGTCGCAGCCTGATTGCTTATCGTGCCCGAAGTGCCCAGGGCTGAGATTCAGCCTCATAGGCCGCGACAGCCTAACCACATGTAGGTAAACTACCTCAATCTCATCAGTGATAACTCCGTAGTAAGCCATTGTATTTACACAAATCGAATGTACAGTTGATAGTACGGTCTGTATAGATGGGTTCTCATCATCAAACCTATTATAGAACGTCGTCGACTCGACGCTGGGTCTTCCATTCCGAATCATCACACGACCACAACGCAGAGCCCTCAGTCTGGCTCTTCGTTCACCGTTACCTAGGACGACTCGTCGTCTCTGTTCCTGAAGAACCGAAACAAGGACTCGCGCCACGAAGTTCGGTATGGCCGAGTTTGGAGGAGCCGCGACTTTTTAGAACCACCCATCGTTATCATCCTGAATCCAAAGACGGGGTCCAACATCATCACACAATTATCCGACCATGTTCACCGCCTTGGGTTCACCAAACTAGACTCTAGTCCGGAACGAGGACGCCAAACGCCGACTTGCAATGCTCAATAGAGTCAAAGATCATACACTGCCATTGAGATAATATCCTCTCAGTTTCTGATGCGTCTCTAAGGAGAGGCCCAACCTCCGGCGACTTCGACCCATTCGGCGAGGCAGCTGCCTTCTTTGCCTTCGACATCTCGGATGTCAGTGTCACATCTGCAACGACATCCTACGCCATTCTCCTTAGGCGGGTCTGGCGTCGCCCAGTACTCGTCTTCTTCCTTTCGCTCCTTCTCGTCTTCAGTTGTCTTTTCAAGCCAAGGAATATGTGGCAGTTGTCTCGCTGGAGCGTTCGCCGGGCAGTGCTGGATGGTCGTATGTCTATATCCAAAATCGCGGAAGTAGTGGATGTCGCGAGGCGCAAGAAGTGCACCTGCTGCAAGGGAATGGATGGGTGCATCGCCCCACTAGATATTGTCAGTCGAAAGGTGTAGACGAGGGCGCGGCGGTAACTTACTCTTTCCATCCAGAATCCACCGCTTTTGTCCATCATATCAAAAAAGTCCCCGTACTCCTTGCTGCGAAACCAGTCAAGTCTAGCGATTTCGAAATTGCTCCAGAAATGACACATGTTGTACTTTTCACCCTCCATGTTTTCTGGGTCGATATCCTCAATGTTTTGATGGCCAGGCTCAGTCTGGAGAATTTCAACGGGCAGCGTCTTTTGTCTTTTGTTGTCGCCACTGTCGTCCTTCTCAGGCTGTCTCTCCACAAACATCTCCCATAGTCCTTTTGACTTGAGGTTGTGCTTCCGTTTATAAGCCGAGGCGTATCGAAAGATGTTGGGAACGGTCTCCTTCAGTTCTTTGACGGCAATTGTGAAGCCGTACGTCTTGTTTGCTCGTGCCATCTCAATAAATGGATCGTAGGTGATATCACAGAAGTATTTGATCTCGGGCTCCAAGCGCCAATACCACTCATACTTGTGGAGCAGTTCATGCTTGTAGAAGAAACCGGAATAGAAGCGGCACATGTGGTGATAGCTTTCCATGCCACCGTACATGATAGCAGCATCTCCCTGCTTCCGAATGCCTTCCCTTGCAACCTCGTGGTCCACCCAGTCTGGATAACCCCACATTGTGTTGTTAATCTTGCCAAATTCGACGGGAGCGGAGGTGTAATTAGTGATGGTGTCCTTGAAGTCCTGCTCAAATTCACCGTCGTTGAGGAAAACATAAGGATAATGGAACCAGCGGTTGAAATGTCGTTCAATGCTTTTAATCGACTGAATCACCCCCTCCAGCTCTTTATTTCGCGCCAGAACAACAAAGGCGGCATTGGCTCGTGGCTGTTTCGCAGCCTCTTCAGGATTCATACATCCGGTAGCGAACACTTTGTCGTGTCTCTCGCTAATCTTTCTATACCAAGGTTAGTATGCTTGAATCTGTCCCGGGGGGGGTCGGCTTGTTTACCTTATTGAAGGAGGTGTCCCAGCCGGTACTAATATACGACCGGGGGAATTGGGATGCTTTATCACGAGGATAAGAATTAAAACGACGACCAGACTGGGAAACAGTAAAAGAAAGCCCAGAGGTATCGATAATGAAGAGTTTCCTTTCAGCTTGATCCGCCTGCGAAAGAAGGATAACCGCGATACAGATTTGGGCTTCTCATTCTTCCACTCTTCGAGTGCCGGCGTTGAAGGCAGGCGCTTGTACAGCCGTTGCAATAGCCCCATGATTGTGGACGTGTCTCCGGCGTACGTCCAACAAGAGAGGTTTGGCGGTTCTCCTGAGATGCTATCTTGACACCATGCAGTCTATGCCGCGCATCGAAAGAGACGGCAAGGGCGGTAGGGATGGTGGTGAACACAGGAGGCGATGTTGGGGGATCGCGATTTGATTGAAGACGAGGACACCTTCCGACAAACGCGGCGAATGGAGGAGATTAGGGATGAGGCGGACGAAGGAGGACAGGGATGTGAAAACAGCTTCGGAGGTGGTTCGGCTGGCGCAGAACAGTTATCGTGACGAATATTCAAGCAACATTATGAGCCTGCAGGTGTCGATGAAGAAAAGTACAGAGGACAGAGGACAGATACAGATTCGTGTGTGTCGTGATGCCTTTGGAGGAACGATTCGAGCGAAGGACTTTTGGGAACCTTTGAAGAAACGGCGGATTGGAACGCAGCCAGTGAGATCCACCGTTGGGGGTCCCTGAGGTGCCTGGCGCTGACTTGCGATTGCGTTGCTTGCCAAGACTCTCAATCACTCTAATGTACGGAGTACTGTACACCCTACAAGACATGTACCTCTATGGAGCACGGAGGACGGAGTATGGATATGATTACATGATGAAAGCTTCTCCTGTCCTGCAACGGGTTCAAACGACACGCCGAATATCTCGAAGGTACGTATGTGGCTAGTGTCGCGAGTGCCATCCATATACATACCTAGGTATTTACATTGACAAAGATTCGAGTACAGACCTAGGTGTCCATGTTTGGAGGTTCTCCTTTGCCAGCAGCTGCAGGCGAGCCCTACTACGAGTAATACGACAAGGTACTCGTATCTGCTAGGGTGCCTCGCAAAAAGGGGCATCGAGTACCCAGTGGGTGGCTCAAACACCAAATTTACTCGCCAATAATAAGCACAATAAGAGTACAGAGTATCATGTACGGACTCCCAGAGCAAATTAGTTAAATTTACTGTATAGCTTTAGGAACATGCATCCGTATGCCATACCTGGTAAGTGTCCCCTAAGAGCCTCAGTGGTTGCACAACACCCCCGGGACACCTACGGCAACAACCAGCGAGGCTAAACACCACCTAAAAGGAAGCCTAAAGGGGCCTAAAATGCTGGTGGGTTGCGTGTTTCAGGCTGATGGGCTCCAGTGGGCTTTGCCACTCGAGATACAGGTATTCTGTGCAGGCCACGGTTACAGTGCAAATGATTTTATTCTTCATAAGGAATGCCCCGGGCCACGGTGCCGCTCACTCCAAAGATCTGCCCTGTAGGTGTGGAGGACAGTACCGAGTGCTGTAACTTAAAGTTCTCCAGAAGCTGCTGATCCTGATCAGTGATCATCGCAGGTGGTTCTCGTTGTTGGTCTGGCCTTGGTGCGTGCGTACCGTTGGCCACTGACCACCAACCACTGACCAGTTCCTCGACAACCAACCACCACTTCGATGACACCCACCCACACACAAGCCTCGCGACAACTGCGCCTGCACCGCCTGCACAGACGATCACTGTTGACATCCAACCACTTCGATTCTTCTCCTCCCCTCTCCAGACACTCTCCTCTGTATGCGTGCTATATCCCATCTCGCTCGCCTTCAACATCGCTCGCCACCGTCGCTACCGCACCTTACACCATTCGATGCGATGTCAGTTGGGTGCTTCTGAAACACTCGTTTTATCGCCCTACGGTCCCATCGTCTCGAAGCCGCCCTGAGCGCTGTATGTAAATACCACACTCTGCACAGTATGCCATAACTGCGCCTTCCTGGTGGCCATTGCTCAAGCCTTTAAGAGAAGACAATTGTCCTCCTGCTCGTCATGGCGGCAACCTCTCCTCTACGCCCGTCCACACCAGCCAAACCAATATTCAATCCACCGCAACTTTCTCCAAATAGAATGCCTCCAGCCTTTGTACCACCGTCCTCCTTCCAGCCTGGACACAGACACCTAGACGTCTTCTCCCCAGTCGATCAGAACGGCAGTTTCTGCTTCGACCGTGTGATCAAAAGTGGGAAAGTCTTCCGGCGGGTCAAGAATAAAGGAGCCTGGAAACCCTCTTGGAAGCCTGCCTACCTCGTGCTGAGGCCGAATCTGCTGTCTGTCTATCAGAACGCTGACGAGACCGACCTGAAGGCATCCATAACCTTGTCCGACGTCAATGCAGTTGCGCCTGTCCGTAAGGCTCGAACTGAAAATGTTTTTGGTGTCTTCTCGCCCTCTAAAAACTACCACTTCCAAGGCCTATCAGCAAAAGACACTGCTGAATGGATCACCCAGATTCGTCTAGAGGCAAGAACCGACGAGGATGATGGCCTTGATCTCAGTGCACCCCAGTTCTCACACCGTGAAGCAGAAGCGTTCAATACATACGAATCGACCGATATGTCCGCCGACGAGATACCTAGTGGGCGCATTTCCAACGACGACTACTCGGCCGTTGTCCAGAACCGTCCCAGGAAAGGGTCGCAATTAGCTCAGCGTCAGAATGCTCCATCCACCCTCAACGAATACTCCGGAAACGAACAATTCACCACGTCAATGTCAGATTTCTCTGACGCCCTCGGTAGCTCTCTGCCAAAGAACTCTGCATCATCACTTCACAAACATCCAGCTTTGACACCTATAGTGTCATCGCAACAACTGGCATCTTCTTCGAAAACAAAGCTGCCTCCTCCCGCCGGTGCTCTCTCCTCCTCGGCTGATGCTGCCATGGACCCTGAACGGGTGATTCGTCATGGATATCTTCAGATTCTCAAGTCTCACAAGACGGGAGTCAAAGGATGGAAGTGGCTGTGGGTAGTGCTCCGAGCCAAAAGCCTGGCTTTTTACAAGAACGACCAAGAATATTCGGCGGTCAAACTCCTTCGTATAGGTTCCATCATCAATGCTGCCGAGATCGACCCTGTCAGCAAGTCCAAGAAGTTCTGTTTCCAGATCATCCTGGACGACAAGACTTATAGATTCTGTGCTAGCGACGAGGACGACTTGGAAAAGTGGCTTGGGGCTTTGAAGAGCGCCCTGAGCAAACGGCACGACGCCGAGCGAGCCCTCACCAAAGGCAAAGGCAAAATGGCACTGGAAACTGCCATCAGTATCCCTATGCGGTAGACCATGGGCTGGCCAACATGCAGACTGCTTCAGGACGATGCCGCGAAATGAATTTTTTATGATTATATGATGTACAAACTTGACGACACGCCTATGAGCTCATGAAGGAGAAAACGAAACTGTTTAAGTCTCTTGGTTCGGGATCGGGGATTAAAAAGCACATGTCTTTGTCGCCGACGCTTTTGGCTTAACCCACGACGTGTTTCCTGTTGTACGACTTCTGGGCGCACCACGAACATGGTGATGCGTTTTTCTGGAAACTCTGGACAGCGCGCTCAAAATTCTTGATGCATTGACGACTGAAGAGAATAGGGGGCTTCAGTCTGTTTCCTTTTTACGACCTCTTATATGGGTCATGACATGATGATGAATATCCAGTAGTACAGTAGTAGCGTAGTACAAAAGTGTACTACATAATGATCCTCCCTTCCCCCTTTTCTGGAGAAGAGAAGTATATAGGTGTATATATATACATACATAGGTATATGACAACAGGTACACGCTCACCTTTGAAAGTGGTGATTCTCTTCCGTCCTTCCATGTTCTTCACAACCGAGCAGCCTGGTCAAGACAGAACGCTTACCGCAACCCTGTATTGTGTAGTTGGGTCGAAAGGGCGAAGGAGCTCTCCTTGGCGTCCCGCACTATCTCTCTTGAGAGGAGCAGACAAGGCAGGAGATCCCAGGCGGACATGGGCAAAGGGGGCATGTTTTTGTGTCTGGGTAAGAGAGACAGGGAGAGCAGCACAATTGCTCGGTCTGACGCTGGCACCGACAACGACGCAAACTCATTCATCGTGCGCTTGAAGCCCCCCCCCGCCCGCCCCCCTTAGCCAAGCTCCACGCCCTACAATACCTCCCCTTGTTTTCCTCATCATCGTTCTTCTTCGTCTCAAGGCCACTGCTTCTCTTCGGCGATGCGCTGCTTGCTTCCTCCTCCCAACATACCGCGTAGGCGACCCCAGAAGCCCAACGACTCCTCTTCAGCCTCCCTGAACGCCGAGACGTGCGAAGAGCCGGGTCTGCCTCCCTCGTCTTGTTGGTGACCATCGCTTCCTCCGGCGCCCAGCTCTTCTATGACTGCGCGTTTGGCCGGCGCGTATGGTTCGGCCAGCTCCCTGGGCATCCAGCCATCGTCGATGTTGCTGCCGATGACGTGCACGCTGCTCGACAACACGCTGGACCGTCGCCCGTGGACACGACCCTTGGCGACGCCAAACGGCGCCAGACGACCGTGGACCACGTTCTCGGGCCATGAGCTGGCGAAGAGACCGTCGTTCAAGTCCGCCCAAAACATCTCGACCGTCTTGTTCTCGGCCCACTCGGGCTTCTCCTTGCCGGCGAGGTCGACCTTGAGACTTGCACCCTCGTTCGCGTCAAAGTCTGCAAGCGCCGCCTCGCGTGCCGCCGCCACGTCTTTCCACACGGACCCAGCTTCTGTCATGGGGGTGTCGTTTACCTCGAACCACTCGTTGATAGCTTTGCGCTCGGCCTCGCGGCCAGTGAGTTGCCTCTTTGCCCAGAGATCCATATCGATGTCCTTGGCGTCGAGCTCGCAATAGGCTTGCCAGTCTGCAATCGCAGAGCGCAGCTCCATGACGTTCTCGACGTCGGCTAAGCCATTTCCATCGATCACGCCGTGATTCTCCATGCTCATCTGCAACAACACCTTCCACGGTATGGGCAAGTGGCTCTTGTCTCCCTGGTCCCGTTGTTCGAGAGCCAAGGTAATCCGATCTCGAATCTTCTTCTGTTGCGCTCCTTCGTCCTCGCGGATGCGGTTTATTCTCCGCCTCGCCCGCCTCGTCCGCTCATGGTGCCTGGCTAGCCGGTTGACTGCCACCTCTGTCAGTCGCTCCAGCGGTCCAGGGCCGGAGCTTATCCAGTCCAGCACGAATGCTGCGTCGGCGACGCTCGTAGCTTTTTGATCCATCAACCGCCGCCCACGGAGCTTCTTGGGCAGGATCTCTCCGACCTTGGGGATCTGGGCAGTGAGTCGGTCATGAGCTTGTAATTCTTGTAGCTCCAACGGGGTGCCGATCTTGGACTTTATGATCTGAACGTCTTCCTCTGTCACGCGAATCAGGTCATCGGGCGGCGAGAGTTGTCGTTGTAAGCTGAGTTCGCGGAGCTTCTGAAACGCAAAGAGCCCACTGAGTGCACCGGCGGGAGTAGGCGGGAAGTGTATGGAAAAGTACGGCGTCCATGTGTCGGTCCGGACTGATGCTGGTACCGTCTTCTTGCCGTGGAAAACTAGTTGCTTGAGGATTTTCCCTTCCTGGAATCAAGAATCAGTTTTGTGTGGATTTAAAGTATTGTGGTCGGAGAGAAATATATATACCTGCAACGTCCTGGTCAAGCTGTAGACAACCTGATTTGTCCTTACGTGTCGGTATGCGTATATATCAAGACCGTGCGTCTCGTGCCGTAACGCCTTTGCGACCTGTAGTGCTTGCGTCTGCTCGACATGTTTTCCGGCATTGGATCCCTTGTTTCGCCATCTTCCCTGCACCCACCACTTTCCTTTCGGAGCTGCGCCTGGGGGTTGAGGGTCTGTGTTGGGGCTCTTTGTGCCTTTGAGCATGCGAGGCGGTCGTATCCGTGGCATTGCAGGAAGAGGCATGGGCGGCATCTGATGTGCCATGGTCGTAGCTACGGTCGAAGCCATCTTGCAAGGAAGATTGCGGCCAGCTGCTTCGGCACCTCTAATCCACTCGATGAAGAAGTCGTGACTGCAGGGTTATCTGACCATCTCGGAGACCTGCGAATGGGAAACTTGTGTCCGCCGAAAAGGCCGGTGATGGTTGTCCCAGACGATGCGGATGGAAATAATTTGATCGAAATGTACCGCGTTTTCGACCATTCCATTTGCTGAGGATCAATTGGAGCTCCGGAAGGGAAATTCTCCAGCGCCGACATGCAGCCTTGGCATGGCCGGCAGCTCTCAGCCTCGTCAACTCCCAACTCGCAACCAGGATCGCCTCAACAGTCAAGACTTGATTCTTTGTTTCATCCGTGCACAGTGGTCGGGTCGAATAGAGCAATTTCTACGGGTGACCATGTCATAATCCTCTGAAGATGCCTTGCTTTCTCTAAAACCACGTAGTAGGCACGGTGCTAAATACGGTGCCGGAAATGCCATCTACAGTCGAGAAGTCATCATTGCGCTGCGGAAGATAAATGGTCATAGATACATATTTTGGTCAATTGTAGCTCTGCTCAACTCAAAAATTTGCCCACCTGTCCAATGAATTCGATCACAACTCCCCCAAAGATCAAATGTCAAAACCGCCACAACGTGTTGTGACAATCTCAAATGCAATTCAGCCGCAGTTTGTCCCGGATGCATCGCTAGCGTTTTATTAAAGTCCCATTAGAGTCGTCAGTCGTTCCTAAGTCGTTTGCTATCAAAGCCTGAAATTGAATGTACTAGATGATGAGTTATTGAGCAACAGAGGTCGACGTTACCAGATTTGATGGTCGTGGGTCGTTTGAACTGGAGCCGAGGGGTGGCCAGGTTCTGGGAATATCCATGCTTCTGTTGAGCCTTCCTCCAGGTGTGAGAGGATAGTCCACACGTGATCGATCCAGTCGATCGTCCTCATCAGAAGTCTCGTCGGCAAGACGAGCAAAATAGTCAGCCAAGGCAGCGCTGGAATCTCCAGGCACGATGTTATCGTACAACGGAGGGGGTGTAACTAACGGTGGTGGAGGCTCATCCTCGTCGAAGGGAGGTGGGTTGAAGGACGGGGCTCGCAGTAAATGCATTGGTCTTGGCTGAGTGTTATTCGGGTCGTTGGCCACATGAGCTTGGGAGGGCATGGTGAGCCCACCGGAGTCGTTGGTCCAGCTCCTCTGTACACCAGGTCCAGGTCCACTACCTACTTGAGTATTGATCGGTGGAACTCGATTCTGAGATGTTGGAGGCGTGTTCCTTCTTCTCAAAGCAGCACCTGGACAGCCACACTCGAATTCATCGGCTGGGGTAGGCGCTGTACCACCTGCCTCATAGGCTGGGAGCGATATATTTGCCTGAGTGGCGCGACAAGAGAGAATGTTGAAAGGCGAATCGATCGAGATTTCAAAATGACGTCTTTTTGCAGAGTCGTTCTCGTCCGGACGGGATAGACGCATCACAATCTGAACCTATGTTAAAATTGATCACAGCTGCAAAACAGAAAAGGCACACACCTTGATCCAGTGATTGACCTGGATATTAGAGTACGTCGTGTCAAAATGTAAACGCTCGCTTCGTAGCTTGTCCTTCATCTGATGACAACTTGGTAGTTGCACGTTGAACTCCATTTCGGTAGGGCCGATGCTTCCAGCATCGTTGTCAAGGTTTCCTAAAAGATTGGTCTGATCCCTAGGGATGTCTTCTTCGCCACGTGCCGCTGCAGAGCGATAATCGTATGGGACACCTCCACCAGCAAGGATGCGCATAGAGCTTCCGGGATAGGAAGAGACGCTATGCCCATCTGCCCGTTTTTCAAACAGCAGAACTTTCCTGGTCGGCTCCAGCCTGTGCACCTTTTTGTTGTTGGTGAAATACTGAATATTTTCCGTTACAAAGACCTTAATCCGGTGGCATTGCACCTTTGCCAATGGGGTCAATTTAAAGGCAATGGGCACCGTCGAGCCCAGTGGGAAAGACTTCCCTGATATGACTATGTCATAATGAAGTTGGTCCTCCCAATTGCGTGAAATTGCTATGGGTTCGACCTGCTCGAGCGAGCCTTCGGCAGGCGCTCTTATCAAGGTCAGTTCCTTGGCGCCTACCAAGTTTGCTCGGAAAGCACCAGAACGCTCAACCAAGGCCTCGAGTTCGTATTTGACGTTGCCTAAATCTACGTTGATTGACTCTGGTAGACGAGAGTCCAGTGGCAATTCGAAATTGTAAATGTAGTCTCCAGGATGAAACACCTTGAAGCCTTTTTGGGCAACGGTAGGTCCGCCGTTGATAGTATCGCCTTTGCCAAAACTTCGCGATTGATTCGCCTGTAGAGACAGCCTCTTTATCTCGCGTGCGGTGGAAGCGGCCTTCGCAGGGGATGCACTGCGCTGGAACAGGTCAAAAGAGGACGTAACCCCGAGCTCCTTCGACTCGACCGAAGGGCCTTTGCTCAGCTGAACGAGATCCGCACCGTAACTGTACTCGGCAGAGGGAATCTGAGCGTTGAAAAATGACCAGGTATGGTTCATGATCGTCGTGGTGTCTCGAAATTCTGTCCGCTTAGGTGGAATGCCCTCTGGCCACTCTGTTTCTGACTTCCCCCGGAAATTCAGGGATATTGACTTCAATTTGGCTTGTTTGGAGACTTTCAGCACGAGGCTTCCGCGAAGCATTGTTGTGTTATGCGTGGATGGGTCATTGGCATCGTAGCCTTGGAGAAACAGGACAGGTTCCGCCAATGCAATTGCAACAGACACGCCATTCCCGCTGGCCACCGGTTTCTCGTCAGACAGGTTGGTTATGTTCAACGCAGCATCCGCCCTTGCTCTTTGAGCCGATGCATTTCGAACATCGCTTTCTAGTCGTGGTCGATGTACCATGCCACTAACAGGACCACTTATTGTACTCGAGCTTCTCCCCCTGCGCTCCGGAGAACGTCTGCCACCGTCGGCGAACACCATATCCCCCGACTGCACCGAACCCCTTCGTGAACGTTGATCAGCTGGCACAGGGTGTAACGTGACTGATTGGGTAGATGCGGATGGAAGTGTTAATCGAAAGAAACGTTTTGCGTGTTCTCGTGAGAAAGCCAGTTTCACAAGTTGATTTGCTTATTTCGCGGGGGATCGGATTGGCGGTCTCACAGACAAGGTCGACGGCTCGACGATACCGGCCAGGAACTCGGAGAGGTCACAAATGTTGGATCGGCTGTGGACCTTCTTCTGTTAGAAGATTGACGATTCGCAACGGAGTGTACATGAATTGCAAAGAGCATAGATCTGATTGTTGTAGGCCTGTTCAGCGCAGGGTGGGTTGCAGGGTAAGGATGTGCTGACTCCGCAGTTGCGGGTTGGCTTGGCTGCGACTCACCCAAATACAGTAGTATCAGATCTTCTAGTGCGAGAGTGCCCTCTAGTAGATCGGCTTAGAGCGTGCCGTAGACCAGGGCAGCATCGCTCATCGCGGCAGACTGGACAAATGGGAGAAGTGGTTAATGCTGTGAGAGGTAAAATCGAAAGAAGGAAGCTGAACAAAATTGCTGAATGAAGAGATGCTCCTGGATTTGTGCTCGGCCACCGCCTGGGGTGAGAAAATGAGCGTACCCGTGAGCAAAGGCAATGGTTCTGGAAGAGATTCAATTGGTGGTGAGTAGCAGCAATAGGCTCTTCGCGGACCGGAGGAGGATGTCTAGCGAGGGCAATAATAATGACAACAATGACGGGTACGACGAGCAGCACCAGCCCAAGTGGGTAGACAGCGTCACAGCGCACTCGTAGCCTCGTAGGCTAGTGGGCCGTGATCGTTTTGCCGCGTCAGGGCCAGCGATGCTTGATGAGATAATACGCTGGAGCTGTGACTTGTCGTATTGTACGGGGCAGCCGAGGGCCCAGAGTGCAAGCATGCTGCATCACAGTCAAAGGGAGACTTCCCGTGATGACTCTAATCCATGATGATGACCTATCGGTACACGTAGGCTGTACAAATAGCAACCTTGGGTATCTAATGCATCATTCCAGAGGTAGTAGGTGCCTCGTACGGCGTAGTTGCTCGTATGAGCACGAGGAGTCCGATGAATCCGAATTTTCTCGGCTGTGCGGATGAACATATGCACTGAAATATCATCACCTTATCCATCTTGCTTCATTAGGTGGCATATACCGACATACGGAACACTGCGTGCCTAGGTACTCGTACCTAGGTAGGTAATTCTGGAGTGGTAATCATGACTGATCGCCATGATCACCATGGCTGCCACGACAGTCGTGTCAATCTTTTGAGCACTCATGCCCTATTCACTGACAGGCTCGTACTCTTCTTGTCGGGTGCCTGACCACCCATCCGAATCCGGCTTACTAGTTAGTCAGTAGTCCGTACTTTTCCCCCTTGTGCATGTGCTCGTAGCGATCGGCCTTGTAAGGGATGATTTCTGTTGTGGCAAAACTACGTATTCGGTATTCCATATTTAATCCTCATTGTTGGTCTCGGGTGCCCCATGCGGACCTGCCATGAGCTTGTTTGCAAGCCCGAACTGCAAACAGCCATGCGGTCGACGGAGCCCATCGTGACATATGAGTACGTGCGGCATGCGGAAGAGCGAGGAAGTCAAGACCCGAGGCTGCCGGTACCACCAGCCCAATGCTCAGTCATGTGTTTCAACTACTTGCCCCACGGGAAGAAGAATCTCCATCCGTCAGCAGAGAGTCAGAGTCTATCTCCGCTAGACGATGGTTAGTGCAGGCGATGATGTGCGGCGCTCGCCCTCGTTCTTACGAGCATAGAGAAGCACGACCACCAAATCAGGCCATACCCGCATTCTGGAATCAACGAAGCTAAACCAATACTGTTGGGTTGCCTGCATGATGTACCGGAGGTGGCTACGCGTGGACTATTGAGGCTGAGGTTGACTAAGGTCAGATGCTCTGGTGCACATCCTGGGTCTTTTCACATCTGACTGAGATCATTGCTTGGAAGTCCCGCACATCCATGTTCAAGGAGGCGTCTTCCTGACCCAACCTCGGTCGGAGTTCTGAGCTCTTCGGAAGAGCCAACCCATGGCGGGCTCTGGCACAGTTCACCTGGCTGCCATCGTGGTAAAGCTGTCGGGCCTTCAACCCAAAACTATCCAGCCATCGCCTTACACTGGCCCTCAGCGGTGAGACAGGCTAGCTACGAGTCGCTACTCGGTGAGATGTTGAGTATCGCTGAGATTCTGATCCCAATAGTCCCAATATATTTGCGTATGAGAGCGTAGGTGCGAACCATCCGCTTGCTGCTTACCCATGTTATGGAGGTTCTCAGGAGAAGGAAGCGACGTGGCAGGAGCAATCTATACAGGCAACAGCGGGCGATTCCACGGGGGGCTTTAACCCGATATCTTGTGATCATCGTGGTGGTTGTTGATTTGGTGTCAAGATCTCATATCGAGATTCGAGATACAATACAACAGCAAAAGAACTCCCCACAGAAGAATGTACCTCAAAGTACGGATACATGATGATGTAAACTTACAGAGTTCCCGCAAGCCTCTAAGGCTTTCCAAGTGGCCTAGTGCGCAAACTCAAGGCTACAGTACCTTGGCAGGCCTGAAATCCCGCGTTTAGGCCCTTCAAGTACTTACAGTACCCACAGGTGGTTAGCCCAAGGTACCTACTTGAAGTAGGTAATGTAATTACTGTAATAATTGGCAGACTAAATCATTAGCCCCCGTTGCCCCCCTCGTCGCGTATCTCGACGCGTCTGCGAAACACCTAGAAAATACGGATACTGAGGCTTCACTTCGGCGAGTATAGTGTTGGTTGACAACTCACATATCGTTCTACATTGTAATAGCTTCGTCGTCAATCCCTCAAGGACGCGCAACATGCAGAATGGCACCATCAAATGCACGAGGTTTATTTCCCATACCGTCCGTGGTGACTTCGTCTAATGGTCGATCTAGGATCCGCCGAGCGACCTTTTCAAGGTGTGGTCCTGTGCTTTACCTCGATCGGACCGGACGAACGGGTGAGTCGGAGTACGTGTAAGAATACTCTAGATCGTTGACCTTGGTTTCAGACTCGATATGCAGACTTGGCAAGTCAAATGGGTGCTGAACACAAACTTGACCTGACCTCCGATACAACACATCTCATTGTCGGTGATACGGATACGGCAAAGTACAAGTACGTCGCAAGGGAAAGAGAAGACATCAAAGTTCTAAGACCACAATGGATTGAGGCTGTTCGAGAGTTATGGATCAAAGATTTACCGCTCGATCTCGACGCTTTAGCAACCGAGTACCGAATGCCAACTATGAGCGGCTTGAAAATCTGCATTACCGGCTTCGACGACCTCTCCTTCCGCGCTCAGCTCCAACAGAATGTGATTGAAAATGGTGGAGAGTATACAGGCGACCTGACCAAAGATGTGACGCACTTGATTGCAGCAAAGCCAGAAGGCAAAAAGTACGAATATGCTCTGTCGTGGCAGAAGAAGGTGGTGAGCCTTAAATGGTACAAAGATACGCTGGACCGCGGTATGCAACTTGATGAGACATTATATCACCCAAGTATGCCCGCGGCAGAACAAGGAGTCGGCGCCTGGAAGCGACGACCTCAACTATCCCCTCGATCGTCCAAGCGAACTCGGGAAGAGACTAGTGCACCCGAACCGTCTCGAAAGCTTCGACGGACTGCTAGTGCCAGACTCGGAAGCCAGACTCAGCATATGTGGACTGATATCGTGGGAGGTGCTGGCTTCGAAGCAGACCCAGCGGACCGTCCTCGACTGAAACCATCCGTTTCCATGCCGGCGTTGAGGCAGAACGAGGGTCCGGCCCATCAACATGCAGACATGCCCTCAGATATCGCAGCGGAAAGATTTCAGGCATCCTCTGGGTTCCTCACCGGCCGACAGTTCATCTTCAGAGGCTTTGAGGAAAGAAAGGTGTGTAGTGACAGTCTACGTTCTCTAGTTCCTACTGACTTGCCGATAGCATGCTATCATCAGCAAAATTGTGCTTGATGAAGGGGGAATGATTATCGATGCCGAAAATGTGGACGCCTACGAACGTGATGAGACACTATTGATTCTGCCTCACGATGTAAGAAGGAAGAGGCGCACAGCAGATTTAGATCTGTTTGTCCCCGGTTTGCAAACTGTGTCTGAGCTCTGGTTGGAACGGTGTATGTTGGACAAGATCTTCATTCCACCAACGAGGTACCCGCTTGGGTGTATCCCTGGGCCGTCGTCCACCGTGCTTTCCTCGACCACAATCAACGTATCAGGCTTTTCAGGGTTAGAAACCCTACACGTCTCCAAAATTGTTGCTACACTTGGTGGCAGTTATGCCGAGACCTTCGCAGCAGGGGTATCTGTCCTTGTGATACGGAGCGGTAGTCACAACACGCAGAAACTTGGTAGTGCTCAAGAATGGGGAATCCCAGTGGTGTCTGAAAACTGGTTGTGGTCGACAATCAAGAATGGGGAAAGGGCAGAGTTCAAAGGCTACCTCGTTCAGTCAGTCCGGGCGGAAAAGTCGCAAAGGGAGGAGAAACGGCAATCCAAAGCTCGCGGAGAGTACGTGGAGGTAAGCACGATACCTTTACAGCCTGAGGAGAGGAAACGTCGTGAGGGTTCAAGAAACAAATCGCATCATGCCAGCAAGGAACTAGTCAAAACAACACGAAATGGAACGAAACCTCGAGATGTATCCGTTGCAATCCATCAAGATCCTCCGGATGTCAAATCCGCCGCACAAGAAGAACTATTGCCCACAAAGGATATCAGTAGAGATGAATCTAACCACGGTGAGACACGAGGAGCCTCATTCGGAGAAGAGGATCTCCCGCTTCAAGAATTATCGTCGAATTCTTCTGGCAATAAATCTGGTGCTGTGGAAGCCACGTGGACATCGTTGACTGCAGAGGCTGGGGAGTCAAGCACAGAAAATAAATCGAAGACCGACAAGAACTCAAACCTGACAAAACCAGATGAAAAGGCGAGCAGTATACTAGCCCTGAACGGCGCTATACGCGACATCCTTGATCAGGGAATCCGCCGGAAGCCCGTTGCCGAAAGCGAGAAGCCCGTGAAGAATAACAGGCTCTTCGGACGAGCACTCAGCAACTTGTCCAACGCCTCGGTGTCGTCCAACCCACGGCAATCGCGTGCCAGCTCAATTGACAGCATGAACACGGACGGGATGGGGAGCGAGATTGTCCCGATGCCGCCCGAGCGGCCTGCAGGAGTGACTGGCTCGTCCAACGAGAGGGAAACAACAACCTTCGGTTTCACCGGGCGTGCGAAAACAACAATGACAATGACAACTGCGGCGGGCGTGACTCCACTCTCGCTTGGTATGGACGACCTCGACCAACCGCTTGACAAGGCTCATTACATGGAGGAAGAAACGCCTCGATTGACACAGCTTGGCTATGAGGACCCCGAGGAGGCAATCATGCTTCGAGAGAAACTGGCCGCTTCACGCCGCAGGAAATCCAAACTCGGACAGAACGAGGGCGACCCGCAACCTGCCGTCGCCACAAAGGCCAAGCCTGAGAAGAGAAAGATCCGAGACGACGATATCATAAGCAGCGCCAGTTGGGGAGCAGGCAGGCGGACAAGATATAAACAGAAAAGTCCTCCTGACCAGGGCATCAAACAGATTCTGAACTAGCTTTTGCCTTGCCTTGCCTAGCTCTAGCTACGTTCCCTGGTTGCCATGGTTGTATATGCGCGGAAGGAGATTACTCTGTTACATTTACCTGATTTGACACATATAATGACTTGGTAGCGAGAAAAGAGGAGACAAGGATTGGATTATGGAAATGATTTGACGATAGATACCCTATCTGCGCCTCCGTCGTATTCTGTTCTCTTGGATGATTGTGCCTCGTCGGCTTTTACAGGTAGGAGGTATGGGAAGGGGGTGATCCCCCTTAACTAGTTAGGTACCTGTGACGCCCGTGACCCCGATGGATCGTGGTGCAGCGTGCTCCTTCATCCGATCGAGAGAACTGGGAAGAAACGACGAGGGTCCCCTTCGACCAGAGAGCGTTAGTAGAGCTATGTGCGTACCTCGGGCGACTCGCTGTGCTATCTACGCCGACAGAAAAGGCATCGGCGAAGAGACCTGGGGGGAGGCTCTCACTTCAATGTTTTGTTTGTTCTTTTGTCGGTAGGTGGGGAGTAAGTATACATATATACTGCGAAGTACGTTTGGACGAGCGGGATAACCCCCAAAAGTCCGCCCCTGCACAAGAAGGATCCTGATATCCACGGCTTTGGATTGTCTCCACTCGTACTACATACAGAGGTAGGTATTCAACGCCCCCGCCCCCTTACGGACTGCTTGAACGCAAATGTTGACCAGCCGAGCTCGTGTGGGGTCAATGTGCGAACGCGGAAAATCGAAAGCTGGTCAGCACGCACTCACGCACGCACGCACGCAAGAATCGATCAAAATCCGACCTGCTGGGCACTTTACACTTTGCATAAGAGATGAAAAATGTCCGAACGGTGGCATGGCAGGCCAACTAGTGATAAAAACATTTTAGTATCTTTGTGTCGCCTTCTATAACTGGTTCATCACCACGTCAACGTGCCTCCAGAGCGGGCGGCCCCGCCTTGTAATAATCCCAGAGACAGCCCAAGAATGAACTCCCTGGGAACACAAGCATGGGTGCGTGACCAAATGAAAGTAGCTATAGGGACGCCGCCGTTAGAGAGAGAGAAGGGGGGGGGGGGAAGGGGGAAAGGGAGACCTGTAAGTCCCCGTCCCTTCCGGATCATTAATTTGTTCAAGTGTGCGGCGTATGCTCGCGCGAAAACCATCTATATACCCGTGTTCACTTTCCAAAACCTTTCAAGCCAAGGAACAATGTTATCGCTTTCGAGGGCGTCAACGGTCAGCTCCACAGCCCCTGAGGAGGGGATTCGGTTGACAAGTAAATGGCTCGGTCGACCGTCGAAGTCGCGCGGGATCCGTTGTGATTGTGTAGACAAGATACTCAACGGGTCTGAGCGAGGTTTGATTCAGTTGGTTGTGTAGCACCTGAATTAGGGTAGCCTGTCCATAGGAGCAGAGCCAGGTGCAGCCTTCCATGTTGAGGGTCTTCTGCATGATAGCTTGGGTAACTCCGTGGGGCCAACAAGGATTTGGATAGGAATAGTGCCGTAGTTATGAGCGGGAATTCCTCTGTGCCGATGCTCAAGTAAAGTAGGAATAATAGTAATAATAGTAAGAATAAAAATGCGATTCAAAGCACTCGATTCCTGGGATGGTGTCAGTCAAGCGAGGTCTTCAATGACGCTGTTCAATGACCCAAGCACTCACCGTATCAACACTCCTTCTAGCCCTTCGGCCCTGGCACCTGATATGGTGGCGAAGACGTCGCCACCCCGGTAAGCTAGCACGGCAGGGACCTCGATGGCCTCCATTTCTGCAATCTCGTGGTGCAGCCGTACGAAACGGATCTTGTTGTGTTTATAAGCAAGAGTGCTCAACTCATCTTCAACCTCCGCACTGGCAGAAGACGACGGGTCGAAGATCATGACCACCACGACAGTGTCGTCCGAGACCTTCTCGATAGCGTCCAGGTAGCCATTGGCATCGACTTCGAAGAAAGTGCCCCATGCCCGCTGGCTCGGGTATTGCTTCTTCTGAGAGCTATATGCGGATTGTGATTGCGAGGACAACTCGGCCAGTCGATTCGCCCGCCATGTCTTCATGAAGTCGGAGTCGGCTTCATCGTCGGAGAGCGTCAATTGTTCATCCTCTGACGAGTTTGATTTCGGTGACGTGCCAAAGATGCTTTTCCTCTTGTCGGGCTTTTCTGCCAGATTACCGGATGGCTTATTGGAGGTCAGCGTCCCGGCGAAACTCGCTATTCGCTGGCGAAAGGTCGTTTGTTTGGCACGGGCGAAGGACTGGGCATCGGCGATGACACCCTTTGGGCCCGTATTGGCGAAATGTTTCTGGGTTGGTATACGGTAGCTTGATCTGGTAGCAGTCATGGTAGCCATGTTTGTGTAGGCTTCGTCGTCGTTGTCGTCGTCAGTACCTGGATCAGAATGATAGGCTTGATCCGGAGACTGGGGTCGATGATCTGACGAACGGTCTGAGTCGTCACTGTCTTCAGGATGAGAAGTTGGATGGTCTCGGTGAGAGAAGTAGCGCTCAGCTTCTTCTCGAGCGAGGTCGGCCATGATGTATGTACGGTAAGAAAAGTGCGGAGCAGCACTGTACACTGCCCTGCTGTGTGTCAGGGCGAGCGCGAGGGCCCTACGACACACGGCTGCCGGATGCTGCAGCCAAACGGACGGTGGGCTTGCAAGGATGTCAGTGACCAACGGTGGCATGCGCTAGGTTGATTTCCACATAGAAGATGTGGATGTTCCAATGATGCCTCGACCGCGATCCGTAAGAGGGAGACCCAAGGGTGATCCGCTCAAGCGCAAATGGAACCTGCTGTGACGTGTTCGAGAAGGTGTTGCTGGACAAGGCCGCTGATGGGGTTGATGCAAAAGTTGTTGCAGGAACAGACCAAATGGGGATGGTATGAAACACCACCCTGCTTGGTGCAGTGCTGCGCTGGTGTGGGCGGGTCCAGAAGAGAGAGCAAAGGTGGATTCAGGACTGGTGTGAAGGTGAGGCTGAGGTTGTGTTGCGGTCCACCGATCCGTATCACGGGGATTTTGCCCTGGGTGGTGAGGACACTCGTATCTCCTCTGGAGTCGCACGCGTACTCGCACATTAAGATTAAGATGGCGTCGAAAGGAACGGTGAGCGAGAGATGGTGCTCGTATCGAGCTGTGAGATATGGGGAACAAATGGCTGTTTGAGTTGATTGTGATCGACTGGTGAAACCGCTACAGACCTTTTTCTGTCTGCTGGACCGGGGAAGATTTCGCCTCCTTTGCACAATAACAAATCCTACCGCCTCCCCAGATCCGATAATCACAGATTCACCACTGGTTCGGCCCTCGCCCTCTGTGTCATGCTAATTTGGCCAAGTCTGCTAGTTGTCGATCACGGAGCACCGGTCGAGAGTAGCCTGAGAAGGGAGACGTCCACCACTCCTCGAGTCCTCGTATCAGCCACTCACGACCACCGTCACAAGCGCGACGATGTTCAAGCACGAATACCCAGTACGGCCTACGGATACTGTGATTGTACTTTGTCCTTCAAACACCATCATCTCTAGCGCCAGAAGCTGCTCAAGAGCCCGACCGTCGTCTCTGGAGCCTTTGCCCTCTACGGCATAACGGCAACCCATACACTCCTCGATTTCATGCATCCAGTCTTGTGATTCGCTTATTTTATACAGTATTTGTATCGAGATACAGCCGGCATCTCGTCACGATCGGCATTTGGCCGAAAAAGTCTGGAGGGCACTGCTCTTCCCACAGTCATTGCGGATGCGAGTACAGCCTCTACTTCGCCCCAAGTACATGGCGCACCAGGCTTGTCTCTCCATCACTCTCGCATGTACGTCCATTCGCCTTGTCTGCACAGCAGCAGAGGACGCCGCTCAGTCACCTTAACGTCGAGCTAATCATCTCTACACAAATTGGCATTCTCATTCCTGCAATAAAATCCATCGAGGAAGTCCCTTTCGTCGCGCCTGCTGACCACTGTGGTTTCTTGCATAACCGGTTCTTGCAATGAGGTGCTGCTCCTCCGACCCATTTTCTATCTGCCCTCTGACACGGATATAGCATTTTGGGCCAACACATCTCTAGCTAGCTTGTCCTGAGCGTTTTGACGGACTCTAGCCGTTTATGATGGCTTCGCCAATGACAGGGTCGCCGCCCTTTCCTGCTGGATTGCCCAAAGATTACCGGAGGACATCTTGGAGGAGCATGATGAATCTCAACTAATCATTTCGACTTTTGTTTCCACAAGTGTGACGGTATTCACCTTTATCGTTGACTCAAAAGATTCTCCACAACCCGAGCCATCGTTGACAGCGCCCGTTTTGGTGTCGCCTGATGATTCCTTGTCAGGCATGCAGCCAACGTTCAGGTTGATCCTCTAGGGGCTCTGGCTGTCAACCTTGACCAAGCATGGTAAGTCTACCCATCCCTCTTCCGGGTCATGCTTTGTATGGTCCGGCATTAGTACGGTGCTCTCTGGATCTTCTTGGCTGGAGAGAAAAGAAACCAATGCCATCGTTCGTCAAGGCGAAGGCGCCACATTCGAGACTTCCATTCTCATAGGCCAAAACTCTAAGACTCCACTGATCCAGAAAGCGATCTACGGCCATGCCATACGTCCATTGGAGTTTCACGTACAGACGGCCGTCGTAGTCTTGCAGTTGGGAAACTGATACGCGTTAGAAACAAGAGGCAGAAGAAGAGACAGACGCACAGGGTATTGTCCATTGGTCTCCGCTACGTGAGCCAGGCGTTAATGCATGCTTTATCACAATGCGGCTCTCCTCTGACCCTTAGCACACAATATGTCCAGTGAACAACATTGCAATCAGCCGGCTGACGCTGTCTACCGCTCGCGTTTGCATTTTCAGTGAACAAGGAGGTACCCATATGCCGAGGAGACGCTGAGTACTCGGTAGGACGTGGTGCTGAGAGAAGGGCCGTAGAAAGCGGCGCGATATCATTAATACTTGGTTGTTACGTGTTCTATCTGTGTCGTAGTGACTTAACGCATACGGCATCCCGCCAAGCGGAAGCAGGACTGCAGAAAATTTTGCTTACTGACCGAATGAAACGAATGCCTCTGCTCTACTTTTGATACGGTGCATCGTGTCGTCTGATCTTCATTTCGCCTTCTGAAATGCATCTTCAGACCCAAGCGCACAAAGAAGTAAGGCCGTCCACGTCAGGCTGTCGACTCTCGACGTCGTGGCCATGGCATTCACCGCACCTGTCCTGTACCCACTAGAGGCCTCTGACCATGGGCAATCACGCACATTGTCGGTAATGGTTGACGCCGGGTCCTATACCCTCGGAAGCTGCAATAAAACTTTATCCTCCTCAGCTAGCAAATATTCTGGCATCATCATAGAACGTTGAAAGAAACGCGCAACGGCTTGTGCGGGAAGCAATCTACCACCCAACCAGCGTTCAAGGGCGAGAAGTCGGTCGAGGAACAACCACTTTAGATGGCACAGATAAGCGGAGGTGGCCGTTCTGCGACTATAGACACAGGTTGAATAAAGGAGTGATGCGGCGGCGTTGATAATCTGTTGTTACAACCCAGCTCCAGCGTCGTCAATGTAATCATCAGTCGACCAAGACCCGTGGAATGGGTATTCGAAGGGATTTCCGTGTGACCTTTAGCTTGGCCGGAACTGCCTTCTATGCAGATGTCGAGATCGCATTCTTCTCGGTGGTGAAGTCCCATAGCATCTTGATAAGATTCTCGGGAAGAGTATAGAGGTCGACGTGGAATTCTCCCTCTACACGCAGCGAAAGGTCAGTAATCAGGCAGGTAGGTTGAGGTGGTGGCAGGCACATACGTTCAACATCGTTACGCATCCAAGAGTCCTCGGTCTTGTTGTCGTGCACCATCTGTACGACCTGGAGAAGATCATCCTCACCAAGTCTCTGCAAGCCATCGGCCAGCTTGTCCATGTCAACGGCTTTGCCATCGCCGCCCTTCTTTTTCTTCTGAGTGCCAGTAGCACCAACTTCACTACTCCGCTTCTTGCTACTAGCATCGGTTCCATTCGTGGCGGCCTCCCCGGGAATCGGCCCAGAGTTGCGAAGTGCATCAAGAAGCGCACCCTTGGGATTTTTAAAGGTGATAATTTGCTTCGTCTCGTAGCGAGGATTGGCAAAGTTCAGATCATGGACGATATTGTGAGTCTTGCCGCCGAGATCCTTCATCTCAATCATGAGCTCAAATTCACCCCATCCATCCTCGGAGACACGGAACGGAGGCTTCTTCAGGGCTGGCCGTCTGTTAGCGACATGATGCAGAAATGGCCATAGAAGTCATCGTGAACATACTTTGTCTCGCCTTATCACCGAAAGACTCATGAAGCACATAGGTGACAGATTCGAAGATGTCTGCGTCGATCTCTTGCTTTGTGTCTGCATGAAGCAGCACAATTCTCATTGTCCAATGGCGCAGAGGAAACCCCGCCACACCACTGTCTGCTCCAGGACTATAATAGCCATCAGTCTCATACTCATATTGTTCCTATCGGTGAAGATCTTGTGTATCTTGCAGAACAACTTGCTATAAATATAATGAACAGTATGAGAAGAAAGGCAGGTATGAGTTGCGCATAGGTGGCTTGACGTACATGATTTTCTGCTCGGTGATGATCTTCACAGATCGCTTGACCTGCGACTGCATTAGTTTCCTATTTGATGACTTGTTTATATCAGACTCACGTCAGGCATATTGGTCGAGAGTAAATAGAGACGCGGAGAAAGGACTTGGTTGCAGAATGAGATCCGTCGACGCGCCAAAGCCTAGGCGCGAGGTTCAGAGACTGAATGACCCGCAGAAACAGAAAATCTGTGACAATAGACAAGGATAGCGCAGAAAGCCCTCAGGGAAATTGTCGAAAGGAAGGAAGGAAAAAAATATGAGGTTTGGTCGGCGCGAGGAGACAGCAGGTGCAGTCGGATGGTTCGTGTCTGGTGATGAATGATTTGCGCGAAGGACCATGGCGCATGGAGAGACGCAGGGCTGAACGACCTTATGCGGGGTCAGGAAGGGCAACTCAGCCGAATCACTAAAAGCACGTTCTAGCATCAAGCAAAGAGTTCTTTACTAGATTTGGTAAAGCGTCAGGAACCTGAAGGGCGGCCACCAGAAGGGTACAAAAAGTCTTGTCCACAAAGATTTATTGCTGGGTTGGGGGGGCGCGCTTCCATCTATCTAAGCCTGGAAGCTGGGGGTTTGGGGTTTCATCGGGTTATCAACGCTCATCTTCGTCCCTGTTCCTTCGTAAAAAGTCGCACTCGCCTTCGTCTTTGCACTCTCATTGTTGGATGGTCCAGGTTCGCATGCAGAATATCATGATATCAACAAACATAGCATTCCGTGATCGCTCAGATGCAAAAATTTCATGACTTCTGGAACAGCGCCTCGTTGTCCTGCTGAGCCTTGATGAAAGCCTCCTTGAAGAGGTTGGCATCTGTAGCAAGATTAGTACTACCCGGAACACAGACATGAACAGGTCCTTACTCTCGCTATTGCCGAAACGGATAGCCAAGGTCTGGGCCTCAGGTTCGCCTTCACTGACATCTGCAGCAACATTCCAGACCCAACTGCGATCACTGCCGACATTGGGAGAGAGCTTCATGTCAGGGGTGACTGGCAAAGTTAGCAATGCTTCTGGAGGTTGGCCATCCCAGTGTAGCTTACCATAGTGGTTAGCGCAGACCTTGAGAGTCTTGTCACGGCGCATAACCAATCTTGTCTTGCCATTCTCCTTGTGCTTCAGTAGTCTAACATCACCAGTGCCCCGCTCCTTCCATTCTCTGGAGTCGCGGTCAAACTTGAAGAGCTTAGCACGCATCTTGAAGGTTTGCTCCTCCGACTCCTCATTGGTCTTTGTATCAATCTTTTCCGTAAGGCGAACGACGGGCTCGAACTCGACATCAGCTTCTTCTTCCTCGGCCTTGTCCTATATGCACGTGTCAATCAAGGGATGCTTTGTGAATTCATGTCGGAAGGGCCTTGCCTCGTCGTCATCTTCTTTCTTTGCCTTGGAACTGCCGCTCGGCTCATCCTTTCCTCCATCTTCCTCCTCGACCTTGCGCTCTTTCTTTGCACCGCCGCCAAACATGGAGAAAACAGAGTCCTTGACCCCAGAGGCCGCGGCAGAGGCCGTGCTGGCAGCATTGCTGGCAGCATTGGCGGCAGTCTCAGTCACTGAGGATGACTTGTCTTCGCCGGCGGGAGCCTCAGTGGAGGGATCACCTAATGGATTCTGGACTAATTTGGTTTCATCTTCAGCCAATCTTGGTTCAGAGGATGCAGTCTGGTCTGCGGACGGAGTTGGCTTGACTTCGGCTGCGTCCGACATGATTGCGGGTAGACAGTCGATGGCACTGACTGATTCAGAGATAGTCGAGAGAAGAATCTGGACGCAGGTCTGATGGGGAAGAGAGAAGCAGTAGGCTGTTGAGACTGTTGTCAGTCGAAATCAAAGAATTCAGATGAATGGTGTAATTGAAGTGTTATTTGTTGGTTGGACCCCACCTTTGTAAATGTTTCCACGGCGAGCGCTGACCGGGGGAAGAGTGATCAGATTGTGTGTAATGATGGTGTGTGCTTTCGCGCTCTGTCGATTGATACGAATTGGCTGCAGCCCAAAAACTATCAGCGCCACCTCTGGGAGCCGGCGCCAAGAGAAGTGCTGGGTGGCTGCGTCTGTCTCCTGTCGACTCGTGCCTGCTATTTTGCCTCTGACATCACTTCTACCCTTTCTGGCCAGACACCGTCACCGTCGCCTCGCTCAGTGTCAGCGCGGGCGCCGGGCAATAGGCAACATCCAAACCAAGATATCCAACTCAGGGCACTGTTGGCAATGCTCTGCTTTGTTCGTACTTGAGAAAATAAAATACTTCTTCCTCTCGTGCTCGTTTGTTGCCCAAGATGCTCCTCTCCGATCTACCGCAAGACGTCCTTTCTCTTATTGTGTCTCATCTCGCGCCTAAGGACTACCTCGCTTTCTCTCAGGTATCCAAGGCAATCTACTCAGAATATCGACAAGACTCACTATATTGGCGGACTCAAACATCCAACACTTTTCGTCTTCCAATCAGTCCCTTGCTTGCTGCCGACGGCCCTCGCTGGTATTGGCTCTACAAGCGTTTAAAAACCCAGACCCAACTCTATACATGGGGTCAAGGAGTGAAAGGTAACTTGGGTCTCGGACGAGCTCTTCCTAACCCTCACCCTCGCCCTCCTCTGTTGGGGCCGAACCCACCCCGAACCGTCATTCGAGGTCCTCATCGCCCCTTCCCTCGTCAACTTCCGCGACCCGTTCCACGTCAGAGCTTCCATAGAACCTCATCAAGCTGGCCAACGGAAACTCATATTCCCGATGAAGTGGGAGTCATTGCCGACCTCCAATGCGGAGGCTGGTCGACTACCATCCTCTCCTCAAAGGGCAGACTCTACACCGTTGGAATCATCGACTCCCTGAACGGCATACCTGTCGGCCATGCTACGAATGACTTCACGCCGTTGGAGTATCTCACGCAAAGTACCTCGGCAGTACGCCAGTTTTCGTCGGGGAGGCGACACATACTTGCTTTGACCGACGATGGAGAAATTCTCTCATGGGATCGGATTAATGCTAAGGGTTTAAAAGTATTTCCAACGAGTGGGAGAGATTTTGGCGGCAAACCTGTCAGGGTGTCTGCTGGTTGGGGAGAAAGCTCAGCTTACGTGCCTGAGGTTGGGATTATATTTTGGGACCCTGTACGAAACAATCAAAGAGACGAGATGGAGGACAGCGTTCATGTGAAGGTAAAACTGATTCCAGGCACGGCTCGAAAAAGGACAAACAATGGCCCTGTTGAAGTTATAAAACACATTCTATTGACGGATTTCGTGGTGTGGATCACGAGCGACTCTAGGATTTATGCATGTGATATGCATGTTGAAAGCCCCGAGCAAGATGCGCCCACGAGGACTCCTTTTGAAGTCCCTGGGTTTAGCGGGCCTGAACGCGAACTTAAGGACATTCAAGGCCAGTTCCAGAGGTTTGGTGTCTTTACTGCCTCAGGCGAAGTCGTGTCGGGGGATGTTGAATACCTGAAACGATGTGCGGAAGCTGCTGCCAACCAGGCCGGTCTCATCGAGTCGGGAGATTGGTCCACCCTGACAAGTCTTCTAGCCTCAAAGCCTCGAGACATTCCGGCACTACAACACACAGGTGTCATTGGTCTTGCTTACGGCGACTATCACTACCATGCTCTGCATGCCAACGGGAAGATCACTTCATACGGAACGGATTCACAACAATGCGGCTCTTTAGGCCTAGGAAACCTTCAAGAAGGCGCAAGTTTCCGTGGTCTCTTCCGCAAACAACCTGGTCTTCGGGCAGATGCGTGTCTCATCCCAACAGCATATCTTACAGGCCGTCAACTGTGGTTCGAACCAGAACGTAAAGATTGGCTCAAGTGGCTTGAAGAAAAGTCGCAACATGAATCGGTCGCGCTAAGATCCCAAGAGCGACCAGAGGACCCGACGTCAAATGAGAGCCCCCAGCCCATCGCTCACATCCTAGATGCGAAGGCGCGGGCCGCTTTCAGTGAATGGGTGGAACAAGAGGGTCGACATTGGGAAGATGGCCCTGTCTCGCGATCATCGCCTGCTACATCCGAAGACAAGGCCAGAAAGCAGGCTTCGGGGGACTATGTGAGCCTCGGAGCATACTTCCCAATTGCCGTTGCGGCTGCAGGTTGGCATAGTGGTGCGCTGGTCCTTAAAGACGACGAGAAGGCTCACGAAATCCGGAACTTGTGGGTCGTTCCGAAAAGCCACGATGAGCATGATGATCAGACGCAGTCGATGCCTGGCGCCTTTCAGCATCTTAATGTCGATGAAGAAGAATACGTCTGGCAGAAAGATGGGTTTCCTAGGGTGCGATTGCCAGACGGAACAGATTTATCTGGATCCGGTGAAGAGAGTCCCTGGAGAGACGGTATGCCTCCGATGCAGGACTTGGGGTTGAGCCAGGACGGGTCTCCTGAGTCTTGGGTACGAGAATGGTCTTGAGCATTATATTCTCCATAAAGAACTGAATCGAAGATTTAAGACTACGCAAATGACGGATGAGCCCACGGTGTGACGATGGAAGTATTATGCGGCGCAAGGCAAAGCAGAAGGTACAGGCGACAATTCAGACCCTAGACGATAGTCTGCAAACAGGAAATGCGAGGCGCTCCCCTTATTTGGCACTTGAATGAGATGATGATCTTGCCTGTGCATGTATGATGTTCAAAACTAAGAAGACTTGGGTATCATTTCTATGGCTTTACTATATGTTGCCTGCCGAGAATCAGGACCACCCGCCATACTCGTGCATGTCGGGAGAATGCAATGGTCCCATGAAATTGGCTTGATCCGCGCCTAATCGGAATTGCCATCCTAAAAATCGTTCGTTCGTTCGTTCGTCGTCGTCGTCGTCGTCGTCGTCGTTGTTCGTTCGAGACATAATCACGGCGTAGACCTCCACCTGAACGTAGTCGGGTTCAGGGGTTCTATTTCCGTTTCGGGTGGGATGGCCCAGCGCCAGACGGTAGAGCAGAATTCGACGGCAGGTTGGATCCTTCGGCAACTTTGGCCGGCTGTCCCGCCACCATGGTCTTTGCCAGCTCTGTGTGTGATGCACCCCCGTGGTTGTCACGCGCTAGAATCGCAGCGGCGGCAGCAGTAGCAGCCTCATCTCCCTCGGGGTGTAGGTGCATCACTTGGCCGCCGGCGCTGGGAAGCAGCCGCTGATCCCGCTCTTCCTCCTGCTCCTCCTCGCGCTCTTCGTGGTCGACAAAGACGAAGCTCCCGACCACGATGGCCGCGCCGACCCAGTACGTGATGCCCTCGTACCGGCCCTGCAGAACCATTTCGCCCACCAGGCTCAGCGGGATGGTGAGGCTCAGGCCGACGGTCACGACCAGCGGGCTGGTCAGGACCATGGCATAGGCCCAGCAGATGTCGCTGAAGAGGCTGCTCATGCTGTTGACGAGCAGGATGGTCCAGACGTGCCGCGTCGGCGGGAGGGCGAATCGCTCGAGCCCGCTGAAGTGCAGGATGGGGAACAACGGCCACAGCAGCACAATGTTCCACAGGCCCACGAGGCCAAAGAACAGCGGCATGTTCAGGGACCGCGGCAGCGCCTTGACCGTCGTCTTCTTGAGCGTGATGGTGTACATGCCGTAGATGACGGCCGACAAGAGAGCCATGGCGTTCCCGAGCATCATCTCGCTGGCCGACTTGTCAGGGAACACGTCGATGGCACGGCGAGTAGGCGAAGGCGATCCGCCGTCGACGCCGACCTCCGGGCTCGTGCCGGACAGATCGACGTGAGATATGAGGATGATGCCGACGACCGAGCCGAGCACGCCCAGGAGTTTGCGCCAGGTGAACTTTTCGGTGCCGGTGGAGGCGCCGATCAACAGGGTCCAAATGCTCGACGTCGAAGTCAAGATGGTGGTCGACGCCACCGTCGTGTGCTGCAGACATGCCATCGCGAAGTAGTTCGCCCCAAACCACAGGATGCAGAAGGTGAGTGCGAGTCGAGCCGTCGGAGCGATGGCGAGGTGTTTCGCGCCCTCCTTCTCGTCAGCTTCGGCTTCGTGTTCCCGTTCCAGTTGCCTCCTCCCCAATCCCAGGTCGTCGGACCGTGACGACGACGACGGCGACGATGATGATGAAGTCTCCGGGTCTGGAGCGAGAAAAGCCACGTCTTCTTCCCCTTCTTCTTCTCTTCTTCCAGATCCCTCGGGATCTACGGCTCCATCGTCTCCGTTCGGTAGCCGTCTGTATGCCCCTCTTCTTCCCTCGGACAGCGCCGTGCGCAGCCTCGTGTATAAGTCCCCATGGTCTCGTTGCCGTCTGTAACCGATCCGTACGAGCGTTGGGATCATGGCCAGCATGAACATGCTCGTGTTGAGATATGTGAGGAAAAACGGCTTCGCATAGGTCTTGTCTGCGAATATGCTCTGCCACGTTTTGCGATCCTCGTTAGTATCTTCAATACAGAAAATCTGCGCCATATGCAGCACACCCGTCAGGAAGGGCACATGACAACTCACACTTCCCAAAAAGTTCGACAATGTCCATAGAAATACCACGAGCAAAAGGAGCATGAGGCCGAGCGTGTGCCTGGCCAACCCGGCCATCCCTGCCCGCCTTGCGCCCGGGTTCGTGTCATACGGGGACTCATCAGCATCAAGTAGTCTTTGCCGCGAGGAATCCCTCCTAACGTCCCTATCGTCCATCTCGATCTGCTCTCGCGTGTCCAAAACTAGTTGTGTGTGGTGTTGATGCGAAGGCTTGTTGTGCATTCCCCCTCTGCCTCATTTCCCATTGGAGAGGTGTAGGGTCGTACGGGTCTTCGATGACAAAGACTGGCTTGCACAACTCTAACCTCGAGAGCAGATCAGGGCCATGCAGAAACGCATTAGGAATAAGAGAGGCGCCAAAAAACCATCGGATAGATAAAGACCAGGCAGTTGACTTTCTCGTGTACCGCCAGGTAGTACGGATAAGCTCAAGTTACTACAATAGGTACTTATTTCTTAGTAGAGATAGCCGACAGGCACCTTGAAGCACGGACCTCTGGCTCGTTTCAGGCAGATTACGGAGCACAAGGCCCTGGTCCCCCGTACGAGCACCCTGTACGGATGCAATCCCACTACTGAATGCTTTCGCGTTGTTCAAGCCTGGCTTGCAGCTAGAGGAGAATACTTCAAGATGAATCTTGGATAGGATATGCTCAAGCAAGGCCACTATCACCTCAGGCAACGCATGTTTATCCTTCTCTAATCTGGATGGTGCAGATCCTCCAAGGGCCACACTTGTTACACGTCTTGCTCATCCTCTTATAGCTATGAAGCATCCAGAGCCACAGAATTGTAGGGAGGCTCTTTCGTATGTAGTTCTCGTTGGTGAATGCCTGATGGCATACATTGCATTCCGATTGTGATAGCAATCATCAGCCCGAGCCAGGTAGTAATCGTAGAGACAGATTGTGTAGAGTAAAGTCGAACAAGGTGTCCAAAAAGTCGAGCACGGCCACGGCCAGAGCCTTGCTTTCCACCGAAAGACGGATGGCACAGATCCTTTAGATACGAGGTTGATCAAGGGCCGTGAGAAGAAATTCGGACTCGGGATGAAGGCAGCTCTGAATCCTGCCGAGCATATCGAAGGAAGAGGTCCATCCATGATCAAATCATAGACTAGGGTTCTCTGGTATAATTTGACGACATGGGAGCCAAGTCTTTTGTTTGTAGAAAGCGTCGTTCAACTCTGCCGTCATGATGCTAATCTCTCGCAGAACACGCAGAATATGTGGTGTATTCGAATGTTTCCGCTGTTAGCACCAAAGCTTCCTACACCCCAAATCCAGTATCTGTAGCGAAAACTGTGCTCAGCAGAGAGGCGAGAGGGGCTGTAAGGCTGGCTTTGATGCTCTCTGAAGAATAGACCTCGATAGTATCGCGGGTCAAGAGGTAGGAGTGCTTGCCAATGCACGTAGGAGCTGGTCTAACGACGGATGGCGAGCCACTGGTTTGCCTCCGAGAAGACTTTGGCCTCCTTGACCTCGACGCCAGGAACCTGGCTGGCCGCATAGATCTGCTTGGAATTAGCAAGGACCACAGCAACGTCGTACGTGATTCAACTCACGGCATCCCAAATTCTCCAGGCTTGATCGAGACTCTTGGTCAAGCCCCCTCCGCTCTTTAATTGGTGGAACCAGTTGTACTTGCCCTCCTGTTGTTTGATTGTCTTCTTAAGTGCGTCTGTGATCTCCTGGTCATCCTCAAAAGCATCAAGGTACGTCTTGACAGCTATGCCGAGTCCAGAGCCATGATCGTCAATGAAAGGTAGCCTGCTCGAGAGGTCAGTGTTATCTTTGGCGCCAAAAGCGGGAATCCGTACTTCTGGCTGAGCTCTGTCCAATCTGAACGTTCCCTTTCTACTTCTCCGTTGAGGAACATGCTGGTCATAATGGTCTCTAGGAGATCCCTCAGGGTTGTGCGCACTGCAGTTACCTTCCAGGCAAAGGTGAGTTTTTCTCTATCGAGAGGTCCCACAAATCCCATAGCTTTATGCCGGATTCTACCCAAGCAGGCAGTTTTTGAGATCAGGTTGGAGAACGTTTTCTTTTCATAGTCCTTGTCTGAACCTCACTTAGTACAGTCTTGCTTGAGACGATGACTTGGAACGAACCTGTTTTAGAGGGGGGTGTACCAGTGGCAAAGTTTGATGTAAAAAGACCCAATCTGAGCATTTCGACTCCAATGATGGTGCTCTCATCGTCAGAGACTGCTAATGCGGTCTCCAAAACTTTGCCCCAGGTAGTAAGGTTGTGCTTGTCGTCAACATATCCACGAACATGGAGAAAGCGGAAGACCGTGTTAACCAGGACCTCATTCGAAGAGCGAAACGCCGGATATTCTAACTTGTTCTTAACAATCGTGTTCTCCGCGAATTGCGCATCATGCAGGGCCTCGAGGCACGGCAGGAAAAAATGTGAGCCCTGGCTTGATCAGTCGCTGACATTGCATACCACGATGTCTGATAGACTCACGCTGACCTTGGATAGTACCTTATCAAGTGCAGGTCCGCGCACTTTCCATTCTGCCAGCTTGGCTTTCATAGCTGGGGTATTCCTGAGCTCGATTGTTAAGCCGCTAGTGTCCTGGGGGATCCATAGTTCGACTTTGATGACTCTGGACTGATAATAGTAGTGGAGAGACTCTGCCAGGATCTTCAGAGCTTCAGTCCGGTATGCATTGAGTTGCTGAATCATCAGTCTGCGATAAGGTTCTGAATCTAAGGATCCCCCGGCTAGGCTCAGCACAATCTCACCAGATGTCAGCCAATTAGGTATCTGTGGCCCAAGCAAGCCTTTGGAGATATAGAAAAACAGCTCTTCGGGTAGTCTTTGTCCGACGAATTCGTGAACATCTCCTGGTGCCTCGTCGAAATTTTGGGGAGCGACAACGCCGTTCTTCTCCATGATAACATGGTGCCTGATGGTCATGATGGCTTTCTTATACCTATCCGCATAGGAGAGAGCCTGGACTTGCGGGTGGTCACGGTGAAAGTTGCAGAGCTGGATCACAGACTTTCCAGCTCCATTCAGTAAGGCGATTGCATCCACAATGCTGGTAGATTTTGTGCCGGCCATCGCCTCTAGGATCGGGAAGGTCGGCGTGAAAGAAGTTCCGAGCAGGAGCTGAGCATCGCGAAGCATATCACCGTTGACCTTGAGCAAGTCTTCACACGTGGCCTTGTTAATGAGGGTGAGAGCCGATTTGTTAATGTTGATATCTGTGACGACTCTGTCGATGCCGAAGAGGAAGCACTCCGTGTTGCCCATGACAGCATCAATGTACTGATCGTCGAGTTTGAGAAGATAGGCCAGCTGGTGCATGTCAACATTCACATCCTCTTTGAGAGAGTGTTGAGCTCACTTGTGCTGTTGCGCTATAAGGTGCAACCATGAACTCGATCTTATTTTCCACCAGTATCTTCTGCAGCATTCGTGTCATGACGTCGATCTGGTACTTCGCCTTGCAGAAATGCGAGACAGTTCCCTTGCTGTTACCACTCAGATATTCATGCCATGCCTCTTCCTGAGCTCTTCTGCTTTCTCCTGATTGGGAGTCGGGGGCACTCTTGTTCACATAGTCGAGACCATCGAAGACGAAGACGAGTGTGACACCATGCTGACGGAGTAAAGAAATATCGTCTTCTATGGCTTTCTTGAGAGTGAATGGGAGACCGCCGAGGGCGTGCTTGAGTGGTTCGACTTCGTTATTGATCCGCAGGTCAAGATAGTATGAGGCGTCGACACCAATAACGGCATCCTTGAGCATGTTCAAAGGACAAAGCTCGACATGCTTGTTGACCCATTGGTCGAACTTCTGAACTGGAGGGAGGTGTGAGATGAGAAGAGGGACCGGAGTTCGATGCATACCTGACATTGTGAGCGCTAAGGGAGACGTAAGAAGATACGTAAGTAGCTAAGGGGAGAAGGAAGCATGAAGCAGAGGCGGCACTCAAGGATAAAAAGTCACACAAAGGGCAGGCACAGGTAAGTCAGCGGGTGGACGCAGGTGCAATCGGCCTTGTTTGAACTTGTGAGAGACCTCCAACTGATGAGTTAGACTGCGCACGACACTGCGGCACTGGATGAAATTCGAGGTGGATTTCGCGCCTGGACGTCCAGTGGCGCCAAGTCTGACACGGGGAACGCGGGCACCATCCACGTCCCAAACCGAGCCGAAGCAGGGGTCAAGCAGCTAAGCTTGAAAGCAAACGAGGCTGAAACACAGCCTTGCTCTGCCAGGCAGGTCTGTGAGGGTGACCACTGACAATGGTCGATCTGACAAAAGCATCTGAACTAGCCGCATCTCCGCAGAAAGCTGACAAGTTCGGTAGGACTGTCGAAGTGCTTCTCTCCCAGCATGGAAACAAGCAGCAGGTCATTTGTGGCTATGTCATGAAAGTGAATTCTTCTCATCATTCTGCAGTAGTAACATCGTCATATTACATATCTGTGTCGCTAACAACCAATAGCGACGTACCAGGGTTGACGCGGCTCTAGCAACAAGCAATCTTCAACCGTTAACAATCCAAAACATCTTCGCCACTCATGGCCTCGTGAGCCGTCATCCACCTCGTACGTCGATAATATGTACCGTGAAAGGCCATGGTACTTCATCCGATAACACTATGCGCTGTACATCAATTCGTAGCAGGTGCCGTGTTCTGTCCTTTTTTGCAACGAAAAACCAAAACTCCTCGGCGGGTAGACATCCGTACGTTCCACAACGCCTGACAATATTATTCATAAATACTCCATGGCTATGCGTTTCATTTCGCTTCAGGCGGGAGCCCGACGGCTGAGATAAACATTTTCCAAGTGGCACCAGTGCCGATGCATGCTCCACGACTCGCGTTGGCATTCCTGATGACGATTAGCTCTCTCTCTCTCTCTCTTGTTTGGACCCGAGGCCGACAAACATACCTTGCTGCAGTACTTAGTTCGCCGGCAACGTCTGCATTTTGCGAACTGCCGTGTGTATTCCTCCCACTTGCCGCATTGATAGTTGGCACACTGTCGGATACCCCCCCTAGCGTCGTCCTTTCTGCACAGGTTGCGCATGACGACACACGCCCAGTACTGCATATCCTTAGAGTGGTGTCGGACGGTGAACTTCTCAACCAACGGGAATATATTGTAGTCATCGGGTTGAAGGAATTCTTCGTCTTCGTCCTCGGTTGGCTCTGGGAGGACGGGACACCCGCGCATTGGACCGTAGATCTTCTCTACTTCTCTGTCAATTCGTAATCTGGGAACGAGATGGGTCTTCTGAAAGTAATGACGAAGGTAGCAATATTTTGAAATGTAGGCAAGTAGCTGCAAGCCCATCAGGACATCCTCGTCCCGGGGCATCAACGCGGTTGTGGAAGCTGTGGCAGTAGCCGTTCTGAGGAAGAAATTAGGATACGCATTTAAAGGTATGGCTGGAGAGGCGGCTGTGGCAGGCGGGGGAGGTATAGGAGATGCTCCCATCGGTTCATGGGCTGCGGGACCCAGAGGGTTGGTCATGCCTGCAACGATTGGTGTTTGCTGAGCAATATCAACATTGTCAATTTCTCGAAGCTGTTGAGGGGGGATAGTCAGGCTCAGTGACTGTCGTTCGGGCAGGCCCTCAGGATCATGGGGACTGGGGTCTCGGGTTTGCGTTCTACTCTGTCCTCCCGGCTGGCCATCGACATCTAGCAGATCTTCTCCAGGAGCCGCTACATCGTCGAGCATGACATCGTCAGGATCAGCGGAGGTACTGTTTTGATGTCTGATAGACGGCCTGCGAATGCGGCGACCGGCTGGAGATAAGGGTCCTCGTGAAATAGGTGCTGAGGGAGTGGTGGGAGAATCTGGATGGGAGGTGACGCCAGTGTTCAAGGCCGGGAGCATCGATGGCAGCCGATCCACCTCTCGTACGGGGCGGAGTGAGAAACCGTCGGTTGCGTCCATAGCAGGAACTGCAGTTGCGGGTGGTTGCAAGTTCATAGAGCGGTGGAACGATCCTCTGCTGTCCTGGCCTCGGACATGATGGTGGAAATCGCGGCGTGGAAAAACAGTGCGTTCAGGAGGTGAGGTGAAGACCCCAGGAGGGACGGCATTACTGTCTGCAGGGCCTGTTTCTGTGGCCCCGAAGGATTGAGAAAATGATTGTGGAAGATCGAGTGAAGGCGGAGGCGCTTGTCGACGAGTGGACCTCTGATCAGCTGCAGCGTTCATATGTTCGAGAAAAGATGTCCTGGAGAGGGGGTCTTGCGCGAGCTCCCGAGAAATTTTTGATCTGGAGCTGCCACCGTGCCTCGAGCCGTTACGCTTTTCTTGTTCTGCATCGACCTTCGCCTTCTCCATCTCAATGACCAAGATGTAGTCCCATAGAATCGTGGCAATCACGGGAACCATGTCTGCCTCCACAACGCGCGTGCGAACAACTTCTGACCCTCGAACACCAATGTTGACAATGCATTGGAATGCAAGGTTCCACTTCCACATATGCATTTCATCCTTGCTCCTGCCTTCCTTCAATATGCACACCAGGCGTTCGACTCCGCCATCCACCGTCAGGATATCTCGGATTCGAGCCGAGGATGTGGTAAGGTAGGCTAGATGGTTCAGAGAATTGATCAGGGGAAGAGTCGACGTACAATCCAAAGCTCGACGGTCATAAAGGGTCGGGGTAATGTGGACGGAGGCCTTGTTGACATTAGGAATGCTGAAGTTGACCTCTCTCATATTGTCTTAAGACTATGATTTTGGTTCATGCAATTGATGTTCAATGCAGTATGTGGCGAGCTTCGGGTATGTTGCCAGATGTAAGGTTAGAATTGGCCAACGCAGTGGTCGTGCCACTCAAACAGCGCTTCTGAACGACGACAGACAGCGCAAGAATCCGGAATTGTGATTCAAGGGGCGCACGCTATAGCATACAATGTGGAAGGGAACAAGTAGCCATCAAGCGATACGATTGCTCTGTTAGCAAAGATGGTCTGAACGGGCCGGCCAAGATCCGCAGTAGACGGATCCCCTGATTGGGGTATTCCACCCAATCTGGGCACAATAATGAAAAGAGTTGCGAAGGAAAGAGTATGTCTTGTTTTTCGGCGATCGTGAGGTAGCAGGTAGGCGAAACCTGCACGAACAAGATGGTTTCGTAAGGAGCGTGAGGGTCGGCTTAGTCGAAGACGCGCGGGAGAGAGGTTGCGGAGAGGGCTGGGGAGATGGCAGACACGAGGACTGGAAAGTCGAGCAAGGGCGGTCGAAGGAGAAACTCTGCGGAGATGCAATTGCGGCGAGCAAACAAAGGTGCTCGACAGCTTCGATCAAAATGTGGAAGGAGTTGATGACGAGGATGATAATGAAGGTGGCTGAAGGGCGAAGAGAAGTTGAGGGTATCAGGGAACAGATGAGGAGGCTGTTCAATGGTTAGGTGTGTTTGAAGTCGCCGCGGCGGGCGCAGGCGTTGGCTGGCCTCTGCTGGCCACTAAAATCCTTGGTAACCGCAATTTCTTCGCCCTTCGACAGCAGGGCTTTTGCCTCAATCCAGCCAGTCTATAGGCTATAATACAGACTTGAAGCCACCAGTGACCTAGGTGGTCAAGACTGCGAGCCTCGAGTCTCGTCATTCATCCAACTACGCGCACTTCATCTAGGATCGTTGTGTGCTCGCGCTGTCGGTAATCATAACGTGCAGTGCGGTTGTCCTCAACCCGTGCGCCACCTTCGATAGCATCATGTGTCACTTTCTAGAAATGTCTTTGTAATATGGTAACCGTAACAAGCTTTTGAAGATGCACCTAGAGCTCCTGATTCAGACCTATGTATCCAGATGGCGCTCTGGGTGTTTTTCAAAGACGAGACAAACACTCGTGCTCGCTATCATTCACGTTTGCATTGCAGGGAGTCCCCTGATTCTACCTATTCGCCGCGCAGTCCTCCTATATTTGATGTCTCCCTTTTGCCAGGTTAGTCAGGCAACCGAGTGAGTCGAGAGAGGCTTTCGACAAATTCGCTGTGTTCCAAGGCATTAGTAATGCAGCCGAACGTCTGATAAACTCAAGCCTGGCCAACCTGTTCCAAAGCCACGGCCCACGGCGACCTCTTCAAGTACCAATTGTCAGCCGACAAAAACACCAATGGAGACCCACGGGTACTCCGAGCACGTTATTGCACTCTCGTGGCTTGAGTGGTGGCAAGCTCATTCCATGCGACGTATTGTCCTTATAGGCAGGGATTTAGGCAGGAATCTTGGTAGACCCTTGGTTCTTTCGAGTTATTACTCCCTTTTCTGATATAGGCATAACCAACTGACCAGAGACTGTGATGCGTGTTCCAGTTGTTTGTTACCCAATCCCTGGCCTAAGGCGTACACGCAGCAATTTAAATGCCTCCGGGAAGGGCTGAAAAGTGACGGTTTGAATGTTCTGTTTGGCTCCCGATCTCGCACTATTCTACAGGGGATGACCTACGGGTATTCTGTATAGATTTGATGATACGAATTCCCGCAAGACAGCAAGATGACGTGCGTAGAATCTGTTGTGAAGCCAGGCGCGACTATTTTTGCCTCATCCATCGAACGGCGTCTATGGGACCAATGAGAGTGGCCCGTTCGTCTGAGGGACCTTGAGGCTGCATGTATTTGTATATGGCTCACCAGGGCGTCTGTCCGAACAAGATTACCGCGGAAGAAAGTGTGCAAGATCACACTTAGTGGTTTAAAACGGCCAGTGGTAGTGAGGCATGAGTCCGGCTCGTATATCTTACAGCATCTGACGACTATGCCTGGTAGGCATATGGAAATCCTGGGTGAAGGTCTCTTGCTGCAGTGGTGAATCAGGGTTGATTCCCAAGGTCCTCAATTACGATGAATCCAGTGCTACTTTGAAATTTTGTTGTATAGAGAAGTGGAGAGATTGCGCACTCAACCATCTTGAGCTAGTGATACAAATCGAGAGGCGGTTTAAGAAAAATGCCTCTACCGAATCAGTCTGCCTTTGCTACCAAAAGCCAGAGCTGCCCACCCAGCAATCAAGCACAGTCCGCCCAAGGGCGTTACTGGACCGAGAGCCTTGAAGCGTTGCGGATCAAGGACTAGTAGATAGATGCTCCCGCTGAACATGGTCATTCCAGCAAGGAAGAGAGATGCCGCAATCTTGTTCTTCGGAGCAACGCTGGTTGCAAGGAGGACGACTCCACTGTGAATCAACTGTGATAAACGAAGTCAGCGCTGTGGACCAAGCTGTCATCTCCCAAATGCAAAGAAAGTGAGAAGATGAAGGAGGATTCCGGACGAGATACCTGATAATGAGCTGCCGTAGACCAGTTCGCAATTCTTTGGGGATCGGCAATGCGTTTCTTCAAACCATGAGCCCCGAACGCACCGAGCATGACGGACGAGGCTCCGTAGATACACCCAAGGGTCCAGAACATGGTCCAGACTGCTGATGAAGATTGATGAATAGAGGGTCAAAGGTTTGATCAAGGTACGCGAAGAGAGGCGCGTTTGATGGTAAGTCTCCGTACAGATAGGTACTGTAACAGCTGTGGGCTTTTGCGTGAACGGCTCTGGGGATAGCCTGGTGAGCCAAGCCTGAAGCTCGGAGCACCAATGCGAGTACTGTACTTTTCTACGGCTGGTACCAGCACCTACTGTATAATCAAAACCGCAAGCATGTCATGAAGCCATGTTTTGATTTTGCGCAGGTAGAAATTCTTGAACACGGGGATACAAGTATCTTTTGAACCCTTTAGAGCCAGCATCTTCACGCCTAACCAGGGCCAGACCGTTCGATTCGTGCACAGTCTGGAAACGGCGATCACTAGGCGTAGAACTCTAATAGACTCAGTAGACTCGAGAGCATTGCAGCCTCAGCTGTGCTCGTGCTGATTTGAAGAGGGTGGGACGAGGATTGTCCTGGGGCCACCACGAGCGGGACGTCGCAGGAAGGGAATACCCAGCCAGAACAGTCCCACTCTTGTTCTGTTGACACTATCGTGCTGTGAAGATCTGTGGATTGACAGCGCGAAGCGTTGTCTTCAGCACCAGGTGTTGTAGAAGCACAACCTTAACAATTGCGATTAGACATCCACGTGTTGAGTTTCTCCGCAGTTCATAGCAGAAAGGGGTGATCAACACGCATGCGGTGGACAGCGTGTCTGCTAGTCTCATACATTGGCGAGACCGAAATCACAAAAGACTTGCCTGGCAGTCTAGCACGAGATTAAAGAAACGAGCAATCTTGTAAAGGAACTTGTGGGGAAGTGTTCTGTATTGTACATAGTGGAAAGGTTACAAGGGTGTACCTACAATACTTGTAAAGGTACTAGGTACTCCGTCGTCCCTCGACAGCCGCCCTTAGGCAGGTACTTTGGAGACCCAGGTGGTACTCAGGGTGATGAATGCAAAATCACCCAATTGATGTGCTCGAAGTGCGTTTTTGAGTGCAACCTGACTTTTCCGTACAAAATACAATGATCTACCGCGGGCATCACCGGAGACTCCGAGTCGAGATACTGGCAACCCTGGTGCATATGCTAGATGGCTCTACAGCCAGTCCGTCGCACCGGCTGTGTTTTAGTCCCGGTTAGATGCGACCGGGCCAATTTCTCTGCTGTCACTGTCTCAATCCTGGCAACTGCTTGCGCGCGCACTCGGGCGAGAGCCTCTCTTGAGCATTTCTCGACGCTGGCCTAACTAGCGAGCCGCCCCTCCTTGGTGCCTTTTCCTGGGCTTAACACAGGCCCGTCGGGCTGTACAGTGAGCCGCGAATGGATCTCTGTCGGGGGGAAGACCTCGTTTAATCAGCCCGGCCTTTTTTCTGTGCCTCCCTTTTCTCTCAAGATGGTCTGACCATTGACGACAGCCCTTCCGGCGTACGCACTCCGTGGTTGCGGCGCTCAACCTCAATGTCTCCCTAGTATCATGGCATTGGCTAGTTTGGGCAGAGTAATTTGGGGGGCTAATGCTGAACTCGCACTCGTCGTTGGTTGTTTGCTACGAAGCACCGCGTAGACTGTACAGTAGGTAGTCACGGTCGTCTAGTAGTGGTATCGACGATGGAAAAACCGTATGAGGGCTTGATGGCACCTTTAGGAAGGTAGGTATATTCCATAATCGCACACCTACCTGCTCTGTAGACTTCTGTTAAGTTAGGCTTTGGGTATTGTACGTACAGCAGACAGTGGGATATAGCCTTTCGTCTGATTTTGCCAATAGCAGCAACCGGGGTGTTTGATCTGCCTTCTAGTGGTGCCTCCCGCTGCCCAGAATGACCCGCCGGAGAGTGACCCCATTACTGGAATCTGAACTGCGAATCGAATTACAAACTTACCGGCACCCTCTGGTTCTAGCTGCTGCACCACAGACACAGAAGGCCACAGACCTGTGCTAGTCGCACCCCCGACCTGCCATCCAAACTACCTTCCCACAGGTGCTGCGTGTGTCTGTGTTCGTTCTTGATCCAACCTCACCACCATCCTATCTCACGCAGCGCTTGACCTGCGGCATATGCCCATCACCGTCTAACCTCCCTCAACCATCCTTGCTCTGTTTACAGCGACAAACTCCCTCCGACTGAGGTCTTCCTGTCCGCGCTAGTCTCGCCATCCCTGATTCCTCCACCCCCCGGAGCTGTCTGTTCCGCGCTGCACTCCTGACTATCGCTTGCAAACCGCGACAAGAGCGTTCTCTTCCTTGCGCAACCGCCTTGAGCTGATCGAATACGCCTCGTGGAATATTTGTGCCCATCAAATTGGAGTGGTCCGATAAGGGCCATCAACCGACATCATGTCGAACGATTTGACGGGAGAGCAGATGCAGGCCAAAATCACGGCTGCACGGAGAGAAGCCGAAGGCCTGAAAGATCGTATCAAGCGCAAGAAGGATGACCTGGCCGACACCAGCTGTGAGTCGATTGGGTTACCCAGGGCATTGAGATGAATATTCTGCTAATGCGTGCTTATCCATCAGTGCGACAAGTCGCCATGAACAATACCGAACCACTCCCAAGAATAGGCATGAAACCGCGAAGGAATCTCAAGGGACATCTGGCCAAAATATATGCTATGCACTGGTCAACAGACAGGCGGCATCTTGTGTCGGCCTCTCAAGATGGAAAATTGATTATCTGGGATGCCTACACCACCAACAAAGTGCATGCCATTCCCCTGCGTTCCTCGTGGGTCATGACATGCGCATACGCCCCTAGTGGAAACTACGTTGCTTGTGGTGGTCTCGACAACATTTGCTCAATCTATAACCTTTCAACAAGAGAAGGTCCCACCCGTGTTGCTCGAGAATTGTCCGGACACTCAGGTTACTTGTCATGCTGTCGATTTGTCAATGACCGAAAAATTATCACCTCTTCGGGCGACATGACCTGCATGCTGTGGGATATCGAGACAGGTTCCAAGGTGACCGAGTTTGCAGATCATCTGGGCGATGTGATGAGCATCAGTATAAATCCCACCAATGCGAACGTTTTCGTTTCTGGAGCTTGCGATGCCTTCGCAAAGCTTTGGGACGTCCGGACGGGGAAGGCCGTACAGACTTTTGCTGGTCATGAATCCGATATCAACGCCATTCAATTTTTCCCAGACGGTAATGCCTTTGGCACTGGTTCCGACGACGCTTCCTGCAGGCTTTTCGACATCCGTGCAGATCGCGAATTGATGTCTTATCAGGCAAGTACGTTCCATTGCCACACGGCCAAATGTATTGACGTCCACTAGAATGAGCAAGTGCTTTGCGGCATCACCTCAGTCGCCTTCTCTGTCTCGGGCCGTTTGCTCTTTGCGGGTTACGACGACTTTGAATGCAAGGTTTGTACCATGATATCTCCATTGTTGATAAATGCTAACTCTTCTTGTAGGTCTGGGATACACTCCGTGGTGATAAAGTGGGCTCTCTCAACGGCCATGAAAACCGAGTTAGTTGTCTTGGTGTAAGCAATGATGGCATCAGTCTATGTACTGGGTCCTGGGATTCTCTCGTAAGTCCTATCCCACCCACCGACCCAATCACTACAAGTTTGCCCTTGCTGACGTTTACTCTGCAGCTCAAAGTTTGGGCTTGGTAAAATGGGAGCGGCTATGGGAAAAAGAATATATCCTCTTTTCATTCACGGCGAAATATTCAGATGCTTAATCTCGATCCTTGCGAGCGACAACCAACCAAATCCATCATCAGCCAAACCCTTTTCCCTTCGATCACGTTAAACCACCACCTTACAAACCCCCCTTGATGAAAAGTGCAGGTACGAGAAGTGGAGGAATTGCGGCCTTTGTGCGATGGGCAATATTACACACGATTTTGCTGAACACTTGGAAGGGTGCCCAACACTCAAACAACTGTAATGCCAAAGATTTTTTCTGGGACGGTACAAACGCAAGGGCTTTTTTCGTGAGAGAAGGGGGCGGCGCTGTTTTCCTGCTTTGCCAGACGGAGCGTGCTCGTGCTGGTCTTTTTTATCGTCTACGATCATGATGACAAGTGCCTGGTGCAGACGGAGTTACTGCTATGTTTACGTGCCATTGCCGCCACTACTGTACCCCAGGTATGCATGTGGCGTCGTCCTTACCCTTTTTCTTTGTTTCTTCTTCTATTCGCCAAAGTGGTGAGGTCTGTCCACCCGGAAGAGGATTGTGTGCCGTGTGTGTTCCACCATGTTGGCAACGCCGAAAATTCCTTGATGTTTCCATCGTTGTTGTTTTTTTCCCTTTCCAAATAGCGTGTCAACAGCCGCGCAGAGACAGTTTTTTGAGAACAAGAAAAAAGTATTTGAAGACGAGATATTGTACCTTGTTCGCCGCAGCTCCGCATTCTGGTCGGCAAGTACTCCGAATGGAAGCACCTGATAGACTGGAACCCGGCATCAGGGAGCGAGCAGAGTGCTCCGAGGCAAGAACCCCTGATGCCTCCACATGGGCATTGTAGGTGCAGGACTCGTGTGACAGTGATGGCTCGGGTACCGCGTTCGCTTTCGATTCCTGTGCAATTCAACTACCTAAGGTACCTAGGTACACAAGGTACTTATGACTATACAGGAGTACATCACACCGCCCCTGCCAAACCCCCTCCGTGGCGATGTTGCTTGCGCCTAAAAAAAACCCCCCCGGGCCCGAGATACGTGAAGTAAGCCAACGCCTCGAACGCAGCTAAGACCAAGAAACACTTGACGCACCAACCTAACACCCAACAACGATAAACACTCGGGATGCCTCATGACCACTCCAGACAAAGCGCTGGGCTCGCCCATTCTTTCACCCTGTACGTAGTGCAATCTATTATAGTATTCATGCTCTTCTTGCATCGGCGCGAGGAGCGCGGGTGTGTGTGTCGACAGCACACAGTGACGGCTTGTGTCAAAAACAAAATCAACACGAAAGATAAGACATAGCATCTTCCTCCGACGATACCCAACGCGAAAACTTTAACATGCACAGCCTTCCCTTCCTTGGTCGAGGTTGATATTGATCGGGTCTGAGAAATCGCCGCCATATTCCTCGCTCTCCTCCTGCGCCAGGGCGTTGCGGGCGATGACTTCAAAGGCCTGCTCGACGTTGATGCTCTCCTTGGCGCTGGTCTCGAAGTAGGGCATCTGCCCGCGCGACTGGCAATAGGCCATGGCTCGCTTCTGGGAGATCATCCTCCGCTCCTCGCCCTGGTCGATCTTGTTGCCCAGCACGACAAAGGGGAAAGTCTCGGGTTCGCGGGGCGACGCTTGGATGAGGAACTCGTCGCGCCAGGAGTCGAGCGTCTCGAACGACTTTGCGCTGTTGACATCGTAGACGAGCACGCAGCAGTCCGCGCCGCGGTAGAAGGCGACTCCCAGCGACTGGAAGCGTTCTTGGCCGGCCGTGTCCCAAAGCTGGAGCGTCACGATTCTGTCGTCGACGTTGACTTCCTTGGTCAAGAAGTCCGCGCCGATGGTGGCTTTGTAGGACGTGGAAAATTTCTTGTTTACCTAGAACACATCACGAAACCAAGAAGATCGCGTCAGGATCCAACCATGTAATCAGGAACAAGGCACAGTGCGAGGAATGACACGGCGACAGGGGCTTTGGCACGAGAGAGCGAAAATACAGGGCAGGGGCGCGGCGTACATATTGATTCATCAAACTCGTCTTGCCTACGCCGCTATCACCGAGGATAATGACCTGCGCCATAAAGGGTCAGTACATCTGATCTGGGGGGAACGCTGTTTTGCGAAGAGCGCAGGGCTCGTTGGCAGCGTACCTTCAAAAGCACCTTCTTTCTCGACGACATGGCCTTTTATGTATCTCTTGGGAGTGATCTCTGATGGACGCTGTAGAATAAGCAACGGGCCAGGTAATGGTCGAGATTGCGTGGGTTTGTCTGGAGAGGGTCTGGAGCTTTCGACTGATAAGTGTGGCTAGTGCGCCGCAGGCGGGCAGCTCTTTGGCGGGAAGAGGTCACGAGGGTGACTGCGAGGAGGATGTAGGAAGAAGCACGGATGGCCAACTGGCGCTTGGAGGGGGTGGGCTTTCAAGACAACAGAAAGTGGTTTGAAGAAGCTTAGTTGAGTTGTTCATCGACCTACGATGGAACACTTGGAACACGGGCATTGTATGGGAACACTGCTCCGATGGGATGGATGGTCGTCATGCACCCTTCAGACAAACGCAGTTTAGCCCGAGCCCGCCTGTGGCTCGTATCTCTCACTCGCTTTGCCTGAGGTGTCTCAAGGCCGTTGGCCCCAGTTCTACCTGCACTGAGTAGGCGCCAGCTTATCAGGGCAGGTCAGCCGACCTCATACGCTCGTTCCCCGGTATTCGTACCGCGAATGCATATGTCCTACGATGGCACGCAGGGACTCGTAACTCGTTGTCAGGCACAAGACGTTCTTACTATTTTCATGTCGACCGCGTTTCCTTCTTAAGGCTGCGCTATGACGACTTTTGACACGGCTCTCTACCCTTGACTGCAAGATGCCAATAGGCCAAATGACAAGATGACGACCACGTGGCGCGACACATATCTCTCGGCCTTGCAAGAACGGCAGAAAGTTGAACAAGCCAACCTGACGCTCTACGACTACTGCACCAAACTCGCCGACGAAAAAGCTGATCTCCAAAAAAATGCGACCGCGGCCCAGATTGCAGCGGCAGGAGGACCAGAGGATGCCGAGCAGCAGTCACCACCACCATCATCATCACCAGCAGCAGCAGCAGCAGCAGTGACCCAGCCATCGTACCTGGGAATAGGCATGGGCATAATGCGAGTGACGTCGCCCACGGCCGCTGCCGCCCGTCCGGACTCACCGACAGTCGCGCAGATTCGTCAGGACCTAGCCAGGGCGCAACAGGAGCGTGGCGACCTGCAGACCCGTCTCGAGAGGGCGGTCCACGACCTCGACGCGCTCAAGGCCAGGGCCAAAGGCGACGCCAGGCGCATCGCCCAGCTCAACGCCAGCCTGGCGCAGGTCACCGTCAAACTGCGCGACAGGGAGGAAGAACTGCGCGGCAAGGCGAAACTGATTGAGAACGTGCAGGACGAGAACGTGACGTTGAATCTCCAGCTCAACATGGCCGAGGAGCGGTCCGACACGCTGCGGCGGGAGAACAAGGAGCTCGTCGATCGCTGGATGGCCCGCATGGGCAAGGAAGCCGATCGTATGAACGAGGAGAACAGATTCGAATGAAATCGGATATAGACCGAATGCTCGATGCCGTGACGAAACAATTCACCTGCGCACTCTCCCGACCAACGTGAGCCGTCACTTCGATCTATCGTCCATCCCCGCTCGCTATATTTACTCATCCAATGTGGTCAGCCAGGCCCTGGCGAGCTATATCATTCTACAAAAGCGTGCTTTCTTAACAACCCGATGGTCGTCTCCGAGACACGACACGGCGTTACTATGCCCGACCCACGAGGGACCTCGTTTCAGCGCGCCCTGGTCTCCCGTTTCTTATAGCAGAACGCGGACGCTTTTTCTAAGGTCAGCACTCCCACCAATCTCAAGTATCGGTAGTGTAGCGTGAGAGACCCTAGCGGAAAGCAGCCCGATAATACAGCCCCTGAGTCGACCAATAAGAGAACACATATCTTGCCTCGGAAACTTCCAAGGACGACATCGTTATGAGGGCTAGAATAAGCATACTTTACACGAGCCGAGACCAAGTTGAGACCAAGTTGAGACGTTCAAGAAAATGAAATTGTCTGCAATGGTTGATCGTAAGAGGTAATAATGCATTAGAATACTGTCAATCGGTGGTATAATGTCGGCGCCTGGCCATCTTCTATCAAATAGGTCATGCCCCTTTTAGAATGCAATCCAATGGTCGAAATGTCTTCTAGGAAACCGACGCTATGCAAAATTTCGTGAACATCGTCCAAGCTGTCGTCCGAAAATGGCTGGTGGGAGCTCAGCCTAACTCAATACCGGCCTTCTGATCTTGTCCTGTGCCGCAGGACCTGTTGTAATACCTAATTGCTGCCGCCCATAGTCTTGAGAAACGCGTCCAACTCTCTCCGATCTTTCCGTTGATGATACCATTTCCCAGGATCGTCCGTCCAACTGACCATGCCGCTCCAGCGTTCCTTCTCCACCACTGACAGCACGTTAATGGGATCATTGTGATTCGATTCTTTGATCTTGTGCGCCGGGCTGCGGAATGGTTTAAGACTGACAATGTGACATCCCTCCTTGAGATCCAAGAACATGTATTTGAGATTGTCGTTCAATTGTGCCGAGAATGCTTGATTGTTGACCAGGACGACATCTGCCCGCTTGAGAACTTGTCGGATGGTATCATTTTTCAGGAAGTCACCATGAATCAGTTGGACGTCACCGGGCTTGATACCCCAGAGTTGACACCTCGCTCGAAATTCTGTAGCCTGAAGTTGGGCTAGTTCGTTTGGATTGTCCATGTACTCGCAGCCCCAAGCTTCGCAGCCGGTTTCCAACGCTGCCTGGACGACACAGTTACCGACTCCGGAGCCTAGATCGACAAAGACATGTTCCGACTTCAGACCCGTCTCCCTGAAGATCCGACTCAAGAACTTGGGGAGAAGCTCTCCGTAGACGGAGTTGGAAAAGGCCTCATATTGCCTTACTGATTCGACCTTGGGCGATACTGTGCGAGCATAAACCTGACCTCTAATAATGTGTTCGGCCAACTTCAGTTCAACCTGTTTCATTTGATCCAGCTTCTTTGCAATCGTGCCGTCATCACGCTTCTCCTTCATGAGGCTGTTGTATTTCTCAATTGTCTTGATATACTCTGTCTGTGCTCCAACACGGCCTTTTAGCCCGTGGGTTGCGTGTCGATGCAGCATCTGAACAAATCCGGAGCCTTCTTCCTCATTGTCCACTTTGCGGGCTGAGGCGATGTCGAGGTAGTATTCGGCCACCATTTTCATGTTGGCTTCGATTTCGTCCAACGGCTTAAAGTCAGATGAATCGATCGGCCTGAGTAATTGATACTTTTCGCCTTGTAACGAGGTCGGATATTGAAGCTCGATCACTGGATACTCGTCCTCGTCAACTTTCAACGTCTTGAAGAATTCTTCGTACTTGACTTTGCCGTGTTGATCAGGTTGAGGATTTGCGACCTGGATGGCATGAATCATAGAAAGTCGGTTGCTTCCATCCTCTGAGAACGCTTGGAGATCTCTAACTTTGCGCTTCTCGTCTACAGCGTCTTGCCCATCCGTGCGCATTCGCTTTCTAGGCTTGTCCTCCTCTTCACTCTCCTCGTCCGAACTTGTGAACTGCGGCGTCGATACGGCAGGTGAAGCCCGCTTGACTCGGCTATGCTTCTCATGTTTGATGCGTTCAATCGGTTCTCGGCTGCCTTGTCTGGAATGTGTGGAAGCTGGGGTGAGGGACTTGCGAGGGACGCTTGTCTTTCGAGAGATGCTATGAGAGTTGGCGCTGCGCACGTTGTGAGACGGTGCTGGCGCGGATGCAGAAAGCCTTGACGCTGGCTTCGTGGTCGAAGCAACGGTGACCATTTTAGTTAACATCTTCGGAGGCTGCTTCTTCGCTTTGAGGGCCGCCAACCCTGACAAGGGTCGACCCTGTGACGGCAGCGAACTCATGGTCGCAAATCGATAATAAGTCCAGAGAAACGATAGACGTAAAACAGCAATAGCAAATCTAGATCTGTTGATACATGCGATCGCATAGGAAGAAACGAAGGCGCCGATTTCTGGAGTAAGGAATGTGAGATCACACGACTGGGGGAAGACGAAAGATGCAGAGGGCGCAAGGCAACCAACATCGAAGCCAAAGTGCCTGCAGGCGAGATCTGCGTTTGCCGATGCGAGTATGTGGCGGCCAAGCCTGAGATTTCCGGCAAACACCGCCGCCGGAGCCTAAACTGGGGCGAGCCTCGCAGCCCCCACGGCCTTGCGTGCGGGTGAGCCAGGGGCCCAGGTCAAGGAACATTCTCTTCCCTGCGGCACCCACTTGCCTGACAGTTGGGGTCAGTCCGAATGTCATGCCTTTAAGTCGCGCTCGTGCAACTCCCACGAGATATATACAGCAATGACCCAGTTGAAGACCGAGCGCTTCTTGTCTACATGTACATATCGTGATGCGCCTAGTCAGAGCTGGGAATGTGCTGATTGGTCCTTGGTCCTTGGTCCTTGACTGACAAGGAAATCCATCCGCATTGTTACAAGCCTAGCTGTTGGTACCTATCTGTCGACGTCCTCATTCACGCCTCCGGAGACGAACTGTTGCGCCGGGGTCGTGCATTGGGCCTGTTCTCATTTTTATGATTATTCCATGATCTCTTCGAGCCGCCTCCCTTTCCTAAGAAGCCCCGATGACCACGGAAATCCCGCTTGTGAGATTGTCTTTGTTCATGGTGTCTCTCTTGGACACTGGTGTCTGGATGAGACTCTATCCACGTCTCAAGCATAGACGACACCTTCGGGCCCCAAACTTCCTCTCCTGCCTCTAAATCCTCATACGTGAGGGCGCTCACCAGCCCCTCTGGAGGAGGCTGGGCAGTTGTAAAGTCTGCCTGCTGACTTCTTATTAGGCTAGCCATGGTACCATATGAACCACAAGCAATGCCCAGGTCGTATGCAAAGGAGCGGACATAGAAGCCGCTGCTGACTGTCAAGCGTATCCGAGCTGCAGGAGCATCTGCAGGAGAGCTCTCTTGTGTCGGCAGATGGTGGATATGCATGGCTGCTTTTTCGTGCCGTGGGAGGTTGTTCTGATTGGACTTCACCGGTGTCTTGGTTGAACTGTTCGCGGACCCATGTTCACCCTGCGTTCCAACCGATTTTTTCGTGTCTTCTGCACCTCTCATCAGTTTCTGGAACACGGCTTTCTCTTCTTCGCCGGCTTGCTCAGCTGGCCACCGAAAATCATGCGACCCTGGCTCGTAATAGTCCAAAAGAGAGCACTCTGTGATCTCAATCTCGCGGCTTTCCAATTCGCGAGGAAGCTCCTTTCCACTGCGAGCGTAGTCATACAGCTTCATTCCATCAATTTTAATCGCACTGTACATGGGCGGAATCTGCTTCATCTTGCCGGTAAACTTTGCCACCTGATTCTCAACCACTGCTCTTGTAATGTCTCCTGTAGGTGCTTCCGCAACGACTTTGCCCATAACATCGTAGCTGTCGGTGGTCTTCCCAAAGAGCACGACTGTCTCGTAGGTTTTCTTGCAGGATAGAAATTCGAGCAAATGCTTCGTGCCCCTTCCGATTCCTACAATGAGCACACCTGTGGCCAATGGGTCCAGGGTACCTCCATGGCCCATCTTGAAGACTTGGTCCGTATCGCGTCTGCGCCGTTTGCGCGATTGTCTAGACTTTTCATCTTCGTCTTTCTTGGTCCGATCCAAGAGCGGCGCAAAAAGTTTCGACTCGGCAAAGTGATGCTGGAGGTCTCGCAAAACTTGAGCGGAGGAGAGACTTGGGGGTTTGCTCACGGCTAATTGAAAATTGGACTTGTCAGGACGGGAGGACCTTAGGAGAGGAATTGGCCTCACCGAAGACGCCTTCGAGTATTTTTGTGGGTGGCTGAGCCATCTTCAGAACGTGTTTCGGTATCATTCAGCGACGACGATTCCACTCGGGATCGTTCGTGAGAGCGCAGCCGTTATTGATTCCAGGCCTTCACGTGTTCCTTTGTTGAAACCGCCCATAGGATCCATACTCGTAGAATATTTATTTAATACCTCATTGAACTCATGCGGAGAAAGGACTGCCACGTGAGGATTAATACACTAAGACCAATTAGGTCAGGTGAAACCCGGCACCCAAAAGAACAGATTCAATCGGACAAATGACGTGCATCGTTCGCGGGCCATCCAGCGCGCCTTTGACTTTCCCAGCCTTGACGGCTATGGCTTTTGACATTATCACTTTACACCTTCTTGCTATCTGCAAGTGACGAGCGAATCGACTCACGATCCGTTGTGACATGCGTTATGCTCGCGACAGACGCTGTTAAACCGCACAATCGATGCTGACCGCGACTTAATCGACCCACTTAACCACCACCACCACGCCCGCACCCTCACCCTGACGCGAAGAGAGCAATGTCACAGCCTCAAATCTGACTTTCGTCTTAATATGTCCACACTGCCTGAAGAACGCGTCCTCAAACCCCTGGATCCCGTTCCAGAAGACGTGAACGAATGGCCTGATTTTGCCTTGAGGGATGTAAAAGTATTTTATCAGGGGAAAGGACGATATGCAGACTTGTTACACGCTTCCGAGGAAACACCACTTTGTGTTGTTGGGGAGCTGATGCCATTGGATGATGAACATGACCATTTAGGTGCGTCTTCTGAAGTGTTGACGTGTAAAACATACTGACACGCTTGTTGAGTACTGATTGAGAACCCTCTTTACGCGCGAATAAAGATCGATAATGTTACAAACTTTAGCTTTGGGCAGGACGATGATGGCAAACCTGTTATTTGGGCTGCAGGAAAAGCAGGCTGGTATGAAATTTCGCCGTCTGATCGCTATCTGAGCCACTACAATGATACTGTCGAGGCCATTGATCTGTTTTATTTCATGGTAGATCAACATCAAAGGCTCCCTAAAACGCGGCAACGCTTTGGTTTTAGGATAGATCCGTTCCTCAAAGATTATCAAAAGCATACGGGATACAGAATTGACGACGATGACGAAGCCATGGAGACAATCCACAAACATCACAGATTCCTTCTCAAGCAGATGATTGAGGAGAGAGAAGGTATAGATTGGTCACAGACTTATCTATGGAATCACCTTGCGGAAACATACGCCGACGAGGTAGAAGAGCTCCAAACAACACTGTCTCGGCTCACCCAGGCAACCGCAGTGGAAGAACCGGAAATGGGTGGTGGCGGTGACGACGGCGATGACGAATCGGAACAAGACTCTTCTTCCGAGTCAGAAGAATCCGGATCAGAACAGCAGTCCAAAGCAGACTCCGGAGACGACAGGAGCACATCGACAGAAGTAAAACCCCCACCTATCGACTGGACGAGACCTATATGGGAGATGCTTAACATTCTACGGAAGTCGGCAAACTTCAATATGAGACACTGCGGCATTGATGAAGCTGCAACCGAACTTGAGAAACTTCCGGCATTCGAAGGCACACATGAGGACGCCGTGGCCGCCTTCGAGCATTCTGCGGAAGAATTGCTCAGACTGATGAACGAGGCCAAACTCCGCAAGAAGTTCAATTGGTCTACTCGAAGAATCTATGACGAGCTAGAAGCCACGCTTGCAGATGAAGTAGCTGATGAAACCATGAAGACGCCAGGCAAATCAGCCAAACAGCGCCACCGCATGAAATCTGTCCTCCGCCCGAGTGGCGCCATTAAGTCGCACAAACGCGCCAGAGCTGCCGACACCGTGGATGAGGACGAGGAGATGAGTGATATACCAGTCTCATCCTCCATGGTGGCTCGACGACAGGCACCCCCACTCCATAGTCGTCTGCGAGAAACCACTGCAGACTCAGCAAGAAGTCGCGAGGACAGTCCTAGTCGTCAGCTAAATGGTCATTACGACCCAGATGCATTGCCCGAGCTCCCGCCAGTACCTGAGGCTCAGGAGCTTCTCGACCTGGTGGCTGAGGAAGCAAGGCGAGTGGGGAGACAGTACCAGGTAGGGCATTTGCAGTCCTTCTTGGGACAATGGGCACCTTGACGGTACATAAACGATGGCGTCCCGGGAGAAAGTTGGTGAAGGCGTCGTGGATGCATTGTATAACTGTGATACCCCTGTTTGCATTCTGGATAGTGATAAAGACCAGGAGCCCCCTGTTGTGTATTTCGACTTCCGAAGCTGGAACGTGATACGTCCTAGCATGCCGCACCGTGTTGATGCGTTGCATTATTATCATCGTCCAGCGGCTCTTCTACTCTTGCCTGGTCGCTTTGGCTTTCCTTTCATCTTGCTCGCCGAGAAGCCTCGCATGTCCCCGCTGCTGATGGCATCGCCGCTTTTGGAGAACCTCTTCTTGCCTCCGAATCCAAACTTCTGATCGCGCTTCTGTCTCTTGTTCGGAGGTCCGTTGGGTCCCGCACCTCGTTCACGGCCAGAGCGGTCCTTTGTAGGTGCGCTATCTACATCGATACTCTGGAAGAGATCACTGTCCTCGACGACCTTGCCTGTATCTTGTCCTTTTCGTTCTGCGGGGCATGTCATGTTAGTAAAGGGACAATATACACCACGAATCAGGTAAATGAGGAGGTGTATGTGTACGGCTGGGTGACTTACTTCTCTTCAACTCCTTGATCTTGTCAAGGGTGTTCCGCTTCTCCTTGGCGCGCTCCTGCTCCTTCGCCACTTGGACGGCCTTGCCGAATTTCTTTGCGTCCCTGAGCTTGCGGGCCTCCTCGGCCGCCTTCTTGGATGCGGCATCATCGTACATCTTCTTCTTCACGCGGCCCATGTGCTCGTCCGATTTGACCATCTCGGCAAAGTAGTCAGCCGGCCGCGAGAAGGGGATGTGTTCCTTTTTGAGCAGGGCGCGTCCTTCGACGGCGGCGTCGCGGGCGATGCGGTAGAACTCCAATTCGCGCGTGAGGTCGTCGTTCGGGTCTGGGATCGACGTCTCCGTCGACGGGAGCTGCGATATCAGGGAGTTGTGCATGTGGAAAGGGGTAGACTTGGAACCGGGATCCTTGACCAGAGCGACACGCTTCGTCGACGCGATAAGCGCGGGCCCGTTGTTGATGGTCAGGCGTTGGTGCGGGATCGTGTCTTCGAGGTCTTCGTCTTCCAGGTCGGAGAGGGGCACGTCGGATTCGTCTTCGGCTTCGGACGCCGAGGCGTCAACGGGGAGAGGAGGTTGAGGGATGGTAGATGATGATGTGCTTGCACCCTTGGCCGCAGTGGTGTCTTCCTCTTCGTCAGAGAAGGATGCGAAGTTCTCCTTGTCTTCTTCGTCGAGCCTCGCACCGGTGCTTTCATCCGGTATGCTCCCTTCTGATTCCTCATGGTCTCCGGGTATCTGGCCTTTCTGGCGCTTGCGCTTCTCTGCTGCTTTGACAAGTTTCTGTCTCTTCTCGGCCTCGTAGTCCCGTCCCTTGTGTCGGTCCAAGGCCGCCAGAAGTTTACTCTTCTTGGCCATATTTCTGAATTTGACTGTCGAACAATGCAGAACAACCACGGGTAGACTGAAGCTGGGTTGCACGTTGTTGGGAAGTCAAGTTTCGGTGTATGAAGAATTTCTTGAATCTTGAGCAGAAAATTATACTGAGTTGGAGATGGCTGCGGAGTGGCAGTTTGGTGGATCCAGCCTGGAGGGAACTAACTGGTAACTATCTGGGCTCAGGGAAGAATAGTGGTCTGACCAATAATCCGGCATCAATATTTAGCTTTGAGTGACAGTCAGACCGGTTGCTTTTACTCTATCCCGAAACAGCGACCTCACTCTGCACTTCGTCTACTGTGGTTCAACACCAATGCCCATTCTATTCAGTATCCTTCAGGTTGCGACCCTCGACACGCTGTTGGCCTGTACAACAGGTCAAGGATGACGTCTTGAGTATAGGAACCACGTGCCGCGAACTCGTCAATGCGAGCAATTGTATCCCACTGAGCGCCACCTCATCATGGTATGTGAAGCAGAGTACTGGTATCCTGGTTACACAAGTCCACAGCCTCGTATTCCAACCTCCCCCCTGCTTTCATCACCCTCTCATTTCCACATGTCCCACGTTGTAACAGTTGTCTTTCGGCCATGCCTAACGGGACATTCTTCCAGTCTGCTTCCCTCCCGACACCGCCACCCACTCAGCAAGCCAGCCCGCCTTATTCCTCCGACAACATTGCGGCGGCAGTATCTTCTGCCTCTGACTATGCCGGCCCGAACGACGCGACTGCGAGACTTACCGAGGCCATTGATGACTTCCTGGGAGACCTGGAGAAGAAGTTCAAAGGGATCAGCGATGAGATATTGACCAAGCTGGACGACATGGCAGAGCGCTGTGATCGCCTCGAGCAAGAGATTTTGCTGAAAGATGCTAGTGCGATGGACAACACGGGAAAGAACTCGGCGGGTTCAAACGCCGGCTCATCATGACGGCCGGTCAGCTGAGAGTTTACACCATTTTGGAAGGAGAACGACGCACAAGACCAAGTCTCTGCAAAGCCTGGTCGCATTTAGGCTGTGAATCGCAGTCTCAAGGGTTCTACTTTGGCAAGCATACTCTGACATAAAGATCCTTCACATCGTCAAACCGATTTGCTGCCGTGCATGGTCTCATTTATGCCTACGAATGTCGGGATCCAGGTCTGTGACAAAGAGGTACATCTCACACGTCAGGTCCCCTCCTATCTCGAAACAAGGTTTCTATCCTCGTATCCGGACTACTCATCGTACTATCGAGGCAAAGATCCAAAAGGTTGAGGGGCCATATGCAAAGTACCCGGGGCTTCGAACCCGGCAGGTCTGGTAGAAACACGTTTGAAGCCATTTTAAACTCCTGTAGTAGACTCAACTTTTGAGACCCAGTGCCCAATAGTTTGTTCTAACCCAAATGCATAACTTTCCGCTCATGTTTGAATAGTTTACAATTCACTCTTTGCGTCGTCCTTGACCAGGAACTTGGCCAGAATATTGCTCCGTCTCTGAAGATCGTCGATCTTTTCTGGAGCAAGACCACCCTTCTTCAACAAACCTGCCAGCCTTGTTTGCTCCTTCATAGCATACTCTGGGTTACCAGTGATCTTGCTCAGTGCACGCAGATAGTAGTCCACGCTCTTGTCCTTGAGGTTGGCGGCCGCCTTCTTAACCTCCGCAGTTGCCTTGTCAACATCCTTGATACCGCCGGCTGTGATGTATTTCGCCAGCACGGTGTCGATGACTTCAAGGGTGCCCGCCTGGCTGTTCAGCCCTCCACCTGGAACGCGGTATGTGCCGGCCTTGGAGTTCACGAAGTCCACAAGCGCTTCCTCACTGCGGCCACCGCTGTATGCTTCGGCTTCGGTGCTACCCTTCGGGAAGAACTTGATCGTAGGATAACCCGTGATTCCTTGTGCCTGGGCCGTAGCTTTGCTGTTCTCCGCTTCTGCATCGACTTTGGCAATGAGGACGTTGGGTTCCGCGGCGAAGTCAGAGGCGACTTTCTCCCATGTTGGCGCGAGAGACTTGCAGTCTATGCGGGTCGTCGTTAGCAGTCACTCAATTTTCAAGGCCCAACAGCAGAGAACTTACGGCCACACCAAGGTGCGGTGAACGCCACGAGAACGTCTTTATCACCGCCAATTTCCGTCTTGAAAGAACTGTCGGTCAACATCTCGACATGGCTAGGCGCTTTCTTGGGACCTCTGCTCTTGACGCCACTTTTCTCTGTGACGAACTTGGTCAAAGATTCGAGATCTCGGCCACCATTGTAGTCCTCCGGCACACTTCCGGGCTTTCCATCGAACCACTTGAGTGTTGGGAACCCTTGAACACCAAATCTCTTGCCCAGGTCCTTATGCTTGTCCGCATCAACATTGGCAATGGTGACTTTGTTGCCGCTGGCAGCGAAGGCGCTGGCCAACTCTTCATAGACAGGGGCGAGATTCTTGCAGTGTCCACACCAAGGGGCAAAAAATTCGACTAGAGCAGGTTTATTGGACTCGAAAACAACACTGTCGAAGTTTGAAGGGATCAAGTTGATCACGTCTGAGGCGGTGGCAACGAGCGGCAGGGCGAGAGTTGCCAGGGACAAAAGGGCACGGAACTGTACCATTCTGGCGTTGCAGCAGGAGTTCGTAAGACGGGTTGGTAAAGAATGAGAGATCGATGAAAGTCGCTCGGCAATGTGGAAGTATGAACATGCAAAGTCGAAGCGAAAAGAAAACTGAAATGCGGTCGAGGGATATGATACATGTATGGGGAGTCTGCTGCGGCTACACACTGCAGGTCGCTGCTATTTCAGGTCTACCGCAGGGTCTTCGATTTCCAAGCATCGGAAAAGACACCTGTCTCCTAATAACACAGCCTTGCGCTTCACGATACTAACTAATCATCCGCGTCTGCAAATGATTACTCTCCGTCGCATCACCACTACGCGGGCAGCAATGGTGGCTGAAAAACGCACAGAGAGTAACCCAGGACAGTGATTAATCAGGTTGACTTGATTGATACACATTAGGCTATTGTTACTATGCCCTATAGATACAGAGTCCGACCCTATCCAGCGCTCTTCACACTGCGGACTAAAATCTCGGGTTTGCGACTACCTATGGCTTAAATCGCTAGTTGTCAATCAACCCAGCGCCTTTGCTTGCTACACATCAATCATCTAGAATTCAAGCAAGTTGGGTATTGAGAACGTTGATGAGTCGTAATGTTTTTCGTTGTTTCTGGCGTCCATTGATTTATCTCAACCTCCATGATATAACTGATGGTAAGCGTTGTGTGCATCAACAAGCACTGGATAAAAGTTAGAGGATTATTACTAGAAAAGATGGCTGGAACTCACTTTGCAGCACGCCTTGCTGGGACTGCCTGCTTTCGCATGCACACTGCACGCATGATCCGTCTTTCAAATCAAGAATAATGCTCCAAGCAATTTCTTCCCGCTCCAGGTCCGGCAATGTTGGTCGGTTGAAGTCGCTGAGATGATACTTCCGGCTGACAGATTTTGTGCTTGCATCATTCATGGGTGGCGAAAATATAAGATATCCTTGATCGTCAATCCTCATGAAACGGCGCTTCCACAGGAGAGATTCAGGGAATTGGACATTAACATCCCCAATATCAACAATGTGCATCAGTGATTCTCGGACGGAATGCTCCTTGGTGTCTTCGTCGTGTTGTTCCTGGATTGTGTTGGGATGTGTCTGCTCCTTCGAGCCCGACTGTATTTTGCTCCGGGATGATGTCAAGGTTGACACCCTTTTCATCAACCGACTTGTCCTAGAAGATTTTGACTTTTCTTCCGTGAAGGAGGCCGCATCACTGTTGGACCGCGTTCCATGCTTTTTATGTGTGCTGGCATATGAAATCTTGCTGTGGTTTGACTCCGAGCGAGGTAAATTGGTTTGTGAAGTTGAACGGTGCGAGGAAAAGGAAAACCGCCCTCTCTCCGATCTGGTGGGACTTTTAGTGTTGGACTGTCTGGAGGTAAATGAGTCTTCTCTTTCAAGATTGTCATGCTTCTCATGCTCCACAATCAATGGACTTCGGAAAAGATTAAGAGGAGTATTGAAAGTTGAACTGGGTGACATTGGAGGATGCTTGCTGTTAGGATCTCGGACAATTTTTGCGGTCACGGATATGGTATCTGCTTTCTGAAAGGGCGCATAGCTATCAATAGACGGCCGCCGAGACTCCTTTGTATCGTTCGTCTGCTTGACTGGGTCGTACAGTGATACTATCGTCGGTGTTTTCTTTGGGGGGGATCTTTCAGTTGAGGCGTTCGGTTTCATGTGGTTTCCAACCAGCGATGAACGTTTCATGAATGACGAGAAAGCTGACTTGCCGACAGAAGTCTCTCGCGTGGGTGTAGGAGGTTGTGAGGCGTTTGTGTCTTTTGCTGTCAAGACCTCCAGAGCCTTAATGCGTTTGGATATTCCAGTTCCGAGAGTTGGTTTCTTGGTCAGAGGAGCTGGCATAGGCTCAGCTTGCACAGGTGGCCATTGTGGAAGTGCCGTGGATACACTGCGAACGCTGCCGGATCTGCTGGCAGTGCGCCTGCCCTCCGGAGTACTACCGCGGCTGGATTTCGGTGGCTGGCTGGAGAGTGAAGCTTTCGTCACAATCTCGCGCAGCCTATCTGAGCTTCCTTTTGTTGATATGATGGGGGTGACTACTGGAGAACGAGCGACAGACACTGGTTTCGCTTCGTGAACAGTTGCATTGTCAATGTCATCCATGAGGAGTTCATCGTCAGAGGATTCATCAGAAACAGATGTATCACCCCTGGCCAGCTGTAAAGGCTTAGGTGCATGACGCTGTACTGGTAATGGAGCTTCCGGAGCGGCAGTTGTCGGTGGAGAAATGTTGACACCAGATGCTTGTCTGATATCAGAAGTGGTGCTTTCTTTGCAGATATCAGATTGCTGGCTGAAGGAGACAGGGATACCCAATCCTTGACTACTTGAAGGTCTACTAGTAGCCACTTTTTCGTGAGCTTGTGCAGGTAATTCTCGAGCTGGAGCTTTCGGTGTGATCGATGAGCTAGTAGCTGAAGACAGCGACCGACGCTTGTTCAAGATATCGTCTTGTTCTGAGATAGATGACGCCTTCGTGGACGGCTCCTCTGAAGTGTTCGTCATGAAAGTAGGAGACGTCGTGGAAGATGACTCAGCCAATTTCGATTCCTCGTCGACACTTGAATGCTGCTCTTGACTAGTGACTGTAGACAAATCACTGCAGGATGAAATAGTACTGAGGCTTGTCTCGGAAGGCGTAGGCGCGTGTGAGGTGGCAGACGTCAAAGTAGATCGCTGCGCAAGCAACATGTTCCGTTTGCGAAGTTGAAGGGCCTTCATCATCCTCAACTTTTCCGGAGTGGCTGCAGACGCTTCGGTAGTGACTGAAGCAGGCCTTGACGCAGCCGGCCGATTTTCAATTGGGTTGTAGAGTGACTGTATGTGAGATGGCGAAGGTAGTGGTGGTGGTCCGCTGAACGAATGACTCGAGTTTGCGAAACGTCCAGGAACGCTGCGAGTCGATCGCTGTGATCCGGGGCGACCAGAAAGTGTCAGTAGAGACCTGTTGTTCACACGAATACTGTGTGGTAGGTTTGCGACTGGTCGTACGCCGAGATTACTATCAGCAGTGCCCGACGTTTTGGGACGATTCGTCGCTTCAACATGTGGTCTAGGTCCTAGCTTTTTCTTCTTGGGTTTCACCCCAGCGTACGAAGCAACATTGCTGCTCCACTGACTGATACTATCCGACTCAGCAGGCGACAGGTGATGAGATTGAGGAGGGCGTGGCGTCGCAGGCTCGGTTAGATCTCGGTTTGTTGCATCCAGAAGGATATTGCTCGCTGTTTCAAAATCTGGGGCTCTTGCAGGCTCGCCACCGCTCGTAGTGGGTGGTGTTGACTCTGGAGTAATAGCCAAGTTCTTTTCAATGGTTGTTGGATTCAGAGATGATTGTCCTTTGTGGGAAACTGCGGCTGCTGGCGGCGGCACAGGAATATCGAGGCGGATCGAGTCTTCATTATGACCTGTAGAGGCCGAAGCGGCAGTCTCTTTTCTCTTCGCCAGAAGAGCTTTCGCCAGGACCGCACTTGCTGGCAGCTCATCCAGTTCGTGTCTCCCATACTTGGGTGTGATAGGTTCCTGTTCCACTTGCGTCGGGTGGACGACTTTTTCTTCAGGCTCAGAATTCCCTTCTTCGGCATCCTCAGTGATTTCATCCAATCTTCGACGTCGTAAGGACGAAGTAGACGACGTCAATGAACCTGCAGACGGTAGCAGCATCGTGCTCAGACCAAGGGTAGAATCAGTCAACTCTGAAGCGACCGTGAAAGAGAAGACAGTGTCATGAGGCGTGAATGTTTCTAGGATGGACTGGAATTGGACGGTCAAGCGCACTGTAATGATCAAGTCAGCCATGGACTGTGCAGAGTACTGTGATTACAGTCCTGAGTTGTGAGTTGTGAGTGAACGAACCTTGCAACAACCGCGACGTTCCCTCTGGCACATATTTGAGAATTACTTTTTTGCGCCGGTATTGGACCATGCCATACAGTGGTGACTTTTCCTCGTATCCTTCAATAGCACCTCTGACCTCCTGGACTCCTCCGGTGCCCTTCTGCAACAACTCTACCGTATCGCGATTGGCATACTTGAGGAGGAACCTGAACGTCGTGTGTCTTGTCAGCGCAATCCTTTGGGTCCTATTCGCGTCCGAGTGTACATACCATCCTCCAGCATCAGCAAGCACAGCCTGGTACGCTTCGGCGACCGCAGCTCCATCAAGGCCATTCAATGACATTTCTCAGCTGCATTTGAAACCACTGCAGCCGAGGGCGAATTAAGACGGATGCCTACAGATCAAGGACATGGGAATAGTGGACAGTGGTCATAAAAGACAAAAGACACAGGGAAACAGAGCAAGCCTTCCATACGAAACAACCCGGCTAAACACATACAGGAGCGCCATAAAGTCTGGAGAGGGCATGTTCGAGGGGAGTCCACACGCAGGAGCAATACCAATGAAGCACAGCGCGGAACACTATCTGCAGATTCAGGGGGTATCGTCCACGAAGCGAAGGCCGACAGGGATCATGGAGCTTGATGGCACACAATTAATGGCCTTGGTGGGGTTTAGTTGACCTCAAAGCGCCCGAACAATGCCAGCGTCCGAAGGCTTATTCCACCATCATCACCTAAAACGAAGGCCAATTTCCCGAGGCACAGCTGGTCCTTGTCGGGACAGAAGCAAGGGATATGAGGCCCATCCAGCGCTGGCCCATCGGACTATCGCTCGTTTGGCTTTGCCTAGCGACCGGGTCTCCCCTTGACAGCGACCATGCCCTTGCTCGTGGAGGAAAAATAGTCAGAGCCAACCGATCCAAGGGGATCACGCAAGTCATGTTGCCGATGTCTATCAGTTTCTCTCTTTTTATCTTCAACTACGAGTGCGTCTGAAGTGCAAGTGAGAGCGCTTGATGTGACGCAGGTGCTACAGAACACCTTGAAACCCAGAACTCTGATAAAGAGTAAGTCCGGGTTGAACACAACTATCTGTCATCACCGTGACAACAGAAGCGCGCGCACATGCCTCCTTTAAATGCGGCCCGGCCGTTCGACATGACAGCACGGATAAAGCCTTTCTATACTTCGTCCATACGAGTACCAATTGCACGATGATTCCCAGGCATAAATCACAAATACTGGGGATACGTCTATAATTCACGGCTCGTACCCGGGAAGACTTTTGTCGATGGCGCAAAAGTATCTAGTGCTCAATCTGCACTATTTTTGACAATCCGCGCAAATCATCTATTCACGTGGTTGCTACGCAATGTGTTTCGGCCACATGGCTTTCCTGATCGTTGCAATGAAGCAGTATTCATCGATTATCTCCCGAACGTGTGCTCTTCTCGTTGTCTGCAACGGAATGTTCATAATCACGTGACAGACCCATGGGAGGCATCGATTGATCGGACGGAGCCCACCGAAACTTGATCTGACGTCGAGCCAACTCCATACTTTCGAGTTCTTTCTGGAGGCAGGACATGCTCGTCGTTCCGTTTCTATCAAGACGTACGGTTGCGTTTAAAAACCCGGTAAATTCTAGACAAGGTCATACGAGGTGCATTGCATATTATACATCATGTTAACACTCCCGCCTATTTCGCAAGTGGTCGGCCTCACCACCGAAGCAAGGGCACAGGTACTCGACCTGCTCTTTGAGCCCTGTCAACAGCTCCACACACTATCAGTCAGCTTGCTCCAAGAACGGTCTTTCGCATCTTATGATGAGCTCATAGACGCCGTCGGCCAGCAACTCCGGGACCTGTGCGAGTCTCGACTGGAGAGCGACAACAAGTGGCTGGAAGCCATCCTGTCTGCCCATCCACGGCTGGGCGAGAAGAAGGTTGAGAGCGAGCAGAGCAGGAAGGAGCAAGCCCAGCTCAACCAAGGCGGCGAAGAGCAGGCGGCCATGTTGGCGGAGATGAACAGGAGTTATGAAAGTACCTTTCCAGGCTTGCGATACGTGTATGATTCTTCCTTCCCCCTCCCCCTTCCCCCCGCCACCTCATGTGGACTTTGTGATCCTGTAGTGATCTCGGAACCGTCCCATCGCTGATTCCCCAACCCAACATGTACAGTGTCTTTGTGAACGGGCGGAGCCGTCCTGTGATCATGGCGGATATGCAGAAACGGATACAACGAGGCGACATCAAGCAGGAGAAGCAAGATGCCATCAAGGTCAGTTCTCGATGTCTACCCCTCCCCCGACGAACCCCTGTTTTCCGAAAAAACAAGGGCCTGAACTGTGCCAACTGACGTGCCATCCACATCAAGGCAATGTGTGAAATTGCCTCTGATCGAGCAAGGAAACTGAGCGTGTGAGGCATCGGCGGGAAACGTCATGGTCGATGGTCGTCACGGATAACTTTGATGCCAGCCGAAGAGCGTCGCGATATTATTATCTATCTTAACACTATTCGCCTAGTCGAAGCATATAGGGAGGGGCGCAGGTTGGGACTCGTCCTGCACATTCCATCCCACGCCTGCATATTTGGCCAAGCCTCGGACAAGTTAACGTCAGTTCTCACGCAACCGTCTGAAAAGAAAATCGTTACTTCAGCGTCTTCTTGGTTTAAGTTCGATAGATCAAGATGAGATATAAACAGTGCACACTTAGGACGCCCTGCATTGGAATATCCAACATTGAGTACGTTCCTATTATCATGTATATGGATACATTCATTTAAACAAAGCCGTCAACCCCACCAGCCCATTGCACCCTTTCTATGGTGCTTTTCATATCATAAAACCCGACTCTGATGTTCTCAGAGGCTTTCATATGGGATCAGGTAAAACCCCAGGGAACGCAAACGGTCCCGATAGCTACAACTGAGGTTTATTTACTGGTCAATTTCTTCCTTTCATCGTCACTGTCTTCTTCCCCGTCGCTCCACTCGATGTTATCATCGCCAACGGCGAAAATCGTCTCTCCGTCCAGTGACTCTCTGACCCGCGGGGGGTTCGGGGGTTCTCTGCTGCTATTCTGCAATGCGGGAGCAGGCGAGGCTTTCCTCGGCGGCGAGACGTTAACAGCATCCGTGAGCGACGAACTGGCTCCTCCTGGCGGGCTGACGTCGCGCTCGTGGTCTTTACGTGCTGCCTCCTCATCATCCGATAGGGAATCGGCAATGCTTCTGATTTCAAAGCCGTCATCGTCTTGTGCCAACTAGAGAATACTTTGTCAGCAGATGCGATCGAGATACTCCCACGCCTCAGGACTAGAAGAAACACATTTTGCGAGAAAGACAGTGGGAGCTTACCTCATCACTCATCGCAAATCGCCTATTATTCGCCGTCGGTCTCCACAAGTATGCAATGAATGCGATGTCGAATAGGTACACGAGATTGAGCCAGCCATCCAAGACAAACCATCGTGTTTGCCAATGTCTCGGTACAAAGTCGCTCTCGCCACTCCCGGCGAGGGCGAAGCTATTTATGAAGAAAAAAGCAAAGATAACCAGTATCGATCCAAGAATACACCACGACAATTTCTTGTACATCAGCGCCTTCGTCTTCTGTCTCCGGTCCACAAGGTCCTTGATCGTGACGTTCAAACTGCTCAGGGTCCAGACATAGAAAGCCGTGAGAGTTCCGGCGAGTGGTAGAATGACGAAGAGGATGAGGGGTCCGACGGACTCGGGGGTCACGGCCATGCTGGCGATGGCGTAAATGACGCCAAAGATGAAATGTGCTGCGGCAAGAATTCGCACATATATCATCGTCCGTCCCAGACTGGGCTTGACCACACCGAAACCCATGCATACAATGAGTAGGAGGAAAAATGACAGTGAGTTGCGACCAGCATTGAGTATTGACACGACAATCATGAACATCTTGTTCAGAGTATTGTTACCATGGCGGTTCTGGTAGTCATAGAAGCCCCAGGTCATGAGCTGTTCCACGATCAGGAACACAATCGTGAAAGTGATGTAGTTCTGTACAGGAAGAATGTCAGATCTGTTCTGGACGTACAGAAACGCCCAGAATACGCCGAGCACCGCATAGACGATCGTCAACCCCCCATAAAATGGGAGTTTGGCAATCTGCGCAGCGGGCAATTCGCCGTAGCTGTTGCGGAATTCAACGACGGCGTCATATTCATGGTCACTGAAGGCATAGGTGCTGACGCAGTAGTATCCCGTCCGGCGTATCGGGTAGTTGATGGCCTTCGGGTCTTTCAGGTGTATTGCCTCATTGAATATGGGATTTTGAGCAAGAGATGTAGCATTAGGCGCAAGGATGAACGAGCCAATGTCCTTCTCTTCACAAAGATTCTGGGCCACAGCGTCTGAGTTGCATATCGTTTGAAGGTCGCGGTATTCGGTGCTCCCGGCAGGCATGCGCCCGATTAGGGGTTCGTCCGTCCATTCGAATATGATCAGCGAAGAGATGGGGTCGGTGTCATCTTCAGTGTGATCCGGCAAATATTTTACAAGGATGAAGGGCTCAACGGAGCCGCCCCAGGACTTCCGACTGTACATGCCACTGCATCGTTGACGGTTCGCGTCATCTTGGTTCTGTCTTGGTCAGCCACAGGATAGGACAAACAGCAAGGGTTAGTCGTACGAGTTTTATCTCATTGCCGGCGACCAGGGTCGCTAGGTATGCCAGGAGCCCAAGAGATGGCGCCCAACGCTTCATTGTGACCTTAAGCTTCTCAAGGCACGGCAGGCAGAGAGTTTTGAGCACAGGTCGGGAGGGGAGTGTCTGAAGTAAAGACCGGAGGGTTCGTCTAGTAAGAGAGAACAGGTGAGCTTCAGGTACAATTCATGGCGCTGGCGATGAGCCTGTTACCCGATGCGACTGTTACGACACGAGATTGTCTCTTGTGCTTAAGGTTTATGGAAGTTGCGTTGATAAATAAACTGGTATGAGTATCTGGCTCACGTGGAGCATCGGCGCGCGGAACAACGGGGCGGATGATGTCTGGGCGGCCAGGACATCATTTAATAGTCCGTACGTAGCACATTTCTTGAATTCTCAGGATCGACACACTCATGTTGTCAATTTGATTAATTCTACCCCCTACTACCATAGCCGATACCGCGACGGTACTACAGCCCCTACGGGCGGTGCTTGCGCGACAATTATTCTCTTGCTTTACCCTTTGCCTTTCCGACCAAACTCCGCGCCGTCTCACACACATAGATATGCGGGCCTATAAAGTCTTCGTTACCCTCGTTCGGGTTCCAGCAGTGTCGCTCTCCTTCATCAAGCATGTCATTTATTGAAGCCAGAAGTGCACTCGCAACAACTCGATTGCTCGTAATCGTGACAATTTCATGTGCCCAACCATACATGAATACCGAGGTATTGATATCTGTAAGGTGGAGTTTAGACGCTGCTCGAGCAGCGATCGAGGAAGGAAACCTGTTATGTCGAGTAGTCTTCGGCCCCTCACTCGAAATGATCGATAAGTAGTCTGTGGAACTGAAGTCGACTATACTGATCGGCAATCTGAGGTTCTCTGATACAGCGTGTCTAGACTGCTCACTAAGCGCGAGTCGTAACTCTGCAGCTGACCGATTATCGAACGATCTTTCTCCTAGAATGATGTCGGCGCGGAGCTGCTCAGTCGCAGTACCCATAGTCTGGACGATTTCACGCATTCGTCGTGCAGCGTCAGAGGTACAATGAAGGCTCCGATTCAATAGGCAAGGGTAGACCTCTTCCGGCAGCAGTGGATGGGTCTCCTCTGATTGAATCTGCCGTTGAATAGCTTTATGAAAAGTTGCGGAAGTGGGATTGCAGCCTGGTGACATATCGTGACGCCGGAGATGGGATATGTCAGAGATCAAGGCCAAGAGTATTGTACAGTCAATATTGATGGTTGGTGTTAAAGGGACTGGTGCAAGTGCCGGGGTCATCCTGTCGAAGTCAGGCCTTCCCCGTTCTTGATGAACATCTTTCGACAACACTCCACATTGTATGCTCACACCTGTTGCCCTGATATCCGCCAGGAATGCATCGATGTCGGGGTATGCCCCTTCTTTGATGTTCGGTAAAACAAAGCGGACACGCGGATGCTGGAAATGGACTCGTACAGATTGTGACGCAGCTTGAAGGTCTTCAGCAAGGCGAACAAGCTCCAGTTTACTGGGTTTTCGACGGGGTGGTAGCTCGTTGTCGTCTGTATCGCTGTCATTGCTGAAATCCCCATAACTCTCCCATCCTTCTTTTGCCATCTCGAACAGTAGTCTTTTTTCACTTATGGTAGAGACTTTAGTCCACTCGAGTCCATTCTCAGTGACAATATCAACAAGGATATCTTTGCGTGTTGATGGCAGCGACTTTCCTTTCAAACTTTCCTGTGCCTCATTGATACTGGAAGGCTGACGATCAACGTAAACCCTCTTTCCTAGAGCGCTTATCGCATGGCTCGTCTTTGCAACCCCCCAAACTGCTTCATAAAATGACAGATTGGAGCTCCGTAGAGCATGTAATTGGGTGGGTTCGCCCACTTCGGAGTCGGAAGCATCGACAGTGTTGTTGCTGACGGAGATTCGCTGGGTGATCTTGGTCAGGCTCTTTACCTCAGACTCAACACCACGTCTGAAGATTCTGAATTCAACGTCATGCTGCTTCTGCTGAGACTCAAGATGTGCTTGAAAAGCTTTGAATTCAGTCAGGAGGGCTTCAGCACGGATCGTAAGGTTTTTCAAAAGGTCTATGCCGCCCAGCTTGTCTGATTGAAGGCCCCGGCCTCGTTCCAAATGCATCACCTCTCACAGTATCGCGGCTGTATTGAAAGAACATTCTCTGGTGTGAAAGTTGAAGTGAGCTGAGGCAGGCGACCGTTGACAGCGGAGGTTTTCTGGATGCCGAGGAGAGGGGAATCCCATTGGCGGAATCGAAAAGAACGCCATGCGAACCGCTAAAGCAGCAAGATCACATCAGACTCGCGTACATTCTCGACATCTTAATGATGCATTCTTTGGCATAGCACCTCGTCGTGCATTCAAAGGTCTGGTGTTTTGATTTGATCTCCTGGCAACCACATGCAGACTTTTGTGTCCGCAGTTGCCAGCATGTTGTATCTCGGGTTGCACTGTACAACAGCAGACTTGATCCCACGACTTGCGAGTCTAGCAGTAGGGTCCTGTCTACCACCAGTCGCTGCTTGAGTATCCCAGACCATCAAGTCTGATTGATCGCCAGACCCCCCAATTACGTATCTGCCGTCCTGGGTAAAGCAGGCGTCGCCCTGTCCCAATGGCTTTCCGGAAGTCGATACTGGCGCAGCTCTACCCGTGCCAGTCGTTTTACCTACCAGAAATGATTTGATAGCGCCATCGTAAGCATCTAAGAGGAAATGTCCGTGGTAGTCCGTCCCTAGAAGCATGCTTTTTCCATCATTGGAGAACTCCAATCTCGTCCAGGCCCGTCCTTTGGTGGTCGGAGTATATCTATCTTCAGCCTGCGACATGTCAAATGTCTCAAATGGCGCCTTATCAAAATTCCTGACATCATACATAAGGATGGAGGAAGTCGATTGTGACGCTATAGCCATCACATTTGCTGAAGGATCGTAGGCAGCCAAGTAGGGTGTCACCAGTTTTAATTTGCCCTGCGGACTTCTGGAATTCAAGTCCCATAGGCAAACCATATCATCGTTTCCGCACGATAAGAACTGGTCACCTCCAGGCGATAACGCTATGCAGGTAACTTGAGCAGTATGGGCCGTAAAGTACCGGACAAAACTTTCGTTGTGCAGTTCTAGCAAGCGCAGGGAGTCCTCTTGTTTCGTACTAGCAAAGAGCACATTGCGTGGGTGGTGTGTGAAGCGAGCCAGATGTATGCCGTACTTCTTGCTAGGTATGACCTTCGTTCTCTTTCCCTCTTTGATATCATAGACCTGCATGGTCTCGTCGTCCGAGGCCGCAACAAGGAATTCACCCATATCATCGAAATCCAGGGATGTGACACGACTGTCGATGCCGTCAGATCGCGTGGAGCCAGGAAATTGCTGCGATATGTTAGCATGAATCTGTATCATATGTGAGCCGTCTATACCCTTGCTGGTCGATAATGTTTGACCACATCTTGGACTTTCTGCTGGACGGCGGTCATGATGACCAACAGGTCCAGGCTGTAGGATTTGGGAAACCCTGCCCGATGTGATGATAATATCTTGGAATCTGCAGTGGCCGGGGACGACTCTGTCCAGAAATCGTTTACGTTGTTCGCAGGATGCGGAGGGATGATGCGCAATCCAGAAACGCGTCTTGTAGTTTACGATGAGGGGGGCTTGCTGAGGCATACAAAAATTAATTAGGTGCTTGGCTGGGCTTACTATGTACCTAAGTCCAGCAAGGTTAGTGAAGCTTAGTCGGAAGACACCTTGTTAGTTGCCTATTATGTTTGAGCTGGAGCCGGTTTCTCCAAAAGGCCCAGTCAAGTGAACCCAGCGAGCCTGGAGAATCCGTGCCCGACCTTTATGACTAGAGACGGAATTGATACTAGGGCCCATTAGGCCTAGTGAGACTGGGGGAGCTAGTCATTCACAGTACTTATTAAAGGAAATGCTGACAACCTGGCTGCGGCGGATATTCGCGGTGGAGAGAAAGTGAGCTGAGTCTCAAGCAGAGGATTTCATTTTCTATCCGAGTCACTTTGTACCCCGTCCTGTCCAGATTCCACCTGTTACGTTTGCTGACGGCCCTCGTCTCATTTCTACCCCCGAGTGAACAATCTGCATGGCGGCGGGATTCCGTCTTCCTTCGTTTTCAAAGTACATTCGGTTGGAGAGCACTTCCAACTTCTAGCGATATCGGCGGCTCACTATGTCGACAACAACCGGCGCATTCATTGCAGGCGGCATTGCAGCTTGCGGCGCCGTCACTGCAACACACCCCTTCGAAACAGTAAAAATCCGGTTACAATTACAAGGAGAACTGCAGTCAAAGGATCTGGCAGTAAAAAAATATAAAGGTGTCTTTCATGGCGTTGGAGTCATTGTCAAGAATGAAGGGATTCGAGGAATCTATCGCGGCATTGGGTGCGCATATGTCTACCAGATCCTCCTCAATGGCTGCAGATTGGGCTTCTACGAACCGCTGAGAGCCGCAGGCTCAAAACTTATTTTCAAGGATACGAATGTCCAATCTCTTGGTGTCAACATCTTTTCGGGTGCAGCTTCAGGAATTCTTGGTGCTATGGCTGGCTCGCCCTTTTTCCTGGTGAAAACTCGACTACAGTCATATTCGCCCTTTCTCCCAGTCGGGACGCAGCACAAGTACCGCAACGCTTTGGACGGTGTTAGACAGATCTACACGACGGAGGGGGTTCGGGGCTTGTATCGAGGGATGGGCGCTTCCATGGTCAGAACCGGTGCTGGAAGCTCCGTACAATTACCAACATATTTTTTCGCAAAACGACGATTAATGCGTCATGCTGGTATGGAGGACGGGCCTGCCTTGCACTTGCTGAGTTCAACGGCGAGTGGCTTCGTGGTTTGCTGTGTGATGCATCCTCCGGTACGTACCATGCACTCTCCTATGACTTCAGATGCTGACTACATATGCAGGATACCGTAATGGCTCGATTATACAATCAACACGGCAATCTTTACAGCGGGATTTTTGATTGCTTGTACAAGACCATCAAAACAGAAGGACTCCTTAGCGTGTACAAGGGGTTCACGGCTCATTTGGCTCGTATATTGCCTCATACAATCCTGACTTTGAGTTTGGCAGAGCAAACGAATAAGTTCGTGCGTGGCATCGAGACGCGGATTCTGCCAGAGGCCCTGAAGGACAAGTTATGATCATTCTACACAGGAACCATAGAGAGAAGATGATGTTGAGACTTCTTGTCCACAGGGGTCACCCTTGTCAGACCTTTGTATCGTACAGATTTGCACACAATTAGCGCCGGGAAATAAAGAAGTTTGCGCAGGCATTGGAGATCTTTACGATGCTGCAAAGTCTTTCCGAAGGGCAGGTGGCCCTTAGTTGCACGCCTGGATGCTTTTTGACGGCCAGCACTCGGCGAGCATCAACAGGATGAATAACTGCTTGTCAACTTTGAGTAGAGACAATCCATCCTCAAACGGGGTCACATTTTTGTATCATGTCGAACGCCCTACTATTGGCCTTCTTTGTTGCCACCATAGTTCTTCTAGATTAGAAAGCTTGTTATCTAAACACTATGAGATTGCGTCGCTTGAAGGTAAGTATTAGTATGTGGAGAACATCGGTGCGATGAGGTAGTTTGTGCAGCTGGAATCATAAGTGCGACCGGAGACACATGGAGGTCTTTCTTCAATAGTTGTAAGCATGACCACCTTTAGTTATCTATGTAGGTATGAATCGGTGTGGGTTGCATATAGTGAATGGTCGCCTTCAGAGCTCCTAAAATACCTAGAGACAAACATCCATAGCGTCCAGGTCAAAAGTGAACATGGTGGGACTCATGATCTTGCCACGAGCTCTTTAATTGATCCAACGGCTCCCTTGCGATTGCTTCACATACTTCCCTGCTTTTATTGCTTCCCACCAACAATATCAAGGTGCTCGGGCTTTAGCGCCAGCTTACCTTTCATGACTTTTCTGTCGTGGACTCGTCGAGCTACTCATTGCCCTTGTCCTTGTAGGCTGTAGTCAAGTCTCTCAAGACTTACATTCTCTGATACTACGGTAAGGTGACTTCTCCTCGCAAATTACTTACGAGCATCCCCTACCTCGGTTCCGGTTTGCACCTCTACTGAATGGAAATTGGTTGACTCTGCCGCTATAAGTAGAGATGACTTCTGACGCTCAGAGTGTGAGGATGTCAAAGATCCGCTTCGAATGAGCACGGGAGCTTCATTGATGCCTTGCTTAACCAGCGACAATGGGAGTAACATAACCAATATCCGGTAACTTTTGCGCGAAGTGATTGCCGTAGCCCTGCATAGCAATCGCGTGATGCCACATCGAAAGAGAGATTGTATGTACAGCCTTGTGGCGCTCAAAACGAAAGAGGAGCAACAACAGACTACTGACGAGCTACGGACCCTTGAAAACACGCTTGTTCACGGTCACACGTGACATCGGAGCTCTTTGGGATGATCAGATTAGATTAGATCCGCCTGGGCTTCCGCAATATTGGATGATATTGGCCCAGACTCAAGGCTGCTGCCTTGGAAAGCGGGTAGTCAGGCCATCAAGGAGATGTCGTCCAACACGGGATTGATTGAAAGAGGGTAAAGAAGAGCTCAGTGCCGTGACAACAGACGAAACCCACAGTCGCGCGCTGGTCAGTGACGAGTGTTGATGTGGAAGTGGAGGCTGCCAGGATCAATTAACGGGCTCTCCTGGCAAACGCGGTCACGCTAGCGCGTTGCGTGAATCTTCAATTAAAACCGTGCAGCAGCCGGGTTTTGAGCGTCAGTTCCTCTTCCATTCCTCGCGTCTCACAACAAGTCACAGTCTCTCACTCCAGTACTTCTTTGCTACCTTTCTTTGTTCAGACTCACATCTTCTTACAACGAGAGACAATGGATACCCAGATCACCCCGTCAAAGCAGGTTCGTTTTGCCACTGCCGTCATCGATCGACCAGAAAGGGTATATCACTAATGCTATACGCTCAGGCGGCCTCGAGCCTGGAAAACCTCAAAGTCAAGGACAGCCCCATTAAGAAGCTCAACTTCAATGTTGACGACAAAGAGAACAACCCTGTTGTTGATGCCACGCCGGTGATGACTGAAAAGCTCGACCTGGCAAAGGTGCAAGAAGAGGCTCCTAAGCCTGCGGAACAAAACCGACCCAAGACGCTGAAAGAGTTGGAAGCAGAGGAAGACCTTCTCAAAGAGAACCCACACCGATTCGTTCTCTTTCCTATCAAGTATCACGAGATTGTGAGTGCTTGCCCGACGCGTCTTCGTCCAGTGACGATACCTTTTAGTGACCAAGACTAACACGAGTCGTCACTCAGTGGAACCACTACAAGAAGGCTGAAGCCAGCTTCTGGACAGCCGAGGAGGTCGATCTCTCAAAGGATCTTCATGACTGGCACAACCGGCTCAACGACGATGAGCGATACTTCGTGTCCCATGTTCTCGCCTTCTTTGCTGCCTCCGATGGTATCGTGAACGAGAATCTGCTGGAGCGATTCAGCAACGAAGTGCAGATCCCAGAGGCTCGCTGCTTCTATGGGTGAGTCAATTCTCCCTGGACGTCGCTCTCTTGGATATATACTAAATCGAGCCTCAGCTTCCAGATTATGATTGAAAACATCCATAGCGAGATGTACTCCCTCTTGATTGATACCTATGTCAGCATTGACCCGTTCTATATCCGCAAGAGTGTATCTAACATTGAAATAGATCAAAGACCCAAAGCAAAAGACTTACCTTTTCGACGCTATCGATACAATCCCGTGTATTCGTAAGAAGGCCGACTGGGCACTGAAGTGGATCTCCGACCAGAACTCCTCCTTTGCTCAACGACTTGTTGCGTTCGCTGCAGTTGAGGGCATCTTCTTCTCTGGCTCATTCGCTTCCATCTTCTGGCTCAAGAGCAAAGGTATGTCGCTTTATGTCGTGACCCCATCAGGGACTGACCATTCTCAGGCCTCATGCCCGGCCTGACTTTCTCTAACGAGTTGATCTCTCGTGATGAGGGCATGCACACCGACTTCGCTTGTCTGTTGATGCAGCACCTCAAGCACAAGCCAGCTCCGGAGCTGATCGAGAGGGTCATCACTGAAGCCGTTGCCATCGAGAAGGAATTCTTGACGGATGCACTTCCAGTCGCCCTCCTCGGCATGAATGCCAAGCTCATGCAGCAGTACATCGAATTCGTCGCCGATCGTCTACTGCTGGCTCTTGGCAACAAGCGGTTCTACAATGCACAGAACCCATTCTCCTTCGTACGTGTCTTGGAAGATCATCGCATTACTCTACTAACACTACCACAGATGGAGAACATCTCTCTTGCTGGCAAGACCAACTTCTTTGAGAAGCGTGTTGGTGACTACCAGAAAGCCGGTGTCATGACCTCAAAGAAAGAGGAGAAGTCCACCTCCCCAGGCGAGGAGAAGGGTGAAGATGACGGCGGCCTCAACTTTAACGAAGACTTCTAGATGTACCTGCTTCGGATTGTTACGATATTGGGTTTTCACACGGCGTTGTTATGGTGTCATGGGAAGGAAAGGCATAATGCGCTTTTTTGGTATCCGTATTTTTTACATTCAATACCCCCCTCCACTTTCGTCGCACGGCGGAGTAAGGATAGCATGAAAAAGTGGTACCTGATTTCATGATACAACCTTTATTTGTTATGAGGGCGGCTGGGACAATCAACTCGCCGATTTGTATGTGTGTATATGCATTAGCTGAGCTAGAAACGGGGTTTGGGTCAGTGCATTTTGGATATGGCGGAATGCATTTCACATGGAAGTGACGAAAATCGTCACCGCATCCAACATTCTACTTTCTGTCTGGAGACGGAAGAATTACAAATCTCCTTCATCCCATCAGCCTGGCTGTCTTAATTTTATTTACAGATCCTCTTTGACAGCCTTGCCATCGCCCCTTTCTGTCAAGAGCCTCGTCGGAACGGCAGCATTTTGTTCCGCCAGTCCTAGAGAGAAAACAGCCCCGAGGGGTTGTTGATCCCATGAGCTGATGAGAAACACTATTCACACACAAACATGACCGAACAGGTAAAAGGTGGCAGTTCATGAGCGTTGAGACATGTATTCATGGTTATTTGCCGCCACTGTGTGGCAGTATGGACCGGGACACCAAGCTACTTACGAGTCTCTCGTCAACTTTCCCATACGTCACGCTCAACCGCGCACATTCTTACTTTTCGTGAAATGCACGAAGGGACATTGCCCTGGTGTATGCCCTCTACCCACCGTCCCTGCTCCTGGGCTCTCATGGGCTCGGCTCAACAGGTAAATGTGTGTCGATGAGAATTGAATGGCTTTTGGTGGTTGGCTAAGTTCGCGTGGAAAGAGTGTGAGTATCCGTCCCACCTGCGGCAAAGCATCGGAGACTCAGATACACATACTTTCCTCAGAATTCGCACCGGGGGAATCCTGCTAGATTGCTTGAGCCCCATAGAGTATAGATAACCCGCATCTTGATGGACGATGAGATGATTCATCCCAGAAGGATTTCCAGATCGTGACGGTTTCATTTCTTGCCTTTCTTCTTTTTACCCTTTCCTCCGCCGCCACCGCCAGCACCAGCACCAGTGGTCTGGGTCGCAGCTGGTGGTGCGGCGACTGTGCTGTCTCCTGGCTTCGGCACTGCAAAGCCCGCAACACTGTCAATATCCATTTTATCTGCCACCGCCCCGTCTGTCGCCGGTATTTGTGCGCTTGTTGTGCTGGGGATCTCGATCACTTCGCCTTTTGCCAGCCGGCCCAGACCTGCGAGCAGTCGGCCGACCTCAGCAGCTTTGTCAGTTCGATATTTCAAGCATATGCCGGATTCGGGGTGGAAGGTTTTAAGAGTAAGAACAGCCGAGGGGTCACGTTTCGCTTGCGACTGTGCTGGCGCTGTACCGTTGGTACCCTCAGCCTGTGTAGGCTCCTGTTCGGTCTGTTTCGATTTCGATCGCGACTTGGGATTGGGTTTTCGCGGTAATGAATATTTTGTTGTTATCCTTGTGGTGGGGTACGCTTGAATGAGGAGAGAGGATTGATGGAGATAAGTGTGTAGGTCGCTGAAGTACGTCATCTTGACATGCAGTTGATATCGCAAGATAACAGGCAGGTGAGGTCTGGTCTTTTCTTGGAGAGATTTTGTGCAAAGTCGAATGCTCCCCAGGTTCTGAATAGTGCCGACTGTTCCTTGAGATAACCGAGGAAAGTTCTACTGTCACAGACAAGCTGTGAACAACGTGAGGTGGCGCGCAGATCTCTTATGTTCACGCCACGCTAGGTCGACTCGAAGTTGTTGGTGTTCTGCCCGGTGTCTGTATAAATGCAGTGCGGAGAGAGAAGACTGTACGCAGTGGAATGCGGGTGATGGAGGTGCTTGGCATTGTTTGGCGAAGTGCCGCCCGACGAGGCTGAGCGAGATGCTATGGACTCATAACCCTCTCATCAACAGTGGTGTTACAAACCCTCTTGGCTAAGATACCGGGACAGAAAGTAGTCGCAAGGACACTATCCTCGAACAAAGATCCAAGGAGAATCAGGTCCATCGGCCATAAACACGTCGAAAGCAGACAACTTAACGCGAGCGCCGCTGCTGGTAACCCACCAATCAACTTTCTGCTCTCCAGGGTATGACGGAAGATGCAGTTGGAGAGAACTGCGCTTCTGTCTCTCAACTGCAGATGTTTGACATTATTCGTACTCTTATGTACCTAAACTTGCGCATATAATCCCAAACCATCACAATGAGGCCGAGACCTCGCATCCGCCTTCTGCAGCCCTTCGTTTGTACCAATTGTCGAGGCAAAGGACAGGGTCTTCTCCGACGCCAATTGCGAAACTTCGCAACCTCCCCTTCAACACGCGCAGCACCATCGGGCGAACTGAAATATCTCCAACTTACAAATCGTACAATCATCCGCCTCGCCGGCCCAGACGCCGCGAACTTTCTCTTCAATCTTGTCCCTGCGAAGATCCTGGGCGCTGACAGCCCAAGGCCCATTTACACGGCATTTCTCTCAGCCCAGGGCCGCATTCTGAACGATGTCTTCATATACCCGCCGACAGACACCAACGGAGAGGAGTGGTTCTTGGAGGTGGACTCGGACAGTGCAAGTGACTTGCTGAAACATTTACGCAAGCACAAACTGCGGGCCAAGTTCCAGCTAGAAAAGGTCGACCCGGGAAAAGTGGGAGTATACTATAACTGGCCTTCCGCCACAGATCCACCGCGGACACGGGGTGGACAGGATCCCAGGCCAGGTATGGGTCTGCGATGGCTTGACGATACCGCTGCGAAACCGGAGGCAATACAGAGGCTCGAGGACAAGGGGGGAAAGGAGGTTAATCTGCATGATTATACCGTTCATCGTATACTGAATGGGGTTGCGGAGGGACAGACCGAGTTGCCCGCGGCCGGTTCTCTACCCCAGGAAAGTAACATCGATTTTTTTGGTGGCATTGATTTCCTGAAAGGGTGCTATCTTGGCCAGGAGCTGACGATCCGGACCCATCACACCGGCGTGGTACGGAAACGCATCCTTCCATGCCAGCTCTACGACGGCGACCAGCCACCAAGTGACCAACCGTTGCCGGAGTACAAGCCTGATACGCATCTACCCATGCCGCCATCTCAGTCCAACATTTCCAAACTGAATGCTCGTGGTCGAGGACGAAGTAGCGGGAAATGGCTCTCGGGGGTGGGAAATATAGGACTTGCATTGTGCAGACTCGAGATGATGACAGACATTCAGTTAACGGCAGACACGTCGAATTACGATCCATCGGAGCAGTATAAAGTGCAGTGGGAAGTGGAAGGTCATGAGGGAAAACAGGAGGTCATGCTCAAGCCCTTTGTACCACAATGGCTGCGAGACGGCGTCGAGCAGAACCTACGCAGGAAAGAGAGAAAGCCCAGACCCGTTGAAGAGGATGACGAATATGAAGAAGTAGACTAGGGTATGCATATGATACTATCTTCAGGAAATTGGACTCCGTTGAAGATTACACTGTGAGCCGAAAGACTAGGATCTACCCGGAGTCCTGGGCACGAGAGACCAAGCAAGGGAGGTCGTGGCGGGCAACGTAGAGACCGGACTTGTTGAGGCGGCAGGACACCTATTTGAGCTCACACGAGTTCGACCTACGGTTTGCCTCACACTTTCTCTTTCGACGTTGTCAGCCAGCGCCAACCGCATCGTGATGATACATTGTTTCGATAGTGAGATTTGTCGGTTATGGACCTGGAAATATTCAGCACGTCCTTCCACGGAGCGCAAAGCCTGGCAGCGTCGGTGGGGGCTTTAAAAATAGCATCGTCTTCGACGGTATGCTGGCCACCGACAGGTTGTCGTGTACGGAAGCCAACTTTGAAGCTCCTGATGTCCCAAGGGAGACTGTGCCGGTCGAGAACATACCAGACCCTCCGGGGAAGGCCATAGTGGTAGTCAATTGTTCAAGGTCGTGACATTACACTTGTTGATGCAGCGTATGTGGTTGTGGCTTTCAAGTAGCATCTGGTTCTTTCACTGCCGCCCATTCCACGCTCTCAATACCCTCCCAGGGGCCCTGGGAAACAACCTTTTTGGCCAGACTGACCGACTTGAAGACAATAACAGCAGTTCCAAGCAAGACTTTTTTGTCCCTGCCTTCGACACGCCGTTTTTTGTCCTTGAGCATAAGCACATTTTCAACGTCGCCAGCAGAGAAATTCTCCTCAAGGAAATCCTGATCAATTTCTAGTCCCTCACCTTCCTTGACCCAACGAACCTTGACCGAGCGATCTTTTGAATCGGACGGTGTCTCCTGCGCCTGAGCATCTGCTCTGGCCTGTGCTTCTTGGACCTTTTGCGCCACCGCGGCTTCTCTTCGCTTTCGATTTTCTTCGGCGATTCTTTTAATTTCGAGTTCTCTATCGCTCCAAGTCCTCTTTGCGCCACTCACTGAAATGGGGGCACCGCCAAAATTGCCTTCTCTCTTCTCCAGATCCTCCTTCATCTTCCTTCGTCGGCTTTCCAAGGCGGCGGTCTCGGCGAGACGCCGTTGCTTCGCTTCTCGTGTCTGGTCATACTTTAGTTTCTCAGCTGCATCAGTCAAGACGTTGATCGCGGTCTGGAGGAGTTGAAATTTGTTTAGATTTTCAGGCGTCGGCTTGACTTTGTCAGGATGGTAGAGGAGGGAAGTCTTCCGGTATGCACGGCGTATTTCAGACTCTGACGCTGTCGCTGGGATCGACAGCAGTTCGTAGTAGTCAACAGAGAGGTCTGCATCATTTTCCGCAGCCATTATGACCGGCCCGTCAAGCCATGCATGTATGCTAGGCGGTATGAGAAATTATGAATTCAAAATCATTTGCGCTCTGATGAATGCTAGGACGGTCGAAAGTTCTACGGTGAATCTCATATCCCCAAGCGCAATATCGTCATTGCTGCTTTGAATGCTTCCGTTGCTTGCTCTCTTTGATCCAACACAATGTTCAATTCTTGCCCGCCACCATACTTCCCTTATGTATTCTTGTCTGACAACAGTGCTAAATAATAGCTCACGGACTCGACGTAAGGCTCGGTTCGGACACAGTCGAGATTCTTGTACCCGCTCTTTATGGGCTTGGTTTGGCATTGTTTGATATCTGGTTCGAAGTTGCAAAGAGATACCTTTTCTACACCCCAATGCCCTGTCTTTCATTCAATCTTCCGTCATCTTCTCTCATGCGTACATTTTACTTCACGAAACATGCACACAAAGACTCAAGTTGATCAGCAAGCGAATGCGACTAAGTTGCCTTTGTCGAGCCAAGTTGCCTGTGCACTGCTTCTCATCCGGGCGAAGCCCCATCATTTGTCTATTGAAGGTTTGGCTACGTCTCCTTTCAGGTTTGTCCACTAAACGATCAAGAGCATCTGCAGCACCTTCGCAGTGCAGTAGTCGGTCAAAGCGCTCACACGTCTTCAAATTCCAGAGGTTTCGATTCAACTTCCTATTGGAAATCAGCCCATCAAGCATCTGAACGTGAACGACTGGTGCTTGTCGACGAGGTTGCGAAGCTGGAGAAGGAACTATCAATGCTCCGCGGTGAAGCGATTGTTAAACCACTTGATGTAGATGGCTCCGCGGGAAGAAATGACCTAGACAAGCTTTGTGGACAGGAGCAACTTGACAAGAGCATAAGTGACAACACTGGCCACACCGCTCATGACAAAGACAATGCTTCCCACTGGACAAATTTCTCTGGTGGGCATGTTGATTGTCTGCCGCTAGCTCCTTTGATTGCGGCCATTTGATTGCTGACTAGCGATAGATCGTCAATATCTTCTCCGTGGCGTCTTCTCGCTCAAGCATAACCTCCGTCTTCAAAAACCTGACTGTGAAAGGCTTTCAGCAGCAATTCGCACTGTTACAGCCACGCTCTGCCACTATTCAGCCCCCACGGGACCAGAACACGCCGCTCAAAAGTTCTCTCCCGAGATCCTGCCTGTTGATCAACAGAGAAACATACTCGAACACGCTTACCCTTTTGTCATCCAAGGGCTGTCCTTGCTTTCACAGGCCACTGGCGACGACGGTCAATTCGTCGTTTCTGCAGTTCCGGACGTCGTGAAATTGTTCAAAACTATATTGTGCCGACTGCACACGTCTGTGCAGGATACAGTGGTTCAACGAAAAGACACTTCGGCGCCGTCTTCTAAGAGCAGGCGTGGGGTGAACGAACCCCTTTTGATGTCAGTGGATTGCTTCAATCAGTGCCGATCAACGAGCAAGATGCTCACAAGGATGTTTCTTCTCCTGGATCTGTCCCAGGATGTACACTCTGAAACCTTCGAAGGGTTCCTGTGCGCTTTGCTTGACCATGTCGGGTCTTTATTGTCTCTCTTGGTCTTCTCGAACGCAGACCACGAACCAAGTTCGGACATTGGCATTCTACCGCCAAATGGGTTCAAGGGAACACCTCACTCGAATCTGGAAGTCGCCATCGAGACTGCAAAAGTTGAAGGGCCACATGTGATCTCTGTCCTCCGGGAGGCCATCGACTTCCTCGAGGGAAACGTGAAAGTCATGTCTGAAAGATCCCAGTTGCTCTTCACCTCGCGGAAAGCGACAGATGTGAGAGGCCTGCGGCGTGCGCTGGAGGAGAAGCTTCAAAAGACATTACTTCGGGGAGTGTTTGGAGACGATGATGCCAGCTTCAATGGTGGCTTGTGTAGGCACGATCATCTTTCTGAGCCAGATGTGGAGAGCCTGATGAACGAGATGAGCCCGGATGCAAATACGTCTGAATGGTTCATTGGCCAGCTGTGGGAGCATTTGGGATGGGACATACTATCAGGCCACAATGCATAAATTCTTGTTCTTTCGACGAGGTACGAGAGCAGCGACTGTGCTGTTGTACCTACCTAAGGTAGCCATGTAATAATATGAATATAGCTCTATGACATTGGCCGCGGCGGCTTCTCCACGTCATACATCCAGCCCGAGTACTCTCACTGCGTTTCCACCCAGGATCTTCCTCCTGGCATCTTGGTCTTGAGGAAAACATCCGCCTATGGCGACCTTGTTACTCTCCACACTCAGCCACTTGGCGTCCTCCTCGTCTCCCAGCGGTGGAAAGAAAGGGTGATCGGTGCCGAACATGACGCGATCCACGCTCCCGGCGGCCTCGATCGCGGCCTTGAGCCCAGGCTGCCCGTAGATGACCGCGTCGAGGTAGATGTTGGACTGCAAGACGTCCCAGATCGACCGCTGGGGCCCCTGCCTGTGCCCGCCGTTCGCGATGAATTCGCGCTCGTGCGCCACGCACGATTCGATCCGGCCGGCCAGGAACGGCAGGGTGCCGCCGGAGTGCGCCAGCAGGAACTCGAGCTTGGCGTGGCGGTCGAAGACGCCGGAGAGGTACATCCTCGACACGGCGATTGTGGTCTCGAGAGGGAACCCGAGGGCGAGAGGGAGCACGTGGCCGAACTGTGCGACGACTTCGGGGCCGCCGAACGCAGAGTCGGGCAGTCCGTAGTGCGGGTGCAAAAACACCAGCGTCGACGTGCTTGCGAGCGCGGCGTAGATGTCGTCCAGGGCCGGGTCGTCCAGGCCGTTGCCCAAGCCCGTCGTGCCCATGATGACGCCCTTGACGTGCCGGAGGGTCTTGAGGCGCTGGATCTCGGACACGACGTCCTTTGCCGGCGCGGACAACGGGAGACAGCCGAACGCGTACAGCTTGACGTCCTTGCTCGCCGGGGAAGAGTTGTTCTCGGCACAGGCCCTTTCGAGGTCGTCGTTGATCTCTTGGGCCGTCGAGAGCGCGGACGACGGCTCGACGAAGTCCAGCCACGGGTTTGCGAGGCTGATGACGCTGCATGTGATTCCGTGCGTGGTCATGAACTGCCGCTTGGAGTCGAACGACGAATACGTCTCGTCGACGGGCCGCCCCCGGGACGACTTGGGTCGCGAAGTGTCATCGTCGGAAGCGAGGATGATCAGTCTCGGGTCGGCACCAGGCTCGGACGGCTGGTGAATGTACGGGACTGTGGTGCGCGACGACAGTAGTTTGATGTACGACGGAGGGTACATGTGAGTCTGCCCAGCAAGAAAGTCAACGATCTGTATACCAGAGGGTGTTCCGTACCACGTAGGTCGGTGAGTAGAGGGATTGAGGTCATCTGGTATAGGCATGGGCTTTTCAAAAGGGGCACGGGTCATCTTGATGTGCTTTGCCATAGATCGCCCATTGCTGTTGAGGCCTCGTAAGGGGTTTTGTTTGGATTCGACTCACGTGAATATCCACCACTGGGAACGAGGAAGAGGACGACATGGTGGCGATGATGATTGCGGCTTGGACGAGTATGTTCAAGACAAGGTGTAGGTATTTCCGTCGGTATATTTTACTCGAATCAGACCACGTTTTGGATGTTGTTTGTGTGATCTAGAAGAGTCTTGGTCTGCAATATCAACACAAGTGGTTGATGGGTTCAGGATGTTTTGTACGCGGCCTCCTCCGCGAGACGTCGATGTACAATCCGCACTCTTATCGAACGAGCCACGTCGTACGAGTATGTGCTGATCCAATCGAGTAACATCTTATCGTTTGCTTGGGTTTCCTTCGATCAGCCCCTCCCATACTCGGTCTTTGCTCGTATGATTCTTTTCTCTTTTCCTCTCTTTTGAATGTTGTGGAAGAAGAGGGAAACATAGTTTGCTTGCGAACCCCTTCAATAAAAGGTTTTCCATCTGTTTAGGCTTCCGACTCAAGTATCGGCATCCAACCCCACAACCGCAGATAAGCGTGAAAGTCTCACTAACGTAGTTGAGCCGCGCCGTTCATCTCTCAGCGCCAGGAACACGGCCGGCCCTGTGTACGTTCAGTACATTGATTACCATTCGATCGCAAAGCTGCCGGTTCCCCAGCTAGGATTATCACCGCCGGTCCACTTCAGCCTTGGCTTGCAAGCATGGGTTCACTTGGAAACACGGTGCAAAAGGGCGTGGAGCAGGATGACCTGGTTATGCCGGTAAGATGAAGCGCGTGTGCCCCTAGCCATGCAAATAACAAAGTGGCCACAAGACGGGGATGAAATCATGAACGAACAGAACCCTAACGTCCATCTTCCCAGCTGATCGACTTTGGTGCGTTCCTGAACGGCGATCCGAGCATCAAGAGAACAGTCGCCGAGCAGATTGTCGAAGCGTTCAAGACGTCGGGATTCCTGTACCTCGAGCACCACGGGATCCCGCAAGACGACATCTCACGGGCGTTTGACGAGTCTGCGCGGTTCTTCCAACGGCCGCAGTCGCAGAAGGACGAGCTCCAATGGACGACCCCGGACTCCAACAGGGGCTACGTCGCCTGGGGCCGCGAAAAGGTGACGCAGTCGGCCGACCCGGAGGAGATCGCGCGGCTCCGCGCCTCCAACCCGGACCTTAAGGAGTCGATCGAGATCGGGCGCGAGGGCGTGCCCGGGTTCCCGAACCAGTGGCCGTCGCGGTTCGGCGACGACGAGGGCAAACGGTTCACCGACGACATGCAGTCGTTCTTCCTCCGGCTCAAGGACCTGCACGTGCAGGTCATGCGCGCCATCGCGCTCGGCATGGGCTACGACGAGGCCTTCTTCGACGGCTACACCGACGCCGGCGACAACACGCTCCGCCTGCTGCACTACCCGTCGGTCAAGAAGAGCCTGTGGAAGCAGAACCCCAACCAGGTGCGCGCCGGCGAGCACTCCGACTACGGCTCCATCACGCTGCTGTTCCAGGACGACATCGGCGGCCTGGAGGTCAAGTCGCCGCGCGGCACCTGGGTGCGCGCGAAGCCCATCCCGGGGTCCATCGTCGTCAACGCCGGTGACCTGTTGTCGCGCTGGAGCAACGACACCATCAAGAGCACCAACCACCGCGTCATCCAGCCTCCGCCCAAGGAGACAGCGCAAGACGACGACGACGACGAAAACGCCATGGTCCCCGCCCGGTACAGCATTGCTTATTTCTGCAATCCCAACTTCGACAGGTACATCGAAGCGCTGCCCGGTACGTGGGAGAAGACGGGCAAAAAGTACGAAGGCATCAACAGCGGCGATTATCTGGTCATGAGACTGGCTGCGACGTATTGAAATGTTCAAAGTGGAAAAGTTAAAAAGTGAAGAAGGCTGTCGTTGTTTGTTATCGTTGTTTCTCGATCGCTCCTTTCCCTTTTTCAACATGCGAGCGTTGTGTGTATGTGTGTGTGCTTGCGCGTTTGTGTTAGCGAATGTGCGTGAGTGTGTGATCTTTCAGTTTCTCAATTATACCGAGAGGTATTTCGATAGTTGTTTGATGAACATGACTCTCTCCTTTCTTCACTTGTACCTACCTACATGTCCACTCAAAACATCTCGAAAAACAGGACGAGGTCCGAGTCACTTATCAAGACTTGATCGGCCAGTGCTCGCATCTCCTACAACAATGGCATTGTTCGTTGATGGGTCGGCCTAACCGTTGGTCTTGTCGATATTGTGATTCGCTGAGAACCCGTGCACGAAGGAGTCGAGGCCAAGTACATAGAAGGTATAAAGGTGGACACCATGACAGAGTACGCAGATAACATTGATGGACCAACAACATTGGTATTACCGAGAACGCCAAATCTAATGCCTACGCCTACGCCTACGCTACGCTTCACCCCCTAAATAAGAGCCTTCTCTGCGTGCTATGGTCGCCGGGCCCGAGTCGCCTCCCAGGCCACCGTGGACCGGACAAGAAGGGTTTGGAGTCCGCGGTCTAGAAGCCGCCGCCACCGCTTCACCCACCACTACACCACCGTGAACAGGGCATGACGGATTTGGATTCGCGGGCATCGTTGCACGCGGCGGCCTCGCAATGACCTCCCTCTCCTCTGGAATGCCTCCTTCGACAGCCGCAGGGTCGGGAATGATGTGATCCCTCCCGCGCCCGAACGTCTCGTACTCGCCCCGCCCGTCTCGGTCGCCTCCACGCATCATGAAATCTGCAAACCCAGAGCCTTCGGGCCGGCGCTGTCCAAGCTCCCAATCCTGGTCGTCGGCGCCGTCTGCTCTCTCACCGACGTCGACGCCGAACCGTCTTCGTTTACCGACCGCCCGTCGCTCCCGCCACCAGCCCATGCTGTACCTTTGCCCACCAAACGCCGTCTCGAACTGAGACTGCGGCATCCACTCGGCGCCGTCGGGGATGATTTGCTGCCGCCCATCTTCCTCGTCGTCATCGTCCGGAGCGGCGTGGATGCTTTCGGGCCGACTATTCGTGTCGTACCCGAACGATCGGCGGCGTGGTTTGCCGCAGCACTCACAGAGACCGTCGTCGACGCTGTGGCACAGGTCGCTGCCGGCGAGAAGGGACATGGTTCCGGCCAGAGAGCAAGGGTTGCACGGCAGCACGCGGCGCATCTTGGTCGTGAGCCAGGCTGCCGCGCAGAGGCCAACGATAACGCCTAGGATGACTTGGAGCTCAAGTTTGCTGTCTTTGTCTTGTACGAGGCGACTCGTTGTGATTGTTGTCGCCGTGGTGCTTGTGGTCGATGACTGCCTGCGAAAGAGGCGGGAAGAGTTGGATGATGACGATGATGACGATGATGAAGACGACGAGGTACGCATGTTTGTGGAGATTGATTGAGCCATGTAGACCCGGTAAAATTGGTTGATCGCGTCAACAAGGGCGTCTTGGTTATCCTCACCGACAAGGGCTGCTGGGTCGTGCTTGTTCGTGCCGTTTATGACGGCCTGGAAGTAGATATCGAAGATGGTGGTAGCAGAAGGGTCGGATGTCGGTGTCCCTTCAGCGCCGTTAAACAACGTCATCTCCTGGGCAAGGTTGTTTTGGATGCGAAAGTCAAAGGATTTTGCACCGGTGGTACTGATCGGATTCGAGCGCAAAGACACACTTCCGCTTTGAACGGTGGGTGGATTGTTGGGGTCGATAGAGGTAGTATTATCCTTGAGCGTCACATTTGCCTTCAGATCTTGAATTTCCTGGTAGCAAATCATCGTGGTGACCTGGGTTTGATCTGCGCTGCCGAGTTTGAAGTGGCCGAACGTAAATGCAAGACTGGGACAACCCACGGCGGGATTGTCGCCAATGTACTGTCCTCGATTTTCTCCATAGTTCCCATAGGTAGATGCGTTCGACCCAAACAGAAGATCTAATTGTGCACCAGCGTAGGTGCCGTCCTCTCCAGAAGGGAGCTCAAAATTATTCTCATATGTCACAGTACTGCCGGTTCCGCTGGAACCACCAAGCTGACATGAGTCCGGAAGGGATGCTGTGGCGGTGACAAACGCTTGGTTGGTGGCAAACGCACTGTCTCCGCCAGCCTGCTCAGTGGAAACGTTGAAGGAGGAACTTGGTAGAACCTCACAACGCAAGTTGGCTCGTAACCCAGGAAGAATATGACTGGATGACCCGCTCACAATCGACGCAGAGCCAGATGCCGCTTCTGAACTGTTAAGAGCCAGCTTCGGAAAGACCAAACCCTCGTAAGTGAACTGAGGATAGCTGATATTTTGGTGCATTATAAGATCCACAACTGCGGCAGCTCCATTGTCCGTAGAGAAACTGTTTGGCCACTGCAGGCTAAAGGAGTCGAGCTGGGTTAGAGTGATGTCGGGTCCGTTAACGGTAACGTGTTGAACGGTGTAGAGCGCCGAAACGAGGATGGTCAACACGCTTGCCAATCCCGCGGCTAAGATACTCAGCAGGGCACCAACATACCGGGTGCGGATGGCTCGTAGGAAGGCCCAGGGAGGTAGCAGGCCCAGCAGATGGTGGAGTACGGATTTTCGACTGGTGGCGTCCCCCCTCGCTAGATTAGCCCAGGGTGCAAATAGAGCCACGTTGAAGTCCAGCATGTTGACCAGCGAAGCGACCATCAATGTGACAATAGCAGGAATATAATGGCTGTAAATCTCGGTCCATTTGTTGTCTGCAACCGTAAAGAGTCCATTGTGCTTGTCCGAAGAATGTTGGACAACCTCTAGAACAGCAATCAACACCAACGGTAGCGCCAATGTGATGAACAGGACTGGAAGGGAAGCAGTAAATGGTAGCCACCATTTCAACTCCATATTGGGTTCTGTTGCGGCTTGTGTTGGCTCTCCTTCTGAGGCCACGATTTTGAAACTCATGGTGCCAGAGTCCGTGACTGCTATAGCGGTCCCAAATTCGAATCCAGACAAGGCTGACTGTTGATTGGCGAAGTTTGGAACACCCTGCTTCCTCAAAAGCCTGTTCAGCTCGGTGCTTCGTGTAAGTATTGTAGCGATGGCAGCGATGGAGCTCGGATCTCGTGGAGCAACTGCTCGTGGAGCGATGAACACAAGGGCAATGCAGAAGATCACCAAAAATCCAAAAATTGAGGCCATCGTCCACACCGAGGCATCGTTGACGCGCAGTCTCCGCTCTTCCTTGGTGAAGGTGCCCCCGTCGACTTCGCTAGGCTCAGCGGCCCTCAAAGATTGGTGAGCGTATTGTGACAAAACACCTTTGTAAGTCTCTTGGGCGGCGGAGATCATCTTGTCCGCATCCATCAGCGAACTGATGTCTTGAGAGCCTTCGCCGAGAGCCATTAGCGTAAAAATACCACTTGAATTCGAAGATGTGTCATCATTGACAATGTCTCCAAATAGAGCATCAGCAGCTGTGGCGGACTGAAGAAAGAGACTGGTGGTATTCCAATTCGAGAAGGTAGGCAGACTGCTGTTGGGCCCGTCGGTGGACTCGATGGTAATGTCTTGATGGCTGTCACTGAATTGAGTTTTATTAATCACCTTGACTTCGGCCATGGAGTAAGAAGGCTTGCAAAACACATTTGTCATATTAGAAAGAGTTCTCGACACGTCACTAGCGATGGTGAAAGTACCGCCGGCAAGTTGAGTAGCGTTGTCGAACAGAGTCTGTTCATATTTTATGTCGGTCAGTGTGAACAGCAGACCCTGAGGGCCTTGAGAGTCTGTGGCATTCTCAATGGTCGTGCCACAATATATTTCTTGCATAGTGCCAGTCAGCTGACGTCCAGGAACAATCTCAGTATATGGATTGTAAGCCGGAACACTGACAGAGGATGCACGGCTGCAAGCTTCGCCAGCTTGGATGGTGAAAGAGATGTTTGAAGAAGATGCAAATGCCTCCGCGGAGTTGGTGTCATTCACGACGGATGGAGTGTCCAACTGGACATCCAGTCGACTGCAAGTCATATTTGGAACAAATGCCGCGACGTTGGCCGTGATGATCGCATTCTGTCCGACCGAAGTATTTGACGCCACCGTGATTGCGCCGTACGCCAAATCGAGTGTCACGCCGCTCTCAGGGGGAATACCCTGTGTTTTGCTTCCATAGTATGCATACACCGGAGAAGCCACAGCCAATGAGCCCAAAGGTGCGTTGGGATCGAACGAGTCGCTACTGAAACCTCGCGCAAGAATTGGAGCATTGCTCTGCCTCACCTGAGTTGGCAATGGAACCAAAAGTCCTGTTGAGAATACCGTAGCAACTTTTAATAGAATGAATCCCACGACTGTCGTAAACACGGCAAAATGATTGTTCTTGATCGCTTCAAACAGTGCCACCAGTTGGAACTTGGAAATATAGTCGACAAACAGGCTTTCGGAAGCTTTTAATGGCCCGTCTTGGAGGGCATCGAAAGGCATCGCCAGCTTCGCATGGTAATCCACCATCCTCCATGCCGCAACAATGACGACGGCAATGACCGTTGGAGCGTAAGCCCAGGCATAATGCTTCATGCCACTTGCGACATGGAATCCATCGTTGATACGGTCGAAGTGCCAAAGGAGCGCTAGGGCCAATACCAGAAGCGCGAAGAAAATCGCGAAGAGGATCAGTGTCACCTTTTTCAGCCAAATGTGAGTCCATAACGGAGGGGCCGGGTGTTGTAGTCGAAGCAAAGAACCTTCATCGGACTTGTTGTATACTGATGGAGCCTGGAGTTGGATGGATTCTGGTTCGTCTTCTTCGTGAATAGGGGAAATCGGGGCGTATTGACGAGGCTCGAACCTTCTCGAGATACTTGGGGGTAATTGTCGAATTCCCGGGGGGCCCCGTATAGACGGGAAGCGACTTGGTGCTGGTGCATTGTATTGGGACCATGATAATGTATCTACTGGATGTTGGTGAACGGGTTCTGGTAAGAGTCTATCGGAGCTGTCATCGTGTCGCCGCCTAGCCTGAGCCCGCTCAGCGTCTGTGACGGGAACATCGAGATAGACAGGGTGTTGATTGCTGTCCATTTGGTAAGGCAGGATACTCAGGCGACATTGTCATTTGGAAGGCTCTCTAGGTCATGATTTCCTCGCCCTTTCGTTTTCACAATTTGTTGAAGTGAGGTCTCTGAAACCAGGTCTTACCAAATGGTGAACCCAAACTCAGCCAGAGAGCTGCATATGAAAAACAGCCAGTCGAAAGCCGCGCCCCAGACTCCGACGCAAATAGCAAATCCTGGTTAGAGACTAGCAAGGCATCAGGCGCCCGGGGGGCTGAGACGAGAATTTTGGGTGTGAGACGCCGGACTCAGCCCTCTCGTGAAGCTTCTACATAAGGATTAGCCATGTCCTGATACGAGAGCCCATTTCACATTTCCCAGTCACCGACAAGCCACAACTCCGGTCATTGTCTGGGCTCTTCAGCCTATGAATGGCCTGGACGGACGCATTTCAGTAGAAAAGGACCTTGGAAACTTGGCACCATTGTCCTTCGCCACCTCTCGATGCCTTACTCTTATGGTGTGCTATCCCGACAGAGGAGGCGATCACGTCCTCCGAGGCGTCACGGCCGATGAGCCTCACTAAACAAGCAATCATCTGGTGTCGACATGATCCCTTGACAATATTGGAATGCATTTCATGTACCAAATTACGTAGCACGTCTTTCCACTTCTCGCGAATTAGGCTCACTGGTTATTCGGTTAGACCTGGTCCGACGTGTACCCAAATACGGAGTATCTACATATCTGAAGTGTGTGTTCAGCAGCATAAGCCAGATTTTTAGAAATGCGTAGGAATCCTTGTACATCTGACGTGACCATGCCAGCCACGCTAAAGATAGTGTATGTTCGTTGAGAACCCTGGTTCATTTCGAATTATAAAGCGGTGGCACTACAAATGAGCCTCCAGATCATCCAGGCAAAGATTCTGTACGCAGGACATGCCTGATGAGCCAGGTACGGCCAGATCAATCAGTGCTACTACTCCACATCCAAGACCACTGTGCTGACGGCAGGCCAGGTACTTCTGCTGCAAGGTGTCGACAATGTGTTTCTCTCATGTATACTTCGGTCTGTCATTGACACGGCCCACAATAAGCCTTGTGTTGAACTTCGAAGAGAGCGCAACAGTCGACCTGTCCGGGGAGGTCATGATCTATCCGCCTGTACAAGCGAAAGCTTCTAGTGAAGCCGCAGTCATAACAAACGTTCGCCCCTTAACGCCGCAATTCATCGCTGCCCAGTGGTGTCCTGTTCCCAGCGCCACATCGCTAAAGCCATAATTCGAGGGGTTTTTGGACGGATGCAGTTTTTATGTTGAGAATAATATCAGCTTGGTATCTGGGTCACACCTAGACAATCATTTGCGCAACTCCTTGACCGCCGAGTGTCTTACTGCCCACGAACTCTTGCTGCTTCAATCCCGCCAACGCATAACAAAATGCTGCCAGAGCCAGAACAATAGCTGCCGCGATTAAGCTGCTTGCATCCACTATGAGACTGAGCCATTGGACGATCGACATGATCCCGTAGATCGCTGCTCGCATGTAGTTCGTGGTGAATCGGCGAATGAAGGCATCGAACTTGGCCGAGGTAGGGCAGATGCGCAGGAGGAGGGGGATTTCGACGAATATGAGGACGAATGATGAAGCCCTGACACATTGTAAGCTTGTGCAATGGACGGGTGGAGGATTTGCTTACAGAAGGATGATACTAAATGCGATGAGGGCATTGAAGTGGAATATGTTGGCGATACCCAACGCAAAGCCTAGAATGATGCATAGTACTCCCAGCCTGCGCACTCACATCGTGTCTGTCAGCGTTTCCCTTCTACCAACGAACGAGAGAACGAGTCCTTTGTGCAGGGTCGCGGAAAGTTCACAACGCGTCTGCTTACCATTGTCCGTAAATACCTAGGATGCGACTCATTAGTCACTGTTGGACGCACTCCGGGAACATGTTCAGATACTCACTGAAGTTACGTGACTTGAATTCCTCCGCGAGAGTCATTTTTTGGTGGTGTCTTCGTTGTGGTATGACTTTGGTGTGAAAGTGTGTCTTGCGCGACTCTTGGAGTGAGATTTCCCAGCGGAGCTGAAGATATTGCTTGCTGATGCTGGAGTTTGAATGTAGTTGAAGAAGAGAGAACAGGTATCTCAGGAAACAATCGGGTCCTAGCTTGATAGAATTCTGTCGTTGTGGTTCAAGGGGTTGGCGAGCTTAATCAAATGTTGTCGTTGATGACAGTCTGGCCGCGATGGCTGTGGCAGCTGCGAGACACGCTTCACCACCAAAATAATCCAATAATCCAAGCCAAAGTCGGAGCTTAACCCTTGGAGTTCCGACAGGCAGGCTAGAGCTGGTGCTGGACCACAATACAAGTACCGTGTCCTCTGATCACTTAGCTTTTAGAACTTTGAGAGTCTCCGAATGGCTTTGTGTTCACTGGACCGGTCAAGGAGAAAATGACTGCTTTCTGTTGAATGTGGCGTGGTCACTACGGGGACTAGTAGAGGTATAAACTGTAGCCTGACCAGGATAGGAAGGGCATTACTCCGTACTCCGTATAATCATTCCCAAAAACACTCCCAACGCGTGGCTCAGCAGCATAAGCCACCCGGCCACTGTTAGTATGAGTTCACAACGAGCTGACCATCTCTTGTCGAACTGTCTTTAGATACAGGTTCTTCAGCCCAAACATTCATATCATATGCAAACCTCTTTGATTGATACAGCTACTCTCTGAAATGTACAGAGTATCGTAAGTGATGTATTGAGTCTGCGGACAACCACACTCTCCCCAGATGGCATGCTGTGCAGGTCTTCACATAATCTGCTTCGGTACGAAGTATTCAAATGTACGACCCACTTGTCTGCCATTTGTCCCTTATACACAGAAAATACTGTGGGCATGGAAACCACTCCAAAGTTGAGCTTGATACATCCTGAACTCCGACGTGATGGTCTGGACGACATCTCGCACAGGGTATGGTCATATAGCACATCGTGATAATACCCAATGCTCAACCGAATGTTTGGAGCGAGCACTCCACAGATATATTGGGCAGGCGATCGTCATAAGGAGAACGGAGGACTTGAATGAAGGCTACCCGCAGCGATATCAGAATCATGAGTATAGCGTTAGTCGCGCATAGATCTCTTCTTGACCGAGGCACATCTCACGACTGTTAGTTCGCATGAGTATGTTGGCAATCTTCCAACCTAGAGATTCAGGAGACAAAAGGGGTGCAGATGCATGTTGACCACTTGAAAGGGGTAGAGCAATTGATTACAAGCGAACAAGGAAGGACATGTGTGCAGGTCAATCTTTGCCTCTAGAGCTCTGCGCGTGCACTGTTCATCCTTATTGAAATTGGTCTTTGAACAGCTCCGGAGAAACTGCACTCAATTATTCACTCTCCTGTTGGCTTTGAGGAACGTCAAATTCATGTCATCCTTCAAGTGCAGAAGTTTCACTATCCACGGCTGATGCTTTTGACTCAATATTGGGCCCGAATTCTTGTCATCCTCACCAGCGTGTCAATCAGCCGGCAGCATAAACCACTGTAGAACAAGTCAGATCGAAACGAGATAGCCTCTGTGACTTTGGGGACATACGCCGGAAGACATCGTTCTGTACAAAGTAACTACCCGCATCCGGCAAGAGGTTAAATGTCTGAACGTAGCTCATTGGGTGTTGTTGATCATCGACCTAGGCAAAGGTGAGTTAGGAAACTATCTTCGCGCATTGCTATACAGTCAATCGGTATAGTGTGAGTAAGATCCATACCAACAGAGCGCCGGTGACCAGAACCAAAATACCCCCCTGTTCATTCGACGGCTGTGCATCCGTGGTGTCGACACGGTGTTGTACTTTCTGGAAAGGAAGATTCTAACAACGTGTGTGAGTTCCACAAGGTTTGTGACTGTTGCGACAAGGTGACTGACCGTCAACTTTTCAAGGATAGACTGCGTTCCCTGGAAAGGCTCCTTTTCGAAAGTGAGCATGGAGTTGTTCCTCTGGGACCATGTCAGTCGTCTTCAATGATCACTTCCGCCAATTATCCTTTGGTGAGGAAGAAACCGTACGTAAAGAGCAGCCAACTGCGTGCGGTCGTGATCGAAAGTCTTGTAGTAGAACTCAACAAATTGTTCTGTCGTCGGGTCAGATACAGTCTCAACTCGAAGGCGGGCAGGGCCATCATGTCGCAGCCGGGAGTAAGGACGTACGAGCAATGGTCTGGAAATCTGGACAGCCTCTATGTTAGCCATGCACTCGGTATAGGGTAGTTCGCTGGCAGGCACTCCATGTTGAGTAGGATCTTGTTAGATGTGTCGAAACACGTACCCGCCATGATGAACAGTGCAAAAAAGCAACACGGCTCCTCGTCTGTGTTCCCGGTACTTCTCTGGTCGGGATTCTCGGTGAAGTCAAGTGGTGGTTGCAAAAAGGAACCTAGATTCGCGTTCAGAGCAATTTAGAGGGGCAGCGTTTGCATGAGGCCGCACCTGCATAAACAGACGATCAGGTAGCAATTGTGTCACCGAGACTCGAAGTCACGTGAAACTTGACGATTTGTTTGCCAAGCGGCTGGTTCGATTGAATCAAAAAGGTGTTTTTCTACCTCTTTCCATCACCACTATCGTCACTCGATACACATTCTGGCGACCACTTGGAGGAATTGCGATCGCTCTGGCGATACTGTCTTTTCAGCGTTGTGATGACACTCATGCAACCCATCATGGCGGCTTTTGCAGGTAGGCAACAATACCCTCCTTCGCACAGCACCGCTCCCACAAGAAGCTCCGATGATTTTCACAATATGCTCAAACGATAACTGACGAGGCGGATGGCGATGTCAACGCCGCCGTCGCTGAGTTTAAAAATAATGTCAAGTCTCAACAGTATGAGGTGCCTTGAACTACCGTCATTATCCTGGATTCTAGCTACGAAGCTCTGTTCGCTGACGCTTATTCATCTAGATACATTTCCTTCGCGTTGGTCAAGTGTGAGCGCAGTGGTATTGAGGCAAATGATTTGAATTTCGCATTATCGTTTGCTTGAAACATGCTATGAATATTATAACCAGATTTGCAATATAGATATCAATCTTTGGATTACCTTTTCTTTCCACGAATTGCATTTGAGCTCATCACCTGGATGGCATCTCACTTGCGTTCCCCCTTTATATCTTAGCCTCTACCTCTCCCTCTGCCGGTTCCCCTTTCGCCACGCTCTCCTTCCCTCTTGTGCCATGGGTCACTAGGCCAGACCCAGCCGCGCACAGTTCTTGCTTCTCTCTTCTCGCCCATCTGCGGTTCTGGGATCCATTTATCTTTACCATCTTTCCCGAGCTCTTCAATGTCCCCATCCTCATCAATAACAATTGCCCCAGCCGCGGTACCGTGCCCACCATCCCAAACTCTCTGTCTTGACAGCGCTCCCGAACCACCCACATCCATATAACTTCCAGGCTCCCCTGGAAGCGGCGTAGCCTTGGAGAGCATCAGAAGGTAGTACAGAGCGAGTGTAACAGTCATGCTGATATCGCCTCTCCCAGTAAGGTTGCCTCCATTGACAGCAAATGTCTTGGTCTCAACGGCTTCAGCAACCTCAAGGAGCCCAAAGTAAGGTTGATCGCGCTCATCGCACCCTGCCCGGACACAGACAAGTTCGATCTCGGTGATGATGAATCCGTATCTGCAGCTGTGATCGCGCATACATTTCTGCAAATGTGCTAATGTGCGCAAATACTCGACCTTGCGAGCTGGTCCCTCCTTTCGCATCCCCGTGTTCCAGCGATCGAAGGATCGGACCAGGCCTACAACCCGTCCCCGTGGGAGTCCAGATAGGGTTCGATCATTGTCAGTTGGATAGTTGGCGAGGAAGGTCGGAACATTTGCGGCATTCGCACTGACCCCACTGGCGGTAGGAGCAGGTGAAGGATACAAGCAAACAGAGTTGTTACCAAGGGACAATCTTGTGGCTGCATTGACCTTGGGGAAGTAAATCTTGGAGATCAGGTTGGCGAGGTCAACCTCGGATGCCGGCGTCACCGTGTTCGAGTTGGAGTTTGTGAAAGGCAGGCTCGCTGTGTCATGTTGGAAGTTCAACAGCGTGAGAAGATCTGGGATGCTTGCCATTGTCTGTATCGAGAAAGACTTCCAGGGTCGAACGTTCCGGACATCCCACCAGAAATGATTGGTCAGACCTCGACCGGTCTGGTATGTGAGGTGGCGGACTAAGTTGATGGGTTGGGTGGGCTGACTCAGATAGGAGAGCATGCTGGTCGTTGATGCCTGGGCAAGCATAGGAGGTGGGGTCATGGAGCAAGGGCGTGATATGATGTCGAGATCGATAGGCATATCAAAAGTGCCTTCCAGATTGATCATAGGTGGCTCAGGCATGGGTATGTTCGTGTACGGCATATAGGTCGTGGCAAACATATCGGGCGATGGGGTCTGTTGGTCATGCGACAGATAAAGCGGCAACTGTCGGTAAGTAGGGTAGCCGAAGCGGTTCAACACATTATTGTCGATGCTAGATGCAGACGCTGAGCGTGAATGTGTTTTGACAGGAACATTGAGTTGGACCTTGGAGATGGAAGGCGAAGGCATCGACGAGTTTGACCGGGAGTGAGGAGCATTGGACTCTGGCGACATCATTGCAGCATTTTCCACCGGCTCAGTTGCGCTCCTGTACATTGCGGGACGAGCGTTTTTTGCGTTGTTGACGTACGACAAGGTTCTGCGGTGCATAGATGGACGAGTCGTATGTCGAGAATCGGCAGAGTCCTGACTCCGAATCTTTGGGAGCAATGTCGGGCCATGTTGACGAAGAACTGGAGACCGGTTGGGTGTCGAAGCTGCAGTGGTAGCAGTAATCACCGACTCAGGTGAAGTATCTGCTGTGCAGTAGGAGGAAGCGGACAGGTTCCGCGCATGTCCACGCTGACCAGCAGCGCCATTAGCCTCTGGAGGCGTGAGTGGTCTATAGTAGTAAGGTGCCAAAGACATTCTGCGTGCATCAGTCACCAGCCTGGCCAGGCAGCAAGGGCTCAACATCACTCACATGTCGCAACTTTTGGGTACCACGGCTAGCTAGTAGCTCTTGTCAACGAGAAGCCAGCTTCTCGAGTGTGGAAATGGAACTCCAACAACAAAGGAAAGTGATAGACACAGAAAAGAGAGACCAATGGTATAGGGACTGGAAAATCAGTTTTGCAACTGGAAAGAACGAAAGGCTGAGAGAGCATGGAGGAGGGAAAGGGCCAGGTATAAATGGCTTGGTTGTATGCGACCAGAAGCGGGCATCGATGAAGCCCGGCCAACAGTGTCCTGCAGGACATAGTGCACATGAAACGTGGAGCATCCCGACAGAATAGCGAGGATACAAACACGTCGGAGACGTGGTTCAGGAATCCGATCTTGGATCTCCAGAACCCATGTCTGTCCTGGATCGTGGAGCGCGGAAGGCAGAACGCGCGCCAGAGTCGATGGAAACAAAACCACCTATTTTGGGTGGTGGAATGACGCTTCAGGTATCTCACAACACTGTCAAACCGGCCGGCCAGGGTGTAACCACGCTCCGGATGATTTCATGTTGTCTTACGAGGCCAATCTGGGTCGGCGCTTGTCATCTATTTCGAGGCGAGGCTCTCGGCCTGGAGGCGGCTGTATGACTTGGATCTTGGGGAGCTTCTGAGATTGAGGCGTGGCTGATGGACAACGCGAAGCGCGGCGCATAAACCCACCGCGTTCTCAGATAGGCGCTGGTCCTGCCAGGCCGTTTCATTGGCGGTTCTTTTTTGATCATTCTGCCTTTTGCGTACCGTGATTGGCGGCCACTGTTACCGCCGTTGAAATAAGAGGAGAGTCCGAAGAGACACGGAACATTGAGACGGTGGCGCAGCAAAGACCAAAACGCTCAGCAGATGGATGGCAAGTCTGCCGAGAAATGGCATTCTGACGCAAACCATGAAGTATGTGCCTCTACCTAAAGGACGGATACAGAATACATGATGCCGCCCAGAAATGTGCACGACCATGACCTCTGCAGCACTCGTACCGCGAACGAAACTGGCCTCGATGGCGAGACCTATGTGCGGAAGTCTGTACCGGTCTTGCGTTGTTCTCGCTACCTCAGGTAGGTAGGTACCCACAACGCTCAGAGTGTTCATCTCCGGGTACTTCTCTACCTTAGGTATCGCGATAATAGGTACAACAGGTATCCAAGTCTAGGTAGGCACGGGCAGGACAGTGCAGATATTGCCATGCACGATGCTCTGCAAGCCCTCCATTCAGCTTCGCCCTGACACGACTATGGCGCGAGCCACTCCACCGTACACGCGAAACTGGCGCCTTACCTCGTGAGTAATCGACACTGCCTAACGGGACTATTCCACGAACTTTTCACGACTATGTTCCCATGCCCTTTGTATCTTTGTACATCGGTAGGCTCTGAACTTGCATGAAGCGGTCATCCTGCCGTGCGTCTCGACTGGTCGTTGCTGTCACTAGATCTGTACCTGTGTTTCAGAATGCTGCTCATCGTTCTGAAACAGGCCATTGACTGGCCACGGCTTCTCTGGACTTAGGAGAATAGCGACAAATTCCGCAGCTCGTTTCAGGAGCTACTGCTCTAGACTGCATATGCAGAGATATTCAAGCATGAAGGCATCAATCGCTTCGGCAATCATTATTATTGATGACTGATGGGATCCTATTCAGGACCGCCAGCTTCTCCCATATGTACAGAGTTCTCACAAGTCTATGACGCACCTCAAGTTCCGCCCGATGGAACACCCTTCGATATGCCCAATGTTCCCTATTAACGGAGTACCTGCTGCATTGACCAATGCGAACCGAACGCCTCAAGATGAAACGATATGTCTGCTGCAAAGACGACACAAATCCCTCATGCTTTGACCTCGTATTTGCGGCGGAACATGTCATCGACCTCGGTGAGATAGTATGTTCCTGGGACCAAATCCTCGACCTTGCCCACAGGCTTGAAGTCCTTCTTCAGGTGAGCCTTTTCTCTGAGCAAGCACAGTTCGTCATAAACTTCAGGGGCTACGACGCGGCGGGCGTTCAGTCGTTCTTGCAGATTTAGCTTCTGCGCCATTTCAGATGTGTCGCCAACGGCTTTCAAGCTGAACATCGAACTGGCTAGACCGCTGCCATAGCTGAAGACGCCTATCCGTTTGCCTTGCATCGACTTAGGCGCAATGTTGCTGATCAAGCTGACGAGACCTCCATATACGCTGCCACAGTACATGTTTCCGCATAGGGTTGCAACCTGAATACCTGGTTGAACACGTTCGGCAAATCGCTTCTTAGTCAAGCCCATGAATGTCTTTTCGACATTCTTGTCTGTCAAGGAGGCTTGGTAGTCCAGGTCCCGAAGTTCAGGAGCGACTTCTTTGAAGAGCGCGTGGCTTGGATCTTCCAAGAAATCGTTGTACAGGAGACGAGCATATGACTTGGAGACAAGCTTGCAAGTAGGGGCATGGAAGGCCATGTAGTCAAACCTGTCCAATGGAGCTTTCTCAGTCTCCTCTGCGTGAGCTCCATTGCCATTGACCGCGTGACCGTTGACAGCCGCTCCGTTGGCCTGGCCCTTCAGTGTCCGTTCTCGCGCGTTATATGCCTTGTAGCATGCATCCACGGCTTCTGTGTAACATCTCAATGAAAAATGGCCATCAACGTAGGGATACTCGCTGGTAAGATCGGGCTTGTAGAAGTCGTAGGCGTGGGTGATGTACGACCCTCGGAGACCGGCTTCGAACACGAGCGGAGCATCTGGACCGATCAACATCGCAACACAGCCTGCGCCGCCGGTAGGGCGAGCGTTGCCCTTCTTGTAGAGAGCGATGTCACCAGCAACAACCACGGCATCACGTCCGTCCCAAGCTGAAGACTCAATCCAATTTATGGAGTTAAAGACTGCATTCGTGCCACCGCTGCTTCTCGTCAGAAATTGTTCCCATATCTTGATTCCTCAAGATCACTCACTAGCAAGCATTGTAGGAGTCGACGCCTTCAACATTGAAGTTTCCAGATTTTTCAAACAGCTGCATCAGGACAGACTTGACACTCTTGCTCTTGTCAAGCATGGTTTCTGTACCGACTTCAAGTCGTCCGATATTCTTGAGATCGATGTCGTACTTGGAGATCAGGCTTGTGAGGGTCGTGAGGGCAATGGAATAGATATCTGGTGCGCCATCAGAGATCGAAGTCAGAGAGCCCGAGACTGATAAAACTCACCTTCTCTGTCATCGCAAAAGGACATCTTGGTCTGGCCCAGACCAATGGTGTATTTCCCGGCCGAAACACCATCGAACTTCTCGAGCTCGCTCTGGTCAACGCACTATAGAACCGTCAATACTGGAAGGGGGGTAACGGCCCTAGTCCTGGTTTCGTACCTGGCTGGGGAAGTAGAGTTCGATGGCCTTGATGCCGATATTCTGCGGTCGTGTGGCCATTGTGGAGGGTGTGTGAGTGAGATCAAATATACAAGACTCAGTTCTCAGTTCTTCTGTATGAATTGCGAGGGGATTTCGTGCACACGTTGGTGAAGGAGGCGGTGAGGTGGGGGATGATGGCGAGAAGACTTCTAATAAATAGTGACAGCCCAAGTGGAGGCGCAACCCACGATAAGGGGCGTTTCAATGCTTGTACTCGAAACCTGTGAGGGATTCGGGACGGCGTTTGCAACCAGAGACGACAGAGGTGAGGACGAGACGGATCAGAGAGAGGTGTATGATAGTAGCAAGAGCAGAGACGCACTGCTATGTACCTAGTTAGTCGCAGCCAGAAATTTTGTCGTGCATGTGTTGACTCTGTTGAGCAAGTGGCAGAATTATCACCAAGGGTGGTGCCGACATCGCTGGGGAAGTTGTGGCTGCCACTTGTCGGGCGGTGGAACAGGGCCTAGTGAGTCTAGCCGGGCTTAAGATCGCCCTCCAGCCAATTGAAGACGTGGATCTGCGGGCGGTGAGGCACGTTGAGGCGGGTGGTGTCATTCGGATGCCCTGTTCCTGCATTTCTCCCGGCCCAGGGGCCAGAGATTTCTCCCACTTGGCCGGCACTGTTCGCCATGACAGTCTTCATGTCGCTAGGACGGAGTATCAATGGCCAAACCCGCAATAAATTGCCATCACGCTCCTCGGATTCAGGACGCTGGTGTCGTGGCTGTTTTCGCTTGCGTATACATCTAATATCGGCATTTTCGAGAAGATGGTCACGCCACCAAATTCCAATCTCGAACTGCGATAATGCTTCCACTTTGACGGACAACTTTGTAGAAGTGCTACCCCTGTTCTTCCCTGTCTTCCCATCACGACCGTACACCATATGGACGGCATGGTCTACCAGCGCAGGCGACTATCAATCACAAGACGATCTACCTATTGAAAATTTGGTGCTAGTCCGACGACTTACACGCCGATGCCATCCGCTGTCTCTGTGTCCAGCGCCTCTATGTGTAATCTCTACTTGCACCTGCAACTCCAGCATCCTTTCTATCTTAGCTCGTTCAATACGAGGATGGTAAAATACCAAGTCGTCCACCATCCGTCACCACCGTACATCCGTTGATGTAAGCCCCAGCACGACTGCAAAGCCAAAGAATGACACCGGCCATGTCCTGCTCGTCTCCGCTTCTCGTGGCAGGAATCATTTCCTTCGGGAAGGTGCCCTCGACATTGTGACTTTCGAAACTGCCCAGCGACTTGTACATGTCTTCGGTCATTTCTGAAAGATAGAGTCCCGGCGCGATGACATTGACTCTGATGTCGTAGCTAACAAGAACGGTGGAGAGTTGCTTGCTCATGTGTCTGACGGCTGCCTTACTAGGCCCCTGTTTGGAGTCAATATCTATGCTGGACCAAGGAAAGTTTACCAAGGAACTTAGATAGAGATACAGCTGGTAGCTGCGTCCAGCGCATGTTCATGCTCCGCCTGGCATCAACTTACATAAGAGAGATTTCCCAAAGGATAACGACCATATCCTCCAATGGAGCTTGTGGTGATGATCTGTGGCCGCGGCTTGAAGTTTTCTTCCGTCGGTGGTTGTGGCCGCTTCTTGTTCGCGGCGTCGAGAAGTGGTAGGAAGGCAGCGATGGTAAAGTGGACGCCGGTGACGTTGACCCCGTATGTCGAGTTGACATCCTCGTGTTCAGGAGCCCACATATTCTGGATCACCTGGTCAATGCCAATCGGTTGTCTATTTGAGTCGACGGTCTTCACGGAAGGTCCTGATATTCCCGAGTTGGCCACGAGGACATCAATAGCGTCGACCTCGGCTTTGACTTTGTCGACACATTGTTGTAGCGAAGGCTTCGACATGACATCGCCGACCAGGGGGATGATAATGCCCCCAGGAACGGAGTCCGCTGTTTCCTTCAACGATGCTTCACGGCGGCCGATAATAAAGACCTTCGCGGCGCCATTGGCAGCGAGTGCCCTCGCCATCATTCGACCCAGGCCTGAACATAGATGTATCAGTGTGCATTTCACGAAAACAGACTGGGAGGCTGCGTGGCATGCCACAAAAGCTACATCAATTTGGCCAGCTGCACTTACCGGATCCGCCTCCAGTGATCACAGCAACGAGGCCATTCACGTTGAACAACTTCCCCGCCTCGATCTTGCCGATGTCTGCAGCCATGGTTGAATGTCTTTACGGGGTCAGAAGCGATAAAGCTCTCATGGATATCTGGAGGTGATGCCAGCAATGAAGCAGCCCTGATGCTCGTATGCAACCGGTCGCTGATCCAAAATACTGCGCTGAGGGGTTGAAATACTGAGCGGAGGGGTTGCTATTAGTCCCAAAACTCAAGGTCAGTAATCTGAGAGAAGTCTAGGATTTTAAAGTCCTCTGATACAGCGGTCAACGAAGAGATTACCGAGGACCAGGGCTGCACGTTGACCATGATAAGTTCAATGAGTCATAATCGTCATATTGCGTGCTACATTATATATATATGCTGTTCGGCGCCCTTCCCCGGCGGACAGCCCGTGTGGCTGATAATATATCTGACCTTGCTGATAGATGTAGAGTTGAAACGGGCATTATTCCACTTAAGCGCCGGATGCTGCGAAAGCTCACCAAGCGCATTGGAGCATTTGCCTACCGTGGAGCCCTACGAAATGCTAATTCCCACTGCTGGTGTGTGTTGTTGGACGGAGGAACTTTGTTAGGGGATATTCTGCCCCTCCATGCCTATCTACAGTACTCGTATCTAGATGCGCTGTCACCGTGTCACCAGGTGCTTTTCGGTCCTTACAAGTACTCGTATGAGAATAAATTTAGGCACTACTCACCCATCCGAACGAGGTGGCCATCACCATACAATCCGGCCATGTCCATTTTCGACTCTGAACCTTGCATTGGCCGGGTACTGACCTAAGTCTCCTAATATTGAACCAGATTATCCTTGATAAAGATCGGAATCAAACCTAGGCAGCTTACCTTACTTAGGATGTTTACATGTTTCACGGAATACAGGCACTGGTTAACGTGAATGTACGTCAGGATCCATTTACAAATAAGCGGCCCCTTCCATCTCAGCAAGGTAACAAGCAATCTTCATCTCGCTCTATCCCCCCCCCCCAAAAAGATTCTGCCTTCCGGAGCGCTTGACCTTGTTGATAAAGATTCGAAAGTCGGGCGTTTTGGAAAACCATAGGGACTACCTACGGCCAGCGCTGGTGGTACATATCTCCTTATGCAAGCCCAAGCCGTTTAGCACTCGCAAGGACAATGGAAAACGATGAGAGTCTTGCTTGACCCAATGAAGCACCAACTGATAGTTCTTCGATACAACAGAATCCCTTGTAGGGTTGTGATGATCTAGACAAGGTAATTTGGGCTCCCCAGATGTCGCGGCTCCTTCTCCTTCGATGCTTCTGTGTCTCTCCACGATCTTCTCCATCTCTAATGTCTCCCAAACTGGGTCAGCTTGCCCTTCAGTCTACTCATCTTGCTGGGCTCATATGATTCTCCACGGTCGCCACTAGTCTTGACGTGTGTCCCATCATCCAGGCAGCCAGGACTCAGTTCCCTGTCGAAAACCTTGTTTTGCGCCGGCGCAGTCAGGCCACTTCGACCTCGCTCAACCGCACTCTTCCCAGACGTGACTGTCGTGGACACTGCCGCAGTCGGCGTAGGAGTTGTATCGGAAACGGAAACGCTTGGGTTCTCTACGCAGGAGTAATCAGTACATTTTGTCCCTGAGGACCGCTGAGAGGATGTGTACCTGGCGCGTTCCCACCATCGTAAGGGTCTGTTGCTGTGCCCTTCCCTTGGATGCCTGAGGGAGGCTCCGAGCCAGAGGTAACAAGGTCATCTGCATTGCCTTGGTCGTAAGGGTCGGTCGCCGTTCCCGAGCCTTGCAACCCAGAGACTGGCTCGACTCCAGACTGCGCTGAACTCCCAGCCATGGCTTTGTCTTGGATATCGCTCGCTGTTTCGCAGTAAAGTCTCAGTAATGGTCCGTAGGGACAGGCCAATTCAAGCAAATTATGCTTTGGGAGGAAGGGAGGGGTGGCCCGTTAGACGTTGTGGCTTCAATGGAATGCGCTTAGGGACAAATAGGTTCTGTTCACGTTAATACGAAGAGCGTAGATCTCGCGGGCAGAAAACGTCAGTCAATAATGAAGAGCAAGATTTCAAGTGTTATCATCATGTAGCATCAGACATGGGCGTCTAAAGACTAAAGGCCAGATGCTTGGTTCTTTTGGCACTGCGCACATGGCTCGTTAGATGATGCCAGAGAGATGGACGTCATTCAGGCCCAGGTGGGTTGGAGGGGCCAGCTTCTGGTGTGCCGTGAAGGCATTAGGGACATCAATAGCGAGGCTAGGCAGCATCCTCAGAGACCGATTGACAGCCACACGACGGCTAATCGGCTACATATTCCAGGTAAGAGTTAGAGGGCCTAAACTGGCTTTAACAGGAGCACAGGTCTAATCGACGCATTGTAAGGCGATCGTGGCCGTCTCGCCCTTCTGATTGGGTTGTCTCACAATCGCCCTACGTAAAATGGCAACCCCTGTACGAAGTAGTAAACTCTGATCTACAGTACGTGCCAAAGCGCGCAACTTCAGCGACTGCTTGAAGGACGTACTCCGTATCTTCAGTGCTGCAAGTGTATTGCTTTTTGAGTCTTGGTACAATGTCAGAACGTCGAGACTTTCTGGACTGGCTTGCAGGCGTTCTATCCTCAAATAATTTCTGCTCGAAATACATACTTTAGAAGCCCAAGACTCTTCTTAAACTACCCAGGTGCTTACCCGTAGCCATAAGCTGTCATGCTCAGCGTCGCCAGATAATGGTGTGATATGGATACAAGATTTTTAAAGAGGTACGATCTACGGATAAGAGATAATGAAAACATGAGGCAAAGAAAGTATCTACATTACTAAGGAGAGATTCGAATCTAACTGAGGTAAGTTAGTGATGTGCCTTAAGGTACTCTCCTCCGCCAAGCATCTAAGGCGAAATGCTCCGTACATCTGCCATGATTATTCAAGTTTCTTTCATAGTGATACCTTCTAGACGGTCATCGAGCACGATCAAACCCTTGACAGCTATGATAGCGAATCCTTGTGTCGACTGCCGCGAACATGAGGCGACGCTGACGGTTAGAAACAGGCGGCTGTGTAGCGCCTGTTTCACCTACTACGTGCAATCGAAAATCTTGAAGCGTATGGCATCCTATGGTTTCAAGAGCCTGTCCAGTGAAAAGGAACGTCGATTGTTTCTACCTCTGTCCGGGGGCCTGTCATCGCTTGTTCTGCTACAAGTGCTCGACGTTCAGCTTCAGAAGCAGATTGCAAATCGCAACAAGACATCGTATGACATTATCGTCGCTCGAGTCGTCCTGCCTGGCGAAAAAAACTCAGGGTCTATCCAGCGTGACTATGAGGCTCTAGCGGAGACGTTCGCCTCTCATACCTTCCTGCCTCTATTGAGTCTGCACCAAATCTTGCAGCTTGACTGCGACGTGGAGCGAGATTTGAGGCACCTTGGAATTGTCCGCCACGGTGGTGAATCCGACCAGGATTTCTTCATTCGCATCGTGGGTTGTAGCACATCTGCAAGTGCGGCATCGGATTTGCAGTCGATCCTGCTCAAACGTCTTCTTGTGGCAGCGGCCAGAGACCAACATTGCGACAATGTCTTATGGGGCCATTCAGATACCCGTTTGGCAGCATTGGTGCTGGCTGATGTCGCTAAAGGACGAGGTGGCTCTGTCTCGTCTTCAATCGCCGATGGCCAAACATTGCAAGGGATTGATTTTAATTATCCAGTTCGTGATCTGTTCAAGGCTGAACTGCAGACATATGCTCGAGTCTCATCCGAGCCAGCACTAAAAACCACAGTCGAACAAGATACACAGGTCCAACAGCCCACAAGCATACGTAACACTGCAATCGACGATCTCCTCAACACTTACATCACATCTCAAGGCGAGAAATATCCAAGTATTATGGCGAATGTTGTGCGTACTGCAAGCAAACTAGAAGCCAAGAGGCCCGCCGACAATACTATCGTCGCCTGCCCGGTGTGTCTCCTGCCCAGAGTGGGCACCCAAGGATCTTTAGCTACAAATTCTGGGCTATGTTACGGATGCCAAAGGATGAGGCAAGACATCGTACCATAACCGTGTGGTGACGACAGCCTTCACGACTTGATGCCCATGGAGGTCGAGGATTTATTCCAGAACATGTTAAAACGACCAGAAAAACATGTGCATACATTGAAAACTACTGCTCAATACAAGACGAATGATGCTGCCTCTACCGCTGGCGATTCAACCGAAACAATTTCGCATCAGCGGGTGCGGGCTGGTAGCGGGGGTGTAACATCATCTCCTCGCTCAACGTCACGACGGTCTCTGCGAGATCGGCGAGACTCGCGTCGCGAGGTATATCTCGGAGGAGGGCCATTCTGCTCGTTCAACAGTCTCTCTTCGCCCTGATAGTCAAATTCGTCGGGCAAGCTCGGATCCGCAGTGTTGGCCTGCGGAGTTCCTTTGATTCTCTTTGCACCGCGCTCGCGCAGAACTTTCTCCAGCAAAATCACGTTCCTTGTGTTGCACTTGTACACCGCATCCGCAATATCTCCAACAAATGGGACTAGACCAATTGCAAAGTCGAGCGCCAGATTAAACCTCATGCGCGCTTTGACCGAGGATGGTAACTCTGGTTCAACCGAGCAGCAAGTACGGTAGACCATGAATGCCAACAAAAGGTCAAGGAAATCACCGATTCTGCCTTGCATTAGTCTTGAGCTCGCCGAACAAAAGAGCACTTGGGGCGTACGCTGGAATCAAGCCGATCACTGCTCCCCAGCCAAATCTAGTTCCGCAAAAACTGCCGAGTGAAAGGTCGACGCGGTACGCTCTCCTCTTGGCTTTGGTGAGGATTTTCTCCTCTTGTGAAGTCAAACCAGGTGGAAGAGCTCGCTTTCGCTTCTTGGTGGTCTTGTACAGTCCGCCGAGCCTGGTGGCCGGAACTGTCTCGAAGTATGGATCCTATGGGTTTGGAGTTAGCAATGACGACATGTATCGTAAGACGTAAATCTCACCTCCTGGCCCTGGGAGTTGGACACATTCTCTTTAAAGAATTTCTTGGCCACTAGCTTCGCAGCGTAGGAAGTCATGGTGCGATTGATGGAGGTTGAGATAGGATGGACAAAGCGCTCGGTGCAAAACGAGGGCTGGTGGTAGAGATATAGGATGGGATTTGGGGACAGTAACAAAGGGAAGACAACTTTATGTCACCATGCGTTGGTGGACGGGAGTAACCTTCAAACAAAGAAAGGCCAAGCTAAGTCGCGGCCAGCTTGGCTGGCATGAGATCGGCTGGCTGTCAACGACTCAGACAACACGATTGACGCTGAAATCTTGGTTGAGGCCCTTGAAACAACTCAGACTCTTGCGCGCGGTTGTCGTCATCCTGCAGTCCTGCTGATCAGTGACAAGTGATGAGTCGAGACTTCTCAGCCACAGATGCTCGGAGCGAGACTCAGCCACAGTCACTGCCACACTTCGCACCCAATGCCACCTGGTAGCTCGTTCGAGGACTTACTGGCCAACTCGCACTTCTACCCCACAGGCTCATCTGCGTCCAAACACCAACAACTCGGGCGCGGATCCAGATCTAGACGGGTAGCAGTGCACATTGCTATTGTATCCCTTTGTGTGGCGAACCTCGATACAACGCATACAGTCACGCAACCGACGGCTTTTGGAAATGATTACAGACTGCTACATCGACACGACAGTGAGAAATGCAATTGGAGGATTGTAAGTACATTCGTTACATTGAACACGAGAAGCCCGTCTTTTCGACGCTGACTTTAGTCGCATCCAGGGCTAGATGACCTTTGTGTCCGATTCATCATCAACTTGCCCCCGGAAGAGCTTCAATCAGTGGAGCGAATATGCTTCCAAGTCGAGGAGGCACAATGGTTCTACGAAGACTTCATTCGTCCTCTCAACCCGTCGCTCCCTTCTCTTACGCTGCGGGCCTTTAGCCTACGGATATTTCAACATTGTCCGCTGTTTTCACAATGGTCTGCCCAGCACCATACGACCGCGTTTGCGGAATTCTTGGCGTACAAATCACGCGTCCCAGTCCGTGGCGCTATTATGCTCAACGAGGCTATGGACGAGGTAGTCCTTGTCAAAGGCTGGAAGAAGGGCGCCAACTGGAGCTTTCCCAGAGGAAAAATAAACAAAGACGAGGGTGATCTGGATTGTGCGGTGCGCGAAGTCTACGAAGAAACGGGCTTTGACATCCGTGCAGCAGGTTTGGTCAAAGATGAAAAGGATATGAAATATATTGAGGTTACAATGCGAGAACAGCACATGAGGCTGTACGTCTTTCGGGGAGTCCCCAGGGATGCACATTTTGAGCCCAAAACTCGGAAGGAAATCAGCAAGATCGAATGGTACAAGCTGACAGATCTGCCAACTTTGAAGAAAAACCGTCAGCAGGAGGGCAGTGGCACGGATCAACCGACAATGAATGCCAATAAGTTCTATATGGTGGCCCCTTTCTTGAACCCGCTCAAGAAATGGATCGCACAACAGCGGAAGAAGGAGAACAGATACAGTTCTCATTTAGCGGCGCCCCCAATGGTGCCTGAAGAGGTTACAACTGAGGATGATCAGGACATCAATGGTGTCTCCGCGACCTTACCTTTACCGTTGCATACTGTCAGCGATCTCCCCGAAGTCACTGCGGCAGACCGCTTTGATCCTACATCGCACTTGAAACAAATACTCAATATCGGAACCGTACAGCCTGTCCAAGGCGAAGACATACCACAGGCCAGCCACATGCAACATGTTGACGCCCAAAAGTCGAACGCTCTCCTGGCTCTTCTGCGCAACCCGCAGCAAGGACAGAACCGCCCCATACCCCAGACACCATTGGAACAAATAACGACAGTGCCACCGCCGCAACAGTCGCCGCACGTTTCTCATGTCCGTCAGTCTCAAATGGATCAAAATCGACCTCCTCCACTATTCCAGCCACCTGTGCACCAGTCCAGCAGGGACACGGAACCCCCGACAACAACATCACCCAAAACCTCTCAGTGGCACCCCCCACAACTGCAGAGCGCACCATATCAGCGGACTGGCGACCCACAATTCGCTCTGCAAGGGAAGGATAAAGCTCTGCAACCTATCGTCCCTCCAGCAAGTGCGCTACCAAAGCTCACGAACCATACAAAGGCATTACTAGATGTCTTCAAAGGGACGGGTAACATGGCACCGGCACCACCCCCGCCCGAGTCGTCGAAGAAAGGCTTACTAGAGCTTCTCACGGGCGGAGGTTCCCTTGCAAAAGCTGCTCAGCCAAGTCCTGGAGCGATAGGAAGTGACTTGGCCAATTTGGCGCACCGTACACAGAATTCGAACTTTGCGCAATCAACAATAGGCCAAGGCCCCCAGCCCACCTTTGAGCAGAGGGTTTTACATCAGCACCCGGCGATTTCGCCCCGGGTTCCTCCCACGCAGACGCATAAGACATCTCTATTGGACCTATTGACCAAAGGTAATCAAGCAGGACAGGCTGTAGAAGTCAAGCTTGCAAATCAGCTACCAGCCGAACTTGCAGCTACACGCATAAAGTCACCATCTGGGCATGAGATCGACGGCAATAAGAATGAACTTCTTTTGTCGCTTCTCAGCAAAGGCCATCAGGATAGGACGACGCAAGCAAGACCTGTAAAGCAGACGCTTGTCAAACAAGGCGAAACATCGGCTACAATCAATGGGCCGCTGAATCAACCCGAATTCGAGGCCATCTCTAGGGCAAGCCGGCAAATGTCAAGCGATATGAGACGAAGTCCGCTCACATCCCATCGAACTCTCTATGATCCCAATCAGCCTGTGCCGATGAAGATCTTGACACGATCAGACGAGGCTCGTCAACAGCAGCAGTCTACACCACCGCGGTCTCCTCGCACCATGAAGCCACCCCCGAAGAGAGCAGCCAAAGAAAAGGTGTCACACAAGCCATCTAACAAGCCATCTAACAAGCCATTTCAACCGCAGATACTCCGTCGTCCGCAGACAGCAGATTCGTCTGAGCCAGAGTCAACTGCAAGTAAGACCAGGAATCAGGAGGCAGTCCAGACGAACGCGGTCTCATCTCCATCGACCCCCGATAACTTGACTGTTCAAGAAAGACCGCCTGTGAGTCGACAATCGTCTCAGTCTACTTCTCAAAAGCAAGCACTACTATCGCTCTTCAGCGGAGGAATAGAAACCACGCCCAAAGCATCTGCAGTTCCGCCCGCTTCAGGCCTAGTGTCACCATTGTCTGCTAGTCAGCTCATGAATCCTAATAGCGAGGGCTTGCCGCATGGTATCGATCCTATTTCCACCCGTACATCACGAGTTGGGAGCCTGGCTTCGATCACTGGTGGACCCGTTGCCAATCGTGCGACCAGCGAGAAACGCCAGACAGGGGCCGAGAACAAAGCCTTTTTGCTGGGATATTTGGGAAGGATTGCGAGCCAGGAGAGCCAAGAGTAAGGCATTTTGTGGAAGGGGGTTAGTGAAGTCGGGTAAGGGCACGACGAGGGCGAGAAGCGGATAAAAAAGGTCAATGTCGTGCATTTTCCAGCGGAGCCCAGTGAGATTGTACCAAACAGGCGCGAGTCCCACATGATATCGGTCACGTAGATAATCAGACCATGAGAGTAGGCAAGTCGCCTATATTTATTTAAGTCCGCTCAGGAACCGGAAATAGACCGGGATCCTACATCGAATGCTGTTGTCGACACTTGTCGTGGCAAAGAAGCGGAAAGCCATTGAAAGAGCAATTTTATTTTCCTGCGAACCATGCGGCGGACCTGGTCATGGGGTGAATAAGGTACATTGAACAATATGGCGATCCTCGGAAGGACGACAATTCCAGATGACTGTCTCCCGAGGCACCGCGACAGGACCGTCAACATCTACGTGACGTTTGTTGGACAGCAGCTTTCGTCTCCCGTCACCGATCGGTAGCCTTGCCTCCCATTCACTCTACCTATGTCTCTCTCGTCAAACGCTCTCGTTCATCTGTGGTTTCGCGAAGCCTTCCCTCCGAGGTCATTACCAGGTTTCGCGTTTTACACTGTCTTCACAATACCTGGGCTCGGTGGGTAGAGAGGATCGACCGCGGCACGTATTCCACACGTGTAGATTTGCGTTGCACGACGTTGCCGAGCTGCCTAGGCTCATGAGCTCAACCATTCGGAAAGGGCGGCAGAAGCGCCGGCAGAATCGTCTCCTGGGACCATGTGGCCGGCGTTCTCAAACGTGACAAACGTGAGGCCGGTCGAGTTCTTGATTTTTCCGCCCCGTCGACACGCCGTCCATATCCTGGACGGTCCACTGCCTCCATTCCTGTTGTCTGTAGTCCAATTGGCCTCGCCACGGTATGCGATCGGAGAGTCGGACTTGACCAGGAGATAATCTGCATGCCACGCAAAGCCAAAAAAAACTAAGCGCACAAGCTCAGTCAAGCACCACTGTTCCGAGCCCAAGCTTGGGGGGGGGGGGGGGTCATTTCAGCCGGATACACTTACGCGTCGGGATCCAGTCTTCCACTGCGCAAGAGCACACGGGTAGGCGTGTCCTCCAATAGATAGGTGACGCGGGAGAGGTTTGACCTCGTCATGGAAGAACTGAAAGCCGCATTGATGTCCATGTCCATGACGTGGAAGTCGACGGGGACCTTATCTTGCAAGCCGAGCCTTGCCTGAAGGCCGGGATCATTCAAATATTTTTCCACGGTGGCCACCCACGGCGAACACGTCGGAAAGCTGTAGCAGGGTTTTTCCACTGAGACAAGAGGATCGTCGTCTTCATTGTATTCGCCGGGAACAGTCTCGGTAGTGGTACTTACGGTGCACGATATTTCTCTCAGGAAGGTACCACATGTGATTGATCTTGATGCAAGCCTCCTAGCCCGCGAAGCAGTCATCTATCTTCGCCGAAGAGTCGATGGCGAGACCAAGGCCGCCATTGCGTCGCATTCAGTGGCGTTCAAGTATCTTTTTTCCGTCACCGCAGGCTGTGTCATACAAGCTCGGGCTCGAAAAGCCGACGTCCACAAAAGGGCTGGTGAGGGCAATGCTTTTGACATCGAGCTTGACCTGCGGTCCCGGGATTGATCTGTCCAATAGATACGTCTCGCCGACGGGGGTTAGGGACGATCCGAAAGACTCACCGAGAATATGGGTGTCTCGGCCTACCAGGTCTGGAAAGAGGTGCGTGGTGAAGGCGTTCGCGTCCTCGTTGATGCGACTGGGACCGACTCCCGTGAGAACTAGCATTACCGAAGAATAACCGGGTCCTTTGTATCATAGCACCAGGTTAGCTCCAGGGTTCACAGTCTCGAAAGATTTGGAGTTTTTGTACCCTGTCAGGAAAACAAGGAATGGCGCCGTCTCTGGGCTTGTTTGACTCCCAAAATACCCTAAGATACGTAAGTGGTGCAAGTCCACGGACGACTTTTGTTCGACGGGTCGACTGACAATGGAATAGACTGTTTCCATTGAGGACAGGAACTTTTCCGGTCCATTGACGACTCCTGGCGTCACAGAGCCTCCCATCCTGCTCGACCTTGCTGGCTTTCCGTCCAGCTGCTGGCAAGCCAAGACCCGGCGAGGACTGTAGTTCTGACTCTTGCTCGGTATGTCTCGACTGGTCCTGGAGCGTGAGTCTCGAAGAGACTGGTCCTGCAGCTCGCTGACTTTCGATCAACGAGCTCGCCACCGACACCGGGTTGACAGCGAGACCAAATAATTGCGAGTCTGAAAACGTGGTCTTAACATCTTGAAGCCTGAACGAAGACTGCACTGCTGCCGACGCGGAACGATGAGCAGTGGCATTCCATAAATCTCAGGATGCACACAGAGGGCAGGACATGGGGTCTAGTCACCAGTGACGCTAATGGGTTATCAGTGGAGGCGGCTTAGCCGCACCGGGTGAACGAGTACGTCCAGTGGGCCACAGCCACAATCGAAGTTAGACGTCTGCATTGAACTCCCTGGACCCCTGTGGCACCGGCTCGACTTCGCGACTGCAAGAAGCTAATCGACCAAATGCCGAGTGTCTATCTGAGATTTCCATGTGGCAAGAGATTTCCTTGCCGAGGTTTTGAAAGTGCGTTCCGTGGGCAGAAGAGTGACGGGTGGTCTGTAGATTAGCTAAGAAACCCACCCTTTTTATCCTGTTCTAACATCGAAACGGCTGTTTGACGAGCCTTGTGACGAAGGACCGGCCTAGCCAGAGGATATCAAAACATATGGCGGTCCGAAACCATACAAGGAAGGACGTTGAGGTTCTGTGCTATTGTTCTGGCAGACTGTTGTTCTTGGATCAAGAACATCAGACTCCAGCGTATGGCACCGGTTCAAAGCATCAGCAGCAGAGATTCAATCATCAGTGACGAGGACTGAAACGAAAAACAAGACCGCTACTTTGACGGCCCATAGTGTACAGAGACCGTCGCCTCTAACTTAGCTTCTAGATCTGCAGTGTAATGTTGAAGACTTCCCTTTACGTTTCACCCCAAGACAGCTGTTGCTATACACGAATGGGCTGACTGGCAAGTGGGAAGCATCCCAAGACGGTGTCCCGTATCAGTGGGAGTTTTTGGTATGGAGCGAGTCGATGTACTAAGAGCGAGGTAGTCACAATCAAAACGTACGGGTATGATCGTGAACGAAAGTTGAGCACGTAGTACGCCTAGTGAAAGGACCATCTTTGTACGAGGATATATCCGCCGGGTGTCTTGTTGTTGTCCTGATGTGCTGACGTGGTGTCCATCGACATTGACATACGTCCGTTGATCAAATCGTCAAGCTTGTGGTTGTAGCGGTGCGAAGAGCATGAATTGATTAACTAGAAGCAAAGGAGCGACTGGCCGCTATATGTACCGTACTTAAGCGCATGTAATAAGTCAGTGCAGCACCTGGAGAGAAGCATCTGGATCGTGACAAACACACGCTAGAACCACAGGCTTCTCAGGCCACATTCAAAGCCAATCTGCACTGAAGCTTGGGTGAGGCCCCAACGGGGAGTGCTCATATCGTACATAAAAAATTAGTGATCAGCTTCGGCTCTGACATAAATAATCCCAAGTTGGTTCTTAGTTGTTGTACTATCGGCCAACAAAGGTACCTACCCACTCAAGCATCATGCATCGTGCATCGTGCATCGTGCATCGTGCATACAGTGTGTAGTTTCTTGGTGGGTTTTTCCAGACCGCCACTGTCGGATTCCGCGTTCCGTCGTCGGGCTCTCGCAGGTCATTTAAGCATCTTATTTCCCGAGCTTTGGACTTGTGTAATCTGCACAATCAATGCAGCTGTACCCTGTACCCAGCTTCATCCTGTGCTCCAAGCTACAGTCCACATGCCTATTGTACATCCTTGTATAAGGAAGTAGACTAGTTAGCAGCTTCTCCTGGCCCCTACGGAAAAGGTGGACTGAAACGCAAGGCCCCCAGCGTGACCAGCAGTCCTGGTTCAAAGCAATGGCTTTAGCTTCGTGAGGCTGACTTGTTTAAAGTTCATGGTTGGAGGTGGGATGGATGCTTGTGTTGCCGCGCCGGAGCCCAATCGACAAGGTCCTTGACGCGGCGTAGTTGGTTGTGTTAGCGACAAGCCAGAAGGAATTCAGGAGAATGGCATGTTGTTAACTCAAGACGGCCCCTCGTCGCGAGCTGTGTTAGCGACAAGTCAGAAAGGATGCGGGAGAATGGCATATTACTGAAGACGGCCCCTCGTTGCGAACTGCGCTGCAAATGTCTCTCTCTCGTCGTTGTCGTCCCCTGTAGGCCCAAATGGCAGAGGTTCCGTCGCCCCGACCAGCTCGAGGAGGAACCGGTGTAGTAAGTGTCGCTGCAGGCGCAAGTGTTTCGGCTGGCGAGGCTGCTACAGCGCCAGCACCTGCGCCTGCGCCTGCGCCCGCGCCCACTGCTCCCCCTCGGCACACCTTAGACAATTATCAACACCACACCATTGCCTCTCCGTCGAGCATCAATCACGTTGACCCCGGAGGCGCCAGAGAGGGTATGTCTATTTGGTTGCGGTGTACAGCTTTTGTTATGTAAACCATCACTCAGCAGCTCCTTGTGGGCACCCATTGCCGACTCTGGCCCAAACTACTCTGGACTTGCCGTTTGCAGGGTTGCCACATGGCTGTCCCCGTCCTCGACTTGCTCTGCCGTCACCTCATTCTCATGCTGACTGTACTGTGTCGCGCTCCTCCTCAGACCCCCCACTATCAACTACAAGTACCGTTCGCAACTTGACCCATGGCTATAATTCAGCCCTGAAATCACACTTGTCTGCCAGTATGAGTCCTGTCCTCGGCTCACTGGAAGGCCAGGCAGCCAATGCTGCGCAGGGGATGGTGCTGGATCCAATTTCTCGGGTGCGCTCAAAACTCCCATGCCCACTTTGATGGCTTACAAGTGCTCACCAAATGCAAAAAGCAAATTCTAGAGCGCACTCAATCCTCGAACAAGCTTCCTTCAGGCCAACAAAGCGGTGTAGTGCCTTCAAAGTCCACTTATGCGGATCCCGGTCCTTCCGAAGATCTATACTCGGGCAGAATGTCTTCCGACCCGGCGCCATTGCGAAGAGTTGACAGTGGTGCTAGTAACAAGTTGACCAAGGACAAGAAGTGAGTGGTGCAAAGCGAAATGAAAGAAAGAACAAACACACTCTCTCTTCCTCCTGTGTCTCATATGCCTGCAGGGCGATCGTTGCTCCCACTTTTGTCTTCAGGCCTCCCCGCGCCCACGTCTTCCACAGCCTCGTGGCCAGGACGGGTACCAGGCTAACATGCATGTCTGCGTAGGAAGGGTGTATCATTTCTGAGCCGCATTATGGGCGGTCCCAAAAAGAGGGATGTGTTCGACGTGCGCGAGGACACAATCTCAGAGTTTGCCGACGATCGTTCACCTGGAGTCGAGGCCGAAGTATTCTCTCAGCCACTGGGCCACATACCAAAGTTCCCTGCTCCTCCACGCTATATCAAGGTCAAAACGCAGCACAGGAAAGAGAAGGAACTCGACCGACTGTTTCTGGCTCAGATAGCCCTCGAGGCGCCGAAACCTAAGTCGAGGAGGAGGCTGTCAATAGACTCTAAAATACACGATATCACAGACAATCCAACCAGCCCTTCGACCACATTGACGAGTACAGGAAACTCTGCAATATGGGCCATGGAATTCTCAAAGGATGGCAAGTATCTTGCCGCTGCTGGGCAAGATAAAAAGCTGAGAGTGTGGGAAGTCATTTCCAGCACGGAGGAGCGTGAGTTCGAGGAGAAGCTCGCAGAGTCCGGAAAGGATGGGAATAAGATCAAATTGAATGCTCCCGTCTTCAAGACCAAACTCGCAAGGGAGTATGACGGCCACACCTCGAGTGTACTTGACCTCAGCTGGAGTAAGAACAACTTCCTGTTGTCCTCCTCGATGGACAAGACAGTTCGACTTTATCACGTCAGTCGGGCCGAATGTTTGTGTGCCTTCAAGCACAATGATTTTGTCACCTCGATACAGTTTCATCCTCGTGATGATCGTTTCTTCCTGGCTGGGTCTCTGGATTCCAAGCTGCGGTTATGGAGCATTCCTGACAAGACTGTGGCGTTCTGGGCCCAAGTGCCCGATATGGTGACCGCTGTTGCGTTCACACCTGATGGCAAAACTGCCATCGCTGGGTGTCTGAACGGTCTTTGCATCCTGTACGACACGGAGGGGTTGAAAGCACACTCGCAAATCCACGTACGGTCGGCACGGGGAAAAAACGCGAAGGGGAGCAAAATCACTGGCATCGACACGATCGCCTTGCCCAGAGACAACGCAAACACGGACGTCAAACTCCTGATCACGAGCAACGATTCCCGAATACGAATGTACAATCTGAAAGACAGGACGCTGGAGGTGAAATTTAGAGGAAACGAGAATACCTGCAGCCAGATCCACGCCTCTTTCAGCGATGATGGGAAGTATGTTATATGTGGAAGTGAAGACCGGAAGGTGTACATATGGCCTACTTCGGAACATGAGAGACCGGACAATGAAAAACGACCGATGGAAGTCTTCGAGGCGCATTCGGCCATCGTCACCACCGCCTTACTAGCCCCTGAGAGAACGCGAAGGTTACTTGCACAGTCTGGCGATCCTTTGTACGACCTATGTAATCCTCCACCGGTGACCTTGTTCAGCCGCGCGGACTCGGTGATATCTTCTCGCGCGCCGACAAATAATAGTTCTGACGAGAAGAACCCTATATTTGAGAACCGGCTGTCTGGGTCACCTAAGCGTGCTCCAGAAAGCCCAGCCTTCCTTGCACGACATTCCCATCCAGGCGGCCAAATAATAGTGACGGCGGATTACACTGGACAGATCAAAGTGTTTCGGCAGGATTGTGCCTTCCAGAAACGCAAACACGAATCATGGGATGCAGGGTCGTCGTTTTCTAGGAAAATGCTTGGTCGGAGCGCATCTGTGAACACTCGTACATCAGGCACAAGTTCCACACATCGTAACTCGTTTGTCATGGGCTCAAAAACTCAGTCAACCGACCGCATCCTGAGCTGGAGGAACTCGGTCAGCGCCACAGCTGGTGGAAATCCTCCGTCAGCCAGTTTGGTCGAGATTCGTGGATCAATGAGCAGCGAACGGTCACGTAGTGCATCGCCGAAGAAACTGATTTCGCACCGGCTCTCATTGCGGAAAGCTTCACCACCGACCAAGAACGGCATTCTTTCTCCTACATCTCCTACATTCCACTCGCCGCTCAATCAGATGCAGAATGGACCTTCGATAGCAGTCACCTCACCTACCGCCAGTTCACATACGCAAAAGACACCAGACTACGAAAAGCATTTTTCCCCCACAGACTTCCAGCCGATCAGAACAAATCCCTCACCCTCCGACCTCCCCCACAATGATCCTCTTTTGCTCATGGACCAGCAATCATTTCTTGCCTGGGACATACGCAACACCCTGCTGCCCATGGCAAAACATATTCCTCGAACGCCCGGAGTTCTGGGTCCCGATGGTAATCCTCTATCCCGAGCGGAGAGTTACGTTAGTCAACTTTCCAGTGAAATCGCTGCATCGGATCAGGAAGCACACAGTGCTGGTGCCAGTGTCGACGGTGACAACGAGAGAGCACGTAACAACCGCAAGTCTCGTTCACGCAGAAGAAGCAGCGCTAGCAGTGAGGGCGAACTGCGCTGTCGAAATTGCAGAGGTAAGGCATTCAAAGTGACAATGGGCCAAAAGGGGCAGACATTCCGATGTAAGAAATGTGGTACAGTGGTGTGAATGATGGGAAGTCTTTTGACTATTGAACGGGCCACACCATTGTCGTGTTGCTATTCTGCGCAGAAGCCTACTCCCTCCTGATGCAGGAGTTCAGACTCTGCGACATGAGACAAGACCGCTGGGTTGGGTACAACACACCAACAAACCGTGTCGATTCCCCCTTCCTGTCACCCACTCGCTTACACGCTTATATACAACATAACCACCGTCCTCCTCAAATTCCTCAACCGGCATTACTAGAACTAGCAACAAACATTATTATCTCTTGTTCATATGTCCTTGTCACTGTCGACCAACACGACCTCTCCTATACAGCCCGCACTCCACACACAGACTTCAAATACAAATGCGATCAACGAGTACGAAGTTTATGATAATGATTCTGGATTAGATTGTCGCCGGTGAGACTGTCGGATGGCTCCCATTATCAGCACAGGTTATGCATAGGTATCTTGCTGGCTTTTGGGATACTTTGGCACAAATTGTATGAGTATACTATGTCGATTTTAGCTAGTGGACTCGGGGCCCAGCGATATTGTACGCCCGTGAATAGTAATTTAGTACCTCAATTATGTGTTACATGTGAATGAATTGGGTTTATGGATTGTGAGCGTATTTAATCGAACTTCTGTTGTTTGATATCTCGTGTTCTCGAGTCCTTGTCCTAATCGAGCCTGCAACACGTCGAGATACAAGCAGATACAAGTTGATCCCAGTTGCACATCACGACGACAAAAGTTCAGCGTAGAGGACAGACGGATGTACGAATCGAGTGACGAAAGTGATGCTTCATCGCCCCAAGGCTTAACCATGGTGAGTGCGTCGGTGACATCGTTCACATACATACTACGAAAGGGAATCACACAGGGGGGAAAATTGATACAGTGTGTTGCTGTGACATGATCATATTCTGTATTTTGCTCTATTCTTGGAAACCCGTCTGGATCCATGTTGCAACTGTCAAGTGTGTAACGTTTCACAGCGTGTCCCATGTGTCCAGATTCTCCTGCGTCAAATCAGTTACATGTGTCCCGTCATTCGAGATTCCCTCCCCCTCCCAAACCCGTCATCATTGCCCGTGCCGTGCATGCAATGTGGTTCTTTTTTTGGTGATTGTTTACATATGTATTTGCGTAATGGTTCTGCGTCGTGGTCGGTCGTTTGAGGAGCAGGGACTTTGATACCATCCAAGTTTCCAGCGGCGTTAAAACCCACTTCTTACTCGATTTCTCATCCTTTTGCTTTTATTTCTCTCAGATTTCAACGGGCCCCCAATTCGACCAGGGTGGAGGTGCTGCTAGGAGGAGGATTCGAAAAAGAAAAGGAGGAAACTTTTTTTTCTTTTGGATGACGTGGGTGTGTCTCTTTCTCTACAAGTTCGCCTTGATGGCTTGCTCGAGGGCTCTCTTGTTGGCACCGACGACCTCGCCGACCTTTTCGCCGTTCTTGAACAGCATGAAGGTGGGCATGGCGCGGACGCCGAGCTCCTGGGCGACGTCGGGGACCTCGTCGACGTCGATCTTGTAGAAGGCGACCTTGTCCTTGAACTCGGGCGACTCGGAGAACTTGACGACCTCGGGCGCGATGACCTTGCAAGGGCCGCACCAGGTGGCGAAGCAGTCGACGACGACGAGCTGGCCGGCGCCGGCCTCGTAGACCGAGGTCTTGAAGGAGGATTTGCTGCGGAGTGGGTTAACGCCATGTGTCTTCTGAGGCTGAGGAACAGCGGGAGGGGAAGCCGGAGGGGCAGCATCAGCGGATTCCCGAGCTCGCTGTTCACGCAGCTTGGCCTGGTGGAAGGCTACGTACTCTGCAAGGTTATGGACACCCATTTTCGGTAGGCTTTGGAGAAAGTTGCTGGGGCGGGTTGTTGAAAAGAAACGGGGGTTTCGAGGGGCGAAGTGGCTTGCTAGTGTTGTTGGTACGATAAAGGGCTGCTTGTTCGTGGCTTGTGCTAGTAGTAGGACGCGCTGCAATTTGCGGGACGACGAGCGGATTGATGAGGCCAGGGCGAAGGTATTTATCGGTGAAAAGCGTGGTGGGAGAATGACTAGGATGGAAGATACGAGAGTTGTGCGAGCAATTATAGAAGGGGATTTGGTGATGATGACGGGATCGGGAACGGCGTCAGGGCTGAAGGGTGTGAGAGCTTAGAAATGCACAAAGGGGAGCAAGATGCCGCAGCAGCAGGCGCAGGGAAGGTGGAAATCGCGGGACAACCAAGAGGCATGATTTGACATGAAGACGATGACGCCACCGACTACGGCGGACTGAGAAGCCCAATTCCGCCAAACATTTGGAATACTTTGGTCACGTGCCGAGCCATCGCCGCGCCGCTCTAGGGGAACGGGTAATATCTGATACTGTAATCCGTACGAGTACGGAGTAACAATGTTCCAGCAGAAGTAATCACGCATCGACTGGAACTTCGCACGTAGGTAGACACAGACACTAATAATACGCTTTATCAGATAGTCATTTATCCATCTTTTTCGATTTCACTTGTAGTACACTTCTGTCTTTGAATTCCAGTTTCTGCCTCGGCGGGACGTGATTAGCATTCTTGATTCCGACTTTTTTGGTATTTGCAAACACTTCCGCTTCACATCAAGCCCGCCAAGGCAAATCAACTGCCTTGACTGTACATTAAATCGGTCAACGCTAATGGCTCCAAATCATCCTGGCCATCCTTCTCCATCGTGTCATCTTCCATGATCAAATGAGCGACATAAGGGGTATCTTTTATATCATCAAAATCATCCAGCAAACACATGTCTCGTGTGCGATGCATATCTGGGGCCAATAGTTCGAAAGAAAGGTGTGTACATAGGAAAATTGTAGTTGCAACCCTGGCCTTGCTAGGGCTGTCTGGGAGGTGATTGTGATCGATTTTCAAGCATCGTCTTCTTAGGAGCCAAACCCGGGCTTCGTTGAGCTGTACTGGCTTGTGACACAGACGATGCTCTTCGGATATTCAGTAATTTTGCACTCCCGGCACTGATCTGCCGAGCATGGCCTTTGTACTCCACGCTTCGTGCTCGTAGAATTGGTGCTCCTGCCAGTTCCGTCCCGGGTATTAGTGCCTCGAGCATCTCGCCGTCGCTAGCTTCGTCATCTCCATCTAAACTAGGCCTTCGAGATCCGTCGGATGACTCCGCACCGTAATCCTTCAAAAGTCCTTCACGGGATTTAGCTCTTGAAGCTTGACGCACCACAGTAGCCTGTCGTCCAAGACCGGCGTGCCAGGTCTCGTCACCACCTCGAACGGCAGGAACGGGTGGAACATCTGGAATAGGGCTGTGCTGTCGTTCTCGTTCCAAATCGATGATGTTGCTACTTGCCCTGCGCCCAACTGATCCTCCGGAATCCCGGCGGGCAGCAGGTGCTGGAGTTAGTCTGTTGTAATATTCGTCATGCGCGAGCTCTTCTTCCTCGGTCTCAAAACTGCCGGGGACAGCATTTGGGGTTATTGAAGAAACACTTTGACGGAGTGGATGGCTCACGCCACCAGACATCCTCTTGGCAGGTTTACCAGAGAGCCATGAGCCTTCCGAGTCGACTGACGCAAGAGACTGAGATAATACGACCCCAGAGACGGGTGCCGCGCTAGCATCTCTTTCCCCACTTTGTAACTGCTGGACTTCCATCGCGGGATTGCTGGAGGTGGTGGCCAGACTCATGGCGTCCTGCGTTCCAGAATGCGACGGAGGAACAGTATGTTGGCCACCAATCGCTTGAGCCGAGGTGATAGCCTCGGGAGACTGCACACGCGAGTCTGGCGGGGAGATAGGAAACTCTGGGAGGTCTTCTCGAAATCTGGACATTGTTCGTTGAGGAACTCCTGTCGAGTTGGATTTTCTGAATGTACGCGGAACAACAACTGGAGGGGGCTGCTGCTTGCGGACAAACGACTCACGAGAGGTGTTAGAGAACTCTGAAGGCGTACTTCTGCCACGCTTTGCTGCACTCGGCTTTCGCCTGGTTCCACGCTTGAAGAAGTTTGTCCACGAGCTGATTTGCTGTTGTTGACTGCTTTGATCCGAAGCTCGCCGAAGAGTAGGTTCTTGTTCTAGGACATCGGGGGTAATCTTGCGCGTGAGTCCAGATGTCTGAGACAAGCTGTGGAGGTCGGAGGGTTGATGAACCGGAGAGGTAGGTGGCGAGATGGTCGCAGCCTGCAGAGGCTGTTGGTTGACCTGTGTTTTTAGTGGTGATATAGTCCGGAGAGGTGATCTAACTGGTACGACGGAGCCTTCGTCCTCGTCCTGAGTGGAGGGGTCTTGCATGATGTCAACTTCCTTCTCATCCTCGAATGGGTTTCTAATGCGATTTGGGGGCCTCTTCTGAGAAGAACTAAAATCGTTCCCACGCAAAGGGTCTTCTTTGAAGGGATTGACTGGTCGTTCTTGGTCAATGCGTGGCGCAGCAGTTCCGTCCATTTCTAAACTACCTGCACTCCGATCACGAAGCCTCCGACCTCTCTGCTCTTCGGCTTCGGTGCCGAGGTCTGCAGATCCGGTAGATGATGCTGCGATAGGACGGCCCCTCAATTCCTCCTCTCGCTGTCGATCAGCTTTGCGTTGTAGCTTCCGCTGTAAACGTTCTCGGTCGGCGGCTTTCTTCCTTTCGTGCCGTCTTCGATCTCGATCCATTAATTCTCTCAGAGCACCGGCATCTAGGTCATCCGCGAGCTCGTCGATGCGCTTTCTGGAGGAAGGGGCTTCTTCCTCAATGGCTTCCTGGACCGAAGGCTTTAATCTTGCGGGTTGCTTACCGGTCGATGAGCGAGGATTACTGACATAGGTGAGAGTCGGCCGAGGTGTCAAAGCGGCCAAAATTCCCACCTTGAACGACCCCTGGTTCTCAAAATCTTCGGCATCTTGTATCACTTCAGGTAGTGGCAACGAGACCTTGGAATTGGGTCTTTGGAGCCGGCGGTTGAAATCTCCAGGGATGTTCTGTGTATCGCGACGTAATGGCCCGGAGCCCGAGTAAGATGCCGGTCGTTTCAGTCTATACTCTGGGGAGCTCATGGCGCGAATCTCTCGCTCCCGAGCATAGTCCTCCGCTTTCCTCTTGCTTGATTTCCTCCGCGTCAAAGTCGGATCGTACGTGCCACGTCTGGCCAACAGTGTCGGAGCCTGCGGCAAGGCTGTAAACTCCTCCGACCCAACACTCAACGGAGAAGTAGGGTCTTGGGAGTACCCTTCTTGTCCTTGATGCGCTCTTGGTTCGATGGCCGAGCTTCTTCTCCCATTCCACGTCTCCGAAGCAGGACCGCTTACTGGAGCAGTCTGGCCCCGCGACACGTTCTTAGGAAGTCTTTGCTTCGACAGCCTCCGGGGTCTGTCATCCGGACTTCGAGCGTTCTGATTGCGCGCCATATTTCCCCTCTCTTCGGCACTTTCTGAGCCTGACCTTACCGTCAGGTCCTTTTCCTCTTTTGCGCCGAATGTATGCGGCCGTTGAAGATGTGGTCGGGTGTCGCGGGCGTTCTTCCGTCCACCGAACGGCCAAAATCCCATGCTGAACCCGCTGAAAGATGGATGGGTCCAACGCGAGAGGAGCGCCGTCAAGGGACGCGGTTATGTAGGTTGGGAGGATGATATGGCTGAACTGAAGACATCAACGGCGGTACTGATAGATGCTAACAGGTATTTGTGACAATTCGAATGGCAGAACTTCCGCTGATCGCTGGCAATACTTGACAGTAATAGCTCGGGAAAAGATGGAAAGTAATTTGCAGGAGAAAGCACCATGCGCACTGGCAGACGTAAGCTGTCATTTAGCGGTACCAGTTGACAGGTTCTAGACAGCAAGACGGTCAATGACTGTCGATAGTCGAGGGTATTGTTGTGGAGGGGGTCTCCAACAAGCACGTGGTGCAATCAGACTGGAATGAGCGTCGGTATGATTGAGGCAAATGAAGACTCAACTGAGGGATTGATTCGGTGGCTGACGGCTGTAATGAGAGTGAAATGATGCAAAAGAGAAAGGCGATGGAAGGCGAAGTCTATGCAGGTGGTTTGACAGGGTTGTCGAAGGGGTGGACGACGTGATGGAACGAGCGAATGGAGGGCGAATAGACAGTTGGTGGTGATCGTAGTGGTGGTGCTGATGTTCAGGAAGCCGAAAGCGACGAATGACGGAATGAGGGCGACGACGTTTGAGAACTGGGAGAATGGGAGAGAGAAGGAAGGCTGCGTGGCGGGACGGGATGCTGGGACGACACGCAAGGCACTGCATGAACAACGGGCACCAGCCCCAGGCTAAACTTGCTTAAACTCTTTACTGTAGTGGGCGGTCACTGGGCGGACCTCTAATTACTCGTGCCCGGAGATCCATTCTTTTCTAGGCGTCTTCGGGGGCAAGCCGTCTGCCGCCACTGTCTAACATTGTACCTTGGGAACACGCCTAAAGTCATCCAGGCAATGACATTTAGAATGCTGCATGACTGTCATGCCCACCATGCATTACGACCAAACATCCATCCTGTGATGACCTTCTGATCCCCTCTGATCTTCACAGCCACGTCAGGTGGAAACGCTAGCAATCACTGGATCACAGTTGGCTCCTCCAGCGACAACCCTGTTTGCGTGGGAAAGCGAGAAAGCGTCACAGATTCACAACTGCTCTGGATGCGCGCATTGGTCGCCGTCACAATACCATTCCGATCAGCGCGTCCCTCCACCGACCAGTACGAGCTCGAGAAGAGGCCTTTGGGTATGATCGTCTCTGTTTAGGGACGGCACCCTCCAGCAGCTACCTTAGCCTAGTGGTTATCCTGGATCAGCAAACTTCCGTCGATACTATGACTCCAATCCGAGTCCCGAAACTGTGGTCTGTCTTTGACAACGGCATGGCCCTTTGGCCAGTAATTAGCAAGTCCCCTACAGGGCAAGCGAGGCTCTTCTGAGCATGGGCGAATATGCGAGGTACAAGCGTAATCTCAAGCGGAGTCCAAGCAGCGTCTGATATGCAAGGAACGCGACAGAAGTCGAAGCATGAGCACCCCCGGTACTGGGCAGGATTGGTGAAGCACCGCTGAACAACTTTCTTCTCTACCCTGCTTCTGCTAGAAACGATGAACAAGAGCCCGCAGGAGTGATGCAAGGCGCGGAGCTTGCCGCATGTGGCTCTGTCGCCCACTGTCCTGACAATAGGACTCGCAGACTGCAGTAGATCGGTCGTCTACGGACGCAGAAAATAGTAACTTATAGGTTGGTTACAAGTGCATTGGCAGCGGCCCGCCCGTCTCTACTGGCACCTACCTGAACTGTATGAGTCGCCGCAAGTCTTCACTCGCGTTGCACTGGTGTTGATATCTAATGACGTTTTGACAGATACATGTTGAATCTTTGTTGGTGTAGGATGTTGCGGGACTTGGACCTGGTTGACCAGGTACCGACTGGTCCGACGTTGTTTGTCCCTGGCTTGCGGACATTTTACTCGCGCCGGAGTTGAACATGGCGAGTTTCCGTTTTGCATGGATGCTCCCCATTCCGAGCACATGTCTCAGACTCGATACTCCGGTTTCAAAATGTCCGCCGACGCATATCGATATTCATATCCCGTAATCGTCAGCGCGACCGCTTCCCCCATACTTGTCGGTGTGCACTACGATCTTCTTCTTCCTCCGGTGAACACCCGAGGTTCACTGGTATTGCAGTTATCACCGATTGGCCGGCCTGCGCCCGCACGCGATGGAATGCAACTCGACAAGAAGCCGGAGTGACCTCTCTGTGTACCTACCGTAGTACGCGGTTGTGGCGCTTTCTCGGAGTATTTAACCGTCAACGGCGCCTTACACTATTACTCACCAGCCATCTCTCCATACCCGAGTCATGATAAGAATAATATGCGCCTTTGACAGAAAACTCATTTCCGAATGATGCCAGCCATCCCAACGGCCAGATGAAATGGGAATTTGACCAGCTCAACTTTTCAGCCACATGCTGGTCGACAAGATCTTCTGGATTGGAGATGGCCAAGTTGCAATGTGCAGTAACCTTCGTCAATTGTACCTAGTCAAATCTGAAATTGGCCAAAGCCACCAGCGAGAGCGCGCTCTTTCAATAGAATCTCTTCGATTAAATCTGTAGCACTTGCTCCACCATATTCACTGCGTGCAAGTTTCGCTCTACAATCTTGGCCATTCTTCCAGGGACTCTACCTTCAACTTTTCCACTGTTTGTGCGCATCCATACGAAGATTTTTACCGGAGAGAGACTGTTAGCCCAGCCCCGAGCGATGGGTTTTGGGTACTGACGCCAGCTCTACCATGTCCACAGATGTGAACTGTCCAGACGCAGATTCTTCCTTGCCAATTCTCGCACCTGCTTCTAACATCCGGGTGCTCGGCTCCATTTCCGGAGGTCAATTCAGGGCAACTATCTACGCATCTCTTCATGGTTCTCGTTGCAATGCTCAGGTGTGGCTGAGATTCCCAGTTCCCATTTTGCTAGCATTCGCCCAGGATTGTATTACAACCGGCAGCCACAGTCATGATGTAGCAAGCTTCGTCTCGTCTGTCATCGGTCCCAGAAATTGAGTACATCGACGGTGCGACGTTCCTGCAGGAACTACCGTTTTGTCCATGACACCACCAAGCTTTGAGGAAGCGAGGCCTGTACAGTTGACCACGATGTCTGGGTTTCCTCTAAATGATGAACTCCTTGAGCTGCGGCATCTGAGATGTGTTTGAAGATCGCTCTCTTGAAGACTGCGCCATTCTCCGGAGTTGAGAGACTAGCCCGCACAAGTATATCGCTGTGTTGATACACATTGAAGTAAAGCGAGTGGCATTGTCGACTGCAGGTCTCAGACCCTTCTGAGGCATCTAACAAAACGACAATAACATTAGCCCAACCCCCAACAAGTAATACTGCGGCCGATTGTGAAGGTGTCATCCAGCTTTCAAGCCAAGTGACAAGCATGGCATGGAGTGTCATCTAGAAGACACTTTGCAAACAAAGCTGCAGGTGCTCTTCTGGACGGTACCAAGCTTTGAATAGAGTCAGCTTATATTCCAACACTTACTTGGACACAGAGGGGTGCTTAACTATGGTCTCGAACTGAGCTCTGAGACCTAAGTGCAGAGGACCACCATGCTTATCAGACTTCACAAGTAGTGAATCACAAACTCACCCAACCACGACAATCTTTTCCTCCAATATGAAAATTCGAGTATAGGTGGTGAAGCAAAGGGTTGGTGAGGCAGAACGGAGAGCTGTCAGTGGTCCAACCAACATTTCCTCAGTGAAATTTCTTTTCGAGGATACCAAGTGAATGTGAACGAGACCAGCCCGCGCCAAAATTTTTCTACCACATGAGATGCAATAGGTCCGAGAACAATAGGTGGTGTCTATTGAGGACCTAATGATTTTCTTCTTCAACGAACGTCCAAAAGTGTAGAGAAAGCATACTTCTTAGATACTCTCGTCCGCCTGTCTCCCACTGCTATCGAGCGATCTAGTACCAGGTCACGACAGTTACTCACAGAGCGACTTTTCGGTTCACTAGCATTCTAGTGTTCGATACCAGGTAGCCATCATTTTGGGTGTTCATAGCTTGGGCTACTACAGAGTATCGGCTAACCACTTGTTGTCGGCAGACTTTCCTATTCCTATTCGTGCCACCTGCGATTTCCTCCATTTGGCAGCCCAGCTTTCCGGGCGAAGCAGGCAGGAGCACGGCGGTTTTATCATTAAGACGCAAGCACAGCAGGTAAGCGCCACACCGCCAGCCACGCCTAGAACGCCCCCTCACCTCGCCTAACTTGCTTCATTGTCTTCTCCCTTTTTCGCCTAAGGGTCGGTGTCCTGGGGCCGCCTGATGAAGCCCGGTCAATCAAGGTGGCTCTTTGACACTGCAACTCCGCAATCAGTTACATACGTGCCTTGTGAAATCATCGAAGCCCCTGCCCAAGTCAATTAGGAGCGGTCGGACATCACACTGTCCACTCTGTCTCATCCATTCACGACGTCCCCCATGTCTCTTTGAGTCCTCTCTGGACACCCACCGTCTCTTCGACAACCTCCCGATGCTCTGGTCAATGGATCTTGGGCAATCATGGCTGACCATGCATTCTCTACGCAGCTTCCCAGCATGGTCCGAAAGCCCAAGGCTGTATGGCCTGGACTGGTCAAAATGGGCATGTATCAGAAGCAGATAGCTGGAGATGGTATGCTTTGAGCCTTGAATTTGCCTGTCTGGCACGCTCATACGATTATAGGCAATTGTCTGTTTGCATCTCTCTCCGACCAACTCTACGGCACACCGGCGAAACATCCCGAGATACGTGCAAGCATCATCGACCACATGCGAACCTTCCGACCACTCTTTGAGCACTACGTCCACAAGGATGATGTGCAACAACGCCGTACCCTTCGTTCTGCAAAAAGTGCCGTCCGTCAAGAATCAGAAGACGCGTTCGAAGAGTACCTCTCCCTCATGTCGCGACCTGGAACATACGGTGGAGAACCTGAGTTGGTCGCCTTCTGTCAGGTCTTTGATCAGGACGTGACAGTTCACCTTCCACGTATACAAAACTTCAACAGAGATTCGATCTCGTACACAAATGAACATCGGGAGAACAGTTCTATGGGAGCACCCTTGCACATTTGTTATGGCGGAGACGAGGTCACGCGAGCACACTACGACTCAGCTCGGAGCCGAGATGGTTCAACTCCTCGAAGCCGTGACAGCCCCCTCCTCAGACCTCAAGATCCCCCCGGAAACTCCATCAGTGGCACCCTATCGTCCTCACCCGTGTCCAGCCTCACTTCAAGGGCCATTCGCAACAGTAGAGCAGAGTTGTCCTCCGAACTCATCCAAGACTTTCTCCAGAAGAGCAAGAAAGAGTCAGAGAACAATCTGATCCAGCTCAATGAGAAATATCGCGCTAGAAGCCCGTCGGTGACTTCATCACAACGCAGCTCAAGCTCAAAGAGATCACTCGACGACGATGGAGAACCAATTCGATCAAGCAAACGAGCTGACAGACGAAAGAGCACCCGAAAGCGTGGAGACATTGCTGTTACCATTCCAGATCCAGACGATGAACTTTCGCCACGCATCCCTGTCGAATCCCCTGGACCAGACACGCCTCTGAGCACTCAAGACACCGACGTTTCGTCAGATGCTCCACTTCAAGAACCTCCAACAGCCACCACACTCAAAGCCATACCGATAATCCTTGACGGCGACCACTTGAACAACAACCATGTTTCTCATGCCACGAAGCAATCGACTACGCAACAGGGTCGAACGTCTATTCATGTCCTCAGCAAAAGAGCACAACCAGCTGAGTCCTCCAACCCACGGATGATATCGGTTGCAGAGAGACCCAAATCGACATTGCGAGCATAATTCCATCACATGATCGAAGGAGTTTGGTGGTCAAAACACGCGAGGACATTTCGTGTGTCTGTTTTGTCTTGGTGAGGTGTTTTGTGAATGGCTATGGATTTGCATATGAATGATACCCCCCTTTCCAGCATAGCGTTCCGGCGAGCATGGCATAAGGGTAAAGAGAGTCAGGTTCCAGGGAAGAAGCGAACTCCCCCCTACTCGTAGAGGGTCAATCAAACGTGGGTTGCCTCGGGCCTTTTTTAGACAGAAATGATTTTATGAAGTCGACGGCCACATGATAGAGAAGATGATATCAGATCAACCCAACAGCAGTGCAGGGAAGCTGACTTGTTGGATCTTGGGTTGTTTTCCTTTCTTTCTCTCTTCGTTCTCTTTCAAGTCAAAACTCTATTGTTTTACTCACCAGGAGTCTGTCCAGTAGAGACTATTACTTGGTTTATAGTACAATAAAACATGATAAGCTTGACATTAACCCCCGGTTGGACATTGGCTAGGTACCTAGACACGGAGTATAGTTCGACAACTAACGAAGAGTACCTACCACCTTACCTGACCTCACATTATGGAGGTTAGCTGGTAGGTATCTAAGGTGCTAAGCTTTGACTCGGAGAGCAATTAAGAATGATGGTACGAAAGCACGGACGAGAACACTAAAGTATAAATGAATATGTAGAGTTTTGAGTGTACAAGGATGCGATACACACACACATACACACACAACAGAGAGAGAGAGAGAGAGAGAGTACATAACCAATGAATGTGGAATATCGAAGGCAGAGTAGAAACCCATCCAATCCATCTATCTTATCTATCTTCCTACCTACTTATCTGTATGTACCTTAGGTACCTAGCTAGGTAATCTTAAAAGGTAGTGAGTGACTTGTGATGGTGATGATCACATTGCATTGCATTGCATTGAGCCCGGAAGGGCAGTAGTAGTATGGGTACTAACTACCACCACCACCACCACCGGCCACCTACCGGGCCTTTTTCTTCTTGTCAGTGACTTCTGAACTATCCATCCTCACCGGCGACGCCGTCCTTTTACCTACCTACCTAGGTGGGTATCTGTACCTGACAACAATCAGTTGATGGCCGTAACTTCTACTTGTACTTTTTACCTACCAAGAGAACTTCCAGCCTCCGTTCTCACACACGCGGTAATTGACACTTCCGTAAGACAATCGATGCCTGAAAACCTCGGTACACAATGAACGGCTGCAACCTAGATACACAATAAAATAGGTGGAACCTCCACACCACCTCCATAGGTACCAGAGCCTTGCAATTCGGAACAAGCACAAGCACAAGAACGAGCACGAGCACGAGGACGAGGTGTGTCAACGTATGAATAACCTCTAAAGGCGAATGCACCGGCTCACGAGACTTCGAATTGATACTATCTCGGCGAACAACAAGTATGGAAATCCAAGTGAGCCAGCCTGCATCCACGCATGCATGCGTGGATGCATCAATGACAACGATAACGACCATGACCATGACCATGACAATGATAAATACCACCACCAGCGCCTTGCAGTGTACCAGGGAGGTACCATTTCGACCATGTGTTTTTGTTCATCGTAAACTTTCGTATTTCTCCCTCTGGAGACAATCAAACTGAGACCCCGTATCCCCTGCGTAGAGTATGTGAGTGCGTGAGTGACGGGAATGGAAACCTGGCCCTCTTGTTTGTTTTTCCCCCTCCCCCCTTCTCAATGTCACGTAAGATCGTCAATTTCTCGTTCCTTGGCGCGTAATGCTGCCCTCATAACCTCGGCCTCACGCATCAATTGCGCCCGTCGCTCTGCTCGTAGGAGCTCTTGGTCCCTCTCGGAATTAGCGCCGACTTCCTGTTCTTGATTCCGGCGACCGTTGGTGTCGGTCAACGCAGGGTCGAGGTGCATGCTTTCCGTCGTCGTCGCCGCCGCCGCGGCAGCTAACTGTGTCTGAAGTCTGTACTCCTCCGGTGGCCGTGGAGTGCTTTGTTGCGTGTTGCTGTTCACCGCCGTCTCGGGTACGTAGCCGGTGTAGTCGACAGTAGGAGGCGGTCTCCTCCTCTTGGGTGCAGGTGAGGCGTCGGCGGATTCTGGGTAGGCGACTTGTTCGGGTGAGACGGGTTCGGGAGAGATAGAGACCGTCTTCTGGGATGAAGCTGCGTCCGGCCGCTGGACGTCGGGGTATGCCGGGACCACTCGTTTCCTCCTCTTGATGGTGGACTTTTTCATCTGCACGGGTCGATGTGCACCGTGTAACTTGTGGTACAGACCACATGCATTACAGATAGGATGGCCTTGCTCGTCACGGCGCCACAAAGGCGTGACCGTGGTGCCACAGTTCTTGCATGCGACCACTAATGTATTGCCAGGCGAAGGCTGAGATGGGGGGTCGACGTTGATGTGTTGGAATTGGGATTGGGGTGGAACAGCCGAAGTAGATGGGGCGGCTTCTTCACTCGGTGGTCGAGGGACGCTCGTCGCCGCGACCGCTGCAGGGTTTGTAGACCGTGCGACTCTATTGTTGTACGCTGGACATCCTGAACAACCCTCGGCGCCACCAGCTCCGTTGCAGTTGCCTCCACCAGGGCAAGAACCCGGGGTATGTTCGGGTACTCTGTACGGTATACTGGCAGGTTGATTTGACGTCGATGATGGGGAAGTTGCTGCCACTGGGGAAGTCGTAGCACGCTGACGTGGACTCTCTCCAGGAGTAGCGGAAGCTGGCCGTTTGAATGTGGTCGGTCTTGGTGTGTTTCGAGTTTTCAGATATAAACCACACGCGTTGCATATTGTAGTGCCTGTTGGTGATCGCCGCCACAGCGGTGTCTTGGTGGTGCCGCAATTGCTGGCATACACGTTAGCGGCTGTCATCAAAAGCAGACCAAGGGTATCATCGGGGGTCCAATAACAGTAGATGTGTGGTTGATATAGAGCCAAAAGAGTGGACTATACATACCTGCACACTTGGCCGAGCACGATGCTATCCTCTTGATGTTCCACTTGCTCATGCGACACCCGCGGCGTATCGGTAGCCTCAGGTCTTGGGCTCGGCTGACTAGGGTGGCTACTTTCCGTGGTGGCGGCATCGCTTACATGTCCCTCGTAAACGGACACTTGTGGTTGAGATCCGTGACGTTCACCCCGGGCAGAGGAAACGAGTTGATGAGCAGCGTCGAGGTCCTCAGCGGAGGGGTGTCGCATAAGACTATCCCGCTCCGGGCCCAACGAGGCGGAACGTGGCAAAGCATCCATGGGACTTCGGACGGCCAACATGCCTCCTCGCAATCTCTCGTCTTGGTTGCTGAGACGATCAAACCCACCAAGAAAGAGAAAGATGCAGTCGAAAACGTGGAAAGACCGAACAAAAGGCGTCGAGACCTGGAGAATGAAGAGTTTGGTGGGAAGACGGGCGAGTTTCAGCGGGAGTCCCGACAGCCCAGGCTCCAGGGGGAGACTGAGATGTGGCCTGAATTGGCTTATAGAGCGTCCTTCACCGGGCGAACTCGCAAAGGCAGGGTGTAGACAGGGCAAAAGAACGTGGTCTTCGAGAAGAAGAGGAACTTGCAATGCGGACAGGATGGAATTCTCTGGTTGAGGGACTGAGAGAACTGGCAAAGAGGGCGAAAGTGACTCCAGAAGTTGAATATGGAGCCCATGGCGACGCGGGTGGAGAGAATGTTGCGTTTCCCAGCGTAAGCATCAAACACCTCGACTCTGATTGGCCCATCGCCGCCCGGGCACGTGTTGGCCGGTCGAAGTCACACTACAGTGTTACGACTTGCTTAGTTATCACCGGCTCTACTGTCTGGCCTTGAAAGTAGGTACATAACCCGTACTTCCAGCACAGTCGACAAACCTTCCCAAAAGCGTGGCGTACGGTGGCAATAGGCCAAGTTGAGTGCTTTCATTGCCCCGTCGAGTCGTTCCCATGGGCATGATATACAAAGCATCGTTCCATATAGAGTACGTGTGCATCCATGGAGGAATAGCCCCTGATCGCATTGCCGTGTTCTTATAGTAGGCTTTCGAAAAAATACTCTACCGTACGTACAACTATTCTACATTGAGGACTTTCCCCCACCGTGCCCTACCTATGATATCGACAGACTTGTACTCAGAACAGTCCTTGATGGTGTGATTCCATCCAAGGTCGAGCCGACTCCTGCGCCCTATTATCAATTGCGCATTCACATCCCATTTGCTCGACATATTCCCAGCAGAAGCAACCTTACGCCCTTGGTCAAATTCCAACTTGCCTAGATCCCGAACTGGCCGACAAATGGCCCTCACGTTGTTCGTGGATGTTGTTGAGATCATTCGCTATCTTGCGCCATTCGGTTTGAAGAAGATCTTTTGGATGTTCCTGTTCGTAAAGATGGAATTCTTAGACTTGTTCTGCGCCCCATCCAGCATCGGCGTCCCTCATGTTGGAAGGAGGTTCAATCGAGGGCAAGAATTCGAGCGCGCAGTATCCCACACCAACAAAGCCGATGAGGGTACCGGCGATGATGCGCAAGACATGATTTTCGAGGATGATGCAACCAACGAAGATGTAGACTACACTTTGTTAGAATTTTTCTGGGGAATCTGGTTTGCTACTGACAGATGCCTCGTCCTAGGAAGGAGAACAGGAAGCTCGCATATTTCGGTAGGTAGGGTGGAACTTGAGGAAGTAATTCGAGGCCGGCGACAGCTGGAATCGATGTCAGTTTTTCTGTTGTCTGAGAACTACGGCATGAGTGCTGTCTTACCAAGGCCGAAAATTATCACATAGATTCCGACAATAATGTTTCGACTGTTTGACACTCAGCAACTGTCCTGCGCAAAGGGGATCTCGACGAACAATCCAATGTCTGGGATGAATTGACTAATACCTGTTAGGGTGTAAGCGAATGGCCTTGTTGAAACTGCGCCTGCTGATGTCGAGAACATAGCTTACCTCCAAGGACCATAATGCCACCAACGGCCAAGTTGACCAGTCGACTACATGATCGTTAGTATTGCAGACTCGACTGCCTGCTGGCATTCGTGGCATGTTTAGGCATACAAGATGTTGGAGAAGTCCATGGTGTCAAGCTTGCGACGTCAAAGCGACAGTATTAGATAGTAGATCGATGGAGGATTGAGCGACCGGGGCTTAAGACAATCAGAGGAGTTGAGGATTTGCAGAATATCTGTCCAGAGGGAGAGGTGAAGGTAATAATATTATGGAGCTGCTGCGAGACAAGTAGAGGCCAGAGGTGCCAATCCGATTCAGGGACGGAAAAGATGGGGAAAACCTGCGCCTGCCGCGCCAAGTCAACCAACCCATCTCACCATCAACGCCTGGACGAGTACGAGGCAAGAAAAGTTCGATACCGCTCTATAACAAATATGAATGCATTTTCATTGGTGGCCAGGAAGCCAGATTGCCTTTCAATCTCTCAGAACCAGAGTTTGATGAGTTCCTCACTCACGGCTTTCGGCGTCAGAATCCCATTCTCGGTGATCAATGCATCAATCAATTCTGGAGGAGTTATCTCCACCATTTCGTGTACATCGACGACCTGATTCTCGGATGCGCTCTGTCCATCAGCTTGTGAGTCCGTGGTGGTACTGAAACGTAGAACATCCTGCTTCACACCCATCCGTGCCAGGTCGAGTGGTCCGAAACCCAACGGGAAATTGCGCACAAACTTGTACGACTCGACTGCAATGTGTAATGGTACTGACACAGCCTTGGAGATAAGTCCGATTTGGTGAGTTCCAAGCTCAGTGACAACCGAGCCGTTCTCCAGCACCGCGCTAGCGCCAAGAATCAACTGAGGCGCTGAAGATGCCGTGGGTAGCGACGCCAGCGCATAGGTCAGAGCTGATAGAGGAATCGTAGTGGTCGGTATAGACAATCCCTTTAACTGGGAAATGCATTGAGAAATACTGTCGGTGAGCCCAGCCGAAGGAAGGATATATACGACGTTGAAGTAGCGCCCAGCTTCAGCGGCATGCGTGAGGAGTGTTTGGACGACTCGACTGTAGCCATAGGTGATGATAGTTGATTCTTCTTTGATCAAAGGAAGGGCGTAGTGGGCAATTTTCAAACGAGCTTCATTTGCTCGCTTCACAAAGAGGGAAGAGTTTGTGAGAATGTGATGGCGTAAAGTTGAAAAGTCGGAGTCCGCAAGCGATGAAGGTCTCTGTTGGAAAGAGCTAACCAAATAGCGTTGGAAGAGTTCAGTGCCGGCAGAGAGTGGTATGGGATTTCGTTGAGAGGCTAGGAGCTTCTGTGAATGTGTCTCAAGGAGGCTGAGTGTTTCGGAAATCGTCGTTAACTGCGTCTTAGCAAGTAATGATATAAGCGCTTGGATGGCTGCTATAGGCGGTGTGATGGTTGGGTCATTCTGAACGAGATCGTTGTAATAGGCGACAATATCAAAGTCGGTTGTGGGTGACTGTGATGGTTTTGGTGTGGTCGGCGGCGTCTCAAATGCGGCTAATGTTCCAGAGGACGAGTTAGTCGTATCCGGAAGCATTCTGATAAGTGGCACATCTCTTGCGTCTTTGAACGGCCAGCGCGTCAAGAAAGCAAAGGGGTTCGACCAAGTCAGACCCATACCCCAAGTCACTGGGCCGTTGACTCATGTAGAGAAAAGTGTGGTGCAAAGCGGAACACATGCAGGAGACTTACCAGATGCCATAACTGCCGATATGTTGTTCGGTAAACGTACGATTAGGGCCTCAGATCTCTCTGGATTCGTGGCGCAGTTGTATTGGCCAGGTGAAGGGTTGCACAACTTCTTTTCTTTTTTGGTTTGGCTCGATCAAGATGGAAAACGTGAGGGTCACAGGCATAGAAGTCTTCAGAAGGCTGAGCATCAGCCTTGCGAGAGTCCTTGGCACTAAATATCCCCCGGTGTTTCCCCGATTATCAGACTATGCCTATCGCGGATGCTGTCAACAAGAGACACTGACACTTTTCATCTCATGTTGTAATGGCGATTCGAACCTGAAGTATTACCTTTTCTTGCCTCGCTCACACCACATTACAACGCTAGCAGCCATCCGCCATGAATTCTCAATATCGTTCCTCCCAACAGCAACAACAGGGACGTAGTAAAAAGAAAGATGAAGATCCTGCGGACTTCATGCGACTCGTTCGTACCCCTTCTTCGTCGCCCGCTGTTTACTGACATGGCCTTCAGTCTGAAAAGGAGATAGCATCATGTATCAGCGAGATGGGGATTCCATTCCAGCCCTCGGACCTCCTCAAACCTAATCCTCAAGTTATTCAGATGGTTTTCGAACACCTGGGCGAACTAGTGATGAATGCGACTCGCGACGCGATTGACCCTGCTATGCGCGCAGCCTCGGAAGATGTCTGCGCAGAGTTTCCAGAACTGGTTCCGACTGAGACAAGACTTCTGATGGGGTTCTTCATTCAATTACGTACGATGCTGGAACAGTGCGGCATCAACGACTTCTCATTCAACGACCTCGTCCGCCCGACGCATGACCGACTGGTCAAGATCTTTTCATACACCATCAATTTTGTCCGGTTTCGAGAGACCCACACGAACGTAATAGACGAGAATTTCAACAAGGCAGAAACGACAAAAGCGCGGATTGAGACATTATACACCGAGAACCAGGACATGGAGCAGAGGCTGGAAGAGATGAAGCGCAACCGGAAAGCCATGGAGGTTGCGGTCAAAGAAAAGATGCGGCGGAACGACGAGTTGAAGGCCCGCTTGCTCGAACTGCGTAAGGGGCAGGAAAGGGTTGCCGAGCAACTCGAACGAGCAAAGGCCGAAAAGAGCCGTGCGCAAGCATTGCTTGAAGAGAAGACTGAGCGATTGGTGAGGGCACGGCAAGACAGCGAGAAGCTGAGACCATATGTTCTGCAGAGTCCAGCTGCACTTCAAAGTGCTCTTACAGAATTGTCGGAAAACCTGATGCGGGAGAAGAGCCAGATCGACGCGCTAGAGCGAAGGGGGCGTGCTCTGCAGACGTCGGGGGACAGCTTCACAGTCGTCCAGAACGACGTACAAGCATGCGTTAAGGTGCTGGAGGAGATCGCGGTGGAATTACAAAAAGAAGAAGAAGAAGATGCCCGCGCGGCTAAGAACAGAGATGCTCTGGCTGAACGAGGCAACAATGTTCGAGAGGTCGAACAGAATGAGAAGCTGTTACAGAGGCAGCTCAAGAAGTGGGAAGAACGGACAGAAGAACTGCGAAGGAAACACAAAGAACGAGACGAAGCAAATAAAGCCAAGATGGACGAGCTGAGGGAGACGCAGCGGCAGCTTCGGGACGAGAGGGCCGAGAAAGGTCGCGAGATGGAGAGACGCAGAGTGAGGATTGAACAGACGGAAAAGAAGGTGAGCTTCATCACTAAAATCGAACCCATTCGCTGGCGAACATCGCTGATACTGACGCCTATGTATAGATGGCTGATCTCAAGGACAACATCGAAAACGAAGTACACTCGGCTCACGAGGAGTACCTGAAGCTCGAATCGCACATAGGGCTGTACATCACAGAGATGGAACAGAGCATCTAAAGTCGATTTGAATCGACATAGGCAGTGTTACGACGCGTATGATGGAGTTGGAAAGAGCTAATACTTGCATTGAGATACCCTGGTTGATATGCTAGCGTTGTGTACCACTTGTTCCCGGTCATTGCGAGAACAGCTCTGCATCTATTTGTACCGTACTTTGAGGCGAACGTAGATCAGTCGAACAGTCGCTCTGCTGACGATTGACGCTCAATCACGACAAATTGGTGGTCAACAACTGTCTTCGGTACGTGCGTCGGATGTGTGCCTTTCGTGGCTGAATAAACCTCTTACTCGCTTTCACGTCGAAACCAACGCGAAGCCACTTTCTCAACTGAGATTGTTCGACGACCCCAGGCCGTTCCGCCTTCGCCGATCTTGATGGCTGTATTCAGAAGAGGTACTTGAGCTGACCAGAGTCCTGGTCCTTGATTCGGGTCGGGATGGTCGCCAGTGTCCTGTAGCTCGACGAGTCTGAGTGGCCGTCTCGTTGTATGGGCTGCCGAGACAGCACTTGCAAAGGTGTGCGACAGGCCCTGGAGGGTGAATTCGGCCGTACCGGAATGCTGTCTTAAGAGGTTGACGATCATGATTTGACAATGTCGATTACTGACACCAATGTGCGAAACACGCGCCGAATAGCTAGATAGGTATCCGCGAAGCGTGGTGATGGTCGGACAGAATACAAGACGACAATGCTGGCTCGCACTCAAGAGGGACAAAGTTGGTGACAAGAGCGCATGGCGGGAGTCTGGCAGATCAAGATCCCCATCGTCGTTCCCAGGCTCGGCTGCTGATGCGTGCTGGTGATCGAGCTGGGCGAGGACCTCGTGTAAGAATTCCGCTCTCGTCGAGCAGACAATCAAGTCGGTATCCGTCGACGCATCGTGACGACTGAGGAGGGCGTTCAGCAGGTCCACGATCGAGGTGTACGTGGTGCATACCAGACAATTCATGGGCGAAGAAGAGGAGAGATGTCAGATATACGTGGTCGTGACGCTCCCTCCATCATTTGACTGGGACTATGCCCCACTACCTGATCGAAGCCAACTGCGTGTGTGTATTGACGATTGATTCTTGGTGAGGACCAGCACTTCTGAGTCTACAACAAAGTCTACAGTTCACATGCTCTTGGCTCCCTTTCCATCCCCGCTCAAGTCCGTCTGTCCCGCGCGTTCGATCACTCCCCCCATCGATGCTTCACGCTATCCAACCACTAGGTCAACAACGGCAAGTGATGGCCTCTGTTGCCTCTTTCGGCGCCCACCAGATCTAGTCCAGCCATGTGCTCTCCAGACAACAACAGCGTTGTGGACAGTGTTGCCCAGAAGAGCAGGCAAGACATCGGAGTTCGGCCCTGCTGCAGGCTGATAGTATACATACCTCCTACTCCTACTTAAAACTGCCGCGCTGCCTGTGATGAATTAACCATACCCGAGGATACTCCCATCTCCTTATCGGCTTCGATCTTGTTCTTCTCTACACTGTGTCCGACGAGTTATCTGGAAACCCCCTTGGACATCCACAAACACCATGGCGACCATGGACAAGGTCTTTGCCGCATACGAGGCCCGTAACAAGGTCCTTGCGGCCAGCACCAATCCATTCAAAGACGGCATCGCTTGGGTGGCTGGCGAACTTGTTCCCCTCAACGAGGCGCGGATTCCCATGCTCGACCAAGGCTTTCTGCACAGCGACCTGACGTACGACGTCCCGTCAGTCTGGGACGGCCGGTATTTCCGGCTCGACGACCACCTTGACCGGTTCGAGCTCAGTTGTTCGAAGATGCGACTCAAGCTGCCCATCCCCCGGGAGGAAGTCAAGCGCACTCTCGTCGACATGGTGGCCAAGAGCGGCATCAAGGACGCATTCGTCGAAATCATCGTCACTCGAGGCATGAAGGGCGTCCGTGGCCTCAGGCCCGGCGAGACCATGACGAACAACTTGTACATGTGGATTCAGCCGTACATCTGGGCCATGGAGCCGGCCATGCAACGCACCGGCGGGAAGGCCATCATCGCGCGGACTGTCAAGCGCACCTCGCCGGGCTCAATGGACCCGACGGTCAAGAACCTCCAGTGGGGTGACCTCACACGCGGCATGTTCGAGGCGCAGGATCGGGGAGCAGATTATCCATTCCTGACCGACGGCGATGGAAACATCACAGAGGGCTCTGGTTTCAACATTGTCTTTATCAAAGACGGTGTCCTGTATACCCCCGACCGCGGCGTGTTGAAGGGCGTTACCCGGAAGAGTGTGGGCGACGCCGCAAAGGCCCTTGGCATTGAAATGAAGATTGAGTTCGTGCCCACCGAGTTGGCCTACCAATGTGATGAGTGCTTCATGTGCACCACCGCCGGTGGTGTCATGCCTATTACCTACATGGACAACGCCCCGATTGGCGACGGAAAGATCGGACCCATCACGGCCAAAATCTGGGATGTGTACTGGTCAATGCATTACGACGACGAGTACAGCTTTAAGATTGAATATGAGGCTGCCTATACTAATGGAACAAATGGTGTCAACGGCACCAACGGCGTCCACTGAAACGATCCAGTGAATGATTAATGAATCTGATGCTGTCACCGGAACGACAGCGAAGCTTTTACCAGCAAGAGATCGTGCGAACGCCTTTCTAGATCAATGTTGTTTATAGTTTGAGAGCATCGTGCGCCGAGGAATGTAGCGATATATGATAAATAAACGGCAGTGCTTTCTTCCGCACTGTTCTTCAACTCACCTAGTGGGAAATTTGCGACTCAGATACTGGATGCTTCCCTCACCCCTTGATCATGGTCTCCCTTCGGAACCAGGTGATGATCTTCCCAACGCCACTCTTTTTCCTATTCCAACTCCCAACTGTGGCATTTCAGCACGAGCTTTGAGTTTTCCGGTGACCGTGAGCGTGACCTTCACTTCTCTAACACGGCAATCGTCGGGAACCGTGGTTGTCCCGATGGCAGTCGTCTCCGCCGCATCCATAGTTACCTGTTGTTCAAGCATGTACGTGTTGGTGACTATCTTCTCGGTCATCACACAGTCCCACATACATTCGCACTGGGGGCAAGTGGGTAGTAGATCTTGAGTCCTTGCGAGTTGCAAACTTTCGGCACCGAGCTGCGACGGTGTGTAACGGTATCACAATGCCCAGTCCCGAGTAGGAAGTAATGGAATCGTGAAGATGCAGGGCGTCGGATATTGCTGAGTCTTGAGTCTCACCGCAGACTCAAGAATCTGCACGAATTTCTAAGAGTAATATATGAGTACTTGAACCTCGTGGGTCTGAAAGCAGGGTTCCTTCTCAAGGCCAACGAAGTCCTCCTAAGCAGCGATGCCTGGCTTCCCCACTCGAGAAGGCTATGACGCTGCTTTTACAGATACTTGGCTCCGCGTGCTTCCCCAACAGCATGGGTCGAATCTCATTGAACACCAGTGTCCGTCTGCATTGTTGTGTTACACGAAACCGTGCTCGTGGCACACGAAATCTGTCGGCATGGAGTCGACATCCCGAATCTCGTCCTTGTTGGATCCAGGTAAGTCAACATGGATGCGTCCTGGCTTCAATACGCTGATCCCACACAAGCACGGGACTTGACTGTGGATGCTGCTCAAGCGATGAGCAAGGCTTTGGGAAGCGGCATTGGCGGCGTCGGCGGCGGCTCATCTTCGCGGAACATCCCTTTCACAAAAATGAAGGCACTTCTTGACAGTAGGAGCGATCGCGATATCCTCGATGGTTTGAAAAGAGTGATATCCGTGGGTACCCCAGGTTGTCTACCATGCAGCTGTTGACTAATGTTTGAGTAGATGATATACCAGAACAAACCGTGTCTGCCATACTTTTCATCTGTGGTCAAGAACGTCGCCAACCCAAACGTTGAAGTCAAGAAGCTGGTCTACATCTATCTGCTACACTATGCGGAGTCCGATCCGGACCTGGCGCTGCTTTCCGTCAATGCCATCCAGAAATCTCTTACCGACCAGAACCCCCAAGTCAGGGCTCTCGCCTTGCGGACTATGTCAGGTATGAGGGTCCCAGTCATTAGCCAGATTGTCTCTCTTGCGATCAAGAGAGGTGTGGGGGATATGAGTCCCCATGTCCGCAAAGCTGCAGCCCTAGCCATCCCAAAATGCTACAACCTCGATCCCAATACCCTCCCACAATTACTGGACTATCTATCTACGCTACTTGGCGACAAACAGTATTTTGTTGTCGGTCCAGCTGTCCAAGCCTTTCTTGAGATATGCCCGGAACGTATCGATCTCATCCACAAACATTACCGTGGGCTGGTAAAGAAGCTCGTCGATATGGACGATTGGAGTCAGTTGGCTACGCTACGGCTTCTACTCTTTTACAGTCGCCGTTGCTTTCCTCGAAGGACAGAAAAGGTGACTAGGGTAAACAAAAAGGGATTCTACGAGGATGAAAAAGATGAAACCGTCGAAACCGATCAAATCGTTGATATTATTGATCCCGATCTGAAACTCTTCCTCGACGGATGTAAATCCCTCCTCCGCAGCCGAAGTCCAGCAGTCATTACCTCGGTTGCGAGTGTGTTTCTCTATCTCGGCACCAGAGATTACTTACAGGAAGCCGTAGGTCCCCTCATCGGGCTTATGAGGGGCCCTCTTGAGGTGGAAGAGGTCGCGCTATGCAACATCGTCTTAGTCTGTTTGTCAGCACCAGACCTTTTCGTCCCGTACTCGTCTCATTTCTTAATACGTACCCGAGACTCGCCACAAATTTGGAGACTCAAAATTGAGCTCTTGACACTCATCTTCCCGCATGCTGCGTTGAACCTCAAATCCATCATCTTGAGCGAGCTGGAGCACTTCTCTCACAGTTCCGATATCGAACTAATCCGTGAATCCGTGCGGGCAATCGGGCGTTGTGCGCAGGCGGATCCGAAGAACGCATACCGATGTTTCAAAGTCCTCCTCAACCAAATGTCCAGCTTCGACAATGTTTTGGTCTCCGAAGTGCTGACGGTCATGCGTCACCTCATTCAACAAGATCCTTCATCACACAGAAAGACTGTGGTCCGACTGGCCAGGAATTTAGACCGGACCACGAGCCCCGAAGCCCGCGCCACCATCATCTGGCTTGTGGGAGAGTTTGCAAGCCTGGATCCTGACAACAACATCGCTCCGGACGTCTTGCGTATACTCGCTAAGGGTTTCTCTGACGAGAGTGAAGCCGCCAAACAGCAGATTGTGCTGCTCGCTGCCAAGGTCTATCTGCTTTTCCTACAGAAACACCTGCCAAGCACTAACACCGACGACGACGACGCAGCTACGGAACAAAAGGATCATACAGCTGTGACGCTCGACTCGTCCTTGATGGATCACCCAATATCGAAGTTGTGGAACTATATTCTTCTGCTCACCCGCTACGACACATCGTACGATCTGCGAGATCGAGCACGACTTTTCAAAGCTCTTCTCACTGGAGCCAAATCAACACAACTAGCGGCGCTTCTTCTCCTTGCGCCAAAGCCGGTCCCTCACTCTCCGTCGCCATCTGAAAGTCGTCAAGGTCTCGTGCTCGGCAGCACCACTCTCGTCTTGGGTAAGGATGTTGCCGGCACACTGGGTCTTCCCTGCTACGAAGAGCTTCCCAAGTGGGTCGAAGATGGGCTCGAGCCAGACCCGAAGCTTCGCGACGTCAGTGACACGGCCGAAAAGGAAGAATACGTTCCTATGTCAGCGAGGGGAGGAAGTACAGTCGCTGCGAGCAAGAGACTCGACGCCGCAATCAGGAGCCAAGGGTTGGAAAAGGTCGTAGCTGCAGGTTCGACCAAGGCTGGATCCAAGCCTAGAACCCTTGATGACTGGTTGGCTGAGAGTGAAGAGGAAGACGATGAGGAAGATGAGGAGGAAGATACAGAGGAAGAAACCGAGAGTGAGGAGTCGGGAGAAGATGAGAGCGAAGAAGAGGAAGAAGAAGAAGAAGAGACTGACAACGAAGAAAGCGACGATGATGATAAGGCTATGCGTAAAGGTTTGATAAGTCGTTGAGAGGTACAAGTACAGTTCTAATTATATTGTAGTACAATGATGAGTAGTGGTCAGTGTTTGTAATCTTGATTCATTACCTCAACCTCAGCCTAGCCAACCTGATTAATTTCATGTCCCCTGGTGCTTGTTTTCGTTTGAGCGCTGCCCAGCTACGACGCTTACTGCGGTATACACGAGGGGGCCATAGGAATAGTACCACGCAGCTCGGTGAATCAACAAGCTAGTGACAATACTACAAAGAAAACAAAATACACAGTTGCAGTGCGCTCGAAAACCAGGGTGAGTCCGAACAAAAAACAAGAGCATCATCCGACTTCGCACTTGATCTCAATGGGTTCCACGTCGTTGCATCTCACTCAGGCATGGATCATGTCAGGGAGACTTTGACATGTATGTCCCTTGTACGGTGCGACTCGGGTGTAACAATGTAAAGCGCGGTAGATATCTGATGACTGGCGCCGATCATCACGAAAGAAGGTTCGAACCACGCCCTCCCATCCAGCCCATCTACGAAACCCTCCATTTTTGTCTGGTCGTAGTAAAATAGCTAGAACAAAAGAAATAAAGAAAGAGCAAAAAAAAAAAGGCCCATCAATTAAAATACACCTGGACAACTTCAACAATGTGTGTTCTCGTTCGGGTTCAAAAAAGAAAATGAAAACAAAGCGGTGTGTGTACCTCGAAAGGGACTGGAAGGACAAGAAAAAGGAAAAAAAAAAGAAAAAAACTGAGGTCTTGCCCGGATTCGAACCGGGGTTGCCGGAATACTTCGTTTTGTTTTCATCGAAGGGGACAAATTCTCAGAATCCGGAGTGATAACCGCTACACTACAAAACCGACAACTGCGATATGCGGCATTTGTGGGCAAGAAATCCCGGGGCATGGTATATGAACGGCGTCGAAAATTTTTACTCCGTGGGACCGAGTGACTCGGGTGGTCTTGGCTTGGCGGCAGCAGCTCAGGACCCCAGGAGTACATACAATACTATTGTGAGTGAGCCCCGGCTTGGTGTCTACAATATGCGGCAACGTCCCGAGAGAGTGCGGGTCGCCCCAAAGCACGAGTTACTGCAAAAAGGTGACGGTACGACCAGACACGTATACAAGGAAGAGAAAGAGAGGGAGAGATACACGTCCCAGTGAGTAACCTCGACGTATTACCTTTTGATAACTCAAGTGATACGCACACACGCACACACGCACACACACAATCCCGACACCTCGGAACAAAGACAGACAATTATATGAATACTGTAATTGTATCTACAACTACTTGTATACTACAGTTAGGTAGTACTCCGTATGCCAAACTCTTTTAAACAACAAGAATGGTTCAATATTTGCTAGACTCCATACCAACTCTCGGAACTCAAGATTTCCATAGACTAGTACCTAACTCACAGAAGTCGTAACTCCTTCGTGTTCTGTGTGGACTTCAATTTCTCTTCTTGTTGATCATACCTCGGATTTTTCGTGCCGCGCCCACAATTGGATCACCAGCGTAAATGTCAGTAGGGTCCTTTTCTTTCTTCTCCGTTTCTCTACCATGCTCACCGCCCCATTGAATAGTAGGCCGGTTGGAGGGACGGCCAGGAAGCGGTTCCTGTACTGCCGTGTCAACCTGGCGTGGTTGCACCTCTTCGTCACTTTCACTGGAATCATCGTCACCGCCATCTCCCAAGCCCAAGGCAGCCAGACGTCGTCTCTTTTCGGCAGCAGTCTCTTCACCACCGGTATTTTCATCCGCGTCTTCATCTTCCGACAGGATCCTGGCCAACCTACGTCTACGCAAATCTGCTGCAGTCTCACCACCTCCGTGTTTAGCAATGCTCGATCGGACATTATGCGTGGGGACCTCGACTTCTTCCTCGTCTTCCTCACTCTCTTCCTCCAATGTCGCATTCTGCTCGTCCGTCATATGCATACGCTCTGGCTGAGGGCGTTGGCGAGGGCTGAAGTAGTCTTCGTCTTCGTGGGCTATTTCACTCTTGGCTCTTTTGCGACCTTCCGGACGAACAACACTTAGGTCGTAGCCTGTAGCCGTCTCCGCTCGAAGGCGCCGAGGTCTCTCGCCGGCAGCTTCCTCGTTAGCAGCTTGCCGTAGTTCGCGTTTGACCTCCTCAGGAGCATCACTATCATTGACTTCTTTAATCTGTCTTTTTGGATCCAACTGTTGCATTTGTTTGATGAAGTCCTTGGTGGAGAGTCGCCGTCCAGATCCAAGAGCAATTGTGCCTGGGGCGTTGCGGACTTTCCTCTTCCCCGCAAGACCGTATTGATCAGTCGACGAAATGATCATTCTCAAGCCATCGTCGGACGAGTTTGAAGAACGACGGCTTTTGGCCTCTGGCTTGTCTGCCTGGGCCACGATTTCTTGAGCACCGTCTACCTGCACAGGCAAGGTTGCGTTTCCGCCCGAAGGTCCTCCACTCGAAGGCCCGGCTCCACCTCCTTGTTTTCCCAACCCGACCCACGTACTCATCCGACGCAATCCATCTCTTAGCTGCTGTTCTCTGTTGCCACCGGACTCATCGGATGGAATGTTATAAGTTTTGATAACTTCACCGTCTTCGTCCTCGACGATGACCGTGTTACCAAACTGATAAGCATGAGCGGGGCCCCGCTTTCGCTCAGGTTTCTTTGACGGCCCGGAATCCCCAGAATCGTCTTGCTTGCGTTTCGCGAAGCCCGTCCATTGATCGAACCTCTGTCTCATCTTCTTGTGTGGTTGACCGACAACTTCTGCAGCCTCTTTCTCAACCTCCTCTCCTTCTGTCTTCGGATGTGGACGGTGCTTGTGTTTGGCGAAGTTGCCGCTTTCATCTTTGGTCAAGCGATTTCGTGCCTCTTCAATAGCTTCTACCTTTTCTTCTTCGGTCATCTTGCTAGAGTCGAACGTGTCGACAACATTGCCCTCTTCGTCCTCGACAACAATGTGAGCTCCTTCCTCGTATGCCTCAATATCCGCAGGTCTCTCCGGTGATGGCGGACGGGGTCCTCCACGTTCTTCAGCTTCTGCCTCCTCTTCAGCCTCCAGCCTATCACGGTCGTCGGAGGAGGTCTCGTGTGGAGCAAGTTGATCCGGGTGACTCTCCGGCGAAGCTTCTCCAGACTTCTCGAATAATGTGTCGGAGCCTGACTCCTGCTGAACTAGAACTCCCTCTGACCGCCGTTGTGGCATTATGGCGCTCTGACTGATGGGCCCACCAAATCGATCCTGGCCAGCACTTCTCCTTTTCCTGCGCGAGCGCCCGAGACTTGAAGAACGGGATCCTGGCCTTTTCTCGTATTCATCTTCACGTTGTCTCCTCAGGTGGAGCTTGGGGATACCAATGGGTGGCAACTGTCCAGGCGGCACCTCGAGTTTCTCGTCCGTCTCAAAATCCGAGCTGTATGTACGTGACATCGAGCGGGACTGCGAGGTGATTCTGGGAAGTCGATTCATCCAGGCTGAACCCCTTTCGTTATCCTGCGTATATGACAAAGTCATGGTCAAAGTATTGATACGCTTGCCCAAGGTGAAGACGGCAATCGACGACCCGTGGACAAGGATAGAGGAAATGACCAAAAACGTGACGACGGGCCAGACGAGATATATCAGCTCATAATCCTTGGTTCCAGGGGGAGGCATTTTAGCCAGAGGTTGCGTGGAATCCGTCTCCAATTCGGCGCGAGCAAGAATCGCAGCGAAGATGGCGCCGACTCCGATAGGGCCAAAATGGCCAGCAAAAAGTGCCTCGCGCCACGTTTTGACGTCGGGAATCACTGGTTTTAGTAACATCATGGCTGGTATGCGTCGGAAGAAAATGACAAATAGAGCAATAACGACGAGCCTCCATGGAACCAATCCATGCTCTGGCGAGTTGTACTGATCCCAGGGTATGATGGTGCCAAAGTAGACGAAATAAGCCAAGTTGAGAAGCAAGTCAATAACGTTGGAGACGTGTGACTCTTCCGTCTTTTCCGTGAACCAGCCATCGTTCGAAAATCCCACGCCAGCGGCGAATCCGATCAGAAGATCGTCCATGCCGAGGAGACTGCCAGATCCAGCGCAAAACAAAGCAAGCACGAAGTAGAACACCAGAAAACTTTCACGGTCAATCAGGCCCTTTCGCTCCGCCATTTTGATCGCATGTCGGCCGATGTAGCCCACCATGACACCGTAAAAAGCGCCAAAGATGCATTCGTAAAGAATCGTATAGCACGTCCAGTGGAAGACAACTTCGCGACCGGAGAGGTCGTACCGCAATAGATACAACGATAGGTAGATGAAAGGGAACGCCATGCCGTCGTTGCACCCAGACTCGGCCGAGAGAACATCCCGAAGATGCTTCGGTACTCGCTTCGCGAACTTGCCCTTACCAACCACAGAGGACGCCAGAACGGGGTCTGTAGCAGTAACGCAGGCCGCTATAGCAAGAGACTCCAGCCATGACAAAGGTACGATCATCCACCAAATGAAAAGACTGGTAATGAGCCATCCAAAAGTCATGACCGGGACGAGCAGAAAGGTAACCGACTTCCAATGTCGTTCCATGTAAGCCTTGGGCAATTCCACACCAACTGCAAAACACTGGACCACAAGTACAATGCGTGAAAACTCTAGCGTGATCTTATCGGTGTTTCCCCAGCTCAAGGGATTGATCAGGTCAGCGGCATGAGGACCGAATATTACGCCACAAATGGTGGCTACGGTGGCTTCGCCAATATATAGCTTCTCCTTGATGAATAGCGAGCATAACATGAACATGCTGGTAAAGCCGCCTAGGATGATATACACCAGATGTGGTTTGTCGATTGCCAACTGATGCCACGCCATGATGAACGGCTTGTGCAAGGGTGCTCCTGCCCGAGCCTCCTACTCTTCCTCCGTGTACCTGCGTTTATGTGTCGTCAGTACGGAAAGGGTGACAGACTCCTCCAAAGATCCGATTAAGTTCGGTAAGATAAAGAGTGATTGGCGTGCGTCGACGCACAAATGGTAAAGTACTGTAAAGGAGCGGCGGAAATTTCAGTAACAAGGCCTCCTCGTCTGTATTGTGAATCAAAACCTTGTCCAGTTGCAGTCGCAACCTATTCAATTGCTACCCCCAGTCGTTGCTTTCTCTTGATCTCAGATCGAGGTGTAGTATCCGGAGCATTCAGGGAGGCTGTATATCGGCAGGACAGGATATTGGGAAGGGTACGTGGTGAGGACAACGGCGGTAGCTTCTCGGGCAGTAGCTACAGGTCGCCGGAGAAGTGAGAGTTACGAGAGGCGGGGAGGCGAGAGGAACTTGTCGTTGAGAGCCTCGAAGGACACCACTATCGGTGAGCTGTGGATGCCGAAAGTAAGATACTTGTCTTGACGGGCTGGGCACGGCTTAGTGAAGCACACTCAGCAAATTAATCGAGCTTGAATGTCTTTGCAAAGGCGAAGAGGACCATGCCAAGTTGCAGGAGAAGCGACGATGATGAAGGACAAGGCTCGGCGTCTGGATAACCAGTGGGTCGTTGTGATAGAGAGATAATAATTGGCAGCGCCTTGAAGGGTTATCAGAACTCATTATTTAGGATTCGAGCGAATCTTCCCGCACTTCCGTGAATCTTCGGCGAGAACAAGCCCCGGGTTTATGATCCCTGTATGTTGGGCAGAGCGTGGCCTGCGAGCGCCAACCACAGTGGACACTATTCTCGGCTACGGGCACATCCAAGGGCTTTGATGTTTTCTTCTTGTCTTTGTGTTGAAATCAGCAGGGTGCACGGAGAGATGTCTGGAGTATCGGCCGCAATCGATTGGAAGGCTCGAATCCCTTTTGCCAGTTCGCTGCGAAGGGACGTACGATACAGCGTGTCATATATGACATGGACACTCCGTCCTCCGCAATCCGTCCAGGATATTTGTTGTCGAGGGCGGACGTCCGTCGGCTACAGAGGCACTTTGGAGCCACAAAAAAAAAAGAAAACACGAGGCGCCCCAGGCAGACTTGGCCGCGCCTAGATGATTCTTGGCCGCGGGGCGCACTGATGCGAGTACTCGCATGGTGAGCCTACAACCTGGCAATCGCCTCAACCGGCATTTTATTCACAAGTAAGGATACCGAGACCCCGTATTTGTAGTCCAATATGGCACATCCCAAGGCAGCGTCGGGGCGTCCTTGCATTACTTACAGTACATAGGTACCTAGTAGGCTGACACGGAAGGAGATCTCAGAGACATGTACTCCGTACCCAGCATGGCTCTCCGTAGCTACCTGAGTCCGACTCTCTCGCTCACGAGCGTCTCTTGCCTGCTTCCCCCGTGTACTCGCATTGCCTGTCATCAACGCCCGGGGGTCGCATAATCGTCACGGCACGTGCGGCAGCCTCGTGTGAGTGCTGGATCCTATGCCGTCGAGTTGAATGCAGGATGTTCAACAGCGACATCGCATACCTAACCAGCTGGACAAGTGTTCAAGATACTTCCATAATGTCATGATAGGGGTCACTGATAATGTCATGATAGGGGTCACTGTCAAGTCCTATCAAGCCCGGAAGTCCTCTCTGTTTTTTGTGACCACTGTCAGAACGCTTTGATTCGCATTTCCAGTACAGGATTGGGACTGCTGTCTCATCCACCCGTACACTACATCAAGCAGAGTGCCCACACTCCTTAACTGACGGCTGGCAAGTCACAGTGCCACCACCTGCGAACAAACAATCCCACCGAAGACAATCCCATGATTGTCTTCGTGGTGGGCTTACCACCCAAGAAGAAAAAACCCATCCCTTTGCTTTTGAAGTCCACACACAAGTCAATATACGGACAACTTTTTCGTTTTCGTGAGTTGTTTTCGTCTCTGGGGTATATCTCAGTCGTATGTCCTCACAAGTCATATGTACAACGCCGTCGTGACATGCCACGATTAAAAATATCGAGAAATGCTGCAATTAGTAGCTCCGAAGAATAAGAATTCCATCAAAAGTCGTCATGTGCTGTATGTAGTAGAGGCGGCGAGACGTCGCTGGACAGTATCAAGAGCCAGACACCGAAGCCAACGCTCGTTCCCTGATGTGGTTGGCCTGGATCTCCAGTGACCGTGCCATCAACTTAAAGACTAGACCCAATGTCAGTACACTCATGGTTTCACACGCTGCTAACACGTACCTGGCCAGACGGCATCCCGTTCTAGGAGGTATGCTGTGAGAACAAGTATTCTACTACCGTGGCCGCCATCCTGAGCCATGCGAAGGTCAAACGAGCCCCGGGCCTCGACCTTCTGCTCAGCGCTGCTCAGCACTTCGTCAATTTTCTGGATCAATTTCCGATCCTCGTCTTCAAGCAATAGGATACCGGGGACCTCCATCAGGTTCATTTCATCCCGGCCGATGACACCAATGTATTTTCCAACTCGTTCTTGCACTGTCGTGATCCATTCCGCCAACACTTGCGCACAATCGAAGGCGCACATAGCTGACTGCACGGGCAGCTCCCGAGAACTGTACTCTGCAAAGCTCAGCCCAAGCTTGTCGGAAACGGACAAGGAATCTGCTGCGTAGAAGGCGGCTTTGCGCAAGTGTTTTTCACGTCTGGAAGAAAGAGCCTGGTGAAGCTCCTGATCTCGATCCCCCTCTCCTTCTTGTACCGAATTATCTTGTGGAGGCGTCATTTGTGGCTGTGTCATGGGATCGTATCTTCTCGCCGGGGAAGCCTTCTCCCTGGTGCTGTTCGACCCTGCCCGATTGTGTACAGATTCCAGGCCCTTCGCCAGCTCCTCTGCCACTGCGTCGTAGTCGCGTTGCCAGAAGGCTTCCTTGGACCTTCCGAGATTTATGAAAAGTCGGACGTATGCGAGGTCAAGTAACGGAATACAGTCAGCGGACAACGGTCCAGCACCGAACGGATTAGGACGTTCCAGACTATGGGTTGGATTACTAGCCCATGCCGCTTGCCAGGCACGGAGCGCTGGTTCAATGTGAGCATGCATCTGCTCTGTCTCGCTAGTCGTCCATTGACGTCCCAGGTGCCTCTGGCGCGTCTCCCAGATATAATTGTGCAGTGCATTAACAAGGATCAAGCAGCCAAAGGTACTAGGGCGTAGCTCGGGCTCAGCGGTTGGTCCGAATGCAGCAAGCGCACTGCTTTGCCGCCTTTCTCTTTGTGCGGCCATAAGAAGGTGGGTTAAGGAATCTGCAAAAGTCGTCGAGTTCGCGTCAGCGCTGGTAGTGCCGCCATAGCCCCTCCAGACCTGAGCCGATTCCGCCGCCCACAGATGTTCGTCGCAAGGCAGATTCAGTCTAATCTCCGAGTTGGTCAAAGCCGGTGGGTGGTTGTAAGCCGTTACGAGCATGCTTGAGAGAATAAACACCGAATACAGCGTCCGTTTGCGTTCTTCGGTAACCTTCCATTCAATCCAGTCAGAATCATCGACTTCATTGGTCAGCTGACCCCAGCTGGTCTTTGACGTCCCGTCGATGTCCATCTTCGATACTTGTGTGCTATAACCCGAGGCCGGTCGGGTGAGTTCTGCACCTCTGGCCAGGCTCACCAGGGCGGCACAATGGTTGCTTGCAAGTTCAGCAGCAGTCTTATCCCCGCAATTATGCCCATAGATAACGTTCAGAAGCATGGCTTGCACCAACCACAATGGCGTGTCTTCTCGTTCTGTTGCGTGCTTTGGCGCAAACTGAGTCTTGGTCATATTTGCCTTTCGTCGCTCCTCGAGATAGCTGCTGATAAGTCGCTTGGCGCACTCAAAAAGATCTTTGGATTGGGACGTTTCATGTTCGTACAAAGCTCCAATAGCTGCAATGGACAAGATTAAACAGCTTCCCCCTCCACTTACAATTGGGCGTCCATAAGGTGATTGGCCTGAGACAAGTCGAACAGGAGTGGTATAATCGGATGATTCGAAGTTAAGGGTAGGAATGTGGAGAAAAGGTAAATGTGGATGGAAGAATCGAATATAAGAGGCTACATATCGCTGTAGGTCGCCCGTGGAAGGGAAGGTGCTGGCGTTAAAGCCTCGGGGACGAGAAGATGCACCAGGGGACAATGGTGAGCTAACAGCCGGCTGGGAGTATTTGCGCTGTCCGAAACCTGTTGTCTGACACAAGCCCGCAAGCAACACACTTCTGATGTGGTCGGTCACAAGGTCAGAAGACATTGTAGTTACCGAGCTGTATTGAAGACTCGAATCCATGGACGCAGTGGAAGTGGTAGACTCAGGGCCCTCTTTACTGAATGGCAAATGGAGGCCGGGAAAGTGTAGGCCTGAAGAATCAATGGGTAACATATCGGGAGGTGTTGGAAGGCTCAGGTCCAGTGACCCTCCATGGCCAAAAAGGGACTTTGGCGAGATGGTCCCTATTGAAGGCTGTACCATTTCGTTGAAGCTTGCCATGAGCTCCATACTCACAGGACTATTGACCATTGCAGCTTGACTTGCGAGACTCCCTGTCCATAGGGGCGCGACAGAGCCAATAGTCTGTTGCATGGCACCAATGGTGGGATCACCAGAGATTTCGGTCAAACCAGCCGGGCTATTAGTACTCATGGCCGAAGGGGAAGAATCATCGATTGCGTTCTCGTTGGCTTGTGAGAATGTCATTTGGTTCTCGAATCCCTGGGCCATCCAATCAAAGGTTGCGTCATCGTCTGTCAAGGCTTGCGACGCAGACATACCGCCAAACAGTTGATGAAAGTGTGCAGCGGAACCATATAGTCCTCCGCCCGATACGTGCAGGGCGTGGGGATTGATCGTGTCGCCATGATCAGTTGGCATATCTAGAGTGCCCAGGTCAAACTCTGCTCCGAAGCCGCCAAAGGGCGGTGCAGTGCGTAATCCACTCGAGAGGTCGATGGGAAGGCCGGTTTCAAGCTTTGGTAGATCGAATGGATAATGGTTGGTTGAGGCAGACCGGTAAAGAGGGCCTTGAGAGCTTCCAAGCACACTCATACTGTTATGATGATGGTGATTCGGTATGACCTGGCGACCAGTGGTTCCAACAGAGCTTGCCAACATGCCCAGAGTTGCAGCATCAACGTGGCTGAGGGTGTTAGCTCTAGGCCTCATTGTCGCTTGGCTACTTGTCGTTGAATTCTTGCGAACACGACCGTTTGCGACGCCAGCAACGCTTTCACGCCGGCTGCCTCTCGGGCGTGACGCCGGTGTCGTCGAGGAGTGTAACTTCTGCTGGTGCCGAAGGAGCAAATCACGTCGGGCGAAACATCGTGTACATTCTGGGCATTCAAATGGTTTCTCCTTCGTGTGAGAACGTTCGTGACGCTTCAAGTGTTCTAGCCTCGCAAAAGATCGCGTACAAGTGGTGCATACATGGGGCCGAGGCTTGTCAGTCTTCGGGGGAGGGTGTTTTCGGGCTTCTGCCTCGTTGGATGTGGTGGTAGTCTTCTTCGAAGGAGGCTCAGGATCTGATCATGGGTAAGAATAATCGGCGTTCAACGGGCATATCTGGCCATGTCACTCACCAATGCCCGGTGCTGGGTCACCAGTCATTTCGCGAGCAGGAGCTCCTCCCGCCGCCATACTTGTAGCCTTGATACTCTGCGAGTTTTCACAGTAAGAGCACGTTGCTATGTTGAACGACTGAGTCCAGATATCCCAGGCACTCTGGCCGAGGCCAACGGGCCCGGAGGTAGGAGTCTAGAGAAGGAAGCCTAGCTGCTGTACATCCACAGGCTATCTTGCTCACACAGAGCATGCGTCGACTCCGTGGTAAGTAAAGTGTATCCGAACGTCCTCCACCGGTGGGGTCTTGACTTGATATTCCACAGGCAACCAATATGCCAGATAGTGCTAGATATGTAGTTGCTGACCAGCAGTTGCAAGTCCTGAAAGAGATATTTCGAGTACAGGGTTATATTCGTTCAAAGACGCGAGGGAACTTTACAAATTTCGAGACCTGTAGGTTGAGCTGAGCCAGGAGACGAGAGGCAATGGTATACAAGAGGCTAAAGTTGGTCGCTTGTCTGGGTAACTTCAGTATACTCCTTGATCTGCGCACCAGTATTGAAGGAGCCTCACAACAGAGGCCAACGGCGACCACTTACCTCGACAGAACAGCATTGACAGGTGGATGGGTATAAGGGACAAGAATTCTCTGGCCGAAGCAGAGAAGGATAGTCGGGATACAGACGCTGCGAAAACTGGCAGCACCGTCCACTCTTGGAACGTCAGCGGGGGGTGGAAGCTTGCGGTGGTTGGCGCAGGTTTTTGCTAGGGTTGCGGTAGAGGAAGGGTAGGATTGGTAGACAATCAGGTCAGGAAGGGCGAGGCCTGTCGTTCTGGAAGGGTGTTGGTCAATCGGCTGCAAGCTCTTGGAGCTGCCAACAGGCGGAAGATTGAAAGGCCGAGGGACGCAGCGCGCCCGCGTCTGGGGTAGGTTTTTGAGGACAGAGAGTGGTCGAGGGCTCGATCGAGGTCGCAGGCTGTGAGTGAGCGGGGAAGGATGACGCTGGCGTGGGCTTGAATGAGAGACTTGTAGACGAGAATAGGTATAGGAAGACAGGGATGAAGGAAGAGAGTAGACGCAGTTGAGAAGAGGTGTCGTATGCGAAGAGAACTGCACACAATACAAGCGGGCTTGACTGGAGGGATGTTTTCTGACAGCGAAAAGAAGAACAAAGTGCGCAACGTGTGACGCCCGTTCAAAGGTCAAAACCCGTGCGAGGAGGTTGACACTCGTCGCTCGTTGCCGCTTAGGGCTCTGGGGGGGCAAAAGGATTTACAATCCACAGCGGGCGCTTGCCGCAGTCATATTGTACAGGAGTTACCCCGTGGGTCGGTTGCGCCAGGGTATGGAGTTGGGCTCACTAGGCCTCACTAGCCTTAGGGAGCCCCAGTGCCGCTAGGTGCACTAGGCGTGCCACTACAGGGAGGCTTGCCTAAAATGTCTAGCCTAACCGGACCAAAGTGATTGTTATTGCAGTGGAATCCAAAAGCATGCTACCGCCGCCGCTGCCGTGTTCCGTTGAGTCAGGTATGTGTGGATGATGCTCACAATTGTCCATGACGACAAATATCTTGATGATCTTGGTTCACGTGAAGAGATACAGACAGGGAGATAGTCATTGACTGCATTGCGCAGATTATCAAAGCGCCAGTAATTCTAGGGCAATGATTGAAGACTCATCAAGGCCCGCAGTTCATACTCCGTAGGGATCAGTCAAGTGTTCAACCTCAATTGAAGACTGCAGGCGCATGGCTCCTGCGCTCCACCAAGCCAAAGCAGGCACTGTCACCAAATTACCATAACCATTATTATCATTATGGCTGTCATCGTCCTTGTACAGTTGCAGCAGAGATTATGGGACCCGGCGGATCCTGCGTTCGCTTTTGGCGCCAGAAGAACACCCAGATCAACGACATTCCCTCCACCCACATGCCTATGGAGCAAACCCTGCATACGCGACGCATATAGAAAGACATGCTCCAGAATACTCGTACACAACAAAAAAACACTCGATAATACCAAGCCACTTCTTCACTAGTTTGGTGCGACTGCCACCAGTCCAGGTCAAGTCCTGCACGTTGCGACCTCGATCCAGTGCCCGACCGTGTTCTCGACCGGGATCTGATTCCAAGCTCAAGGTTTCGGGAATGGCAGACATTGGGCTCATCGAAGCAAACGGTCAAATCCTATCCACATCGTGGCTGGTGATGGACTAGATCAACATCCGGACTGTCGAGCGGTCTGTCAGGTGCAGCAAGCATGTCAGTGATCTGTTTGTTTCGCTTGAATCGTCTGCTAAGGCGAAAGTAGGACTTAGACATCTCCCTCGAGAGAGCACTCGTTCGGATGCCTCCTGTCCTAGGAGAACTATGCTGCTACTCTTCTCGACCATATTCCAGCATTCCCAGCCTAGACAGCACGCCAAAATCTTATTGTCCCGGGGCTGATGCATGCACCAGTCCCGGCCCCGGTGTGAGACGAGGCCCGAGCTCTCCTTGTTTCTTGTTTGGTCGCAAGAGCAGGTCGGCTTGCAAATTTCGATATCAGCGGTTTGTCCATACCTATGGCACACAGATATTTCGACATTTGCATCAGGGAAACTGAGTCACCCATTTAGGGTCCGTGCTGCTACAATGTTGCGACCTCCTAACTTTCCGGCTGAATTTCCTTCGACAAAAGGCTTGGAAGGGTCACGATGCGAGCAGGCATTGCGCGGCGATCCTACGCATTTTTGAACCGTCCCAAGGCACGCCACTAACTTGCTTCAAGCCCTTTTGCCCGACTGCGCATGATAGATTTCATAGCCGGCTTTGAGACTTGGCATGAGCTTTATTACTGTGTGTGTCTGTCGCTCAGCGGATTGCTTTGCCACTCTCAAGCCACTCGCGTACATGGATGCATATCCCAACAACGAGGAAAGATGCTTCAGCCGGATGTCAGAGCACCCATATCATAGGCACAAGGCACCGATGGCCTGAGCTGAATAGCCGGTGATGGTCCGAGTGCCCTTGCTAAAACCCACAAAACTCTGTGCAAATCTGGGGAGGTCATGAGACGGATCATTCAGGGATGTGAAGCCCACCATGCCCCACCATCGCCGCCCGTATCCTTGTCTAGGGACTGTCTTGATCTTCGAAACGATCAGGGTTGGTGGGCTTCATTGTTTCGGGCTCTGTGTGTTGAGCCAATGCTCGACGAAGCGCACTGGCCGTGATCACTGCTTCGATGCATGAGCACTGGGTATTATTTCAACTCTTTCAACACATTCGGTGCTTATCTTGCACCGACCCAGAACCAGGGCCTCGGTATGCGTAAGATCCGCACAATATACGTTGAGCACTGGGGTGCGGCTTGTCGCAGTGTGTCCATGAGCTTACCACGACAAACCCCCTTCAAAGCGAGGGAGAGAGATGGGTCATCTTACGTGAAGGTTTCCATTTGCTTTGATTCAGCACTGAAACCTGATCATACCAAGACTTTCCAGTGCTGGTGCATCCTCGGACCACGATGGTAAAGGCGCACTCATCCAGAGGACGAGTACTCTGCTGGGAGCTTCGGCATGTACATGGTGCGAGGTGCATTAGCTAGCTTTCAAAGGCCCCAGATTCCGCAGAGACTACTATATGCATCGAAGATGAAATGCCCTCGTTCTGTGAACATACACAGCCAACGCGCCCACCTGTCACTGGCGGCTTACTGCGGTTGGTGAACGGCTGGACTCGCGTAGGAGATGGCGATAGTGCTAGACCTATCTTCGCGCAATCGAATATTCCTATCAGGATACTTGTTCTGCTTTTATTCGCAGAATGGCTGTTGTTTCGAGAGCACCTGACTCGTGCACAGTGAGCCTGAAGGTACCAACAAGGGGAAGGACCATCATCCGGATTCCAGCGGTACATAGGTCCACCAATACATTGTCGAAAACCGCTCTGGCATAACGACCGGTCGAATTCTGTCTTACGCGTACCTAGGTACGTTGTGCCACGACAAAGCGGAAATACAGCCGGCTCTTATAACTTCAAAACTCTGATGAACGTGCCGTCGGCAGAATCTGCATTACGGAACAATCTCATGCCCATCATCAGCTGATCTCTGTAGATCTGGCTGGCCAGATTCGAAGACGGCACAGGTATCCGTTGAAGGTACGCAATAGCTCTCGCAACAGTCAAGTTATTTTTGACACCTCGATGGTCTTTACACATCGCCCAAGGCTGCTCAGTCAGTCGCGTGCCAGCCTCAACAACGTGGTCCCACAGAGAGACTACACGCCGAAGGTATTTCCAGAATGCCCAAACATTTGAATGGTACTGGCTCTGAAAGTCCAGTCTTGGAGGGCATGCTCCTTACGACTACTGTTTGAGCAGAATGCGTGGCAGCGCTCGGCTTCTCGTCTGGTATGGGGCCTGACGCCAGGTGTGAAGGGGGTTGACTCACTGAGTGTCACGGTGTACCTGAATGCAGGCTCCCCCTAGAGGGGCTTCATCGCAACTCGTATCGCGGCATCCTGGCCATGCACGCAATAATGCTGCCAAGCGACAGTTGAGTGGACTTAAGCCAAGGGGCTCCACCTGCTCTCACAATACTCCGCGCGGATGGACATGCGTTTTCCACACAAGGGCTGGGGAGCAGGTGGCCGGCCAAAGGCCGCCGAATTTCAGCTGCACGGTACAACGGCAGTGCTTTGCGCCAGGTGTTGGCTAACCTCTACAGTAGGTGCCTTGGGGCATGCCGTCCTCGGCATACAGCATGGGAGACCTTCAGGCTGTGTGCATCTTGTACGAAGTACGAGTACCCACGGACCCAGTGTGTCACTGTCATGCAGCTCCAACTGATCCTGGCTGATACTGTATTAAATGCAATGCGAGAACAGGTCTGCACAAAATCAGTTGGGCTCGCATCGGATCAGCACAAAACGGCTTTCTCCCCAGATGCAAGCCCACGCACGCCTCGGGTCGACGTCGAAGTTGCTTGCAATACTTGTCCTGGGTACCCTGTCCTGGTGAGCCACGGCCTCCACTGCACTTACCATGGTCCTTGTAACGGCCACGTGTGCTGCTGAGCTGGTTGATGCTTGATACAGAACGATTAGCGGTCTACGGTACCCAATACCTGTCGAAGGCATGTTCGTTAAACAACTCAGATGCCGCAAAATTATCACCAAGAGTTCGAGTACATGCACTCTTCTTCTTCCACGACTAGGCCGCGCCTCACGACTTCTGCGTTACGAATCCAGCGCGGCGTCCTGCAAGGCCCCCGCAACATTTTGGGGTTAAGACCAGAGCAGGTTTAGAATATCTCGTATTTAATGTCGCAGTGCGCCCCGAAACTAGTGAAAGCCACTCGAATCCTCACGGCTTGCGCTGTAGGCCAGTCCGAATACGTCCCCTGCTTGGCATTGTTCGCATAACCTACAGTATTCCTCCTAGCACCTCCTATTCTACTTTGTACGGAAACTTGCGGGGAATACATGACATTGGACGACTCAAACGTGAGTACGGAGTACCATACCCTGGTAACTGGGTAAGTGATTTCGTGTGTCATCCACCTCCACCCAATTCCACGCAGAAGTTGGAGCCTGAAGTCTGTATGCACATGTCTACACGAAAAAAAACTCCTGGAGGATGACATAAGGCCAAAACTTCTGCATGGGTCTCACGGTGGGAATGCTTTCCCCTTTGTCCCCAAGTTCACTGGGTCCCCTGCATGAGCTGGATAGCAGTGGCGTTCATTATGATGGCCCCCCCAAAATCCCCATCGATGTTTGGACCTTCCAATTTGGGCAATTGCTGTTCCATTGTGGTTTCGTTGGGAACGATCATCGATGCACCAGGAGTACTCGTACTGTAATGTGGACAGTTGCTATGGGCAAGCAATTCCCTGGTTGCGTCGCTCAGGCCTCGCAAATTCGAATCAATTTACCGGTGGCGCGCTGCAGGTCTGCATGTGATGATGGAAGGAGAGGTGCATCGTCGCTAGACCTTGTCGTGCATGAGGCTCCTCGAGTCTGGCGGAGCGGTCAGGGACGGGATCATATTTACCTAGGTAAGGCATTGCAGCACCTAGCTTCGACAGCGGATAGGGCACAACGAAGATTTTGACTACGCATATGGGCCCTGAACTGGAACACGACAACACAGGTCTGAGTACTACCTACTAAGCAGGTCGCTCGTTGGAACTGGTGGACCGCCATGCTGAGCAATTGATTATCGGCCGGGTTTTCGACGACGACGGACTCCCTGGACTCGAATGTCCTAGTTTGTCTGTGGCGCTGCATCCGCGTCCGCGACTGATTCGGATTCACCGCCGCTTTCATGTATGGCCGGGGTCATTGCGAGGTGCTCTGTGATCAAGCAGAACAAGACCTTCTTTCGCTACGTGTTCCTTCTTCAAAAGGGAGTTCGAATTTGTCAAAGTCTTCTGGGTCTTGACAGGTGGCAGGGGTCCGGCGCTTTCGGTCACCCAACGGGTTTTTTGAGACTTCAAGGCCATCTCAACATCCCCTGTACAAATATTCCGCGGCAGCGGCTGGCTAGTGTTTGAGTTGCACGCTCTTTGAACCGGCCAAGCGACTCTCTCCACGCCGATGGTCACAGTCACCACAATGCTGACTACCATGATGCTCTGCTACCTCAGTACTGAGTTATGTGAATATCATATCTGTGGGTGAATCCATCACATCAAAGCCCTTAGAGGTCTGGCACTACCTGCGTGGCTCAAAGTACTGAGCATGAACACGCAAACCAATCGTCCCTGATTTATCCAAAGTCATATGTTCTCCATGGACGCGACGATTCTGGATCTTAGACAAGGGGCGATTACTAAACAACTCTCGATCAGTTGTGCAGACGGTGTATTTGACGCCGGCTATGCCTCCCAACAGCCCATTACACAACCTTGCCAGGCATGGATGCTGAACGATCTGACAGATGTCTTGCACCGCTTCTAGAGTCCCAAATGCATCGAGCGTTTCCATGCACTGTATGCGCCACTACCTACTACCGTTCCGCATGACCAGCGTCATCGAAGGTAGGACTCTGTGCGGTTCTCTTCAACCTTCCCGCGGCCTTCGCCGCCGCCATTAGAAACCCTACTTGCACAAACACCTCCAACCGCCTTGCAAATTTCTCCCAACGTTCCTTCTTGCGCTGATGACCCACTCTCACTGTGCCCCTGAATCCGATTTGCCTGCGAGTTCAGAGTTCCGAACGGGCTCGGCAGGAGAGAAGACGACGTCTGCGAATAGAATCGCAGTGAGGTATTCAATGCTGTGCAACTCGGTGACACACTGGACAAGCAAAGACTTCTTGATATATGGTCAGAGGACTATCATGAGCGACTAATTGCCGTAAGAGCGAGCAAACTACACGTAAACACGGTTCTCTGATGTTTACCTGGGAGAGGGGCATATATGCCGGTTGTTCGTATCAGTTTTCTCTCAGGTTGAGTGGGACACAAAGCATCATTTGCCATGATTGAATCGACAAGCCTGTTCTTTCACCCCCTATTTGGGGGTCATGGTCACTCTCCCTGGTAGCAACCACACACATGTTTTCGGAGCACGTGTGGTGTATAAGCCCGTCCCAAAGCCTCGTCGGCTCCATATGGGAGGTCGTACAACGGCCTGGCAAGACGAAAGTCGGATTACTCTTCACTACGTATTCGTTGTGCTCGGCACCGAAACTATCAATAGTGGCACTTGATGTGCTTCCGCAGCACTTTTACAGCCGAGATCCTCAACCGGCCAAATGGATTCACAGGTATTGTAATCCCACCGACGCAATGCGAGATCAAAACCAACCCCCTTGAGATCCGCAGCGGATGAGTTCACCACATTTAGGCACTTCTTGACGAACGCCTTCCCCATGGGCCAGGAAGGTTGTGCCGCGTACACCTACTGTACGCTCTACGTTGAATAGATCACTCTATTCAGTCATGCTGAACTATCTGACATCCTGCTGTAAGCGTTCGAACTTTCCGTATGATTAGCAAAATGGTCTTCATTTGCTCGCCTCGGATCAGACAGCTGGAGGGACAGCTGCGACCCGACTGCAGCTTTCTGCAGATAGCGCATAGCCCTCCTAGAAGATCCCTATCGAATGATCTGAGCCGTTGCGCTACTCTTCTGGCCCCTGGTTTCGCACCACTGGGTGAAGAGACGGTTAATCCTCAATGCTCCTTGGAGATGACTGGATATGTGCGACAACGGTCAGCCGTATGTGAAGATCCGGAAGACCCTTTGCTTTCGGGTAGATATGGTGGCAGTGCCAGAGCCAGAAGCGCTGAGTCGATGGAATACCGTCCAACCCGTCTCAGGCTGATTGTCACTTCGCTGGCCAAACAGGTATTTTCCGATGAGCCTGATGTCATCTGTAGCAGGTTGCACAGGCATAAACAGTCCCTGCGCCACGGCAAGTAGACTTGAGGCCAATCCTAGTGGCCAAAAAAAACCTCTCTCCCGTGCGGTCAGGAATTGTCTCCTGGCTTGACCGAAACATCTTACTCATCCACCTGCGACTGCTTGTAGGAACAACCTCTCCCTCTTCATGAAAACCGAGCTCACCATTGTGACCGCCCCCGCCGCGATGGTCAGGATAAAAACACTGTTCATGGCTTTGATGATCGCCGCGACGGCCAGTTGTCTGACCGCGTCTGAGCTGTGTCGGAAGACGGCCGATTGCGTGCCCGCAACAGCACTGCGCAATTCAGACTCTGTGAATCCGTAGCCCGCAAGTGCCGACTGTAGATTATTGAAAGCCAGATTCTGGAAGACGCTGCCGGCAATAGTCAGCGATATGACTATGCTCCCGATCTGGGCCACGTTGATGAAACCAATTGCGGCAGCAATCTCTTCCGGCTTGACCTTTGCAGCTGCGATGGAGTACCCGCTCTGGTTGGCCGCTCCACAGCCGATAGCAAGGAGCACACTGTAACCGTATATCCGACTTGGTGAGGTTCCTGAGTCAATGGTATACATACACGCACCTCCAGCGGTCATGAATACGCCAGCAACAAAATACCAAGGCATGTAGTACCCAAGTTTTGGCAAGAACGCGCCGTTCAGCAACATGAATGTTATGGCGAGACAAACGAATGGCAGAAGTCGCACAGCCGCCATGATTGCGGAATCAGATCGGGCGAACTGGAAGAAGAGCGGGATGTAGTATGCGCCGATGAAGAGCGTGCAGCTGCAGGCCGAAGTTCCGATGAAGAGAAGGATGAGGCTCCTTCGCAAGAGAAAGTGGCCGGGGAAGAGCCGATGCTCCTTGGTCGTCAGGACCGTGAAGTATTGGCTGACGACGAAGCCAATCAGTGCTATGCCGAAGAACACGATCATAACGATGAATCGATAGTCGTCCCACGCCCACTGCGCCCCTCCGAACGTGAGGGCCATGGTGTACGTCGAATACACGGCTGCGATGAGAACCATGCCGACCCAATCGACGTTGCGGATTTTGCTGGCAAAGGTCTCCTTTGGCTTTGGCGAATTTGTGGGAAGGTAGAAGACCAGAAATGGGGCCATGACGGCAGCAAGCACAAGATTGATGTAGAACGACCACTAAGCGAACATGCATCAGTACAAGGCTGAAGGTTATACCCAAATCAGGATCGCTCGGTGCTTACTCTCCATGTCGCCGAAGAAACGGCAAAGCCGCCTCCGACCAAGGGTCCCAATATGCTGCCTAGGCCCCTGCTCAGAGGTGAGAAGAGGAGACAGTACGTATGTGGCATCTCAGCTTACCAAACAAGGCCGACTAGGGAATTGTAGAAGTTACGTTCCCTCAGCGTGGTAAACACGCCCAGGTAGTTCAGGACACCAAGGTACATTCCAGCACCACCAGCCCCTGCGATGACTCTGCCCACGATGAGGGCGTCCATGGTCGGCGCCCCACCGCACAGAGCAGAGCCGGCCTCGAACAGCACGATAGAAGCTAGCTTAACTGTCAGTTTTCGATCATTGGCTTGAGGCTGTCAAACCCCCAACAAACGGGTGGTTTGGGACAAAGGTCAGGAGGAGACTCACACAGGTACAAGGTTTTGAGTTCAAAGAGGCCGTAGGCATAACCCAGGGGTAGAATTATCGCGACAGAACCGAGAGGAAACCCGACACCGACCCAGGTTAGCTTTTCTATCTCTCCGAGTGACTTGACAATATTTGGCTGTACGTCTGCTGCTATAGTTGTGTCGAGTCCGTAGAGTAGCGCTGTCGTGTAGATCGAGAGACACGACACTACCCATTTCCACCCATGAATTGGCCGAACCTCGTGTACTTTATTATTTGCTTCAGGAGCATGCGGTTTGGGCATTGCCTCCAGGCCATGAGAGGATATCGTCTGGTTTTCCTGAACGGCCGTGAGTGTTGTCGAAGCGTCCTTTGACGGTGGGATAGAGTCGTGTGAGGCCATTTCGGCTGCTTTGGATTCCAATGGCATATTTGTTCAGGCAGTTTTCGTGGTGCTCTGGTTGTATGAGGTAGGCTGTACGAGGCTCGACCAGCCAATAATGACATGCTTGCGTAGGTACTTATAGCCGAAGTCTTTGATATTCTCGGATGGATCTTCTCGGACGGATTCTCGGATGGAGGACGCGGTCCATGGCAGGATTACTCAACTCTCATAATCTGCGGAAGAGTTAACAAATTTCCTCCGCGAGCAATGCCGCTTTGTACAAGTCCGCAGGGGGGAAAGATGGGACTCCTAAGGCAACGTTTACAATATCTCAACTCTCTCGCACACACCTCTCACCAGGGCAACTAAACGCTCTCCTCCTAATACACAGTAGTCTCCTGGAGCAGCGTTGCCTCATATTGTTGTCCCAAAAAGGCGAAACATCCTGTCATAGTCCGACTCATCGTGCACGGGGTTCTTGACACCTCGGACAGGCACACCATACTCTTTGATGAGACATTCGAATGGTTTGGCTTTTGGCCTGAGCGTCGACATAATCGAGGTGCCATCTTCTTCTTTCCTCTCCTGCAGATCTCCCCATAGATGGAAGAGCTTCTCTTTCAGCGTGGCGAGCTGTTGGGTGTTTTCTTTATCGCGCAAATTGCAGGCAGTCATATTCAGCAAAAAGTCGCCGTCAGTCGCGGCAACCAACACTTCCATTCGGCTGGGCTGTCCATTAATTCCTGCAGGCTGTCGAGCATCCTCAACTAACAGCACGAACCGCCACTCCCAGGCTAGCCTGTCTCCGGATAGCTGTGTCAGATCCATGCTAGAGAAGTCCTCCTCGTCCTCGTCATCCGACAAGAGGTCATAATCAGGATTCCGAGGGACAGCAAAGTCTGCGATATCATCGGGGTAGAAGTCCACCACACGCACATGTAGCTTGTATTTACAATTCTGAAAAGGGAGACGATAAGGCTTTCCCTGGAGAGATTTGCGAAGCAATATGTCTGGGTCGAGGATATCCGAAACGGACTTGCGAGGAACTTCGTACGCATTGCATCGGACGTTGGTGTTTAGCGCCCTAGCGCTTTTTTTTTCGGTCTGTAGCGTCAGAGCCTCATCATTGCTAGTCTCGGTTCTAGCCTTGTTCTTTTTCCGGTTTCGATTCTTCGTCTTCTTGTTCTTTTGAGCTCCCTCCGGCTCATTCACTTCTTCCGCCTTTCTCTTTTTTGCGATCTCAAGAGGAGACCAGTAGAACGGTTTCCCTTCAGCTTTTGCTTGTTGAGCATATTGATGCTTTCGCGAGATGAGGGCTTTCATCTGATGATCTTCTTTCGTTGGCTGGACCACTGTTATATTGACCCGTTCAGAGTTGTGCTGTTCGGTATGACAAACTCCTTCGAGTTTGGATTGGTTCTTGTCCATTTTTATATGAACATTACGAAGAAATACTAGAGAACCCGGCTTGATTTCCCTTCTGGCTACACCTGAATGAGGTGCCCAAAGTATGATGTCCATCGTCATTTGCCCCCAAGGCCCCGGCCACTGCTTCTCTGAGGAGTCTTTGATGTACCCATACTCGTCACCATCCAAGCCGGCCGTCTCCGTGCGATACTGTCGGTTGTAAAGAGCCTTGTGTGTAGTGTAGTCGGTCACTTGGAGGTGGGTTTCTTCGTAATTCTCGTTGAAGTGAAATTTGCGAACTTCTCCGAGGATATCAGCAAACTTGTGCGGGAAGACATCTTTGATCAAACGAAACTTCCCGGGAATATTCGAAATTTGGCCGCCGTCGTGCTCCACGTTAGTCTGGATTGGAGTGCCAGTTGTAGTAGGCAGATTACCCCAGCTCAGGGGATCTTCGCTTGCAGCAATGTACCTTGCATACTTGATCTCGGCCACATTTGGAGCAGTGTTTTGTGGGAATGGTATTCCGGTGCCACTTGTGGACCAGTGAGCTTTCGTCTTAACATCTTCCGGAGTGACTATGTCTCGGACTTGCCCAAAAGGAAGAACGAGCCAAATGCTCGAGGCGTTTGAAACCCCAAGGCCCGCCCCTCCGGTTTTGATAGTCTTGATGTTACGCAGTATAACAACGTCACCCTGATGCTGGATCTTAGGCAGTTTGGCTAAAGTCTTGTTGAAGAAACGGAACTTCATTCCATTCCTGTCTGTCCACCAAGGATCATGTAATGTGAAAGTTAGCATGTAGTCGCCTGTCCTTGTCTGCGTGGGAGCGAAGAAGTCGATACAGACACCAACGACATTGTATGTTTGATCGGTGCCTAACTTGTTTAAGGCCTCGGTCAAGGAAATGAAATGTGGAGGGATTGGCACGGGCTCTACCTCCATCTTTGTGTCTGACGCTGTCGCCGTCGTACAGTTCCCTGCGTCAAGTCGCTCCGACGCTCGCGTAGTTGCAACATAGGCGGATAGAGTTGTATATCCTGCAAGAGTATAGATGGGGCTAGAGGCGATCGAGACGTACTTTCAGGGAAGAGTCTGGCTGTCTCCGTTCGAAGAGACGAGATGATGGAAGCCTGATGAATTGACGCGAGGAGTCGTCCCACCACGACGCGACGGCCGGGGAACGCGGTGTCACGTGCCCGCTAGCAGCCGCCAAGGCCGGTCTAGTGGAATCTGAATATGAGCAAGTGGCATGTCCCAAAAACAGCCACTGCGTGCGTCTTTGCGTTGTGACTTGCATCTTCAAGTAATTTGCCCACTACCCGCACTGGGCGCATTCTCATCACTGTCATTCTCCATACAAACAAATTCTGTCGACTTTCTATTTGTTTGTCCTTATCCGCAACGCTCGAGGCAAACTTGTATTTAACAAGGCTGTGAACCGCCAACCGATCTTGTGCCTATCCCTGAGACGTCATTCATCATGGCCGAACGCTACATTCCCGAACATCGCCGCACCCAGTTCAAGGCAAAGGGTAGTTTCAAGCCTGACGAACTTCGACGACGACGTGAGGAGCAGCAGGTTGAAATCCGTCGTCAGAAGAGAGAGGAAAACTTGGCTAAGCGAAGAGGCGTCCAACGTGGAAATGGAGAAATCGGCATCGGCGGGCTCGCTGATCAAGACAGTGATGACGAGGCTGGCAACATTGAGAGTGAGGTATGATTTGCAATCAACATCGTGCCTATCCGTGCTAAAACCATAATCCGCAGCTGAGCACAGAACTGCCTGAAATGGTACGGGGAGTCTTCTCCGACCAGATCGATCTTCAAATCCAAGCGACCACAAAATTTCGGAAACTCCTGTCTAAAGAACGAAACCCTCCCATCGAAAAGGTCATTGAAACCGGGGTCGTCAGTCGATTTGTCGAATTCCTCCGCTCTCCTCATACCCTCGTGCAATTCGAAGCCGCGTGGGCCCTGACCAACATTGCCTCTGGCTCTGCGGCCCAGACTCAGGTCGTGATAGAAGCGGGGGCCGTACCAATCTTTGTTGAACTTTTAAGCAGCCCTGAGCCAGATGTTCGGGAACAGGCGGTGTGGGCGCTCGGCAACATCGCTGGTGACAGCCCTGCGTGCCGCGACTATGTTCTTAGCCAGGGTGCCCTTAAGCCTCTGCTCAACCTCATCGCCGATGGCCGCAAATTGAGCATGCTCCGAAATGCCACATGGACTTTGAGCAACTTTTGTCGTGGCAAGACGCCCCAACCCGACTGGAATACTGTATGTTCTTGAACATTGCTTTCGAGGTATTTTTCACTGACTCTGTCACAGATTCAGCCCGCGCTTCCCGTTTTGTCCAAGCTTGTTTACATGCTTGACGACGAAGTCCTCATTGATGCTTGCTGGGCTATTTCCTACCTTTCTGATGGTTCCAACGACAAAATCCAGGCCGTCATCGAAGCCGGTATTCCCCGAAGACTTGTCGAACTCCTCATGCATGCCTCGACCTCGGTCCAAACACCAGCACTTCGATCTGTTGGTAACATTGTCACTGGTGACGATGTACAGACACAAGTCATAATCAACTGCGGTGCTCTCCCTGCGCTTCTGTCACTATTGAGCTCGCAAAAAGATGGTATCCGCAAGGAGGCTTGCTGGACAATCTCGAACATCACAGCAGGAAATTCCACCCAGATTCAATCCGTCATTGATGCCGGTATCATTCCTCCTCTAATCCACCTGCTCTCCAATGGAGACTTCAAGACTCGAAAGGAGGCTTGCTGGGCCATCTCCAATGCAACATCGGGAGGTCTGCAGAAGCCGGAGCAGATTAGATACCTGGTTACACAAGGCTGCATCAAGCCCCTCTGTGACTTACTTGCTTGTCCGGATAATAAGATCATCCAGGTCGCTCTGGACGGGCTGGAGAACATCCTCAAGGTCGGAGAAATGGACAAGGAATCCGCAGACCAGAGAGCCCCCGAAGCACAAGTCAACCGATATGCATTGTTCATCGAAGAGGCCGGCGGGATGGAGAAGATCCACGATTGCCAAAACAATGCCAACGAAGAAATCTACATGAAGGCTTACAATATCATAGAACGATATTTCTCAGACGAAGAGGATGCCGGCGCTGATATTGAAGAACTTGCTCCTCAGGCCAACGCCTCGGGTTTCACGCTTAGCTCTAACCAGCCTCAAGGCCAATTCAACTTCGCCAACGGCAATGAAGCGATGGACATGTAAACGACAACTTGCTTCAGGCATTTGAAGTTCTCAGACTCCGGATAATCTCGAAAAATCCGTTTCCCCAGCAAGAGCTTTTTGTCCTCTTGTGACAATATGTTCAAACCTCTCCCCCAATCTCGGATCAACCCTTCGAACCCTCTAGCACCCATCGGTACCACGACCAGCTGGAACGTGACGACGAAGTTTGCGTCAGATTGACCATCCGCTTTAACGTTTCCAACCCTTTCGGACACCAGGCTCCCCCGTTCCTTGACATTCGGTACGATTGCAAAATTCATTCACGGCCACAGATGCACCATCATGTATACCCCTTCAAGACACTCGATCTAGCACCCGGCACCCTGACACAGCATGCGATAGAACGCCGTTTCACCCTGGCGCAAGTTTCCCCCGGCTTTTTATGCTCAGTATGGAGACAAAGGAGGGAAGGAACGAAGAGCAGAAGAGAATGGATAATCTACAGAAGGAGATTAGTTCAATGAACAAGGCTTTTCCTTTTACTCTTTTGCCAGCAACGATACGAGGTGCCTTCCCGTATCATTACGCCGAATTTTCTAGTCCCAATGAAAGCGAAGTAAAAAAAAATGAACAGGCCACATACCTCCCCTCTTGCATCGTGAATACCTTGTCTTAAGGAGTCTCCTCCTCTTCGTCCTCCTCCTTCATCTTGTCCCTCTCGTGTCTCATGATCTTGCGAGCGGAGTGTTTCTGCACGTCGCTCTTTTGACCCCGAGTTTGGTTAAGTTGTGTTCTGTGCCGCCTTTTCTCCAAGAAACATGGGTCTGATTTCTAGACGAGAACCGCGGACCAGTGTCAGGGTCAGGGTTCGGGTCGGCACTTGGGGCCCTCATCTATCTGACCTGGCCACATGAGGAGAGAGTCTTGGACTTTGGTAGGTCTGGCTGAGGTCAAGGGGACTGATTGTCCACGCGAGCGGAAGTAGCATGGCCTCTGCTCTAACTTCCTGTCATCCGAGATACGCCGAATGACTAGGTAGGTAGATAGGTCTGTCTACCTCGTGTGCCTGGGGTATGTTGGGCACATTATCTTATTTTTATCGAGGTATCTCGGATACATTATCTACTGCCTTATCTACCTCTGATATACGGAGTATGTCTATCTTCACTTATCTTCAGTGTATTGTCTATCTCACCTAGCCCAGATACATCATCTACCAAAGTTAGTTATTTATCTCCCAGGTTAGTCACTTATCTCAGATAGAGTAGAATCTCAGGTACGTTACCTCAGGTACTTCACCTGCCTCGGGCACGTTGCCTACCTGATGTAAGCCCAGAGACTCGTAGGTGCGAGTACCTAGGCAAGGTACCCAAGGTAACCAGGAACCTCGTACTCGTATTCGTACTCGTACGGAAATCCTACCCTACCCTTACCTACGAGGTCCCGAAAGGTGAAATGGGGATCCCGGATGACGACGATGACGGTAATGATGACAATGCTATGAGGTATGGGAACGAGGAGGAGACTCTTGGTCTCTCTTGGTTCCTCCCTCCGCAGCTCGCTCTCCTCTACCCGTGTCTCCGCACGCATGCGAGGAGGAGCACAGGCGAAGAGGAGGAGGTGAGGTAGGATTTTCTCTGGTTTAGGTATGAGTTCTGACGGCAGTTGATGGAATGGCATTCGTTGCACGAGTAGCTGGTGAGGAGACGTTACCCCGGAGTGACCAGGATGAGTTTATGCATGGGAACCTGCATTCATGGCGAGCATTTACTTATACTGACTTGACCCGGTACAGTCATCTCAAAGACTCTCTTACCTTGTTTTACTTCCGTCGTGGTATATAGTACATGTTTACTGTACTCTTGCTTACCTGAACCTGAACCTACTCACCTCTCGACTGCCCGTCCCTCCTGTAGCTAGCACGTTGCTTTGCACATAACCAAAGAACCAACCCTCTCGGAGCCCGCGGCACCTCCAACAACTCTTGTCATCGTCGATAGGATCGAGTAAAAGGTTTCCGGCCGTTAAAACCAACCATGTCGTCCACGCAGACTATGAAAGCGGTCAACTACCAGGGACCGTTCAGCGTCAAGGTCGAGGATGTGCCCAAGGCGAAGATCGAGCATCCCGATGATGTCGTTGTCAAGATTACAACCACCGCAATCTGCGGGTCGGACTTGCACATGTACGAAGGACGCACTAGTGCCAAGCCCGGTATCACTTTCGGTATGTTTTCATGCTCGTGGACCGCAAAGACCTCTCGAAGTCGGCGCTGATGGACAAAAGGTCACGAGAACATGGGCATCGTCGAGGAAGTTGGCCCCGGCGTGACGACGCTGCATAAGGGAGACAGGGTTGTATTGCCGTTCAACGTCGCCGACGGACGCTGCCGCAATTGCGAAGAAGGCAAGACCGGCTTCTGCGAGGGAGTCAACCCGGGCTTCAGTGGCGGCGCGTACGGATACGTGGCCATGGGTCCTTATCGAGGTACGTTCTGACCTCACTCACTGACGTACTTCCTGTTCATTCGAGATCGACGCCGTTGCTGATTGGGATACGGGGACGGCAGGTGGCCAAGCTCAATATCTCCGCGTCCCATTCGCAGATTTCAATGCCTTGAAGCTCCCACCAGGCAAGGAGCACGAGAGCGATTTCATCCTCGTGGCAGATGTATTCCCGACGGGCTGGCATGGAGTCACTATCAGCGGGTTCAAGCCAGGCGAGACCATTGCCGTATGGGGCGCGGGCCCCGTTGGGCTCATGGCGGCGTATTCTGCTGTTCTTCGTGGGGCGAGTAAAGTGTTCTCCGTGGACCGGGTACCAGAGCGCCTCGCCGCCGCGAAGAAGATCGGATGCATCCCGATTGACTTCAGCAAGGGCGACGCAGCCGACCAGATTATTGAGCAAAATGGTGGCATGGTCGATCGGACGGTGGACGCCGTTGGGTATCAGGCTATCGACACCGGGGGAAAGGAACGACCCAACATCGTTTTGGAGGACATGATCAAGGCTACAAGACCGTGTGGCGGATTGGGTATTCCTGGTAGGTTTGACATCTGAGATGGGCTGCGCAGCATGAGCCTAACGAGACCATAGGCTTGTATGTGCCTACCGATCCTGGTGCGCCGGATGAGGCAAGCGGCAAAGGCATGCTTAGTTTGAGCTTCGGCAAGCTGTTTGAAAAGGTACGTTATGGATTCATCAACGCAGAGGACAAGGTGAGGCTGACAAGACGACAGGGCCTTTCCCTGGCCACAGGCCAGTGCAATGTCAAGCAGTACAACCGGTATTTGAGGGACCTCATTATTTCGGGTAAGGCGAAGCCTTCGTTTGTGGTCAGCCATGAAATTGGAATCGAGGATGCCGAGACAGCATATGAGAAGTTCGACAAGAGGATTGACGGATACACGAAGGTGTTGATCCACCCTAACGGACCATTGTGAAATGATTTAGGAGCTGGATGTGGATGTGGATGTGGAGGAAAGCCGGGTCCCTTCAGACTGGTAATTGCTGATTCGAGGCATCAAATGACTGTCAGTAGCTCGTCCTCCCAAACTCATCTCAGATTCTTTGTCCAACCTTTTGCTTAGTAGCACTAGTTTATCTGAGGTAGATGAACACACGCAGCCAACGTGCCCACCTGTCACTAGCGGCTTACTGCAGTTGGTGAACAGTTGGACTTGCGTAGGAGATGGGGATAGTGCAGTGTATTCGAGGATGCTGCAAGGAAGTTGGAAAATTGAGCGAAAATTGCTTTATCCAGGTGTGTCGTTGCGTGCTCTTCCTATAATATTAGCTCATTGGGTCTAACTTCACACTACGGCCGACGTCTGATATTGTGTCGTGTCTTCCCAACGCCCAAACAACCCCGATGTTGTGAATATGGCGAAATTCTCCTTTTTCATTCCCGTTTGGCGACCTCGGCGTGGACGCGGCAAGTCGGGCTTCTTGAGTCTCGCAATCGCGAAAGAACGCGGTGTAAACATCATCGGCATGAGGCAAATTGCTCCGCAACCGAGATGCGCTTGCTAGCGGAGGGTACAATTGCAGTGTGTCATCACATTTCACCGTGGTGGATCCCCGTCTGTGTAGATATTGTAGAGGTCATCAGGTCTCGATCATGCATGCGTGATGAAGATCTCAGTGGAAGATCTTGTCCCATATCATACCTATTCGAGGCCCTTAAGTAAGCACGAGTATTCCGTCTCAGCTCCCATTCGTCCCTGAATTCTTCCAGGCACGTCGAGAAGCCAAGAGATCATCGAGCAGCCCAACATCTCCAACAATTGCTCTTGACCAGCCAATGAGATACACGTGTAAGGAGGAATCGAAGCGATTCGCAGGAACAAGCTTCTGCGACTTTGAAGCTTGAAGGCTTCAGCATCGATGTGTGTCCTAGAGTCCAGAATTGGGTTGCGACGAAGCGCCACATCGATGGTTTCGAGCTCAAGCCCAGCAAAAGCTTGTGGTCATGCGCTGCAAAGGGTCTCTTTTATTAGTCTACCCAAGGACGAATTGTTGGAGACGGAGCATCCACGGGCGCAGAGTCAAAGCTCTCACAGAACACCGGAATTGCCCGTGCATTCGACACTATTTTGCCAGACTTTGAGGGCTAGACTTTAGGGCGACGCAGAAGGCTCAGCTAGTTCCGAGATGGTCGGAGTAGCTCGACTATCTGGCTCGGTCAGCCGGTGCAGTCAAACACCTAACTTAGGATGGAACCTTCAGCCAGGTAGATGTGAAAAGATTCGGTGAGGATGATTCCATACGTCGCCCAGGAACGTGAAAAGCGTTGCGCGTCGCAGGCCAAAAAAAGATGCAAAGCGTTCGAAAGTTTTTGTCTTTGCTCCGTACGAGTCGATTGAGTTCGGTGGTTGTGGTCGTAACTCAAGGTTCTAGAGCGCGGAGAGGAACCTCGAGCCCTCCCAGCACTCGTTGCGATAATTTTCCAGGGCCCCGGTTGAACTATTCGGGTATGAATCCCTCCACTAGTCACCTAACAAGCCTTTGCCCATGCGACGTACGGAGTATACTGGCGAAAGTAAGCCATGGCGAGAACGCAATTCGCAGAAGCAGCAGGGGTGTTTGGTAAGAGACGCCCACATGTGGACGCTCCCTGGCAGACAGAGGACTGTCAGCCCAAGGCACTTTTAGTTAGGCAAAGCCATTCAGCGAGTGAGGGACGGAGAGTGTGATGAGAGTGTGGGTGGCATCATAAGCTATAACTATTGTACAAGTTTGACTGAGAACCCCCCGTGGCAGAAATACATAAGGTGTTGTGCCAGGCAATCATTCCTCTACAGGGTCAATAGTGGCCAAATGGTCAGAAGCATCCCGACGCACACACATTGTCCTTGACCTGGCCGTACGGTACAGTGTACGACAGCCTATTCATAGCTGTTCACCTACGACCGTCACCGCCACCGCCATCCTCTCCTCAGTTCTACCGCCGACATCGCATACACAACACAAGTACCATTACCAAGACGAGGAACAGAACCCACGATACCCTGCCGCTGGGCGATCCGACCACTGGCCTGGGCAGTCCTAATCGATAGAAACTATACGACTAGGTTAGCCTATCGCCCTCGCATTATCAATCCAGGGCCACCCAGGGCCTCGGCTGCACGATCTGGCCAGTGGCACCATTCCCGTCGATTCACGCCATTCAGCCCACGCCCTCCTTGTCCCACCCCTGCCTAGATCCTTAAGTAATCGAAGACACCCCTCCCAATCGCCGTCTGCTGGACGCTCTTTTCAGCCTGGGGGCGCACCTGACAATGCCTCAATTTTCTCCCGCAGGCTGTCGGGCGTTTCACGGTGCGCAGAGCACACTTCTGCATCACGAGCCATCGACCGAGGGAGAGCGTGTTCCTTTCTTAACGCAGGATCAGCCTTTCATCGCCGGGTCAGACCTGGAAAATGGAGCATCTCCAGACCCATCTGCCGTTGGATCCGACAATACCGACAAGTCTCCAGTAATCACCGTCACTTCTCTTCCTGCATTTTACACCGCCGACGACCACATTAGCAGCCCGGTTCCTCCTAGATGGCGGTGGACAGGAAGAATACCTTTATTAAGTGCGTGTGTTGGCCGGGGTTACTTTGCCAGATCTCAGGCTCCTCTCAGTGAGAAGCCTTCACCAAGAAAGCCGTTGAAAATAGTCTTGCGTTTGCTGGCCTACGCACTCATGTTACTGTAAGCAATCTCCTGCCCCTGCGCGCAAGCTGCCATTCTGATCCAAGTTTACAGTGGTTTGGTGGAATTCATCACGCTAGCTTGTGGCGTTTTCTTTTCGTTCTTTCCCTCCGAAGGTTTGGACAACCATGGTAAATTGGAGTCAAGCATCGATGTTTCGCCTGCACTGCTTCAGTGGCCTACCGACTTCTCGGCAGACGTCCATGCGGTTGCCTGCCACTCACACAATGACTACTGGCGAAAGGAGCCTCTCTTCTCAGCCCTGAGGGCTGGGTGCACTGGCGTCGAGGCTGATGTCTGGCTCTACAATGAGGAACTATATGTAGGACACACCACTGCCTCTCTGACCCCCCAGCGAACTCTGCGCAGCCTCTACATTGATCCATTGGTGAGGATCTTGGATCAACAGAACCCCACTACTTCTTTTCATCCTTCAGCAGACACTCCTCGAGGAGGGGTGTTTGACACGAATCCTGCACAGACTCTTGTCCTCCTCATCGACTTCAAGAACGACGGAAAGGCAACGTGGCCGTATGTCTATGAACAGCTCGCTCCTCTCCGACAAAAGGGCTATCTCACTCATTTCAACGGCACCAAGACCATAGAAGGACCCATAACTGTCGTGGTTACTGGAAACGCACCCTACATGAATGTAGTCGCAAGCCCAGACTATCGAGATATGTTTTTCGACGCACCATTGGACATTTTCGAGCAGCTCGACCCAGGCACTCCGGCGATAAAACACCCACGTTTAACTGCCGAAGACCTTCAGTCCCCGACTAAACGTGACACCCCTGATCAGGGCCAAGGCCGATCAGGCGCTGCCCCAGAGAACGCTGCCATTTACGCCCCTGCAAACTCGTACTATGCCTCCGTGTCCTTCCAGAACAGTATTGGCTACCCATGGCAAGGCAAGCTATCCTCGAAACAAATCAACAAAATTCGCAAGCAGATCGCAGGTGCACACAATCGAGGCCTGAAAGTAAGGTATTGGGGCGTACCAAACTGGCCTAGGGGGATGAGAAACTACCTGTGGCGGGTTCTTTATCAAGAGGGGATTGATTATCTGAATGTCGATGACCTGCGTGCCGCCACTCAAGGCAACTGGAACTGGGACAAAAAGCCGTCCTGGTTCAGCGGACCCTGGAGGTTCTGGTCAAGCTAGGACCATCCATTCAGTTGAAAAGCTTTTTACGCAGGGAATTGACGTTATGATTTGCAATGATATACACAAAGCGACGTTGTTTTACGAGAGATCTAAACGGAGTCTGGATGAGCACTCTGGCTGAGAGAAATGAAGAAATACCTGCATCGAAGAGAAAGACCTGCAGAAATTCTTGGTTACGCAGTATTGGCATAAAGCAAGGCGTTCAGACGCATACATACGGAATATTGATACCCTCAGGCTTCACCTCGGAGCCTCAATACGACGAAACATGTCTCTCTGATGCTCATCCTTATCTCACTGTTACTACCTTGCTCTTTTTCTCCATGAAGCTCGTAGAGGTGAATTGGCCGAGGAGTGATTGCCTCGCCAGTGACTACAGATACCTGTAACCTGGAGCAGCTTGCCTTGGGCATTGGCGGCGAGGCTGAAGTCCAGCCTTGCACGAATGCCAAGACAAAGGCGGTGACTGCCTCGCGACGGGCAGCGAGGGCTTCTATAAATCGTCCCATCCTCGTCCCAACTCTTTCTCCTCTCTCGAGTTTCGGCCACAAAGTGCCGGCCCTCCCACCTTGCAGGGTATGACTGCAGGGTGTTCTTGTGGGATCATGAGTCCTACAAGATTAGCAAGAGGTCAAAGTGAGGTTCGTCGACGGAATAGCTTCGATCTTACCAACGCCTCAACCAGTCAACTTCTTCGGCACGTAAGTTGAGGATGATACTTTCACTTTGATCGTTGTCGCGCATAACTGATACAGCGTCAGGGACGGAACAATCCAACTCGCATCCGGAGACAAGTACCTATAGCGTCACAGTACAGTTCAGCAGTGGGAAGCTCACACTGAACGATATTGGCCGCTACGAACAGGCAGGCAAATGCCCCGTGGCTCGAACCACACGCGTCACAAATTCACATTGCAGCGGTGTCTTGCCGGTAGCCCAGCACAAGGTAGCCGAAGCACAAACCGCATTTCACCAGCTTTCTGGTGTTGTGAGTTTTTCCAGCTGGCTCCCGTACTCTCGTCACTAACACGTCAATTAGAAACTGCATGCATCACGGAAGATTCCCAGCAGGGTCTCCTCCCCGAAACGAGAACCCAAGGACTCAACATAGACGACCTTGTCGACCTCCAGTGGCACGATATGACGTGTTCATTCGATTAAGAGGATTCAACATGGTCACCAGGACATCCCACTGCGGACATGGCAGGGGAGTTTTCAGCTCGGAGGCACCCCCCTTCGAAAGCTTTTCAGCACTGAAGCAACTGAACATGCACCTTCTTCAGTCCTACGATTACATATCCATCCTATGAGGAGGATATGAAAGTGGCCAGAGAGCCATGCCTTTTAGGCGCTCAGACCTAGCGTCCACCTTGAAGCCAACTTCACACCGACTCTGTGAGCAGGGCAGGAACAACTCTGCGGGATGGTGAAGGAAGACACAAACTTCAGGTGTTTCCAACCCCCAGTAGTTCTGCAGATCTACCTGGGGATCCAGGATTGGCAGTCGGAAGGATTTCCGACTGCCTTCCCTGGGGGGCGGTCGATGGCGGGATCTGCATACACTCACTGATTCAACAGTGTTTGTATTGGAACTACTTAAGGACAATTGTTGCAGTCGAATCTTCCATTCGCTCTTCGGGATGTCTTGGAAGGACCCTGCAACATGAAAGGAAAGCCGAAACCAAACTCGTGATCCCCGCCTAGGCTGCCATGTACAATTAGGAGGAGATTTGAGATGAAGACAGATACAATGCGGTTTCTAGACTTGTACAAGTCTCTCAAAAGCCAAGTAATACCCGCGTATCAATTAGAAAATGACAATGCCAATGAAAATCAACACCGACTGAAGCCGAGCTTACATAAGTTCTCAAATGATTCTCTCGTCCCTTGGTTAGAAGAGCTTAGGCAGAAGTAATATCAAATCTATAGGCCGGTCTCCCCTGCTCAGGGGTTTTTTTTCATCTTTGATGAATCGCTTCACCAATTTCTTCGTCTATGTTATATTGTACGCATTCCTGAAATGGCTCACCCCAAAAACCTTATAGTCACATCAGGATCTCATAACCATAAGGTTCCATTGACGAAAATAACTAGCTCAAAAGAGACTATGTACAAAAATCCAAGGGAGAGAGTGGTGTCAGAATCACCCCGTCAGGCTGGGTTTGAGACAGAGACAAGAGTCATGAACGTCGGTCTCTTCACTCCTTCTTGGTCGTATCGCTAGTGGTAATGATGGCCTCCTTCTTCTCAAGGTCGATCTGTTCCTCCTCCGTTTGCGCGATGGAGTCAATCATGCACGGCACCAGGGACTCCTTCGCGGGCCACAGCAGACTGAGCACGGCGTAGACCCCGAACGAGACGAAGAAGCCGTAGTACCAGTTGAACTGGGCGATGTAGATCGCACCGCCGATGGAGATGTCGGAGTTGACCGTGTTGGCCAATCCGGGGAGGCAGGGCACGATCGAGGCCAGCAGAGCAAGGAGCGCGCGCCAGTTGACGCCCCAGTGATAACGGTAGCGTCCGTGGGGTTCGTAAAGGGCCGGAAGATCCAGGTGTTGTCTCTTGACGACGTAGAAGTCGGAAATGAGAAGACCCTATTTTGAAATCGGGCAACGGTCAGCAGATGTAACGCCTTTCTCGCTCCCTCTTCTGAAGGGGGGAATTGGGAGTTTTAGGCCTTGGGTAATTAAAAGGGAGGTGAACGAACCATAGTTGGAGCCAAAAAGACTCCCAACCCGTTCATGAACGAAAGTAGGGAGCTGGCGCTGTGTAGAATCTTCCATGGTACCATGGCCCACCCTCCGAGAATGGTAATAACAATACAGCTTCTTCTTATATTTAAAAATTTCGGAAAAAGGTTTGAAAGGTCATTAGCACCAGAGACAACAGTTGCTGACAAGTTCACCGTTATCTGAGCCAGTGCCCAAGATAATCCTGCGAAGAATGCTGCTGCTCGGCCTGCCGCGCCATCCCATGAATCGATGATAACAATGGGGTCCCAGATTGTCTCATTAAAGATCCCGTAGGAGTAAGAGGCCACCACGACACCAATGATAGCAATCCAGGAGCAGATAATCGGGAACATGAACGCTTGTGTGTATGCGGATTTCGGTTTGCGTAGGTATCGAGTGAAGTCTGGGCTGTAGGTAGATAAAAAAAGGAGTCGTCAGTCATATCCCCTGATTATATCGTACTCGGTGATGAGTAGTGAGGGAGAGGTACTCACATGTTCACTCCCACTGTAGACCAAGACGCCGTGCAGCTGTTCAAGCTCCACATGATGAGCCAGGATTTGGTGGACCCGGAGACGGTGGCCTTTTGATCCCAGATCTGTCCACTGCCGCCGCCCTTTGTGCAAGTCCATATCGTCATGCCGAGAATCGTACCTAGACACATGACCACCTTCACGGTGAAGAGCCATTTCATTTTGTGTGGTGGGATGAGGAGGATCGGAAACTGGATCGTCCAAAAGAGAAAGTACGCGATCATTTGCTGCGTCGTTATGCCCGCCGATTCAGGGATGTGGTTCTTTATGTGCCGAAAACTCGGCCAGATAGCCCTGATGACCTGAGTCATGGCTCCAACTGCGAGGAAGTTCGTGATCGAGTGCCAGAACAGCGCCGTGATGAGCCGCACAACAACAGGAAACTTTGCAAGGTGGTAGCCGAATGATGCGCGTGCAATGATAGGAAACGGTGCATGAGTTTTGGCCCCGGAGTATCCGTTCAAGGTCATCGGTACGCCCATGACGAAGGAGCCAAAGATGATGGCGAAGAAAGCTTCACGCCTGTTTGAGAGCGGTCTGGGTGTTAGCCTTTGACACCAACACGACACCACACCCTGAGCATGATCGAGAGACCATCCCAATCCTGGCTTTGCCATTTTGCTGCTGGTCTTCACACATCCACCACCAATTTTGGTCACGTGATACGGTATTGGTCACGTGACAGCATCTTGAAGCACTGAGAATGGGAGAATAGGAAACATACCAAGTCAATCCGACTGCTAGAATCGTACTACCCGTTTCCCATGATTGGATAGAGATGACATCGCTGAACCAGTAGCCGAATATAGTCCAGCTGGTCCATGTTCGACGTGCAACAGGGGTGATGTCCAGATCGATATTCGACCACGTGCCGGCGGGAGCCCAACTGGACTCCTGTTTCTCCAGGACCCAGCCATTGACATGGCTCTTCTTCTTCACCTCCTCCTTGATCTTGGACAACCTCAAGGACATGATGCTATACCTTCTTGTGTGCGAAAAGGGGGTCAGTCAACTTTCGCGTCTGCGGCAGGACCAGGCTCGTCGTGTTGGCGCCTGGAGAACGAACCGTGAATTCTGGCGACGATAGCCATCTTGATATGTCCCATCGTAGTGAGACCAGGCCAAGAGTGTAGACGGAGCTACTCGAATGCTGAATTAGGCTCGGAGATACTCGAGCGGTGGACTACGCGGACGATAGACATCCGTGTCAAGCAGCCATTCCCGATATAGGACCCTATCAGTGCCGATAAATTTTCGACCGATAACGAGGAGAGATAACTTGATAACTCGGTATCAACAGATATAATAGAAGGGAAGTTCAAGGTTGAGCATCGACAAGTGGAGGCGTTCTATTCGCTAGAGATAAGAGAATCCGAGCATCGGCCAAGTATTATAAGTATCTGCTGGTGTTATCGTTCCCGCACTTTTAGAGCCCAGAGAGCGCACGCTGGACATATGGTATCTGTTCGGTTCCTTGATTTTAGTCTTTCGCGTGGTCGAGGCTTGCAATATCGGGGTCATCCATCTGGAGAGCGTTTACTCCAGACAGTATCTTTGATATCGTCGTTGCGGAGACCTCCGCTGGACCCACTGCGCCGAGAAGCGACGAAGTCTGTCTGGGTCCAGAACAACAAAGATGCAGGCCCTTTAACTAGACGAGGCCGCTGAGTAGACTGGCCCAGCCCTCACTTGGTTCATGACAGAGCCCACCGGTCGCATAAAGTTGCGCTCATCAGCGACTAGTTCATTGTCTGCACTTTGAAGAACACACGCTGGCGGAAATGGGGTCCTTACCTGAGGTCCAAGCCATAGAGATACCCATCATAGACATCTCGGGCTACTACACCAGAGACAAAACCCAGATAGCTCGGGTCGCCAACGAGCTGCGGTCGGCGTGCCAGTCGCCCGGTTTCTTACAAGTCATCGGGCATCCGGTGTCGGCTGAATTGAGAGCGCAACTACTCGCAAAGCTTGCTGAGTTTTTCGCTTTACCGGCAGCCACCAAGAATGCACTGCATAGAAGTCGGTCCAAATGTCTTCGCGGCTACGAAAGTGTAGGCGAGCAGAAACTGGAGTCTACCTTTTCCGACCAAAAAGAGGGATTCATGATAGGACCCGAGATCCCAGAGAATGCTCGTTTCCTTCAAGGCCCAAACCAGTGGCCGTCCGAAGATGACCTGCCGGGCTTCCGGGCGGTTTTTTGGGAGTATTTCGAGGAGGTGCTCCAGCTCAGCAAGACCATGTTCCGCTTGATGGCACTTAGCCTGGACCTAGATGAGGAGTACTTTGACGCATTCGTGGGTAGCAGAGATTGTGGGCAAGCCCTCCCCCTGAACTCGACGTCATATAACTGACCATCTCGGTGGCACAGCAATCTCAATGTGTCGAGCTCACCGCTATCCCCCAACGACCCCTGAAAGGGCTCAAGCAACGAGAGGGATCGGTGCGCACACCGACTTTGGCGCTCTGACGCTACTGTTGCAAGATGACAGTAGGTAGTATGCGACAAGGGGTGAAGCTAGCTTGCTGACATTCGTAGTCGGCGGCCTTGAAGTGTTCCACAAGCCAACACAAACATGGCATACAGTGAGACCTGTGAAGGACGCCTTTGTGGTCAACATAGGAGATATGATGGGTGGGTGAGTTCCACCATTTGCATTGAGCACTGTTTGACCTGAAGAGCAGAACGATGGACCAACAACAATTACACATCCACATTACACCGGGTCATCTCTCCAGTGTCGACCAAGGACAGATATTCCGTAGCCTTCTTCAACGAAGGCTTACTCGATCAGGTTATTGAGTGTATTCCGACTTGCCTCAAACCGGGCGAAAAGCCGTTATTCGAGCCTATCAGAGCTGAGGATCACCTTATTCAACGGTATTCAGGAAGTTATTGATCCAATATGAGCATGGCGTGAAGAAGTCATCCGAAGAGCTTGAAGTGTGTTGTTCGCTCTCAGGGGTTCTGTTCAATGTCTAAAAAGCCAAAGGGGTAGTTAAAAGTCAAAACACGTGATGTTACCGGGACACCTCCATTTCTTCTGAGCTCTCACCCTGCTAGAATAGGCACCTAAGGCCTATAAGCCACCCCTAACACCACCTAAACGTTTAAGACAAACGCCGCCTCGACACTGCATGCGCTTGGTCTGGGTACTTGTGAGACTTATCCGTCTCCTCATACAGTATACTCAGGGCTGACCTTCATATTGAAGGTGGTCATATGGTCCTGCAACTATCGCACGTCTCAAACCAGGTCGATAGTTCGCCAGGGGCGTATGGGCACTCTCTCAACAGCCTCCAGTGCACCAAATCTGGGAGACTCCAATCCGTCGCCATCTCATTGACGATTGGTCCCAAGGTTTCACTATAAGCATGCGAATTCTATTATTGGCAATCGTCCACTGCAAGCCCAGTTCTTTGAGTCTCTTGCCTTTTCCCCAGCTGCATGATAAGGTCAAATATGGAATGCTTGGTCCATTGTCTGGTTGTTCGCATACCCCGGCACACAATTTATCGTCGGTAGCTTTGGACAATACAACAATTCTCTTCGGGCGCACAGAAGAGAAAACACCCCTTTCGGAGCACTCTTTGTGCTCATTGTCACAAGTGTCGAGCCACTTCCTAGCCTGGTCAATTGTTGAGTTCGAGGCGGTTGAAACATCGCGCCAGTTACCCCAGAGTTCCCACTCTTTGGTCGCTTCCAGCGTAATAGGAGCATTTGTGATAGGCGCATTGCATACGCCTTGGTTGTTCAACACTCCGAGTGCCACTGCAGGATAGTTCTTAGTCGCATACATAATCACAAGAGACTGCTGGCCCACGGACAAATCTTCTGACGGCACTTCTAGAAGAGAGCATAGATGACAACCAAGAGAAGCAGCCCTGGATATTTCCATTCTATCAGTCTGATGGTGCCATCGCTCCATAGCATTATCTATCTTCTGAGGCCTTTTCACTCTCAGTCGCGTCGAATAGGTCAGTCTGATTCATGGTAGATAAACATACGTCACACAATTCATCAAGCGGGGGTTCATGGTCTGCGTCAAACGTGAAAGGATCCCTTGAAACGCGATCCAGAGCAATGGACATGATCAAGCTTTCATCGACAAGCTTCTTTAGCTGCACAAAGGCTCGGTGACATTGGAGTAGCCGGTCTGTAAGGGGTTGACCCCGAAGAAACTCTCATCAATAGCGGCAATTCATCCATGAAGAGGAAGGTCAGCACCAAAGTGGCAAAGTATTTCCCAAGTATGTTGTCTATTTTTGACCTTTGCAGTCGTATTCAGAAATCTACAATACTACGAGACCTAACCTTAGGAACATAGATCCCACTATCCTCAGATTCGTACTCCGTACTTCTGATTTAAAGACTAAACTATTCTTAGCGCTGCGTGTCAACGAGATCTCAGGCTTACATAATTTTACCATTCTCCCTCTGGCGGTGAGCGATCCGAATCACTTGATGTCTTCCAGGCCTCGCTTGTTCTAGACCGCAGCTGCGCCTCGTAGTCGATCTTCAGCCTGATTGAGCACACTTCAATGTGTGCTCTTCAGATTCTCTTGCGCAGCCGCCGCAATGGCTCGATGATAAGTGCCTGCACAAAATCGTTAATGAGTTCCATTGGTGGCGGGATCACAAATTCCTACCCTCATCGATGCTGGTATAACAAATCCTGGCTTCGACCCGATCCTGATTGCACGAGCTGATGTCCTCTCATCAATGTTCCTCAGGCGACCTCCCTCAACAGGTTTCCATTGCGACAATAGACTTTGCATGACACATATCTCAACAAGTGTTGTCTTATATTGAAACCTGTTCTGTATTTCTCTACAGAGCTCACCGCTTCTCAATCCTTCACAATGCACCTTCTGAAGTTTGATCCTGGTGGACTAAGTCTGACCAAAGACTTGATCGACAATGTTCCAGGTTACGCGATCCTCTCTCATACATGGGGAGCAGATGATGATGAAGTAACATTCAACGATTTGAAAGGCAAATCTTGCAAGAGCAAGGCGGGCTACAGAAAGATTCAGTTCTGTGCAGAGCAAGCTCAGAAAGACGGTCTAGAGTACTTCTGGGTGGATACATGCTGTATCGACAAAACAAATCTGGTTGAACTCTCAGAAGCTATCGTGTCTATGTTTCGGTGGTACGCCAACGCAGAAAGGTGTTACGTTTTCCTGTCCGATATTTCGGCTGGCAAACGGGACTACACGGGAAGCACTCGAGTCTGGGAATCGGCCTTCCGGAAAAGCAGATGGTTTACGCGGGGCTGGACACTGCAAGAACTTTTGGCTCCTAGACGAGTCGAATTTTATTCTCGGGAAGGAGTGTACCTGGGCGACAAAGCTACGTTGGAGCAGGTCATCCACGAAGTCACAGGAATCCCTGGAGCAGCTCTCCGTCAGAACTCTCTGGCAGATTTTAGTCCCGAGGAGCGGATGCGATGGTCATTTCGACGCGAGACTAAACGGGTAGAAGATAAGGCATACTGCCTTCTGGGGATTTTCAACGTGTCCATGCCTCCTGTTTACGGTGAAGGAGATAGAGCTTTTGACCGGCTGAAGGACGCCATCGCTAGAGACATTCGGAGACAACTGGAGGGCATCGGGCAGAGCTTTGTCGCCTCGAACTCTAGTAACCTTGTTGTACGCGGCTATGAATCAACTTCGACGCCTGCGGAAGAAGCAGCGCTGCTGGATCGTCGAAAGACGATGCTGGCTTCCCTGGGCTTTGAGCAAATGGATTCGCGGCGGTCTACGATCAAAACGGCCTATTCGTCAACGTGCAAATGGTTGTTGAAGCACCGTGCTTACCTGGATTGGATTGATCCTGAGCAAATATACCAGCACCGTGGATGTTTATGGATCAATGGGAAGCCTGGCGCGGGAAAATCGACCTTGGTGAAGTTCGCTCTCGCGTGTGCTGAGAGAGCAAGGCGGGAGAATGAGATTCTTCTCTCCTTCTTCTTCAACGCCAGAGGGGACGAACTCGAAAAGTCAACTGTGGGCATGTATCGAGCTCTCCTATTCCAGCTCCTGACCAAAATGACAGACACGGAGCTACAGGGCTTGGATGATGTGGGCAACTTAACGGATCAACGCGGATCGCCGTTGTGGACAGTCGAAACGCTGTGTAGACTTTTGTCCGCGGCTGTCACACGGCTTGGGCACCGACGATTGAAGTGTTTCATCGACGCCCTCGACGAATGTGATGAGGAGCAGGTTCAGGAAATGATTTTCTATTTTGAGGAGCTCGGACAAACCGCCCTCGAACACGGAACCCAGCTCTCTATTTGCTTCGCTAGTCGCCATTATCCGACCATCGACATCCGGGGTGGTCGGCAGCTGACATTGGAAGACGAAGACGGTCATGCTGAAGACCTGGAGAAATATGTCCAAAGCCACCTCAGAGCTGGAAAGGGGAAAGTCATTGAGGAGGTCAGAACGCAGATACGCGAAAAGGCCAATGGTGTTTTCCTGTGGGCGGTTTTAGTCATTCCGATTCTCAACGAAGAATTCAGGCGAGGCCGTATATTTGCCGTAAAGAAAAAAATCCAGGAGGTGCCCACTAGGCTCGGGGAGCTCTTTAAAGACATCTTGACGAAGGATTGTGTCAACATGAACGATCTGCTGCTATGTCTTCAATGGATACTCTTTGCCAAACGGCCGCTGCGGCGAGAAGAATTCTACTTTGCTATGATGGCAGATCTCGCTCCCGATTCCGAGTATATGACCACCTGGAACCCAGAGGACATTACTGCAGACGACATGAACCGGTTTGTGCTGAATTCGTCGAAGGGCCTTGCTGAACTTACCCGGTCGAAGACCCCGACGGTGCAATTCATTCACGAATCCGTACGAGATTTTCTCATTAAAGACAATGGTCTAAGTGAGCTTTGGCCGGATCTCAGCGGTAGTAGCAGCTTCGAGGGGGAAAGCCATCAACGCCTGAAGGGTTGCTGTCTGAACTACATGAGAATCGACGTCACCACCTATATAGGTGATATTTGCGACTCACTTCCGAAGGCATTTACCGAACAAGCTGCGCTCCTCCGCCAATCTGCGGCTGAACACTTTCCATTCCTAGAGTACGCCGTACGTAATGTCTTACACCACGCCAATAAGGCACAAGCTACTGGAGTCGACCAGAGTGATTTTGTTCACACTTTCCAGCTCGCCAAATGGGTGTGGATTGACAACCTGTTCGAAAGACACGAAGTACGCCGACACACTCCAAACATGAGCTTCTTATATCTCTTGGCGGAGAACAACCTGGCGAGTCTGATTAGAATTCACCCATCTAATCCGTCATGTTTTGATGTAGAAGGCGAACGCTACGGCCCCCCCATTTTTGCTGCCCTAGCTAGTGGAAGCGATGAAGCAGTCCGCGTGTTGTTGGAAGTCCATGCGGATACTCAGCCCACAACATCACCGTTTCATAATCTCTACCAACAATTTTGTCGTTATGGAAACAAACAAATCAACCTTGCACTCAACTTCACTTTCCCACAACGAAAAGGCCCTCTCACTTTTTTAGCAGAGCATGGCGACGATATTCTTCTTGCGCTCTATGCTTCAGCCATGACTAACATTGAGTCAACTGGCACTGATCGGAGGACCGCATTGTCGTGGATGGCCGGGAGAGGAAATGAGGCGGGAGTGAAGTTACTACTTAAGAAGCGCGCTAAGATTGAGTCAAAGGACCGTTTTGGTGTCACACCTCTCTCCCATGCTGCCAGGAATGGGCACGAGACAATAGTGAAGCTACTCCTTGAGAAGGGTGCTGAGATCGAGTCAAAGAGCAATTCCGGTCAAACTGCATTGTCATGGGCAGCCATGAACAAGCACGAGACAATAGTGAAGTTACTCCTTGAGAAGGGTGCTGATATTGAGTCAAAGGATGGTTCTGGTACAACTGCATTATCATGGGCAGCCATGAAGGGGCATGAGACAATAGTGAAGTTACTCCTTGAGAAGGGTGCTGATATTGAGTCAAAGGATGGTTCTGGTACAACTTCATTATCATGGGCAGCCATGAAGGGGTATAAGACAACAGTGAAGCTTCTACTTGAGACGGGCACTGATATTGAGTCAAAGGATCGTTCTGGTCGCACACCTCTATTTCATGCTGCTATGAATGGGCATGAGACAATACTGAAATTACTCCTTGAGAAAGGCGCTGAGGTCGATCTAAAGGATATATGTGGTAGGACACCTCTATCATGGGCTGCCGCTCGCGGGCACGAGAGAATAGTGAAGCTTTTGCTCGATAAGGGCGCTGAGCTTGAGCCAGAGGATCCAGGTGATTGAACAGCACTATTAGAGGCTGCCGCGAAGTACACCGCAGTCCTGGATTTATACTCTCCAATTGCATGTGCTTGCGCTTTTGCACCCGTTTACACCTGCATTTCAACCGACCAGAGCATGTGGACTGATATGTACGTGTCTGAGACCCGAGCCCCAGGGAATTTTGGTCATACGATGCTATTATATTGAAACAGGAATGGCGGATTCAAGAATCTACTCACCGTTAATTCAGGAACATGGCTAAATGCAGGGAATGCAGCAAGATTACTCTGATCCCGGTAGTGATTGCACGCAGTCTGACTACCCCATCGGGGTTCCTGTCGCGGTACATAACTTTGGAGACGGTGTTTCAAACTCTTCCAGTACTTGTCCATTGCATTATGCTGGCAATCTAGGCGCTTCATAGTATCTGGTTTGACATCGACGGCGTAATAAGGTAGGCCGGTGTTGGATTTGTTGTAGTCCAGAATACTTATACCCAGCATGGAAGGTTTCCCGAGTCACATCACGTGTTTTGGCGTTTTAGTCCCTTACCCGAAGTGGTTGCTGAGGCAGCGGCAAGAGGGAAATTGAAGAACGTCATCCACTTCATTCGTGGTACGTACTACTATATATTTGGTACATAATTGAACATACGACAGCATCATACGAGTGTTAAGGTCCACAAGAAGACTTACTCTGCGACTATCACACAGAACACCAGTCCAAAAGCACGCCCACGAATTCTTCTAGCAATCATGCCTCCCCGCGGTCGCAGATCGGCCAAGGGCTCGACGTCAGCCCACGCCCAGTCCCGCCTTTCCTTCAACAATTCAGCAAGAGTTACTAAACCCGGCGCAAGACAAGACGACTCGGCGAAGAAGGCCGCCTCGAAGCTCTCAGAAGTCACTCCAGCGCCAGTTGAACATGAGATCGAGACGCCCGAACCCGACGCAGACGACGAGTCGCAACTGACTGAAGTTCAAGCCACGCCAGAAGAGCCGGAGTTAAAGGAAGTCGACGTTGCCATACGAGAGTCACCGCTGAAGCCGAGGACGACGAACCCGAAGGCCAAGAAGAAGTCTTCTGTTCAAGACAAGGACGAGCGAGAACTTTCAGCCGAGAAGATCACAGATGCGCAGATACGAAAGTACTGGAAGGCTGAGGAGGATGGCCGACTGGCTCCGAGAGGTATATAATTCCCCTCCCCTTTGAATTTGCACCACTCACCGTCCCTCCACTGGTATTCGGGCGTCGCACACTATGTTTCCATGTCCATGCCCTATGCGTTACACACTGAAAGACTTTGAGGAGACTAACATCTCTTGTGAACAGTCCACCAAGAGAACCTCTCTCTGCATGAAAAGATCCTACGCCACTTTGACCTTTCCTCCCAATTTGGCCCCTGCATTGGTATCCAGAGGCTCCAGCGCTGGAGGAGAGCGAACATGCTCGGCTTAGAACCACCTGTGGAGGTCTTGGCTGTGCTCTTGCGTGAAGAAAACAAGAAGACAAGTCAGGGGTGCGGAAAACTGGCCTACATTGACGAACTGGCTGGCGGCAAAGTCGTCCTGGTTGAGTAAACACACACACTTTCTTCCAGGCATTCTATTCTAGCAGATGAATTGTGCACATGGCGAAATGAGGTTGTTCATGACGGTGGTAATCTGGAGTGATGGAAATAAAATGACAGAGGAGTTCTGGCGCAATTATCATGAATGCATCCTAAATGGGAAAGAAAGGAGACAATTCAAATTCTCTTCATTTCGCATCTACTGCCGACATTGCTGTCGCTGTTGCTCCGCTGCCGCTCCTCTGGGTCGAGTGAATGGCATAAATACCTTTCAAGGAGCCTCCGCTTGAGAAGCCAGAATACAGTGGGTGTTCCGATACAATAGCGCACACTACCACTCGAAGAGCACACTGGGAGTAAACTTGGATGAGGTAGTGTCTGGCCCGTAGGCGTGAAGGGAGTACGGGGCGGCGGTCGGACATCGTAGGTAAGTAGGGATGAGGTATATGGGAACGATGAGCGTTGCAATGGTTGGACACTGAAAAGGGTAACGAGAGGGCCTTGTAGTCAGTGGTACCTACACTCCCGAGCCAAAGCAAGATTACGATACCACGTATTTTAAAGTTTCAAGAGCCAATGGATATAGAGTAGGATAAGCTCGGGTCAATCACAGAAAACACCATCACGCAGATATATCCTCTCAACTCATCCACCCCAAGGACACATCCTTAAAACGCCCTAGACCGAAATCAACATTTTCAGTGCCTGGTGCTGAGCAGCCGCTTGGAACACTCCGTATGCCTTCTCCATCTCCTTGAAACTGTATTCATGGGTGATCAACTCTTTAGCCTTCAACCCACCCGCAGCAAACATCTTCAGCAACATCGGGGTTGTTGCAGTATCGACAAGGCGAGTTTTGAGGGATACATTCCGATCCCACAATTTTTCCATCTTCAGAGAGCAGCTCGTCCCATGAACGCCGACATTTGCGATCGTCCCGCCCGGAGCCACCAGATCCTGTGCGAGTTCTAGCGTGGCCGGCACACCCACGGCCTCAATGACTGCATCACAGCCGACATTGTTCGTGATCTTCATCACCTCTTCCTCCGCTGACGCTTCAGCATTGTTCACCACATACTGCGCGCCAAAGTCCTGAGCCACCTTCAGCCGGTTTGGATCCTGGTCAATCACAATGATCAAGCTTGGTGAGTAGAGGCGCGCCGTCATGAGTGCGGCCAAACCAACGGGACCAGCGCCTACGATGGCGACCGTCGACCCGGGCTGTACGTTGGCATTGATTGTCCCGCATTCATTGCCAGTCGGCAGGATGTCAGAAAACATTACCAATGCCTTCTCATCCACTCCTTGAGGCACAGCGTGGAGACTGGAGTCTGCAACAGGAATCCTTACGTACTCCGACTGGGTTCCATCGATCGTGTTTCCTAGAATCCATCCGCCCTTGACACAATGACTGTACATCCCGCGTCGGCAGTATTCGCATGTGGCACAGCTGGAGATGCAGTTGATCAGGACGTGGTCGCCCTTCTTGAATCGTGAGACCGCTGCACCTGGCTCGTGTATTATTCCAACACCTAGAAAGGGTGGTCAGTATTCATTCGGATCTCTCAAGGCATGTAGAAGGACCCAGGGTATCCTACCTTCATGGCCCAAAATCCGACCGGGAGTGCAAGTCGCTACATCTCCCTTAACGATGTGGAGATCAGTACCACAGATTGTGGTATAAAGGACTACAACCTAGTTAGCAAAACATCATCTGGATCTAGTCCGAGGGACAGCCCCTGCCTTTAACAATAGCATCCGTGGGTTCCTGAACTTGAGGCACTGGCTTATCTTCCAGAGCAAACTGGCCGGTTCCTTTGTAGACGAGGGCCTTCATAGTTGATTTATCGTTGCTGACAGTTGCGTAGCTCCGTTGACTCCAGGAGTTCTTCGTGTGTAAGGCGGGAGTGCTATGTTGACAAGTTGCTGTGTGTGCTGGCTGTCGGGTTGGCGCGGACGTCTTGTTCACAGCACTTCTGGCGTAACTCGCACAATAGCGTCCTGCAAAAGCCGCACGTATCTGTTGCGTGGGTCGTCTACCGTAGGAGAACAGCAGACCTTCAGTGGTTGAGCCGACGACGGGCGACAGGCTAATAAGTATATGTCTCTTTGCGGCGGAAGTCATGATGGATACGCAGTTCAAGGTGTGGCCAATTTCTTCCCCTCCTTTTATACGAGAAGTATGCCGGTTGTTATCCGTACGTCGTGAATCTGCTGACTCGAGGATGTTTTTGTTCCTGGCGGATCTCGATCTCTCGGCCTCCTGAGTATCATACGACTTCCATTCAAAAAAGTGGGTTCCGCGGGTGCCGGTGGTATGATATTGATTGGTTTATCGCTCGTGCGGAGGAGTTTCTAGCGAACCACCGCGTCGGTCGACGAACCATGTTCCTTGAGTGTTTTGCCCTCAATATGCTAGTCACTATCTTTTCTTTTCCCCCCAATGATGACAAAAGGTGTCGTCGGATTATTGTTTGTCCCCGCTTCCTCCTCTCCCTTCTTGCTTCTGAAATAACCACCTCGATTCCCCCTCTTCACGGCTCCTGACCAAGCTCGACACGCGGATCCGCACCGAGGGTTCGAATCTTCGAGTCGTCTAGTTCGATTACGCATGCAAAGAGAAGGTCAAGAGGTCTAGTCGCAAATCCCTTCTGGGTTCGAGCTGGTCAAAGTCTCTTGCCGTCTTTTTCTTGGCTCTTAATTGATGCTCTCGAGATTATAGGAGCTGCGACCCTACCAGTGAGCTCTTGTGAAGAGACACGCTACAAGTGACTTCGCATTCTGTGGCGCCGATCTTGTTCGATAGGTCTCACTGTTCATGAGAGTCTCAGATATTGAGACGTGATGCTGAGAAGTCAGAAAGTTTGCTCATTGAAAACTATCTACATGTAATTTACGAATTGCCGGAGTGATACCCTCTGACCATCTGAGGCATTGTGATGTTTAGATTGCGATGCAGCCACAGCTACCGCAGTACGTCTCAAAGTCTTGTTTACGGATTCAGCAGGGTAACTCCAAGGAGGGCATCACTACCACTATCGAGACCTATATTCATCCGAACTGCGCATGTTGGGTTTTCCGTTGACACTGTAGTGATGCAAGACTTGTTTCATTGGCAAGTGTCATATTAACCTAAGCACAAGGAATACGGAGTATGTCTCTTAGCAATGGTAAGTGAAGGCCTTCGGGACCCCTGGGGGAGCTCAGCCTTGTTGTTTTGGTGAGGCTGGGCACGCTAAGATAAGATAGGGAGTCAGCATGACTCGCGGCTTTTTGATCGCACGACTCATGTCCCTCTCCGCTTCAGATCAATTGCAAGTCGTCCATTCTGCGCATAACACAAATGCACGCATGCGCCCATGCGAAAACCGGTTGATTCGCCCTCTATCCCTCAGCAATGGCAGACGCAGACGAAGATGCCATTCCCACAACGTCCATCTCGAACCCTGACGATTTCGAAGATGAGACACAAGATTTTCGATTCCTCTCTTCAATCACCGCCGCGAAGAGCGGACAAACGATAGTCCCAAAGCGAGGGGACAAAGATTTCGAACCCAACCCTACACGATCGCAAGCCTCTGCCCTCGATGCTTCGCGCCTTGCTATGCACAATGCGCTCAGTGGCGTCAGAACCCATGTAGGCAAGCATATCGTGGGACAGTATCTGCCCAACGAGGAAGATTGGAGATGGGACGACAAAGCCGCAGGCGCAGCCAGGAACGGACGTTGCGTCGTGGTTCCAAAGTTCAAAGGAACGCTTGCGAAGACATTAGGACTGGCTGACAGACATAACTTTACGTGGTTTTTGCCGGAGGAGGCACTGTTCTTATTGGAACGGGGAACTCTAGACATCCGATGGCCCGACATTGAGGACGAAAAGAGCGAGAACAAGAACGAGAAGAGTGAAGAAGAGACCGACGTCTCAATCCACCAAGGTGAAGACACCGACCAGAGCGCGGCACCCACCAAAGGAGCCGAGGAGAGTACCAACATCGAGCCCCAACAAACGCAGCAAGAACCCGATTTGAAAATCGGTGAATTGCCCATGAGTCTACAAGGTGCCTATGCCAGCTTCATAGGCAAAGACGGCCTCACGCTTGAACGATACACCGTCTACGCCGGGCTCAGAAGAATAGGATACATTGTTCAACGGGCGCCAACGTGGCACGATGAAGACCCATCTCCAGCAAATGATCACCATTCACAAGCCGAATCTCAAGACCTGACAATATCTTCCTCAGCCTTCTCATCATCGTCATCACCCACACCACCACACATTATACCTAATGCAATTTCTAACGCCGCAAGTCTCATCCACAGGCTTGTATCATGGCTTTCTCACCCAAGCCGAGACGGCGCATGTACCGCTACCGGACCTCTCGTTGCCGCAGGCCTATACAGGAACTACACAGACATGTTCCGCGCGTTGTCTCTGATACCCTATCACAATCCCACTGGGCCTCTTTTACCCAGTCGTGAATCTGACAACAGTACCAATACCAATACCAACGACAAAAACAAATCCTCTTCTCAATCCAGTCCGACAACCCCAAAAGCTCCCTTCCGGATCCACTTCCACGTGTGGAAACCCAACGCGCAAACCAGTTACCGTAAAAGCGCGCCCCCTCCTCCAGACTACCGTATCGCCGTCGTCGACGCGCGAACCACGTCCATGCCGACACTTTCAGAGGTCGGCACCCTGCTGGACTCGCAGCCCGATGATGCCCTGACGAAAGAGCAGGCCGGCAGACTAGAAACCCGCATCCGGCACGGTCGGAGGAACGTCCTGCTCGCAGTCGTCGACATGGGCGTGGTGAGCTATCTCCGGCTCAGCGATGCCTGTTTCGGTGCGGAAAAGCTGTACGAAGAAAAAGTCCGCGCCGGGTCCAAGGGAAAACGATCAGGTCAGTCGGGCGCTCCTCCGAGGGGGGGAAAAAGCCACCAGGGTCAAAATCAGAATCAGAATCAGCAGCAGTCAAAAAACAAATAATACGAACTCCCCTTGGGTCTTTCCGCGACGTACACGAACTCCGTCCTTTGGGTGGGCGAGCGGTTACCTTATGCTTTCGAGAGTTCAGTCACAGCAAGTGATCGATTTACCAGCGAGATGCACCCAAGACGGGTACGTCTAGGTGGTGTGCATGGCACTGGTACGAAGATGGGAACGAGCGTGGAATAGAGACATTATTTTATAGACTTGATACCCCTAGTAGACCTTGAAAGACCGGTGGGCCAACATGGACTATCTCAGATATACAGTTGAACTTTACGAATTTCATTACTACTATAAGTATGGTGACAAGCATCGCATCGTGGGTGCTGTGTGCTGTATTGTCTCCCCTTGAGAGAACGTCCGATATCAGCATGGAGAAAGTGCCAGGCGGACTGCCTGATGATCTAGGGAGTAGGAGTTGATCTCCCATCTTCTATAGACGTCAACCCTTGGGAGAGGCAGGCAACGTATATGCTTGAGATGGGTTGGATGTTGGAGAAGGGGGATAAAATGGGATTTAAGAAAATGTTCGTTTCTTGTTCTTGGGGACGAGTGTCAGCTTTGTACACGAGGTAATTTACTCTCTGATCTCTGTCCAGCCTCGTTCTGAATTCACTCCCCGTGATTGTCGTGGAGGTCAATGAGGATGTGGTACGCTTTCCGGCAACCAGAGGCAATGCTCAAATGCGGCACGACCGACGGATGGCGTGGATTCATTTTTTGGTCTTCATGAAGAGGTGCCGGATCCACTTGTTCATTCAACGCCGGTTGATCTAGTCGCGCGATGCGATGACGCATCAGGCCGGATATTGCGAGTCTATACGACGGTGTCCGAATCCTCAATCTCGGCTTGAGCTTGAGCATGGGCGTCAGATTGTGCGTTCTCAAAGCGCAAGTCCAAGACCATCAAGAGCAAATGCTCGTGTAGATGGACACGTTTGGACCAGAATGGCCGAAGCTGACCACCGTACTGTGCAATCTTGCGGGAGGCAGGACAAATTCCCATCAAGGTCAGGTAGGTAGGGACATGTCCTGCAAATCGTTCGAAAGGGGAGCCAAGTCTCTTCTTGTGCTTCTTCATGTCAGGAGGAAGTCTGCGGCCATGAGAAGCTCCAGGCACAATTCAGACGGTATGTCCATGTCAGGGACGCCTTCGCTGTTTCGGAATTTTTCGTTGTAGTAAAAGTATTCCACGACCTTTTCCAGAACGATACCGCTGATGTTTTCGAGGTGGCACACGCCCGTCTGAGCTTCGCTGAAGTTGCCTGCAGGCCACGTGTGTCAGTATTACTTGATGGCACGAGAAGGGGTAGACGAGAAGGGGTGGGGGCCGCGTATCCGTACTCTGTGTGTCCAACATGCGTCGGATCGTGCCAGAGACACACGCAGCGGAACGGCGAACATGGAACTCAAAGCCATCAGACGAAACGAGCGTGACGAAGGGGGATGGGATATTGTTGGCAGCCATCGCGTCAGCTAGGATATTTTGCGAGGATGAAGTAAGGGCCAGGAGTTTCCCTGATCTTGGGGGGAGGGACGGCGAATGTTGAGCTTGGTCTTCGGGACCCAAGAAGAGTACGAGTACAGTAGATACCTGTATGTTATGCCCACGGGGGAGGTAGAAAGCAGCCAAGAGGACTTTTTTTCTCCCAGGCAGAAAACGCGACTGAACCAAGCTAGATGCGTGTACCCGTTAAGGAAAGAATGGCGAGGCGTCAGCTCCCTGGAACGTCAACAGGAGTTCAGCCTTGCACTCTCCAACACAAGTTTGTAGGTCGATAAATCACATAGCTTTCACTGCATCCGTTATCCTGGACGAGAACAAATGACAATACAGGAGAGGGTCTTCGCCGCTAAGACCGCTCTCTGTTCTGCGATAAATAGTGAAACAACTCATACGGGCTCACAGGAGACCTCCATACGAAGGAAAGGAATTCAACAATGTTAAAAAAGTATCGCTTAATCAGTGCATGGTGGTCATAATCTGATCAACATATGCGGGTGCGTGCCATATAGTGTTGTACACTCATTATTGCACCTTCCAACCGAGACAAAGCACATAAATTTTTATCTTGTCATCATGAGCCCTTCGTTACCTACACACTGCCAAACACTCATCCCTTGAGGACCTGTTGGAACTCGCCCAACTCTTAACAACGCCGAGCCAAGACGTGGTGCAGCAACCACTGCAATCAGAGACGCCCCAAAAGTTCGTTTCCAAATCGCTCTACACAGAAACTTCAACTCTGCCTTCGCCACTGCCACCCTTGGCCAGGGTTGGGAGAAGGTACGTGATATCATCCCAAGGATGTCTGTAGAGACCGGTCCGAAGCTACAAATGTTGTTAGTTTTGTGGTCGAATGAAGGATATGGAGGACAACATACGCGTTTCTGATCAAGATAATGCGCAATCAAACCGATAGATCTGCCCAGGACGAACAGACCGTTGAGGACACCCATGCGCATGTAATCCTCGGCCTCCTCCGAACTGAAGATACCAGACGATCTCATCAGATCAACTAAAGATACTGTCAGCCGCGGAGCGGGAGAAAGAACAGAGCTGAGCCAGATAGCCCTGGAGGTATCTTGAACTTACCGAAGCATACTGCAATGCAGCCATCGACGTTGAGGATGAGATTGTCTTTCTTGGATGTGGTGACAGTCTCGACAGCAATAGCATAGTCGAGTAGTTTGTGAGATGGGAAGTGCTTCAGGACATACTCCTTGACGAGCTCGACACGAAGATCGGGGTTGTTTCGGGACTTGATACGATGTCCAATACCAGGAACTACAGACTTTGTTAGCTTTTTGGGCAATACAACAACCGAGGGCAGACATACTGAGCTTGTTCTCCTTTCTCATGGTGTCGACGAACTCACGAGGGGACCAGCCCTTGTCAAAGGCCTTGGAGAACTCCTCGGCAGCACCATCAAGAGCACCACCAAAGCGGGAACCAATGGTGAGAAGACCGGCGACAAGTGAAGAGATCAGGTCTTTGCCAGCACGGGTTGTGATGATGGTGTTCATGGCACCAGACACGGCTGGACCGTGATCGGCAGTCAACATGAGGACCATCTCCAAGAACTTGCTGGCAAACGGAGGGAATCGGCGACGGAACCACAGCAGAGACATGACACCCCCGATACCGATGTCCTCCTTGAAGACATCTGAAATTGGCATACCGGCATAGAGCAATTCTTGACCTCTATCGTCGGAAATGGTGGAAATGAAAGCGGCGGGCTTTCGGATAAGTCCCAATTCCTGGGCCCAGGCGTAATCGATGGGGATCTTGGGAGGAACTGGCTCTGGCGCAGGTTTGATCGTGCCTTCCTTGACGAGCTTCTGGTAGACTTCGGCAAGGACCTGGGGCATCTCTTCAAAGGTATCGGGAACAAAGAATCCAGCCTCCTTCATCGACTGGTTCTTGACAACAGCAGTCTCGAGTTGAGAGTTGGCAGATGCACCGGCGTGGCCGAATTGAACCTCAGTCTTGAACATGCTAGCGCAGGTACCGATAGCCCAAGCCACGATGGGCTTGGTGATTTGGCCCTTCTTGACCGCCTCAATGACTCTGTACTCTTCGACACCACCGACTTCACCTAGAAGAACCAGAATTTTACATTCAGGCTCGTTCTGGTATCGGATCAGATGGTCGATGAAGGTGGTTCCAGGATATCTGTCACCACCAATGGCGACACCCTCGTACACACCGTCGGTGTTTTGGGAAATAATGTTGTTGAGTTCGTTGGACATACCACCAGACTTGGAGACATAACCAACCGAGCCCTTGCGGTACAGCTTGGAGGCCACAATGTTGTCCATCATACCACCAGTGTTGCCAATCTTGAACGCACCCGGCTTGATACCACCGACTGTAGCAGGTCCGATAATGGTAATTCCCTTCTCTTTCGACTTGATCATGATCTCACGGGCACGTCTCTCAGGGACACCTTCTGCGATGATGGCAATGGTGCGGACTTGGGGGATGTTCATGAGCTCCATAGTCGAACTGTAGACTGATCGAGAAGACGCAAAGTTCACAATCGTGTCAACATCTGGGTGCTTCTCGAAAGCCTTGTCCACGGACTGGTAGACTGGCAAGAGAGTTTCGCTGGTACCCCAGTACATTTTGCTGACGAATTGACCGCCAAATGTGTAGATGATACCAGCAACGGAGGGGGTCGTTCGCTTGCAGATGAAGTCGAAGTCGAGCATTCCCTGGACGGCCTTGGGTTGCATACCACTGTTCCCTCTGTTAGATCTCTTTCCGTCGTTGATTCAGCAGTCACGTCTGTTACTTACTAGACAAAACATCTCGTCTTGTTGTGGAAGAGGGCATGTTGAACAGGGCTCAGAACCCTCGAAGGAGGGTCAAATCGACGGATGTTGTCGTTGGCAGAGAACGGTGTCTCTGATCCCGGCGAGTTGTTGCCATCTGGGATGTTCACTTTGGGCAACCCATTGGAGATGGGCGCAGGCCCGCTGGCAGAAGGCATGGTAGGAGAGTCTTGAGGAGATTCTTGACGAACTGGAAGCCCCATTGCGTTAGTTGAAGTGCCGTGGGAGACTGGGACGATATACAATCTGAGGAAGGGGTAGAGGGCAAAGAGACCTCGCACTTTTCGTAGACTTACCTTTGGACAATATGGAGTGTTGAGTGCGTGGTAGATGTGGAGGGAGGGAAGAGAGACTGTCGGTTGAAATTCAGCGAAAAGCACCAACACCGACCGAGTGAGAAAAAGTTGTTCGAGGTGAATCTGGCGGTGGTCCAACTTACCAGATTGGTGTGGAGTGTGAGATGATGCTGGGTGCGCCCGCGAGAAAATAACGAATGCCAGATTGTACACAGTAGTTCGCAGTCTCTGCGATTTGTTGGAGAGGCTGCTTGTTGAGCTCCGGGTGCTAAGGGCTGGCGGTCCCCCCCGAAAATAGCATGGCGGCCCCCAACTTGTTGATCCCTGCGTTGCGGTGAGACTTTTCTGTGGACCGTGAAGCCTCTCTGTTCTCGCCCTGAGATACTCCGGACGGGTGCTAGTCCACTATTGTACACCCCCTTAACGAGCAAGCCTCAATTGCTATCTAGTTCACCATTATTATTGACCATTTGCGGCCCGTCGTCGGAAAGGCTGGCACTCAGCTTTTGGCGGGCCTGATCCCTGGACCGTCAGAGAGTGGAGCGTGGACATTGGACAGAGCCACAGGGGAACCAGGCCCGCGTCGAGTCGTCGCGTGTCTCGTTGGCGCTGCTGTTCGGAGTCCGGTCAACGTATCTCGTATCCCCGGGTGGCACGATGTTCTCCTCGATACCATTCGGCGAATATCCTGAACGCCTCCAATACATCGGGACCATATCGGAGCTGTAATGGAGACCTCATAGGGAAATTGCCAGGTTACCTCTGTTTCCATGACGAACGGAGTTCGGAGTACCAGAGACTTGCAACAGAACGATGCGTGGTCTCAATGGAACCGGCAGCTGAGTCCAGTCTGCAAACAAATGCAGCATGCATCGTCATCCTCGCAGGGCCAGCGCGGCCACTAGGCTGACAAGGGGGGGTGATCGATCTCAATGGTAGGCTATTAGTTAGGGAGGTCTCAAGCGTTGCGAGAAGGAGAGTCATTCCTCGTAAGGATACGGAGCACGAGGCGGCATCTGAAGGCGGCTGTACAATACTGAGGTTGTACTGTAGGCTCGTGGCCCGTGGCTAGTGAGGCCCGTGGGATGTACAAAGCTGGACCCCCCCTCCCCGATCCACTAGCGTCTAGTTGAAGTTGGTTAAGTTTAGCAATCCCCCATAGGGCTAAAGCCCCCTACTAGACTCTCCCAACAACGTCTCCGCCAAAAAATTATTGTGCAAGGTCGCTCTCCGAACGCCAGCAATTATTGTCCCTGCGACTCAACCCAATCCAGACGATAATTCTGCCCCCAAAGCTGTTTGGACTTCTGCCACACCGCGCCCTCACCCTTGAATTCAGAAGAATAGCCAGTCTATTACAGTTCACTGTCGTCGAGACTTCATCTTCTGCCCGTCTACCATCTCGACTTCTGTACAACCCCCTTTTGTGTCCTCAACTTTCCCAAGTCCTTCCTCTGTTTACCCCTCACCGCCGCAACAATGTCAGCGAAGTCTATTCTCGAGGCTGATGGAAAGGCCATCCTGAACTACCACCTCACTCGTGCTCCAGTGGTCAAGCCGACTCCTCTGAAACCATCGGGCGTGCACAACCCTCCTGCAAAACTAGCCTCTCTCTACTTCCCCGAAGATGAATCGGTGAAGACGGTCCTCGACCAAGCAGAAGCCACCTATCCATGGCTCCTCGCGCAGGGTGCCAAGTTCGTTGCAAAGCCAGATCAACTGATCAAGAGAAGAGGAAAGAGCGGCCTGTTGGCCTTGAACAAGACCTGGCCCGAGGCTCGAGCATGGATTGAAGCCAGAGCCGGCAAGGAACAAAAGGTCGAGACGGTCACTGGTGTCCTCAGACAATTCTTGGTTGAGCCGTTTGTGCCTCATCCTCAGGACACTGAATACTACATCAACATCAACTCAGTCAGAGATGTAAGAATTCCACCCACAGGCTCTCGGGAAGACGCTAATCAAGCATTAGGGCGACTGGATCCTCTTCACGCACGAGGGTGGCGTTGATGTAGGTGACGTTGATGCAAAGGCAGAGAAAGTCCTCATTCCAGTCGACTTGAAGGAATTCCCTTCAAATCAAGAGCTGGCCACGGCACTTCTCAAGAAGGTCCCTAAAGGTGTCCACAACGTTCTCCTGGATTTCATTGTCCGACTCTACTCAGTCTACGTGGATTGCCAGTTTACCTACCTCGAGATCAACCCCTTGGTCGTCATCCCCAACGCTGCCGGCACTTCAGCTGATGTCCACTTCCTCGATCTTGCAGCGAAACTAGACCAGACAGCTGACTTTGAATGCGGCACAAAATGGGCCATTGCACGAAGTCCCGCTGCTCTTGGTCTCCCCGGAACCAAGACCGATGGAAAGGTCACCATCGACGTTGGACCACCAATGGAATTCCCCGCACCTTTCGGACGTGAGCTCAGCAAAGAAGAGAAGTACATTGCGGACATGGATGCGAAGACCGGTGCCTCACTCAAACTTACTGTATTGAACTCTCAAGGTCGCATCTGGACCCTGGTCGCCGGCGGTGGTGCTTCAGTCGTGTACGCAGACGCCATTGCTTCCGCTGGCTTCGTCTCTGAATTGGCCAATTATGGTGAATATTCAGGCGCCCCTAGCGAGACGCAGACGTACAACTATGCCCGCACAGTTCTCGACTTGATGCTCCGAGCGCCATTGCACCTTGATGGCAAGGTTCTGTTCATCGGTGGTGGTATTGCCAACTTTACCAACGTTGCCTCCACCTTCAAGGGTGTCATCCGCGCCCTAAGAGAGGTCGCTCCTATCCTCAACGATCACAAGGTTCAGATCTGGGTCCGTCGTGCCGGTCCCAACTACCAAGAAGGTCTCAAGAACATCAAGGCTGTGGGTGAAGAGCTCAAGCTCAACATGCATGTGTACGGCCCTGAAATGCATGTCAGCGGTATTGTGCCTTTGGCCCTGCTCGGCAAGAAGTCCACCATCCCCGAATTTGGCGGGCAATAGATGATTCTTCTGGGCTGTTATGTAGTTTGGTCTAAAGTGTGTTCCTTGTCAAGCAGTTTTGGTGGGCTGGCATGCGCCTGGGCAATCGGAAAAGGCATTGGTGTTTCTTTGCGGAGTTTGCCTGATGATTACGAAGGAGCATTGTTTGCTGTGTGTACGAGTAGTAATCGCCCCTTTTGGGTGCGATTGACCTCGGGACTGATGAACATGAATATCATATGTTAGACCTTGACGGTAATGACAAAGTGACGCAAAGCCAAACCCTTCTTCGATGCCAGGAGCAAAAACTCTCCCCCCCCATGATAAATGCTCACCGTGAAGCCGCTGTGCTTCAGATGATGAAAAGCCTTCGCGCTCGAATAGTTCCCATTAGAACCGGGATAACCCATATTGCATGTCGCTACCCAGCGGCCCCCTGACTCTCAGCGTCTTCAGGAGCTGCCACCAGGTCAAGTCAGAGTGTCCTAAATAACTGAGTAACGGGAAGTTGTTAATTGCCACGGTACGTTAAAGAGAACCGTCACATTCCATCATCCCCTTTATGAGTATATGCTGCTTGCTTGCGCCCGTGAATATCTACTGCTCACTGATGATGATCCAAATCAAGGTCAGTCAAATTTCACGCAGTAAATCCCAATCCCTTGGCCTCCGCATCTCCCATCAACGCGCTTTTCACTTCCTCTTCGCCGACCTTGAGCCTGATCTTGCCGGCCCGTTCACCTTTGTTCCTGGATTCCATGGCAATCACACCAGCTTCAACCAAGTCCATTGCAGCGCCGCCCAGGGCGATGACGCGAGGCAGCGGAGCGGTTGCTTTGTCGTCGACGAGAAGGAAGTCGTGAATCGTGCTGTTCTCGGCCACGTCGGCAATGCGTTTGGCTTCGACGACAACCTCGCCCAGCGTGGATTCGGCGACGCCAGTGCGACGAGACCGTGCGAGCAAGGCCGCCAGGAACAGCTTCGACGATAGCGGGAGAGACCGCAAGTGCTGAGCGACAGGCGACGATGTCGCTTCGTTGATGGCTTGTCTGATGGTGGCGATCGTAACTCGAGCCATCGGCCTAGACCCTTCAGAGTCAGGTTGACCCTTCCCCTTTCGACTGGGCGTCCCGGCTGACGTGTCCTCGTTGTTGGCCTGCGCGGTTGCGTTGTTTCTCTCGTGTGTATTCTCTGCAATCTCGACTGCGCGCCGGCAAATGTCCAGCGCTCGACGTGCATCGCCAGACACAGCGGCCACCTTTTGACTGGCAAATTGCACGGCGTCCTTGTCCACGATGTTTCCAGGCACGCCTTCTAATCTGGAGGAGATGATCTCCATCAGTTGCGTGTGGGTGTAGCCTGGAAACGTGATCCTGGTCAATCCTAGACGTGAGCTGATCTTGTTGGAAAGTGTCCGTTCTGGCAGATCCATGGTGTTGGCCACCGCAAGGACAATCAACTTTGAATGTCGCATTGCTGGCCAGTTGAAGAAATTGTACATGACACTCTGATTCCGCGTCACAAGTTGGTCAAGCTCGTCCATGAGGACGACACATGGAATGCGGCGGGGGGACGGATGGGAGAACTCTTGTTCCAAAAGGCTCAGTGCGTGGTTGGGACTGACGCGATCTCCTTTCAGAGCCTCCCATAGCAATGAGTAGGACTGGTGGGGTTCGGTGACTTTCATGCCGTTGATCTCGACGAAATTGAAGTCATCCAGCTCGTCGTTCAATACAGCTTGGTGAAGCGAAGTTACCACATCTCTGACAGTTGCCGTCTTGCCCGTGCCTGGTGTACCAGAGATGTAGATGCAGCCGCCGGACCCGTCAACGATCGCCGAGTATAAATGCGAATAGACTGTGTTGAACTCATTGGATCGACACGGCAGCGACGTGGGGACAGCAGATACATGCAAGGTAGTTCGTGCATGTGAGTATGGCGTCGACATGTACTGCGAGGGAGAAAGTACTCGTGTACCAAGAGGCGTAATCTCAATCGGCTTCTTAATCATAATTCGTTTGTGAGTTGGCGTAGTGTACTTGGACGCTTTAACCGCAGAGCGTGGAGTTGCGGCGGTGGAAGTCGTTTTTCGACGTTTACTCGGTGTCTTTGGCTCTTCTTCCGGAGGCGCAGCTTTCTGGTTATAATCGAGATCTTCCTGTTTGGCGGCTGCTCGTCTTTTGTTGCCCTTGGTCTGTTCCTTGATCCAGTCGATCAGATCGAGCAAATTTTCGGGACCTTTGTAGATCTCGTCCCAGACGAAATCTTCCGTAAATTGGAGTGTTCTTTGCTTGACTCCTCTGCGACACAGGATGGTCTTTGAATACTTGTTGGCAGCCGATTTCGATTTTGGAGGCTGTCCACCGGGGTACTTCTGAAAGAAAGCGTCCTTTGACAGAACTGTTGCTTTGCCGTTGATCGCCGTCAGAGGGTTCATGTTAAAGTCGGTTGTAATATAGGATTCATTAGGGAGCACATCAGCGAGGATCTTCGATCGCTTTCCGAAAGCCAGCTCCTCAGGCGTGCAGAACCATTGGATGTAGACCGACATTTCGTCTTCGCCATCCTCATCGGTCTCGGAAAAGGCACAAATGAGCCCGACCCAGTCTTTGCCTTGTTCAGGGGATTTCAACAAGATTGCATCTCCAACCTTGACTGAAAAGGAGCCCATCTGCGCACCGATAATCTGTCGTTTCTTAGCAGACGTAGAGAGGGCGTCTGCTTTTCGTTTCTTTGAGGGTGTCTTCTCCTCGTCCGGTGAGTAAGTGGCCCCTTCATCCGAGTACACCCATTGCCAGGGGTGATCCTCGTATCCAAGCTCGTCATCGGAATCTTCTCGATGAAGGCCACCTTTGGTTGCATATTTCTTTTGTCTTTGCATTTCTGTATGGGGGGGTAGTGGGTGGTTGACTTACTAGGGTCGAGTGCCTGTGTTTCTTGCCTAAGTCGTTTTCTCATACGGGTAAGTATGTCGCAGCTTCAAGTTGTTTCAGCGAGTCGCGAAAACGACGCGTCAGAACGCCTCGACGCGTCGCGATATCAATTTAATGTTTTTGGTTTAGTGGATGATTAGATAAGATGCTCTTTGCTTGGCTTCACAATGGGCCCGTTTCTGGACGGTGGTATTGTCAATACCTGCATAGACCGTCGCTGTAGGACTATTGTACAATCCACCAGGCAGGGCCTCGCTCTTTCCTCTTCCGTATGCTTCCAAACTATTGCTGAACTTGCAGGACCCAGGCAGCAAAGGTCCTCACTGTCCCAATACACGAAGTGTAGCACGTACAGCTACCAAAGATGCTGCTCGTTTCCACCTGATAAACAAGCCGCCGGCCACCTAGCAGTATTTCATCGCTGCAGACTGCTCAAGCCTACACCCGTAGGCAATTTTGATCTCAAACCCCCTCGATCTAGAGTAGCTCCGCTGAATGACAGTTGCAAGCAGAGCCAGCGACAAATTGGCCGCCGGGTGACCACCAAGCTAAGAGATCCGGGTGATAGAGAAGTCCTTCTCCCCATAAACACCGAGATCTAGATTGGCGATAACGTGTTTCGAGCGAGGCAATGACAACTGTGGTCATTGGGGTTGCAAGTGGTTGCCATATTCAACCCGGTCACATCCAGGTCGTTCTCCTGGGCCACCACCCATCTCGATTTTCCAGACCATCAAATCCTAGGGTCAAGCCACCAACCCTTCATCATCTCATCACAAAAACCTCTACACCTTGATCGACGCCCCTCTGCGACGTCTCTTCTGTCAAGTCGCAACCATGAGCGAGTAAGTCTGGTATCTCAAATCTTGCAGGCGCGCTATGTTGACATTACTATCTAGCCATGAAGGTGACGGCCTGGATCTTGAGCGTACGTCTTCTGTCCGCCCATCCCTCACTGGGCTTGTCCTATACCTTGCAACGTACGCAGAATTAACGGTGAACAGGATGGGAGGCAACAACCTTGCCGAGTGGCTCGGTATACTCTTACGCCACGTCGGAAGCCGGGAATCAAGCGCTTGTTCCAGGCGCGAACTCGTTCTACCCACCAGCGGGACCCCGTAACGGATCTCGACGAGAACCGCCAGATCGACTGTCATCTCCGAGGGTCTTCGGGCGCCATGCTGGAAGACACCCCATTCGCTCCTTCAAGAGTCCCGCACAGCTTCAGTGCGAAGCTGGGAATGAGCCGAATGGCATATTCAACTTGGATGACCCCTGGGGTAAAATAAGGTCGATGGCCTTGAAGAATGCGCCGGTTCCACATCCACAACAGCGAATAATGAACATTATGAACAAGCACGAAACATACATTCGCGAGCCGACTGAGAACGACGAACGTCTCTACATCTGGGGCAATACTAAACAGGTTGATGGTACAAAGGCCGAGTTGTCAGACTGGGTACAGAGCGTCCGGTTGGCATTCGCGAATTCCAAGCCGTCCTCCCACTCGTGGACCAGGATGCATGCACTGGATGGGAGGACCGAGCATCGTCTAGATCGGCAGAACAAGCAGAAGGCATTGAATCGCCATCTACGGGACGTCTCTCTACCATATCCTTTCCAGGCTGCACTGCTGTGGCCCAAAGACATGGATATTGATGAGTTCCAAGAAGTCAACGAGGTCGCCCTCGAGGAGCTAAGAGACACATACATATGTCACATCGCTTTCCAGAATACCGATCCCCAACATGTCATCATAGAAACATACGCTGAGAAAGAGATGCTGAAGCTCATGAGCAGAATTCTCAACCTCATCAAAGAGACTGTGTCAAAGCGTGAGCAAGTTTCCACTGTGAGCATGCTGCACCTCCCGGACTTTGAGATTTACAGAGATCGGGTCGGCCTCCAAGACAAAGACCCTCGTTCCGATACATATCTCCCAACATTGCATGGCAACCTCGCTCCTAGTGATGCTGACTACAATGTCCAACGACTGAAATCACACAGCAGCAATCGATTGAAGATCAAGACTATCCTGGATAGTTCACTGAAGCGGCTGAGGATGTCTCAGCAGCATGTGCGCATGAGAGTAGTGTTTGGCGAACTTGGATTCACACTGTTCCAAAAGCCAGAAGGTGGGGCGGAGACTTACAGCTTTGAAGAATTCAAGAAAATGGTTACCAGGGGCCGGACAAAACTCAGCCTGAACAACCTGCCGGTCAGACAAGGCGATATCAAAGACTTGCCTGATGTGCTTGACTCGATGGATGCATTTTCTGACCGCACAGAAACATACGGGGCTTTCTTTGACTTTGCCGGCAAGGGTTACACCACGCTTCGGCTCGACGCTTCATTCGTTCCTAATGCAATGGGCGAAGTTGATACTTTGGAGCAGCAGTGGCTTGAAATTGGAGAGAAAGTCTCCATGCTCCAAGTCAGTGTGTTATGCTTTGATCGTCCTGATCTACAGATTACGCTCGATGCCTTCCCTTTATACTCTAACGCGGCTTCAAAACCTGAAATGGAGAAATTTCGTCTGAACTTGTCATATGAACCACCAGCAAATGGCATCAAAGATATCCCTCGACGACGCGTCAAATATCCACAAGCATTCAGCCAAATTCGCAGAGTTCATGAATTGACAATGGTCCGATGGAGATTCCGGCGGACGGACGGTATCTTTGAGCTCCGTCGAAAAGATATCTATGATGACAGCACGAGACACCCAAGCCCAAGCCCAATTGAAACACGTTGGCATGCATTGTACTACTATCCCGAATGGGACAACCTCATGGGTCACTTCTCGACGATCAAGCCAGGTGAAGACATCACTTGGAGTAAATCTGTTGCAACATTCTTTCCCGAGAGTGACAGATCGGGTAGTGCTCTACCGAAAGGATTCAAGAATTTCATGACAGAGGTCGAAGAGATTCAGGGTCTCCTGGGAGAGGCCATAAGTAAATTGGCGAAGGGTAAGATGAAGGCAGATAGCTCTCATGGCGATGAGCAAGCTAGGGATGGCATCTGAAGACATGCGCAGTGCCTTCAAGTGTGTCAACGACACATACACACGAGATCTTTGAGAATTGACAAAAGCGATGAATCTATTATGGGTTAGGTTTTCTGAAGAATGCCACATCGGCGCTTGCGAAACAATCTTTGCAGTTCCAAGGAAGACATTTATTATCATGAGGGTTGCGAAGAAGAAGATAGGTCACTTTTATCCTGCACTTGCTTGTGCTTGGGCCCGGCCCACGCCTGACCCGCTGGCCTGTTCAGCGAGCATTTTCTGCCTCAGAACTGCAGGGAAGGGGACGTCAGTGACTAGGCTTGCAGATATGGCGGTGGCACTCACCATCTTCAATTACTCTCAAATTTTCATTCTTTGCTCCTACGGCTTTTTCAATCTCTACTAGATTCTTGGTCAGGTCATCCACCTTTCCCTTGTAGAAACTGATGCCATCTTCTGGAGATTTCTCGACAAAGAAACCCGTGCCAACATCGACGAGGACGGATGGCTTGGACGATTTGCCAGAGTCGGGAGATGGGTCTGTAGAGCTCGCCAGCGTCGCGGGAACGTAGAGAGATGTCGTCAGCGGGATGAGGAGTGGTGTCTCTGTAAAAAAAAATGTCAGTGACTCACTCACTCACTCGCACAGTGCACCCAGGCGATGCCGAGGAGGGATTCGTCAAATGCGACCCAAGGGGTGGGAATCTCCCAGGAATGCATCAGTGGCATATTGGGGGGGGGGGGGGGGGGGTTTGACAAAGCTGCAACATACCGCCGCTCTTGCCCTGTATTCCATCCTTTATACTTCTTATGCAATCTCTGAAGCGGGATTGGGCGGCCCGGAGGCGCTGGTAGGAGGAGCTCAGGTGTTCGAGTTCTTGGGACAGCCGTGCCTGGAGGGCCGAGAGTTGTTGGACGGAGAGCGTCGACACGTCCACGCCGCCTTGTTGGGAGGACATGTCGCTTCTCGAACGGAAGGGGCAGAAAAGGAGAGCTTTTCCGGGAGAGTTTGTGGCCCTTCACAGGAGTCGTTCAGTGGTACGTTGGTGTCGTACGTCCGGAGAGGCGACCTGTAGATCGACTTGATGTGTGGTCCTGGGTCGGTTCTTGCTTGTAAATTTTGGTGTGGTCACAAGCGAGGCTGCGGGGGGAAATAAATCCTCAGCCTCGTTGCGACAAGGCTGTCAAGTACAACCCCCGATTCATTTACAGCTCCAAGTCACAGACAGAAAGGACACGTTAAGACTTTGCACGATTCAGTTTATAGAGGAGATACAATCTGGCTGCGGACAGCACTGGTCTACAATGTACGAGAGGGGTATCTATTTCGACTAGATGGGAAACGAATATAACAATAGGTAACAGTACATATACACACACAAACAGTTTGTGGACCTTTTTACAACCTCTTCAGTAGGTCACGCACAAACCTGGCCACGCCACTAAGGTCGACGTCCTGTTTGACCTTCAGCCGTCGACATTGGACCTCGACTCGGCCTTTCTCAAAAGCTTTCCCGACCACAATGATTACAGGGTACCCTATGGCGTCGGCATCCTTGAGTTTCCACCCTAGACCTTGTTCTTGGCGGTCGTCCAGAAGGACGTCCACCGCCGTGGCCTCTGGGTCCGGGCTCGGGGTGGCGAGCTCGTCGTAGATTTGCTCCGCAGCTTGCACGCGGGCCTCTTGAGACTTTTGCACAATGATCACGGCTTCGAATGGGGCGATGACACGGGGCCAATTGAGCCCGGACTCGTCCGACAGGCAAGACGCCACGGCTGCGATGAGACGCGAGACGCCAATGCCGTGGCAGCCCATCTCGACCGGGACGGGATCCTGAGCGTTGTCGAGGCGGCTGGTAAGGCCCAATTTCGAACTGTAGCGCGTGCCGAGGTGGAATGTATGCCCGACTTCGATGGCTTTGTTGAGTTGCAGAGTACCTCTGCCACATTCTGGGCACGGGTCTCCTGTTTGGTGTTTGAGCAGATTAATGCCCTGTGTGGTACCGTGTTGAGCGTTGACAAGGTAGAAATCCACGGCCTCGCCGCCGAACCGATCCATGTCCGACGCTATCAGGTCGTGAATGGATTCAGGCTCGACGCGGGAATCCAAAAGGTAGTATATCGACGGTTTTGAAGCCGCCTCTTCAGAACTGGATGACGACAGGTTCTTCTCGAATAAGACGTATGGGTTTTCTAGTCCGGAGTCAATCTCGACGATTCCGGTCAATGCGGCCTTGATGGCATAAGAATTCAAGGACTGATCATGATCCATGCCCGTAGTAGAGGACGTGGTTGTCCGTTGGGGGCCTGTCGCGCGGATGAGATTTCGTCCGTCGAGGCTGACGTAGTCTTCTTGGAGAAGTGGTTGGGTTTTCGCAGCTTTCAACGCAGGTGGAGTATCTTTGATTAATTCCGGTGAACATGTTGGTTGCTGGGAGAACTCTTCGTTTCGCGCGTAGGTGCAGTCGGTACAAGTGATCACGATATCCTCACCAGCAGCGTTGGGGAAGTGGTATTCATGACTGAGATTTCCACCCATGTCTCCAGACACGGCTCTGGCTTCTGTATACGGAACTGTAAGCTCGTCGAGGAAGTTTCGATATGCAGCTCGGATATCGTCGTATGTCGCATGTGCTTCTGTAGGAGTCGCGTCGAAGGTGTACAGGTCCTTCATGAGAAACTCTCGTCCTCGTAGGAGACCGCCTCGAGGGCGCTTCTCGTCCCGGTATTTTCGGCTGATCTGATACAAGCGTATGGGTAGCTGCTGGCGGGTTTGCACTAGACCTGCTACCAACGTGGTGATTTCTTCTTCATGTGTGGGCGTTAGCAGCCATTCGGAGTCTTTGCGGTCCGTAAAAGCGAAAAACTCGGCTCCAGGTTTCCAGCGTCCAGACTTCTGCCATAACGCTTTCGACGACAGTGAAGACAGCGAAACTTTTGAAGCTTTGACAGATCGCATGTGCTTGTCGATTAATCGCTCTAGCTTCTCTTGCACACGCAGGCCGAGAGGGAGCATCTGGAAGATGCCGGCGTAGGCTTGTCGCAGGTAGCCCGCTCGGATGAGGAGCTGCGTCGCGTCCGGAGCTTCCTCATGCTTGTGCACATTGACGGTTGGTATCCAAAATTCGGCCACCCGTTGCCTTGACTTGGTGTGCACGCACCGCAGTGGTGCATGTCGTGCTTTGGGATAACTGTACTTGACCCTGGCCGCAGTCCCGGGTGGAAAGTAATTCTTCATGGTTTAGCCTGTAGAGGCATCCGGCACATCTTCGCCGCCAACGACCATCAGACATACATCCAGTGCGGTATTTATTCTCCGTTAGATCTCGGCCTATCAATATGCTGGATTCAGGTTTGTGCTTGAGCGACGGATGGGCTTGGTCGAGCGAGAACTTTGAGAGCTTCGAAAGATACTGCGTCAAACGACCTTCTAGACAGCCGTATCATTTGAATACGGCAGGTCAAATGACCGACAATGTCGATTCAAGATGCAACGACAGTCGTCAAGCCAGGTAAACATGGCAATGCATTGGGAGACATAAATCCATCCCGGTTTCCAGCATGTTGAATACTCGTTGTACCATTCACGGTCCATCCTTTGCAAGGGTGTCACCCTTTCCAGCGGAGCGTCAGGACCCTCAGACCCTGTATCAACGGAAGCTCGCTTAACTCGCTTTCTCAATCACAGCGTGAGGCATCGCCCAAAACCAGAGTAGGAAAATCTTGGGTATGTACTAATTCGTTCCACAGAAAGTTGGATTTGCCATCTATAATGCTGTGCTAAGAATTTCCATGGCATTGATGGTTTGCGTTCTAAAGTCCGGAAGCTGCTCTTCTGTCCTCCCGGCTTTATCGACTTATCGCCTGTGAATATCTACTCAACCGCAATAAATGAAGAGCATTCTCGCCCGGTCAACAGTGCATATTCATCTTAACAATGCTCAGTCACTCGCCGTTTATGCCTGTGACCGCTGGGCAGGCCAGGAGAGTGCCAATGTGACCTACCGAGTTGGCAAGACCTTTGCTGAGAAAGTCGCATGGGACTTCGTAGAAAAGGAGAAGCCAAACTTTCAGGTAGTGACGATGCTGCTAACGCTGGTCCTAGGACCAATAGTACACTACCTGAACTCACTTGACTATATCAATACGTCGAATGGGAGACTCCGAGACATTATTCAGGTGCGTTGGAGGAACGTCTCGCTCCGACCGGATAATTCCTGTGGATTGATGTCCGGGATGTCGCACTGGCCCAGGTCAGGGCCAGAGAGGTCCCAGCCGCAGCTGGCAAACGGCTTTTCCTTACAGCGAATTAGATGGATAATACAGCCATCGCAGACGCCATCAAGGAAGGACCCAGACCTGGCATGGGTTGCCCGAAGAATACGGATCTGACCTCCCCAAGGGCGTCAACGGCTTCGACAACGGCCGCACTAGGAACATTCTGGGCATTGAATATCGACCCTTGAAGCAGTGCATCATTGACACCGTCAAGAGTCTGCGAGAAGTCGGTGCTTGAACGCGGCAGGGCCGTTCTCCAGAGCTTAGCCCGCATGCTTGTAAAGGGCTGAGTTTAAATGATTTCCAACTTTATTTCTTCTTCCACAACGTGGACAAGTCGCCAAGAAGTAGTAGGGTTAGTTGCTCTGATTCAAATGTTGCTGAGAAGGGACAGTGCTAATTATGCCTTCCTAGATATGCTTGTCGATGTTGTGACAAACCACCTCATACACATTTGGGGCATGCGAGTTGCGACATATGGTTGCTGAGTGTTGAGAAAGAGCGTGCGTCTCATCCTCTTCTCAAAAACTCCGGTCTTTTTTTAATAGCGACAACTTCATGTCTACTGGTGTGGAAAAGGTTTCTCCAAATACCTGCAACTATGAGTTTCTCTCTCTGTTCCGTCTTCAAGGTGCTCGTGGACAGGTTTATCAACGACCGCCGACTGTCCGTTTCCGAACCTCGTGCGATCGGCCCGGTGAAAAGAAGCCGGGTCTACCCTTCGCCATCGGACCTAAAGATGCACGACCAAGAGCAGAGAGAGACTCGTTAGGATTACAATCTGAGGGGAGAAGGATAATCAACGAGATCGTTGAAGTAGAAACGCAACGGGACAAGAACGCCCCGTTCAGGATCACAAGCAAAGTCCTAGCAAAAGGTCCATCCCCAAGCAACGGAGAGATGCGTCACGAGTGGCGAATAAGAGACGGCGTACGGAGTTGGTGTTGTGAATGAAAGAGAAGAGAAACGACCCGGAGGCTCAGGAAGCAGAAGGTGAGCTGAGGGTGAGTAGCCACGATAGTGTTTCGCCTGACACTAATAATTGTACAACACCTTGGTAAAACACGAAGCTTGATTGAGACCCCGGATCGTCGCCAGGGGTGTCAATGAGCTTCGAAATTGCTTAAAAATGTGAGCGGAGCAAACCCAACGAACGCCCTCTGAGCCTCCGAGGAACTGGCACATCGCCCGAAGAAAACGCCAACCAGTCAGTACTCCCCGAGGGGAGATGGTCTAACGAAATCTAGCCCTGCGCCACCAAAAGCGCGGTGGCCCCTTTTTGACGTTGGTCTCCAGACAAGCGGGCGCCCTCGACACTGACCAAGCGAACGCACTCCGAGAGTCTGTAGGGTCTGAGATTCTTCATCCTTGACGCCGAGTGCACTTTCAGCTCCTCGCGTGGCGAGCCCCAATTACAGCAGGATCACAACTGGCTTGAAACCAAGGCTCTAGTTCTGCAGGCCAAGGGGTACAAGGTCGCGGTGCCTTCCCTGATGCCCAATGGCTGAATGGGTTTTTCCATCAGCATTTTCCACCCAAGGACTTTGTACTACGCGCACTCAATTTCCTTCACCGTTGGCTACGAGCTTTGCTGCCGATTGGCAGAACCAAGCAAAGAGAGTCTCCAGAAGGGGTATCACAAGTTCGATAGTTCACATGTTGCTTATCCTTGGGTCTCGCGTGTCGTCTAGTGATGCCTGGTAAGTCCACATCAGCGCCTCTCTTTTCTACAACATGGAATCAACGCGATGAACGACTCGAGCTTTGGACGCCACGTTCGAATCTGGCCAGCCGCCAAACTCAGCCCTCCCGGTCTGACCAACCCTGTCCATGGGCCATGAAGATCCCGAATGGGATACAGGTCGCCCGCAAGTGCGCCATGATGCCTCGTTGGGACTTTTGCCAGCGGACATCCGTACAGCAGCTGGCCGGCTCAGCCTCAGCGTTCAAAATGTAAGGATTTCCCCGTCATGCTATCGAAGCTCCTTGTAGTTTCTTCCCTTCTTTCCTCACAGAAAGTTCCATTGTACTTCTCACTGTCTTCCGAGGTTGAAACCACTACGAGCCCGCTGGCCATTGATCTCTCTTTTCAGGCTTAAGGCTCTGGTTGGCCACCCATTCTGCATCTTTCCGGCCACGAACTGCAGAGCCATGGACGTCCTTTCAATTGAGTCATGTGTCCAGACAGGTTAGTTGAGCAAGCTCATTTCTCTCCTAGCTCTGTTTTTGCACTCCGATTATGGTATCCATGCTCGAATACATCACTATCAGTCCATTCACTATCAGTCCATCAGCATCAAAGGTGTGCTCGGCCAACCCCAGATGCACACCCTACTCACCCGGCCATTCCACGCGACAGACCCTAAGGATGGTATGGCTGCCTTGGCAACGTACCTTCCTCATAGAGAGCCATCCACGGCTCCTGTTGTACCACGATACCACTCATCATGCACTGCTAATAGCCGGATCATAACTGCAATTTCGGATTGGACCTCGTGGTACTTTGTATCTGATAACACTTGACTAACCAGAACTTTTCAACAGTCATTGGAGCATTCCTTGATGCTGCGAAATTGGTACAACGACTGCAGCAGAAGGCTGCCACCTCAGAAGAGTTCATTCTGCCTGAAGATCTGATAAGGGACTTTGAGACCTCACTGTCTCTCGGTTCAATAACTGTCAAAAGCCAGTATGACCACGACTTCCGCCGTTTCGGCGAGACATATGCTCGGGGCGATTCCATCGCCCGCGAGCAGATGAAAGACGTTGTTATCACTCTTCAAAAGGTCAATACGCATCTGCGTGAAGTGTTCATGGACGATGCATCACTGGATCTCACCATGCTGAAAGAAACTTCGGACGACAGCCGAGTCAATGCGATAGTGTGTCTCGGGCAGCTGTATCAACGGATGTCAACGGCTGCAGCTTCGATGAAAGAGATGTCCAGGTCATACCGTGGCGGGAACGATCAGCACGCGACTCTCAATACCCTGGCTTATTCCAGCAGTCAGAGCACCAATTCGTCCCTGGCAAGGAGACCCTGGGACAGCCGATCCAGCACGTCTTACACCAGTTGCAGTACCCGAACTGCTGTTGAAGGTGACCGAAAGCCATCTAACGAGCTTCAGTCACAGCGGCGAATGTCACTGACTTCGGCTTTCTCCTACTCGAGCGAGCGAGAACCATACAAGAGCCGCGTGTCCGAGGAAGATGTCACACCTAAAGATCCTCCTCCTGTTCAGCGTCACTCGAGTCAAAGCCAGCTTCACGATCAAGCAGAAATTACATGCAATGGATCAATGAACATTAACGATGCAAAAGCTACCTTGACAACCAGTCCCGAGCCGAGGCGTGACTTGTCGTTCTCTCCACCGGGCTTGACTCCTCTCGTTGAAGATACTACTGATACAGAGCCAACGTTGCAACAGTCTGCAATTACCATGAACTACGATGTTCAGGGCTCAGGACAGTCGTCACCGCGTTCTCCTGGGTCCCAGATCGACGTCAAAGTATCTCCCCCTGTATCGACATCTTCGTTGCACGAACTCGAAAACACCATTGCGTCAATGATGGTCGCGCCGCTAGCAACAAATCAACAGAATCGTGTACCCATGAATCCTGAATACAGCACGCTAGAATGCGTACCGTCCGTCGGTGGTCAATGGCATCCAGTACCACCAGTCAATCGGCAAGGCTATTTGCAACAGGATAGCCAACAAATACAGACGTCGCACTTATCGTCCAACCACACCTGGCCAATAGCACAAAGCCAGCCAACACAGATATATCCAGAGTCTGAGCAAACCACATACAACGATATAGGCCCGGTGACCATGACAATGCCGATCAATCCTGCTCCGACAAGAGTAAGTATGGTAGCCGAGGTACAACCAGCAGAGTGTTAATAGTCAACAGGCTTTCACAGGGTCATCGATACCCAGACCACTATCGATCCGATCATCCAGTTCAGCAGGCTCCAAGGTGAGCGGCTTCACCCTTCGAAAAGCACTCCCTCCTGGCATCGTTGGCGCCATTCACAAGAATGGTTCTAGCGCAAACAAAGCGCAAGTCAATGACCAGCCTCGATACGTCAAGCCACAGAGCCGGCCTCCACCGGTTCACTCATCAGAACTGGCCAGCGACCCCATTCACACTGTACAGGCAAGCACGGCATGGATGAAACTGCCACAAGCGAGTGTGCGTCCAGTCACGGCTTCGTCAGAGTCAGTGACGAGGGCACCAAGCTCGCCTCACTTACACAAGTCTCGGTCAGAGCTAAACCTACCAAGTGAATCGAATCTGGCGGGCTTCTGCAAAGGAGCTGTGCGGCAGCAACTTGGTGGTCGGAAAAAAGCCTTTACATTAGACCATAGAAAGCCCAGAAAGGGGCACGAGTGGTTTTTCAAGTGCACGAAATGCAATTTTGCTGGGCCAGCAACGGTGTCGGCGGCTCTACCCAGTGGAGGTCGAGGAGCGGTCAAGCGGGAAAAGACTTTCGACACCAGTGTGAGAAAGACACCCGAGGGCATCCAGTACCGCTGGGCATTCCTTGCCAAGAGCCACGTCTTCAATAAGGCACATCACAGCGACTTGATTAACAGTGACGATGTATACGGCTGCTATATCTGCTGCGCGGAAGGAGTCGGGAAGGGTTGGCTGGCGGCTGATTCCAATCTGGACGGGCAAACGCCGACGTTCAGCGGGCTTCAAGCCTTCATGGCGCATCTGGAAACACACCGAGCACCACACCGAGTTCCGGGGTTGATGGTGGCAAATGAGCTGAACTGTATCGTGGGTCGGGTTGCAAGTGAGAATGAAGACTTTGATCTGAATCTGCCTCCGTTGGTAATGTAAGAGCGGATAGTCATAGTCACGAGGTGCAACCAGCAAACCGAAGCGTGAAAGGAGGTTAATGTCCGGAATGTAAGTCTAGATGATAGATGGCTCGGCGCTTGATTACGTTATTTGGACCAGGAGTATTTGCCAGGAAGAACCGCGACGGAGATGGCTCGGTGCACCATGGCCAAGCAAGAAGCGCCCTGCCAACCGCGAAGCCAGGAAGCGGTTGGGTTCGAGCGACGCTGGAGATAATGGACACAGGCGGTGGATGTCGGCGGAGGCTTAAGTGAAGAGCCTCGTTTTTCCCTTTCTTTGTTGATGTGCCAGAAATAACTATCGAGACCTGATGATGCCAATTCTCATGATGGAAAAGATCACACATGTGGAAGGATAAAAGAGGGGCCAAGAAAAAAGAGTAAACGTTTTGGAACAAAGTTCTGGAAGTGACGGATGAGGCCTTTTTCTGTTCTCAGCGGAGGATGCATCTTGTTAGTCATCTGTTGGTGGAGTGAATCGTGCAAGATCCAGGAAACTCGGTGTAGAAGGAATCAAGGTGTATCATCACGTGAGAATCGATGTCGTCCAGATTTGTCTCGATACGGGTACGAAGGCGAACACAGGAAGACACAAGAGCCTCTCTTGAAACAACAACACGGAGAAGATGCTGGTGTCGAGTGTGTTCGTGTTTTTGGCTTCCATAATCCGGTCATCTGCCATTCCGCGGCACCCAAGATCCGAGTACAGCAAATGATCAGGTTATCAGCTCCACCCATGAGATCAATATCCGGCATCCCGTCGACTGGGGCTTATAATCAGAGGTACCACCGTCCAGTGTCACAATGTTCGTTCAAATATGGAGACCCGAGTAAAAAAGTACCGTAAGCAGAAAGAAATGCGCCCCGCTGGGCCGTAGATCCCGCCCAAGCATGGGCCATGGCTGGTCAAGCTGCGATTGTTCGAGTATGTCGAGCCAGTAGGGACGAGCAGGGAAGAGTCAAGAGGACGAAAACGGATAATCAAATTACGGATGACAAGATGCATCGTTAATTTTTCTACAGTACGGAGTACTTGAACTTGGTGTTGAAGCCTCGTTCCACCATCAACCGGGTCCTTTTCTCTTACTCTTACATCCACCACTCACGCTACATTTGTACCTCACTTCGGAGGATCCTTTGGTTCCTCGTCGTCTCCTCGCCAACGACGCTCTCCCTTTCCGGACTGCACAATTACTCCTTTGGGAACATCTCTAGCCCTGTTATCAAGCGTGGACCTCGTTTGTCAGAGGTCGCAACGTTCATCCGGCGCTCAATCCTCCTTTTGGCCTTAGCGAAGTCTCGGTCCATATCTTAAGACTTCGTTTCTGCCGATTTGACCTACAGCAGCTACGGACACAGACACCGCCGTCAGCGAACCCTGTTTTCCGCTTCTCCATCACCGCACGATATTGCCTTGTCCCTCTGCGTCGTCGGATATGGCGAGCGATGTTTATAACCACCATCCCTCCCTCGAGCCGTTTCCTCTCTTCATCGACTCGGCTCCTCCCAACTCTGCCAACTACTTCTCCTCTCCCATGGCCATGGCCGCCATTCAACTCCTCTCGACCTCTGCTTCACCTTCGTCCCACGAGGGCAAGCGTCGTATCTCTGTGCCGGCCAAGGTCTCCAACTACCTACGGCTCCGCTACTACCAATATGAGGTCACCTTCGGTCTGTATGTCATGACGCCGATCGAGAAACTCGTCTTCAACACCGTCGTCCTGGCCGCCTTCGCATTCCTAGTCTACGCTCTTTGCTGGGGGTTCGAGCCTTTCATCGTCAACTCTCTGTGCAGATTCGTCTACTACCTCACCGGATCTTATTCCAGCGCACCAGAGTTATGTGCAAATTCAGCTTAAAACAGCCGAACATTGGGTTGGACGCCTCATGGCAGACACCCAAGAGAATTCATGACCTACAGTGAGCTTACCGTAGGTCTCGATGAGGCGGAACAGAGTTCCGGAAGTGCCGGAAGCCATGGTACATTTGGGCCTCCACATTCCGGCACGCACTGCCGCTTTGTCAGAGGCTCAGGGCCGCGTTGGAAAGACCCGGGGCTGAATTCCGCAAATTGCAGAGTGCAAGTTTGCGAAAGCGAATCACGAATTGTTTCCTATTCAACATGTTACGCACTCAAGAATGATGTTTCTAACAGATCTTCCCTTACCCAAGAAGTCTGTTGTCTCGACTCTCGACCACACCGGCTTCAGGACGTTGGCTACTGTGTCGCTCACCGACCTCCTCCCCTCAACGACCCTGGGCGCGGCTCCGGGACTGGCAATAAACATGGGACCAACGTACAGCAACCACGATCGTGGAACGGGGGAAGTTTGTGGTGTGGTTGGGTACGTGACACCGCTTTGTCGCTCGCTATTGAACAGACCGACCGACTTTAATGACTGCCTCTTCCACTCTATAATGCATCCAGGCTTTCTGGACACGATACTGGTACGGATACAATTCTCACAACTAATGCGAATGTTTCGGAAGATGGCAGACGAGGCCGAGTTGGCTTTTGGATTCTAGATGCTAGAAGCCTGGGCCAATGAATTATTCGGAGTACCGATATGCTGGAAGTACTTGCCCAGCCCCCTGGCCTAAATAGGCCCTTACGACTTCATGATAGCGAAATATTGGACGCGCAGAGATATCCATAGTACTTTCGAGTACTCCGTACTCCTACTCCGTACTCCTACTCCGTACTGTAATAATGTAATGTCGTTAGCAATGACTGATAACAGATGCTAACTCGGCTTTGTTTGATTGTTGGTCGTCGAATCGCTTTGTTTGTGCGGTCTGTCAAGAAGCGATACACGCCAGGACATCGTCGGGGATTTGGGTAAAGAGTTGTCCCAAAGCCCAATCTAAGTAAGAACTTCGCAGTCCACGCCGTGGGAAATCAGCTACGTAAGGGACTCTTTTCAAGCTCAACTGTTTTCCGGGAATTGTACCATCAGGGTCGATCCGACGCAGGGAGAGGGACTGACCAGCCCCTGGGCCAGTCAGAGTCGCTCGTTCATCTCCCCCGTATTGCGCCTTGCTTGTTCCTGGATCCTGAGACACGCCAAATACGTTTTGGCCAGCTGAGACTAAGCCACTTTGTGCCACGTTTGACCGCAGTTACGCAAGCCCCGGGAAAACAGAACCACGCCCCCGTTCGAATGCTCTTGTATGGTCTATCGCAGGAATAGAACACCCTCATCTCCTTCTCAGGCTATCTCTAAACCTTACCTACCGACTCTCGTTCTCGTCGGGGTCCGCCATTGCCACCCCAGCAGCGATTGTGGCTTTGTCACTTTCCGATGAACCAGCTTCTCCCTTGTTCTTCGAACAACTTCCCGCGCCTCGAGCATCTTTACCTGCACCGGCAAGGACAACATTAACAACCAGCAACACGCGAGATCGAAACACTCCTTTGCAATTTGACTCACCCTGGCAGCTGTCATTGCGCGGGGAGGTCGAGTTTCCAACCTGTCTCTCGTCGGATCTGCTATTCTGTGGCCTGCCCTCACGCGCCTAAGATTGCTTCCAGACTCTGGGAAACCAGCAATTCAATTCCAACAAACACAACGTCCTCTCCGTTCACCGACCACAGATGCAGTGATACCGGTCGCAGTCACTCGTTTCCGCTCCACAGACGACTCTCTTGCCCTTGAGCAACTTCCACTCGCTTCGTCGCTTTTGTTTCCTTCCACCCTTCAGCGCCATGGCTGCGAATGACTACTATCGCCAGTCCTACATGGCACACTCTCAACAGTCTCTACCAACCAAAAATAATCAGCGACCCATGTCCCATGTATATTCCTATGATAATACGAACAGCGCGTCCAGTCTCGATCAGTCACGCCCTTCAAATACACACTCTCCTCATCGAAAACCATACCACGACCGCTATGACACTCAGCGCCCTCCCCAGTCGCCATCCTCCGAATCAATACCTCTCGAACAGCAAGCACGCGTTAATACAAACTCCGACAACTGGCGGCACCGGTCGACTCATTACCCTCCGTCGCCCGAATCGCAGATTCCGCAATCACTCCCCGAACCAGGCAAGAAAAAGAATAAATGGTTTTCGGGAAGAATTCCATGGGTTGTATACATTGTCAGTTTGGTTCAAATTACAGTCTTCATTGCGGAAATCATCAAGAACTGTAAGCAAGACGTCTGCACGGAGAGGCGGTCACAAAGCTAACCTGGGGAAACAGCAATAGTAACGGGCTCGCCTATCATGATACATCCTCAGTTTAATCCTATGATCGGTCCTTCGACCTACATTCAAATCAACATGGGCGCACGTTTTGTACCTTGCATGCGGGTAACACCTGGTGTTCAAGACGCCAACCCGCCTGTCGTTTGGCCTTGCCCTAATACCACCACTTCGGATTCGAACGCAGATAGCAATCACTGTACTCTCGGCGAGTTGTGTGGTTTCTCTGGCTTCAACAACGAACACCCGAACCAATGGTTTCGTTTCATCGTCCCCATGTTTCTACATGCTGGACTTGTTCATATCGGTTTCAACCTTGTCCTGCAACTTACTATGGGCCGGGACATGGAGAAAGCCATTGGCAGCATTCGATTTGCCATTGTCTATTTTAGTTCGGGGATTTTTGGATTTGTTCTGGGTGGAAACTTTGCAGCCACGGCCATCGCTTCGACAGGGTGTTCGGGATGTCTCTTTGGCATATTGGCCCTAACCCTCCTGGACTTGATTTACGCCTGGAACGAGCGACGCAGCCCCGTCAAGGATCTCATGTGGATCCTGGTCGATATTGTCATTTCCTTCGTTCTGGGCCTGTTGCCTGGGCTGGACAATTTCTCCCATATTGGTGGCTTTTTGATGGGCCTCGCCACCGGGTTGTGTCTCTTACACTCTCCTAATATCCTTCGCCAGCGCAACGACCAAGCACCGGGAACATATCGCAATGTTGAGTCAGAGGTGGACATCACGAACCCCAAGCGGCCAATGCTCGAAACTCCCGCGACAACGGCAGCACCCGCGAATGTCGCCGCGTTCGCAAAGGAGCCAGTGGGCTTCTTCAAGGGCCGCAAGCCTCTCTGGTGGGGATGGTGGCTGCTACGTGCTGGTGCGCTGATCGGGGCACTCGTCGCGCTCGTGGTGCTCTTGAACAATTTCTACAAGTACCACGACAAGTGCTCGTGGTGTAAATACCTGAGTTGCTTGCCTGTGAACCATTGGTGTGACATTGGGAATCTGAACCTGAGCAACACCGGCACGTCGAATGGGACGAGCAATTCAAAGAGAGATTTCTTGGTCCAAGCGGGCATGGTGTTGACCAGGGATCTATTCGATATCGATGCCATGAGAGGATCGCTCGAAGTTAATTCTCTCTTTTGAATTGATCTTCATTTTCGTCTTCAAAAAATCGCGCCCTTTTCGGAGTTGGGAATTTGGTTTTAACGTACATCTTGATGAGATGAAGCCAGAGAAAAACAACGAGCATAGCATAGTATAGCATAGTATATAGCATAGCGTGGGCTGGAGTATGGAGTTTTTCAAGAAAGGTCTAGGTACCTACCAAAGGGTACCCTCAGGTATTACTATGGTATTAGGTACTAGGTGTGCGGAGTACCTCAGGTTGAAGACTGGCGAAAAGGTACATAAGTATTATTAGTTAGTATATTGGCCACAGACCAGAATTACACAACTTGCACACTGTACATGCTGGAGGAGGGTACCAACTAGTATCATTGATATTCTACCTAGATTCTTGCGATGGTTGCTGGTGCCCAGTGGAGGAGAGGAAGTGTACACCCGGGCTACCAAATCACGCACGGCGGAGATTCGACTTTGTGAACTTTGTGAACTTTGTGAATAAACCATTCGCGACACTTTGCTGCTGTCTTGCTCCACGAAGACCCCTGATGGCTTCCTCTCTCCCCCTCAGCTAAGTACGGATGTACTCGTAGTCTGTATTTATGGAGTATGTCAAGATCTCAGGCCCCTTTTTCCTTTAATCTGTGAGTTTTGATACGTTCGGACATGACCGTCCACAGACAGACAAACAGACAAAACAGACAGATAGATGGACTGCCCCCCCGGCAAAAAAGAAAGGAAGCCTTCTATTTAAAACCCAACAACAACGACAACCGTCGACTCCATCATCCTTCGACGATGAAATGAGCCTCGGTCGGGTTCTGGTCGTTGATCTTCAGAATGTCTTGCGGACACGCACTCATGACGCAGACGCAGTCGACGAGGGCCTCGAACGTGACGTACCCGCCTTTGGGGCCGACGGGCCTCGCGAACTGCAGATCGGCGCCCGCGGTCCGGTTGTCGGCGGCCCTGGCGTGGGCCGGGTCGAGGGGCACGACGGGGATGTTCATGAACAGGTTCAGCGGCTGCGGCGCCGTCATGTGCTCGGGCAGGGCGTACGGCGTGTCCCGGGCCACGGCGGCGTGCAGGTTGTCGGTGCAGCTCTCGTGGTACTGGTCCCGCGGCACGCCGAGGAGGTGGTAGCGCTCCCGGTCGCAGGCCGCCATGAGCGTGTCGTGGACGCCGGGCGTCGTGTCCTTGACCATCTTCAGCAGCGGCAGCCGCGTGCTGGACATGAGCGTGTCGCCCTCGACGGGCGTGAGGCGCGTGAGGGTCGCGCGCGTGTGCGACATGCTCGTCCACGTCGGCAGCGTCGAGGACCCCGTCGCCGGGATCGTGAACCCCCAAAAGTCGACCACCTGCGTGCCGTGCGTGTTGAACACCGTTATCGTCTGCCCTTTCGACACCGGCACCGCCGCGCCAGACCGTGCCGGGATCGTGTGCTTCGTGTTGACCGCGTACGGGGAAGACATGATGACGACGATGGTGGTGGTGTCGGTGGTATTGGTGAGAGCAGGAGGAGAAGAAACTATGTGTGTATATGTGATTGTTTTTGTTTTTATCAAACAAGAGAAGCTCAAGCGTGGGCTGTAAATGAATGATGGACGACGGGGAGTTTTCCTTCGATACCTACCTGCTGCTGGGTTTCACTCGGCCTGTTGACTTTTATATAATGCCATGCTCGAGATAGTGGATGTCGTTGATCTCCGTCGGACTCGGACCCAATCAACCCTGGAAACTCTGCTATAATGGGCACCACAGGAACAGAGTCTGCTGGGCCGACTAGTGAGTGGCTTTGTGTGTATGAAAGCTGGAGTCGTGCCTTCGTCGTCGATCTCCGTGCGGTGAGTGAAGAAGAACGAAAGAAATGTCAAAGACACCACAGATCTGGGAGCTTCCATTGTGTCGGAGCCCACTGCCTAACAAGAATCCAGGCAGAGTGAGCCCCCCATCTCCACCGGGTCTGTACCACGACGGACGTGTTCACGGATGAACGTCTGAGGGGACTGGACCACATGGTAGGGTAGTACATCGGGGAGGTGCCTGAGGTTGGGATGTTGTCGAGACCCAGGGGTTCAAGCTCCGGCCTGTAGAGGACGCATTTTCATGGGACACAGAGACCGTCGACGCGTGACGCTAAAGCGGCGCTTGAACTAGACTTTGCACGTCTCGACGTGGAGCGACATCCAACTACTACGACACAGCTGGGACTGTTCGTTGAGCTCACTTGTCTGGCTTTATCACGCGTCAAACAATATACTCTCTTATGATAAAGTAATCTGCAAACACACGACCAATGCGAAGCCGAGGACTTCGTTTCAACCTCAAAACTTACGTTGATTCCGTCAAGGGAAACACCACCGACTCCTTAAGCGCCATGCCTCCTCCGACCCCCCGGTCCAACAGAGCACTGCCTTGGATGGAAGATGACGTGCCCATCATAGATTCCACAGAGAGCTTCTCGGACGTCACGTTCAAGGTCTTCACGTATATCGCAAAGGCCGTCGATGCCGCCTACACATATGAGCAGCTCCGCACGTCGGTTGTTGGACAGACCCTGAAACCACTAATCTCGAAGCTCAGCGAAGATTGCCACCACCCTGCAGTTGTGGCCGCCCTTCTAGCTGCAAGATATCTATTTACCAATGACTCCGGAGACACAGATAGTGGCCTCAATGAAAGCAGAGGGCTGGCGTGTGAGTTGGTTGCTTGGCAGTTTCTCACCTTCTTGTCCGAGAAGGAACTGATCGACTACCTCCTGTACGAACTGCCAGAGTATTCTGAAGATACCTCTTCCGAGCATGCCACACCTCAGGGCAACGGTAATCACAGAGACAGCATCGCAGACGAGGCGTCGCCGCTGATACGTGAACGGCACGACGAATATGGTGGGCTTCGGCCGCCCAGGCGCGTCTCTGTTGACAACCCGGCCGGCACAACGGTCAGCTTCCCTGGCGACCCGGATGGCTCTCCTCTCCTGAACCTTGATCAATCAATGGCTGGAATGAATGCTCTGGAAATTGCTGCCATTGGAGACGCGAAGAAATTTCTGTCCCAAAATCCTGTTCAGAAGATTGTCGAGGACATCTGGAATGGGGATGTCATCTTCTGGGAATCGCTTTCTGTTCATGCCGTCAAAAAGGCCAGAATGTACAACAAGCGCGTTGCTGATCCGTTCACGCGTTTACGGGTCCCCAAATACCAGAAAACCTTCCAAGTGGCTTTCTTCATCTCCTTCCTCATCCTCTACTATGCTGTTCTGGTTGAGCGCAACCCTAGCCACATCACCCCCACGGAAGCCGTACTGTATGTCTGGATTGCTGCTTTTGCGTATGACGAGTTTGGAGAAATCAAAGACGCCGGCTTGATGTTTTACCAGACAGATTTCTGGTCGCTGTGGGACATTGCGATAATTGGCGTGAGCGCGGCCTTTGTCGTGATGAGTAAGTCCTTCCTGTATTTTTGGGCACTTGCCAGCTACCTAATGTACACACAGGGATCATTGGACTCATGAGAAACAGCGACTATCTCATTGACGTGGCGTTTGATATCTTGTCGATGGTGGCCTTATTTCTGGTGCCGAGGTGTGTTTGCTCTTAGTTGTAGGGGACCAGAGGCTGATTATTACAGGATCTTTTCTGTCATGAGCCTAAACCCTTATTTTGGAAGCTTGGTATGTCGAAAACTCGATATCTCGTGGTGGCTGTCGCTGACGTCTCTTTCCAAGATTCCCGTACTCAAGGAAATGGTATGTTGCTCTCGTTCACTGTGGGCGTTTAAAGGTCTGACAGATGCTAGACCAAAGCATTCTGCAAATTTCTTCCCGTCATTATTGTGCTGTACCTAGGTAAGGAGAGTGGTAGATAGTGGTATGTATCTGCTGATCACCAAGATTAGGCTTCTTGACTACCTTCACCATGCTCGCTCGAGATCGAATGACGTTGAATGAGATGTCGTGGATGCTGATAAAGGTCTTCTTTGGGTATGAGGCAATATTCCGCGGTTTTCGCTCATGCTTACAAGCTGTGCAGATCGAGCTATCTTGGATTCGACATGGCTGTCAAGGTATGGATTCCGTCCGTGGGAGCTGCAGCAGTCTGAATTACTCACTGATTTGTCGCCCACAGATCTCTCCACTGTTCGGATACACATTGATGTACGTTTGCGCTGTCGCTTCGTCTGAAGTCCCCTCAATACGGTCGCTCAGCGTCGAGACAATCACGCGCGCTTATTTCTTTGGTCCTCGAACACCCAAAGCATGGGGCGAAAACTGACGACCTATTCCCAACCCACGGGCAGAAAAAGGCTTGCTAATTTTTGGGCTGTGCGGTAGGCTGATTTTTGTGTGCTTGACGAACATCTTGCTCATCACATCACTCGTATCGTTAGTCTCGAACTCTTTGACCGAGGTGAGTTCCTTATCCTCTGCGAATTTGCCCTGGTGTGACCACACCTGACCTGCGGGCCGCATAAACGCGACCCCTTAAGTCTAAGCGCCGTGCAGATCAGCTCAAGTCTGATTGGTCAACAGGTCATGGCTCATGCCAGGGAGGAATACCTCTTCCAATATTCAATCTATGTCCTCGAAAGCAGCACCTCCCGGCGACTGACCTACTTCTTGCCGCCGCTCAACTTGTTCCCGCTGCTCTTGCTGCGACCGCTCCGGCTAGTGCTTCCCTCAGAAGACGTTCGCCGAATACGCATCGCAATGCTCAAGGCCACCCATGTCCCTTTCCTCGCCATTATCTGGACTTATGAGAAATCTATGCGCATGGTATCTCGTGCTCATCCAACCATAAGTAAGGCTCCGCATTTGACAAGCCGGCCTCTCAGTGCGGGCCAATTCAGTCTTGGTGGTGCTCAAGATTTTGTGAAGTCCCCGTCGAGCCGACGCGCGCTTCCTGACGCTTCTCCAACGAGAAGTCCCGATGTCACAGGTTCCACCACGAAGTCTGCCTCGGGCGGTGCCGAGAACACTGAGCTTTTGGCCCTTGTTCATAAGCTGAGCGCTCAGGTCGATGGCTTGACTGCTATGGTGGCCGGCCAGCAGAAAGACTGATGACCATCTTGTTCGGACACCCACCAACTACCGCTTCTTCGCTCTCGCGCTCGGGTAGGGCGTTAGTGGGAAGCACAGCATCACTACGTGGTCCAGTCTTTGCGGGGTCAATAAGTTGTAGACTTTGGTTGAAGGGTGGCCCACTGACAGAAGCCCACTCTGCTGACTTCAACACCAACAGCCCCCAAATCAGGATGGTACCGATGCTTCCGAGCCTGGGATTTGTTGAAGCGGTCTTTTTGACCAGGTGCAACCTAGGTTGTACTCTAATCTATGGCTCGACGTGCGTCTACGCAATGCAGGCATTGCACTCCAGGCACTTCCGGCGGGTTACCCTTGCTGGAGCCTCTCGCTCTTCGATTCCCTCATACTGGACCGCACAGGCTGCATCAATGCGCGAGGTTGAGGTCCCGGGAGACAGCCAGGTCAACTCTTAGTGTTCACCGCCTCCTATTGAAGCAGCACTGCCAGATAGGTCTCTTGGTCGTCACTCATCTTCTTTGAGTCATGTTGCATAATACCGCGGGGAGCGCAGGACAAAGGTTGGGCACTGGATCGATCATTTCCATTTGTCTCCTGATAAGCTCAACCACCCCCGATCACCGAGAAATCCAGCGATTTTTCTATCGTATTTACTTTTGACAATATAGTTTCTGTGATTGCGCACATCTCAGAAGCCTGTCTCACTTCCCCATCCTCCGATTCCTCAACTTCTATGGCCAGCATGTCATTTGTAAACGATGAATATGTGCATCTACGAACCTCGATCATTTCCGATCATATCCAGAGTCGCGCTCCGTCGTATTTGAAGCGCGACATATCACTACTTACTCAACATTCCATACTAGATGGTGTTGACCATAACTTCGACGGACGGGGGCCACACCAGACATACGAATGGACATCTCATCTCCCTCCGTGGTCATTTCCATCTCTAGATCCCGAGATACCGCTCATGACGACGATGACATCCCCTGGGTCTTGCTCCTGGAGCACCACTGAAACCTTTGCTCCATTCACGGCTTGTGAAACAGAAGGAACTGATATAGATAGTGACAGCTATTTGTGGTGTCAGGGGGAAACGGACGCTGCTCATCAGGATTTTTCGGCAACTACCCAACCTCTTCTGTGGGTCTCGCATATGCATCAGGGCACAGCTCGATATGAACTCATGGGCAGTCCTTTCATGGGTCTGACATCGGGGGTTACAAATCTGCATGGTCCATCTATGTCATCGGTAGCAGCGTGCGGACTCAATTGCTACGACGTCCTTCCGAACCATCTCGAAATCGGCGGCAGCATAACATCCAATCGTTCCGGAAGCTCAACATATCCAGCTGTCTGTACCGAGCAAGATGCACTTGCCAAGGCAGTACCGATGCCTCCCTCCGTGTCGAAACCAAGCGATCCTCTTCCGCTGAGCGAGGAAGAACAGGTAGCTCGGTGGCCCAGAAACAAAGGGCGGCTGCGGCCAAGGCCACCGGTGTCTTGCTTGATATGCAACACGCGCTTTGATCGGCCCAGCGACCTCAGGCAACACATGTACGAGCATGACGGACAGCACGAATGTACAATCTGTGGCAAGAGATACCATGAGAAATACCAGCTCAGCAACCATGAGAAGAGTCACGCCGGGCCGCATCCCTGCGCGCAGTGCCCCAAAATCTTCGAGAAGCGCTCGTCGTTGAGGTCTCACTTGGCTACACATGAAGATTCTCCTAAGTTGCTAGTGTGCCCGGTGAGTGGCTGTGGAAAGCAGTACCGAAGAGGAGGCTGCCTGAACCGTCATGTCAAAAGCGTACGTCTTACCACCACACTGGCAAGGTTGGAAAAGTCTCCAAACCGCTGACGCTCAATTGTGCATTTACCAGACTCACCAGCATGGAGAAGACTACAGGTGCCGCCACTGTTCAAAGGCATTTCGGCGGTCAGATCTTCGAGACCGGTACGTGTGACGATTCAAAACACCCACACCTGCACCTACACCTGCATCTGCACTTTTGGCCGGCCCTAGAGAGACACTGTCAACGTGAGCATTACGATGCAGGGGCAGCCAATCATGGCTTGGCTGAAGTTGCAGTTGCAGTTTTCTATCTGTTGTGTTTCTTCATTTTGTCGGCTCGGCTGTCGCCACGCCGTCATGAGCATGGCTTTTGCTAATGTACGATTGTGTTATCTATAGTCATGAGAAGGACAACTGCCCTGGGATACCGAAAGCGAAGAAGCCGAAGCACTCACACTGAAGCTTCAACCACAACAGAAATCCCAGAGACAATCCAACATTGGTCCCTGGACGGGCTGAATCAGGAGCATCGTTACACCACTCAAGACAGCACATTGTCAAGATCCATTATGACTGCTGCTTCTCTGATCCTCTCATTCACTTCTTTTTGTTTATCGTCTCCGTCGCTGTTGGGGTCTTGTCGGAGCAAATTGACGACCAGTACTCTGATGTTTTTGTACCGAGGATCATCAATGTCTGGAGCTGTGGCGGAACGTGGTACGACGTCCGAGATTTCCGTGTGGGCTACTGAGTCCTGTTGCCGCGCGATTCCTTCTAGCCTTTTTAGCAATTCTCGACCGTTGCCACCCAAAGTAGTCAGAATTTCAGATCTAGTGTTTGGTATGGTGGACAAAAGACCCAGGCCGAACCAGGCCTCTGCCTCGGTTCGAAGCATCGAATTGGATGGTGTTGGTGGTGCCGCGGTACCTTGCGGCTGTGGCTGCGTGATGATGAACGCGATGGTGTCGGCGACAGTGACGGTTATGTCGGGTCGCTGCAGCGGGCATGAGATGAGATGGAGCAGTCTGCTCTCGGTGAATTGCGAGGACGAGGATGACGTTTGGTTGGTTTTGAAATACGTGCGCAAAATCTCAATGTAGAATCGACCTATTTCGGTCCTCGTTCGAACGTCCTTGGTGTTCTGGTACAGTGACAACAAATCCGTCGTGATGCTGCCATCTCCTTCAGTTTCGGTTTCAGGATCGAGGCTGGACAAACTCGCCATGCGGTCCTTGATCAAAAGCCGAGCGAGAGCGACTGACTGGCGCTGGATCTCGATTCCAAGCGCGTCGGTGGCGGCGGTGTTTGGGTCCAAGAGACGTCGAACGACGGAGGCCAGGAGCTCTTGCTCGCACAGCGCCTCTTGGCCCTCGGGGGTCAGCGACAGCCGCGTTGCGATGTCGACAGCAGGCAGGACGAGCTCCTTGTCCGAAGTGCCGCGCAGTATGGTGGAAACAGCGGTCGCGATACCGGTCGACTCGAGTAGACGTGCCGCTCGGCCGGTCGAGATGATGCTGTTGGCGATGAGGACGCACATGCTGGCACAGCATAGGCTGCCGCCCTCATCGTCCATCCCCGTACGAACACCAGAGTCAGTCCTGGAATCGGTCTGAAACCGCGCAGTGAGAGCCTGGATGCAATCGCGGATCAGAGCGGAATCGGGCTCGGAGTGCTCCGCATACGAGTCGAGCGACGAGATCTGGTAGACAAGTTTGAGGAAAGCCTTTCTGAACGGTGCGAGGGTCTCTTTGGCACCGACGGCTTCGTGGTCGGCGTCCAGTTCGTCTTCGCAGATGACGTAGGGGAGGTGGATGAAGTTCCAGAGACCTGCGTCGGCCGCGATGATGGCCTCGTGGCTTTCTGGCGACGAGAGGATGTTGAGAGTCGCCTGGCAGATTGAGACTTGGGCGTCCCGATCGTTCTTGATGACCTGCGTGCCTTTTGTGAGTAGACAGTCTAGAAGTCTCGAACACCGGTCCTTGAGGTCTTGTGATTTGAGGTCTTCTGAACCATCTGTGAGGGTTGCGGCGGGAGAAGGGATGATGTGATGGAGGCCGTACAGGGCCATGTGGCTTGCCATTTCTACGAGGTCCGCTAGGAGGCCGATGCAATGTTCTGCGGATGGGAGCATGTCGAGAAGAATCTCGATAGAGCTCGTGCTCTGTCCCGGTTGGACCGGCACGGCGAGCTTCTGTTCAGCGAGATTGACCGTCGGTTCTTCGGCGCCAGCGCGTTTATCCTCGCCGGTCTCGTGGAGGGGGGGAAGTGGCGTGCCGTCCTCAGCAATGGCTGGCGAATTGTACTGGTAGCACACATTGAACATTGTTGGTATGAGGAGGTCGCATTCTCGGTTGTGGTATGCCAGCGTCATCATGGCTTGGATCCCATTTCGTTTGACAATGACGTCCCGATTTGCATTGTTGTCTGCGCAGCAGTTTGCGACCAGGCGGAGCGCAGATCGTACTTCTTCTCGTTTCGACTCATCCCATGCTCTGGCGATGATCCGTCTGGCCACTTCCAAGATACAGTCTGGCGGTATTGACTCTGCAATATGTTGTTCGGATGCCTGAGAGCCGTGGGACCTGCCAAATCTTGGTCGCCAGAAGGGTGATTCACGAGTGATTTTAGCCAAGAAGCTGCTTAATCCTGGGTCGTCGAGTTGTCTTTGAAGGCTGATAGAGTCAAAGTATCTGGTCAAGTTGTCCATGCAAGCGTCGATGGACTGCTCGACTCTATCCGGGCTTGAGACATCCATCAGATTGACGCAGGAGGCAACATATAAAGGCGAATATGATGCCGGGGGTCTTCCACGTTGGAGTAACTCCTGGCGGAGATGTTCGCACGCTTGCAACTCCTCGCTGGCCATGACCCGAGATCTGATCCGAGCAGAATTGACCGACTCACCCGTATATGTGATCTGTTGCTGAAATAGGATCAAACTTAGAGAATCTCGCTGCCATGGTTTCGCCAGTAAATGAGCAGAACAAAGAGTGTTGCGGCGAGATCAATCACACCACCTTATTACAAGGGTGTTCTAGTGCCTTTGTCCCATGACAATATCCAGGAAGCCTTTATATAGCAAGTACTTATCGGAATGAGCTTCCATTTCGCGGAATTCTTGTATCCAAGGACACATGTGTGGTTGATGTGAATCGTCTGTAGAGACGTATGCCGAGGTGTGCCTGATACAAGTACCGCCAAGTGCACTACGGCCGAGCATAAGATCCGCGTCTGTGTCCTCCGACTGCATTGATCCAGACACGTCTCCTGTCCACTGTGTCGCGTCGGTTTCCTCTCAAAAGAATAAAGCACCAGAAGCACAAAGGGATTGTCAAAAGCCTCATCAACGTCCAGTGTATATTGCAGAAAAATATAACACTCTCAGCCGAAAACATGGGTCGCGCAGCTCAGACTATTTCCTTCGCTTTGTTGGTCTCGTCGGTGCGTGCCAAACTTTGGTCAATCGCTTCAATCACAGATCACAACTGACGTTGAGCAGGCATACCTTCTCCTAGCACTGCCGCTGTTGACCCCAGATTCGCCTGTGCCGTCCATTCTCCCGACCAAAATCCAGGTTGAAATTATTCCAGTTCTACCGTTCTGGGCCGTCATCTCACTGGGCGCATACTTGATGGGACGGCTCGGACTGGGAGTCTTGCGTTTCAACGACACCAAGGCAGCCTACACGGAACTCATGGGACAAATCGACGCAGCAAAGAAAAGCCTCGATCAGAGAAAAGTGAGCTGGGACTAAAGGCATACACAACAATTACAAGCACAGACGCAAAGCGGAGAGGTGCAGGCACAGACATTCAATCTACTGAAAATCCCTTCGGTCATGCATGTGCAATTCCTAGGCTCTAAAAAAGGAACCGAAACGATCTAGATAACGACCTCAAATCTATTTGGTGCCGTTGCCAAACTTCGCAGCCAGCTCGTCATGCTCGTCAATATCAGTCGCCTCCCAGGGATAACATATCCAAACATCAGGGACGGTGACGGCTGCAAGATACCGGTTCTCATTGATCATGTCTTCTGGGAGCTGTCCCTTCTTGACCTTGTCCTTGTTATGCAGCACGAAAATGCTGAATTTTGTCTTCTCAGTCCTGCCTTGCTGTTGTCTGGCCAGTTCGACGTCCTTTTCAAGTTCCTTGACCGCGTATTCTAGAGTTGTGCGGGTGTCGTCCACTTCATCGACGATCAAGACGTTCTTGCCGATGAGATTGGACATCTCGAGCGAGGAAAGGTCGAGCCACTGTGTTCGTGTGACCTTTGTACCCGGGGCCTCGACTGGTCCAGCATCGGAGAGCTGTTCGTAGAGGGAGAGACCGATTGCTTGGATAGGAATATTGGGAGCGCCGGGCTGCTTCAGGAACGATCTAGACATTTGAAATACAATGTTAGGTCACGAGGCTTTCCCAATACATGGTGTATCTGTATCTGTGAGGGCGTACCGTAGGATTCGCGCAGGAACATAACCACCGCCTCCAATGGCGATCATAAGATTAGGCTGGAACTCCTCGAGAATACGGGGCGCCGAAGTCTGGCATAGTTTATGGATCTGTTTGGAGGCATCGTCAATCCACTGATTGTCCACAGAGAGTGACTGCATCAGGCTTCATGCGGTGCGGACGACGCCGTGACGAACCTCATTATACGTTACGTAGACCTTTTCAACCATTTTGGCGAGGGAATTTTCGATGTTGATAGAGACAAGAGTCTAGAGTGTACCAAGGAGGGTCTAACAGAAAGAGAAGAGCGGTTTGTCTTGTCACATCTCGAATCACTCGCAAGGCCGAAACAGAACAAACAGCGGCCACAGAAAAGTTTCTCGCAGTGACTCCACGAGGCTTCGGCCGACCCCGCCACCGGCCCAGATTGAATTCTTGGCGCTAAAGGACGTCTCCAATATTCATATATATCCCTTGCACTCCATGGCGCAATGTCGCCGGTATGAGAGTTAAAATGATCAGGACCAATGCGAAATTGAGTGCTGCGGCTCAAAGTATAGTTTGGATTGTCATTCTCTACTACACTTAAACTGCAGTACCTATGTCAAGTTCCATGGATGAGCTCGCAACTTGTCTTCTACCTGTATGCATCCCCGTGTACGCCAAACCTAGGACCTGAATCCAAGCCGTGAGCCTTCTAGCTTGATCACGAAGAACTAGCAGGTGTTACATTGCTGGATACTCAGGCCTCCCGCTAATATATCGCAGCAGCAAAGATGAATGCTAGCCAAGGGGCAGTCCCAATGATTTCTGTGGACTCGCTGCCATGTCAGGTTCAAACTTTGGCCACATGTGCGGTGGTGTATAAGTCACTTCGGTAGGGACAGTGCTCGACTTGGATGACTTGATGCCATGTAGGCTTGAACCCATCTTTGCCTTGCAGCGTCGAAAACCATGAACATCCTGAATCCCTTTCGAAGATCTGACTTTTCGGTGCCGATGAGCGGCTTTCGATGGTGGTCGCCTAGAATGTATGAAGATCGGATTCCGCGATAGCAATCTCAACCTTGATTGACCTTCAGGTTCTCAATGCCTTCGACCTCGTCGACGAATTCAAGGCTGTCAAAGGCCTTGTCAGCATCAGCTTTGATGAGATCGATCATGCCCTGACAAAGATCAGCTCCTGTCAAGAACTTGCACATGTTCACACAAACCTCAGGCATGATCGGCCTGTTTGATGCATCAGTCACATATCGGAACGGCATCTCTGTCGTCTCGTGCTCATCCAGCCTCAGTTCAGGATAATCTACGTAGGGAATTTTGTCCAGGGGCACTGAGACGCTGTTAGACAAATTGAACAAAATATTCCTTTGGTCGTGTTGATATACTCTGATTCAGGATCACCATACGTGTTACTCGTACAGCTGTGTCTGTGGTCATCTGCTTCGGTCCAAGTCGCCTGCCGGAGAAGCCTTTCTTTCGCAGTTCACTTGTTCTGTCTGGACAGGCAAGTCAACAAGGCTCATAATTCAACGCAGTAAGCCATGTAATACCTCGCGGAGGGTCATCTCCTGTTCCAAAATATCAGCATCACCAAGTCAACACATTCCTTGTGAGTACACACCCAGTATTCCTCCAAACAGGAAGGTATCAAAGACCTGGGCATCAGAAGGGTTCAACTCTTGGCTTGCACCGGGGTCGAGAAGACAGATTTTCTCCTTCTTGGCCGCATAGTAGGTCTCGATGCTGTCTGTCCTGGCCTCTCCCCCGATACCCTGGATTTCTTTCAAGTCTGTAGATTCGAGCAGCGATTGAGGCACGGACGACAGAATAAAATGGCAGCCAGAATCCCGTGATTCCTTTGCGATGGTCTTGTATTCCAGAGCCGACCAAGGGCCCAGTTCTGGGTCAAGATGTTCGACCACGAAGGCGTACTCTGGGTGTGTCATGTCGACAATAGACTCTCCGGCTTGCCTGGCCTTCACACACTAAGATTCTATACCCTGCCGTTCTCGCCGAAAAAAAGTATCACAGACGGACGCTGCCAGTGGACATCTTGGGCAGGTTAGACGAGCGCACTACAGAGTTTAGCAGCCCGGCTTGATTAAGCGAGGCTGCGCTGATTGGCCGCGGATGCTGTCACTGGCGTTACTAGCGAGGCTGCGCCAAAACCGACTTCTTGCACTGCCAGCCAACACCATCATCTCGTACCCCAGACACCCAGACACGACACCAAGGCAACTTAACCAACACATCCACGGAACGGCCATCGACCCCACCTTAACAAACAACCTGCTGACATTGGCGAGGGAAAAACAATTCTACCCCTTGTGCTGCTTCTTTTCAGTTCACACTATCACGGCACTCTCCCTCCGAATATCTCGCAGCTACTATTCTTTTCTTCGAGGTCATTGACGGCAGCGAACGCTCGGACCATTTCAGTGACACAAACCCCTCCTCCATCTTTCTTCGCCCGTCCCACGAGAATCGAACGATTCCTCAATTCTGATCTATCCCTTGTTCACTTCGATCCTCCGGTGCGAAACTACCTTGCGTAGGACTGAACTCAATCACTTTCAACGTTATCACGTTGCGAGGCCGCAGCCTCAATCGGCAGGGGATCTGTTCCTTCGCCAACTACCTAAAAGTGCTGCCGTCTCCTTTGGCTGCCGTGCAAAGACTGTTTGGAGAGGAGAAAAATTTCTAAAGGGACAAGGAGTGCAAGATGAATCCACACCAAAAGAACAAGATCGACATCAGCGTATGCCCAAAGCCCAAACGACCGTGCTTGCTATCAGCTAACACGCTGTTCAGAAACTGTCTCCGGATGAGCAGAGACTGTTTAGACTCTACGGCAAGCTTCCGAACAAGTCAGATCTATTGCAGAACAAGTTGAAGGTACACAGCAGCCACACACCCGCCACACCCACCATCTCTTCTTCTTTTTGAATCCTACCCAGATTGCCAAACCAAAGTCTCTAACATATCATTCAGGAGCGCAAGTACTTCGACTCAGGAGACTACGCCCTCTCCAAAGCCGGCAAGGCCTCAGACACGGGCGTCACGACCATCGGCACCGAGCATCCTAAAGCCGAAGAGATCCCCCACACCAGTCCTCTCATGCACACGCTCTCCCGCAACGACTCGGTCTCTGGCGCGGCCGGGGCAGCCGCACTCGCGTCCAGCCCGGATGGACAACCCATGCTCCCAGGTCACGCCGGCATGCACCGCGGCAGCATAACCGGTATCCCAGGCGGTGGACTGCCGGGAGCCACTGGCCGCAGCCCAGTCAAGGAGAGCAGCTTCCTGGCCCGAAGTGCAAGCATAGACGAGGCGAACGTGGACGGCAGTGCAAGAGCTGACAACGTCAGTCTGGAGGGAAGCGTCAGTCCACCCGCGAAGAGAGAAGGGATCCCTATTCGCAGATAGGACAGAATGCAGCAAAGCTAGATCGTCCTTTACGTCTCGTCCTCGTACAAGGTTACAGGTTGTACAGACATGGAGGTAAGACGTGGAGGTGGAGGTGGAGGTGACACAATGTCCGCCCGATTAGCCGAGCTTTTCCTTTTCTTTTTTTCGTCACACACCGATCACTGCTTCGGTACGCATGTACTCGTGCACAATTGTCGATTCGCAATGGACAATCTACTCTCCCTAAGGGTGGTAACGCAAAGAGTCGAGACCGAGTTTGGACCGTGAGAGGGAAGAAGAATTCGGACAGAGAGACGGAGTTCTGCGCGACTATTAAAAAATGCTTTCCAAATGGCTTGGTCGACTGGCACAGCAGAGCGGAGGTACGCCGAGATGCTTACACACAATTTGACAACTGAATCCCATTGCGTGAAAGTAAGGGGGGGGAAACAACACTACAGGAAACAAGAAAGAAAAAAACAGTCCGTACGGACCTGGTCACACCACGATATGCTATGTTACGACAGCTGGACGCGGCGTTTTCTCGTTCTATCCCATAGTATGGAATGATTATTGATTCATTATCTCTGTGGGCTTCCTTGCTCGTCATCTTCTCCTCTTCGTCGCTTGACCTGTCCTATCTCGATGATGAAAGTCGAACTGTACGGAGTACCCAAGTCGACATTCTGTGCTCTTGCGTTTGCCTGGTAAACTTCATTGCTTAAACTTCGTCATCCCATTGTGTCCCCGACCCGGGGAGGCTCTTCGATTCCTTATTACCTCGGGGTCATGCGCTCAAAGGGGGTCCCGGGTCCCGGGTCTCTATCTATCCTTGTTCCAACCACGCCTTCTTCCATTCATTCAAATCTCCCAATTCGAGCTCCCAGCTCTGAAAATATCTCACAAGGGGGGGGGGGAGGGGGGGGAGGTGTAGTGTGGTCGAGTCCGCTGTGTCTCACTTCCACGAATCCGCTATAAGACTGTCCGCTTCGGCTCGTTGTGCCTCATCAGTAAACGTGTCGAGGAGCCGCAGTCAGTACTCGGAGTACCCAGTCAGTTTATGCAGCCTATTTACTGTGCTGTGGTGACCAAGGTAGAAATGTTCGCGCTCGCATTGTCTGCTGTCCAAACTTGCCAACGACAATGGTTTTCGCGCCGTTGTCCATGGTGCTAGATCATCTGCATCATGATCAATTTTTGGCTCCAGTTTTTCCAGATATGGGCTGCTCTTTCAATCAACCTTCCAATGCCCTCCGTCGATATCCTCTTCTTTGCCAAGCCATAGCTCAATCGCATACAAGCCCATTGTGATGACCAAGTTCACCCATTTCCAGACGTTGCCGTTGACTCCAGGTTGACCATTTCCGCTCCACCAAGCACTGATCGACTCTGTGAGGCCTGGAGAGTAACCGCCAATCGTAGTCGCGAAATGCTGCATCAGAAGGCTTGTGTACACTGCAATCAAGATACTCGGAGAGAACCACGAGAGGAAGGCAAGGAAGCGGTTTCCTGCATCATTGTCATCCAGACTCGGTTCCATGCTTAGGCCTCGGACACCACTTTCATTGACAGCTGGGATTATTCGCGTCGAGGCGTAGAAAACAAAAAGGCGATACCCAAGGGAGATAAGGACAGAAGGGGTAACGGCTCGGAATGCTGCCACGGTGAAGTCGAGAGCAGTAACCAAGGCTTCCGGTAGCTGAGAGAGCGCATGCATTAATGCCGTGTACGAGGACATAATGATGGGCGGGAAAGGCGGGAAATCCGGAGCCGCAGAGGCGGTGCCAGCGTCGACTGGGACATTTGGCTTATAGTCGGTGAAGATTTGGTAGATGCAGAGGACGATGTAGGCGAACAACAGAGACGACTCCATCGCCGTGCCGCGACCCGAGACCACGCCGTATCCGCAGAGGAAGATGGCTGATGCGATGGCGATGCCGATGAGGGTCGAATCTATGTTCGAGATATCCGGGAATTGCAAGACTCTCCATAGAAAGTAGACTGAGCTCGAGACAACGCCAGCAGAAGAGACCAGGAGCGTCAGGAGCCAAGCATCACTCCATTCGCTCCGGTTAACAAGCCATCTAGAGAACTGGCCCGCGGCTTGAATGACCAGCAGACTGCAGAATCCCTCGAGCAACTGAAAGAAGGGGGACGACCATCGCAAGAGCAGATCCCATCCACCAACCGTCACATTCTCGATCAAGCCCTCCGGCCCAAAAATGGCATCAGAGAGACTGCTGTGTGCATCTAGAAACCCCTTCTTCGGTCTGAAAGTCCTTTCCACCCACCGACCACTATTGTTCGCGTCGACTGAGAATCTTCCTAGCGCCCAAAGACACAGGCTGGGTATAATCAACCATTGCAGACCCCGCAGTAGATTGATCAGCGTCCTCCTGACAGCAGAACTTTCTGGGGTCGAGATGCGCAATAACGAGAGGAAGAAATAGAAAGATGCGACGGACAGAGAGAATCCGAGGCCAGCATCGCGTCCACCGATATCGAAAGTGAGGGGTACCAGCAAGATGATGAGCGCAAGGAAGAGCAACGAGGAGACGGCTCGGAGGAACATTCGGTCGGTGAAGGAGCGACGGTCTTGTCGTCAATAAAGGAGCGTAGGATGGTAGAAATTCTCGTTGAGAAGCGAGGGAGATGCTGCTTGTGACCAGTCGGACAGTGTAGTGATGTTGTCGCGCAGCCTTGTTTGTTAGACAGGTCTCCAAGGAATCGCAGTTTTGTCGAGGCGCGGAGTTTCACATGTCATTCCGGGATTGTTCGACGAGAAATTTGTTTGTCTGAGGGCGGGACAAAGATGTGCTGGGATGGACCGAAGAGATAAGGATGAGTCGAGGAGTTTGCAAGCAGAAGGAGTGGCAGGAGGGCCGAGATGTCGCGTGCACTTCACGAGGAGAGCAGGGAGAGGGCGAGGAAGTGCGAGGGTGATGGATGGATCGCGAGTGGTGATGGTGGTGGTTTTCGCCTGGATTCGTGATCCGTCCAGCGTGGCCAGCGAGATGCAGGGAACAGCGCGCAAAACTTGGGCACAACAGGGAAGAATGAGCTGCTAGCTAGGCACCAACAGGATCCTCGATCGAACAAATGAACTGCAGGGGACACAGAAGAACAAGGCAAATTTACTCCAGCGGATTGCAATCTATTATCTTGAATTCTCCCTCTCATGCTCTCGCTCTGCCTCGCTCTTCACCGCAAGAAAGAAATCAACCGTTTACTTTATTGTGGGCTTTTCAACTGGAGCCGAACCTATTTCCTGTTAGTCAAAAGGAAGCTAAGGTCAAAAGTAATTACGAGGACCGAATTGCACCTTACTGTCCAAGACCAACAAGATGCCCCTCTTCAGGCTCTTCTTGCTTGAAGCCTGGGCTTTGGGCTTCTACCACTGCTATCCCTCAAACGGTGTGGTTGATCGGTAGAAGGGGTAGACTATTCTATACGAGGACTAGACACAGGTACCGTGATGCAGCACATGGGGGAGAGACTCCGAACCCTTGGTAAGGGAAGGTAGATAGAGGGCATCCCACGGGTCTGACCAAATAAACACCTGTCCATGGATAGCATTCTCAAGAGTTACTAGCTGGTGCCATACTGTGCAGTAGTGGACAGGATACACCCCTCTGCAGAACAGAGTACGAGGTACTCGTACTCGTATCGTAGGCCACACTCCTTAGGTAATCTACCGCCGGGTTTTCGGCCAAACATTCTTCCAGCCCCCGGATTTGAGTTCTTGGCTACAAAAAGTCGCAGGAAGATCGATCTCAAGTCTCTGGACACCACCACGGACCATTTGCCTACACCTACCATCTATTCCTCGCCTTCAGTTGTGTATGTTCAGAAATCTGCTCAAGATGGCTACTGAGACTGCGTCGAAGCGACTGAAAACTGACCCTGTACGGATTGGCACCCACAACGGCCATTTTCATGCTGATGAGGCATTGGCTGTCTACTTGCTGCGACTCCTTCCAGATTATGCCTCCGCATCTCTAGTCAGAACACGAGACCAGTCGCTCCTTGATACATGCCATACAGTGGTAGATGTTGGTGGGGAGTATGATTCTTCCAAGAACCGATACGACCATCACCAGCGAACCTTCAATACTTTCTTCCCCCAACACGAGACGAAATTGTCATCTGCAGGCTTAGTGTACATGCATTTCGGCAAAGCCATCATCTCCCAATACACGAAACTGCCTCTCGACCACCCAGACGTAGAGCTTCTCTACCAGAAACTATACGACGACTTCGTCGAAGCGGTGGACGCCAACGACAATGGTATTTCCCAATATGACGATGCAAAGCTGAGACAAGCGGGAATTGAGAAGAGATTCAAGGCTGGGGGTATCACACTTGCAAGCTTGGTGAACGACTTGAATCACGAAGATCCCTTGGCCGTGGGCGCACCGCCGAGAGACACTCCCGAACAACCACAAGCAGAGGAAGATTACCGCTTTTCACAGGCCTCTACACTCATGGGTAACGCATTCCTGCGCAAACTCCACAGTGCCGCCACAGCCTGGCTTCCAGCGAGGACTATTGTCAAGGATGCATTCGAGGCGCGAGAGAGTGCTCATCCTTCGGGCCAGCTGGTCGTCCTTCCTCGAGCAGGTATCCCATGGAAGGAACACCTCTATAATATTGAGGCGGAATCGGGTCTCCCTGAAAACAAGCAAATTCTCTTCGTCATCTACCCTGAAAAGGAAGAACCAGGCTCCAAGTGGAGGATTCAAGCCGTCAGCAAAGACATGGCGAGCTTCGAAAATAGGAAGAGTTTGCCGGAACCATGGAGAGGTGTGAGAGATGCTGAATTGGATGCACTCCTCGGTAGTGACGTCGAAGATGGTGCTGTGTTTGTCCATGCGGCCGGATTTATTGGCGGTCACAAAACAGAAGCGGGCGTCCGGGCAATGGCAGCATTGGCGCTCGCATCATGAGGATTCAGGGAGTCAACAGCACTACAAATCTGCTACGGTTAAGGAATGCTGATGCCCTGCCTTGTTCGGGAGCCTGAGCTGGTTCTGCTACTACCTGTTTGCCAGCGGAGCTCATAATTACATTATTCATGACACTCAATGATGCCTCCAGGCCCAACATCGATATTCATGGTGTACACCACATTACCAATTGTGTTGAGTGGGAGAAATCGAAGTTGCTGTCTGCCAGGGTCTCTAGAGCGAGAATGTTGATGTCACGGCCCACGTCGAGAAGGCTCGGGGCATTTCAAGATGGAAAAATCTGACGTGGAAGCTTCAGTCAAACTAGGCTGAACATGTGGCCATGAGATAGGAGGGAAATGAAACACAGCCTTGCTAGACCAAGGCTGAAGATGAAATAGGGGGTGTTGGTGTCCGTACCCGTACGAGTGAGTAAGGTATTGCGGATCTTCCCTCCGCGTCGAGACCCTTATCGATAAATACCAACAGAGGACATTACGTCACTTGAAAGTCGTCATGGAAAGAGCAACATAACATCATGTAGTTATAAAACGTGGCTCGACGTATGATGTCGAGGATGTCGGGTCGTTAATCGTTGAAGATTCAATCCACGCTTCTCCTTGTCCGCATTATATGAATGAGAATCTTGACAAGGTTACCACCAAGCGACAAAAAGATCCAAGTCGACATTGACCATGGCGTCAACAGAAGAACTAAACATCTCCAACCTCTTTTCCCTCAAGGGTCATGTCTGTCTAGTGACGGGCGGTGGTACGTCTCGAGGCCCCTTTTGACTTTGATAAGACGGTACTGTTTTGATTGATGCAACAATGATGGAACTGGATACTAAGTGAATCTTCTTCTCCAGGAACTGGCATAGGTCTCATGGCTACTCAAGCACTCGCAGCAAATGGTAAGCACCTGGCTATATATGTCCCTCTTTGGCCGACACGACACTACGCCACGGACTCTTGTTGTTGATGTGGTGCACATCCACCGAAACGGAACACATGAACTGACCTTCTGGGCATGTTGTACCACGTACAGGAGCAAGGGTGTACATCACGGGACGACGCAAAGAAGTTCTCGAAAACGCCGCAAAGACACATACGCCTGCGAGGTCGTCGGACAAATCTCTGAACGGTGAGATCATCCCCATGGGCCCGTGCGATGTGACGTCCAAGTCGGACCTCGAGAAGCTCACACGGGAAATCGAGTCTCGTGAAAAGTATCTCTCGCTCGTCGTCGCGGCCGCGGGGGTGTCGGGGCCAAAAGGGTTCCCGGACACCAGCGACGCAGACCAGATGCGGGAGAACCTGTGGAAGGAGAACGTCGATGAGTGGAACGCCACGTACAACACCAACGTCACGGCCGTGTTCTTCTCGGTCGTCTCGTTCCTCCCGCTGCTGCAGCGCGCCCCGGAGGGGCTATCGAGCAGCGTCATCGTCATCAGCAGCATGTCGGGCATGATGAGACACAGCCAGGATCACTTTTCATACAATTCTGCAAAGGCTGCTACTGCTCATTTATCGAGGATGATGAGCAAGGAGTTTGCAAAGACTGGTGTGAGAGTGAACAGCATCGCGCCCGGATACTTCCCGAGCGAGATGACGATGAAGGGAAGCGACGAGAATAACAAGGTCCACATGCCACCTGAAAAGGTCAAGGACAAGGGACACGAAGTGCCTGCTGGCCGCGCGGGTACCGATGAGGAGATGGCCATGGGTGTCATCTTCCTTGCGCGCTGTGGATATGTCAATGGTGAGGTGTTGAAATTGGATGGCGGCGTCATGAATGAAGTTGGTGGTGGGTAAATACCAGGTAATATAATTGGTATTACGCACTACACCTAATCGAGTAATTACGCAAGGCTGTGCAAGGTTGTGCAAGGCTGCGTGGTGTCTCGACGTGTTCATTGGACACTAATCATTAACACTCCTCTCTTGATTTCTAGTCAAGGGGAATTCTAGTCAAGGGGAATTCTAGTCAAGGGGAATTCTAGTCAAGGGGAATTCTAGTCAAGGGGAATTCTAGTCAAGGGGAATTCTAACTTAGTTAACCTGGGGGATGCCTAGAAATATCTATAAAAAGGTTATTACTAGATAAAGGAGCTAAGGTGAAGACTGAAAGAGAATATCCGTGGAAGGCTACTTCTAGTTGAAGGGAGTGCTTGTGAAATGTTAACTTCTAGTTAAGGGGAACGCCTAGGGGAACGCCTAGGGGAACGTCTACAAAAGTTTACTTCTACCTAGGTAGGTAGTTAAGGAGAACGCTGAGGGGGATGCTTCCGAAAGGTTAAGGTATTTCTTCAATTGTCCCGCCACAAGTCCGCGCAAGGCCCCAGTTCCACCATTTTACTTAACCATGCAACCGCCCATATACTATATAAATCGATGCTGTTGGCGCATATCCTAGCGAGACCCAACGTTCTACATATATAAATAACGACCGATTCCTTGGACGCCACCGGACGACGAACCGCCTCCTCAGCTGCGTTATTATGCATCATCAGTACCGGCACTCAAAAGCCGGTCGGGACGGCTGTCTCTCTTTCATGAGCTCGAAAGTATTGAGCAAGAGCAGCTCAACGTCAGAGATATTTGCAACCACGAAGGTGGGGTAAAGGTGAGACTCAAAAGGAACTTCCCTCTATAATCGCAGCTATCTGACTCATACTTCCACAGCAACCGAAGGCTACGATGAAGCATGGGATGGCAGCCGTATGCGCGGAGTGCCCACAGCACAAACCGGGCACCGCTGTGCGAACATAAGGCTTTCGGCTGCTGCGTCCATCAGACGTAGACGTTGTTGTCATATGTGCCCATTTTACGACATGGCCTACTCTCCAGAAGGACTTTGAGGAGGAAGTCCGTCGCCTCACCAAATTGGGGAGGGAGATACCTCCGACAAACGGCTACGACAGTGACAGTGGCCAAGACACAACGGTGGCCAACGACGACGACGACGCTGCAGAGTCTGCAGCCGAAGTCCAACAAATGATAGATCACCAGGATGAGAGGCTTCCGTACGGCAACGACACAGATGACTCGGACGTGGACGACTCAGGTACAGACTCACGGGGTGATGACCAGCATTTGTTGCGAAGAGGGCGTGAGGCTCTGGATCGCCTGGCCCGCCTTGACCGAGCAGGCCATCCGGTCTTGGGCACAGACTGATGAACCCACTCCGGACCGACCAGGAATTCCCATCGCCTTACGATGGGGGGATATCCTCATCCAACCTGGCTCATATTGTCGCCGTCACCAAAGCCTTGGTCTCTCGCTCGCCCTTCATTCGCTTCTTGACACGCCCTTCTCTCTTCCTGCGGTCTGACCAACATGTCATCATTCGACAAATATGGAGGAGGGGCCACTCCGAAAAAGCGACAGCGAGATGAGTCCTTCGGGTGGTTGGACAAGAGCTCGAACTCTTCCACCTCATCTGGCCTTCCAGGCCCTGATGACATCTCCCACCCAGATTCCAAGATATCGACTCGGACAGGCTTTGCCCATCCATCCGACCTGGTTCGCACTATTCACCACCTCCACGACGAACGCCCAAGCCCAACTCAGGCTCCTACAGTTTCCGACGATCTTCAGATCATTGACCCTCTGCCATCTGGATCGGCCATCGCGGCACAGAAAATATTGTGGGGATTTTTGGACAAACATGCCCAGTGTATCTGTCAGGGTCAAGAGCACCGCCTCACCGAGCAAGAGATTCAGGATTTGGGCAAAGCCCGAGGTCACCGCCCACCTGACACGCGACATTGGCCTTCAGATTCGGCAGCTGGAGAAGACAGAACAGGAATCCAAGCCCGTGCGAATGCGACAGAATGTGCAGACAGGATGCGCACGATACTAAAATCTGGACTCGCATGAACCAGCTCAAATGCGACAAACGTTTCCTTCTGACTGCGACATTAGGAGATCCCAAGCGAGGACGGTGCAAAGTGCCCCAACACTCAAGCCGGGCTTGTCCTGTCACTTGAAGACTTTGCTTTTGGTCGAGGAATGGACAAGTATGTGGGTCTTCTTCAATCTGTGACCATGAGATTGTTGGCGGACGATCTGTACGCGGTATTGAAACGGACAGAGCAATTGTTCGAAGACGACTGAAACTTTGGAGGCCAGGTGATGCTAGAATGGAAGCCCATCATACTCAGGAGCTCCTTTTCAGATATTGATTTCACGCCTCTGAAGAGCCTGGCAGGTCGGTCATTACTCCCCGGAAGCAAGCTTTGGCAAGAGGGATCGGATTGGCTTGTCAATCGCGAACACAGGGGTTTATTCATGCGGTCGTCCCTGGCCAGAGGTCTACTGACTACAACAAGGAGGATCTACAAGCTGCAGCAAGGGAAATGAGGAGACAGGGTGTGGTCATTGCTGAAGACGAGCCACCGAAGGCTTCGCAGGATGAGACACTGTGGGAATAAGTACCTTGCAAGCTAGGGACCCTGGATTCCAATGGTGTAGAGCGCCCGGAAGAAGAGCTTGAAGATATCGGCAGGAACCTTGACTATTGTAAATGCCGATTTTGCATTGCAAAGGGCAAGAGCAATCGCAAGGAGAGGTACTTGAGACGTCAGGAGAGAGCGAATGCTCAGCAATGATTATTCCAGCTTTGGCAGCATTCGCGAATGAAGGGAATTCAAGAGAACATCGCGGTGAGCAAAAAACCTAGCCGCTGAATGGGCAGTGTTCGGACATCAAAAAGGTAGCCAAGGTAGCATGGATCCAAGATGAGATGCTTTTCAAGTCACAACCTAATAGTGCTCCCAAATTCCACGGCTGCCGACCTCGCCTACATTTCCGTCCGGGTCGGCAAAGTACACGCTCTTCCCTCCCCTGGGCCAGTCGACCTTTCCGATGAGCTTGACCTTTTTCTCCTCGAGCCACGTCTCCCACGTCCCCACGTCCTCGGGGGTCTTCACAGCGAAGCAGAAGTGCTGGTGTAGTCCCGTCGCGGCCCTGTCGTGCGCCGTGGCCGGTTGCCGCTCGAGCAAGTCGAGAATGTCGCGTGACGGCCCGTGGCCGGGTATTGTGCCACGGTCGTCTGGCATGGGAGCGTCTGCGGCAGTGGCGCCAAGTTGGAAGAGAAGAAGCGTTGTCTGACCCAGCGAGAAGCCAGACAAGCGAGGCTAGAAAAAAAAAGAAAGGGGGTTGGTTTGTCAGTTTGGGTCATCATTTGTACGTTACGGGTTTTGAAAAGCCGACATGGGGTGAAGACGGGATGCACAGTTAACGAAGGCAGATAGGCTGGCCTGTCAAGAAGAGTCTCGGCTCGTCTTACCGTGTCCAAGAAGGGTTTGACGTTGAACGTGTCTCTGTAGAAGTCGGTCGAGGTTCTGATGTCTTTGACCATGAGGCACGTCTCCAAGATGTGGGTGATTGGCGGTGGTGGTGGTGGCACAGGGGCCGACGACGCGGTCATGTTGCTGGCCTGGTCAGCCACGGTCTTCTTGTGAGGAGTCAAACACGGCGTCGTCGAGAAGTCAACAGCTCTCGCGGAGCGCTTGATGAAAGGAGCCGATTGTGCCGGAGTGGAATAATACCGAGAACTGAGATGAGAAGATTGGTGGTATAGGGGTCGTCGAGGTTGTAGGGCAGTCCTGCACAATACATCTGCTGGCTTCATGTCCCCATTCTTGCTTGACGTCTCGAACCTTTATATGTCAGTTGTCGACGGTGGTCTTGTCGATCAAAGCACGGAAGCTTTTGAGTCATGTTCAGCAGCAAAGTATGTACGAGTACGCGTACGAGGATCGACACTGTTCGGTAAGCAGAGCGGTCTAGAATGCGGGGGAGTCTCTGTGCTTACCAGGTAGAACCCGAAGACAAAATCAGAGCTTGACCGATGACTCAGGAAGATGTTGCGATGCAAGAGACAATTGCTAAATATGTACCGTTCCACCCTCGATGGGTATCTAGAGTCTCGCGCGGTCCTCGGTTCTCGGTCCCTGCTGCGAATCCAGGAACACATGGATGCTATATACAGTACCTAGATACATTGTAGACGCCCATCGCTTCCTGGGCCAATGACAATGCACCTCATCATGCCTGCAACCCAATAATAGTGCTTTATTCCCAGAATAGTTGTCCATGCATTGGCCAATGATGGAAGAGCGCGCCTTTGCTCGACGCAACCCAGATAAACCATAAATGCTGGTACAGTTGGCGTACTGGAGGCTTCACTCTTCACTCTCTCAATCGCTCTCGAAACCGGCATACCGAAGCTTCAACAGCCAACTCCAAAAGTAGATCCATTCGGGTTTGAAACTCCCACGATGCCTCTTTCCAGAAGTAGTTCTATCAGTCTCACTCTCAACCTTCACGGTCGCAGGACTTCTTCGTCCACCAAGAGCAGCGTCAGTAGCCCAGGCCTTGACTTTTCAACTCCTTTTGGATCCCCCACGTACCGCACCACCACTCTGGAGCCCAACCACATCATAGTCGAAGATGAACAGATGGACGACGAACGATGGAGTCGGCTTGCTTTCTCCCTTGGTATCCCTTTTCGAGACTCGTATTGTACAAGTCCTGTGTCACAGAAGTTCGCCCAACAGGTCAGCAGCCGGCCATCGGTGAGCAGCAAGGAGGTCATAGAGCTCTTCAGTCCTCTACTGGCGTCAATAGCCAAGGACCACGACTTGATGAAATACCGGAACCACCACCAATTCAATCGTGAGGGTGTACCTGACGAGATTCCAGACGTCGAAGAGGATGTGGTTTGGAAGATGCAGCTCCCCACGCCCAAGCCCGCATTCACGCTCGGCTATGCTGCCAGTGCATTCACATATGACGAAGTTGAGCTTCAACAAGGTGTCGTCCCCAGTAGCAGGAACAAACCAACCCGTCTCCACAAGCTCTCTCAACCTGTGCCAGATGTCTACTGGCCATTCTTCGTCGTCGAGGCACAGGGAGAGTCGATGAATGCGGCCAGAAATGCTTGTGCTGGATCAGCGGCGACGTGCAACAACGCATTGATGATCTTCGCCGGCGTTGCGAAGCAACCGCAGAGATATTATCGCGACACAGGCTTCCTCTGGAACCTGAACAAGGCGGCTCGGTCTTTCTCGCTCGCCATCAACGGCAAGACGGCATGCCTGAACACGCATAATTCCGAGGGCTGCCTACCGCACGCCATGGCTACCATAAGAACCTACCGACTTGACGATGAAAGGGAGGTCTCCGCTCTCGCCTCCAGAATCTGCAGCATAATGGTGTGGGCTGAGCACTGCCGACTTCAAGCGATCTTGGATCTTTTGGACGACTTCGCTGGTCGAGTTAAGCTTGCCAAGAAGAGCATGACAAGACCAGAAGAGCCATACAATTCTGTTCAACTTTCAGAATCCAATGCCGTGTCCAGGACGCGCAATGGCGCCGTCAAAAATGTCATCTTGGAAAGGTTGCCTCATTGGGTCAGGACATAGCGAACGATGTTCAGGAGGATATTGTTTTCTTTTTCTGAAGGAACGATGCGTTTGGGGATACTTTGCACATACAAATTCTGTTGGCCATAATGATGAATATTTTTATCCGAGAGAACAAGACCTGACGTTGGACGCAGAGTGCATGGATGTGTGTTAATCAAGATGTCTCATTCAAGGTAGGAAAACTGCGCTATCTTCCATTGAAATTCGCCATACTAATATACGGCGTCGCAATAACCTTCGCTATGCACTTCAGGGACATCAGACGGTTTTTCGCTGGTATTCTCCCTGTTCTTCCATTGAACCAGCCTCACAATTTCTTTCCTTTCTATCTTCAACGGGTGTGCCGTCACGCGTTCTGGGAAGCACTGCTCCTTAAGTGACGGCCGAGTGCTGCAGCTAGGGCTCTACCCAACTTGCATGGTGTGCCTTATAGTTGCCAGGTCGTTGCTTTGGCGTCCAGTGACGGCGAGCTGTTAAGCGCCAGGATTTTCACCATGTCGAGTTCTGTCTCACGCCTATCAAGTTTGTGGTTTACGCGCCAGATTTGTTTCATCGTCAATATGTGGCACCCACTCGCTGTCCATTTCGGACCTCGTGCACCAGGCGAGCCTATCAAGCAAGGAAAGGGTGTACCACCGGGTTGGACCATACCGAGACTTGCGGTTGCTTTATCCTCAACATAGTCCGATTTTGGCTGCCCATGTTTCCATAGACTCCCCTGAGCCTATGGGGGCACCCTGGACCTCCGCATTCCACAGCTCTCAAGGGCCAATCTCAGAAAGGTGAGCTTGGGGCTGGTCAAAAGCTCTGCGCCCTGACTAGGCTTGGCCCTGCCGGTGAAGGCCCTTCCCGTTGATGGAAACAAACGCTATGACAATTATGGCCAAGATGCAGCAGCTTGTGACATGCCTTGTACGGAGTACTGAGCGCCTTCAAGTCGGTGTAAGACCAGAAGGCTGGTATCTCTCATGACTATGCATTATCACCAAATGTTTCCAAGCTTTAGCGCCTGAGGGAACAGGGATACTTTTCGTTGCTCCTCGAATTAGTTCCAGGGACTTTGAAGATGTTTATCTCTGCCTCAACCTCCCACAAAATTTCAAACCTCCATGCGACCGCATGGCCTCGCTATTGACCTACTTACAATAGCAGTACTCCGGCCTTTGGAGACCTTGTGGGTTTGGCTTCTTGCTGACAGCTTCCAGTGGCATCTGTTGAAGGTTAGCTAAGTGGTAAGAAGACGTTAAGGATGGCTTCCAGAGCGCAAAGTGTGCTAACTTGTTGAAGAGTAATGCCTACCATGCTGGTTGAAAGCAAACCTTCTACTGGTGCCGACTTACCCCCTTCATTTTATGACGGCACCCACCTTGACTGGGAAGCTTTTCGGCAACATGTTCTGGGACCACATCGTATAAGAGTCGTTAGCTCAGCGCCCAAAGACAAGATGCCATCCAGTCTTTTCGCTATGATTGAAGCTGCGATGCCTGGTGCTTCAAAGTTCGATGAGCTCAAGAACGCTTTTCAAAAGCAGGTGCAGGTGGGAAGGGGGTTTGGACCTTCGCCTCTCTTTCCTCCAAATCTCCTGCCGCCATCCTTCGACGAACCCAATCTCGCCCGTTGCATGATCCCTTGCTTCAGTCGCGAAACTCTTCCGGCCCGTATCGTCAACCAGACGGGCCCATTCTACGAGTTATCCATTCCTCGTTCAGGACTTGGTTGTGGTTTCTCTGTCTCAGCGTTGACCAAAGACGAACTCAATATACTGCCTGCTTGGATGGTCACAACAGGCACTACTGTTCACTTCGACAGTGGATATGTCTCACCTGGCGCTGCAGTGTATTGTCCTTTCTTGATCTTCGAACGTGCTTATGGTGACATGGAGCGCCGGCTCCAGGTTGCCAATAATCAGTGCGCCACCGGTGGCGCGTGTTGCGTGAAAGCTCTTCAGATGTTGTATTCCAAAGCCTGGACAGGGCCGACAATGCCTCAGCCTCCCATCGCATTCTCATGTGTCATTGAGAACACCTTTGCGGTAGTCAACATGCACTGGATTGATCATGGTCAATCCTACTGCATGGCTCCCTTGTGCAAGTTTGATTTGACCAACCATGAGCATTTTGTCCACTTTCTTGTCTGGATCGACTCGATTGGTAAATGGGCACTTGGACACCTCTTGCCTCTAGTCAAGACTGCGCTGGGGCGTCTTCAGCAGCTAGACTCACCACCTCCAACTCCCAAAGCGCCTCGCCTCACTCTCAATACGACCGATTCTTCGAACGAAGCAATCATCAAGTGTCTTCAAACCACGTTTGATGGCATTCCGTGGAGATTTGAGGATGATGAGTTCACTCCTGTCAGCAGCAGCACTGCGAGCTGGGGAAGTCCGCTCATGATTGAAACCAATTTCTTTAATCAAGCAATTCAACTGCGGCACCCAGGACGCACTCCTACCTCCGCCGGACCTAGGAAGCAATTCCTCCCGCAGCTTGGTCAGCTACCGACACCACCACCAGCCTATGCGCAGAGCCCCGACTTAGTCTGGCAAAAGCGTCTTACACATGCCATGGATGAGATTCGAGACCTCCAAAAACAACTAGAAGATCTGAGGAACGATGTCAAATGTTCGAATGATTCAATTCAGGTCGATTTGTCTGGTATTAAGACAACGCTGCAGTCTGTTCTGCGTAAAGAGACCTTGACAGTCCGCCACAGGGCAGGGTCTCTTGGTGTACAAGAGGCGTGGCTGTCTCAGACTCTTTCGCGAAGTCCCTTGATCAATGAGATTCGCCCTTCCGACACTGTAGAAAAACAAGGGCCTCCTCAGGACGGCAGCGATAAGTCTGGATCACTTCTGCCAGAGCCCTTATCCCCGGGCCTGCCCTCTCCGGGTTTGATCTCACCAGGCCTGGCGTCACCGACCTTCTCAGTCTTCAGCGAAAGCAACATGGTCATGATACCCCCTGCGCCTCCAAAATCTGCATCCTTTTTGAAGTTCGTCGGCGCCATGGCCACGGGACACTTCATTGGCGCCCTAATTCCGAACATGTTGATACGGATTTTCGTCCTGGGTTGCATCACAGACGTCTGCATGCTCGCCTTTGCCAGTCCCCATCTTCCAAGTTCCGCTGAATATCTTTTCTCATTGTGGCGGTCTCCACGTTGAAGAGAGCGATGTGAAACATCCACTACACCTTTCGATGTTCCACGAGAGCGGCTAATGGTGATCATGTATGAACCGACGACCGGCCCAGAAGAGCATTTTCTTTTGTCATCTACGTTTCTTTGAACCAGTACTGTTCCGTGCTGGGTGAGAAGCAATGGATCTCTCGAAATGCTGGCGACAGCAGACTCACTCCCAAGGCAGCATTGCAACCGGGGAACTTGTATCGTAGAAAATGCAGGACATGTTTCTTATGGTGTGATTTCATTCGAGCCTTTGCTTTCGCTCGTATGACCCAGGGATGAATGCCTCGTAAAGACTTCCGGAGGTCTTGAATACCGGTCGTGATCCTCAGTGACGGCGGACTCGACCTCAGTAATAGTGGTGGTGTATGGATGGGTTTCAAAGCTGCGAGTCTACACTAGTCGTCCGAACGGTGCTCTCGAACCGGTGCGTTCTGGGAGACATTCTCTATTGAAGCAGTTGCTTCCGACAGGCTTTGTCCAGAAACGAGAGACTACGAGCCACGCAAGCCACTCCAGCCTGAGCTTCGAAGTGCAGTAAACAAATCCAGCATTCTAGCGCCCAACTGGGCCTATCGTTGTCCCCGGAGGACGCCCAGCAAAGCCTAATTCAAACGCCTAGATCCAGCCATACTTCCGGGTCTGCAGCACTCCAATGTTGCCAAGATTCTTGAAAGGTCATCGACATTCACTCTACAACACGCGACGCGGGCAAACGACACATACCTCAGGTACATAAACAAAATGGCCCGCTGAACAATTGCCCGTTGAATGACGAATTGATTCACGCGGACCTGGCCATTCATTCTCTCATCAGTTTCTTTTCCTTTTCTTGTCTTTTCTTTCCACGACAGCTTATCACATAGAGGACAAAACGCACGTGTGCGCCATGGATGACAACGCCGCGTACAACGAGTCCAAGAACTCCATCCTCAATTTCACCGGACAAGAATCGGACGATGTATCCCCGTTGGAACAAGAAGTCCTGGATGAGTATGAGCGATTGTCAAGGAACATGAAAGAGGTACGTACATACGTTCGCAGCACCTGACCTGCCTTTTTCTCTCCGTGATTGGAAAGGAGCCGGGCGACGGCAGGCGAGCAACGAGACTCCCCTTCCCTTCACCCGACATGCCGGGCGGGAAAAAGCTGACAGCGTTCCCCCTTGGAAATGTGCATATAGCTATCGTCGACTCTGGCAACTCTGTCAAGCGGGCCGATGACCCTGGAGATCGCAGAAGGACTTCGGCTGCTCGAGCGCAAGGTCGCCAGCGTCTACACCCTGATGAAGGCGAGCGTGTACAGCATCGTGTTGCAGCAAGGGCAGCTGGACTCGATGGACGAGGGAGGGTCCGACGGCGAGAATGATCGGGTTCATCAGTCTTGATGGAAATCTCCCACCCTCCAGATAAACCATCACGCGTCACGACGACACATGAGTTCACGACACTTAATCCTATGTTTGTATGCTTAACTTCACGGCGTCAACACTCGAGACTGGCCTGGTTAGGAGAGGTTTCAAAGCACCGACCGACCTTGAAGATGAACGGGTCCCGGTCCAGCCTTTTTGATTTTTTTTGTTGGGATCAAATAATAAAAATGTCTTGTACAGAGTCAAGTCGTTTACAGCTTCTATCTCAGTCACATACACCACCACAACATTGTACAGAGTTATAGTTGTCCGGCATAATACACCTTGCGGACATCGACCAGCTTCTTCCCCCGAGCTCGTGCAATATCCTCAGGGTGTTTTTGGCCCAGCAGTGCCTGCACAGTCGCCTTGACGGTGTTCATAGGATTTCTCGATCGTGTGACGCGGGCAGCAAGATCGTGGATACCTGCGACCTTGCACACTTCCCAGATGTACTTTTGACAGCGGAGACCAAATCCTGTTCATTGATTAGCATGCCCTGTCCATACCCAGCAGGAACCAAGACGGAATCTTACCTGGTGGTCGCGCGTATAGTTCCAACTCCGTTCCACTAACTTTGGCACTCAGATCTCCATACGTCGTCCGATTTTCGTACCGTATGATCGGTTTCATGTTTCGAATCGCCCGGTATTGGCTCTGGATCAACGCTTCTCCAGGTTCCGTGCCTTTGGCTTCTCCTATGCCGATCATGCCCTGTTCGTTTCCAGCCACGGACAACCAATAGGTTTTTCGGATCTTTCCCAAACGTGTCTGGTTTGCGACTGTGCGTTGAACGACCGACTTGACTCGGAGTTGGAGGAGCGCTTGTCTGTCCAGGCCCGTCATGTGCATCAAAGTAGCAAGCGCAGGCGATTCCTGGTCAAACTTGCCACGAGCCTGGTTGCCTTTGGGAGGTGGAGGAGAGATGTTTGGCAGATCTGGAACCATTGCCGTGCGAGGCTGCCTCTCGGCTTCCTCTTTTCCGACAGTCAGTCTGAGATTCTTGTCGAATTTATCCCAAAGTGCCGTGTCAAAGTCGTCCTCATTACGAGGGCTCGGGATTTCGTGCATGAGCTTGACCAGGTCGTCTTCAAACTCTTCATCGGTTTTGAGCCGCGAATTGTCATCGAGATTTGTCCAAGGATGTTGGACTGGCTTATCCACGACGGGGTCTATCTTTGCCAGATCATCATAGTACTTGACTCTCCACGGATCTTTCCGGTTGCTCGTCGTACGGTACAGCTTTTCAGGGTCGATAAGTTTTTGTGCTACCTTGATGGCGGCAAGTTGCTCGGGCGTGTAATTCTGGGAGGTATAATCCTTGTTCGCTTCTGGGTTCAGAAGATCCTTGCCGGCTTTGTTCAGATCTATTTCATTGACGGCAGCTTTGACGCTGGGAAAGCGTGGCTTTCGCTTCTGATGAATGGGAGAGGAGTGGAATCTTCGGCGAGCGATCGAAGCAGGGCGCGAAGGTCGGGAAAATAGGCAAAAGACACACTCTGAGGATCTTGCGACACTCATAGTGCCTAGAGCAGCTCAGATGCTGCAACAATGGACCGGTGGGCGGACGAATTGTTGATTGTCGAAAGGACAAAATAAATTGTTGCTGCGCATCTTGAGTCGAGCTCCGAGTCTCGTTCCGCAGCCTCGCCGAGTCTTGGCAATGGGAAAGACGCTAGAACGCTTTTGGCGTTTGGTATTTCTTCCTCCCTTGCACTTTTCTGACCTCAAAAGCCTTGTTCGCATGAGCCTCGCGATACTTCTGGGGTGAGACAAAGAGTTGGATACCTGCCAGAATGCTCACAACATCTGTCTTGCGACTCCAGATGTGTACGGTGCTGGTCTTGGCATAGCCTCGCTGAGCCGACTAATATCAGTATTTGACCAGACTCGAACACAGGTAGGGCGAAAGAATCAAGCAGAGCCTTGCAGATCTTGCATCTTTGGCTTGACTGCCTCCTCTGGAGCATTGTACGAGACTCCGACATCTAAAGTCCTCAGGATGGAGACACTGCCACGTTTCGTGATCGGCCACCATGACCCCAAGAGACCCTTACCAGTCACGGCGGAAACGATACAAGCCGCTCATGCTGCCAACGTACGTCAATTTATCTTTCACAGTTGGCAAGGGGCCCGAAATTGATTTACTTTGTTTAGTATGATATGGTAACCAGTCCTATCACTACACCACATTTCCATTCACGGGTCTTGACGCTCCTCTCGGCATCTCTATCGCAACATCCAGTTGTCGATGGGGAAGACATCACAAAGACCAGGAACGCTTCACCTATCGTCATCCCACCACTCACTCCAGCCGATACACCATTGACTCCCGGAGATACAATCAGCCAGATCATCGGAGTCACAAGCTCTTGGATCGACTTGAGTTCTCCAGATCCTATCATAGCCGATGTATCACGACAGGTTCTGAGACTGGAACTGGCATATGCCGCTTTCTGTGGCGTTACTTATGTCGTCATTCCTGGTCCACGCCTACGAGGTCAAGGAGCTGTCGATAGTGGCATCGCAGAATTTGCCCGAGCAATCGTGGATGGAATCAGCCAAGGCCCATATATGCAGCTTTACATCTGGTTCCCCCTTATCGACAATGCAGACGACCAGGAAGACGAAATGGGCGATTTGGCCCCGTTTGCGCGTCAACGGTTTTCGGATCCAGACGACTCCAAGCCCAAGAGACTAGATGTTTTTGGTTCATGGGAGGCTTGGGACATGATTAGATCGATATGTAAATATCCATCCAGATTGTGTGTAGGTAAGCATATCGTAAGAGAGTGCTGGCTTGGCCGCCACCTCCTTTCCATCTACCATCTAATTCCAATGCTAATAATGTAATTTCTAGCATTGTCGTTACCCAAACTGCTTCCACCGACTCCTATTCAGTCCCGGTGGTACTCCGAACCAGTACGATTGGTGACCTTGGACTCGAAGATCTTTTCGAAGAATGCCAAAGGGTATCCGGTTCTATCTCGAGCTCACCAGGCATTCATCAGCCGATTCTCTACGTTGCGCACACCACCTTGGTTTCTTCTTTGCAATACTGGTCCTATTGTCGCCGCTGCCAACGGTGCCCCCCCAGCCCCTGGATGGTTCCCACCTCTATCCGAAGCAGTCGAAACTCCACACCTCAAAGATCCCACGCCGCATCTATCGTACATGCGCAATCTGCAAAACAAGCAGCCCGTTCCAGACGCTATCTCCAGTTTTGGTGCCGGATACCAAGACTACCTTCAAGCACCTCTCCAGCCCTTGACCGTCAATCTGGAGAGCGTCACGTATGAGGTCTTCGAGAAAGATCCCATCAAGTATGCATGGTACGAACGAGCCATTGCGCGGGCTTTACACGATTGGATCGAGCAAGGTAAACCCACCTCTAACCCTGACGGTCGAGTTGTGGTTGCCGTGGTTGGTGCCGGTCGGGGTCCTCTCGTCACCCGAGCCCTGAAAGCCAGCGAAGAAGTCGGTGTCGAGATTGACATGTGGGCGCTTGAAAAGAACCCCAACGCCTATGTGCTGCTTCAGAGACACAATGCAACTACATGGAACAACAAAGTCAACCTGGTCAAATCTGACATGAGAACATGGAGGGGTCCAGTTCGTGGCGCAAACACGCCGCTCAGCGCTCGAATCTACAACCAAGAGGCGAGAGAGGACGGTGAGGTCAATATTCCACCAACCGCTGCGGCAGCTGGTACTGGCGAGTCCTACACCGGCTCTCCATCTCTCGACTCGACATACCTTCTTGCGACAGCGGCCTCAGGGTCGTCGTCAACGCCGTACAAAATCGACATCCTGGTCTCGGAGCTCCTCGGTTCTTTTGCAGACAACGAACTCTCCCCCGAATGTCTCGACGGCGTTCAACACCTCATGAATCCCGTTCACGGTATCTCGATTCCCGCATCATACACGGCCCATATAACACCCATTGCTGCCCCGAAACTTCACGCCGACATCATGCACGGCATGACGCCCACGAACCCCAGCGCGCCCGAGACGCCTTACGTCGTCATGTTCAACGCCATCGATCATCTGAGCACCACCACCACCACCACACCCGGATCGGCCGGTCCGTCGAGCTCGAAGTCCCCGACGGTGCCCGCACGCACTTCCTCGACGACAACTAAGCCACCACAACAACAACCGACGACGCCTTACTCCAAAGCTCACACGCTCTCTTCACAACCTACACAGCGGTCTCAGTCCCAATCCAACCCCCCGCCGACTCCACCGACGCCCATCATCGGAACGACATGGTCGTTCCAACATCCCAATCCCTCCCTTCCACCGCTCGTGGGGGACGGGGCGTTGAGCAATGCCCACAACGCACGCAGGTCGACGCTCACGTTCCCCATTCCCAACCGGGGCACCTGCCACGGTCTGGCGGGGTATTTTGAGACCGTTCTCTACAAGGGAGTCGAGTTGTCGACGAACCCAAACACGATGGACTCGAAGAGCGAAGGCATGATAAGTTGGTTCCCTATATTTTTCCCACTCAAGGTTCGTGCCTCCCCCTTTCTGTTTCCTTTACCCTGTCAAGGTTCGTGCCTCCCCCTTTCTGTTTCCTTTACCCTGTCCACCACTCGACGTCAGCACTATTTTGCATTTTTTCCCTTCTTTTCCAACGAGTCAAGCTAATACCGTATCCTTCGCTGCCGGAATTTCATAGACTCCGTTGACCGTCCCCGACAAGTCGGAACTCACCGTGACCATGTACCGGCGAACCGACGACCGGAAAGTGTGGTACGAGTGGCTCGTCGACGTGTACATTTGCATTCCGGACGGTCGGGATCGTTCGGTGTCGGGACCTGGCGGAATCTCGCGAGGTGGTCGCAAAATCCGCGTGGGCGGGAGTGAGCTACACTCGTCTGAGAAGGAGGCATGTTTGATGTGAGATCTGGCTCAAGGGGCTTTTTGTTTTGAGGAGGGAGAGAGAGAGAGAGAGAGAGAGAGAGAGAGAGAGAGAGAGAGGTTGAAGGACAAGTCCGAACGAAAGTTCATCCAGGTTCAAACTATAAGCCACATGCCTCCGTATGGGTTCAACTGTTACACTGATAAGTCTACAAGTCAAATCCCGTCGTCGAAGGAAACCGTCTATGTCTCTTTACCTGAGACGACTCAACTCCCATCCCCAGGGGATACATCTAGTGAGCGAGTCGTTTCCAAATCTTTGACCACACCTGACCATGATTGTTCTCGAGGTCTCGAAAGGAGGTTCCCATGAAACAAACGCCTTTGCCATGCACTGTACTTGATCAACCTTGCCGTCATCCACACTCCTATACTGTCACTCACTCACTCCCCCGGCACTATCCAACCACGACACCTCTTCCTAACACTGCTCCCCTCTGCCCTGCCCTATACCATCGAATGACCGATGTATCAGCTAATGTTGAATGTTGAATGTTGATTGTTTGAACGTTGAACGTCCTTTCTTTTCCTTTCTTTGCACAGCCAACGGGTTGACAACACTGACGCATCACTTCCCACCGTTTACTTTTCCCTCATCCCTCTCTTCCTTTTTCACCTGGATCCTAATCTCTTCCGACTCAGTCGTCTTCTCCACGCTGACAGGTACAGGGATTTCCAGACTCTCCGTGCTCCCCATCAAGCTCTTTCCTAAACTTCCAGTAATGCTTTTGCGATTCCCGTTTGAGTTTCCGCCGCTGCCGTTACTCTGCGAATCCCTCTTGCCGTCTTCTCCCGTCAACCCACGTCGGATAGCCAATACATTGTCCACAATGACGGCATCGATGCCTTGCTTGACTTGTAACTTGACCTTGGCCGCATCGTTATTCAAAACCCCGTAACTGACACAAACGAGTCCGCTCTCCTTGACGACCCTGACAAGTCTCGGTGCCGCGACCAATGGTTCCGCTGCACTCACGACACCCAGTAGATTCCATCGAGACGCAAACCGAATGGCTTCTTGTAAACTTGTTGCCCGAATGTCACCTACCGGGCTCGTTCCAGCATCCGTGAGGAACAACACGGGTATACTGGGCTGTTTGAACGACAGCAACAAGCATATGTCCGGGTTGAAGCTTGAAAAAATGATGTTGCGTCCCTTGCCCATCTCGTACACTTTGCTCAGCACCGTGTCGACGAACGAGTTCAGTTCAACGGCATATGTGTCCATTTCTTCCTCCTCACTTTCCGAGAGCATGGGATACTTCATTTCAATGTTGAACCCAACATTCGTAGGCAGTTTAATAAACATCTCTTCCAAGGTGGCAAACGGCGCTTGGATATGGTTACCACGACTGTTGCCCTTGAACCCCTTCTTCTTGAAGTCCCGAGTGTGTTTCATGCGTTCGGCCATGTCGACCGTATCATCACGATCCGAGCCGCCCACGGACATGGATCTCATTCTAGGTAATCGGGGGTCGCTATTTTTGAGACTGCTGATCTTAGGGTTCTCCACTGGCACAGGCGAAGCAGGCCGGGAATGTCGTGGTGTGCGCATGTCGTTGACGTGAAGAAACTGCTCCAGGGTAAGGGTGTGAACCGGAGCATCAATACCAGTCTCGCTAACGAGAAAGTCGTGATAAATGACAGGAACATGGTCCTTGGTAAGTTGCACATCGAATTCGACATATGAAGCTCCCAAGTTGGCGGCGGCAATAAATGACTGAATGGTATTCTCCCCAAGTTGCAATGATCTTCTGCCAGCGGCCAAGTTCTTACCCAACCCACGATGGCCAATGACCATGGTCGATGCCATACTCTTCCAATACGTCTGATTCTCCGTGACCACCATATTTGGATGTTTGAACGGGGTGATGACGAGGAAGTTGAACGTGACGGAGCCGATGACCTCCAGGTCGTTGGCTGCCACAATGGGTACAGTGACATCTCCCTGAAGCGGCATACGTTTCGTCCCTATGTTGGGCTTGATGCTGGAAAGCAAGGCGACTCCCCTGCCGACGACACGTTCCCTGGATCCAGCATACGTAGGGACAAGGTCAAAAAGCAATTTCACCGTAGAAATGTCTTTTGCATGGAACACGATGGGCTCTGTGGCGATGTTATCTTGCACAGGCAAGTCAATGACTTCAGCTTCACCCTCTGCACCTTTTGCTGAAACCACAAGTGAAAGCGCAGTATCAAGCTGTGTGTTGTGCGCATTCGTTATCGGGATTCGATCGAGGTTGACCGCTCGTATACTCTTCCTCGTGTCCATCGTCCCCAGGCTGACCAGGATCATACTGGTGTCAGTTAGATATCGATGTCCGAAGGTCTTGATCGGTTCGCTGATCTTGATGGTCGGGGCCTGAGAGCCCAGGCCGTTCGAGGTTCTCTCGTTCAGAGAAGGAGATACCTTTGGAGGAGATGCCCCTAGCGACGAATCCGGATCGACCTCAGCTCCGGACATGATGCTATCAAGTCGTTGCGCAATGTTCACGTGACCCCTCAACGCTGCGTGTTCTTTGGCGTTCCAACCAGAGGAGTCCACACGCTCAAGATCGGCGCCATGTTCGATGAGTAAGTCCACAACTGGCAGGTGGCCGTCCACGCAGGCGATGAACAATGGGGTCCACGAATAAGTGTTTTCGCAAAGCTCAGTATTTGCCTTCTGAATATCGGAGCCTTCAAGCAATAAACGAGCACATTCAGAATGGCCGAATCTTGCAGCCACATGAAGAGCTGTGTCCCCTTGATCATCTTGGTAGTTTATGTCGACCCCGGCATTGATCAAGAGACGTACTATCTCAACGAAATTTGCTTTCGTCGCCAGGGCCAATGCGACAGAGGATTTTAGGGAGCTTTGACGGATTGATGTGCGCGGTATATCGAGGGCCACACTTTCCTCTGCGTCAAGCAAAGCCTTGGTCGTCAAAGGGTGGCCGCCCATCACGCTGAGGTGTAACGGTGCCCAGCCCTCATTGTCCTGCCACTGGGGACCATCAATACCGTTCGAGACATTGAAGAGCTTCCAGGCCTTGAGATGCTCAATGATGATCTCACACATGACTCGAATGCCGTATTCGGCCGCGAAATGCAAAGGCGTCCGCCCGGCACTGTCCCTGGCCAACAGTCCAGGGCGTTGCACGGGCTGCAGGTTATCGAGCAGAAACTCTAGAAAAGCAACCGAGGCATCATCGCGGGTCAAAATCCGACTCCGTTGGTCATCCTGTACGACGGGCCGTTTGAACTGTGTCGCGGGCTCTGCGGCAGGTGTGATGAAATTGTACGGCTCGTTATCGACCCCTGGCACTTGCGCGATGGTAGGGTCATGGTCACGGTTCGCCTGCTTTCGGCCGATCGAAATGATCAACCGATGGATGCAGTTCCGCTGGTTGATATCATCGTGGTCGTCCAAAAAGACAATTTCACGCAACAGATAAGCTGTGCATTCCTTACTCCGGCTCGTTATGGCCCTTTGAAGCAGTGTCTTCAAAAGCTGTTGCCGTGCAGGTTCAGAGCTCTCCGTGGCCGATGTGCTCGTCTCGTTGACCCACTCCTCGATGCCTTTGGCATCATCTTGACGGATGATTGCCTCAACTTTTGCCAGTTGCTCCGAGGAGATGTCCAGTGTTGGCCTTGATGTCGTCCGTTTGATCGACAACGAAGAAACAGAAGCGACATCATCATGTTCCGTGGCGGTCGGGACTTCGCTCATCAGGGCAATAGATTCGTTGATCTTGTTCAAGGAGGCGAACAACTGCGCATTTGTCGCAAAGGCCGACGGATCGACCTTCAATTCCAAATATCTCTTCTGGGCTTTGGCAGCCGGAATTCGCTTGTCCAGCTTCTTTGTGATCTTGATGAACCCCCTCCTGTTGACCTCTCCATACCACTGGAGTTTGCGTAGCTGACCTCGCAACTCGAGTAGCGCCGCCATCAAGTCTTCCCGCTCATCAGGGTCGAGGAGGTGGACGGAGTGAGAGGAGCTACCGTAGCGGTCTTCGAGGAGTTTCAGGCGGCGGGAGAAGTCTTGGAACTTTTTGTTGTAGAAGTGGTCAACGTCTTCAAGATTGCGATCCAGCGTATAGAAAAAGCCTATATCAAATGAGCATTGCCCGAGTTCCCCATGTCAACACCCATCCTACCGGCAAGATCGAGAGCGCCATCCTGCTTTTCACTCTCGGCAGCCGCCTTGATGAGCTTCTTCAGGGCCTTGTAGTTGATGTAGGCCGATGCCCATTCCGGGACTTGGTTTCGAGGGAGGTTTCGGCCAAACTTCATGATGTAGGAGATTTCAGGATACACAAATCACAACAAACAAAAATTTCTAATCCGTATACGGCAGACAGGAGTTAAGCGAAGAGAGGAGCGGTAGGAGGTAGCCATGCCTCGCCTTTGTTCTCTCTCAGACAAAGCACAGGGTACGGGTACCAAAAGAGCAATCTAGGTGACAGTCAGGACGGGGGACTCCCACAGGCCCGATTTATCACGGAGACAGAAGGCAAAGCACATGAGAAGCCTGAAGAGGCAGTATAGAAGAGAAGACGGCGGCTTGCGTGGTGGTGTAGGTAGAAGTGTGCGTGGACGCGAGTTCCCATGTCATTGGTAAATTTCGATTCTCTTTGATTCACATTTGGAGAAAGCGACGACAAACCTCTCTTCGCCGCTGATTGGCCACATCCCTGGCGAGGTCTGTCGTCGCCCGATTCCACCGCCAACGTGGAACTCACTAGACTGGAGCACGAGGAACGTGCGGATATTACTAACAGACCTCTCCCACTCATACGACGCATCTCGAGTCGACCACTGCTACCAGGATCATCCGGACCAAGTTAATACTCATCATCATTCAAGGGAGCGTCTTTTCTGAAATAAGAAGCAATGCCTCTCTGATCAAGGTCTGCCGAGTAAAACCCTGGGCCAATCTTTTCCTCCTGTCCCAGGTATATCTACAGATGTACATGCGCCTTTTTGCAAAAGTCGAAACGCCGTGAAATGCTGCCAGACCAATCGACCCGTAACTCATGTGTGCTGCTATACCACAAACAGTCACATGCAGCTCATTCCTCGCTGTTTTGCCCTGCCGACACCGTGACGCCAATGCGAGGCAGAGAGAGAGAGAGAGAGACAAATAGAGACTTGTCGGGCCGGGGCTACCTTCGGTGATTTAGACATCAATGTCCGTTGACGTGCCCTGCTTCGTGCATCATAATCATATCTTCATCATCGTGGTGGAGAGTAACACTATTGAATTCGAGGAAGGGATCTGCGATCTCCCCGCCAGGGGTAGCCATTCCAGAGTCCAAAGGAACACCCTTGAGACGTCCGGCTGAGCCTCCAATATCAACGCTGCCGCTGTCTTTCACAGACCGGAAGTTCAACGTGTCAATTGCCCGGCCTTGGTGAGGAATCATGGGCGGTTTCATGTGGCGGAGAAGTGCCCATGTAATAGGTCTAAAGAAGGGGTGATTCTTGACATCAGATGCACCAGCACGGGATCCTAGACGTTTCACTTCATCTTTGATCAGGAGCTTCCGGATCACCGATTTACATAAACTATGCTGTGTCAGCATTCGAGCCTTCTGTTGTCACGAGAAGTGGAACTTACCTGCTGACCTGAGGGAAATGATCCGGGAACGGCACTTCGTCCCGCAGGATATTTGCGAAAGTGGCATTGCGGTTTTTCCCTTTGAACGGCGTGGTTCCAAACAGCATCTCGTAGATCAAAATGCCCAGAGTCCACCAGTCTACAGCGCTTGTGTGTCCGTTGCCTTTGATAACTTCGGGAGCAATATACTCTTCCGTGCCAACAAATGAGTTGGTTCGAAAGTCGGCGATGCAAGACTTGGTGTCGACGAGCGGATATCCAGTAGGGTTGGAGGCGTTGCGAGTGCCTAAGATCATTGTCGGGGCTCCCCCAGAATCGGATTGCTTGGAGAGATCAAAGTCTGACAACATGATATGTCCGGATTGGTGTAAAAGAATGTCTGCGAATGTCAAAACTGGCCTCTGCAGACCATAAGTTCAAAAACTTACTTTCAGGCTTGAGATCTCTGTAGATGAATCCCATCAGATGTAAGTATTCCAGCGCCGCTGTGACTTCTGCAGCGTAGAAACGAGCGTCTTCCTCTGCTATGCATTTGTTGGGCCGCGTCTGCAGAGCGCGGAAGAATTCACCACCGCTGCAATATTCCATACATAGGTACAGGTGCTCTTCTGACTGGAACGAGTGGTACAAAGTAACAATGAACGGATGATTGCTGGTTGCCAGGATTTCTTGTTCTGCAAGCGCTCTCTTGATCTTGTTCCGCTTGATCATTTCTTTTTTGCTGAGAACTAGGAAAAGTCAGTTGGCACATCGAATTCTAAGCCAGTGGGTTCCGCAAACCTTTCATGGCGTACAGACGATTGGACTTCTTCTCGCGCACGAGATAGACCTTGCCAACATCGCCCTTACCAATCAACTTGATCTTGTCAAAGCTGCCAGGGCCAACTTCCACATTGCGCACCTTGATCGAGTTCGAGCTGTAGGTTCTTCTAAAAGCGGCAGCTTGACGGATCTGGCCTGGAAGTGGAATCTTTCCTCCCGGGGTTGTCGCCTTGGTCGGACTTATTTCTGAGGAGGATGTAGCGACCATACTCAGCTTCGGTGTCGATCCAGGAAGAACGGCTAGAGGCTCTTTGCCCAGCTCTGCGGTCTGCGGTCTTTCTGCGTTACTCTTGCTGACCGTGAACAGACCCTGCGCGTTGGGCGCAGACGCCACTCTTCGCAATTTGCGCGCCAATTCCTCCTTGCCCGCTGTAACAGCCTTCTCTTCCGCGGCCGAGCCATTGACCTGGACTTTGGGAGTGTCTGGAGGGGAAGGTGGCACGCTACCTTCATTACGATGTCGAAGTGCGGGAGGACCTTGGTGCACGAAATAAGGATTGGCTTGGGCGGTTGGGGACAGAGCGTTGTCGTCGAGAGGATGGCCCTCGCTGGCTACAGTTGTCGAACGATTTCTGGCGAGACCGGGGAGAAACCTCGATTGCTTGCCCGGCTTTGTCTCGGTCTTGGGAGTGGGAAGGCCATCCGAACCGATAGATGTCTGACTCCCACTGCTATTGATGCGAAAGAAATTCTTCAATTTTGTTGTGGTCGGAGTATGCGTACCTGCCTCGGCATTCATATGTTTTTTGGAGGAGAAGGACAGGCTCGAGAAGTTTCGTCGTTCGGTAGCCATGGTGAGATGCTGCAGTTGGCCAACTCAATGGGTCCGCAGAATCCGTGCGTGGAAGCGAGGGTCTTGAGCAGCTGGTATGAGAGCTTGCCAGAACGGGACGCGAGAGAGACTATCAGATGTCGTTGAGTATTGTAGATTCCGGCCAACGGACGAGGGTAACACGGAGTGGGAGGGTTATCTTGTGCGGAGCGCCATATCAAGACGGGTTTCACTGGAGGTTGGTTGCAAGTCGAGGCTGATGGTGGAAGGGTTCAAGGAAGAACTGGTGCCACAGTCAAGAGTGCAGCGCCTGGCAGATAGTCGACCTGCAACGTGACAAGCAGGAGCGATAGTACAAATATCCGGTCCGCGTATGGTGATGGGGATGGGTAGTGGTCGTGGAGGAGGAGGAAGGAGGAGAAGGGCAGTTCAATCGACCCTCCCCGAGACAGGAAAGAGTGGGGAATTGGTGGGCACCAGATACACACAGCACACAGCTACCGGTGCCCGGGACCTAGCGTCCGTTGCCCGCGTAGCGACATGTACTGGAGACTGCAGTGCCTATGCATGCCTAAGAAATGGAGTCTTAGCAGTGCCTAGATCCCGAACACCAGCCTAAGAGCCACTTAGCGGCCGGCCTCCTTTAACCACGCCGCCGCCCAACGGCGCTTTTACAAACTCAGACACTTCAAGCATCGCAACAGATCAGCCGTCGCGCATGGAGAAAACTGTGTTCAACTCTGTGGAATGGAAGACCGTCCTCGTGGTCATGAGATGTCGTTCTTTCAGTTGTCTATGCCTATGCTCAGTGCTCATGTAGCGCTTATTCCAGGTCGTCTTTAGCACCAGACTACCAGTAGCCACAACGCCAGGACAGTGTACTGTAACCATACACTATCAGCAGATCTCAGATTTTGGCTTTGCCGCAGATGTTCTAGACGTTCCGGAAATCCTTGTCGCGTGGTGTCAATTCTCCTTCGCTCGACACTCTTCGTAATCTCGAAAGACTGCCAATGAGGCAAAATCAGCAGTGGCAACAATGCCTCGACTTTCTGGTCACAGATCGTCTATGAAAGGACATACCCCGTGTCTCTAAAATCTCTCCTTTCATGCACGCACATCATGACTACAGCATCCGACGTCGTCATCGTGCTGCGGTCGATGTGGGTTTGCCGACGCATTGTGGCACTTGGGGGCTGCATGAATCCGCTGCCTTGTCGCTCCGGTTGATTTCTCAGCAATAATTCCTTTTCCACATCGCCACGTTCCTGCGGCTTAGATGGCGATCACGGTACGGAGTATCTGTACTCCCGTGTCTTTCTGTGTTTTCTAGGTACCCCTACCTGATCAAGCACCAGACATGCCAGACCGGTAAATATAGTCGAGGTAGGTATCTCATGAACTGCCATTGCAGTATGCATTCTCATTTGCTGTTAGGATTAACTAAGTTGTCTGTGATTGCAGCTATTCTGCGACACTACCTAGTCAATGTCGCCATACGCATTCGCTGCTTCATCTCTGATGTTGACGGATAAGATACAATCCAATGTTGTTCAAAGCTCCCTAGACTCGGCACCTCACCAATACAGCTCTCGGGGAAACCCCTCCTTTTCCAATAACTCAGTCTGTCCCAAGGGACACCCTATGTGTTTCTAGGATATGCAGAAACACCATACATGCGTGCCAACCATGTGTATTTTCCAATAGACTTGACCAATTTTCGCCAGGCCAAACCGAATGTCTTTGCAATGATCCATGCACCGCACAGGTGCGGCAAACAGCCTTTCTCTATGCCTACTCACATATTCTCGTGCTTGGCGGCTTGAGGTCGGAAGATGTTTTCAGCTGGCAGCATAACGCCACCACCATTGCGGCCCTGAGGATTATTGTGAAACCTATTCCGAGGACCAGTCGGGATCCGACCAGACTCAGGACTGCGAGCCTTGCCAGCTGCTGAAAGCAACGATACGGCGGACCGTCGCTGCATGTCAGTCGACTCTCCCACCGTGTTTGGCAAACGAACCATGGCGTGAATATTCTGGACCGACACTGAGGAGTAGCCCTTGATATTCGTTGCATCGTAGGGACTCTCACGAGCAGTCTTGGGAAATTCACTTGCCGACCAGCCTGCTTTGTCTCGTGACAAACGCACAGGTGAGGTAATGGTAGGAATGCTGGACAGTGCAGTGTCCGACGAGGTTGACGCTCCAGTGACTGAGGTGTAGGCATTCCGTCCAAATCGCGGAGGTTTGAAGCCTCTGGTTGTTGTCAGTTTTTGATCAGAGTTCGTGCAGTGTGAAATCAAAACTTACCGAGCAACGGCACTTTGTGGAATAGCCCAGTGGGATGGGCCTCCCTGCGGAAATCCCGATCCTGTATCAACCATGGCGTTTTCCTTGCGGTTATCTCGATCGATCTGACCAGCTCCCGCATCCGCGGTGATATTGACAAAGTTGGCTGCCATGTTCGAGGACAGCTCGGGCTTCTTGGTCCAGTAACCTCGTTCAAAATCATCCATCTTGCCAGAAGGCGGGCGTCGGAGACCTTGACCCGCAATCACGCTGGTTGAACCATCTGGCAGTCTCACCGTAGTGGTGAATCCAACAGGAAGGCGCATTGCATCGAGTTGCACTTCATAAAATGCTTCAACCGTTGACGGTGCGTCTTCAGTTTTGGTCGGAAGCCACTCGCTGTTGCCACAGCGCGTCGAATCTTTCTGTTCTGGGATGACTTGTCCAAGGTTGTTCTTGTCTGGAGACGATTTCGAGGTCACAGCAGCGCTCAGTCCAGTTCCACTTCCTGAGCCAGAGCTGTTGCATGAATTGTTGGGGGAAATGCTTAGCTCACGGTCTAGCTCCAATAACATCTTGCTCTGCTCAAGTTGAATGTCATCCGGCGGATCACCAATGCGAGCACCCCATTCATCGACCTCAACGAACACAGTCTCTGTGCCTTGATTGCTCTTCGAGTTTCCGGAAGAGTCCTTTCGAGGAGCAACAATGGGAATTCGACGATGGCCGCGCTTCGGAGGTGCCTTCAATCCGGGAGCTGGCCGATAGTTGCTGTATGTGTTGCTGATGGCTTGATTACCCGCATTCAGCGGGACATAATCAGCGGCTTCCACGTTGAAAGTATGGGCGGTACCATCTGCTTCTGCACACTTCCGACCCAGAGCTTTGAGCTTGTTCTCGACGACCGAGGTCCAGTAGTTCATGCTGGCTTTTGCATCTGCACGCAATCCGACGATGGCCATACGTTGGCTTACAACTTGAGGATCGCGCTCACTCATCGCTCGCTGGCGGTCAAGGCTCTTGAGTTGCTGGTCGAGATCATCAAAGCGATTGATAGCTTCCTGCAACATGTTACGGGAATGCAGGTCTTCAGGGGTTGACTGTGGACGTTGGTCTTTCGACAACGCGTCCGTGGCAGGCACACAAGTGGCATCTGGCGCAGGGAGCAACGGCATTTGATATTGAGGCTCGATGTTACCGCCGAAGCCAGTCAAGGGTGCATTGTGAGGCATTGTTGCAGCTGGATACATCTGGCCTGGTGCAAAACCAAACGGGTCATACATGTTCGGAAACGTTGGGGTGGCCATGATTCCGTTATAGAACGGTGTTTGCAGGCGATGAGCATCAACCGCAAAGGTATCTGCCGTGGTTATCATGTTGTTGATAAAGGGTCCAGACATCATGTTCCGGTTATCAAGGACGGGAAGCGGAGGCTGCATGAACTGACCCTCTGCACCTTCCGCGGAGGGCTTGAAATGGGTTCTCAACTCTTTTGGCTCCTTTTTCGCAGCGTCGTCGGAGTGCTCGACATGGCCGTCCACACCGTTTGCAGGCTCGGCCTCTTTGATTTGCTTGGACTGTGCCAATGTGAACGATGGTGGGCGTGGACGATGTTCCATTGGGACAATGCGACCTCCCGCAGTCACTCGTTGGTGAGTTGGAGACGAGTGCTTCTTCAGAAATCGAGCAAAGCCCTCATCCTGTTGAGCTCGTTGGGTGCTTGGTGGGACCGAAGGCTGTCTCTCAGGGCCATTGACCGTGCGGAAACCCCGAAAAAGCACCAAGTCCTCTTGTGATTCACTGAACTCTTGCGAGGAGCCACGAGGCCTATCACTCACAGAGCGCCGAGTACTGAGAGCCATGGTAGCCATGGCGCAGGCACCTAATGGCGGCACCACCCCTGCTGTGTCTTTGTCAGATTCAATTCGCTTTCATTTTGTTTCTGTGGGGAATTTTTTGAACTGACCTCGCGCTGCGTCGTAGGTGAACTTGGACAGGTCGAAGCTGTAGGCTATTGTTTGTGGCGCAAGTTCAAGCAGGCGTGTCACGCTGTACCGACGCGACCTGCCGACCTGGCTATCTGTGCTTTGGTTAGTCATATTAGGTCTATGCTGTGTTTCAGGTGTAGGCGCGATGAGGCGAGCAGCCAAGCAAAAGTACCAAAAGGGGAGTCTCTGGCGCAAGAACGAAAAGCAAAGCACGGTGAGGCGGTGATGCCAGTGGGTGGGTGAGAATGAGGATATGTCGCACTGTGGACAAAGTGAGGGCGAAGGAGGCTGCGACGACGCGCTTGCAACTTGCAGGAACGCACGAGACAGCGCGAAAGGAAGAAGGTGCAACTTCATGCTTACCAGGTAGCTTGATCGCGCAAGAGGAAAGAACCGCTGGCTATCCAAGGCGAGTTTTCAGTGGAGATTGCGACGGATGTACGAGGGTGTTGAGAAGAGGGAGAAAAGGAAGAGAGACGTCGCGAGTGAAGAAAGAAAAGACTTTGACTGGTGTGCAAGGCGGCAGGCGGTGATGAACCAGCCCGTCGCAGTGAATGAAGTGCGGCAGTATTTGGACGGATTATCATTCTGGTGATGGTCGCCACCGACTATGGTCAGGTACAAAAAGATTCACTTGGGAGTTGCCGATTCCCGGGTATAGCAGAAAAGAACATCCGATATCTCGTTCTTGGTCTTGTTTCGTTCGCCAATATCGCGTGCCACAGCGATCATCGTGATCCCCTGGCTCGAGGTGTCATTAAACATGATCGTGCGGATCAACCGCTGGTGTGTAAGGAGTGATGGGCAGTTCGTCATCTTCATAACTGGGACGTCGTGGTCTTGGTGGAGCATCACCGAGAACTCTGCCCTGTGCTTCTTCCGCCTTTACCTGATCCCTCAGTTCCCAGCTTCCAACTCTCTCATGGCCGCGAGTTGGGTGTGATTCTGCCTCTGTCGCGGCCACAACCATTGTAGCCCCAGCTCCGCCCTTGGGTATGACCAAGTCCTGGTCACTTGCCATTTTCGCGCCTCCCTTAAAGCCTGCCATCTCGGACTTGGGCTTTGTATGGACCCTGTGTAGTCTTACACCACCTAGAAGCATGACTGCTGCAAACAACAATGCCGCGACTGCGAGGGTGACCACGGCTCCAATTACGCCAGCAATGGCGGGAGACAGCCCTTTGTGGCTAGAAGAAAGCAATCCCGTAGATGGATTGTACTTGTCATCGGTATCTGTGAATGCTGGACAAAATACGCTGTAACTTCCACATGTCGTGCACCATTCGCCGACATTGGACACCAGGAACTCCTCCAGACCCGCAACAAAGTCCAAGAAAGGGACAACCCCTTGGCTGGGGCTGAGGCCAAAGAGGGAATATTCAACCAAGGAAGAGTCAGAATCTGTACCATTCTGGTACAGAAACCTGACATAGATATCTGTTGTATTGGGCCACTCGTCCGTTTCGTCAGCCTGCATAGATACCAGCTCAAAGATAAAACTTGACCCAGGCGCGGGTACGTTGTAGAATGCAGCATTTTGCTGAGAGATAAGCCGCGTTAGAGCAGCAAAGGAGATCATGGGCTCGTGGCTGCCAAATAGTAGGGTCATTTTCTCTGTTTGCCCTTGTGTGTTGATTGCTGTGTTAAACGTTGTCAGAAGCCGAGTAGCAAGGGTTCTTCCTGCGATTGCTCGAATCTTATCACCTGATGTTGTACCTGACGCCGAGAGGTCAGCGTTCATGGCAAAGACCCAATCGTCCGCAAGGATTTTGGCTTTGGTCAGATCTTCTTCCCGTAACGATTCTCGGACAGTACTGTTGTGGGTGTACGCATAGCTGAGATAGTCGTAGATGTAAAAGGCGTCATAGTAGCCGACTCCGGCATTGGAAAAGATGCCATCGAGGAACTCAGGCTGAAGGCTCCTATAAAACTCCATGGTCGAGTTCAGGATACTCTGATAGTCTGGGCTTTGATAATATACCTGTCCCGAAGCAGTATACGACGGACAGCTGTCCATGCCATTGACCCATATGGAATTCAGATCGTTACTCGATATGGTCGTAATCTGGGGATATTGGTAGCCATTCAGCGGTGCCACAATGTTGGTCCCATTGGCAACTGTGCTTTGGCCTTCGATATAGGTCCAGTTCGAAGACAATTCCAGAGGGGGATATAGACCCTGGAGGAAAGCCAATGCAGAGGCCGACACATATTGTTCATCAGTAGACAAGACATTGATCTGATCATACGCCAATTGATTTCCCGCTATGCCAGAGATGGTGGACGAGCCAGTATAGTCACCGTCCGTGGGTGAAATATACCTGTCTCGCGCCTTAGCACCTGCAGCATACAGCTGCTGAGCTCCCAAAGGAGTCAAAGAAGGCGTCGAGGACAAGACCAGAGGAGTTCTATCGCCATATCGGGTGTAGATGAATGTGCTCAGCACCTGCTGGGTGAGCACAGTTTGGGGAGCGACAGCAAGGAAGAGCGAGAGGAAGAATAGAGTTGAGGCATGGACTGAGTAGAATCTGGCCATGGTGTTCACGATATTCAGGATGATCCAAGTCACAGAATCACAGTGCACCAGCGGCCAGCAACCTGACAAGCTGCTGAGGAACAGAGAAAGTAAACTGACAATGGTGGGGGTTTGGTAAGCCTTATGAGCTTGAGCCGTCGAGGATGAGGAAGCTGCAGGGCTACTCGATAGTCTCTCGATTCTTGGAGCTCATGAGAATGTCCCAGGAGGAGCTTACTCAATTCAGAGCAGTGTCCCATGATCATGGTGCATTAGGTTGTCCCTCTGGCGAGTTCTGACCAGGTACAGGATCGTCATACGAGGAGGAAGCTTCGATAGCAAAGCGTTACATGGTGGGGTTCAGCGAAAAGTCGGCGCATTCATCCAGAGCTCCCAATCAGTAGATCCGCCTTGCCGCCAATATTCCAAGGCTCACTATCACTAGGCTTTGGTGCCGTCTGTTGCCGGCTGCGAGAGAGTTTCTGTCAGATAGATAGCTGAGAATCTCACCTACAAGGGCGGGATGCGTCGTCAGAAGTGTACGCCCTCGTCCAGATGTCTCCCTGACCCTATTCTGGCAGGACGAGAGATCCGGATGCCTCCAGCAGCTTGTGACGACATGACGCCATGCACAAAGCACAAAAGCCCATCTGAGGACGATCGAGCTTTCGGGATATTGAGTGTTCCACGCCCAAGCGTTTGTTTAAGATAAGCAGATTGGCTGGCATAATCCTGGGGGCTGGGAGGAAGCAAGCGACCGGCAGGGATGCTGATAGAGATGGACGCCAACCTCAAGAGCGCATGTGCTGTAGCTGCACTAACTAATTAGCCCTGTGCCTGTGGTATAGCATGGATGGCGTGCTGCTCCGTCAGTCAACCTCGTCGTATTCGTGGCAGGTGAAGTTGCTGTCCTCGTCTCACCCGGCGTTTGTGTCATGGATGGAATAAGAGCCGATGGCTGCACGTCAGCGCCAAACAGTTGACTATGAGTATTCATTCTACGGATACACTGAGTAGTGACAATTGATGTTGTCTACTGTCGACACATGCTCTCCTCAGGACTCACTCCAGCTTAGGTAGCTAGATCTATCGTATGCCAATTGTACAACACCGGCCAACGCCGATTGTTGCATCTCCGCATTATTTTGCTGCTCCGCAACTTTTTTCCCATGGCAGATTCATCTCGTTTGTCTCCTGTACACATGAACTTACCCAGTGTGACTGTCCCTGCGTCGTCAAATATATCTGGAAACTGATGGTCTAGCGATGTCAAATGATCTATCCCCCCTCCAGTCTGTCAGCGACGGCACAGGAGAAGGGGCCCCTCAAAAGCAACAAGGTGAGGAGCGTTGGCTGCTTCACTCACCTGGCGGCGCATTTGGACTGACTTGTGCCCAGATGAGGCTCCATCGCAGGCAAATCAATCGCAACCGGCAATCCCCCGACAAGATGACAATCCAAGAAGTCCTAAGAGGCGGCGTCTGTCTCCTGCTGAAGGGGCGCCGAACCCACAATCTTCCTCTGTCGCGAGCGCTGAGCAGCAAAAGATGGAGACTGGACCAACGGTGGTGCCTCAATCTACAATCACGAACGTCTCTGCCTCGGCCAGCACGCAAAGCCATAATGTCCCTCCACAGCCTCCAAAAGCGCAGCCTAGTATAGTCAGGAACCGACTGGACAGCCTCCCGGTGCTGGAGAGTCTCGCCGCGGACATATTGACCTTTCTCGCGAGCCTCTCACCGACTGAAGCCTTGGGTTTGTCAAGGACGCCAGCCACCCTGAAAACCCGTGAATACCTCGGGTTGCGATCGAAGTTCGACCCCATAAGGAGGATGTTTTACACGGGGCAGCCGTTCCTCTCGGCGAGCGACTTGCAGTTACAAGATGCGAATCACATTCAGGCAATACGCAAGATCAATCAAGCCATATTTATGTCTAGCATATTCACAGGTGAGATTGGACTTCGAGACATGGACCGGGGGTTTCTTCCTGTGCTTGTGCCAGAGAACGGGTTTCTTCAAAAGTCGCAAGCCTCTGTGTTCCTGGCTCTCAAAACGCAGGGATTCATAACTGCTTGGAGGACAGGAGCAGCTCCGCCTCATGTGGTTGTGGCCGATATGTTCGCCCCAGACTTGGATAAGCAGATTCTGGCACGGCGACCAGGAACAACAACCTTGGCACCAACCGAGCAAGACTTTCTGAGTCAGGTCACAGCACGGCGTGAAATCTTGCAAACTCATGCACAAAATAACACACTTGATCAGTTGGCTTTGAAGTATCCATGGGATGATTTCAGTCGAGAGGTATCGTCTTACTTGTATCAAAGTATTGAGAGTGCTTCGAAAAATGGCGGAGGGCAGGGTGGTAGTGACACTTCGAAAACGTCTCAGCGTGGCCAGATGGAAGGGCAATTCTCGATACACGCTTCACCCGCTCCTACCGGGTCCACCGAATCTATCTACATGCAAATCACCCAAGGACAGACCCCAAGTATCTCGCTTTTTGGCCAAGAATTTATCGCGCAAGCTGCTAGAGCCGCAGAGATTGCCATGAAAGGACTAGGAGCTGTGTCGGCTGCAGAAGTCGCCTCGACAGCGGCTCCCAGTGTACCTCCCCCGGCCAAACCAGCTACCCCTGCACCTCAAAATTCCCTACCAGAGCCTCAACAATTTGAACCAGCTTCTGAAAAAACCAAGTCCGAGTCTCCTTCCTCTGGCCCTGGTGGAAATCCAGACATTCCTCACAGCTCACAAACAGCACCTACTCTCGTGCTATATGAGCGAGCCAGACAAGCAGCGGCAGCGAAAACGTCGTTGACTCCTAGGAAAGGGGTCATACCCGCACAGAGGCGTCCCTGGACTCCGGAAGAAGAGCATACCCTCATGAAGGGAATTGACCAAGTCAAAGGTGGCCATTGGAGTCAGATACTCGCTATGTACGGCCCTGGCGGTACTATTAACGAAACCCTCAAGGAACGAAATCAAGTTCAACTCAAGGATAAAGCGCGAAATCTCAAGCTGTATTTCTTGAAAAGTGGCGTCGAAGTACCTTACTATCTACAAGCCGTGACTGGTGATCTTAGGACTCGTGCTCCAGGACAAGCCTCGAAGCTCGAGGAAGCCCGAGAACGCGAGAGGCTGCAATTAGAAGCAGATCAAGTGTCCTTTGAAGAACTGGAAGGGGACGAGCCACCACATCCGAACATAGTCGAGACTAGCACGCCTCTGCCAACCCAGTCATCGCCTGCCACCAATGACACATTACAACCGAGTCCGCTCAAAGACATGGAGCCAAAGAAATTCGAACCGAGTATGGCTGATGTTGAGGCGATGATAGCTCGAGCAGCCGCGCAAGCCGCACAGGAAGCAAAGTCAAGCCTGCCCGGATCGTGATGTCCTAGCACAAGAGAACAGACGAAATAGGTGTTGTGCATGAGAAATAGCCTCATGTCACATCCGACGTTCTGATCAACACCCAAGTATCGATTACTCGCACTGGACGTAAATTATGCGCTCTGAAATGGGGCTCCTCTAAGTTACTATTGTACTACAGTAGCTCTCCGGGTTGGCCTAACTTAACTTATAGTGAGCCTCGGGACAAATTCTCCGATCTCCAGGTTCTGGTGTTCGCCGCCTAACAATCACGGTAAATTTAATCCCTGCAACTTGCTGTTGACTCTTCGTTTATCACTCAAGCCTTTCCCACCGTCAGTTTGCGTGCGATAACAACACCAGTGGCACGACGACCAGCACGTTCCAACGTTCTGTAGTGTTACACACAGCCTCCTTTTGGCGACGGCCCACTCGCGATCTGACCATGTCTTCACCACCCCCTCCTGCGGAAGATACATCGACGATGGATGTCGACGCCGAGATGGCAGACAATACACAAGAGACGGCGGCGGAAGGGTCCTCGACGCAACGGAACCACCTGGAGGCCTCATCAGGCACCCTAGACAACGAGTTCACCCAGTCGGAAACGCAGCCTACGGCGACAACGTCCGCGGGAGCAGCTTCGCAGCAGAATCGCAAGGACATCACGCTCAGAGAGTTCCTCAGCAAGATGGACGATTACGCTCCGATTGTAAGTGTGCATCATCATCATCGTACCCTAGTTGTGAAAAGACGGCGCAAGGTGAAAAGGAGGACACGACCACTGACACTTGGTGCGCTCACGTCTAGATCCCTGATGCCGTAACGTCGCATTACCTCACACTCGCTGGACTTCCTCCGCCATCACCGCATGACCCAAGCGGCGCAAGCACGAACAGCACGCCTCTCCCTCTTGCCCGACTGTTGGCGCTCGCGACACAGAAGTTCGTCGCCGACGTAGCCGCCGACGCGTACCAGTACAGCCGGATCCGAGCGGGCAATTCTGCCGCGGCGAGCAATGCCCTCGGCAACGCCGCGATGGGGGCGGGCGCCGCCGGCCAGGGTTCGTTCGGTGGTTCTGGTGCGGCCGGCGGAGGGGCCGGAGGAAAGGGCCAACAAGCGGCACAACTGGGCGTGCAGAGAAGCGGTTACGGCGGCGGCGGTCAGGGAGGGTCCGGACAGGGCCGGGCGGTGTTGACCATGGAAGACCTCGGTATGGCGGTCCAAGAGTACGGGGTCAATCTCAAGAGAGGAGAGTTCTACCGATAAGATCGTGGCCCTGGGGACAACGACCACGCCCAGCACCAGCAGTGTGTGCGACTGTTAAGAGCGTGCCAGGGCATACATATCTTTGACATTCTGGATTTTGAATTCGCCCCCGTGGCCCACGAGCCTCTGAAAACACATCGCCGACACATGATTGCTTTTGCTCGGGAGTGGCTGGGTGGGTGGGTTGTGCTTCGATACTGCTTGCATCACTTGGAGCCCTGCGGCTTTACTTATCGATCCAAAAGCAAAACGGAGGCTGTTACAGGGAGGGCTCTGGAAACTGTACATTCACAGTCCTATTGCGACCTTGATGATACCCACGATTTTCGTTCTTCCAGTCTTTGGGGGGTGGGGTTGGCTTCGAACAGCGATATTGCAAAACTCGTTCAACAATTGATTCCGCTCAACGAGTTCTTGTGGAGGTGAGGTTGAAGATTACCTGGTCTCATTTGAAGGAACCATCAAGACTGGATTCAGCAGCAAGAGGGCCAATATCTCAAACACTATAGTCTCTACCGCACTATAGCAAGCAAGAAGCCATCATAATTCTTCCCACCACATGTCTGAATCACAGTCCCATCGACCCTTTCGTCCTTGCCGACCTTCTCGACCAGATTCGGAACTTTCACGTCCTCCTCCTCCTCAGCAGCAGCAGCAGCAGCAGCAGCAGCAGCAGGGCCAACGACACCCGTGTTAAGCATCTGTCGGACGACATTGTCAACGTACACCAGGCTCCCCTTTCCGTTGGACAGCTTGACGGCCCAGTCGAAGTACGCCCACTGATTGTCCCAGTCCGCGTCGATGAAGACGACGTCGAACTTGTCGCGCTTGCCCCGGGCGATCTCGTCGGCCAGCTTGGGCAGGACGTCGAGTGCCGCGCCGAGCAGGATGTCGACCTGTTCGGGCACCTTGACGCCGCCGTACTCGAGGTTCTCGATCGCCACGTCGCGTCGGCCGGGGTCGATCTCGATGCTGGTCAGTTTGCCGCCGCCGGTGGAGTCTTTCAGGCCCTGCGCGAGCCAAAGCGCGGAGTAGCCGCCCAGGGTACCGATTTCGAGGACGTTCCTGGCTCCAGAGACGCGTGTGAGGATGGAGAGGAGTTTGCCCTGGCTGGGCGAGAGTGCGATCTCGGGAATGCCGTGGGCGCTGGTGTTGGAGTAGGCGTGTGCAAAGGCCGGCGTGGCTGGGCAGAGGGCCGCCTCGACGTACTCGGACACGTCGTTGGCGTACTTTGCGTTTTCGACAGACATGGTGATCCGATATTGGCGGATGTGCGGAGAGAACGGTTGTCGATCTTGGTCGTTTGAGAGACAAAAAATTTGGTGACCTGGAGCTGGTTTGGTGAAGTGTGTTTGTCGTTTGGCACTCAGTCATGGAAACGGATGCATTTATGTCGTTCTACGTCCGGCGGTACGCAGGGCAGGAGAGCGAGCGAGTTCGAAATCTGACGGTCACATTGCTGCCCATTCCTGTGTTGTAGTGGACTTGATAGAAACAGGCAGCAATGATCCTCGGTGTCAGAGCGTCGAATAGAAAATCAAACCGCGCACAGGAGAGATCATGTCGAGAAATCGTCGAGGCTTTTTCCTATCGTGGGAGAGTATACGGAGCACTACCTTCTAGGTAGGTATATGTGGGTTTGACGGTGGTGAGTCGTGGGATAGATACAATCACGCGCTGTAACCTGTCTAAGACCAATTTACTATACGCCAGACTCGACGTGAGTGGCTAGTTAACTAAACGTTACTGTGGGTTGAGCGAGAGTGACCCACCCCACTGACTTTAGTGAGAACTATCGTACTCACCGTGAAGTACGACTGAGGTACGCACACCTTCACTTGATCAGTGATCGGATCGCCGATCATTCAAGGATGGCTGATCAGCGAGGTACAATCACCTAGAGGCATTCGTGGTGCCTGGCATGTGGGACAGAGAAGGGCAGGGGGGTGGGAGGCTGTCTGTATCAATCGAGGTATCGTGCTCTGGTCGAGGCCGCTTCCTGTGGGCAAGGTAGTCGAACGTGTGTACAGACTGTAGGGTAACTGACTAATTTCTCCTGGAACGGATAGTGATTCATGTAACGCAGCGTTCGCTTCAAGCTGGGGTATCATATCGTTAATCGTTTCTCAACTCTCAACTCTCAGCCATGAAACTGCTGGTGAATGAATGTTCTAGAGAAGCTTCCACAGGCACAGACTAACGCGTGATGAAGCAACCACACGCTTTCCACCGGTCGATACTACAACCCATTGTCAACACAGGCTCAATCAGAGGAACTCTCGCTTTCTTCCGGACGCCCTTTTCAGCGGCTCAGTCAGATACTCGTCAGTCATCAATTCACTTCGTCATGTGTCACATCAAACCCCCGTTCTTGTAATGGTACTTTTCGACGCACAATCACATCCCCATATGCGGCGAAACTCATCGACACTCAGTTTGCCCAGTACCTTGAGAGCAGCCTTGCTAGCTCTTGTTTTGGCGTACTTGATCCCGTGTCCTCTGCTTTCGGCAACAATACGACCATGCACCATCCAGGCAACGTGGACGGTGACTCCCCCGACCGACTGGTCTCCCGCCCCATCGTCGTCATCATCCTCGTCGTGATCCCCCCTGGTCGTTGTCACCCTGCCTTCCTCATGGTTGACAGGTGAACTATCCCGACATCGAAATTCTTGTCGGAGCAAAGCGAAAAGATGTGTCGTCGGGTGTTGATTTGCAAATGTATCGTAAGTTTCGATCTTCTCAAAAAACCATTTCACATGCTTCTCGAAGAATGTTTCAATCTCCCCAAAGTTGAAGTTGGAGTCCAGAAGCACCGCACCCAAGTAACTCTCGACAAGATCTGCCAGTGCTTTTGGTGGACTAGAACCCGAGTTTATCCGAGTCCAGAAGTCACGTTCCACGGTTCCTTGATCGTACACTTCCTGGATTTTGGCAGAGTAATGTCCTATCTCTTCGTAGAGAGCCGGCGACGTAGCGTAGATTAGTCTGTGGAATCCAAGTACGACCGCCAGCGCGGCTAGGAATTTGTTCGACACCATCGCCATCTTGTGTTCAGTCAGCCATTGTGGGCCCCTGGTTGGATTACTCGAAAAGAGCCACCAGATAGAAACCCAGTCGAGACAGGCGTCCCCCAGGAATTCAAGCCGTTGTAGATCAGGCACTGTAGAATACTGATCAGAAGAATGAGTAAAGGCGGACCGGAGCAATCGGGGATGCTGGAATCTGTAACCGGTAATTTGCTCAATACTTCTCGCCAGATCGGTAGCGATTGGGTCGTTCGTTTGTAAACTCCACGTCGGAGGCTTATACAGTGGCCTAATGTCTTTCCACGATTGAAGTTCATGGTCAGGGTCGTCGACAAGCTTGGTGATGGCGCGAATGCCGAGATCGAATTTCTCTTCCGTAGGTAGGTCCTGGCTTGCCATGATGCAGGCCCCGATGGTAGCTTCACACACGTCGGCTATCGTCTTTTTCCCTAGTCCATGTGACTTGAAACTGTCTTTCAACAGAATCTGGCGCTCGGAACGACTTGGGACTTGCTTCATGAACTCTGGGTACCACGTCGTGCCCCAATGAGGCTCGGATGCTGCACGAATGTACTGGTAGAGTTCGTACTCCGGTTTTGATGCTGTGGAACACAATCGACGGTTTGCCAACATTTCCATACGTTTGCAATGCATTCCTTCCTCGTTACACGTGGTATGATTGAACACGGCGATCGTCGTCATCATTTTCAAAAGCGAATCGCCAATGAATTCCAGACGCTCGTAGTTCAGTGGTGCCTTTTGTAGGCGAGCTTCACCACTTCCGTCTTCGAACGTAGGCTCATCCGCGTCTGCAGCTGCATTGCTCTCCATCGTGAAGGATTCTAGGGCCAGATCAAGTGGTACTTCAGGCAGATGAAGCTTCACATAAGCTTCTCGCACGATCAAATATGCTTCCAGTCTATGCAGGATCGACGGCCACAATTGACAGAAAGCTGCCGTAGCCGCCGATATACGACCAATTTGCAACGGTTGAGGTGCGACAATACAACTGTCGAAGCGCCGCTGTTCTGGACTGCACTTTTGTAGAAAGTTTCGACCGGAAACCACAACTTTAGCCTTCAGGACTGGTTGATGAGGGTCGTAGTTACTCGCAAGAGCTGTTGCATTTTTGCGATGCCTCCCATAAGTACTGTCAGAGAAGGCAATGATGCTGTCTTTGAATCTCTTGCCAATCTTGATCGAAGGCTCTGGGGGTTTGTCCCAAATGGTTTTTGTATCGTCCACGTTCTCAGTGAAATAGCGAAGCCTTCCACTGCCAGGATCAACGAGAAATGCCTGGCACCATTCTGCAGCTTTTCTGAGCGCATCCTCTGGACTCGTAGCTGGTTCCCATTGACGCCGCTCGGTATTTTCTGCGACCATAAGTTCATCCATGTTGACAATGGCCTCAAAGGAAGGTTTGAATGCTGTATATGTAGGCGGAGCCAACCAGTAACTCATGGTACTCGGATCTGAGACAAAGGTCTTATGAAATACATCTTTAAGCACTCCGAAAATAGTGAAGTTGGTCAACGCTTGAAGTTGTTCCTTGTTGACCTGTATTGGTTCCTGCATCTGGTCGAAGAAGATAGGTTTCTCAATGTTTTCGTCCACATAAACAGGAAAACTTGGGATGATAGGTAAAGGGGCGCGCGTGAACAAGAGTAGGCTGTTCGTAGCCACAGAGGATGATGAACTTCCAAGCAGTACCCGAGTAACAAACAGCTCCGTAGGCAGGTTATCAGAGCATGCGCCACTATCGCGCCAGAAGTCTGGCTTTACCTTTTTCTTGTACGAATCCTTCTTTTCATCGACTGCGAGACGAGCATTCAAGTTATGGGGTTTGGCTTTGACAAAAACACTGTCGAGATTTGAATCGAGAAGTTCTGCTTTTCGTAGCTTGACACAGCAATTGAAGGCCGCCGATCGTCTGGCCAGGACCTTGTTCGGCTGAGGCATCCCTAAAGCCCCCTTAACCTGGGCCGCGCGTGGGTCGTTACTAGCAGGGAGGATGACCTTGTATTGAAACATACTCTTTTCTGGGTCAATAATCTCTTCGTAAATTTCCTTGGACCTCGCATCGACCTTCTCCAATGATACTACGTATCGTGAAAGCAGCAACAACGAGTTGGTATGACTTGCAATAGCTCCAGACGAGGTCTGAAAGCTCTTGCCGCTGAAGGTTTTGGCCATAAGTCGTTTCAATCTTGTTCCTGAGCCCAGTAACCGATCTGGGGGAAGACTCTGACAGAACAGTCGGATATATTCATCCATTTCGATTGCATAGTTGACTGTAGACTCATGCTTTTGGTTTCCTTCTTCCATCATGTGGGCATACACCGAGTTCTTCATTCGGGCTCGACCTCGACTCTGCATATACTGGATTGGGGTCTCGTATAGATCAAAGCGAACAACCAAATTACACTGGGGAATGTCAATTCCTTCTTCGGCAACACTAGTGGCGAAGATGAGATTTATGTCTCCCGAGCGAAAATGTTTCATGATCGCTTCTTGATCTCTCCAATGGCTGACTTCTGCGTTCTTTTGGCCGCCGACGCCGACAAGGACGCCTGGCCTCACATTTGGTAGGTCCGAACACTTGAAGAAGTCACAGAGAATGTATGCTGTGAATCTTTGCTCTACAAAGACTATTGCTCGAGTAGATTGAGATTCTGAAAATCTCCTCTCAAGTTCGGTGAAGAGGCATTTGACTTTGGCTGAAACCTCCCCGTCAACATCACACCGCGGAGGACCAAAGTAATGCCGACTGACAAGTGAAATGGCTTGTTGAATCTTTTCCAGTTTGGCTCGTCGTCTGTCAGGGTCGGAGTCATCCATGTAGACTTTGCTGCGTTCGAATTGTTTGATGATGGACGTAACTTCATGGGCAGAGGTTGGTATACCGTATTTCCAGACTCGGTCAGCTGCCCAAGTACCAAGTTGTCTTGAGGCGTATCTTGAAAAGACAAAGTACTTTTTCAAGTCTTCAATGAAACCGCAGAGGGGCCAGAGATTGCAAGTCAATTCAGTGTCAAAGTCCATGTGCGAGGGAGCATAGGTCCAACGAACATCTGTGGCTCTAGGAGCGAACTCGAAAACCGAGGCATCTTTGGTCGTGACAATCTTGCTCTGCAACAAAGCCTCGAGATCTTCCGCAACTTGACGGATGTCGCGTTTCGAATCTACCGGAGATGCAGTCATGCCAAAGATGCGCGGCTTCTCACCCTTCCATTTCAGATAGAAGTCTCGGATGATGGTAGCGTATGGATGATTCTTCTTGCAATGGTGGGCCTCATCGAATATGAGCAGTGATATTTGACCCATACTCAGGAACGAGTGCATGAGACACTGGTAAAGGACAGCAGCAGTACAGACAACAACGCTATTCTGGGCAAAGATATTGTCCCATTCCGCTTTTCTCCACAAGTCCTCGTTCGACTCGCCAAAAAGTTCCTTGACATTGTGTGGCAGATTGTTGTTGAGAAACCGCGTCTGCTGCCTGGCCAAATGAACACTGTTGACCAAGAAAAAGACGATCTTGGGCGGTCTGCCATTGTGTCGGTCAAGAAGCTCTTGCTCCAGAAAATGACGAATGAGTAGGGCAGCAATGAGGGTCTTTCCACTGCCAGTGTCAAGAACAGCAATTACGTTCTCTTCTGTCGCACGTTCAAAGAGTTCTTGTTGGTAATCACGGGCTCGATCGATGATGCTGTCCGACTCTTCATTCTTTGACAATGTAGGCGAGTCCTCATGCCGTTCACTGGAGGCATGTTCCTGTATGTATCTTCTCAACGTAGCCTTATCCGCTTCTTTGATCAACTCCGCGGATGAATTCAACGGGGACGATTCATCGTGAAACTCCTCGTCTGATTCGGCCAGATCGTCCGACTCCTCTGTGTCAAAACTCATCAGATCTGTTTCGGGAGACACTTGAAAGACCGGTTGGCGGTCCGTCGGGGCAAAATCATCCATGAGCGTCATGAGAAGGGTTGCGGAAGATTCTGTCTCTGGATTCCGTTCTGGTAGCCCCATTGTGACGAGGAAGACGACAAAACATGGCACAAAGAAGGGCAAGCAAACGGGCCGGTGAAGAAATATTGGCTGTCAAGCAAACAATCCATTTCACTTTCACCAGGAACGCAAGCTTGTTCACCGACGTCTCGGCATCTCATCTTGTCGGCGTTGTAACAAGTGGGTTGCGTGGTTGACAGAGGGGAAGGATAGTGTAGTCGTAGTAGACAAGTTAAACAGGATAAAATGCAGCCTCGCCAACTCGGGGAGATAGAGACCTTAGTTAGTGTGAAGCCTCAACTAGGTCCGAGGTCCAGATGGTGTGAAACTCTACCTTGACGCACACAGGTATTTGTAGGTGCCCGGCAGGCGGAGACATTGATCTTCAGGTACCAATTTACTCCTTTCAGGTACCGCGGGCGGGCTGGTTTTAGGCGAGAGACCTCACTAACCCCGCCGTGGGTGGATGGTCTATGGGGGGAAATTCCAGACCTATCGAGGTGCCTACTGAGCCTTGGTACCTAAACATTATGTCATGACTTCAGGTACACATTTATCGGACTTGTACTCTCAAGGGTGACCTACTGCCTCTACTGATACCTGGTTCCGACATATCAATCATACTAGATACCTACCTTGTGTATATACATTGTCTGACTACCCAACACAATGAAACCCTCACTCGGCGCATGTTTCCTATTATTCGCCCTGGCCAGAGCACACGGCCAACACTCTCACGAAGACACCGTAAGACCAGAAGACGACTGGGCACTGTACCACATGCAAGAAGAACACCGTACGTGTACCTTATACATACATACATACCTCCAAACTACACAGACTCTATCACTCCCTCATACACACACAGACCCTCTCTTGGGGTTGCTCTCTTCTGACACGTATAATACGCCATTGCAGACATATCCAACTTTGACCCATCTTCGTTCTTCTCCCTGCACGACTTCAACAACGACGGCGTCTGGACGCCGGACGAGGTGCGCAGAACCTACGGCCTCGACGACGAGTCTCTACAGTCCACCCCTGCGGACGCAAAGGACAAGGCGGTCCTGGACGTCTTCAAGATCTTCGACGTCGGGAGCAGCGGCATCATCACGCGGGACCAGTGGCTGGACGGGGTCCGCGCTGGCAAGAAACTGCCAGACTCGGGCCTCGGACCAGGCCACCACGGCGACGACGAGTACGAGTACGAAATCCACCATTTTGAAAAGTTCCACGACGAGAACACCAAGGAGGAAGACCTGATCCATCCCGAAGACATTGCGCATTTCCGAAAACACGACATGATGGAGGACGAGGCGGAGCGGGTGCTGCGGGAACAGCAACAGAACATCGTCGAGAAGAACATTCCCATGAAGTTCAGAAAGCAGCAGTGATATGAAATAATAAGATGCTACAATGCGAGATGCAGAATTACAAATGGGAGGAATGGGGGGGAATAAAAGGTCAGGTAGATACCTGGTATATGCCTCCACGCCGCTCCAGGTACCGCGGTCACGGCATCTTAAAAAAAGGGCGGGCAGACGCAAAGACGTCGCAGGTGTGTGTAAGATAGCTGGGGAAAGGAACAGGGAATGAAGAAGAGGGAGGCAACACATCTTCATCATCCATTTGGATTGATTGGGTTAATATGGACATCATAGACGCAATGCATCACGCCGGGCGCATATGTCTTGACCTGCTCGACGTGATCGCACGATACCGCCCATGCCAGTTCCCGTTCCGATTCATGTTCTGAGACCTGCCTCTTCACAAGACCGTCAATGTCGTGGGTGATTTGTGTCTTGATCTTTTCAATCTCCCGAACGTCGACATTCTCATGAACATGCAGCCACCCACCACGCTCGACAGACTTATTCTTGTTGTTGCTACGTCCACTTCCACAGACGATAGCCTTGACGGCATTCTCCCAACTCCCTCTCGACGTGGGCAAAAGACCGAGGTTGGCATGTCTGATATTCAATGCCACTCCGGCCGTTGTGATCTCTCGCATGACTTTATCCGCCCATTTATTATCGCCCAGGAACGCGACGCATCTGACAGTGACTTCTGACTGCATTTCGTGCCCAGTCGGATCTTGACCTTGGCCTTGACCTTGACCGTGATCATGACCATTGATCCTCTTCGCAACATCAGCAGCCGTCTGATCTACCATATTACCATGGTCGTCAACCCTGATCACCAAGCAAGTCCATCCGTTCGCCTCACACCCCCTTCTCAGCCCCTCGATACTCCAAGGGTTGATGTCCCACCCGTAGACCCGTCGCACGCCTCGCGTCAAGTAGCAAAAGGCAAAGTATCCTATGCCGACGTAGAAATCCATCACGTCCGTTTCAGGCAGGGGTTCTCGGAGTTCTTCGCTCGTCAGACCGGGGAATGTGACACTGCCATTGCCACTGCCACTGCTGTCGCCATCTCTGGGTCGTGCTCCTCCCGAAGAGTTCCCACCGGCAGTAGGGGTGGTTCCCAATATTCTAGCTTTCTCGGCCACATTGCCCCTACTGAACATTGTATACAGTGGAGCCCAGCACTGCGTGATGCCTCGGTGCTGACTGGTCGACGTCCAGAAGGCGTTGGAGAAGTCTTGAGGCGTCGGTACATTCGAGATGGAAGAAGTCGAAAGCGCAGAGTGACTCCTCAGCGGAGTGGTGCCACCCCAGTCTCCGTAGACAGGTACGAGACCAGAGGGACTGCGCATGAAGTTTTCTTTCTTTCGATGTTGATGGAGCTGAGGCTGCTCCTCTCGATCGACACCAGTATCGGGATCGTGGCTGTGGCTATGACCATGGCCGTCTTCTTGCGCGGCAGCAGCAATCGGCGCGTTGATGGCGATTCTACTGATATTTTGCCCTGCGAACCCCGTCTCGGCTATACACTGGAACAAGACATTCCTGTCTCCTCCAGACAAGGCAGAGTACACCGCCGTCCACCGTTCATTGTGTGCAGGGAAGTTGTGCGGCAGGAGCAAGAGTGGCGGGTAACTCGTGTAGCGTTTCGGTATGTCGTTCAACGACACCGACGGCGTCAAATCCAGTGAAGAAGGATTCGGGGGCTGTTCCTCGTTCTCAGATCCAATGGCAAGTCCAGTTCCAGGTCGAGGTCCAGTTGAATCTCGTACATCCGCCGCCGCCGTGGCCGTCACCGTATGGATATCACTGTTCGTACTGTCAAGAACTGTAATGCCGAATTTCTGACAGAATGCCAGAACACCTCTGACTAGTGGGTTTGCCGGCCTCTTCTGTCTCCCTTTTCTTTCCGGGCGGTATCCTTGAGCCATTCCTAACTGCACTGTACTGCACTGTACTGCACGGCACTGTACTGCACGGCACGGTACTGAAGGCCTGTCACGCCGAAAAGAAGTGTTCAGAAGACCCTGTGGTGTCTGTGGTTTGTGACATGGTAACTCACTTCACACTGAACGTGCCAATTATGTCTACCGCTCCGGAAACCTGTTCTCGAAGAGATCTTACCAGTGGGATGCTCCATAGGGGTTTGTGAGGTGGAGGTGGACAGGTGAGGGCAACCATGAGGAAACCCGGAGGTTAAAAAGTTTTCAGCCTCGTCGCGACCACCCAAGGCTTCTTCTCCGTCCCAAGTATTTAGCTAATAAAATATGCTCTCTCCTCTCCACACATACAAACTACATGAGGTTCTGTACAGTACTATTCAAATCGTGCAAAATGTCTTGTAAAAAGATCTTGACATCGTCTCAATACGGTATGAGGATTGAGATCCTGATCCCCAGGTAGTATTTCTACACACCCGTCCTACACGCACATCAACCTTTGTGGGCAATCTCACCGTTGTAAACGACGCACCATATCCCATCCGCATTTTCACACCGATCAGTATCGTACACTTCTCGCCTGGCTCTCGTCCGGATCAATCTCACTCCCTTTCGTCGGATGCACGGATTCCGGCAACGCCTTTTCCAGTTTCTCGGGGGCCTTTCTCTGCACTGATTCCGGGACGACACTCTCGCCCGTTGCGTGGCTCTTGCCACCACTGGTCATGCTCGCTGTGCCCTTCTCCTTGTCCTCACTCTTGCTCTCCCCGCCGCTGGACTCGGTCGCGCCCGTGGCGTGTGATTCACCCTTCTTTGCCTTCTCGCCGATCTTGGACTCGAGGTGCGTCGCAAGGGAGTCGTCGTCCTTGGGATGCTCCGGGATAGGCTTCGTTCCGTCTTCTACGAAAATTGGCCCCGACAATCGTTAGTGATCCTTTTTCGGAAACTGACGCAGCGACTGTGTACACTCTACAACACCCGGGGACAGGGTGAGGGTCTTTGAGGGATGCCGTGTAGAGGAATGATGGCTTTGACAACGGGGAAACCTCCAAAAAAAGGGGAAAGACTGCCAACCATGAGAGGTTCCATACCGTTACGTTTGTACCCGTCATTCGAAGGTCCGGTCTTTGGAGTTCCGATTGCTCGTGGGCCGGACGATACGAACGTTCGTAGTGCTGGTGTTCTGGTCCGTACAGCGCATACCGGAGGAGTCAGGCGCCAGACGGGGAATTGCGACCTTCTTCTGTACATGATTGATTCGATCGTCTTTTGCAAGGTTGCAAATGTGATTCCGGAGATCCCAGTCTCTGTATACCTTATCTACCTATATACCTACCTAACTGGTAGTGGTAGTGCCTGACATCACTTCACCTCATCTCTGTAACTCCGTGTCGAGGCAAAAATGCTCAAAGCCCAGAACCCATCGATTCCTCCACGACTGACTGGGGCTGGGCTGGGCTGGGCTGAGCCGTGATGACGATGAAAAACCACAGAAACCCCAGATGGTGATCTCATCATGTACGGGAGTATTTGTCGCCGACGTTATTCGATGTACTGTTGGTCACCTACCTACCTTACAAAGGTGCTTCGTCACTAGATATTCCCGGATATCTTGCCCTACACTTGTCACGAGTACTCGGGAGACCCGTTCTCGTTCTCGCATCAGCTTGAGAAACTCCGGGACGGCGGTCCGTTGACACATGTACAGCATGACCCGTTGATATCATGACGAGTATTTTTTTTTGCAAGGATGAGACAAGTCAGACTCGACCACCCATTCTCAGGAAACCGGCCTCATACTGTCCTTCTGTCCCAAAAGTCCCCATCTGGTCCTAAGTATTCGTACGAGTACGAGTTACCTACTCGTACTTAACCCTCGCTCGTAGTCATGACAGATGACTTGTGACCCAGGACCCATGACCGGACGAAAGAGGATCCCTTCTTTCCCCCCAAATCACATTGTCATCTCCGAGGCCTTTTTTTTCGATGCGGATCGTACTTCCATGTACCACAGTCAAATGATTCCCGAAGATGGAAGAAGGATGGAGAAGAGATGAAGTCAGCGTTCGATGACCCTCCCCGGAAGAACCTTTGACCGACTTCCGAGCAACGGGCAAAGCTGCTCAAGCATACGATCCTGGAATCTTCAAACGCACGGCGAGAAAATAAAAAATGCATAGGTATATTCACAATCTGATCATCGTCGCCTTTTTGGTTACCAGGTACTTGTAATACCTTCAAATTCCAGTATTGACACACAGTTCCACGAAACAAGAAAATTACCCACAACTCCTTGGTTGAATGCTCGTGCCATGCCAAACCCGATGATTGTTCCTCCTTCAACATTGGTGTCAAATGGTCATGATTATATGTGCCTTTTTCCAACAAAAACAAAACAACTCTTATCTAGCCACTCATACCAACATCTCTGGCTTGTTGTATCATCATATTCAAAAGATCCTTTTCTGCCTGCGTAAAATCCTTCTTGAGAGGAGCATCGGTCGTCAGGCAACACATGTTGCTCTCTTCCAGTTGCCACGCTCCTGGCTCTCGAATATCCCTAGGCTCGATCAGATAGTGTTCGAATTTGCCAAACTTTCTCTTCTTCTTGTCGGCGAATTTGTTATCCTGGAGCCATCCATTGAACCACAATGGATTGCCTTCTAGGTCGAGATGGAGAAGCTGTGGTGAGCAAATCGTATAAGTTTCAGGATCGGTTTCAACTTCCGGTGCCGAATCGTCCTCCACCTCCTCCTCGACCTCGATTTCTTCTTCATGTTCGTTACCATCCCCGTCAAGCTTGATCTCCTTCTTCTTTGTCTTCACAATCTTCTTGGGTCGGTCTTTCTTCTCTTCTGTCTCCTTGGGTGGCTGCACGACACCCATAGTGCCGGCGTCACCTTGATGGAAGGTGTAGTCTTGATCGCCTACGAGTTCCCATCCTAACCAGAATGTTTCCTTGTCACCTGCAAAAACGATCAGCAAAACAGACTCATCAAGACCACGTAATGCAACATACCGTACACCATGTCATAGACACCGACTCTACCCTCATCCTTGTTGCCATCTCTATCAGGACCGTTCATTCTCGTGACAAGCAGAAGGGCAATAAAGTGCTTCCACTTATCGACAACAATCACACCGGATTCCTGCATGTGACCGCTGTCACCGGTCCAAAAGCGGCTCTGCTTCACCTGTCTTGAGATTGGCTTGGGAAGAATTTGCTGAAGCCAACGTTTCTTGGACTCGGGCATGATCAGTCGGTCCCTGAAGAAAAGAGCACCCGTTTTTCGGTAGGATGGGTCATCAAACAATACTTCCGGGTTCTTCATGAACAAGCTGTCGGCGTCGATAAAGATGACCTCTCGGAAACTGGAAAACAGAATCGCAAATGGTTTGGCGGCCCAACCGGCCAATTTCCAGCCCTCATCATTCACCATTTGGGCAATGTCTCGGGTCACGACCCCTTCCAGCGCTTCCAAATCCGCACGGTAATCCTCGCTCAAATCGGAATCACCCAGGTACATGACTTCGATTGGGAGGTCGCACCCAAGCTTGCGGAAGATGGGAATGGTTGTCAAGAGATAAGGTGCTTGGTCGTCTCCGGCCGTAAGGACGAGGCCTCGCCCTCCCTTTCTGAAGTGGGAATGCAAGGCCATGTGATCGGGGAAGTAAGGCGCTGTCCAAGGGAAAAGCAACTGGCCAAACTTGACGAGGAAATAACGATATGCCTCGTAGGTATGAATCATTTGTGCAATTCCCGAATCTGCAGGATCTTCGGATGTCGGCTGATGAACGTGATGGCGAAGATATTGAATCACATCGTCGCGAACATAGCTACCGCCTTCCTCGTCAAATGCCAGGTGAAGGTCTTCCCAAGCCTGGAAGAATTTCTTATATTCACGAGCTCGCAGACCCATTTCCCGCAACTTCTCCTTCCCGGTACCTTCAACAGGCCGAAGCAAGTCTCGACCCTCCATTTCGCCAGGCATGAGACTGATGACTCGGGTCAAAGCCTTCTCGAACTTGGGACGCTCAGAGAACTGGTTGGACTCAGCAGTTGATGGCTTTTGCTTTGACGTCGTCGGCCGCTTCGCCGGCTGAAGGGGTTCTTCGTCAGCTGGTTCTTCATCGTCCGCGTAATTGGCCTGTGGTTGCATTCTTGCGTTCTGCACTGGAGGTCGAGGATCTGCCGGCGCCGCTGGTTGAAGTTCCTCTTCAGCGGGCGGTGCTTTGAACGGTGGCGCATCTTGTTTTGGGCGGTTGGCCGGATACTCGGCAACCGGATCAGCTCCTGGAACATTTGGTTGTTGTCGTGCTGCATCGGGGTTTGGACTGAGAACCACCTCGGGGTCAGACGTATACGCCCTCAGCTTATCGGCGGGGGTCCTTGGTCCTGATTGAATACTCGGCTCGGAGCCAGTAGAAGAGAAGAAATAGATTAATGGAACACATATAAGAACTAGAATAATGATGGCTGTTTGGCGATGTTTGAGTGTCCTCCGCGACGGTCCGGCATCAGGCAACCCCGGGAAAGAGCGACCCTCTTTGAGAGGGTGTTGCTTGGGAGTAAACATGCCGCCAGAAACCCTCATCGGCAGCAGACTGTGGAATAAGACGATCAATCCTCGTTACGAAAGGGTTGATGTAGAGTTCTGTCGGGGCGCAAGAGGAGAAAACATGGGGCTTTTTGTGAAATGCAGGTGGGCGCGTTCCAGACGCGAAAGGGGGTTGAATAATCCAAATCGTAGTCTAGACAATTGAGCGGCCACCAAACAATCCGAAAGGGAGGACTAAAATGCGCGAGAGAAGAGAAGCAAAGATCACAGAAAGACCGACTTCAGCAAAGTGAGAAGATGTGTCAAGAAGATGAGATGATATAAAGGAGGCGTGTGGTGCTATGCGAAAAAGACAGGTGGAATCAGTCAAGGGTTGTTATTTACGGAGCACGAGGAGGCGATTGAATTTTTGGTGCCTTCACGCTCCTTCCACCCTCAGATCAGACACTCTTGCCTGCGCCAGAGGCCAAGACTCTCAAACGCTAAGATGCTATTGTAAGACGTTAAGACACCTGTTAGTCCCTCTTGGGTTTAGCGCGCCTCGCCTGTCACTTCCCCTTTAGGTCCCCAGCTTTTTCGCCCTCGCATCCCCCCCTTAGGCCCCCGGGCAAGCTAGAAGCACCAAGTACAAGTAGCTAACTAGTGTTACGATGCTCCTAGGTGCCTGACCTCCAGTCCAGGTTCCTACAGTCCTTGTCGTAGGGACTGCTGGTTCTCTGCTGATGCGGTTTCACAAAGACTAACTATCCCTACATAGATGTCCCCTGCGACCACCCTGCCATTGCACGCTCCTGGAGATGACCAAGCATGTGGCATGTGGCATGTGGCCTCGTGTCACCCCGTATGGCACATCTCTACGGCTCCTTGTGGAATGGTGATCATCCTGACAGGACTGATCAGTGAAACGGGAGTACAAGGAGACATATCTGCAGGCCCCAGTATTACACAAAGGGCAGCATCGGTACATGGCCAGAAAGTCTCCCTGACTATGGGTAGTCGGTGACTGTTGGGTACGGAACGCAGCTACGACATATTTATCGTAAATTTATTTGACACTGCAGGTGCCAAGTCAAATCAATTGACTGTCAATGACTTGCTCTTCCGTTGAGGATTCCTCATCGACCTCGTCACAAGGACAAAATCCAATTAGTGATGATGGGCAAGAAGCAAAAGCGTTTGACCGGTCACGCCAACCTCTGTTTCGGTAGTCTGGGTATCAATAGCCAAACCACCAAACACAACACCAACGCGGCCAATATTATCGGCTGCAACACCTTCACACCAGCTTTATTAGCGATGGCTCCTACAGCAAACGGCATCCATGTGCCACCGCTGGCTCCGAATGCGCATGCGAACCCGACGGCCGCGACATGGAGCCTTTTGGGCAGCAGCTTGGTAAGTACCACCACAGCCGCCGGAAACATTGGCCCCAGGAAGAAGCCGATAAACCCAATCATGACGGCACTGACATAGAAGTTCGGGATGAGCCAGAACAACAGTTGCAGCACCACGCTGCAGGTCACGTACGTGGTCACGGCCCATTTCTCACTCTTGAACAGGCGACCCGTTACAAATCCGAGAACGAACCTCCCGACCGTGATCCCGAGCCAAAATCCCGTCGAAGTCATTCCCGACGCAAAGGGAGAACCTTTCCTAACACGCAGCATAAAACTCACAATCCATCCTCCAATCGAGACTTCTGCGCCGACATATGCGAGCAGGAATATTGACGCAAGGATAGTGGCTTTGTTCTTGACCGCTTCAAGTGTTCTACTTTTGCCCTCTTCTCTCTTGCCGAAGGGGTTGAGTTTCTTCCACGTACTTTGCTCGTGTAGGGACTGCGAAGTCGCATCGGCAGATATGGTCGGCTGGGCTTCGCCAGCCATTGAACGCTGAGCACGGAAAGCGTGGGCGTCGGCCTTCCAGAAGGTGCCGACGAGGATGATAACTTCAATCGCCGAACCTCCTACCATGAGGTAGTAGAACTCGTACCATTTCCAGCCTGCTTTGGTGACGACCGACGTCGCTATGAGAGGAGACAAGGCTGCCCCGAGGCCATAGAAGCCATGGAGAAAGCCGAGCACTTCATTGGCATCAGCCATGTCACCGATCCAAGCGTTCCTATCGGGACAAGTTAGTATACCGATCTTGCTCGTGTCAAAAGGGGTGGGGGCGCTCACCACCCACTGTCCCCTAAACCATTCCCGAACCCCAAGAGGATATATATGACAACCAGCACCGGGTAAGGAGGATGCAGACAAATAGCAACTAAAGTGGCCCGTGGGTTAGCATGTAGGTGCCGATCCTTTTATGACTTGCTTACCAAATCCCAAAAGATGTGACATGCTCATGATGCAAGCGACCCCTCTCTGTCCATATACCATGTGTATGTGATTGTTAAGGAGCGCCGACAGTATATACCCCACCAGGGGACTCAGAAACACAAGCGAGATGATGGTATAATTGACATTATACCAGTCCTCAAGATAAGGGATCAGGGCCCCGTACGCGGCGTCACTGGCTCCTAGGATCATGAAGGACCAGAACGTTCCCGCGCAGCGCCAGACGTTGATCCGAGGAGAATTCCATTTTTGTAATTGTGGTTTGTTGTCAGTCTGTGGCGATGAAAAAGGGGCATTGGGGATGGTTGGTGCTGGAGGCGTTGCTGTTGTGGCTGCTTTCTCAGTGTCGATCCGTAGGTGAGATGTCGTTGGCAGTTCGATGATAGCAGTCGAGCTGTTCCCACCCGGTCCCGAGTTGATGGTTTGCATGGTTGAGTAGACGTTGGGTATTGACACAGATAGAAGACGGCGAGAAGTAATCAATCGTTGTAGCTTTTTAACATCAACAATGCAGAGTGCTGAGAGATGTTGCAATAATCAAAATGCTTTTTATCTTTCACCGCTTCGAATGCCGGTGGTGGCCGCGCTCCAGTCTTGTAAAAGACTCGAGATCATGATAATCATACAAACAAAACTTACGTACGTGGGCCCAGGCGTCGAGGAGGCCACAGAAGAAGTTCGGTGTTTGTTACTGCAGTGCGAATGGAGACAAAGTCGTGAAAGTAGAGAGTCCACCAGCAACGTCAAGGCGCAGAGGCATACCTAATGAATGTCCTCTTACAAAATGCAACGATGCCAGGACCCGGAGATTAACCGAGGAGCGTCACATTGTATCCCACTTGTTCAGCAAGAGGAACACGGCCCGCAGACGAAGAAGAAAAAGGTGATGGACGACGGGTTGGTCTGGGTCGAAAGTGGACGAAGCCGACACCGAAAGAGGAAATTCTTCCAGTTCGCTGGCACTGTGGGAAACTTTGGATGATTTGTATGGGGCCTGTGGAGTGCGGAGTAATACTCGCCCATATTGTCAGGATACACGAGACCAGGTAGATAGATACTGTACCCGGTGCCAGGGACGAAGTACTTACTATACATATCCTCGGCATCGTCCTCTGCGCTCGTACACTGTATAGGACACTATGATCACCCTACTCATACTGAATCAAATGGTACTCGTACTCCGTACAAGAGCTTGAGACAAGAGTCGTGAAATGGAACTCTGGATGTCTTCCCATCATCATCTCCATGATCAAAATTATGCTGAATCAAAACCGCGTTACTGCTCCACGCGTATAGATGGACCACTGAGCAGGTCAAAAACTTCGATCTGCCCTCTCGCGATCAACCGCATTTCCCTAACGCCAATGCTAAGTCATTCAGCCTTCCAGGAGGAGAAGGGGGAGGAGGTCCCTTTCGAGACTATGTTTGGTCAAAAGTCCATCGCTGACCCACCGACCTTGTCGTTGATATCAAGAACCCTGTATTTCGTTAGTTGGAAGCACACACCAACACCTCTAGCCATCAACTCACGAGTACTGTTTGACTAGTGTGCCCTCTCCTCCCTTCGCGAAATCAATGCTGAAAACGTAAAAGTTACCCTCATTCGTCACCACCATAACATGCGGAGAATTCGGACTCATCGCAACCACGCTGCGCAATTGACTAGGAGATGTTCCGGAGTTGCTCTTTGGCAGTCGGATCCAGGCAAAATCACGCGAAGGTTCCCACATCTCTGCCACTCCTTTGGGCAGATATCCGCCGACTGTTGAGGCAAGGTTGGTCCCCACATGTTGCGAAGTTCTTCGTAATAGGCCCATCAATGTGCCATTCGGTTTCCGGCTTGATATGGTTGTAGGGGATTCGCCCTCGCCTTCGTCCCCCTCAACCTGGTCGTACAAGGTGTCACTTCCCTGGCTCAACCGCCGAGTGAATGCTGAGCTGACCTTGGTGGGGGAAGGTACTTCATCTTGGTCGGGAGAGCGGCTCGGCGGAGGGCCCAATTTGAAGATATGCACAGTCTCTGTGGCCGACGACACGCACAGAAGAGTGGACGTGATGTTAAAAGCCATGCTGTATATTCTAGCCGGCATGGACCCTCTTCTAAACTGGTAAAGTTTGTGTGCGTCAGGAACAGAAAACACCCGAATGATCGTTCCCTTATCAGACGATGTCGCCAGAACGGTCCCTTCGTTGTTGAACGTTACACAAGACAGTGGTGATCGATGTGCTTCCACCACGTTAACCGCCTCCAGTTTAACGGCATCGAACAAGAGAACTTCGCCCGAAGTCGGAGGCACATGTGTACTATTGGGCGGCGCATGAGATGGAGGAGTAAATGAGGATGCTGAAGCCTTCTGTGGTAGGGGATAGGCTATGTAGCAATTGTCTGAAGAAGGAGACAGGCCACAAATCGCTGGATAAATGGTCAGTCAAGCTCCGGAGCCTGAGTCTTCAGAAGATGCCTTGCCTGTGGGATTTGGAGACGTCTCAATGGTGTAAAGTAGCTTCATGGTCTGTATGTCGTATAGATATATCTGGTCTTCTAGGACAATCACCAATCTCTTTCTATTCAACCGCACAGACAGAACCGTAGTGGGAAAGGTGAGCTCGCATATTATGGAATCCCTCTGCTCTTGTCAGCAAAGCTCGACCAACCATTATGAAATTGCCTCCTACTTTCGTGTTCTTGATCTGGAGTCGTCGCGGTGAAAGTATGAGGGCTACTAAGGAAGTCGAGAAGAGCATTTCGAGTATGGCGATGTTGCCGGCATCTCTGGACTCGAAGCATTTCGCAAAGGGGTCGGTTTTAAAGATTCGGAATCCTCTTGAGGTGCCTATTTTGGTCAGTGATAGAGCGAGAGCGTGAGCTGAGCGTGAGACGTACCTACAGCCAGGTGGCTGTAGTCCTGATTGAAAGTGACAAAGTTCATGGACATTTTGGAACGGCTGGGCCAGCTCACAGTGGAACTGTTTGTTGCCTGAGCAGGTCCATTGATCAAGTGCTGGAGGTTATTTCTTTCTGATGAGCTAATCTTGCAGATGGAACTGCTGAATCCAAGTGACCACGACGGTCGTTGGTGAATATATCAAACCCCAAGAGGCGGCGTATGCGATTGAGCGTCGAGTTTGGAGAACTAAGGGCGCATGTGACGTTGTACACTTACCGTGCGGACTGACTCGCGGGGGCCGATTGGCGCCTATTGCACGACTAAGCAAGGGAGGTACCTGCTTAAGACTGCCTTAGCTAAGCTTGCCTAGGGAGACATTTGCGGGGGGGCAACTGCTTAACGAACCCTACAGTCTTGGGCCTTGCAGCCTTAGGTGAGTCTTACTCTTGACCCAAAAGTTACGTCTGTCTACGTACTCGCCACCAAAGCACCATTGACCGTGCTTTCATACAGCCTCCGACATGGCTGACTCGATGGAGGTCGACGCTGATGGTCCACGAGGAGTCAAAAGGACTGCTTCTGAGGCAGGTCTACCTCCAGAAACACCTCGTCGTATCAAAGTGCGTTCCTATCTTCCCAAGAAGGACTTGTAATCCCCCTAATGCCTACCAGGCTCTGGATCAGGATGTCGTCAACAAGATCGCCGCAGGGGAAATCATTGTAGCCCCGATGCATGCTCTGAAAGAGCTGTTGGAGAATTCGGTTGATGCTGGGTCGACCATTGTGGAAGTCGTCGTCAAGGAAGGCGGTTTGAAACTGCTTCAGATTACAGATAATGGCCATGGGATCGAGGCAAGTCTCGTTCTCTGGATATCACTACAGCTCTAACATCATACAGAAGGATGACTTGCCGATTCTGTGCGAGAGGTTCACCACATCGAAGCTGAAGAACTTTGAAGATCTTTTGTCGATTGGAACATATGGCTTCCGGGGCGAGGCTTTGGCAAGCATCAGCCATATTGCCCATCTGAAAGTCACCACGAGGACCGTGAACTCTAGTTGTGCCTGGCAAGCTTTCTACGCTGATGGCAGACTTGCACCTTCGAAACCCGGGCAAAGTGCAGAGCCAAAACCAACTGCTGGTCGGGCGGGCACGCAGATTACTGTCGAGGACCTATTCTACAACATTCCCAACCGACGGCGAGCGTTCCGGTCACCCTCGGAAGAATATGCCAAAGTATTGGACGTTGTCACTCGGTATGCCGTACACCGAGAAGGAGTGGCATTCTCCATTAAGAAATACGGTGAATCCGGCACCGGTTTCTCTGTTGCAGCGGCAGCGACAAAGATTGACCGGATCAAGCAAGCTTATGGTGGTGCGGTAGCAAAGGAACTCATGGAGTTCAAGGTTCAAGACGACAAATGGGGGTTCAAAGCCTCCGGGTATGCCACCAATGCTAACTACAGCGTAAAGCGAACAACATTACTTTTGTTCATCAACAATCGATCAGTCGAATCGTCGGCGGTGAAGAAAGCCATTGAGCAGACATATCAAATGTTTCTCCCAAAGGGTGGTCATCCTTTTGTGTACCTCTCTCTTGATATTGACCCCGGCCGAGTCGACGTCAATGTGCATCCAACTAAACGCGAGGTTCATTTCCTGAATGAGGACGAGATTGTTGAGTTAGTATGCGATAATATTCGCGAGAGTTTAGCCAAGGTCGATACCAGCAGAACATTTAAAACGCAGACTCTTCTTCCTGGTGTCACCCCAATGACTCCGCTCAACCCCAGAGCGAGGGCATCTGAGAGCACTCCTCCCACAGACGGCAGTGCTCCAAACCGGCCTTCAACTACAAAGAAGCCCTATGAAAACAATTTGATCAGGACAGACTCGAAGATGCGCAAGATTACGTCAATGCTCCCCCCTGCGCTGTTGACCACAACTTCCCAGGACGGGCCCCCTGCGACTGGAGGAGTACGCTATTCCACCACCGATCGAGAACAAATCCAGATACGGCTCTCTTCAGTCAAGAACTTGCGAGCTGAAGTCCGTGAAGCAATGCATGATGGCCTAACCGAGGTCTTTGCTTCTCTTACCTACGTTGGTGTCGTTGATATCACCCGACGAATAGCGGCGATTCAAGCTGGGGTCAAACTATACCTTGTTGACTACGGCATGGCTGCGAATGAGTTCTTCTATCAAGTGGGGCTCACAGACTTTGGGAATTTCGGTCTGATTCAACTCCAGCCTGCGCCCAGATTGCGTGATCTGCTTGACATTGCCGCCGAGTATCAAATTGAGTCGGCGGCTGATTGCGCCCACCTTGACAAAGGGCAAGTGGTAGAGAAAGTGTATGACCAGTTGATGAGCCGGAGGCAGATGATTTCCGAGTATTTCGCGATGGAACTATCCGATGACGGGACGCTGGAGACTCTCCCTCTTCTGCTCAAGGGGTACATGCCATGTATGGCCAAACTGCCCACGTTTCTGTTGCGGTTGGGGCCTTTTGTCGATTGGACGCAGGAGGAGCCATGCTTCAAGACTTTCTTGCATGAACTTGCGTCTTTTTATGTTCCAGAACAGTTACCTCGACGCAAGTCCAACGATAGAAATCGTGCAACTACTCTTGCCACAGCCTCGGAGGACATCATGACCGGGACAGAGCCGGGTGGTGGGAGTGCCAGCAACCAGGAAGACGGGGATGACGACGACGACGACGACGAAAACGAGGACGACTTGGACGTAATGACTGAGAACCGACGGAAAGAACTCGAGCATGTGCTTGAACATGTCCTCTTTCCCGCATTTCGATCTCGCATTGTCGCCACGCAGAGTCTACTGGGTGGTGTGATGGAAGTGGCCAACTTGAAAGGCTTGTACCGTGTTTTTGAACGTTGTTGAGGGAAGTGAAGAAGTGGGGTGTTATCTTCTGTCTTGTGTACTCGGTCTTCGGGCTGTACTAGCTAGACGAGTTGTACGCTTACCAAGCCATAGCGGCTTATGAGGACGACATCAGCTGAAATGTAGATACGAATAGAAGAGGCTAGAAGCTAGCAGTTTGAAGAAGTAATGTTGCGAATCTGTGAATGAACCTTGAAGCTACTGAGACTTGTATCTTTCCTCCTGATAACGTATCCTCACCTCCTCGATCTCATTGCCATCGTAAGCACGTATCACATCAACACCCTCCTCCTCCTCCTCCTCCTCCTCCGCCACCACCACCACCACCCTCACTACAACCTAGATTATGATTCAATAGCTGTATTGTATTGTCTTGTCTTGTATTGTGTTGGGTTGAAGTCAATTGGTTCCATTATAAGTATACCACACATTCCCCAAGGTGCTCCTGGCGCTCCCATCGGCATTCAACAGCATGTCCGTTACGCCGTTTGCGCTCGGGAAATTGCCAAACCACGCGTATCTTTCTACCCAAGGCTGTTGATCCATCCATTTTGTTGCGTTTTTCATCTATTGCCAACCATTGGGAAAGAACGCTGTCAGTCTAGTTGTTGAGTAGAAGTTGCCTATGGGGGAGGTCTTGCGTCGGGTGGCGTGGGGAGGGGGGAGGTGAGTGCGCGTGGAGGGTACGGTTATGGATGTGCAGAGCATCCCGAGAGATGAAGAGAAAGACCAAGACTGAGAAAAGGGGAAAAAGACATTCAAAGAATAATCACTCACAAACTCAACAACGACATTCTGATCGTAGTCCCCTCTATCCATGCCAAACTCGGTGACCCAGACAGGATACTTGGCTTGCCCGGTGACATTGTACGCCGTCGTGACATGGTCCATGAAATATTGAATGTTATACGGACTCGCGTACCAGTGTATGTTGATAAAGTCGACCGTCAAGTTCATGAGCGTGGCGTTCCCCAGGAATCGAGCGAGGTAGTCTAATCCGCTTGGTGCGCCTATGTTCGTTACCGCCGGTGCACCGATTTTGACATGACCACCGCCGCTGCGACCACCGCCCTGTTGACCGGCACCACCAGAGGCACCGACGATAGAGGCAAAAGGCTGCAGGAAACGTTGATACCCGCTCAGCACGCTCGAGAGGTTCATGCACGCCGATTGGCCCGAGAAGCATGCGTCGGGCTCGTTGAAACCAAAGATGGCGTCGGTGCCGTAGTGAGAGATGCTGTAGTTGACGTTGCCGGCCCAGATTGACGTGAGGGACGAGGCATCATTGTACAGGAGCGGAATGTACCGAAACTGTGTGCTTGGGTACGCGCCGACGTTGTCCGAAGCGTTGGGCAGGGAGTAGTAGTTGTATGACCATGAGATGTATGGCGATGGAGGAGGGTAAAATGGTAGCGTCGTCACATTGGTGTAGGCTAACCCGCGCTTGGAGGGGTAGGACGGCAAGGAGGATAACGAGGAGGAGGTTGTTGCGGACGATACGGACGAGGTCGGTGTTCGAGACAGTCCCGATGATGCTGATGATGTGGGGCTTGTGCTTATACTTGTACCTGAACTTGATACTGGTACTGCCCCTCCTGCCGTTGTCGTAATTGGGGATGCATTGATCGCTGGAGATGTTGAGGATTGTGAGATGATAGGTCTGAGGGTGGTGGTGGTGGTGCTGCCGCCACTGCTACTGCTTTTGGAAGTAGCAACACCCGAAGAGGATGAGAACAACGAAGAAGGAGAAGGGCGACTGGAAAGCATGCTCGAAAAGGTTACAGATGAACTCAATAGGCCGGGTGGCACTGTGGTTGTGCTCGTGGCTAGGGATAAAGAGGGCACCGCCGAATATGTATACGAGCTACGAATGCTCATCAAGGCCGAACTTGATGTACGAGTCGTACTTATGCTGGGCCCGCTGAAGGCAGGAGAGACGGAGAATGTTGAGCTCAATGGCACTGAGCTGGCCACGGAAGAGAAACTGGCGGCCCATGAAGACGCAATCGTTGGTACCCTCGACGCTGACGGGCTGGCAATCGTGACGATACTCGTTGGGAATGTCGAGGTTGAATAAATCGGCGAGAACGGCGTTAAACTCTCACTCGTTGCAAGTCCCGTTCCACGTTGTGTCGAAGTCATGTGCGAGCTCAGAGGCTGTTCCATTATGCTCGTGTCCTCTGGACCAGACGTGGAAGATAACTCGGATGAAGCCATCTGTGAAGTCGTGCTTGTCAGTCCCGAGCCCTGGGATATAATGCTCGACTCCCTCTTCGAGGTTGACCCAGAATCGAATGTACTACTCTCCGCATTCGTAGACTCGGTGATCGTTTCAGTTGTCGACAGCGTCGCGAACAATGTCGTGGAAGTCGCAACTTCTGTATTCCCACTGGACACAGACACTGAAGTTCGACTGAATGACAAGCTCGTTGAAGTGGTCGGAAGGTCCACGAAATCTGGAATCATCGATATAGCCAGAGCTTCGAATGGAGGGACACTGTCTCTGAAAGCCACAACAATTTGTCCAGTTGGAAGTGTGTAGAAGGTAGAGTCTCCATAGACGAGAACTCCTCCTTGTAGACTCCATATAGTTTCGCCTTCTGGAGTCCTCGCATTTTGGAGTGGTTGGACTCCCGTAGATGTTCTTGTATACAGGTAGTCTCCTCTGTCATCAACCAGAAATCCATCAGGAGTAAGCTCAAAGACCACAGCCGCATCCCGGTCTGCGCTGAGAAATGCATCGCTATCGATGATGGTCACGTATTCATCTCCTCGCATTTGTAATCTGGAACTCGTCAAGCCTACTGTAATGATGAAAGAACCAGTTGTCGGAGTTGGAAATGTCGTGATTGTTGACGGGCTGCTTATTGTCGAATAGGTCAAAGAGGCGGTAGTCCAGTTAGACGTGGCTGTACTTGATGTAGAAGCCTGATTCTCGCCCCCAGATGAAGTCGACGAGCTGGTAGATGACCACCATGGCGTCGAGGTCGCATTACCGTATATCACTGTTGTTGTTAGATAGCACCCGTTAGACAAGAGTGACCCTGATCAACCATTAACGCGAATTCTTTGACTCGTAACCCGAAGTCTCACCAAGTTGCGCGGCTGAATGTCGAGCAAGGCAAGACGAGACAAGGACCACCAACTCAAGCCTAGCTCTCTTCCAAAGTTTCATTCTGGCTGCGAATGTTAGCTGCATCAGTGTCACGATATCCAAACGAAGTTGGACCGCGTGTCGTAGTACATCCCGGACTGTTAGTCCTGGACATTTTGTGTTTAGGAATGTGCCTGGCGGAATGCTAGAATTGGTCAGTGCACGGTTGAAAGCAAGACATAGCTGATCTGATAGGAACAATTGCAACTCTTTCGGACATGTAACTTCGATTAGTATAGCATTTCTCGTCTTTCAAAAGGCCCTTAAAGTGGCCGGCACTAGTTAGTATACAAGTACATCGTTTCGTGTCCAGCTTCCAATGGATTGTCTTCGATATGGTACACAAGCAACGCATTTGCTGTTGAAACACTTTTGTCGGAACGCCACACATGCAGCCACGACTTCACCGAGTAGACTCTATGGATATCTTCGAATTCGAAGACAGATGATCCGAAAAGAACGCCTGGTGGAGTAAAAATCAGAGACCTGGACTTGTGGTAGGACTGATGCCGCTGACACTGCTGACGTTGAGGTACTCCACGGGCACTTTGGGTACCCGCGGACTCTGTATGGTTCCAGGCAACGTGTTTTGACCTCCAGATTGTCCACGTAGTCTCCCAACTTCTCGGGCCCTTTCCTTCTCCTTTTGGCTTTCGCTCTTGCCACCAGTCAGACGTCGCATGCCGCGCCTCATACCTTGTATGCTGAAGGCACCACCTGTTTCGGTCGCAGACGTTGGCGTTGTATACTCTGAAGGTCCAGGTCCAGAGACCCCCTTCCCGCCGCTCGCCAATCCGGCAGTCAGTGATGGGAACGGGCTGTTCTCTCCGTCTGAGAGCACGGCATCGTCATATTGATCCGCATAATCGTCCTGGGATCTGAATGATCCTGAGGGTCCTGGAGAAAACACGCCCAGAGGGTGAGACCCCGAAAATTGATTTGCTGGCGACGTAATAGACCTCGCGTGCAACCCAGGTCTGCTGTGATTAGTTGGGCTCAGCACCGTCTGCAGAGCTGGCTTCTTGTTTGTGATTGGTAAGGATGGCCCCGGCCCTCCCAGCTCGTCAATCGACGAGAACGATGCTTGAGCAGCCCCGCTGTGGCCGGCCGAAGATTGGTTGAGTTCATTGCGATGTCCAACGCCAGGTAGGGGACCTGACTCTGTGATTCCATCAGGAATATTAGCCAAGGAAGACGTTCTTGCGAGACTTTGGCGCAATATAGGAGCAGTTTGCTCGTCGTACAAGGCTGTGCTGTGCTCAGTCAAAGTTGGCATTACCATACTTGACACTCCCAGTTGACTAGCCCCGGTGGGAGTAAGCATAGGATCTTCGTCAAGGTCGTCAAAAAAGTCATCGAGGCTGTCAAGAGTATTGACGAGATCACTGACGTTCGTGTCCGCAGCGGTCTCTAACGAACGAATTGTTTCCGCCCTGCTCTGTGGTGGAAAGTATGAGTCATTGTAGCCATCATCGCCTTGGAACTCAACGTCAGGGGTGGCGGTTTCCTCGCCTCTCAGTGTATCCGAGTCTCCACACGTGTAGAAAACGGCATGCACATTACGCCGGGTCATGCTCGAATAGATGGCTGGCATAGGTATAGACCACCCGGAAGGTAGTGGGATACCGTACAAGCTTTGAGTACGCTCGTACTCTTTTCGAATTGCCTTTGCAGAGCCCACTGCCATACTCATGCGAATGTGGTGCTTCTCCATCGGGGAAGTGGCAACCTCCATGATATAATCTAAGACCTCTAGAGCCTGGCTGCAATGCTCAGTCTGCAGCAGTCGCAAAAGTGGAGAGATGAGGTCTGGACCGTGGTTCGTGATAGCGGCATTCTTCATGTTGACAAGGGGTATCAATTCACGTAGAATGTCCATCAGTTTCACTCTGAACCACGGAGTCTTGTTTGTGAGGAGACCAATCATGAAGATCAAGCTTTGGGCATCACGAGCTGGGAAATATGCCGCCTTCAAGGCTTGGAGTGTGAATGACAGCATCTCGCGACTTGAGGTCATGTCTTTGCTGGCAAATCGTCCAAGACATATTGCCAATGCTTCGTGACCTTCGGCAGCTGCAACGTGGCCCAGGCCCCGAGCAACCTCCAAAGAAGTAGAGTCGACCGTGTCAATCTCAAAGCTGTACAGGAACTGTGGTAAATTCGCAAGCAAATTGTACAGCAGTCGGTCGTCGTTGCCGACCAGCTCACAATTGGGAAGCGGAGCTAGTCTATGCAGAACCGAGAGCGTTTTCTCCCAACTGTCGGCGGACTTCAGGCCTTTGTAAAGCAATGGTTGCACACCCTCGAAGCCGCCTTCCCATTTTCCGGGCTGCCCATTCAACATGGATTCGGTGACTTCCGGAGAAGATAGATCTAGCTTCTCAATAAACTTTTCAAGCATACCCAAAGTCTCGTAGAATTCCCTCTCGTGAATGGTGCTCAGACAAGCACATGTCGTCCAGAAAAGCTGCGGGTATCGTATGAGAGTCTTTGGTTCTGATGCCCCAATGACGACCTTGAGCGTTGTCAAAATCTCCATAGAGAATGTCTGGTAGTCTGTCTGCTCGTCTGCAATGGTATTCGATAACCGCGCGAGCATATCCGCCAACATTCTGGCATCCAAACTGACCGATATGCAGCGGAAGACCTGAAAGGACCGGCATGCCAGGTGACGCACTGGGCAAATAGACGCCCAATGAAGGGCTTCCTTTGCCCATGAATCACTCCAGTTCTCGAAAGCCAAGTCGAAAATGCCAACGATCTCTGTGCTGAGGGTGGCCATAGCCGGCGGCACCCTGCTGCCACCATCATCTTCGTCTTTTCTAGTGTTCTTCTCGTAAGACCAGCTCACTCTTGCATCATTGGTACGGACCGACTCAACCAGGGTCTCAATCTTTGGCTTTGCGGCAAACAGGACCTGAGGATCAATCTTTGTCGTGACCAATTCGTGAATTAGGTGTACGAGCATCTCTCGAGCTTGCTCTTGGACCGAAGTCGTGTAGTGATCCCAGAGGATGAGAACAGTGTGGACGAGTTTAATGGCTTCCTCCTTGGCTAGGGTCACAGGAGTCACCATCAGATCGACCAGGAAAATGAGGGATACTTGACCTAATGAGAGCCCAACCTGTTCATTTGTTAGTTTCGTTCAGTCTCCAAGCACAATGACAGAACCACTCACCTGCTTGCTGCCCATTGGCAGCAACGAGCTCAAGTCTGCAACATATGGGAGGTGCCTGGTGTCCGGCATAACAACATCGGCGTGCTTCTTATCGTTGACCATGTTTTTCGGTGTCAGTTGCAGCATGAAAAACTCAAGCACTCTCGATCCTGCCGGAGTTGACGAGAGATAGACCACAATTTGTTTTGCATACTCGACAAAGTTTTGATCACGACGATCAAGCGAGAGATAAATAATGAAGTCCAGTATAAGCTGCACGTTCCCTGCGTGTGGGCCCGTTGCAAGAGCTTGCCATAGAGCCTGAACTTCGTTATGCATGGAGTTGCTGGAGCAGATGGTGATCTCGAACATATTGGCCAGCAGCATGTAAGAAACCGCAGTCGGACCATTGGTGACGGGGTCGACTTGTAGCTCAAGAGTTTGCAGCCAGGGTAAGATAGCGACGACCATGTTGCGCTGATGATCGTTCCGTGCAACCTTGTAGTGCAATGAAAACTCGGAGAAGATCATGAAAGCGATATCTGAATTTGCCTTTGCGAGACGCTTTGAGTACTCAAATTGAGCCAGTTTGTAGACAGCGCGGGTTTTGTCGGATATACTAATGTCGAACTCTTGTAGATTTGACTTTTTCTGGAGCCGTTCGTCCAAGGTCCGAATCAGGTGCGCAGATTTCATCCGGATTTCTCTATTCTCATTCCCAAGGGTGAACACGATTACACTGAGAATTTTCCAAAAAGGGAGCGGATACTCTGGTTGTTGTATCAAGACCTCACAAACCACCCCAAAGTAACTCTCCAGGGCAATCGACGATTCAGTCATGTAGCATTTCTCAATGGCATGTTCAATCAGGCCGAGATGGTCTGGATTATTCATCAGTAGCAACTTGAGTGCCCGTCTGCCGATGGAATGCATCTTATGATTGTTTGTCGCAAAAATGCCATCAATCCAAGACAGCATACGCGGAACATGGAATGACAGAACGATGTTGCTATCCGTCACCATATTGATTGGACCAGCACACAGAGCAGCCATTGCACTTAGCGCAGCCACGCGCAGGTTGCTTTTTTCTTTCTCAGATGCTGCATTGGCATTCATGCGGTCCTGAATATCCCTTGCGTGGCTATGGTTAGGATCAAACACGTTCTGCTCCGGAGAATAACCGCACCAGTCTTCCATGAGAGCAAACGCGGACTTGCGTGCCTCAAAAGGCATCCAACGGGTGGGAGTTCTGGATCTGTTCACGCCTTCGAAAACCTCTTCAACAAGACCACAGAAGTGGTATCTCAACCTTTGAAAACGCCAATCATTCTGAACATCTGTGTCGCTCAGAAAGATCCGCAAATCCCGAGTGTAGGTGACCATGTTGTGCAATATCCACTCATCTGTGTAGATGTCCTCGTGGCGAAGGAATGCCGCGGTAAGTTTGTAAACGTGGGTGACCTCGGTCCTTAATCTTTCAGTCTTCTGGGATCTCTGGGGGCTACTGGGTGTTCTCTGATGCTTGATCCTAGCTTTTGCTTCGTCGTTGCAGGTGATCACAGCGTACTGCAGCGACTCCAGAAGGGTTCTACAGAGCTTGCGATTAATGGAACCGAGAGCTGTCACCACAGCATCGCGAATTGGGTCTGGATGGGCGCCCAACATAGGTATGATGGCCGAGAAGAGTGCCCTTGCAGACCCCAGTTTGTCCTGAGGCTGAGTAGCCCCGCGGGAAGTTTTCCGAGCGTGAGCGGCGTCGGCCAGCTGACTCTGTGATTGTCCCCCTGGGGAGTTGAGGGTGACGCATGCCATGATGAGGTAGAGCTTCCACTGTTCGAATAAGACCTCTGCAGAAGTTGCAGAGCTGCGTCCTTGTATCTTATTCTCGTAGAAGGCCGAGTTTCCACTACTGATATCCTTGAAACTTTCTACGTCGTTGAGCATGAGCATTAATCTCTCAGTGACAGTGCCACGGCAGAGAGCGATAGCGTTTGGACACGCATCAAAGACGACTCTGATGAGATTGGGGAATGCTTTAAACCAGAGTGTAGAATCATAGGACACTTCTGAGCTGCAGATCTCAATCAGGGTACTTTGGTCAGACTTGACACGTTTATCCTTTTGAAGCCGACTTCTCTCTGCAACATTGAGAGCATCTTCCTGGAGATCGAGGATCTGTGATGATTGTGTTTCAAGTAATTTGATGATTCTGGGCGGTTCATCTTGACCCAGGACTTTGTCGAACTGAAGCACCAGCCGCAGAACCTTAACAGCATAAGCTCGTACTCGACGTGATTGTGAACAGAGGAAAAAGAGTCCGTAAGCCTCGATTTCGTCAACAAGAGGGATGACATTGGTCAGCTCCATTTGCAGTGCTCGGTGTGACGGTGGAGCTCCGCGATCTCTCCCGTCCGCGGAACCCGCCACCGTCTTTTGCTTAAGTTGCTCCGTCCATATCTGGAGAAGTTCGAGGTACAAAGTCAAGGTGGATTCAATGTGTGCCGGCCCTAAGCGTCCTTCGTCGGACATAGTCGAATATTGCGTATCATAGTGAAAGATGAATCTTGGAAACGCGATTGCAACAGCCTGTGCGTGGCCTTGTCGTGCAATTGCTTTGAGCGATTGAGTTGCAGAAGCAGCAATGTTTGCTTGGACATGAGCGGACCCGGTGCACAGAAGGTTGATGAGAGGGCTCAATGGTATATGATCTGTAAAGCAACGGGGAAGGGCCTGGATTGCCACGTGCAATAATTCGTAGTATTGCTGCCTCTGGTCAGCGGCCGGTGCATCCGGAGAACGATTCATAGTGAAAGCGTCCACTAAAGGGGTTTTGGGAGTCAAATTCGTGGTGGCAGAGAATTTCTCATTGAGAGTAGCCTGGCCGCCAAAAGTGTTGTCACATAGGATTGTAATCTTTCCCAAGATCTGACAGAACTGCAGATAATACTGCCGCGCGCTCTCATCGAGGTTCGAAACGTTGACTGGCAGAGACGACGAAGTATCGTCCTCGAACGTCAATTTGACTGGTGAACCGAGATCCACGCTGGACGTCAGACCGCTCTGGGGAGAGGATGGAAGTCCTTCAAAGGTAGGCGATTGGAGGCTGAAAACGGGGAATGGAGGTGCGACCTGATCGGCTTGCTCTAGGTCGGACATGATGGCCAAAAAGCCACGAATCCCTACGACCATTCGCTCTGGCTCCATGTTCTCGATTTTGAGGGGACGACTTGATTGGAACATGTCGTAGTGGACCATTGGAAAAATAATGGATCTGAAGCATATGTCTTGAGCTGCATATCCCAGAATACGGATGAGTTGAACCAGGGGAGTTGCTACAGCAGGATCAGAGCCAATGTGTGTTCTCTTTCCTTGCGGAAGGGCCAGCTTGATGACTTCGTCCAAGCGGCGTACTCTGAGATTAGCTGGGTCGGTCACACGCGCCAGATAGGTCCACGTCAACTGGCATATGGCTTGCAGAGCAGGACCACGCGTGCTTCTGTCTTTGAGCTTGGTGCTAAAACTCTGAACCATTGGCAACCATTGAGCCGCAAACGTTTCCAGAGGAGAGACGCACAAAAGGACGATAGAAAGCGGGAAGCCGATGGCCCAATGACGGACCTTGACAATCATATTGGACAAGCGAGCATTGATAATCTCGATGAAGCTGATCCACATGGGAGTTCCCTGAAAGATGTCCGGATGACTAGCGACTACCGTCAACAAACGCACAAACAGATGACAGTATGCCTGCTTGACGCGAGGCCCATGGGCATCCGAGAAACGGGTGGCAAGGCTTCTCAAAAAATCACACACAGTCGGCGCCGCCTCCCTCGTGGTAGCGATGTGGAGATGGCGCATGCTGAGGAGCAGTAGTTCGAGTCGAGATTCCAACTCCCTGGCGGTTGATGTTTGCTGGCTTTTGGCGAAGTCCTGCTGCCATAGGTCAAGTTGCTGTGTGTAGCGACCAGACACATTCGCGAAATCCACTCGACTCATGTGACCCAGAACCTGGCCATAAATCCTCCAATTTGCCAGTCTGATACTGGAAGACAGAATTTGGGTCGGTTCAACTTCTTTGATCTGAGTAAACACGATGTCCTCCAGCTTATACGCCAAGTCTGGAGTGATGGCTTCCAAATTGCTTTGCTCAAAAATTGCAATCAGGACTCGACACAGGATGTAGACGGATATTGTGGCCCTCCGATCTGCTAGAATATACTCTTGCGTCAAGCCATCCTCTGATGATCCCTCCGTGCCCGTCTGAGGAAGTCCGGGTTCTCCTGGAACTTGCAGCGGTTCTGTATGCCGCCTAGGTAGCGTGGCCGGGAGTGAAGATACAGAAGACGCGGCGCCCAAGCCCTGTTGCAGCCGCTGCTGGTAGACTTGTTTCTTTAAACTGGCTGCAACATCACCCTTGCCTTTGCGCCATAGCATCAGACTATCGACGAGAGGTTTTGGCCCTTGGCGAGAGATATGACCAAGAGACGATATCAACTGATCAAAGGCAGCATCCACGCCTGGCGCACAGGCTTGCTCCACCGGAGCCGCAGCTGTGTCGACCAGAGATAGGCAGTGGTTAATTCTCTGGTCGGCTCGCAGGACGAAAGCATGGAATAAATGGTGTAGAGCGTATTCTCCCGGCGTGCGCGGCTCCTGGTGAGCACTTGACGAGTTGTATGCGTGGCCACGTCTCGTTCTCGAATGCTCCTTGCGCCTTCTGGGCTGGGCCGAGAAAGACTCGGGCTGGAGGGCCTGGCCATCAATCATCGAGTCGATCGAGTGGCCTTGTGTGTGCCCTTGAAAAGACGAGACTGGGCTTGTGAAAGTGGATTGCACTTCCCCTGCAGCGTATTGTCCTCTGCGTCCCGCCGTTGGATATCTCGCATTATTCGAGGCATTTAATAAGGATTCCGGTGACAGAGGACTTGCAGAGGTGGGCGAGTTAAAGGATGGGTTTCTCGAATGTTGCAGGCCATGTATCACTGAGGTTTGTCGATGGTGGCCATAATTGTTCGAGGTTCGTCGTTGGAGGCCACTGTCCACCGCAGATGTACCTCTTGAGCTCACACTTCCATCCTGCCCAGACGCAGTAGGCTGGACCGAGCCAGCGCGTGAGGATGACACATAGCCAGCCCCGTACCCTTGTGTCGCAGACTGTTGCGGCCTTCCTCTTGAAACATCCCTCGTGTGGATGGGCGCAGCCAGCGGTGGACGAGCAGTGGACGGTGGTGGGGAGATCTGTTCAGGGCCAGGCCCGTCGAGGGTAAAGTTGGGGGTCTCGCTTGACGCGGGCAGCGCATCTGATGGCATTGAATACGTGAGATCAGCATGTGCTCGTGGCTAAGATGTCGTCGCCGGTGGCGATAGGGAATCTGCACAAATGCTTGGTGGTAGCGGAAGGGTTCCGGACTCGACTCACTATTTGGCATCATTTTTTGCCGAAGACCGACAGGAGGAGAGGTGCAGATGCAGAGACTCCGTCATTGCGCCCGAGTCCAGGCCGAGAAATGGTGAGGGAGAGGACGAGGAGCAGGAGGACTGGTGTTGAGGGTAGCGAGTACGTTGCTTGTCTAGGGAGGAGTGAATTTTAGTCCCGTAGTGGAAATAGACAAGGTCAAGCAGACTGAAAAACAATGGAAACGCAGCCTCACCCAATCACACGGCGACGAGACTACAGTGCGGTGAACAAGAAGCCCAGGGATATCTACAGTCTATACAAACCACTACAGATACGAGCACTCGTGCTTTGTAGACGACGATCTACTTCAAAGGGTCAGTGTGTGTGCGTCTGGTGTAGGACAGTCTAGGCCATCGATGTCATATTTGTTTCCCACGGACCCTTTCGATGGCCTGGCCATGTGCTACACCCAGCGATTCGCTGATGGACAGGTACAGCTACCGAATCAGATCACCCAGGGCCGCGACGTGACGGGTGATGGAAACGGGGATGGCGCCAATCGATTCACGCTGAGCCTACTCCGTACAGAGATTCTCTTCCTACTAGTTAGTGTGAGAGCACGGAATATGGCGTCTCCGGGCAAGGAGAAGCGAGGAGGAAGCGGAAAGCGCATCTCCTGTGGCGAGTACGAAGGTCTCAGGGATGCAGAGACTTGTGCTGTGCCTGGCGCATGTAGGTCGACCAGCTGGCGGTCATGCTGACTGTGTCTGACTCTGGCTCTGCGCAACCCTGAAGTACAATACAGTACTCCGCCGAGTATCACTGATTATCGGACGACGGAGCATGTGAGGCTGTGGCCGGCCAGCAGCAGGCGTGGATGGCGATGGAAGCGCAGGGAAGGACAAACACAGTATGTGCTGTGCGAAGAATGGAGGAGCTGTGGGTTGTCTTCCTGTGGCGCTGTGGGTGCATTCACGGGCGGTGGTCTTCTCCGTACAGTTACTAATTTACTTTAGTAGGCTGCCCCGGGCAAGCCTAAGTGCCTGCACAGGTACCTAGTATCTTGTGCTCCAGGTGGTAGGGCGCCCATAGTCCTGGTATCGAATACCTTGGTAGCTGGGAGTGCTCGACAATGGGGGAGACACCGTCTTTGCTGACTCTTGAGTCTTATCCGTAGATCCCTATATCAATTGTTGTTCAAAGGTTGAAAGCCACCAGGCTTATTACTTCTCTGCCTACCAAGTGAGCCTGAGGTAAATAGCCCTCTCGTACACCCGCCAACAACAGTTGTGCCGAGTACAAAGCATAATACTCCGTGCTGTTTGTGCCATGGCTGTAATGCCTGCCCTACGAACTGCCGCCCCGAAGTGCGTCCGATATCCGCTTCGCGGGGTGCCAGCTTGTGCTTCTCCCACACATTCCGCGGTCTGACCGTCAATTCTTGCTACCACCTCGTTGTCCCGATTCCCAGTCCCGAAGGCTTCCCCATTACATCCGGGGAGGTAGAAAAGCGATCGCTTCAAGCACGGTGATTTACTTATACTCTCGGTTGCAGTCTTCTCTCTCTCACCCAAACACCGCCGTATCCATACCCAGGCATCTTTCAGCATACTCGTATTGCAGGCTCTTCAGCTTCTTACCTTATCTCATCTTTCCCCCAGCCCACTCCAGCCCACCCTTGGCACATCAGGCCACACACGGGTTATTTTACCCACTGAGAGGGGCTTTCACGGCATCAATCTGTCCTTGTTCCTTTGATAAATTCGACTACATCCTCTGTCGCGCTGATCGTTTACACCGAAAGCCATTCGCAACCGTCCAGGTCCCCCTACAATTCCTCTCATCGTCCTCCATTGAGCCCCTCTGACCCCTCACCATGGCTCAAGTCGACACTCTGGACATTATTGTCCTGGTGGTGCTCCTTCTGGGGAGCATTGCGTACTTCACCAAGGGCACCTACTGGGGTGTCGCCAAAGACCCCTATGCCACCTCTGCTATGAACGGCGGTGCTGCAAAGAAAGGGTCCCGGAACATCGTGGAAAAGATGGAGGAATTGAACAAGAACTGTGTCATTTTCTATGGCTCTCAGACAGGTACCGCCGAGGACTACGCTTCTCGTCTGGCCAAGGAAGGACATGCCCGCTTCGGTCTCAGCACCATGACCGCGGATTTGGAAGACTATGACTACGAGAACTTGGACACTTTTCCGGAAGACAAGATTGCTTTCTTCGTCATGGCCACTTATGGCGAGGGTGAGCCTACGGACAACGCTGTGGAATTCTGGGAGTTCATTAACAGCGATCCCCCTTCATTCTCCAACGACTCGGATGAAAAGCCATTGGGCAATCTGAAGTACGTGGCTTTTGGCCTGGGAAACAACACATATGAGCACTACAACTTGATGGTTCGCAACTTGGACAAGATTCTGACCAAGCTGGGCGCAAAGAGAATCGGTGACGCTGGCGAAGGTGACGATGGTGCTGGTACAATGGAAGAAGACTTCTTGGCCTGGAAGGAGCCCATGTGGGCTGCCCTTGCAAAAGAAATGGGTCTTGAAGAACGCGAGGCCATCTATGAGCCAGTCTTTTCCGTCGAAGAGAGAGAAGATCTTTCGGTCGAAGACGACACTGTCTACCTGGGAGAACCCAACAAGAACCACCTCGAAGGCTCGCAGAAAGGCCCCTTCAATGCCCACAACCCATTCATTGCGCCCATTGCCGAATCTCGTGAGCTTTTCACCGTCAAGGACCGCAACTGCCTTCACATGGAGATCGATGTTTCAGGTTCAGGATTGTCGTACACTACTGGTGACCATATCGCTGTTTGGCCGACCAACGCAGGCATGGAGGTCGATCGTTTCCTGAAGACTTTCGGTCTGGATGCAAAGAGGCACACAGTCATCAACCTGAAGGGTCTGGACCCCACGGCCAAGGTGCCCTTCCCCGTTCCGACCACCTACGATGCCGCCGTCCGCTACCACATGGAAATCTGCGCCCCGGTCTCCCGCCAATTTCTGTCTACCCTCGCCGCATTCGCCCCCGATGAGGCGTCCAAGAAGGAAATGACCCGATTGGGCTCTGACGCAGACTACTTCAAAGAGAAGGCCGCCTCGCAAATGCTCAACATCGCTCAAATCGTCTCATCCGTCAGTTCTCAACCCTGGTCTGCTGTCCCATTCTCCGCCCTCGTCGAAGGTATCAACAAGCTCCAACCACGTTACTACTCTATCTCATCGTCGTCTTTGGTACAGCCCAACAAGATTTCCATCACCGCCGTTGTCGAGTCGATCCGTATTCCTGGTGCTGGCCACATCGTCAAGGGTGTTACCACCAATTACCTTCTGGCTCTCAAGCAGAAGCAGAACGGCGATGCCGAACCATCCCCACACGGTCTGACTTATGCAATCACCGGTCCTCGCAACAAGTACGATGGTATCCACGTACCAGTGCACGTCCGTCATTCCAACTTCAAGTTGCCGTCCAACCCTTCGAAACCTATCATTATGGTCGGTCCTGGTACTGGTGTCGCCCCCTTCCGCGGGTTTGTTCAAGAACGTGCCGAGCAGGCCAAGAAGGGCGAGGAAGTCGGAACAACTGTTCTCTTCTACGGCTGCAGAAGGTCGACCGAGGACTGGCTCTATAAGGAGGAATGGGATGTAAGTCATTCTATATCTGATTGTGGTCTTATCTGCATGCGACTAACTTTGTTCAACAGGAATACAAGAAAGCCCTCGGTGACAAACTCATCATCTTCAACGCCTTCTCCAGAGAAACCTCCAAGAAAGTCTACGTGCAACATCTGATCAAGGAAAACGGAAAACTGATTAACGATCTACTACAACAAAAAGCCAACTTCTACGTCTGTGGTGATGCAGCGCACATGGCTCGGGAAGTCAATGATGTTCTTGGACAAATCATTGCGACCGAACGCGGAGTGGACGAGAAGAAGGCCGAGCAGGTGGTCAAGAGCATGCGCAGCAGCGGTGTCTATCAGGAAGACGTCTGGTCGTAGGCTCCATCTATGTATGAGAGACTTTCGAGAGTCTGGCCGTCGCGAGCACTTTGGCCGTGTCGGAGGCAGGATGTCAAGACCGATTCACAAGCCACGCAGCTGCGATGCGGTTTCCGAGATGGCCGCGGTGAATTTTGAGTGACATCCTCGTAGTTTCGGGGCCACTGTGGAAGATGGGACCTTTCCTACCAGAATCATCGATGAAGGGGCATGTGATCGGTACTCTATGACGGTGGCCAATGTTGTTGACGTTGTTGACCTGGAGAAGCTGAGGAGAGAAGAAGGGGAAAAAACTTTAGCGCGGGGCTCCAACTGGGCAGCATCGAGGGATTGTGGGGTCGACGACAATTCGCAGCCTGCATCTCCCGATAGAGAAGCAAAGAAACAAATTGGACGACAAACAAACTCCTCAAGAAGCCGGCACAGGAGCGATACCGGTGTTATCATCTTTTCCCGCTCCCGCTTCTCCTCTCACCGTCGCTCATCATGCCGTGGGGTCGATGGATTCCCAGATCCGGCCACATTTGACTCCGGTGGGGCTGGTTTCCTTTCCAGACTGTCGAATCTTGGACCTGTTTTTCTTTTTTTGACTTGATTTCTGCAGACGGCGTCTCAAGAGCGATCCGATACACTTACTTTTTCTCGCCTACACTGTCGACGAGGGATTTTCACTCTGAAGAAGTTTCTGTTGCGCTGCGCTTACTGGTGGGTTGGATGGAACCTGATACCATTGCTATTTGTATAGGAGTGGTGGTCATGACGGAGTTCCCAGTACAATACACTAGTGTATAAAGGCCTGCCTGAGGTATGGTAAAGTAGAATGATGAAAATTCTTTGAAAGATTCCATAAGTTAGATACTACTTACTGCCTCGATGGTTTCTTTTCTTTTCCCTTTTTCTTTTGTCCCGTGGGATAATGAATGAGAGTGCGCGTGTCACCTTTTCTGCATTTTTGTTTGTCTTCTTCTTCTGATCCATCCGTCCTTCCGTCCATCACATGCAATTCGCTCATCAATCGGATAATCGTGGCCACCCGCCCTTCCCGCGTGATGGAAAGAATGCTGGGTTTTTGGGATTTTTGGGATTTTTGGGGTTTCGAGTTCGGGACTATGGACAATCAACGCGCAAGGCAGCGAAACGCTTGTTGTTTGTCATTTGTTGTTTTCTCGTTTTCGCTTGTTTTGTTGTTTTTCTTCCACCTCAAATCACAGTATTCGCAAGGGAAGGACAAAAATAGTTCGTAGGTATCATTGTGACCGCCGAGTCCACCATGGTCCACTACCATCATCAGGGTAGGCAGGTAGGTAGGAGGACACTTTTTTTGGGGATTTCTGGGTTCTGGCGTTTTCCGCGTTTTCCTGGGGATTTTTTTTCGGGTTCTGGGTATCTTCAAGTTTTTGAGGTTCGGTTTTCTCAACCCTTTACTTTCCCATACTACATCTCTCCGTCCCTCTGTGCCCCCGTCCCTCCTTCTCCGCTTTCTTTTCAATCCTGACCCCCCTCTGACTCATCCATTTCCTCTCCCCCGGGGTTTGAATTAAGCCGCTTCAGTAGTTCTCTCCAGGACTTTCGTCGCTCGAGCAGTTGCGTCCTTGAGGGCGCAAATGTCGGCTCGACTCCCCTCCAGCGCATCTGCAGAGTCTTCGCGCGTCGCAAAGTGCTCGAGAAGCTCGAGCAGGTTCTTGGCGGGCCCGCTGAGGTTTGCGACGTGTGCGGCCGCGCGGATGGTGAAGTCGAGTGCGCCGCCGTCGACGTGGGGGAGCATCACGCACAAAAGGTTCAGCGTTGAAATGTAGAATGGGATGTCGCGCAGGAACGCGGTGAGTGTCTCGGGTGTGAATTCCGGGTATGTTAGAGGAGGAAGCCTGCGTGGGAAGAGCAGGTCGAGGAGCGTTCCTGTTTCGGTTTGGCTTTGGATTTTGCGGTCGTGGTCGTGGTCGTCGAGAGACGTGAAGATCGATGGGTCTAGGCCGCTGCCTCCACCACCAACGCAAGCAGCTTCGCTTCCCGCTTCGGTTTTTGATGTCTGCACAGTCATGGTCATGTGTGCGGCGAATTCATCCTTGAGCCAGTCAACGCCTACAGCTTTGAGGTTGCCGGATTGTTGTGGCGGACCAAGTGGGATCGGGTGAGGTTGGAGCGCGGATGTGCTTCGCGTCAGGCCCGTTCCTTCGTCGATCCCAGGTTGGACGTCCGGGTCTTCTTCGAAAGTCTCGGCCCAGTTGGTGCTAAGGGTGTCTCCGCGGAGTGTTTGCGTGATAATCTGTAGACGTACGTCCCGGTCCGGGTACGCATGCAGCAGTTTCGACGCTATGTAGTGTGCGGAATCGCGAAGGCTGGGCCAGGGCGTGATGGTGAAGACTTGGGTCAAGGTGCTGAGGAGCAAGATGAATTTGGCGGGCGAAGGGGGTGGGTGCGGAGTCGGATTGGGCGAAGAGTGTGGAACGGCGTGTCGATAGAGGAGGGAGAGCAGGGAGTCTAGCAGCGCGGGAGAGGGGATGGATGGCGTCGCGCTGAGTGGGAATGCGTGTGCGGTGAGTTTGGTCAGATCGCTTGTTGAGAGGATGAGAGGAGCATCGATCGGTTTGGAAAAGGTTTCATACGCGAAGAGGAAGATGACGCCGTTTCTGGGGAACGGAATCTGAGCGGGCGATGTTGGGTATTCGGACGGCTCTTCCTTGGCCTCTTCAGAACCGTCTGCGTCGTCGTCTTCGTCGTGAACGAGTTTCGTCACCTCTTGGCTGGTGGAGAGGTCTAATTCGGCGGCTAGTTTGTGGAACCGAGCAAGGAGAGCATCACGTTCTTGTAGCTCTGGAGTTTCTTTCCAATGCTGGGTCTCGCTTGGGCGACCTGGCACGACTCGTTTGGGTTCGAACGTCTCTCTCAGCCGAGCAGTCCACGACATCGACGGATGCTCAGCAGATGCGAGAAATGAAAGATATTCGTCGAGGACTTCCAGGTTGACGGCATTCAGTAGACGGAAGATGATGGCTTTTTCTTCTACTGATGCAGTCATGTTGCCTCTGCTCTCTTCTTCTCCTTTGGCTTCTGGGTCAGGTAGAGAGGCGGGTGTGGCAGTGACGGTTTTGCTCTGTTCTGCCGCTTCAGAACCTGCAGTAGGGTCATCCACAGTGCCGGTTCGTGGCGGTAGAGGAGGTCTTTTCTTGCCAGACAGGTTTTCTAGCATCGTCAGGAAAGCGGTGGTCGTTTCAATTGTGATGGGTACGTGTCTGTAGGCCCCCAGAGCCGGAGGTAGAGATGTTGCAAGAAAACGACTGGGATATTGTGTCTTGATTCTGGGATGCACGACACCCAGGATGTTGAAGAGAGCTTGTAGTCTCAACCCTTTGTCCACGGGTGCAAAGTTCTTCTTTTCTGCTGGGCCGGACACCAGCTCCGGCTCGTTCTTGGGCGCCTGCTCTGTTTCGGGCATGCCGTCGAGCTTCATACTCCCCAGATGTACGCGAGGAGCTTCGCCGCTGAACGTAGCCATGTCGACTTCATCCACGTCTGGGTCTGGACTGTCCTCCTCAGCATCGTCACCTAGCTTTTCCAGCTCTTCGGCCACACGAACAACCACTTCTCTGGGGTTGCCCCGGCGAGCTATGATTTCAAGACATTGATTGGCCTCGGCTGGGGCGGAGTCCAGCATTGGAAGAACGAGCCTCAGAAGATCCCAGCCGATTTCTTTGGCCAGTTTGCCATCATCTTCTGTGAGAAGTCTATTCAACGTTGGTAGCTTTTCAGGCGTCAGTTGGTACTCCAACAATGTCAAGTAAGTCATGTAGTCAGTGGCAGGTGGCAAGGCCGCGACCAGAGGGTCCTCTTGAGGGGCATTATCGGCCATGCTTGCTTTGGAGAGCACAATGCAGCGATGCCGCCGTTACTATCAAGCAAAGATGCAATAGCAGGCTGAAACGAAAGAAAGGGTGCGTGGTACGAAGTGTCTGGCCGGTGACGGTGAATGACGACGAAGGTTAGGGCTCATCTGCCGGCTGCTTTTGACAGGGAAATACTTTGTCTCAAGCGGCCAGCAAGACTGAGAATGAGCACGGTACAGCGATGACCACCGGAAGATGTTGAAGCAGTCTTTGTAGAGACAAGAGGCACCGAGAGAGACGAGAGACGAGGGATGAGAAGGTGGTTTCACTGTCGTCTGATCGGCACCACGTGACAAACAGCGTCATTTTGCCCGGGCCTTGGCATTCTCTTTCGAGCACAGGTATTCAAGACGCCTAGTTGTATGTCCCTAGTTATGTCACTGTGCTTGAGACTACAGGCCTCTTACTGGCATCCAGAGTATGGTGTACAGTATCATGAACATCAGGACAATCGGTCTTTTGGCTCAAGAACCACTTTTGAAGTTTCCACGCTTTTTCCAGACACATGGTCATCCACCCTCTGGGCCCAAACCTCTTCCGGAGCCGGTAGCCACAAGTGACTAGGACACCGGCTGTACGAAAAGGTACAGGCTATAGCGGCGCCTCTATGGAGTCGGCGTGACGGTTGAAATACCCCCTGCTTCACGTAATGCGCTGCCAACGTGTTCTGGCGATCGGGGTCTGTCGTGGACTCATGGCACATGGCATAATGGCACGAAGCTACGAAAGTATCGCGTGGATGAGTTGAATGCCCATGCCCCCATCACAGGAAGAACTCCCTTGTTTGTGACAAGCTCGGGATTCCGGATGTCATATACATAGTCTTGCAGGAGCAGATGATTACCCGCTTGATTTGACTGATGCCCTTGCTGGTCAAAACGAATCATCAAGGCACCTGTCACAACTTGCCCAGGTATCATTGCCTGTGCTGAGGAGGGTAGAGCTGTGTTTTGGTATAGGATCCCTCAAACTCGGCTCCCGTTACTCATTTTGCCGTATCCGCTTTATGACACATCGAAATTGTCCTGCTCGTTACGTTCTCTATCTTGCCCAGTGTGGACTCGGAAATGAGCTCGGCTTCAACTCACATGCAGTACAGCACAATTCGTGTGACTCGACTGAGTATGTAGTCAGTCGGCTCGAACTAACTAGTCTGGCTGACGTATGGCTAGTGGATCTGATGTCTCCATCCGTGAAATGGGTTCGAGTCGATAACGAAGCAGTATACTCGTAGGGACCGGGAGAGTCATGGTCACAGCGTCATAGTGGCTACGAACACTGACGACAGCTTCGGGAGATTTCATGCCAGGGATGGCCTGGCCCGTGTTCGGTATGGAAAAGGAATCCATGAAGAAGAAGAATGTCCTCAATGAACGATCCAGAACGACGATGACAGCAGAAAATCTCCTGAAGGCTATCGATCCCACTTGTCTCAAAACAAACAATCAGAGCCACGATGGCTTACGGTTGTACGTGCACGTCTTCTTCCCCAAGAATCAGAGGATGCAGTGGCTAAAGAGGCGCCCAGCTAGAACGAAATAGCGGCCGCCACATTCTGCTTCTAGGGGATCATCCGTCGCGCCGGATCTTGAACCATTGTATCTGGTGCTCGGCGCAGAAAGTAAATAAGAAATCCTGTTCAGGCACGAATAATGCCCCATCAACAGAGCCATGCCGTCCCTGATCAAGTGGGACGTGATGGGTTCACCAACTGCAGCAAGAAGCCCGATCAATCCTCGGAGAAACTGAAGACTTGAAATGACCGACAAGCGCAGGACAAGAGCAAGGGGTGTATTGTACGAAGTAGTGTACTAGTCGTGGATCGAAATTTCGGTGTTTAGGCATGGGATTGCGCAGTCCGCAGGGGCCACCAGTCCAAGCGTAGAAATGTCCCCATAATAGGCTCGCCATTATTAGCACGATCCCAGTGTTGATTTTCCTTGTAATCTTATGCTGAAATTCTCCGTGATCAACAAGGCACGCTGTTGGCGACAACACAAGACGTGGAATTGAGTTTGCGGAAATTTAAAACCGCACCGCTCGTGCCTCGCTGCCTCCGTGCCGTGTGTGTTAAGGTGATAGTGAGGTGAGAGCCATGCCGAGTGTCGTGCGTTAATAACACACTAAGAGCATCCATCGTGGGACAACCGGTGATGATCTGTTGACGGATCATTCAATAGTGTTCAGATGTGCCGCGTTCGTTTTTCTCCACGCCCTCAACTATCGAACGTAAAATGAAATCACATCGACAGAAGGAGAAACGAATCTCGTCCACAAGGCCCGATTGGGACCCTTGACATGATTGTTTGCGGATTGTGGCTCAGAACAAAAATGCTTTTTATATCACGGACAACAACGAAAGTGGCCCGCCCAACACGATTCCGAGGCTCCAGGTCCAGGATTATTCCATGTTTTGTGCCCGACAAGCCAAAAGAGGGGTCTAGGTACCTCCTAGGGTGAAATATAGTATAGCTGGGGACAATAACCGTCAAAGTCAACATGAAACTTCCCAAGCACGCGACGGCTATTCACCTGACAGATGTCGCATGAGATTGTTTTATTTATGGAACTGGTGAAGGAAGTCCCCAGGTCACTTGTCCATCAAACCCAGTAGAAATAGTCAGGCTCCAGAGGGAGAGTAAGCCACAAGCCCTGTCTTGGTCTGGGCAACGGGCGTGGGCAACCGTAATCATAATAATATTGGATACACCACCGACAAGCGAGAAACCACTGGAAGAGCTCTTGAGTCTTGAGTCTAGGGCCAACAGGAGCGCACACCGGCGTTGTCAGATCCTCAAAAGTCCCGAGATGCCGGTCGGACCAAGTCGATCTCCTGAACACTCTTTGTCAAACTTGCCGGCAACAATCCCTCAATCGTGTCGCAGGGCTGGCCGGGGCGGAATTTTAGTCCTTGATCGTCTTGCGGGAGCAATCTCTCTTTCAATAGAGCTGGTTCTTCGTATATAGTAAAGCAAAGGTACCATACCGATGGAGCGCACCTAGCAAGGGGTCATTGGGCCATCGTCAACGCCCAGGTGGCCTCCTAGCCCTGGCGTGGCCCTTGCCCTCAGCTCTCCGTATTGAGGCTCACTAGTAAGGCTAAGTTAGTCGAACCCCGGCAGGCGTCGTTGTGGTGGGTCGGATGTGTTGGCGAAAATCAGCGACCACAGCGTTAAACTCCCACATGTACAGTAGAACTCTACTGTAATATACTTGCTTCCACATCTAGCGGCAATCCCGGTCCCAGTCAGTCCTTGGGCTTTATGGTTAATTCTTGAACCCTGTCGTCTGTAGGATCTGTCGTACAGAAGAGCCCACGGCGGAGGTTCCCAGGTCGTCATCGGTGACACGGCGGTGTCTATTTCTGGCAGTGCATGCCGGCAGCCAGCCGACACCTGAGATTGAATGGACTGCATCTGGCAAAGAGACAAAAATCGAAGTCCAAAACAATCAATGGACAATGTCCAAGAGTCGCCTTGCCCACCCACACGCCTCTTTCCAGTCGTTCTCGTTTCAGTAATGGACGAGTTTTCAGGGTGCCCGTCAACTGTTTGACTCAATCGGGACATCAATGTCTCTCCATGTTGTACTGTAAGCTTTCCACCAATGGATGCTATCCTCCGTGTCGATGTCCGGCGCCCAAGGGACGGCGTTAATCGATGACATTGCCCGATACATAGTCCGCTCGGCCAATGAAGCGAACGTAGAGCCCTGGGGGGCCAACCAGCACATGTCCAATGAGCCAGTTGACGTGCATGATACCGGGGTGGAAGCAAATGGCGATGCACATGGGTCCGTGATGGGCAAAGCTTATGCCTGATTGTTGTGCCCGTGTCTTAGGCACTGAGCTTGCTGTTCCCCGTCTCTGCTCAACTTGGACGCCTCATCAGCCTAGCAAGTCCGGCGGTCCTCGACGACGCTCGTAAAGACCCCAGCGGCCCAGGGGTGATGGCGGCTTATGCCATCGTTTGGCTGGCTTGCCGAGACATCACCATCTGGTGCTACCGAGTCCACCATGCACACAATCCGCTCGCCAGGCTGGCGGCGAAGGCCCATCCGCGCCAGGCTGGCGACTCGCTTAGTACGGCGGATAGTACCTTAGGCTCGACGGGCTGTTTCTTCCATGTCGCAATTGGCAGCGGGAAAGCTGGACGAGGGCGTCCGTCAGAAGCAAGCACTAATGCACGTCCACAGCGCGGTCATGGGTCCCTGGCCTGTGGTGGCTTTTGCATTTAGGCCGATGTGGATCTGGCGACGGAACTATTGGAGCAGTGTTCGGCCTTTCAATAGAGCAGATCGTCGTCCTTCCATCATGAAGATGAGGAAATTTGGCTGCACCTGGAGAGGGCATGCTCTGCATGGCCATGATGGAACAAACTCCAAGGCTGTGATCTTGGCCCTGCTCTGTTGTCGTCTTCGAGGGAAGGTCTGTTCTAGTTCCAGCTTTGTTGTGACCTCGTGCATCCCTCAGTTTGAAAAGGTTTCACTTCAGCTTCGGCTTCAACATGCTCGAGTCTTCACTCTTCTTCGCCTTGACGATATAGGTCACCACGCTCTTTCTCAACAGACGCACAGTCCCTGTTGCCTCTCGCTTGACCAACCCTGGCCCCTTCGCTGTTGCCTCTTCGTTCGAGTCAATTCCCATCAGCCCGCATTCGTTTGTACCCTGTCGTGCTCCCACTGCTTCCCATATCACTCTGTTTGGTCAATATTGGTTGTGGACGAAATTTGGGGCCAAAGCAGGAATCTTGTCCAGGTATGCTGCAATATGTCGTACCTCACTCTGATCCATTCCATTGGACTCGGACTCGAATCACTGACAGCCATCCCCAAGCGCTGGCACGGACATCTAAATAAGCGTCGGAAGTACCTGTGGCTACATGGTCGAAGTGTGTCGTTGCGCGTTCCCTCGGTTTGTGCATACCAAATAACGTCTGAGCACCGACGCACACACTCCTCGACTGTCGACTTCACTTGTCGGCTTGATTTTTGGACGGCTTTCTCCTCAGGCATCATCCATCTATGACAACTTGAGCTGGGGGAAGCAAGTCTCTCCAGAGAGGCTAGATGCAGCATTCACGTCCGCCTCAGTTTCTCCCGCCTTGTTTGTCCTTCAAGAAGCACAGGTCTAGCATCGACTCGTCACGCTATACGATAGACCTCATACTGCCGAAACCAATCGCGGCGCCCGTCTGGGCATCTCTTCCAACACCTCCCATGTCCGGGTCTCCCCCACCGGAGCCGCCTAGTGAACCACCACAGATTGCTGGCCGACGACGGAAGCGGTCTCATACTCCCCCGACAACTAGTGCTGCCACAGCTGCGCCGTCGCCTCCGACACCTGTCGAGCAGACCGCTCCCAGACTCAGTGCGCAAACTCGAACCGGCGAGACTATAGCGGAATTGCCGCTTCCGCCTAGCTCTTACATAGCGAATTACCCAATTCCAGCCTCATATGCTGCTGGGTCAAGTTACGCCACGTCAACGCCATCAAGCTTGAGCGAATCTACTCGATATTTACTCAGCCCCGTGTCACCACGCACCGCCCGAAAGCCAAAAGCCCATGTCGCCTCAGCGTGTGTCAATTGCAAAAAGAAGCATTTGAGATGTGACAACAATCGACCGTGCCGAAGATGCGTGCAGAGCGGTAAAGAGGTAAGCCTTCTATGGATCGGGCCTTGTCCGCGGTCGCCCGACTAACTTCAGCAGGCATCATGTCACGACGTTGAGCACAAGAAGAGAGGACGTCCGCCGTTGAAGCCAGAAGATCCTTCGACGAGACGCACGTTCGACAGTGCCGTCACTCCGATGAGCTCTCATTTTGTAGGACCACCCCGATCGTTAGCAGGCCCAGACCTATCGTCTTTCGGACCGCCCCCGGGAGCTGTAAGCAGATACCCTCCACTGCGACCGCAGGATCCAACAAGAAACCCACCGATGAGAGGCTCGTTTCATCAACCCATGTATGCGCAGCCCTCTGTGTCTTTTAGCCCGGCGACGGCGACCGGGACTTTTACTTCGCCAACTCGATCATATTCGCAGCCGGGACCAGCAGGAATTCCCACCCAACAAGCACCGCCGTCGTATGCCTCGCCTCACTCTGAATCGCCTCACCGGTCGATTGCCCCGTATGGCGGGTACAACTATCCTCCTATGGCGGGACATTTTGGAGGATCTGGCCAGACCACGTATTCCAACCCTATTTTCCCACGGCCTGCCATACATGGGCCAATGCCTGGCGAAACACTACCGCCATTCGTTGGGCCTTCTAGTCTTCAGCTTCCGCCGATACGTCCGCCTGCTCCTTCTTTGGGACCAATTGATCCTGCGATAACACAGGCGTCTCGTTCGACTCATCAGGCACCTCGGCAGTTTGCTGAAGGAGCCCAGGACGAGGGAACCCAAGAGCCTGACCCCAAACGACCAAAAATGGACATCCAAGGCATTCTGGGACCTAAACACGACTGATGGGAACGGGCGGCGACGAAAGTTTTTTTTTATTAAAAGAAAAAAAGGAAAGTCAGGCCTTTGCATTAATCCATGACTGTTACGGCTATAGGCACCACGAATATCCGCGTGTCTTTTCATTTCCTCTTTCTTTCTGACGATGCGACGAATGCAACCCTAAAACAACGACCGATTTTGACAAGAACATCAGATTATGGTCTACTTGTACAACAAAATATTCCACGACTCTGCGCAGGCCGCAGAATTACATGTTGAAGAGGAGCGAACGACAGCCAGTTACCGTCAAGCGGATGAACGCCTGGATACTCGTGTGGGAAATCGGGGGTTCTTCGAACTACGAAAATGACACACCGGGCAATCAATCACCACCTGACCTACCTCTAGAGAGATAGGGCGGTCAATGTTTCACTTCATGGATACCTTTTGAGGGCTACAAGCTACCTACCTGGGTAGGTGGTACCCTAGGTAGTTTGAATTTTGACGAAATGAAAAAGAGGCAAAACCAATTAACCATGATTCATTCTTCTTTATGGCCTGTATCATGACTTCCGCCGCCCCTTGCTAGCGGCCCCCACGACAAACAAGTGCCGTGTACTCGATGTGTGTTTTCTTTTTAAATCGGGGATACAAAACTGGGAAGTTGGATTGGACAGGAACGGGGCAGTCGGTCCTGATCGATCTCGATGACCATCCGGCGCGGCAGATTCAGTTACCAAAGTCCTCTAGTTAATAAGGCAGTGAGTGTTCCGACACAACTACGAGCTGTAGAAGAAAGAAGAAAGGCGTCATTCATTCATTCATCCATCCATCCATCCATTCGTGTTGGTAGTTTCTTATTTTCTTGGTCTCGGGGGACGTTCAAGACCGATAGGACTGTCTGTCTTGATCGTTTTCTCCTTTCCTTTCCTTTCCTTTCCTTTCTTTTCTTTTCTTTACTTTGGCTTCTGTGGACTCGTCCGTCAACCTTTTGGTACATGTACCTGAGGTAAACCCAACTCCCCCAAGAACAAGAAAGATTGAGCGGCCGGGGCCTGATCCTCTCCGTACTCGGAATATGTCTACGTTTTGACTGGTGAGAGCGGTGGTTCGACTGCTCGTACCGATTGCGACGGTGAACCAACTCATATATACCTACCTGGTACCTGTCCTGTCCTGGATATTTCAGCAGCGAAGTAATTTGATGCTCCTGACTCGGCAACCTTCACTGCTTCTTGTTTCAGGTTCTCATTCTCAATTATTACTATTTTTTCGTACGTCACCCCCTGGCGAGAAGTCCAGAAGCCATAGCTTCAAGATCCTCGAGTGTCTCAGGCTGATCGATGACCTCGAGACCGGCGCCATTGCGGTTCTTCTTGCGCTTACCGGCACCAGCACCGCCGCTCTTCACGGCACGTTCGTCATCTTCCGAATCGGAAGCATCCTCGAACCACTTCTTTGGCCGTTTCTTCGCTTCAACTCCTGCCTTTCCAAGCTGAGGTTGTCCAAACCGCCGCTCTTCATTGGCCTCCTCCGCCTCCTCCCCATCACTACTATAATCCTCGTCATCGTACACGCTCTTGCCCTGATCCTCGTCATACGGCACAAGCTGTACACCATCATCGTCCTCCTCGGCGCCCCCTGTTCGTTCTTGCTCACGCAACTCCCTCGCTCGCTGTTTGCGTTGTTCCTTCTTCTCGCGCTTCTTCTGCCGTGCAATCTCCTTGTCGACTTCGTCCATCTCTTTGGCTCGTTCGCGCTCGCGTTCCAAGAATTCTTGTTTCTCCCGTTGTGCCGCGTCGGGTCCAAAGGTGCTTTCATCGCGGTACGCCTTGCGGTCCTTGGGCGTGTCCGAGTCGCTGTCGAACGTCAGGTGGGCTCCGTGTCCTTTGTACTTGAGAAGCTTCTTGCGAGACGAGAGGAGTTTCTCGCGCCGGTGGGAGTCGATGATCAGAGGCTCGGCCTTGTCGGATAATTTGACCGTGCGGATCTCCTTTTTGCCCGGTTTAGAATTCGACCGTGTCCCGTTACCCATGGGATCTTCATTTTCTGTATCGGATTCCGACGCGGATGGAGAGGAGTCGTGACCGAGCGCTTCGTCGCCGGCTACGAATCGTCGTTTGACGGAGAGAAAGTCGGGCTCGTCTTCGTCATCTTCATTATTGTTGGCAGCTCTAGAGGACGGATCACGAGCTGCATCTTGATCTTCATCGTCATCATCTTCGATAAGTTTTGTGTAATGTGCCGCGAGTACGTCTTGATTTTGGCGTTCAAACATGCGGTCGTACTTTGTTCGAACCGCCTTTTGCTTCTGTTTAGCTTTGTTGTCACCCTCATCTTCGTCGCCACTTGTGTCGCTGCCTTCGAGAGCAGCGAGGAGTTGTCGCGGCATATTCTTCCTGGCTTTTGCGTCTTCACCTTTGACGAACTTTACCCGAGGCGCACCAGGCAGGCCGAGACTTGCGGCAAAGCCTTCCAAGTCGAGCTTTTTAAGGTTGAACGTCTCCTTGTCCTTTTGAATGTGTACGCTGCGCGCGTAACTGACGAACGCTTTTTGACCCAGATATTTCAATTCTGGGTCCTTGAAGCACATGTTCTGCAGTTGATTGCGGATGGTGTTTTGCATCTTCTTCACCCGCACATTGATCTTTTCCAGAGCAACCTTCTTCTTCTCTAATGCGGCAAGCATCCCCTCCTCTTCACTAGGGTCGAGGAAGAGCACAGCACGACCATCGCGCTCGAATCTTGCAGTCCGACCTACACGATGGATATATGTCTCGGCGTCTTCGGGGCAATCTACTTGAACAACCCAGTCGACAGAGGGGAAGTCGAGGCCTCGGGCAGCGACATCGGTGGAGAATAAGCAGGCATGTTTGCTGTTTGAATACTTTGTCGTTATGTCCAGACGAGCGGTCTGCTTCTGGCGTCCGTGCAGGTGCATCAAGGGAAGACCCGGCTGGAGGTGTCGGAACGATTCGTAGACGAATCGTACTTGTTTTCCGGAACTCAGGAAGACCAGAATCTTCTTTTTGGTATTTGCACGGATAAATGACCATAACGTATCGAGTTTGTTCGGCAGAGGCGTCACAATATAGTTCTGCTGCAACCCCGAGGGAGTTGCGCTCTCGGCAGTTTCGTGGACGGAGACAAACTCGGGCTCTTTGAGGGAGAGTCGAGCCAGGTCAGAGACTTTCTTGGTCTGAGTAGCGCTGAACATCAGCGTCTGTCGATCCGGTGGAAGATGTTCCAGGAGTGCGTCGATCGTTGTCTGAAAGCCCATGTCCATTATTCGATCCGCCTCATCAAGTACAACAATCTGTAGGTTACCAATGTCCAGCTCGGCCGTTTGATCCATGTGTTGAAGCATCCGACCAGGTGTAGCGACCAGAATATTCATTCGTGCCAGTCTTTCTCGCTCTTCTTGTAAACTCTTGCCTCCAATGACCAGACCAGCAGAAAATGTATGATTGCGACCGACCTTGCGGAGGACCTCGAAAATTTGGATGGCGAGCTCGCGAGTCGGGGATAGGATGAGGGCACCCAGGCCATCGTATTCCGTCCATCTCTTACGATACAGGTTCTCGAGGACGGGAACGAGAAATGCTAACGTTTTGCCAGAGCCTGTCTTTGCAGCACCGAGAATATCGAGACCTTGTAAGGCAAGAGGTATAGTCCGGGCCTGTATGGTTGTGAGGGTCTTGAAATGTGAGGATGAAAGGCCATCCTGCGTGGTTTGTGAGAGTGGAAGATCGGCGAAGTTGTCGGACGGTACTGCAGACCGTGGATCGAGGTCAGCCACCCGTTGAGAGAGTGATTCAATGTCCTCTTCCTCTCTTTTTCGTTTGAGTTGACGAGGTCTTTGGTATTCTTTTCTCGGGCCCGACTCCCTTCTTTTCCGTTTGCCCAGTGGCGCCATTTTTGCTGTCGCTATCGAAGTCGAAGTCCAAAGTCGGCACAGGAAATTTTGGGAAAACTGTTGCTGGTATCGGCAGATCTTCGGAAGGAATTATTGCGGGGGTTGACGAAGAGATTCTCGGACATGATGGGAATGATACATCCGCAGCACGATGGAGGCTTTGTGAACGACTAGTCGAAGGGCCTCTATCTATCTTAGGACTTGGGTGTTTCTATCCTATTGGAGTCGCTATAACAAGGTCCGGTATATACAAGGCTGAGGAAGAAGTATTCGAATCAGTATCGGCTAACCTGCCCTAAGGAGCAGCCGTTATCCAAACGCCTCAGGGTCGCTGCTTGATGTCGCCGTGCGCGCTCGAGTCCCATCATCAATGCTTCAACCTTTCTCTGATCTTCCAGAGTTGGACCCTCTACTACACTTCTTGCGCGTGGGTGGAACACTCTCTTACTGAATCTGTAACCTAACACTACCTTTTGTGCACTGCCGCTGATAGGCTGAACGTCTGGCTCGTCATTGGTAAGGAACAAACCGTCAGCCCACCATGGCTAATGATGAATCCGATGCTCTTGATGCGCTTGAGAAGGAAGCCAAGGAATATGACAAGGTATGCTTTCTCCTGCCGTCGGTTGACCATGGCTAATCGTACTTGAAGGACGCTGAGATAGACCGTATTCTGAAAGCATTTAGACTTGATGCGTAAGTACGCTGCTATAACCGCCGGGGCCGCCTTCTTACTGACCTCTCTCAGCTACGCAGTCCTCGATCTACAGCCCGGTGTACCTGAGTCAGACATCAAGATCGTCTATCGGAAAAAGTCGCTACTAATTCACCCCGACAAAACCAAAAACCCACTAGCACCTGAAGCCTTTGACCGACTGAAGAAAGCGCAGACAGCCCTGGTTGATGAGAAGCAGCGACAACATCTCGACGAATGCATCGCGGATGCGAGACAGCTGCTGATCCGACAGCACAAGTATACCGTTGACTCTGAGGAATTGAAGACGGAAGAGTTCAAGCAGGAATGGAGAAAGAAGACGGTTGAAGTGCTGGTCGAGGCCGAGGCTCGGCGAAGAAGACAGATGAAGGCCAGAATGCAGGAAGAGGGACGAGAGAAGGCCAAAGAAGACGCCGAGATTGAAGAGAGGAAGCGGAAGCGAGATCATGAGAAGAGCTGGGAGGAGACGAGAGAGCAGCGGATAGGCAGTTGGCGAGACTTCCAGAAGGGGGTGAAGAAGTCAGAAGACCAGAAGAAGAAAAAGAAGATGAAGGTGTTGGGATGATGGGTTGCCTCCTGGGTACTGGGTAGGTAGGCTACTAGTGGGAGGAGTCAGAGCCTACTTGCGGTACAAACAGACCCGAGGCCTGTGATCGAGGTAGAAGCAGCAGTGACCATGGCATTAGCATTCCTTGTATTCATATTGGACGTAGAGTTCTCTGCGAGTAGTGTTGCAGGCCTCGCGAATGCTTCGGTCCGGATCGGATCCTCGGTACAGTACGAGTACCTCATAAGTACCACGGACACTCATATTCCCCACAGATGCTCGGTCTCAATGATTCTCCGACTTTCTCTGCCAGAGAAACTTAATGCCCTAATGCGACCGAGACTCTTCATTGGCATGGTAAGCATTACTTTCGAACTTCTGTATTCTTCCATGTCGAGTCCACCATGAGCAATGCATCGCTGCCACCCAACGCCCCCATGATGAACGGTTCCCTTACCTCTAACCATGGAGAAGCCGATGCCTCGTCGAGCCTCGAAAACGTCTGCGCCCGACTCTGCTCCCAAGTCGACTCGTTTCTCGCTGCGCCTACCTCTGACGATGTCACAAAACGGACACAAGAGCAGACAAGGATTGCACTGGGCGTGATAGAAAAGGCGCTGCAAGACTACGAGTTCGCCAACCCCGCCGTGTGGTCGTCCGCAGATTGCTGACACTGCCACAGTAGATTTGAAGCGTTATCGCTTTCCTACAATGGAGGAAAAGATTGTTTGGTGCTTTTAATATTATATCTCGCCGTCCTGCACAGGCACTTTACGCGTCTGAAGAACAAAAGTCCACAATCATTCAATTTTCCTACGTCAATCCCCTCTATATACGCCAAACCACCTGATCCATTCCCCGCCGTATCCGAGTTTGTCGAGTACTCCTCACGCTTGTATCACCTCGATCTAGCGCACATATCGACAAATCCTGGTCCGTCCAAAAAAGAGCGGTCGCACTCGAATCCGACTATTACGAAACCTTTCCCACGTGTTGAACCGGAGAGCGGCACGGAGAAAACACCAGAACCTATAGTGTCGTTCCGGGACGCCTTTGCCCTGTATCTATCCTCTCATCCTTCTGTAAAAGCGATTTTCGTGGGCACACGTCGAACAGACCCTCATGGGGCTCACCTCACTCATTTCGATCCCACCGACCACAACTGGCCGGCCTTTATGCGAATTCATCCGGTGATAGACTGGCATTTATCGGAAATATGGTGTTTCTTGCGCTCGCCTCATCTAAAAGACCTAGAATCGGGCGGGCCACTCAGATATTGTTCGATGTATGACGAGGGCTACACAAGCCTCGGTGGCATCAATGACACCGTAAAGAACCCAAAGCTGAAGAGGCGCGATGGGGATGGTAACGAATATTATCGGCCAGCATTTGAGATGACACAAGACGACGGAGAGAGGCTGGGAAGGGAATGAATGCGACGACAAGGAGTCGTGGTGGTGATCGCGGCGGGAAGGATGAGAACGGTCAACGAAGGCGAAGGAAGAGACAGCCTTATCATGACCCAATGCACGATATAAAACCAGCTCGGACTGTTCACACGACACTCTGGAAGAGTCATTCTGGCTGCCATGCTGTATGATGGCATCGGTATACCTTGGAACAAGATTGAAACATGGATCGACTTGAATGTGATGATCGGGGGATTTGTCCAGACGACGGAGGTGGTTTTTGTGTGTGGACAAGCAAATATGGAGGGTCTTGGGTGGATGAGCTTGAGCGTCGTGGGTTGTACAGTATGGGTGAGATGGACCCAACATCGACAGTGACAGTCACGATTCACGATAACTCGGTTGAAGAGGAGATCTCCTCTGTCTTTCAGCGTATGAGGTCAAGCCATAGACATCCGGACCATCCGAGACGTGTGTGTAAGCGAGGCCTGCGGAGTACACAGGTGTACAGTATGTATCGATCATGTTGCGTATTGAGTCCTCGGATCAGCACGTGTGTCTCTCAACGATGAATAACACTATTGAGTCGTCCGTTGTGCACAAACTGATAAGGCTCGATCCATCACGATTCACGGTATCTGCCCAGCAAAGGCCAAGCTGATGGAGATCTTGGTCGGGCGGAATCGCACATGGATGCAGGTGCTTTGACGCACTCTCGAGTCTCAGCCTCGCGAGCGGAACCAGCCAAGAGCTTGGCACATCTCCACTGATAAGGGCGGATTCCAACGCCAGGACACGACAATGCCTCTCGCTCTGTTTGTTCACCAGGGAATCGATGAATGTAGTCAAGTATCCGACAGACGGCCCAAAGGGACACAGACACATTCGCCAGATTTGATATCGACCAACTACCTGGTACTTACCAAGTCTCCGGCCGCCTGCCCAGGTCGCTAGTCCCGCCTACACATGGTGGTTCCGCGCCACTGATTTGCCCCGACTCCTACCAATGCACCCTTGAGGCCAGACACCTCGAGCAATCGTGCTCTGGCTTCGTTGTTTTGTCGCGTTTGCCCTCCCACTCCCCGGGACTGATTTACTTGTTTGGGTAGGCAGCATGTCCTGGGGGAATGTCCGTGATGATGACGGGTTTGGGTTTATCTCTTGGCCACGCGAGGTACCGAGATACCAGGTAACTAAAGCTGATCTACTTGTTCCTACCCCTGTGTCTGGACCTGTGAGAGACGGCCAGATACACACAGAGAGGAAAGAGAGAGAGAGTGTGTGTGTGTGCACCAGAAGTCTTCTTAATAAGGCCTTGGAACATCTGATTGTCTTGTTCTGCTGTCTTGTCTTGGCTACTCTTCCTCCCCCCTTCCTCTCCCTCTATATATACACCACACCTATCCACCACAACTCGACCCTCTTGATTCTTTCTGACTAAAGCCAATCTTTTCTCCCGGTGTACTTCGTATGCAAGGTTGACCTCAACACCGAACAAGAACGAGTCATCATGTCGGAAATCATCCCCGTCACAGAATGGCCAGACTACAGCGTCGACCCTCAAGGCGGCGATCCTTTCACCCAGGACCTCAACGCTCCGTATGACAAGGTACAAGGACCATCTCCCCCGTCTTGCACCAGATGCGTATTATAGTTTACTGACACCAACCACTTCCGACGGAATGCAGGGTGACATGTGCTGGATCCTCGTCTGTACGATTCTATGCTGGCAAATCACGCCTGCCATCGGCTGGCTCTACGCCGGCATGCACCAACGCAGGAAGTCGGCGTTGACCATGATCTTCCAGTCCCTGTTCTGCGCGTGCGCGTGCGGCATCCAATTCTGGATCTACGGCTACTCGCTGTACCAGTCGCACACGACGAACGAGATCCTAGGCGACGTCAGCCTGGCAGCCTTGCACAACGTGCTCGCCGCGCCATCGCTCGCCAACTCCGACATTCCGGATCTTTTGTACGCGTGTTTCGGCTTTACTTTTGTCACCGCGACCGCCATGATCCTGTCCGGCGCCATGCTCGAGCGCGGCCGCCTGTGGCCCAGCATGCTGTTCCTGCTCTGCTGGACCACGTTCGTCTACTACATCCTCGCCTACTGGGAGTGGAACCCGTCCGGCTGGCTGTACAACCTGGGCGTCTACGACTTTGCCGGCTCCGGACCCGTGCATATCGCGAGCGGATTCAGCGCTCTGGCATGGAGTCTCATGCTCGGACCTCGCATCAGCGAACACACCTCAGGCGAGAGGGCCAAGATTATCCATGCAAAGCCTCACAATCCATTTCTCGTCGGCATAGGAACGTGCTTCATCTGGTTTGGATGGTTCGCTTTTAACGGTGAGTTTGATTCCGAAGCGAATTACACAAAAATGAAAGATCGACAACAACTCTAATTCTCTACCTCATACCTCCACACTCTTCCAACACTCTTCCAGTTTTTGGAATCATCTTTGAGTCCTATCCCTTTTTTTATATTTTGCACACAAACACACACCACTAACATGACCTCTTTGTTATGTAACTTAAGGCGCCAGCACGGCAAACCTATCTCTTCGCTCCGTATACGTCGTCGTCAACACCAACCTAGCAGCCTGTGGAGGTGGCATCGGCTGGACGCTACTTGAGTACTTCTATACCGGGAAATTCAGCATTCTCGGATTCTGTTCTGGCATTATTTCTGGCCTCGTTGGAATCACACCAGCTGCTGGTTTTGGTAAGTTTTGTCTTGTTTTTGTTCCAGTTATCATTTATTGTTTTCTCTCTCCCTTTTTTCTTTTTTTCTTTGGTTTTTTTGGTTTCGTTTATTTGGTGCTTGGTACTAACATGTTCCGTCTGTGTGTGTGTGTGTCACAGTACCCATCTACGTGGCAGCCCTCGTGGGCCTCCTGACGTCGATCGCGTGTTTCTACACCAACAGGTACAAGCACCTCATCTCGATCGACGAGGGCCTGGACATCTTCGCGCTCCACGGCGTGGGCGGGTACGTCGGGGACCTGCTGACGGGCCTGTTCGCGGCGAGCTTCGTGCCGGCGCTCGACGGCGTCAGCGGCGACAGCTACGCCGGCGGCTGGTGGAACCGCCACTGGGTGCAGCTGGGGTACCAGTTCGCCGCGGCCACGACGTGCGCCGCGTGGAGCTTCGTCGTCAGCTGCATCCTGCTGTTCATCATCGACCGCATCCCCGGCTGCAAGCTGCGCGTCAAGGAGGAGGACGAGGCCCGCGGCCTGGACTTCAAGTACCTCTCCGACGCGCACTGGGACGACATGGGCCGCGGCAGCCTGGCCATGACCAGGGTCGAGGTCGAGACGGGGATGCCCGTCGTCAGCGGCGAGGGCGTGCCGTTTTCCCCCTCCGGCTCCGGGAGCGAGAGCGGTGACAACAACAACACCGTCGTCAAGGGTGGCGGTGGCAACGGGGCCGCACCGACCGAGAGGGACGGCGCGGTGCCGATGAAGAGGGAGTAAGTTAAGGGAGATTGACGGCACGGCAAGGCAGAGTCGAGAAATTTGTCCACTTGTCATGGTCGCCCCGTCGTTTGTGTCATTGTCGTCGTTGCCGTTCCTCTACGTAGTATAGAGGGAAGCTCACCTCACACCGTTTGTGTGATTTTCTGACGTTGGACCGTTACACACCATGTACATACATACCTACGTATGGTTCTTCTTTTTTTTTTTTTTTTCTTAGATCTGTTCTTTTTTGGTTCTGTCGTTATTAGATGCCAGGTGCTGTGTACACATAGTATATAACCTCAACCTCGGTCCAAGTGTACCGTATACACTACACACCTCTCAAGGTCGTCGACTCGGCCCAATGTAGTACGAACTTGTTGTTCATCACACTCGGGTACCTTCAAATACAGGTAGGTACCTACCTACCTACATGCCTCCTATGCCTACACAGGTACACACAGACGGATCGGTATGTCTGCGGTCCCTACATGCTCCTCGGTCAGTGGCGACAACCTGTCAACATCTGCGACGACAGGCACCTCTTCCCCATCTTGAGCTGTACTCGGACGCGAAACTCATCTTCATATCCACAAATTCTTTTTGGGCTTTTCCCTTAGTACTCCTGGCACTGTTTCTCCTGCTCATTCAGAAAAAAAAGACTAGATCTGAAATTCTCTCTAATACCATCTTCCTCTTCCTCTCCATGCTCTGCAAGAGCAGCTTCTTCAAATAAAAGAAAAGGAAAAAAAACACATCATCCAACTTCATACGTCGTCTGCCGCACAAAGTAACAACTGCAGAACGTGTGCTTTCGAAACTCGACTTCGTTCTTGACCTTCTGGCAAAAGTCTCTTCTGGTCTTGATACGTCATGTAGTGTTCTGCTCCTTGACACTCTTCATCGTCTCTGTCCACCTACAAAAACTGCCGCCATTTATAACTTTGTACTGTGCTTTGTCATCGAAGCCCTGTACGAGTACGTGCTCGTTCAAATCCCCAAATACCACTTGGCACGCTCATAAACATAAAAGCTGGTCGCACCCAGCGGGATAACCTTGATATAACCGATGGACAAGCCGACAAAGAACCCTCTCCATCCTCTTTCAAGGAATATCCTCCGAGCCGTCTCTAATATGGACAACCTATGCCCATCACCGACAGCGCCACCGACTTGCATTCTCCGTCGGATCACCTCCAGCGGGTAAGACGCCGTTTGAGACACCAACCCCGCCAGAGCGCCCGAGGTCAACTCTGCGGGCGCCGTCAACTGACTCCGCTGGTAGGCTCTCGTGCCGTCCGACGCTCCATCCGGCGGAGCGGGCGCCAACGACGTGGACCGTATGACGGTGTACGGAGCCAGGGTCGGATGTCGAAACAAATCACCAATGGTGTCGTGGGTCAAAAAGGACACTCCTGCATAAGGCAGCATGCCGAGCATTGTCGGAGAAAACCCACGATAGAAATTGACCAGTCCAGACCTTGGTGCCGCTCGGTGAGTGAGGTCGGCCGCCGCCGCCGCCACCGGGTTATGGGGATGGCTGGCGCTGTGTCCCGTCAGCGACTGCGGCTGAGGCGGTTGCTCGTGGTATATCTGTTGGCATATTCTGGTCAAGGAAGACCGCGAATCCCGTTTCGTTTCGAAGGCGAGTCGCACGCGCACCACCTCGAGAGGGTACGTGAAGAAAACCGAGGTGAGGCCCGCCAGGGAACCCGACAAAAACCGCCGGACCGGTGTCTCTTGGTCCTTATTGTGGATGAGAAAAGCCCGTATTTGTTCGTAGGCCAGGAACTTGATCCCCGCGTACGGAAATATTCGCAACAGCGTGGCCGAGTGACCCCGATACAACCCACGGATGCCCTCCGAGTTGTTGATGTCGCGCATCGCCACAAACACCCCCGTCCAGCTACCGGTGTATTTGGCAAATTGCGGGTTCGAGGCTTGGAAGAGGATCTTGACTCGATCGAGAGGTCCGACGACTGTTTTGGCCTTTGGTGAGGGTGTGTGTATGCGTTAGCCGCCTGCAGTCGCAACCAAAAAGGAAAGGAAAGAGACCAGCCCCGGCAAACGAGTACCATTTTGCAGTGGAGGAATTCAAAACTGTCACAAGGACTGGGAAACTCGAGAATCACTCACAGCGCATCCGGCCAGACCACCTGCGAACCCACTGCGCAAGACATAATCTAGACTCCTCTTGTCCAAATACTTGGGTTCCCCGGGAGCGCGACCATCTTTCCGTGTCACCGCTGTCGCGGTGGCTCTTGAGGCTGTGGGCGAGGTCGTCTGGGACAGTGGTTCCATCTCGGATGGTCGTGTGGGTTGTAATGTTGTTGCTGCATGGCCTGAAGCTAGAAGAGGCATTCACCGGGTCCTGGTCCTGGTCCTGGTCCTGGTCGTGTTCCTGTTCAAAAGAGGACCATCGCGGGACGGGGTACTCGAGACAACAAGGGAACGAGGGGTGTTTGACTGTGGTGCTGGTGCCGGTGCCGTAGGTGGGATTTGTTGGCGGAAGGGTAGAATGTTTTCTCGGTGTGACGTGCGGAATGATGATGGGTGAGGGATCGTGGTGGCTGCGAATTTCGGATAGCGAGGCGACGAACTGCTCTCGCGGAGTCTCTTCTGGTGCCCAGCAGGTGCCTGGGGGCGATACCTTTAACACTGCGGTTTAGGTGGGTGGTCCAGGTGGGTGGTTCAGGTGGCCGGCGGTGTTTAGGCGGTGTTTAGGTGCCGCTGCCGATGCCGAGGCAGGTTTTTCGCTGCCGCATGAACTTCGGAGCCTAAAAAGCCCGTCACCATCGGAACCTACAATATTTGTACATGTACGGAGTGCGAGTTTCACAGCGAGATCGGGGCCGTCTGGGGCGTGTTCCTCTCCGTCCACACCACTCAATACACCAATCGCAGGGCAGCCAAAAAAGACAAATATCTCACCCACCACACGCACATGCGTACTCTGGTCGAAAGGCTCTGGGGTTCCCCGGCTATTCACGGTCCAACAGACGAGATTGGGTTCAAATCTCCTCAAAAGACGCGATGGGATCGCATAGTGTGTATGTGATGTTCGATATTCCGCTGTTCATACAATACCCATTCATAGTATTCAATATGCTATGCTATACACCATACCCTTAGATTTGCAATGCAACTTTTCATCGTCAATAGGATGCAACACTAAAGCCATTAGTTAGTTGTACGCGCAGTTTCACACCCGTCCTCATCAACCTGAAAACCATCGCTTTTCACCTCGTGCACACTCCCAAGTCCGGCCTGGTGGCGCTCTCTCCGTCCCGGACTGGATCGAGGTTCCTGTCCGCTGCCGTTTGACGAGACTCTACTCATGCTTGTCCTTCGAGCCCGTCCCGCCGGAGGACCCGTGGAAGATACAGGCTCAGTCTCTGGAATGGGTGACGGAATGTCCTCGCTTATGTGTCTTGTAAGCCGTCTCCCTTGTTCCAGACTCCTCGATCGTGTGCGTGAGGCCAATTGTGAAAAGGTCTCACTGATTGAGCCCCCCGGCAACCACACACTGTCCTTTCGAAGTCTACCTTCGGCTTCCCACCAGTGCACAGGGCGCTTTGAAGGAGCTGGCTCAGGTATCGCCGGCTGAGGCGTATCCGTGGAATCTTGCTTTTTGCAACGACGTCCGCCAAGAATCGAACACTTCGAGTTTGACGAGATCCTCCTCCACGGCTTCTCCGTCCAAGAGAAAACAAAGCAGTCGGCTGCAGTCTGGAGAGACAGCATGATAACTGATATTAAGTTGATCCAATACGTCGGATGCATGACGTTGCGCGCATCGTACAATCGGACTTGGAACACAAAGGGAAACGCCCACACTATGATGTAGACAAGAGGGTAGATGAACATGGACCGTAACTGCCTGCGAATCGCCCTCCGGGTCTCTCGTAGCGGGTCCGTCCGATCGCTCATTTTGATCCGTGTATTCGTTGCAGGATCCGATCGTGAGACGCGTTCTTTGCGTGGGCCTGCACGCTGGCCATCTTTAGATCCTATCCGGGAGGGTTTGCCAGAAGAGGGGCCAAAAGGCGAGATTGTATCATCCGACCATGTGCTTCCCCAAGGCGCCGTCGGGGCAGGGCCGTCTTCAGGAGGGTTCTGCAGAGGTTTGGAGGTAACGAAATTCATGTAGTCCCAGGGCTGTAGCGCTTCAGACGATTGCACTTGCTGTTCGACCTCAAGGGTGGGTTGTTGAGACACCCTTCTTGATGGAGTCTGGCTGGTCCTGCCACCCTGCTCAGCCGGTTCCACGTCTTCGCTGTGGAGGGCAATCGAACTTCGTCTCGAACTCTGAGATGACTCGCTCATAGACTCCGACCTACCAAGTTTGTCGAACCCACGAAACTTCATGTGCACGTAGATGTATATCCACAAATACATGGAGATGATGAATGCAATGATAATGTATCTTGGTACCCAGGACAGCGCCAATCTGTACCAAATAGGGCGTTTCGGTAGTGTACAGAAGACGCCTGAAGTTGTGAAAGGTGCCGAATTTCGAATGAACGCGAGGCATGCGGCGAGAAGTGGCGGCAACAGCCAGGCCGGCCATACCCAGTGGCGGTAGGGGTACAGCCCTCCTTCTCCAGCAGCGCTGCTTGGTCGTAAGATGTAGAGGACTGAATGCAAGGCAATCAGGAAAATTGCCATATCAGCAGACTCTGTGGCAAACGTGAGGAAGAAGCCGGTTGCCTGACAGAAGTTGGAGCTGCTCGAGATGGGGCCCGTCCCAAAGCTGACGATCGGGAAAATAAAGTACCAGAAGCTCTTGAAAGAGCCACTTATAATCATATTCATCACCAGGATATGGCGGAAGCTCCTTCGCATGAGGAGAAACCATCGTAAAGTGACCAATGCGGCCAGCAGACTGAAGCCGGAGCAGCATACCGCGGTGATATGGATGGCTCGATTCTGGCTTGGTTTCAGGGCACCGCCGGCTCCATTACCATCACCTGTGTAGTCGATGGGTTCATCCCTCGCGTTGAGAATGGCGTCTGTTAACGCCTCCAACATGGCGCTATGTGCCGCGGGACAAAGCGTATTGACGGTGAGTTTCTTAGGTGGCGTTGCTCGATCCAAGACGCGACATTGTGCCCCGATCGAAACTTTGATCTTTACTGTTGCGACTGCGATTGTCGACCGGAACTTTCGCGACCTGTAGGAAGATCTGTGCTGCTGAAATGCCCCTTGGCTGCGTGAATCGGTCGATGTACAGCAAACAAAAGCCTAAATGAAGGGCGAAGTCACAGAAGTATAAAAGACGGAGGGGGAGAAAAGTCAATGCAAACATCATGCGAGCCCAGTTTTTAAGACCTACACGTCAGTGAAATGTCCACCCACTTCAAAGTATGTGGGAAGTTCGTGGACTTGCTGCATGTCAAAAGCTTTGCCGACGGGGGTGCCGCAGTGGGCGTTGCTCCGTGCAGGAAGAGGTCGGGCAATAGGGAGGCAGGCATGCAGGAATTTCTTGCTAAGAGTTCTCTTATTTGGAAGAAAGAAGAACATTATATGACGCCGAGATCTTCTGCGGGCCTGTGCGAATGGTCCATGCATGAGGGCTGAGTGGGAGACGAAGGCGAAAGGCATCGAAAGGGGAAACTCCGCTGCGTGCGAGATCTAACGCGCTAACCCTAATCGTGGAGACCATTGTCAGACTACACCAGGTAGGGTTAGCGTGCATCGTCTACTGCTGTCTTCATCGATAATGGCAAAACCGTTCGCATGGACTTGTTGATCTGTGCCAGATGGTTTCCACAGCTACTTCGCTTCTGCTGTGCCCAATGCACAGATCTGATCCTCTCGCTTTCCATTTTTCCCCCTCCCTCGCTGAAACGAGGACGATTTCGAACATCTCGGGTTATAAAACTCCGACCCCACGACAGTCTGATGTGCCTAGTACGAGGTAGATGAAGAGGACCACATATCAACGCATTGGAGGACTACTCGAGCTCCACCGGTCATGATGTCGTCGGTTCCTGACAATCCCACCGTGGCCCGCCAGCGGATCGACGCGATGGAGACTAGCAAGGTAACATGGACGGCACATTTCAACACGTTTTCACAATTGCTTGGTTAGACTTACAAGACTTGCTGCCCACTGGCTGCAGAAGTGTAACAGGAACTGCCGTTGGTAGATATCTGTGTACGTATGGTATGGCAGTCCAACCCCATCCCATCAACGTTCCCCCCGAGATTCTCACTGCAGCCGTTGACGAAGCACCCGTAACTTCGCACGCGAGATGGAAATTTCGTCGGCACGCTGAAGCTGCGAGACGACGAGAAGCCGTGAATGACTTACTGTGGGTTCGAAGGCCCTGCGAATCGCCTCGGCTGTACGAGAGAGCTTGTAATTGTGGGTGGTTATTCATTGGCAATGCCAATGGTACGGTACCGCAGTCACCGTACAAAGCGACGGGCCGTCATAGTTCGGATTTTGGGGCCTCGAGGGACCACAGCAAATTGAGGATGCAGTCGAGGGCCCTGATTCACATGTACTATCGTAATTCCTCGGTGCGATGCCTTCGATTCGTAGATTTGCCTTTGCGGAGTTTCTTCCGCTTTCGAGCTGACGAGGTTGGGCCTTTATCCCCTAGGACGCCTGCTCTTGTAAGCCCCTCATACAAAGCCAAAGCTGCCAGTGTCTTCGCATCTCTTGCACCCTCCCTCCACAGCTCTTCATACTTGACAAGCTTGAGTGTGATCTTCTCGGTGTCGTTGCCTGAGAGCTTATCCCTCAATTCGTTGAGTTCAGAACAAGGCATGGTCTTCTCCCACAGAAAGAGAGCGATGTACTCATCGCAACCTCCTGGACTGGGATACATTGCTTTCTGTAGATGACTTTCAGAACCCTTGGCATCCTTCAAAGCGAGCATGGTCATGTCTGTAAGCTCGTTCACGGAAACAATCAAGCCCGTCTCTTCGAGTAGTTCCTTGGCAGCAGCGCCTTTAAAGGTCCCAGCGTCGTCTATCATACCCGCGGGGATCTCGCAGAAAGTTAAACTCCCCGCTGGGATGCGAGGTTGTTGCGTCAGGACCACGTATCTTTCATCGTTCTCGTCCTCACTCTCTGGTCGGAGGATGATCAGGACAGCCACACTGCCGCCTCGAAGGAAGACAATCCCGGGAAGAGGTCGACCATCGCTGTCATTTTCAACCACCGTTTCCATCTTCATAAAGCCTATGCGAGAGCCAAAATAATCAACAGATTGCACGTTGATACGCCGCAGAGTGTATCGCTCCTTTTCCGCATTGAAGGGGTGGTGCTCTTCAGACTGAAGGCGCAATGATTGCCGTAGCGATTCCAGCCAAACGTTGAAAGGTTTGAATCCCAGACAGGCTTCTTGCGACAGACCTGCAGACAAAGTGACTTCGACGGGCGGTTCTCCCAGGGCGTTGCGCAGTGTGAACCTGGTGGCCATGACAAATCAGGAGAGGACAGGTCCGGAATGATGTTGGAAAATGGGCAGTAGAAGAGAAAATCCCGTCTCTAGAATTCCATCCTATCGACCTTTTATGGCAGGGGAAACAGCTTCATGCGAGGCTGTGGTCTAGGTGGTGACAGCAAACGGGCTGAGGCCAGGCAGACTAGAGGCGCAATAATCCAGTCATCTATCACAGAGTTAATCACCCCGCTTCGAGGTCGGACAAAGCTGAGCAGCCCAAGCTCACCGTGGCCACAAACGAACGATGGATCTCGGCTTCGGCAAGCCCTCCAACTATTCGCTGCGATACCAAGGATATGCTTCATCAAGTCCTTCAAGTCCCAGCTTCTCCCAATCTTCCTGATGGCGCAGGGACGGCTCGGACCGAATGACAGCAGCCGAAGTCTAATCATACAATAAATCCTTTCTGGAGACGCCGACTATCTATGCTTATGGAGCATCAAGGAGCCACCTCCTAGGAAGCCAGGAAATCCTTTGACAGAACAGAAGCAAGAGTATTCGCACGGCGTTCCCTGTTCTCAGAGTTTTCCAGCCCTCTTCAAACCTTCGTACAAGGCCCAGGCAGCCAGCGTCTTCGCATCCCTAGCACCTTCTCTCCAAAGCTCGGCATAAGGGAGCAGCTTTAACGTGATCAACTCTCCCTGGGTCCTCAAGCCTGTCAGCCTTCCTTTCAAGTCCTCGATTTCCTGCCTGTCCATTTCCTTCTCCCAGAGCATCAACGCGATGTATTCATCGCAGCCGCCTGGGCTTGGGTACATTGCGGGCTTGAGTTGTTTGTGCTCTTCTATCTCGGAACCCTCGAGAGCAAGTTGTGTCAAGTCTCTAAGCTCCCCTGTTGGAATCGAGAGGCCGGTTTCTTCCTCTATCTCCAAAGCTGCTTTGCCCGCAAATGTCCCTCTGTGGTAGTCCAACATGCCGGCAGGGATCTCCACGAATGTAAGAGTTCCCGCGGGCACGCGTGGCTGCGAGGTCATGATGACCCATTTCTCGTCGATGGCATCCCTTGGCGTGAGAATCATGAGGATACCAACACTCCCGCCGCGAAGAAAACAAATCCCCGGAAGCTCCTGGCCCCTTTCGTTTTTGATCTCTGCGTTCAATTTTAGAAAGCCAATTTGGCCGTTCCTGAAAATGTCAACGGATTGGATGGTGATAGACTTGAGTTTAAAGGGCGAGTCGTAAAATGGATGGTCTTCTATCGTGCTCTGCTCGTAGAGTGACCGCCTGAGTGTACCGCACCAAATATTGAATGCCGGAAAATCTCGAATTTGATCTTCGCTGACTCCGTCCGGTTGTACTGTCACCTTGGGAGGATCGTCGGGAGGATCGTAGAAACCTTTAAGGTCGAATGAGATCATAGTGAGCCTATTGTTGCTGCTTGCTATGTATCAAGCCTCAATGCGTTAGAAATAGGCAATTCAGCAGCAGACACGCGATCGCACAAAGGCCGTCGGTAATGTAGGTAGATAGCGCGGTCAGTCACTCCCGTGATTTTAGAGGCACCAGGCGCTCAGTTCCGAGTGGCATCGCGATCCCCGCTACCAGGATCGCCGACCGCACGCATGCTGCCTGTTTGGGAGAGACTGGCAGGCAGAATCAGCTACAAGTTCAGCCTGTGGGCGCTCTTATGGCTGAGTCGAAGCCACCTGATGCGCTCCCACGCGGCATGAGGCTGGTGGAGGAGAGGTGGTGAACATGCCACGTCGCATTGCATATGGTATAATGTTTAACAACAGCAAAGCCTGGTTAAGCCGTCGAACACGGCCACCCGCCCAAACCCATGAGGCCAAAAACCTGGCGACCGGTTTCGCCCCTCGGCTAGCCTCACACGAAAATTAGTTAGGCCGCTGCGAATGAGCCCCCGGAATGCATATCTCCTCCATGGGCGGCACGCGCAGATCGGTACAGGAAAAGCTGCTCGCGCAACCTGGTGAGACTAATCGCTGAGTGTTTCAGCTGCAAGCCGCAATCACGGACTTTGCCTGGCGACTTCCAATACATTAGAAAGTCCCAGGCGCATCGGTTCCTCTTTCGTTTTCAAATAGCTTTACTTTCAGCTTCCTTCGGAAACCTACCTTGCGAGAATTGAAAAAGAAAAATATGATCTGTGAGATCTGTCATCGCATGCTTCGTGGTCACAAGGGGCAGATATGGAGAGGGACCTACGAGCTTTATTTCATCCACCATGAGAATATGGAAAGCTTGTATCACTCCGCAAACATGCGTTGCTACTTTTGCCGCGTCCTTTCAGCCAATGTCCATCACTTGGGCAATGGGAGTCCATGGTTCGAGCCCACCGGGCACGAGTTTTTGACCTACGCCAGCTTGTTGACCGTCGAGGGATGGGACAAGTTGTACCGGCTAGACTTCAAAATCGGCATGCAAGGCCATCCTGATAGGCCAATCGGGACGTTTCTCTTGAGAGAGTCTGGTCGGTGATATTCATGCCTCGGAGAATGAAATGGCAATTTACATTGCGTGTCCAGAGAATTTGCAAACGTCGATTCGAACCCCGACATCTAACAACACGCGATCAGATGAGGCTTTCCAGCTGGCGCGGAAATGGATACGACAATGCGACGAGTCCCACAAAAGATGTTCTAGCAGATCCGAGAAGCTTTTTCGCAGACCCAAAAGCCATGGATTCAAAGGAGGATGGGTCCCAGGAAGGCTTTTGGATCTGAGACCAGACGACGAGAAGGATGAGGAAAGGAAGGCCGACAAGCACAAAGCCGGCGAGAAGGCTGATAACAACAACAACAACAACAACAACAACAACAACAACAACAACAACAACAACAACAACAACAACAACAACAACAACAACAACAACAACAACAATAATAATCATAAGAAGCATGAGAAGAGGGGCAAAAAGGACAAAAAACAAAAAGTGTGTCTTGTAGAAACTACCGACGAAGCCTGGAGAAACAGTTACTCGGAACTTCAGCCCAGGTACACAACTCTCAGCCACCGTTGGGGGGGCAAGATCATACTCCGCCTGGAGCCCGGAAACCACTCTAAGCTCAAGGAAGGCATCGAGCTTGACGACCTGCCATTGACGTTCAAACATGCTGTGGAGTTCTCCCTGCGCCTGAATGTCCGTTATATCTGGATCGATTCCTTGTGCATCATGCAAGGTAGTAGCGAAGTAGCAAAAGCGGACTGGCTGGACCAGTCTGCGAGCATGGACAAGGTATATGGATTCTCGTTTTGCAACATCTCGGCGACGGCCGCTTTAGACTCGGACGGAGGACTCTTTTTCTCGCGCAGGGCGGAGGACTTGTGGGAGCACGAAATTTATATCTCTACCGTCCGTTTCCAGGGATCAGCAGACACCAAAAGCACTCTGCGCTGTATGGTGATCGATCCGAACTTTTGGGAACGAAACATCGAGCAGGCCTCGGTGAACACCAGAGGCTGGGTGCTGCAGGAGAGACTTATAGCCCCTCGTGTTCTTCATTTCTGCAGAAATCAAATCGCCTGGGAATGCAGCGAGCTGCAGGCGGCAGAGTGCCATCCTGATGGGGTTCCAGACTTCGAAATTGTGTCCGGCAAGGTTGTTCCACGTCGAACGATCAAGAGTCTCGATCCGGTCAAAGATGGCAAAACTCTCCGCGAGGCCCGGATCAACTATCGATCCAGAGCGACCTACAGTCGTTTGTTGTCCCCGAGCGCCCCGCTGACCATCACATACGAGGGCTCAAAACTAATCGTGTCGATCGTCGATCCCGATTACCGCCTGGGGTCAGAGATATACAGGCATGAACTGTGGAAGCACATCGTGGAAACCTACTCCAAGATGAATCTTACCTTCGAAGGCGACAAGCTCATTGCTTTGTCGGGTATTGCCAGAGTCATGTTCCGGGAACTTCAAGTGGAGTACGTGGCAGGCATGTGGGAGAAGCACCTCGCGAGTCAGCTTTTATGGCACATAAACGACAAATACGAGGATGGCCGCTTTCACTATGATTCGACACGTACTCTTGGGTACCTCGCTCCAACATTTTCTTGGGCTTCTTTGAACACTCCGAACGGCATCACGTATGGGGAGACAACTGATCAAGATCTCTTCATAGAGGTCGAACAGATCGTGCTGAAGTCCGATCAACAGGGCGACTCGGGACGACCTACAAACAAATTTGGTTTGTTGAAGCCCGGTTGTTACATCGTCGTCAAATGCCTGGGCCTGAGATCGGTCAAAATCGTCGAGATCAAGGGTGAGGGGACGGAAAAGACCCGCCGATATGCTTGGAAATTCGAAACCGCCGCCAAAGGCTCCAGAGCTTACGCGAATGTGTACCTCGACAGCCCACGGAACGCGTCGAATAACGACGCCGATAACGACGCCGACTTATTGTTCCGCAACGGACAGATATTTTGTCTTCCTGCTGCGCTGGGGAGTCGCACAGACGCAGCTAAGTATCTCATCTGTCTGTTGATTGCGCGGGTCGATGTTGCGGGGGAGCAGGTTGATGGTGAGGCTGATGGTGAGAAGCCGCTGGCATATAAACGCGTTGGCCTGATAAAGGTGGCTCCTTACGACCGAGGTATCCAGCAACTTCTGCTAGGGAAGAAGGACGAGGAGATCCGGGGCTGGTTGAAGAAGGACGAAGAGGCTAGGAAAGAAGAACTGAAGGACATAAGGAAGCCGGAGGAGTTCTTGGACGACGATAAGCTGGAAAGGATTCGGATATTCTAGTTTAACTCTAGATTCAGAATGCTAGCTGAGGTTGCAAATTGCGCCTTTGCGCTCTACGCCTTTGCGCTTCACGTTTGGCGTTCTTGGTTCTCCGTAGAGAGATAGAGAAAGATGCCTCCAAAAGCGGCGGCGTCTACTCGCTCAGTTCGGCGGGAAATTTCCCTACTCCGTGTGTTGGGTAATGTAGACCTCATCACGAGCGGCGAGACTTCTTACGGGCTTTTGCGAGTAGACTTCTTACGGTCCTCGCAAAAGCCCGCTGGATAGTTCATCGAAATTGAAAATCGGCTTCCTGAGGCTCTTGTTGGGTTTGGCGCCGATTCCCCGCGCCCCCCAATGTCAACATCGCATCCGACACTTTACTGCAACATTGATCGAACCGTTTTTCTGGTCGATATCCCTTCATCGCTCCAACATGGCCAGTGTGCGTCATCTATCCTCAGAAGCTGTCCTCCTCTGCAGAGCCCGTATCCTGACACTGAGCCCAAAGGATCTAAACGGGTTGCTGCTTTGAATGCATTGCCTCCACACGAGTACTCTTATCATGCCTCAATCCAAGAACACATATCTCATGCCCTGAGCGAGCTCACTGATCACGTCTCGACTCATGGTCTGAATTGGTGCCTGCGGCGAGCAGCCATGTTGCCTGCAGACCGGGAATATCCCACACAGGCCTCATTGTCTTTTCCAGCACACAGTCGTACATTTGTGGCAGGGGCGGGCACAGACCACATGGTGCCACTTCTTTTGTCGAGCACAGAACGGCGCAACGGATTCCCATCTCTGGACATGCTGCACGGTGTGCTTGTCCACAATCCTAGCCACGGCTCCGCGGTTCTGGAAACTATTGACAACGGACACTATTTCATCCCGCCTCGGTCTACCTTTATTTGCTCAACCTTGCAGTCTGGACAGTCAGCCTTGTCGGCTTGGCAGCATCTGGCTTCCTCAAATGGATTTGATCTGATCCTCATGGATCCGCCATGGGCCAACCGGTCAGTGCGGCATTCTGGTCATTACAGATCCGCCGAGGACCAGAACTGTGACCCGTTTGGGCAAGCCGCCCAGATCGTAGAGACCAGTTTGTCCAGCCAAGGGCTCGTTGCGATCTGGATCACAAACAAAGCCTCTCTCCGCGCCAATGTGGTCCAGACCCTCGGGGCGATGGGATTTTGCGTGGATGAAGAATGGATATGGATCAAAGTTACGGCACATGGCCAGCCCGTTACGCCTTTGGACGGGCTATGGAGGAGACCGTACGAGGTACTCTTGTTGTTTCGAAAGCGACATTCGGATGTGAACCCTCGTCGTCGCATTATTGCGGCGGTGCCTGATCTTCACTCGAGAAAACCATGCATGAAAGCGTTGCTCCAAGACCTTCTGCCTCCACAACCACAAGTGCTTGAACTCTTTGCCAGAAACCTGACGGCTGGGTGGTGTTCATGGGGCGATGAGGTCCTCAAGTTTCAGCACGAGAGCCACTGGGTCGGACCAGAAGAGGCATGACATACAGTCACGTAGGTTCGCTTAGAATCCAAATCCTGCATTTGCAGGTCGTGACATGGAGCCGATATGGCGTTGCCTCGTTAGCTCTATATGACAGTGGATGGCTTTTGGTGACTCTGCTAGAATGCGTCCACACCACACCCTGTCCTCGTACTCGGTACTCCGCAAGGCACGTTCACGTAGCCTGAAAGTTAGAGAGGACGACCACCTACAATTCCCGTTGCTTACCTGGGAGACGTTGAGCCACCACGGCCACGGACCCAAGCCACAGCCGCCACGTGAGGCTGGTGGGGCTAAGGCAGGTACCATCTGCATTGACGCAATTACTGTGCAGCCTCATTCTCCTCACCCGCGGGGTAATATGTGAGGTGGAAAGTTGACAAATGTGTCGTCGACAATCCTCAATCCTTCCGGCATACAAGGTCCAACGTACCTGAAGTTCTTTCCTCTTGTCTGTGCCACGAGTGTATCCTACGCACGAATCCACAGACACTCCCTCCACCATGGCCGACGTCGACGTCCCCGCAGGTCGCAAGGCGTTTGTGCCTCTCGGTACGCAAGAATCCCCCCCCCCCCCCCCCCCCCCCCCCCTGCCTGCCTGCCTGACGGTGACGATACCTATTGTACCACGATCACCCCAAGACACTCTTGTTCCATACTTACAAGGGCGTTTCGACAGAAAACAACCCGGAAGTAATGACGCACCTCGTGCGCCAGCTCGGCCTCTCGCCCACGCTCGAATTCCACGACGTCTACTCCCTCACCGAGCCCAGCCTTCTCGAGTTCCTGCCGCGGCCCGCCGTGGCGCTGCTGCTCGTCTTCCCCGTGACGCAGAACTACGAAAAGTTCCGCGTCGCCGAGGACGCCTCCCGACCCGAGTACGCCGGCTCCGGCCCGGACGAGGAAGTGGTATGGTTCAAGCAGACGATCCGCAACGCCTGCGGGCTCATCGGACTCCTGCACGCCGTCACGAACGGTGCGGCCCGCGACCAGATCACGCCCGGGAGCGACCTGGACACGCTGCTCCAACAGGCCATCCCCCTCAAACCCGTCGAGCGCGCGGACCTGCTGTACAACAGCGAGGCGCTGGAGTCGGCGCACGCCACGGCCGCGGCCAAGGGAGACACCACCGCCCCGGACGCCGAGGACACCGTGGATCTGCATTTCGTGGCCTTCGTCAAGGACAAGAACGGCGAGCTGTGGGAACTCGACGGTCGGAGAAAAGGCCCCATCAAGCGAGGTCATCTGGACCCGCAGGACGATGTGCTCAGTGAGAAGGGCCAGGAGTTGGGTGTCCACGCGTTCCTGAAACGAGAGGAAGAGGCCGGCGGCGGAGAGATGCGCTTCAGCGTTGTCATGTTGGGTCCGAGTTTTGCGTAAACCAGTCTGGACCGGACCCCGCCCGTCTATACTATGTATGAGAGTGATGTGGATTGGAAGACGCATTGCAGGAGCAAAACCGAAAGGGCTGTTGTTAGTCGTTTAGACACAAGATGCCAAAGGTCACGAATTGATGCGAATCACGAATTAGGAGAATTGGGAAAAGCATTTCTGGCTTGACGAAAGAGTCTGTATTGTACAAACATACTACAAGGACATAGCACAATGGGCCGTTGGTCGCAGGCTGTCTTAGCTGGCACCTATCGAGCCCATGGGTTTAGATTGATCCACGCCTTCGCGCTCTTCAGTACGTTCAATCTCCTTCTCCATCTTGCTGGGTACGTCCTCGTCATGCATTGGATCATCCCGGGGACTGTTCTGCTTCGTAGCCTCTTCGTGCACTTCTTTGTCTCGCGCGCTCGCGGCTTCCATGTCTTGCTCCCTCTGCGTCTCCTCCACTGCGGCATTGGCTCGACTAGCCTTGCGCGCCCGGCGGGTGTTTCGAACATCCCAAAGACCCTCGAGGTCCATCTCCAGTCTCTTCTGCTCCGTGAACATCTGCACCACTATCCGGGGCGAGTTGATCCGACTGCCGAATCCGACATAGTCGTCCGGTGGGTTTGTGTATTCGTCCTCTTCGTCCTCTGCAACCTCGTCCGGCAGGGGTCGGGAGTCGGCCACTGAAGCCTCGGCCAGCGCCGTCTGCGCCTCACCCTCCACCTCCGCAGGCAGGACCGCCTCGTCCACCGGACCCATGTTCACACAGATCCACCCTGTCGTGATGCCGTCGTCGCTTTCGCGCGTCACCATTGTGTTGCCCACGCTCTGTGCAAGTTTCATCCGGCGCGCCTTTCGGCGGAGTTTGAGTTTGAGTTCGTTGCGGCCCAACAGTCCGTCGGCGAACGGGCGCAGTTTGTACTCTTTCCGTGCCCAGCGGCAGAAACGGTCGGCGGAGACATTGAGGTGTTTGACGCTGCGGGCGGTGCCGATCACCATGATGAGATTGGCGCCCAGCGCCGGCGGGGGGTCAATGTGCCGCAGGTCTAGAAGGGTGAGGTTGTCGAGGCCGATCTGGGTGGACAGATGGTTGAGGACGGACGAGAGGATCGCTGGAGGATTTTCCGGGAGAGGTGGGATCTCTTGAAGCGCGAGAAGCGGTGATGCGGGCACTGGAGGCTCCGGGTCTTCGACTTGGAGATACCATGGTACGAACTCAGACTGGTCTGAGCTCGTCGGGGGTTCAAGAGACTGTCGGAAGGGGGAGGCGTGGCTGAATGCTCTGGTTTGGGTCTGGAGAGGTCGAGACAGTGGTGGAAGTGCGGTGCGGGCTGGGAGGTTGACGCCGGCGAGCGAGGTGAATGCTTCGAGTATGGACCGGCGGCAAGATGTGCAGCGTGAGAGGGCCGGGGTGCGGTGCATATTGTGGTTTGGACAGTCCCGGTATAGGGATTTGGGAGGGCGGTATGGACTGAAAGGGGTTTGGATGAGAAGAGAGCGAGAGTCGTATGCAGCAAGTGTCTGGTCTCCTTGAAGCCCGCGGACGAGTTGATGATGCTGTGCCAGAGAAAAAAGTTCCAATACAGAAAACGTCGCTGCTTTAAGGGATCTTCGTTCTCTCCTGCGGTAGCAAGACACTGGCTAGAAACACCTCCAGTACGGAGTACCGCTCACTCCCTCCACATCACTCACTCCCTTCACATCACTCACTCGGTAGATCCGAGGAAACAAACACACTTCAGGGCTCTAGTGCCACTGAAATTTATGAAGGTCTTCAACTACCCATCTTTCTCGTCGGGCTTGGTGTCCTCAAAGCTATACCTTGTATTATTTGGATCCTTGGAATGACTTCACGAAACCAGAACCGATCAAATCCAGGTCACCTTTGTATCAGGCAGGTCTTAACTCTCCCTCTTTCACCTTTCTCTCTGAACGTCCTCATATATCGCGGTGGGTGTGCTGGCTTTATCATCTCCTTCGGCCTCTCTCTGCTCTCGCAACTTTTCTTTTTGATAGTATCCGTGTACTTCCCCGCGGCGTATAATCTTACTTTCGCTTTCTTCTTTTCGCCTTTGTATCCTCACATCCCCTTTCTATTCCGGTTTGCTATCGGCTTCCTTGTCCGTTGCTCATATCATGAAGAGATCCGGATCTGTTTTCAAGCTGAACCCGAATGACGAATTCGAGGAGGTGACACCGGGACCAGGGCTCAAAGATTCTCTGACCATGCACGAACAATACCCCTCTGTGGCGGAGATTTCGGGTGTCAATCCAGACATCATGACTTCTCGACCAACACCGACAATGTCACCCCCCTTGCTTCCTGTTACAGGCTCTAGCAAAGAGAGCGCTTCGAAGACTGCTACCACTTCCCGACCCTCGCACACCCCCTCGGGTCAGGACCGAGATACTTCGGTCACTAGTGATACTTCTCCGCCCCAAGATTTAAACTCTGACCACAACGAGGAAGCGCCCGAAACCACTACCTCCTGCGTGGCAGAGGAAGTTTCTAGTCGAGACTCAAAGGCTCCCATGAGACCTGAGGAGCGAGGGACAGCTCCGCATTTGCCTCGTGCTAGCATGGTAATCTCCACTGAAAGATCTCCTCTGAGACCATCGTCCATCCAAGCTCGTCTCGACCAATTCAAGAGGAAAGAGGTTGCACTCGCTCAAAAACTGCAAGAGGCGAAGCAGCAAATGCAGAAAAGTTGCGACCGTGCCGATCAACTCTACACTGCTGAAAAAGTGGAAGTTGCTCTTCACAATAAACAGCGAATCGCAGTCGAGGTTGCACGCAAGAAATCGAAGGAAGCTCGTTCATTCCTGGATGAACAAAAGGAGATTCTCGCACAGACTCACAACCAGATCAAACATATTCGTAAGAAGATCACTGATGTGGAGGGCTCCGTAGTGTCCTATAAGACGCATCTATCCGACGTGGAGAAAGAGATACGCAGTCTAGACCAGGCACAACAACTGGCGACACGCCAGGCAGACATATTGGAACTGAAGACGCCTGAGGTCGACGCATTGGTGAGGGCGGCACGATCTGACACGACCTTTCTCGGCCATCTTCGCAGAGTTGAGGAAGGTACAGCAACCGTGACCATGTGCAGAGACATCAAGAGCAGAATTTTCGATGTTTTGACGTGTGTGAAACAGGATGAGCTCGATGCACTGGTAAAAACCATTTTGGGCACGCAGAAGGAGCAAGAAGAGACTGCCAGAAGAGAAATCGACAAAGCCAAGGAGGAGAGAGGTCATGGCAACGCGACAGGAAAGCGTGCTGCGGGCAAACCCCCTTTGGGGGAGCCAGCTGCTGTGCGCCCCAAGCACTAAAGAGAATGAGATCAGATCTACCTCGTCTCTGGCTATGCGAGTGAGGAAACAGGAGCCATAGAATGATTGACGTCGAAAAAAACGACGACGACGATGAGCAGCCACGGTATTGCCACGAATGGCGATAACATACTACATACAGCTGACACAGAATGCCACATCAAAAATCGATAGAGATGTGCCCAAGGGGATGCAGGACACTCAGGAATCGGATCGACGCGGAGTGACGCAAAAACGTTCAGATTTCAGGGGACAAAGGGCGTCTTGAACACCACCAGGATTTGTATCATGAGCTGGACATGCTGCCTTGCTCGAGCTGAGCTTTTCTTCAGAGTGACTAGTGACGTCCACCCGACGTCAGTCGAGCTGGATATGCGAAAGGCAGGATCATGGAATCGCAGATGAGAGAAAGAATTATTCCAACCACACACTACATCCGAGCACCACATCGGAGCGCAAGCATCCTTCATAGCTTGCTCATCTACCGAGGGAGAGTCTCGACATAGAGCTATGCCTCTAACTAGAGTCTCAAGTAGTAGATGAACAGACATACATCTCAAGCACACTTTCTCTCCCTCTTCCATTCTTTCTAGTAGCTTACCATGCATGCTCCGCTGCGCGTGTCTGATTCTGTATTTATCCATTCGCACACATATTAACATTCGCCAATCGAATTGCCGCGCTGACAATCCTTCCATCGTCCCCAGAGCCGATTCTGAAATCACCAACCAACAGTCAACGCTCGGTGCTCATGTAGACATCCCCCGTCGCCGTGCTGAATCTCTGACCGGCCGTGGCGCCCTGACTCAGACTGCCGGCCGCGAGACCGCCAGCGCCATCCACGAGCGAACCAGTGACACTTGCTGCTCCCCCTACCGCAGCCGCCCCATCCGCCGCGCCGGTCGCGATCGGATCGTCGATGGTGTCGCCAGACTCGCTCTCCGTCTCGACACTCTCCTCGTCCGAGTCCGCGGCCTCGCGGACCTTCTCTTTGATCCACTCTGTGACATCGTCCTCGTGCATCTTCATCATGACGTTGAGGACCTCGGCCTCGCTGCGCACCAGTTTGCCGTACTTGCGCGACGGCGCCTTTTCCTTCTTCCACAGGCTGTGGACATGCGAGACGAACACGAGACTGTTGTCGCGGTACCACTGGCTCACCCAGTGCGAGGCCGGGTTGGAGATGGGGCGGATCGGGTTGGTGGAGATGAAGCCTACAATACCCAGGAGGGAAGGGTAGACGTTTTCTGCGGGGAGGCGAGATGTTAGATTTTCTTTTCTTTCTTTTTGTTTTTTCCACAAAAACGCGCCACCCGCGAGCGAGAAAAGCGGAGAGGAGTCGGAAGAGTGAAAAAAACACAGATGAATTCGAGTAACGTACCGTTCTCACTCACTAGCTTGGCGAGAGCATGAAACGCGGTACCGGCGCCCATAAGCACGATACCACCTGGAAAATCCCATGGTTCAACGTAGTTCTCCCAGAGATATTGAGCGAGCTTTTCGCCTTCCTTGCGAGCGACGTCGGTGGTCATCGACGCATACTCGACGTCTGTCTGGTGGTACTCGGGCATGTCTTCATCGTTGATCGTGATGTGTTGCGGGACGTTGATGTCTATGACTGCAAAGCCGTGGTTGACAGCCCACTTGATGTAATGCTGCGCGCCATCAACCTTTTGAGAATCTGTAAGCTGATATTGAGGCGCATAGCGGGGTACGCCGGAAAGGGACCATGGAAACATGGAAACATTGAAAAAAAAAACGACGATGGAAGAGCACCTACCAGCCATGTCTCATGCAGTTGTTGCTGTGTGCTGAGACCGTTATTGTGGCCTAGAAGATCTGGTCTGTTCGAACGACGCTCGCTGTCAGTGGTCCCAAACACGCCAATTCGAAAGCTTAGCCGAAGGCAGTACTTACGCATCATGAAAGATCATGAGGAGACGTTTCTTGTTCTCGTAGTTGGGTCTGTTTTACGGTTCAGTATAGTCGCCAATCTCGAGGATGGGCACATCTCACGTGGCAAGAACCTGTTGATCAAACGATTTGGAAATGTTGTCGCGGAAAATGTGTAACTGCGTCAACTTGTATTTGTCATACAGATGTTGTGCTTGCCATTGGCGAATGATGTCTGCGAAACGAAGAATGGTGTTAGCAATAGATCCAAGGCTCCCTGAAACACGGATGTGAAGTTTACCATGTAATCGTTCGCCTCCAAACACACCGCCGACGGGGTCTGCTCAATCTCGTGTTAATCTCCGATGACCCATATGCTTGCAAGGTACCTTTTACCTTTGGGATAAATGCTTCTCCAATACTTGGACTGCACGTTTCGAACTTGCGAGACTGTGTCGATCCCATTTTTGGAGGCTGCGGTGGCTTGCAATCTGTCGGGTGGTTCGCCCATCAATACACGTGTTACTGCGAGAGCTGATTTCGAGATCGCGTGGAAATTGTAGCCGCCCTGCGTAAGCGATCAGTTTCCGGCTCCCGACGAATCAAGGAAATATGAGCTCACCTCAAGACACACAGCAATCTTTCCTTTAGCCAAAGACATGAGCATATGCGTCATATGAGCATAGCAAGGCGGTGTGACATAGCAACCACCCAGCTCGTCGCCAGCCGCAGCGTCGAATCCCGATGCAACTAGGTGGATATCAGCTCATTATCTGCCATGCGCGCTCTCCCCACATACCAATCACAAAATCAGGGTCGAATTCGGTTGCTATGGGCATAACTACATTCTGAAAGGCATACATGTAGTCGCCATCACCCATACCCTTGGTTGGCCATGGGATGTTGACGTTTCTAGAATTCATTAGTCCAGTCCTTAATTACAAAGAGCGTGACAGAGTCTTACTTTCCAAGACCAGGTCCTTCGCCACAATGGTACATATCGCCTTCATCTCCTGAAGGGTAAAATCTGCCATCCATATGCACGTGGAGGGAGATGTAGAGTATGTTCGGATCTTGGTAGAATGCTTTTTGGCAGCCATTGCCTATATGAATCAGTAACGTTGAAGTTTGGGAAAGGTTGAGGGACTCGGACCGTGATGGACATCCCTGTTGAGACGGTTAGTGAAAATGATCCACATACTACCGCAGAGCCACCTACCAATCCACGATCAAAATTTTTCTGCAGTCCTCGCCAAAGTCTCCCTGGCACACTTTCGAAGCAATGCAGACGTTATTGAAAAGACAGAAGCCCATGGTCCTGTCAACCTCGGCATGATGACCCGGTGGTCGGATGACTGCAATCGCATTCTTGACTTTTCGCGTCATAACCGCCTTGCAAGTCTCGATCGCGGCTCCTGCAGACAACTTGGACGAGAAATATGACAGTGCATTGAAGTATATTGAATCCATGTTTTGTTCGTCCGAGAGGTCAATCAGCTGTTCGTCAGACATTTCTACGGGAATAGTCAGCACATCGTCCACAATTCATGATCGTACACTTACCAGCAGTACTCTTGACGAAGTCGTAATGTTTCTCTGTATGAATCAGGAGACACTCGTCACGTGTCGCTTCTCTCGCATCGATTCTGAGTAAAGGCGTGTCGACCAAGGGAGGATATCTCTTGTCGTCAACGAGGCCAGCTTCGCACAGTTCTTTGTAGATGTAGTAAATGCGTCTGGGATCCTCCGGATGGACATTCTCGCCACTGGTTGCCGCTACTTCTGCATGGTAACGCATACGCTCATCATAGCAAAGACCGGTAGGTAGTTGCGAAATCGGTAGGCCGCGCTGGATCTGCGGAGTGGTATCGCTTTCAGACGAGGTGTCGGACAACATGGAGTCATCGTCTTCCTCATCTGAAGTCTCTATCTTCAGACGGTTGTTGATGTCTCCCGACATGTCTGGTGTATCTCGCATTGATGTGTCGCCAAATATTTGAACTGGTTCCTCAAGTTTAGGAATCGGTTTGGGAAAGCTGGAACGGTCTGAAGGAGGACCTCCATAGCCCGTTGGCGGTAAATTTGTCATTTTGGTTTACGGAATTTTTATTCTCACTGTTGAAAGCCTCCGGAGCGCGTAAAAAGAACGATTGTTAAAAGAAAGCCATGACGGAGAGCTTGCTTCCTTCTTCCCTGGTTGAGAACGATTGGTGTCTTTGGTCGAACAAAAGAAAAAGCAAATCTCATCAACCTGTGAAAGGACAGTTGGTTAGAGCCAGGCCAATAGAATCAATGAACAGATTTGGAAGTGCACATCGACTCAGGTTCGCGCCGAGCAGATATAGCGTAGAAAGCATCGCAACGTACCACTCACTATGCGTTCGGTGCCGGGTCCGTGATGCAGCCACGCAACCTCCCTGAGAGCCGGGCGAATTGGATCAGAGTCGCGTTGAATATGAGTGAGTGCTCCGTGTACAAGTTTCAGTCTTTGACATAGAGCAAATCGGGCCGGGCTGGCCTGTTCATGGCAAGAATCATCACATGGCAAAGTGTTGCAATCTGAAAGCGAATCAGGAGAAGCCCAATGCCAAGACAGCCTTACGCCTCGTCACATGATTCAGCCACCGAGCGATCTCCCTCTGCGAGCACATGCAATAAGTGATTTGCCTGTCTGACATACAGCCTCGAGCACTGGGATCGCGGCTCCGCCCGTCAGACAACGCGCACTTTTCACAAACGCCTCATTGAGTCAACAAGGTACCAGATATCTAGGTACTGTAGATGGCAAATCCAGCATGAAAAATGCTACTGGTTGTAATTGCCGTTCACTCTAGTTGATGCAGATCTAGGGAAGTACAAGATACCCCACGCTGGCCTGAGGCCCGTATTCATTTGGTGGAACTACGAGATCTTGATGAATGATAAGTGACACTTGTTCGGTTCCGCTGCTTAGCCCCCGAAATGAAGTCAGTCTATGGCTCCAAGCTGATTGTTCCTCCCCGGAAACCTCTCCGCATAGCCTCGCCCACAACGGCAATCGAAGCGTCGGCTGCTGGAGTCTCGGTCCACGGCTTACTTGCCCGCATCGACCTTTGCAATGTAGGCTGGAATTCCATGTTAGCGAGAGCTCCGACTTTTCCCGATCGGATATGGTACTCACCCAAAAGGTCCAGAACACGTCGGGAGTAACCCCACTCGTTGTCGTACCAGGAGACGAGCTTGACGAAATGTTCATTGAGGGCAATACCGGCCTTGACATCGAAGATCGATGAGTGAGGGTCGCCAATCAGGTCAGTAGACACAATATCGTCTTCAGTGTATGCGAGAATGCCTGTGTATACCAGTCAGCGAGGACTCATGGCAGAGGGACTAGAATCTGTCTTACCCTTGAGTTCTCCTTCTGAGGCAGCCTTGATAGCCTTCTTGATCTCCTCGTACGAAGCAGGCTTCTCCAGAACGCAGGTAAGATCGACAACGGAGACGTTGGAGGTGGGAACGCGCATGGACATGCCAGTAAGCTTTCCGTTCAGGGATGGGATGACCTTGCCGACAGCCTTTGCGGCACCAGTGCTGCTGGGAATGATGTTCTGGGCAGCAGTTCGGCCACCTCTCCAGTCCTTGGCAGATGGACCATCGACGGTCTTCTGGGTGGCAGTGTAAGAGTGAATGGTGGTCATCAGACCTTCCTTCATGCCGAACTTGTCGTTGATGACCTTGGCCAGAGGAGCGAGGCAGTTGGTTGTGCAGGAGGCGTTGGAGATGACAGGAATATCTGACTTGTACTCCGTGTTGTTGACGCCCATGACGAACATGGGAGCATCAGCAGAAGGAGCAGAGATGACAACCTTCTTTGCACCACCCTTCAAGTGGGCAGAGGCCTTTTCCGTGGTGGTGAAGACACCAGTGGACTCGACAATGTATTCTGCGCCGGTCTCGGACCACGGGATCTCGGAAGGATCTCTCTTCATGTAGAACTTGACCTCCTTGCCATTGACAATCAGGCCATCGGATGTGACCTCGATGGTGCCCTTGAACTGGCCGTGTGTGCTGTCATACTTCAACATGTATGCCTACCCGCTGTTAACTCGTCTTCGGTTGAGATTGGAAGGGAGAAGGTACATACGGCGTACTTGGGCTCAATGAACGGGTCGTTGACAGCCACAACGTGGACGTCATCGTGCTCGATGCTGGGAGGGAGTGTCAGGAGGGCACTGGTAGAAGCCGATATTGGGCTACTTACGCATTTCGGTAGACCTTGAGGAAGAACAGTCAGTCGAGGCTCAAACATGGCAAAAAAGACATTCTGCAACTTACAATACGGCCAATACGACCGAAGCCGTTGATTCCGACTTGCACAGGCATGTTTGTGGGTTGTTTTCAAGGGTGTTCGAGGAGTGCTGGGAAAAGAAAGCAATGTCAGTGTTCGAAGCTCAATGTCTAGGTTATATGGTAGGAAGAGTCGGAAGAGCATCATCAACATGTGAGGCTTACATCAGTGAAGTGTTAGGCACGGCTTTGTCCAATCCAAGGCTCTGAGGGTCTAGGATAGGCAGGATCTGAATGAGAATAGTGGTGTGATGAAATGATGAGGACAGCTTTTTGCTTTTGTATTTCGTCGAGCAGATGGTGGGGCTGAGGTGTTGACGTTGAGGGGCAATCGTAGCTCAGCAGTTGAGGACACTACGGATCGGAGAAAAGTAGCTGCGGCTCCTTGGCACAAGCTGCGCTGCTTCAGTTATCGCCCACGATAATTGTCTGTTCCGACGACGAGAACTGAACGGACAAGGGATTGATGCCTCGGATGCGGTCTGATAGTATGGGGTATGTTTCTGCTATTCCCGAGCACTTTGACGATATAGAAATCAGCACTTCCATTGATCCCAGGGCAGCTCGATATTAATACCAGAGCCTGGGCGGCGGATTTCTGCAGGCTTTCTCGGATGCCGTGACTCAACCTGGGCTTGCTTATTGCAGCCACATCCCAGCTCAGAGCAGCAACACCCTCGTCCCAGCCAATCGCTTTGTTGGCTTTCAGGGAAGAGCGGCAGCGTCTTCGCATTATCTATTGTTCCTGGTCCGGCGCCGACATCCCGCGCAAATTTTGATAAGCCCATTTGCCTAAAGCACCAGATTGACTGGAAATGTGGTAATATGTTGCACCCATCCAGCATCAGCCCCCCGACCATACCAAGGTCTTGTGGAGCACTGTCGACCGCTAGGTAACCACACCTGACGGGCATGAGGAAATCCGCGCATACATTTGCAATCCTAGATAACCACCTAGGCTACATAATACACTGGTGATGCAACATCTAAAAATTTTTGAGATTTGTCTATCGCTGGTCACCTGTTGCACACACCTTTTTCAATTCCTGCAGTTTGCCCCGTGTTTATTCTTCCTTGGCTCCGCCTCGTCCAGATCGTTCAGCAGCCTCGATGCTAGCCTTGTCGGTCTTGGTCTCGCCTTGGCCCATGCCCATCATGCCACCCGAAGCCTTCCATGGTCGTTTGAGCTCACCGACGGCGGGTTTACCAAGAATGTAGACTTTGAACAAGTTGCTCTCCAAAGCGCCCTTGACCGGGATGATGGACTGGATGAGCAGAGGATTCGTGTACTTCAGGTACAAATGCATGAACGCCATCATGCCCGCTCCCATCAATTGGGCCTTGTAGGCAGCAGAAACCTGGCTCTGGTCGTATTCTTGAATGGTTGTGGTAACGAGTTTCGGTTCTTCACCCGAACCCATGGGCGCAGGCTCCACGTACTTGAGTGTCGTCAAATCTGCATTCCTCGGTCAGCCCAACGGCGATTCCCATTCCTAATTCCATATGTGACGTACCTCTCTTAGCTTTGATCTTCAAGCTAATGTAATAGTAAAGGCCGAAGATGATGAGGTTCGACGTAACATAGAGGATGCGCACTCCCAGCAGAACTTGGGGATCGTCGAATGGAATTCTTTTGGAGACTTGCATCATCCCGAGGATGATCACCAAGTTGGTGCTGCAGACGGTCAGTTACGAGAGCGCCACCGTGGAAGAGGGAAGAATCGTACACTTGAGGGCTTAAAGCGTTCATGATGGCTATAAAGTTACGGGAAACGACGAGGATAGGCCAAAGCAATAAGGGAGATAGGTTGCGACGTCAGCAATGCCAGCAGGAACGCAGATTTTATACCAAACCAACAGGCGGAGATCCTCAGCTGTATTCAATCCTGGTGTTGAAATGGACAGATCGCAGGCAAAGAGAATTGTCGACCTAGAAGGCTAGGACGGATACGACACTGGTTGTTGCCAAGTGATCTTCAATCACGTGAGTAGACTGCCTTGGCAAAACGGCTAATTCGACGGATGGCAAATGCCCCGTAACTCGTACTGTGGGCGACTTCGATTTCCAATAGACTGCCGCTGGTGCATTCGTGTGGCCGGGGCATACATGGGTCATGTCCCTGCCAGTTCCCGAGCTGGGGCATCAGTGCAATTCACAATGAATCACCCCTACTCAACATCATCGCCTGGGTCAGTTCAATCTGACCAACTTCGGCGGAAGAGAGCCTGTGATCGTTGCCACGGGGTCAAAGAAAAATGCCGATGGCCTGCAGACGGGACGAATGTGTGTGCCAGATGCTCCCGCTTGCGATACAAGTGTCAAACAGATCGCCCGTTGAACCATCCGGGTAGGAAACCGAGATGGGCGACAAGGAATCGTCTATCGCCAGAGCGAACTGAAGATGGCCTCTACCAAGCTAATAATAAGAAGGAATATGTAAGCGCTTCAGACCACGGCCACAATGGTCCTGCAGCTGCAGCTGCCCACAGAGCCGCAAACTCCCCAGTTAATGCTGTTGCTGTGCTACAACAATCCAGACGACAAGACTTGTATCAGAGCATCACCCTCTTCCCTGAGCTCAGCAGCTTAGAATTATGTCTTCTAGAAAGTATGTTGCACAAGCAAATTGAAGTGGACCGATATATTATTGGGCCCAGTTTTCGAGAGAGACATCAGCAAGCCTTCGTTGATTACCTGCAGAGTGGCATGACCCTGGTCAAGGATGCATTCATTGCCTGTATGGTGCTACTGGTCGAGAACCCACAAATCCGAAAACTCGCTCAGGATCAGCATGTTGGTCACAAACGAGCCGCCAATGCGCTCGCCTCCCTTCGCCATCTGGAGGTTAGTGGCTCTGACAATTCGTCGGCGGTTCTTATGCTAGGGATTGCAATTGTAACCTTTGCCTCGCATCACTCTGGAGGGGAGTTACCGCTTTGCCGCCACACTCTCGACCTCGTTAAACGCTTTCACGACAATGAGCCTACTTTTATTAAGCAACTGAGCTGCGATGGAATCTCCGCGCTGAATTGCCTGCTTGCGACGGAAACTTTTATATGCCTGCTGCGAGGCCATGTGCCTTCCATCAGAATTCGAGAAGGAGATTTTGACGGGCTAGTGGATCGCTTCATGGGGGTTTCGGCACCTCTTCTCACTCACCTTTACGATGTCTGTCAGCTGATAGAATTGATACGACGTTCTAGAAGGGAATCAAACAACAGCCATCTACGTGCGCGCCTCCGTACAAGGCTTAAGACTGTTGAACAAACCCTGCGGGTGTGGCAGCCCATGTCCCTAGAGTCGCTGCGTGAAGGAAATTTCACACCAACAGAGATAACGCTGATGCTTACACAAGTGATGGTTCTGCGCCAGACAGCATTAATTGTGCTCTATCGACTGCAACACGCCTTTGGGACTCATGACGGCAGGGCTATAGCCATGTCGAGATACCTTGTGCGAGAACTCCATTCAATGGTTCGCCTCACAGGGCGATCCGCTCCATGTCTCGACTTCCCCTATCTGTTTGCATGCTTCGAACTCGTTGATCGTTGGGAAAGGGAAGCGGCCTTGTGCAACTTACACCTGGTGGCCGAATTCTCGCCCCGGACTGCTGATGACTTAAAGACCTGGCTTGTCTCATTTTGGACTGCTAGAGACAATAGTGGAGGCGGCTCCATCTACTGGGACGACATAGAGTCCCACCTTTTCGGAACCGGTGGTCGTATGTGAGAAGCCTTTGGAATCTTGACAGCACAAATATTCTGTGGCTTCCCTTACAAGGATCGACGCCGGAGACTCTTACGAACTACCCTTGATTCAACTAGCGGTGGGGTCTTCTTGGTCTGAATATTATGTATGTCTTGAAATATGTGGTGGCATTTGCGCAATTCTGACTATTGGATGCCATTTCCTCTCACTTTGTCAACACCATATAGGCCAGGACCTACCAGGTTTACGATGTAGCGTTGTCTCCCGCACTTGCTCGTGCTGCCTGTACCATGTCGCCTTGGTGCATGGGAGACTCAAGTATTGGCAAGCGAGGCTATAAATCTCCTCCTCTATACTCCTCACTGGGCTCGGTGGGTAGGTTGTCGAGACGCCATCTTCTTGTATAATTTCGCGGTGGCGATTCGAGCCTTCTTGCCCCAGATGATTAAGGGTATTGGGAGCAGCAGGATGGCAAAGCAGAGGACTGCAACCAAGACATGCATGTTTTGCAATCCCATACCATTGATCCACGGTGTGAGCGTGAACAGGACGAGCACAGAAAAGGCGTTGCGAGTGAAGACGACTCCAACGAGCGCATTCCCAATAATCTGGAGGTTCAAAAATGAGTTAGCCTTGCGATCCAGATCTGACCAACACGAAAAAGGAGAATTAGGCGAACGCTTTCACAAGATCGAGTATTCGGACACACACTCTCCAGCTCAAAGCGCGCTGTTATGGAATCACTCACGTCTTGATAGCAGTCCATAGAATACGAGAGAGCTATATCGCCGGCTACCACCCAGCCAAAGCCAAAAATACCGTACCCTACGGCAAGCACTGGCCACGCAACACCCTGCAGACACGGGTTCGTTAGCGGATATGCATGTACGCTCATCAAAAACAGCCGATGTGATAGAGAAGGCAAGCACACAGCCACGCTGCAGAGGGAGCGTCACTTACATTGTTGAGACCGATGCCGAACATCAACAGACCAGCCGGGGTGATCAATGCCGAAGGTAAGGCAAGCCAGAGACGCATCTCCGGCTCGTAGATGCCGTTGTTGCGCTTTGACAGCCACATGATGGACTTGTCGTTCAACCATCCTCCATAAAGAGTTCCGGGGATGGTACCGATAAAGGGTGCCAGATTCATCAACCCTACGCCAGCGGCCGAAAAGTTGTAAGGCTCATAGAAGAGGTATGTGGCTTGCACCGACGTCATGATGGCGAACCAGGCCAAAAGACTGCCGTAGGTAATAGCGGTATATGCAATGGCGGGAAAGCTAAATAGGACCACGATAGGTTGGTAGAAGTTTTGGAGCAGCGAGTCATCTGTTTTGGTGATCAGGCTCATACGTTGGCGATATGTCTTCATGGGGATTGTGGGGTCAATCTCGACTTCTGCAGGGGTTCTCTCAACCACCGGCATGGGTTCGGCCTGTTTGGCCTCCTGGGCCTCCATTCGTGCTCTGTTATCATCGACCGAAATGCCTCCCTCATTGGGGCTGGTTTCCTCTGGCTCACCCTCGCGGGGCGTTGCATGGCCGACAAACACGCTGACGTACTTGGACTCCTCGAAGAAGAAGATGATCAAGATCAAATTGATGGCAAAGAAGATGACACACCACCAGAACATCCATCTCCATCCTTGGCCGACGACAATGTATCCCGAAGCCACCGGGCCTAAGAAAGCGCCGGCAAGAGTCGCAAACCAGTACCAAGCGTTCATGGCAGCGTGGTGGTGGACGAAAAAGAGGTCTGCAATGGTGATTTGGACAATGGTCTCGCTGATGGCGCCGCCTATGCCGGAGATGACATTGCTCCCGAACAAGTCGCCGGTCGAATATGTCTTGGCAAACCAGACACAGGACGCGAGCTGCAGCGCAGTGCTGAAGATATACATGGAACGACGACCATACTTGTGAACCAGTGGGACGAGGACGATACACCCCAGAGCCAAGCCGGCGTAGTTGGTGGCCGCTGCTCCATTGAGGAGGTCGTAGTCAAATCCCAGCTCGGTCACATAGGCATCCCAGGCAGTGAATCCAATGTCGAGTTCAACGAACGTCATGAAGACGTAGAACAGGACGAGGGCGAAATTCACCGTCTTTCGCCATGATGACCAGTTCAGAGGATCATTGGGGTCGGAGGTCGGAATGGGATGGAGTATAACTCTCTGACCGGATCGTTGTACTTTGAGTCCAGCACAATCATCAGCGCGAGTCACAGCATAAGCTTGAGAGCGGTTCCCAAAGGCGAGGGTCTTACAGTCTTGCAGCCTCATGGTACCCGGAGCCCAAAAAGACGGCTCCCGTTCGGGCTCATGAGCTGATGAATCCATCGCATTCATACTGAGGCTGCTACAATGGTCACTGCCGTCGTGATTCTCGGTCTTGGTCTTGATTTTGTCTGCTGCTGGGAAGAGGCGAAGGGAGACAAGCAAAAACAGAGGTGAATGGGACAAGGGTGGGATTGGAACTCATCTGCCCGGTCGACAAGGATCTTTATCAAATGAACCCTCGCTTGATATGACACACTTACGGCCAGACATCTCGTCGGGAATGGAGATCAACGTCGAAGTCGAAGCGCAGCATCGAACTTCCTATTCAAGTCGTTGGAGTCAAGTTTGGCGGTTCGCATTTCGAGGTTTGATGGCCCGGCCTCGTCGACCAATCCAGCGCCTTCTAATCGACCGGCTTGGCAACGCTATTCCGGATCCAGCCCCGCTATCGGCTCGACACGTGATGATGTCCGACGCTCGAGCGATACACTCGACTCTTAACCTGACGGCTCTTGTGGGTGCAGCTTGCGTGCGTTGAACCTTATTCTCGTAAGCTTGAGTCTGACCCGACTTCACACAGCGCGGTATAAGAACCATGAAGGCGTCGAGAAGTCCAGATGGTCACGACCACATTGTACATGTTATTGCGGCACTGTGCCACAAACGACACATAGATATTCCCCGAAGTGAGCTCAGCTCGTCCAGACCAGCACGAAATGGCCGATCGAGTTTCATCCAGTATACTAGCTGAGCTGGAAGCCCAGGCACTAAGTGATCCTCAGCTTCCACGAGCGAACCCTACAGTCGCAACATGGCAACTACCACCTCACCCGACGCTGTCAGAGATCCAGTCTGAAAGCTTACTCAAGACCACCGACTATGCCATCATTGGATCCGGGGTCACGGGGTGCAGTGTAGCCAAGACGTTATTTGAGCAAGCACCGTCCTCGTCGCACCCATTCTCGGTGACGGTGTTGGAGGCTCGGACGCTGACGAGCGGTGCCACGGGTCGCAACGGTGGCGTCCTGACCTCGTTCGTGCCGGGCGACTACAAGCTCCTCAGTGAGCGTTTCGGCCACGAACAAGCCGTCAAGATTGCACGGTACGCCAACAGCACGCTGGAGAAGATGCATGCGTTGGGAAACTCCTCGGACGAGCTTCGACGCGTCAGTGAAGTAAGACGGCTCCAGGACGTTGTTTGCTTCGAAGACAAGGAATCTTTCGAACAAGCCCTGGAGTCGTACCGTCTGTACGAAGAGCATGTACCTGAAGAACGCGGCACGATTAGGAAATTGACTCCTCAAGAAGCCGAGAAGGTACGTGTACCAAACACACTGACTAACGCTATCAACAGCCTTGAGGAGGGCCGTCGTAAATTCTGTCTTCTTTTTTTTTGCTTTTCGTTCTCAGACCCAAAAACTGACCATCGTCGTTGTTGTTTCAAACCAGGAATACAACGTCCGAGCAGCAGCCGGGGCCGTCGTCGCTCCTAACGGCGCATTCTGGCCATACCGCCTCATCACCAACATCTGGGCCCAACTACATTCCGAATACCACTCCCGGCTGTCCATCGAGACCAAGACACCCGTGACAGAAATCACATACGACGCCAACACCAACAAGACACACCCGTATATTCTCCACACACCCCGAGGCGAGCTCCGCGCGGCGAAAGTCATCCACGCCACCAACGGTTACACAGGCCACCTCGTTCCGGAACTCAGGGGCAAGATCTTCCCCGTCCGCGGGACCATGTCGACGCAGAAGTCTACCCCGGAGTTTGGACGCCACGGCCATGCTCTGTCCTGGAGCATCGTCAACAGCGGCAGCTACGACAGCGTGTCTCGCACGATGGAGCTCGGGCTGTACTACGGCTGCCAGAACCCTCACACGGGCGACATCTTTGTGGGCGGCGAAAGGGCCAAGGTCGACGAAATGCTCGTCGGCGACGACACGCAGGTTGGCGATTCGTGCGCCGAAAACATCTCCAACGTCCTCCCGCGCCTCTTCACGAAGGGGTGGGAAGGAGAAGGGACCAAGTCCTACGTCATCAGGACTTGGTCGGGCATCATGGGGTTCACGGCCGACCGCCTGCCGCTGGTCGGGTCGCTGCCCGTGGGCGTCACCAAGCGAGGGGTGGAAGGAGGAGAGTGGATCGCCGCGGGGTTCAACGGGTACGGAATGCCCCTGTGTTGGTCTTCGGGCGAGGCGGTAGCGAAGATGCTGCTGGGGATCAACGTGAGTGGCTTTCTGCCCGAGACCTTCTTGGCTTCTAGAGAGAGGTTGGTGGACGACGTTGAGAAGCGCATGGCGGTTGTGCCTGCTCTGCAGTTGTTGGTCGGCGGACATCCATGATCGGCGGCGCCTGAGGAGGATCCCGGGTGAGACTTGTTTGGTGCTCTTCCTCGATCACGGACGGGACAGGTTCACGGCGCCCAGCTGGCTGCCGTGGGCTGTGGGCGCGTGTGACGGGGACAGACACGCGGTGTAGCGTGTAGGTATGTCGTACGTGACTGATACTACCTTGAGCTAAGGCAGCTTGTGTTGAGGTACCTCAAGCTGTATAGAAAAAACGTCATGCCTTTTTGTACTCCTTTCTGTAGTCTACAGCAATTGTGTCAAGCGGGCACCAGCTGGCCACCTAATAAGTACTGATCCCATTTTTCAGACGACTCTGCGCCAAATCATCAGGTACCAACACAAAGAACATAGAGGGGTAATCGGGGATACGAAAAGTCTGATGCCGTAGACAGTACGAGTACACACAAGTACAGTAACTACCACTGCTACTGTAGGAAACGCCAGCCGTAGTCCACGATGGTGTGGAACCCTGTTCGCCATCAGACCTGGAACAAGAGACACGAGACGTGAATTTACGAAACTTGAACTGGTTGAAGTAGGGGAGTGAACCCTGCACCGCCGTACTCTGCCCAGGTGTATCATGGCACATGGTCGTTCGCCATCGACACCGCCATTGCCATCATCCTGGGGGTTTGCTCTTTTCGTTGTTTCTGGCCACCCCTTGAAAGGCGCTTCCTGTTATGATTCTCTGTTATGTATACACTGTAGAAATAGGTCGTTTGTGTTCGTTTGCCTTGACCTGGACCCAACAATTTCCTTTTCTGTGCTTTTCCTTTCCTGATTTTCCTCGCCTTCTTTTACATCCCATCCCAAACAAGAACGACAAAATGCCATCTGTCACAAGGCCGATGGTGACGCTGTATTCTAGTATGCCGGCACCCAAAACCCTGGTACTCCCAACAACCATATTCTAAGATCTTGGACACGTCCCTCTCGCAAAGGGTCAGCTGATGACTCCCTCCCTCTCCCTGTTGGGGCTTACCACGACAAAAGGCAACGCCCCCAATCACCACCCATTATGTCTATCGTTCTTGGAGTCGCCATTGTCTACCAACTCAATCACATCTGAGTCGCCGCTGCGAGCATAAGCGGTCGTCGCAGTGCGAGTGCCTGATTTGGACATTTCTCCACTGCGCAGCTGCGAAGGTTTGGAAATGCGGTATGTTCTCGATTCCGAATCCGGGTCGGAGGTGCTGCCGAAGCAATTCGGGAAGACTTTTCGCAACAGCGCTCGGACGGCAGGCAGGCATGTACAGATGATGCTGACGAAGGCTTCGAGGACGCTCCAGTACGCGGTGGGGACATTGTCGTCTGTATTAACCAAGTCAACGTGTTAGATCCGGAAGGAAAGGCTGCGCCACCAGAAACCAGATAGAACAAAGGGTGGAAGGAGGGTGGAAAGGCAGAGGGGGATGGGAAATGTGAGTCGGGAAGAAAAAAACATAGTGTCTTACATGTGGGATTGGTAGAATTGGCAAATCGAACAAGAGAAGTGAGTCGGACAACGCTGACAATGGTGATACTGTTTGTTCAAACGTCAGTGACACCTTGAAAAGGGGGCCCGATTCACCTCATCATCATATGATGAGGCGACACATTATGCTTGGGTCCCACTTACAAAAATCCAATACTAAACATCAAAATCAGATGGATTTTCTTCCTGCGTCCCAGGCTGAGCTGGAGAAGTTGCGGAATGGGAAGCAGGATGATCCAGATGTCGAAAATAATATTGATAATTGCGTGCGCCCAAGCAAATGCGTTGAGGTTCATGCACTTTCCTTTCGTTTCCCCGGTCCAGCCCGTCCAGGTGTAAGAAATGGGAATGCAGTGGAGGGTGATCCCGAGGGCGAAGGTGGGAATGTAGAGAGCGCAGACCACCATGCTACCGATGACGAATCTTTGGAATACCGGCGATGAGAAGACTCTGTAGTACAACAGAAGCAATGCCATCTTTGTGAATCCAATCACACACATGTAGAAGATTTCGGTCAACCAGGTAAACTTCAAGCACCGTGGATGTCAACATGATGCACAGAGACCAATATCCAAAGCGACCGACTTACCTGAACGATACGAGTGATTTTATCAGGTGGAATTGTCCAGATGTCTTTTCCGAAACCATCACTACTCATGAAGAACTCGAGGATTGCCATAGGAAGCGCGAGTATCTATCTTTCCATTAGCCATATTCCGTATACCACATCTAGACAAGATCCCGGAATCTCGCTGTCAAGAACGTACCAGTGATAGGACAACGCAGAGATCTGCCCATTGAAGTTTCTCCCAGTGGGGAAATCGATCTGCCAGACGCAGTATGACACATATGATCGCAATTATCCCACTGACCGCAGTCAAGATAGGAGTGATGGCGGTGTTGTCTCGAATAGGTTCGTGGCACAGAGTCATCGTGGCATTTTTGGCGGCTACAGATGAATGTGAGCGGACAAAAGTTAGTCCTGTGGATCAATCAAGCAGACTGATCCCAGTTTTGCTTACCTAGAGCCTCTTTCACTGTGCAACTGGCCAGTGTGCATCCTTGTACGTTGCCCATCAAGACTGTATCTGCACAGATGCAAGCAGAGTCTGTCGGTCCACAAGTAGAGTTGGCCAAAAATTGTGTGAGGCAGTCAGCCTGTGAGGTGTTTGTGTCAGCGAGAGTGTTGTGCGCAGAATACAGGACCCAAACTTACGGCACATGTTGGCATCGACTGCGACAAGCCCAGAGCAACAAGGCTCAACAGGAAGAGAATCAGCCCGCTGGTCCTCATGTCGTCAACTGTCGAGGGTGCTTGTTGAGAGAAAGGTCCAATCTGGCGCAAGAAATGATCACCACTTCATACCTGAAGGGAAAAAAAACCAACCATCCGAGGAGAGATACCCAGGTATATCATCTCACGCCTCGTTCACTGAGATGGCAAAGGGAAACTTTGACCGGAATTTCTAGCTCCACAGGCTTTCCTCGAAGTGATCAAGAGGTTCATTAATCTAGGGACAGCACAGTACCGAGATCTGCAACTCTAAGCCCGGATACGAAGCATCTCTAGAATCTCCGCCTTCCAAGACAGAGACAAACCAACCGTAGATGATGGGGGCAAATGGGTTTCGCTCGGCCTTGCCCACATGCAAATAGACAAAAAGAAGGCTGGATCCTGCGCCAGAACTTAGAAGTCCTCCCACCTTGCAGTACGCCATCCGTTGAGAGTACAGATACCAGGGATACATGGTTGAATTTTTCGGACGGTTGGACCCAAAGGGTGGGTACAAACCGTTGCGACAAGGGTCATGTTTGGTTTCGGGGTGACTAATTCGAAGCCTGGCACGCCACCACGTCGACAAAGGCAACTTCCAATTCTATGCAAGGTGGCTTTTGATGCTCAACAGTAGGGGCGACTTAGAAACGCAGATATGAAAGAGTCGTAGACCGTAGTCATCCGGCCACAGTGCTGGCCTCGTTTCGGGGTGCCATATGGTATAACAAAAGGTCTCGATGTGGGAAGAACAATGAACATCCAACGGGTTAGCGGATGCACGTACCCGTCCCGATCACGAAAGGTTGGAGCTAAGGCACCGCGGCGTCTCGGAATGTCGTGACCAGTAGAGGCCATTCTGTTGACAGTAGGGATTTGCAGCCGTGAATCAACGGCTCCGAAATCTCGATTGACTTGGTCCAGCATGCGAGTAACACCCATACACCACTGCTTCTGGACCAATGCTGAGGTGTCACAGTGACTGGGTAGCGGTGGGGTAAGCCGGGGTGTTGGCAGCAAGTGGATATAAAAAGCCACTGTGCGAGGACGAGTACCCTGACTCGTACGAGGACAAAGTTCCAAGAAAAAAGCGGCCCCAGAAAGAGCTAACTAATGCTGTTGACGAGAAGCGGCCCTGGCCCACAAGGAACGGCTCTGGGCGATCCCAAATTTGGTCCACCATACGAAGCAGCCATAGCAGGGACTTGTAACTCACGCTGTTAGAGTAGCACCAAAAGTCGAAGCTCCTAATTTCAAGCATTTCTGTTCAAATCTGGCTGGGCCAGGGGAATGTGGTGTAAGTGATGGTTTTTCTATGGGTCATGGAGTCTGAAATCCCAGAGTATTCGTGGTGAAAGTGTGGTGGTTGCTTGGCCTCGTTGATCACCATCGTGCTCTTCTGGGGCGTAGTCTAGTTCTAACCAGCTTCAGGCTAGCAGGGGTTCACTGCCGAGGGGCTAAGGGCTTCTCTCTACGCTCCAATGAGGCGAGACCGAATTTTGTGGCCGAGTCAGTCATTCTAGCGGAACCGTAGGTGGGAGTGTCAGTGGGCAAAGTGGGCGGAAATCCCTTCAAGATTGCCAGGACCATGTCCATTCGGATTCCTCATGGTTGGACTCTTCTGGTGGGGTGGTGCTAGAGTCCTAGGCTTGCGGCAAAGAATACAGTAGAGGGAACTTTCAGTGTGCTCGAGCATTCGTCGAGCAGCTGGTGCCACCAACAACCAGGAGCTATCAGCCCACAATGTTCTTGCTGGTACATGATGGAGGCGATAGCTTTTGATAAGAGGGCCCTTTTGACCGAGGGCTCTGTTTCTCTTTCTTTTCCTGCGAAGTCGGGTTTTTGAACAATTTGTTGTACAGTAACATACCTGATTTGCTATAGACCAAAATGTCGTCGGTACAAGCATCGATCCGATACATCTTTTCCGTCCAAGGGATTGCCTTGTCAGTCGTAGCTTTTGTGGGCTACTGGATATGCTGGATCGTCTATGCCCGACATTTCCATCCGCTGCGCAATGTCCCAGGGCCATGGCTTGCATCAGTCAGTAGACTTTGGTACATGCGGCAGGTAGCTCGGGGGGATATGGAGTACACCCAGAGACGCCTGCATGCACAACACGGCCCTCTTCTCCGAATAGCTCCCGACGAGGTTGCCTGCGCCTCGCCTGACGAGATCAAGAAAATCTACCGAAACTCAAGCGCGCTCAACAAGACCGACTTCTATACAGTCTGGAACAGTCAAAACTTCAGTAAACATCGGGACATGTTTACCGGGCTCAACGACAAAGAACATGGCGAGAGAAGGCGTATCTTCAACCATGTGTACTCGCTTTCGAACGTGCTCAAGTCCGAAGAATACATCGACAAGTGCTCAGAGATGTTCATCGAACGTATAGCGAAGGAGGAAGGCAGCACCAAGCCATTTGACTTGGGCAAATGGCTGCAGATGTGGGAATCCACTGCCTGGCCCCTGTGAAAGAAGGTAACTGACAAGCGATAGGTATGCCTTTGACGTAATTGGAGAATTGTACTTCGGCAACGCATTTGGCTTTCTTGCGACTGGAAGAGATCATGGCGACTGGATTGGATCTCTAGATTTGCTGCTGCCATTCCTGTGCGTCACAGCCGTTGCTCCTTCGTACATTCGACCTCTTATCCTCGCATCCGCACTTGTTGTCCCAGGCTCGTTGAAAGCACTCAAGGCCATCGAGAACATTGGTGTCTCTGCCAGAAGATGTGTCGCGGAGCGATTTGATAAGAGCTCCCAGAACGAAGAAAACCGCCGGACCGACATTCTTGAGCAACTGTACGAAATTCACCAAGACAAAGGGGAAAAGGTGGACTTCCAACTGGGAGATATCCAACAGGAGGCTTATGTTGCATTGTTAGTGTGATGCCGCCTGATATCTTGATACACTGACAAGTCCTGTAGGTTCGCTGGCTCGGATACGACAGCGATCGGCTTCCGATCTGTTCTGTACCATCTCATGAAGACACCGGAAGCTTACAAGCAGCTCCTGCAAGAGATTGACGAGGCGGCTGAGAGAGGTGAATTGAGTTCGCCCGTCAAGTACGCGGAAGCCATCAAACTTCCCTATCTCTGCGCTTGCATCAAGGAGGCGCTCCGCATGCATCCTGGAGTCGCCTTGACCATGGGTCGCGTCGTCCCACCCGAGGGCCTGGAGCTCTGTGGGACATACATACCTGCAGGATACCGCGTTGGCATGAATGGAGCCGTTGTTCACTTTGACAAGAGCGTGTTTGGGGACGACGCCGATCAGTTTCGTCCTGGCAGATGGCTGGAAGGTGACACTTCGGTGATGGACAAGTGCATGCTGCACTTTGGTGCTGGCACTCGCACTTGCATCGGCAAGAACATCTCCATCGCCGAGATCCACAAGCTCACTCCATACTTGCTAAGGAACTTCCATGTGGACTTGTGGGAGCCTGAAAAGGAATGGACGACCAGAAACTCGTGGTTCAACAAGCAAGAGGGTCTCGAGGTGCGTGTGACAGCCCGGGGAAGTAAGTAGTACCACGAGAGTAGCCCATGTCAGATCTGGTGAGACATGTCAAAGTATCCAGATGCTGCATGGAAAGAACAGGGACTGTCAAGGTCGGGGCGCAAGATTGGTCGAACCGTCAAGACGAGCCTCAAGCAAACCATCTCGCGTGTACGGAGGCACTGGGGCACATGTGTCGTCGTGTTGCAGTAGTGAGAAGTCGACAAGGCGAATGTGTTTCTTCGGAAGACCAGGGTCGTTTACGGATGCGTGGTATGTAGGCGACTTGGGTCTCTGCACTCCTCCGTACTTCCGCGTTAAATCACGTGCCAGGAAACATCACGTGGACGCCATCCTCTTCCTCTGAAGGCTTCTCCAGGAGTACCAGTACGAGTTCCTCTCTCGCTTCAGTGACAGTAAGTCTGAGGTCAGTCCTCGTACTACTAGTAACTACTAGGTAGGGACCTAATTTAAAAACGAATCCTGCACTGATCCAATGTTGGGCTCTCGAAAATTGCCAATGCAAAGTGTATCAAGATGAGGTCCAGTAGTCCTCATGCTGCACAACCGTCGTATCTGCTGTCCGAGGTTATCTCAAGCAAGCAAGATGCCCGTCTCACTTTGCTGATATCCTCCAAGGATGCTGCAACTCATCGCGGGTTGCTACTACCATACACGGATAATGACACAGAAGGCGTTTTGGACATTTGATCTCCTGCTCAACCGAAGAACGTGGATGATCATCCCCCAGCCAGCTCCTGACTGTGGTATCAGTTCGAAGTCAGTCTCCTGAGCACCAACTGCTGGTTTCAGTGTCGTTGCGCTTCAACCTTGGATTCGACCAATGCCAGGGTGCATCGCGTAGTGATCATTCGCGTTCATAGGCCATACATGCCATCCTCATCAAAAATGTACAGTCCGGATGCATACCTCTAGTAGTATATAGCGCGCCACTTTCTGCCTCGTTGCTCCGCTGCTGATGATGGTGCTGGTGCTGGTGCTGGTGCTGGTGAGGACGAGGGTGTTGTCATGGGTTCACGTCAGATGCGACTTCACTTCAGTCCCCATTTTCAATCTTCACATCGGCATCGGCATTGGTATTAGTTTCGCCCTTGACCTCCGTCTTGACCTTCGTCTTGACCTCCGTCTTGACCTCCCCCTCCTGCTGCTGCCCAGCAAGTATTTTGATTGTCTTTTCTGAGCCCGGCATCTCTCCAGCTCCGGGCATGACGCTACTCACATTCCCATCCTCGTCGACGAATTCAAACCGGTACCGCGACAGGTAATGTGGGATCGCGCTCAATTGCGGCCCATACCGTGCGGTGTTATCGTACAGCTCAAACAGAGGGACGGCCAGTAGCTTCATATTCTTCGGCACACTGAGCACTTTGCTGGGTGGCAAGTGTATGAAATACAACTTCTTGAGCTCTTTCGGTCTCGAGACGTGAGCGGGGAGAAATGGATAGAGAAAAGTTTCGTGATTGGGGCGCCACCTGGTACAAACACACACAGATCCAGGTTAGCATCAGTAGCCCTCCATTCAGCGTATATGCCTTGGTCCCGCGGCCGGGCAAGGCATCTCATAAAGGGGCGCGGTACCATTGTGCCAGACAGTCGCCAATCTCCCATTCTGTGTCTCCTTCTTTCGGGTTCGTCGGAGCCAGGCGTTCGTTCAGTCGCATCTTGAAGCCTTCGATTTCGTCTGCATCGTGAGGAAGATAGTCTCCCGGTCTGTAAAGTCCAAAGGCTTTGCATCAGCTCGAGTCCCATTGGTCATTCGATGTGTTCGCAACTAACAGCTTAAAGAAGGCATTTGCAATCTGCAGCATCAGTACGTGCGGATGGTTGTGCTCATGGCAAACCAGTATGCCTTCGCAAGTACGTCTCATGCCATATTTGTCGTAATGCTCTTCCAGTCTCTTCAGCCTCGCTACCACCGATGGGTCTTCTTCTGGCTGTGTTTCCTTGGTGCCGAAGGTGTAGTTTGATAAAGGGTAAAGCCGGATCGTCTCAGGCTGGTTGGCAGTGAATGGAGGGGGTAAAATAGGACTGTAGTACTCGTCAACGGTGAGACAACCTTGAGAGGACGAGGGGCGCATACGGATACGCCGACTTGAGTGTTGTGGTGGTAAGAGTCGACATTTTAGTCGGGATTTGCCTCGTGCACCAAGATTGATGGCAAGTTGACGATCGCGGGCTGAAGGCAATGACCGTAAGTGTTCGACACGGTCCAATGATGTATCCTCACACTGCCAGCCTGAAGCTCAGCTTGAGGGACATACGGGGAGTGGAATTGCCCAAAGGTGCCCAAAGGTGCCCAAAGGTTAGAGAATTCTGGGGAACGACAACAAAGCCGGCGTCGGCCTTAACGGAGATAATTGGACGCATCGCGCCAACCCCCAGATGCCCCTTGTACCTAACGATACTCCGTAGATCTAAACTTGAGTTGCTCTGCCCTCAGGCCACTTGAACACAAAGCTTGCCAAACTATATGCAGTGGTAGGTGGTATCTTTATAGCTCTACTTCTACATATGGTTAGATGATGGATTGACAACGACGCCATCACGATGCTCTTTCAAGCAATTACAACTTCGACTCTAGATCCTCGAACTGAGCGATATCCACCACAGCCAGGGGAGCCTTGCTGACTTGCAGACCAGCTTTCCACTTGAAAGCATCTTCTATGATAACAGGGGTGGGGACTTTTGAAGCGATTTCAGTCGGATTTGGAGGTGGTGTCACAGGCTTGATAGTGGAAGCCAGCAGAATTTGAGGAATCGCCTCCTTGACTTTTTCAACGATTTCGGCCTTCTTTGATGCAGCGAGGGATGTGCCAATGTATTCGTCGATGGCATTCGCAGTGGCCGCGTCATCGATAGGATCGACCTTTTCGAAATGCGATTTAAGCTTGTGCTCATCCAGATCCACACCAAGGGATCCGAGAACTTGTCCGACGAGTCCTACGAACTGGTCCTTCTTCTCCGATGTTGGCACTTCAGCAACGGGAGTTGATTTTTGTGCTTCGAGGTGGATAGATAGCTTGGCTCGGGTAGGTGACTCTGGGTCTATATAATGGGCATAGAACTGGGCGATGTCGTCCTTGGTGAGCTGTCTGATGGCCGCGACGTCAATTTCGACTTGGTGGAAGTTTAGAAACTCGCCGCTGATGTGGACCCAGAGACGGTTTGTCTCCATAGTCAAGTTCTTGAGTTTCTCCAGTCTCTTGCTGATAAGGCTTCGCTTGTGGCCCTCGAATTCTTCCTCTGACATGTCTTGCAGATCTTGCTTGAACTTCAGCAGGAAGGCATTTATCCGTGTTTCGAGATATTCCGGATCCCGAGCGCTTTGAATAAGCACTCGATAGCCCATTGTCACCGCAGCTGGGCGTAGACCGCTCCAGACAACGTACCCTAGTTGCTCTTTGGTTCGGAGTTGATTGAAGGCTGGCTCATCTGTCATCTGCGCGAACAATTGTAGCCTCGCACGAAGTCTGATGTCCATGACGTGGCCTACGTCGAGAAAATACTCGATGGCGTTATTCACATTTGCCGGATCTCCTAGGGTCTGCTTGTAAATGAAATTGCTTCCTTCCGGAATGACAATGTTACGCCTTAGATGCCACTGCGAGACTGGGAAAGCGCGGGGCTTCAAGGTCGATTCGACAAGGTTTGCAATCTTCTTAGCATCCTCCTTGTACAGGTTGCCATGCGCGAGAATCTCAACGTGAGTTTGTTGTAGAAGCTTTGGTCCAAAGTTCTTGATGTCTTCAAAGGTGATGTGCGGTAGTTCGGCAGCATATGCATCGGTCATGAACCCACGTTCGGTCAATAGCCATCTTGTATATTCACCCACTTGGCCGTACGGCGGCTGAAGGTACCAGTTTTTGAATATTCGTGACATGCGCTCTTTGATGATATCGAAACGATCTTGTTTGAGCTCAATGTCGCGGAGAGTAACCAAGATCTTTTCCAGAAGGACGGCCATCTTGTCGTTATACCCATGTACGCCAATGTCCAGACCAAGCGGAAAGGCGGAGATTGAATATCCAAGACCGGAGATTTCGGCATCGTACGCATAAGTTTGCAGAGCATCTCTGACCAACATTTCAAAGATCATCGTCTTGGTATAGTTGACCGGATTACTGCCTGTGAGTGCATTTCGTAGTCTGATGTTGACGTTGGCCTTGGGAACCCAGAACACATCGTCCTTCTTCCACCAGAGGCGAACCAGCTCATCGTTGCGTAGCAGTTTTGGTGCCTTCGCTGGCTCCTTGACATCCAATTTCTCAACGTCCAGCTTGGTGGGGATAAATTCATTCTTGTGTGGCAGATGAAGCTCCTTGGGCGTTTCAGTTTGTGGGAATGAGAGGGCCTTTCGGACCTCTGATAGGACGTCGGTAGGTATCTTTTCGACCTTGTAATCCGTCCCGTACCATTTCTCCTTTTGATCCCATGAGCCCGGATACTCTTGGGATACCAGCATGAGGCGGAAGTTGTCTTCCCGCAAGTACTGCATGGCCTGTACGATACCTTCGGCATCGAACCTGCGCAGTCTGCTTGTACCACTCAGTAACCAGTTGCGGGGCAACGGCTTCTGCATCAAGCTGCTTGTGCCACTGGTGAAGCGGCTAGGCGGTGTTTTCTGTCGGAATCTGAACTCAACTTCAGCCATGTTCTTCGTTTCTTCATACATCCACTCAACAGGTGGGTTCGCCTTCATCATGCCAATGTATTGGAATATGGTTGTCACAATTTCATGGTATTTCTTCAACCCCTCCAACGTCAGTTCAATGTCCAGCTCAAGGAACGCAGACCCGGGGCAGATGGGATGGTATCCCGCAGATAGAGATGACACCAGCCCTCTATTCTTCAGATAAGCGAACACACTCCCCGGTCCCTCGTGGCCCAGGAGATGGCAGATATACTTGGCTGGTTGGGTCTCGTACATCGATTCTTCATCCTGATAAGGGAAGCTGATTTCAAGAGATCGACGTTCCATCACTGGCTTTGCGAGGACCTCAGTGGATAGCTGGTCCTTTTCTAGAATCTCAATCCCGTCCCACCTATTCTCTGGCAGATCTTTGTTTTGAACTTTGGAGAAGAATTCAACCACCCAGCCCTCCAGCTCGTCCAAGGACTCGCGCCCCAGCACTACCAGCTTCATACGGTTTGCAGAATAGTGTCTCTCATAAAATCGAATGAACTCATCCCGAATCTTGACTCCTCTCTTTTCCGGCTCATCCTTTAGCGTTTGCAAATTGCCTGTGGAGAAATGATGGTAGGGGTGTTCGGGATTCGACAGCGATTTGGCCAGCTGCGACAGTCTCCAAACGTCGCTTTGGAGATTCTTCTTGTTTTCCGAATCCACTGCATTTAGTTCTCTATCCAAGGTATTCTCGAGGAAGAGAGGCTTCACGAAAAACTGTGCAAAACGGTCCAAGGCGCCATACAATGGCCCCTTTGCGTCCCCGTTCACAGCGCCCTCTTGTCCTTCATGTGATGCGGCACACTCGAAGAAGTAATTTGTTTGTGTGGCCGCCGTATACGCGTTGGAGTAGCCAGCATGGGAGGAAAGGTAGCTGCTATATTCGTTCTCTCCTGGATACTGCGATCTCCGTCAGCTGCGGTGAACCAGGCGCCGTGTTACAAGTGGCCAATCTACCTTTTCTGTGCCCATGAATAGCAAATGCTCTACAGCATGTGCCATTCCAGGCATGTCTGTTGAATCGGAGAAGTTCCCAACATGGACGTTGAGACTTGCGCTTGCCTTGTCTGCCTGCGCATCTTGAACGAGCAGTGCCTCCAGCTTGTTGGGAAGCTCGATGACACGGTACAGCCGGTCGTCAAGGTCTGGCTTCTCCAGAGAATCTGTTATGCGTTTGACAGAATCCATGACAGTGGCAAAGGGCCGAGAAGGGCAAATCTGCTTGGATGCAGGCGTTGACAGAAGCGGTCTTGCGGTCGGTCGAACAGAACGAGGCCACAATGGGCCTAAGGATCGAATGGAGAGGAGCGACGAGCACACCAACCGTGTGGCTAATCTCATGTAGGAGGTGTATGTGAAGGGAGTATGCGACGGCGCAATAGATTCCCAAGGCGAACAAAGGGCGATTAAATGTTTGCGGCTCGAGTCGACTACTCGAAGCAGACAATGAATTATTACCACCCGGTGCTTCTAGACAGGAATCTCTCCGCACATAACTAACAAAAGAAGGTACGTCGATCCCGCAGGCGTATGATGGTCCTCAATTTTGTGACCGGGGCCTTCTATCAATTGCGATTACTCGTACAACCGCAGCCTAGCTCTAGTAAAGAGCCCGCTTAGATGAGGTCAACACCAGCCACGAGCCCGCCCAGAGTAGGACTAGCTCAGCCTTGTGCCAGATGGCTCGCGGAGGTTGGTGCTGCCGGTGCTCAACCGGGTCTGGTGAAGACCGCCGTGAACGACCAGACATGGCACTGTCCTCGTCCCGTTCCTACATACAACGGCTCAAAGAGGCTTTCCCTTTTCAAGATGGAGATCGACATCTTCCAGAACCGTCTTGTTCTCCTTGGCTGCTGCAATCCTGGCTCTCTTCAGTCGCCGAGTCTCGACATCTACCCTCCACGTGAATTTCCAGGCGACAAGGTCTGCGAGAATACTGCCACCAATGAAGCCCATCGCGATACCGAATGATGTGGTGTACCGCGGCGCAAAACGAGAATTGAAGAGATGAGCGCCAACAGCACCTCCAATCTGACCATAGCTGTTTGCAAACGCAAGCGCAAATGCGGATCCGGTGGCTCCTGAGGTGGTCTGCACTCGCCATGGCCAAATCATTGTATACCTGTGTGTACAGTGAGTCAGGTATGTTTGCGGATAATGAGCGCGGCTGCCGAGGAACGGATCCGGAAGTCGAGATCCCACTCACCATGAAGTCGATATAGCTCCAGCCAAGATTGTTGCCGTATACACCCCTCCAGTGCTGGGAAAAGCGTAGAGCACGCCATATAGGGCCAACAGGACAATCGAGTAACTAAGTGGGATCAGTGGCTGTGGAATACGGCCGGTCGAGGAGACGAAGCCGAAAAAGAGTGAGAGTGCCGTAGACAAGACTGCCGACGGTATGTTGAGGAGTTGAGATTTTGCTATGCCACTGACAAGAACACGAGATATCAGCGTTTGTACATTCTTCACATCACCTGCGAGGGACTCACGTGAACCCTAGGTTCGCGACGACGGTGGGCTGGTAGAATCCAAGGCCAGTCGTTCCCACTGTGTAGAATCCCCAGACGAACAAGAACATCCAGATTCGCTTATCCTTGAGAGTCGTGATGAACTCATTCCAGTTGAAATTTTCCTCGATTGCTCGGGGTGCAGCTCTTGGTAGTCTCGCTTGCAAGAAAGCTTTCTCTTTATCCGACAACCATGGGGCTGTATTCGGAACTGACGGGCAGTCAGTGGTTTCTCTGCCCATCGTTCTAGGGGGGTGATCAAGAACTAACAATCCGGAAGCAAGAAATATACGACAATTCCTAACAGTACCGTGAACATTCCCTCTGTTAGGACGAGCCTAGCATCAAGCTGGATTAGTTTGGGCAATACTGCAGAAGAGTGATCTGGGTCTCTTGACTTACCACTTCCAGCCAGACAACCCCCTAGCATAAACACCGTTGAAGGCGAAGGCTAATATACCGCTAATGATGGTCGCAAAGTTACCCAGCAGAGTGACCAAGACGACACGGGGGGCGATCTCGTCCGGCCGATACCAATAGCACAGCTGCAAAATTGCAGCAGGCCACATCCCAGCTTCAGCTAGTCCAAGGAATGCTCGAACAGTATACAAGCCGGCGCCATTCTGAACTGCAGCATGACAGCAGAGAACAATACCCCAGGAGACCTGTGGCTTGTGAACAGTGGTACCATTGAGGACAAAACAGACGGCATACCATGATCCGAGCTTGAAAAACGGAGGGACGCATCTTTTTGAGGACCAGGTTTGAAGGCGCTTCTGCAAGAATGTATGGAATCTAGGCATTAGTTTCGCTGTGAGTCAGTTGCGAAAACTATACGGCACGAAGTTACAGACGACGAAGGAATGGCCTTCTGCTCGTCCATTGGGAGGAGAATACTGACATAATACGCTGTTACGACCCAATTGTATTCGTTCGCACTGATTCCCAGCTCAGTCATGATATTCTGCGGCGTTCCGCGGTCCATAATACGAGCGTTGGAGACCTTGGATCACCCTTAGTATCCTGCAACAACGAGAGAGAAGAAAGGCACTTCGACATACATTGGAAGTATCAACATTCTTGACCACATACATGATGGCCAACAGAGGAAGAAGACGCCAATCTACTCGCCGGAGCACTTTTGTCTCTTCATCGACCGTCAGTATTGCTCGAGCCCGCATGAGCTGAGGATCATATCCTATGATGTCGTTTTGCGAGCTGTCAGTATCTCGCAGTCCCTTCTCCCCGCCCCTGTCAACAACGTGCAGATGGTCGGAGTCGATTTCTGGTAGAGCGGTGGCTGACTGCACAATACCGTCTTCTGCTTTGTTGGTATTGGCAGAGGAGGTGAGCCCTTGGGTAGGGGTTGGATTTTTTGGATCCGTTTGATCGGGAGCCATGATGAAGGAATCGATGTATTGCTCTAGCCCAAGCGTACCACAGACTCTGACTTATTGATCGGGGTCATAGTCAGATTTATACCCTCGGGTGATGCCAGTGTTGCTCCATTGTCGCTAGCAACTACCGTGGTTCCTGGTGCAGTGTCTCAATAGCCGAACCGGAGTCAACATGCTCGGTTGTCGCAGGGAGACATCGAACGATCGACGCAGCAGGCGAAGGCCTTGATACGCACAGCTGTCGATATGGGGCTACGGGGAACCTCCCTTTCGCTATAGCGGGCAACGATGGTGCGATCACCATCATTAGATAGGAAATGATTTCCACGATTGAGCAGACTTAAGCAGACTTAGGCAAGCTAAGATGTCGTTATCGAAGACTCCGACGACGAGATCCTGGCTTGAAAGCTGGAGTAGCAGTTTGATAGCGTATAGGGCCTTCAGGACATGATAGCATATTCCTGTTAGTTCTGCAAAGTTCGGTCCCAATCGTATGATATTCGATAATTCAGTTTTTATTGGTCCAATGCACCTGTAGACTGTCTCCGAGGTTGTGATGTGTCAAGTGGTGTAAATAACCAAGCAAACATGATTTCTTGATTGCGACAAGTTAGCGTGGAATGACACCATGGCGACGGACATGTACGACACTATACTTCATGCCACAGATGAACCTTGAAATGAGAGTTAGCATAGTCTATGCCGGGGAATAACTCGATTGAACGAAACCGCCCAGCAACCAGCTACGCATAATGTCTGCCACCGCTGTTAAGCGAGGTCCTTCGCAGGTGTCTGGCGGCGACAACTCAAAAGTATCTCACGCTCAGACCCAAGCTGGACTCAGCACATCGTCACTGAAGAACGACCAGTCTTACTCGCCGCAGGTAGCAGAACAAAGCTTGGAAGACTCTCTCACCGTGCCCACTTCTTTTTCTGCCCCCCCACCTGAGGTTCACATCGGTGGTAACGAATGGGATCGCGACTAGCGACTCTCCCTTCTGGCCTACGCTGATGGCCCTATAAGGACTGGAAGAAGGATTGTTCGTGGAGGCTACCATTACGCGGATGATGTCGTTCACTCCGCCATAGTCCTGGCAGTTGTTTTCATATCTTTAGGAGGTGAAAGGGCGATAGTTTCGCAGTGGTTTGATAAAGAACGTGCCTCTGCGTCGACTTGAGAATGCGGACATGATCGTTTGCAGGGGAGTTTGAATCCATTGTTCTGCCAGGCCACCCCTTCGGGATGCGAATCAATATCCAATCCAGACTCCTTGCATCTCTTGCGCAGACGTCGCGTCCGGAAGATCCATATGCCATGTGATATGAACATGGACATCTCGATGATCGCACATAAGGCATAGAGAGTTCCGAATAAGGGATCAAAGGAATTTTGGGTTGCTAGAAACGGTCAACATGAGAAATGAATGACTCCATATATGTTGAAAGTGACAAAATATCATACCGAGCGACATCAATGAGAAGAATGCTCCGAACCAGTCGATTGCAAGAAACAAAAAGTCGATACCTATCACTCTTCCTCTCCGTTTGATCAGCTCAAACGGGATGGGAATGTACCCTGATATGAGTAGAACAAATGCAACTGCGCCGATCATGGTCGTCGGCCATTCAAGGTTCTTCTCGCGGTAGGCTCTGCGAAGCAGCCAGACAAGGAGACCTTGGAGGCCCCCGTCGAGCAGAAGGATAGCCGCACAGACTAAGAAGACATTCTTCGCTGTCCATTTCCTGCCGGTGTGTTAGTCCAACGCCTCTCATTATTCATCTACCTAGTAAATGAGAACGGTTCAGCTCACCGCGAATAATACAAACACTGACCCCAATTGACCAGGCAGAAGAGACAAAAGCATTGTGGCTGAATTTGAATCGGAATGTTGAAGTTCTGAGAAATCGCATAAGCCCCAAAAGGTACACCGCTGGCTGACCACAGAAACATCATGGCCGGTGGCACTCCTTCCGTCGACTGACTGCGGTAGCTTTTGTATATTTGCGGAAGAAGCTGGACGCACCAGCATATCGTGCCGATGGTCCCAAGCACATTCGCTGCAGTGGGGATGGACGTTTGGGGAGCCATAGTGTAAATCTTCCTGACAACAGATCTCAGGCGCTAGGACCGAAACTCAATGTCACCAAGAGATCGCCCACTTCATGCCAGACAAAATCTGCTTCCTGAGTTCAGTGGCTCGCTCGTCTGAGTTGCGATGCTGCTCCTGGACCCTTCACAGTCGGCTAGTTGGGCTACTCCAGAGTTCAAAGTCATGTAACTCTGCTAAGTAGTCCAGCCCACGCGGGCCGTGTCCGGGTGAGATGAATCTCCTCTCTCGTCACGGATCTGCCGAGGTGTCGTCACAGACCTTGTTCAGAATCCCCATCGCCGGACAAATGCAATGAGGTAAACGTACAGTGTCTGCATCCGCCAGGCATTCGCGGTGCACATACGCGGTAATAACAGGTGATGCATCCGAAAGTGAGAGTGAGCGAACGCCCGGGGACAGAGGAAGGACTAACGTTAGTGAGCAAGGAGTGAGCGATGCAGCCTTCTTACCGTCCATTGAGGTTGTCCTCTCAAGGCACGGCGTCATGGCGTACAACATGACTGCAATTATGGTCCCAAGGGCTGTGACGAGTATTCTAATGGGGTTCAGAGCTGTAATGAGCTTGTTGAAGAGACATACGGCAGCACACCGAAGCCATGTGATGAGGGGCTCGTGTAGCCAACGATTTATCTGCCAGCTTCGAGCGTCCAAGTCGGAATGTGTCAAGGCGCACATCGCAGAGACAACATGTGCTGTGGACAGCGTCAGGACTTTATTGTCAGAAAATTCCTGATGTGGTAGATTCACTCAAGAAACGGCGCTCACTGATGCCGCGGCGAAATTCCAAGCGAGCAACTTCCGACATCCTCCCAACCACCCAACAGCCATGCCATATCCATTGCCAGTGATGATCGATTTCCAGACATAGGACCCTATTGGAGCAAGCACCATCGAGGCAAGTTCTGCCATTGTCGAACCTGAATGTCAGGACATCTTCCAGACTAGCCCTCCAAGGCCGCTATGCGTCGTTGTTTGTTGAGTACCATGGGCTGTACGAGTTATTACTCAGGATCCGCAAAGAGCCATTCACTTTACTACATACACATATCAATGAGCTAAACGGCTGCACAGCTCGTTGCACCGGCGGATAGACACTCGAGATGTCGACGAGCAGGCGCGCCAATGTCGACCAAGATGCACTTCGTTATGATTGACGCTTCTGGTGTTCCTTGCCCAAGAGCCCGGGGTGTCACGATTTATCCTGCAAAGCTGTCATGGGTGGCTTCGAGGCTAGATGTGTAAACTCTGGTCATAAACTAGCGCATGCAGTTCAATAGAGAAGACCTCTCGGGCCTCGTCACCAGGATTGACTCAATATCACTGCCCGATCAGCAGTCGTCCTATACGCCTTCAGGATTTCGCCCAAAACACCACGCAACGGACAGGAAGAGAAGTATCGGTTGAGATCGATGTTGCCCACCCCCGAGTACGTGCAGTCCTATGACACTGCTCAGCGCGTGACAGCGGTGGTATTGCAATCATCAGCCTTTCCGGTAGGGAGCATTCTAGGTCGAGCCTGTCGCCCGAATTATCCCGGCATATCGAAGGCTAAAAAGCAGAATAGCAACCCAGAACGACTTGCAAATGTGCTGGATGACCTCCGCCCCCGATTTATGGAATTTCGCCGGACGGCCCCCTTCTGTCGCCCAAATCTAGGCCCGAAGCGCAGTGCGCTATCACAAAGCCCACAGGACGCTACTGCATCAGTGCAAATGGGGATACACTCTTGGGCTTTCTTTCCTGAGAACTTGCCAAAAACAGGTGCTCTAAAAGAGTTCTCTGGAAGACACCTGAGGCTGCAGACCACACTCGCCGTGAACACACTGCAGCACGAGCAAGAGTAATGCTTAGTAAGACTTTACCAACGCATCATCTGCCACAAAGCCTTCGCTGAACTGCTTCATCGCAACTTATGGTGGCACAACAGTTGAGGGGTGTCTCCTCCACCACAATTCCCATGCCGTATATTCGAGTTCTATGTCACTCTTGAGATCGTCTTCGTCGACGTCCTCGAATCCGATCTCACTCTTTGAACATGGCGGAAACCTCTTTGACAGAGCTATGGGAGAAGGCCATCCGCGAATACGTCGACGAATACGAGAAATCCACTGACCAACACCTGACCGAATCTGATCTGCAGGGTGTTCCGGTAAACCTGCAACACACCAATGGACAGAGCCTTGAAACATTTCTCGCAGCCCTTCAAGTGAATAAAGAGCAACTCTCAGACCTCCGGAATAAAAAACGCAAAGTTGTTACAGCCTTCCGCAAGTGTATCCTTCCGCTGCATTTCATTCTGGATGCTGCAGATAACTGTATCAAGTCAACGCCTGTCGCCCCAATCAGTGTACTTTTCTTTGCAGTCCAGCATATATTGAGCACATGCGAAAGAGTCAGCAAATCATTCGATGAAGTGGAAGAGGTGTTCCAACGAGTAGCCGCCGTCACATGTTGCCTTGGAGGTTATAACGACAGCTCGCTGGTCGGCTCGCACCAGACCGTTGTTGTCGAGGTCTTGTCATGTCTTCTGAAAATTGTCGGAGCTGTGCAATCAAAGCTCGCCACGGCGTCAAGACTGCGTGAGTTTCGCAAATCTCTATTTAAGAACGATGAGACCATATCCCAAGGCCTTGCCGAACTCGACAGGCGAGTGCAAGATGAGTTGAGTTATGTCGTGCGACTGAATTTCGCAAAGACACAGAAAATGAGCGAAACTACACTCAGCATACATAAAGAAGTCCTGGAAATCAGGCAGGAACTATTGAGATCTCGAGCTGATGGGGAAGTTTTGGATGTCAAGACAGATCTTGTTGAAAAACTCAGGAATGAGTCCTGGGAAGCATTAAGAAATCATCATCGGATGACCGCCGATGCTATCGCCACCACTACAGGAATTTGGATTCAGACTGACGCAATGTTTGCAGCTTGGGAGAATGGCCAAGGTCCACTTCTTTGGATTTTTGGTCGCCCCGGTGTTGGCAAAACCGCACTCGCTGCTGCTACGGTGGAAGCTCTCAAGAGCAAATACTCAAAATACAGGGGAAACCACTCGGTTAGGGCTACTGGTTACATCTATTTCAGGGAAGGCCAACCTAAACTCCAGAATTTGAGCAATCTATTTCTGGCAGTTGCAGGACAAATTGCCAAGCAAGATCAAAGGTTTCATCAGCACGTTACCCAGGCTATCAGGACTTACCCAGACATTCTCGGACAGACAGCATCGGCAGAATCCTTATGGGATCGCTTGTTTCTATCCTTCGATCCTCCTCTAGAGGATCATGAAGAGGCTGGGGGACTGCTTTACATCATTATCGACGGGCTTGACGAGGCCAAAGATGAATCAAAGCGAGCGCTCTTGACCTGTTTAAGAAGGCTTCTCGCCTCTCAGCCCACTGGTCAGACCAGCCACGAGAGAGTTTCCATCCAAGTGGCCGTCTTTGCAAGACGAGAAATCCGGAAACTTCTTGAGATTCAAGGCTCCGTCTTCGAAGGGAATGAAAAAATCATCAATATTACTGAAGGACAGACGAAACATGACATTCGTGTCTATGTGAGGCATCAAACAAAGCACATCGCTGCCGTTAGAATGATTAGGAAGATGGCGCCGGAAAAAAGTCAAGCTTTCGAGTCATTCATCGAACACAGCATAGTGACACGTTCGGAAGGGATGTTTTTGTGGGCAAAGTTAGTTATTGACCGGATTCGCGACAGCCCTTCTACTGAATCTGTTCAACATGCACTCTATGATGCTCCTTCTGGCTTACTGGACATGATTCATTTGGTCTTTCTCAGATTGAACCATGAAGAGGAAGATAGGACGCGGTACTTGGCCGATCTGCTCGCTTGGGTGCTTTGTTGTCGTCGTCCACTGACGATAGCCGAACTCCATGTCTGCCTCATAGAAACGGTCGGTGAGTCTTTCATAACTATCTCAGACGACTTGACCGAGAGGTACTCCAGTCTCTTCGACGTCGTGCAACGACCGAGCAGCGACGACACTTCCAGGACGGCAACTTCCACGCAGGTCTCTAAAGAGGAGTCCGAAGACGATTTGGAGCTCAGCGATAGTGACGATGGAGCACCAGCCACCGGCTACGCGTCAGTAGAGCCGTCATGGAAGCAATTTAGTCTGAAGAGGGTCAGTGTCCAAGCAAATAATGGAATATTCGACGAGTGGCACCGCAGCACTGTCACTTTTGCTCATGCAAGAATTCGTGACTACCTAGTACAAGAAGGGAACCCCAGAACTCGGAAATGGGATGATTGCCGAGTAGTTCCAGAGATTGATCAATTCAAGATGCAGATGGTGCAGACTTTGCTGGATCTTGCAATGAAACCTATTACACAAAAATATGGTGTACATCTCCTCAAAGAATATGCAGCGGAGAACTGCATATCTCATCTACTTGAGATCGACCTTGTCGGAATGCCACCAAGTCTGTGTGGTAGAGTTGGCTCAAGGCTAGCCTCGCTATGTTATGACGGAAAGTTGTTCTACAATATACAGGATGGCCAATGGCAAACTACCATTGATACTTGGTTATTGGACACCCGGAAAACCAATGTCGTCCGCTCATTGATCGCAAAGGGAATCGACTATCTCGACACAGATTATGCCGAGATTCGTCCATGGGCGCTACAGGCAGTCAAATCGGCCAGAGTTCTATTGGAACCTCTGATGAAAGAGTGTGCTCGTCTTTGGCTGGCGAAGCGGGCGTGGGACGATATGGATTGGTTTAATAAATGCGAGGGAGAAACATGGGTATTGCTTGCATATGAATTCCTGGTGAGAAATTTGATGTGGCTTTAAATGAGCCATGCTGACTTTAATAGACTCAAAATGGAGAGAATGTTGGCCCCTTTAGTGTACTCAAAGGAACACGACGAGTCGGACGGATCACTCGGGAGTTAATAGACCAGGTCGCCAAAAGCCAAAATCTAGAACAAGACGAATACTGGTTTACCGGCATCGCCTGGACGACGATGCAAGGAGAAGATGCGAGGCACAGTCGAAAAGCCATCGAATACTTCGAGAAGGCAGTTTCTCTAGCCGATGATCGGACGCGGCGGCTCTATGGTGTCGCCAAACCCGTGGCTTGGGTTGCATACGAAGGTCTCAGTCGGTGCTACGGCGACAACCTCCTACAATCTCAGCCAGCTTTAGAAGCCATGCGAAACGCCATCGAAGCTTTGCCACCGTTTTGTCTGAAGTATGGTGTTGATTATTATTTCAAAGCTCGTGCAGCTTATTGGCAACTGAAACTGGACCGAGACTACCAGGTTGCCAGCCGCATTGGTAGAGAGGCATATGAACGAAGTCAAGACTATATGTTCGGCACGAAATCCCCCTCGGATCACGTCATTATGGACAGCGTCAAGGTTTACATAGAGATTCTGAGTTGGATGCAAGATTTTGACTCAATATCGACAGTCATTCGAGATCTTTCAACACGTCAAACACTCTTGCCGGGGTGTTCGCTTCTCAACTGTTTTCTGAGGTACAACAAATTTACAGACCACGAGTTCCGGCGGTTGACCAATTTTATCGCCATGGTCCTGTATCAGAGACGTGATCCCGAGCTGGAGAACCTGTTGCAGGACAATTTCAAGAAAGTTGCTTATGTTGACACTTCCGGCAAACCCTTCTGGAACGACCTTCGGCTGGCAATACGATCGGCAAATTTCCTGCTTCGACATTTCAAGGACGTAAATAGTGCGACTAAAATCCACAAAAGCATCTTGTCTGCCATCGACTCGAACGACGAGACTTATCGCCAGCGAATGAGGCCGATTCGCGACCAAGCTGCCGCATTCCTCAGCTTTCGTCATTTCAACGAGGCAATCGACGCGAAGGTTGCCAAAAAGGGATTGCGCGCTCAGGCTATTGACAACTTGAGACATCTTGCGATGAATGAAACACGACAATATCGCGCCTCCTATTCGGCTCTTCTGTACGGTGTTTGGCTTCGGGATCACCAGCCCAAGTCTAAGCGTCCCGAGCCGAAGCCTCCCAAGCCGTGGAGACCAGCTTTCGAACCGTCTGTCACTGAGGCAATAAACAAACTGTACGACGACGATACATGGAATGACGATGATGCTTATACCCAGCTTGGAGAGGCATTGATGATGGCCAACGATCTCGACAATGCTGCAACAGCCTTCGGCATAGCCCTGATGCAAGCCTTAGAGCCGGTGGTACCCCACCAGGGAACCGGATTTGACAGTATTCCCGAGAACGCTGAAGAGCTGGCATATCTCAAATGCGCCATTTCCAGCCAAATCCGTCGATGCGACGGGATCTGCGATCCGAGCAAGGATGACTTCAAAGAACTCTGGTGCTGTCGCTTTTGTGAGAAAACATGGCTCTGCGGGGACTGTGTCCTTCTGTTAAAGAAACAAGACAATGAGGCAGACCGATACGTGGTATGCTCGTCGGATCATGAGCACCTCCAAGCCTATCCATTATCGGAACGAGCCAAAGACATCGTCAATGCACTTCGGCATAACGACTCCAGCAAGCACCACCAGTGGTTGCAGACCCTGCTGGGCGATTGGAAGACGAACTAGGGCTTCGCGTCAGTTTTTTGGCGATTCTCCAGACCACGTCAGTGCCATGATGCGGCGACGGCATTTCGAATCATGACACAGCCGAGAATGTAGTTGTTCTGGTGATAAGTCAAGCGAATGATTAACTGCTACGGTCACTTTTGGAGTGGAAAGCTCGGTCACTGACTTGTGGCGATGCCGTAGTGATGGCTTGCTCTACTGATCCATATAGATCGGATTCAACTGCAGAAACGGAAACGAATGATGAGACTCGCGAAGAGAGAGAGAGAGAGAGAGAGAGAGAGAGAGAGAGAGAGAGAGAGAGAGAGAGAAAATGAGCACAAGTGATGGGCACGTAATGTTCCAGCTAAACGTATCGTAACATCAACGTCGCTCGAAGGTTAGTCGCGAAAGAGGAAAAGCGTCAAGGTAAAGCCTAGGTTACAAGTCGCTGGGTATGCTCATTGACAAGTACAGCACGTATCACGCGTACAACATATGTAGCATACCACGGGAGATGATTTAGGCTGTAACGAGTGTCCACCGCCGCAACATTTGCAGAGGCAAGACGATTCCACCTTGACTTGCCTCAGATCACTTCAACTTCTGCTGATTAGAACGCCATCTTCTCAACCAACCTCGAACACTCGAACTACCCGATTATTCGTGATGTGTCACCGACCCATCGTGACACCTGTGCAGCTCATAGCGTGTATCTGAACCCTTGGAGTCCTTCGATCACCATTTCACCTTTCGTAGCCTTGCGATTGGCCCTGTGGAACTGCAACGAAAGGAGGCTGACCACGACTATTATGAGTGCATTGCAGGCGAGAGCTGCATATATTCCAGGTCGATAATGAGGAGCATCTTGGGAGCGGAAGATCAAGGACCCTGCAATGCCACCAATGCCGCCAGCCCCCACGAGAGACGCGCTTGCAAAGGCACGTTTCCATTGACCTCGAATGTTGTTTGCCTGTGACGGTTGAAACACAAGTCAGCCTCAGACGTAGTAGGTTGTGAGTTATCGAGGTAGCTCATACCTGATATGCCATGGCTGCGGGAATGTTTGCATTCACCCCAGCCGTTGTCAGGAAGACGCCAAAATACCGTACTCCAGAGCTTTGCACGAATCCCTGATGGCCATGCCTCGTCAGTGTACGCCATCAGGCAGGAGAACAAACGACAGGTGACTTACCATGATCGGTAGGCCGACGAAGCAAATGAGGGCATTGAAGACCAGGATTGGACCTCTCATGCGAAAGCGATCTCCAAACCACCCACACGCAATCATCAGAATGCCAGCAAAGGCGTACGGAGGTGCCACCAAGCATTGAGAAGCTCCAATGGAGAAGCCCATGTTCCTGTTCAAGATGATGGGAAGGAAGTAGGCAATTGCATACGCCTGGGTCGTGATGCTGAAGAAAATCAACGCAAACCCCCAAATCTTCAGATCAAGCCCTGACGAAGCCCACTTTTTCAGGTTAAAAGGCTCCAATTGTGCATCGTCACGGTCCTTCGCGATGCGTCGGATAATGAACTGGCACTCGCGCTCACTGAGAAAGCCCCATGCTGTTTTCGCAGCGCGATCGGGGAAGTCTACCAGGAAGAAGTAACAGATTATGGCCAAGACGCAGGTTATGATTCCTTCCATGATGAAGATCTGTGACACGGAGTCAGTAAGGCATGATTGTGAGCAGAGCGCTCTCCGAGTGAATCTGCTCCGAAATACTAACCCATCGCCAGCCACTGTAATTGGCAAGACCGTCCTATCGACGAAAGTCAGTAGATGTTTCAAATAAAGTTAGCTCGAGCCTCTACAAACCATCTGCATGAGACCATAGGCGAGGATGCCAGAGCATGCTGAGGCCAGACTACCGATGAGGTAGAAGAACGAGTACCGCTTCTGGAGATCGTATCGCGAATACCACGTCGATATCAGATACACGCACCTATGGCAAGTTAGACTCGCATAGGTTTTAACTTTTAGGGCGGGACAACGTTACCCTGGGAAGAAACCAGCCTCGAGGACACCCAAGAGCAAGCGAAGAAGAATCATGGGTCCCCATGTGTTTGGAAAACCAAATCCGATCTGTGTCAAGAATAAGCAGATTGGATGGGAGGCATCTGCTCTAGACATACCATGACCACGCCCCAGGAAAAGGTAATGAACGTTAAGAATGGTCGCGGCCCGATCTTCCTGCACAGCACGGTGGCCGGAGGCTGCAGGAGTGTATAGGTCGCAAAGAAGACCAAGGCTATAGTGGACTAATAGAATGTCAGTACGTGAGCCGTTCAGCCCAGTATGGCGACTTACGTAGCGAAAATCGATCAGTTTCAGTTCGACTATCATTCCGGCGATGGCAGCGTTAGACAGATTGGTTCGGTCCATCAAAGACACGCAGTACAAGACACCACAGGTAGTGATCAAACGCCTGTCGATTCGCCGAATGATTCTGCGTTGCTCTTCGGGAGAGAACTCGTGTTCAGGACTGCTGCTGTTTAGGTCTTCTGACTTGGAGGATGAGGCACGCTCAACATGGGCCGGATCATCATGCTTCTCAGTCTCCGCCATGGCTGGAGTGGAGGTCTGCTCTGGCGCTGTCGGCATGGTTCAAGGGAATACGCGGGGGATGTATCGATGCGTGCAGAACAAGAGACGAAGGTCACGCTCCTTATGGTCCAGGATGGTACCACGTTCTTATAATCGGCGAGTGAATTGTCCTTCGCTGTGCCTCGGTTTCGTGGAGAGCTCTCAAGCGCATCTGCGCGCCTGACTTACCTCCAGCATGTCAATGAATCCTCGGGGACAGGAGCCATGACAGTCACTAGCCTGGGCTTTCTCAATCATGACCACTAGCCATAGCGAGCATGAAGCCAAGAGTGAGGAAATATGGTCCAAGACAATGCCACCCACAAACGAGGGACAAGACCAATAGAGTTCGCGCAAGATGGCCAAACAAGAAGATCAGGAGGAGAGAGAAACGTACACAAGAGCCTCGAGCTCTTGGATTGCAGTTGTGCCCAGCCTTGGCCGGCCTCGGTCAGCTTAGGACAAGAACTCCCTCCGCTTCCTGTAGCTCGGCACCCCGCAATCCTGGGGACAAAGACTCAGCGGGATCCGCCGACTGACTCGTTTTGTATATCTCACAAGACAATCCACCCGAGAAGAGAAGAACGAACCTCCAACTGCAAGGGGAAAGAACCCCGTGGCATCCACGATGTGCCAAGGTCATGGCGCTTCAACATTGTGCACTGTCCAGCTCCGAAGTCCAAGAGTGGAAATTATTGAGCTGCTGCTACTCGTACATATGGCATTGTCCAGATCGAATTGCTGATCAGATCCCGAAACGAGAGCAATGCGCCACGATTATTGATTGGGTCCAGTGCCATATCGTCGGACCATTCCCCCGGTATGACATGCAGAGTCACGCTTTCCCTATCGCATCCTCAATTGGGAAAGTCAAACCTCTTCCCAACCAACTTCTCACTGAGCGTCCATACTTCATCTATGTAAGCTTCGGCGTCTTTGTGCTCGTCCGTCTCCAAGACTTGGCAATTGTCAAGGTAAGCACCAGAGTTTGGCTCAAGGGTAGGATCCAGCGCAGCACGCAGCTGAGTAGAACATCCCTGCTGTAGATTCTTGCGCTCCGGAGGCTGGAAGCCAGGGTTCTCAATTTTGAACTGCTCGATAGCACGCTGCCTCATTTCGTTGGTTATGTAGGCTTGTAGGTTGGTGGCAATACTTCCCGGGTTCAGGCTGAAGACTGAAATGCCCTTCGGTGCCAGTACCTTGGCCAGGCGCTTTGCATACAAGATGTTACAAGCCTTGGAGACGCTGTATGCGGTTGTGGGATCGTATGTCTTGCCTTGGTCGTAGCTGAGATCTTTCAGATGAGGCATCAGTAGACTAGCTTTGCGCTGCGATGCCAAGCTGCTGACGACTACGACTCGTGCTCGAATCAGGTCGGCTTCCAGTAAGAGATTGCAGAACAGGAAGTGACCGAGGTGGTTTGTGGCGAACTGGAGCTCGACACCCTGTCCAGTGAGAGCATATGGGCATGCCATTACGGCGGCATTGAGAATGACAACCTCAATCTTGTCACCCGCAAGGAGAGTCTTGACATCAGCGGCGGCGGCCCTGACCGAGTCTAGGTTTGAGAGATCGAGCGGTACGAAGCTCACTTTGACGTTCGGATAGTTGGCGTTGAGCTCATCGATCAGAGGCTGGATTTTGGACGGACTTCTTCCAGCCAGGATCAGGTGTTTCGGATTGCCGGTCGCGAGACTTTTGGCACTTTCGGCGCCAACACCTCCGGGAGTAGGGCCGGTAATCAAGACTGTGCTTTGTCAGTGAAAAGTTGGGGTTCACCACAAAGAGATTTCAGGCATACATGTCTTGCCGGTGACTCTATCCTTGAATTGGTGCACCACTTCGTTGCCAGTCGTGCCCCATCCGAATTCCATCATTGTGCCGGTTGATATCGATGCGTGCTATAGAATTTTGTTGTATGACTGAGGTATTCTGTGATAATTCCAACACCATGTTGCACAGTCATGTTGCCGACATATGGTATATATATCTTCAAAAACAACAGCGATCAGGACCTGGTACAAAACACGCAGCAGCGACAGTTAGCTTAGTCCCGGTGGAGCATTGTAAGCAGGCTGCATACAGCCTTGAACTCATATTTTCCCTCTAGGTTTCGATCTTAGCGTGTGGCGCGCGAGCTATCTGATGGTCAAACTCGGATATCGCCTTTATGTCCGTTCCCCTGCATATGCGAGCAGCTTACGGAGTTATGTCCTGTCGGCTTCACCTGAGGGACTTTTGAATCATTTCAACACTGGTATTCTGGTCCGTTTTCCATCCAGTGAGGTGATACCGTGGCTTCTATTGGGACGTTTTTGAGGGATTGGTATGAACGAGAGTGTCATATCTCGTTGAAAAACGCATAGTGAGACAGACTGTGCTGATGGAATGACACGGGATGGTGCACGACACCAAAATCGTTACTGTAATTAGTAGTCGCTGCTTTAATTTAAAGAGACACGTGAGGGGGCCGAAAATCACGCTACTTTTAAGGCTCTTCTCGTTCTTTCATTCACAGACGGATGAAGCCCAACTTGAACGTTTTGAAATTTCACACATGTTTCACGCGTTTTGCCAGTCAAACAAACTCCATCAGGGATGATTTTCAATTCTCTTTTTGGATCTATGTCCTATATTGGAGACAATGACCCCCAGCTGTGGTCGAGCAGACGAAGTGTTGTTGGGCGAGGAGCCCTGGGCCCCCAATCGAATGAAAACGACAATCATTCTCCACATCAAATCTGCGACCATTCCTACTTATCCGACGTAGATTATTGCCTTGCCGTGCTCGAGATCAAGAGAGAGAATGAATTTCAGGCCTATTATTCTGGTCCTTTTCTTTGATCTCGAACACGGCAAGGCAATACGTCGGATCAGTCGGATCGTGGCATATGAATTACTCTCGGGACTTGAGACAACGTCCTGCCACCGTCTCTCCGTTGCACTCTTTGCGGGGGACCAGCCACCACGCAATGAGAATGGGGAAACGAAGAGACGAGAACTCGGGATGGTTATGGCCTTGTTGTAGGGTCTCTCAAGTCCCGAGAGAATGGGAGCAACTGGTGCAGTTGGTTGCGCTACCACCTGGGCTGCCCACCATATATATCTCCACATGTGGATGGTTGAATAAGTCTAGGCCGCGATCGGAGGAAAATCAGCATCGAACTTGTGCATTTCGACTCAATGAATATCATGGTTTGGACAGGTCAGGTCTCAGAGAATACATTTTTACATCATGCTCGAGATGTTATACCGCCTCGAGTCTGACTGGCATCATCCTCATCACGGAATCCGAAATTTGGTAGACTTGGACTTGCAGGGCAGGAGTAAATCTGGCTTACCAACCGCACATCATTTCATTACCGGATTCTGCCAGGAGGCACCACCCCTTCTCCACCTCTACATCAAATGTTCACAATTGTTGTCGAGGACTAGCCCGGCCTGTGTGCGGAAGAACGTCAGTGTCATGATCAGCATTGGAATAGCGTGAAATTCAAGGTTCAGTGCTGTTAGTCATCAGACTGCGTTGTTGTCTCATGTTCGACGAGTCGACGATTTCGAAGGACAGTCAAGAAGTTTTTTGGTCATCATGAATTCGGATTGCAGAGATCAGCGCAGTTCTGACTTACCAGCAACTGTGAATCAATCTGCCACGCACATCTCGCGCGGCGCATCAGCACTCAATCAACCTGTGATCAAGGTCTTGATCGCCGTCAGGGGTGAAAATTTGTCTATGTGCACGGAGCGTCAGCCCGGGTCTCAGAATCTGCAATGGATGAAGTTCACGATTCAGCGACGGGCAGTCCTCAGATCACGACATATTTTACAGCATACTCGACGCCATGGTACGACGACAAGTCTGACGACCAAGATTTCATCATGACTTTGAAATTGCAGTAGGAGATGTGTGTGACTTACCGTTCATCGCCTCTCAGCTTGTCACCCTTGGGTTAATCACATCATCCCTGGACAATCTTGTAACTTGGGCCCATGGTTGCTGTCAAAGACCAAGACCTAGCTACAGAGAATGTCAGCACCATCGAAACAGGTATTCGAACTGGATCAAGTCAATGATTCTGTAACTGTTGAGCTCTCAGATCACCGAAGCTTATATCATGCTCGACATCATCGACATGCTGTCGAGTCTACTTCCCTCTGGTATTGTGATCATCATAGCTGTGAACTCGCAAGATAAAAGTGCAAGAAACTTACGATTGTTCGGCAATGATTGAGGGACCTGCATGCAGAGAGAGGTAGCATAACGGTCAGGAATTGCGATCGATGAACCTTGTCAACGTGTGAATCCAAGTGGTCAGATTCTATTTTCAAATCATCCTCGACATTCATCGGGTCTAGTAAGAAAGAACTTTGCGGTCATCATGATTTGGGGAAAAGGATGATTACAAGCAGGGAACTGTTTAGCTTACCATCCTTAATCACTCAATCTGTCACCGAGGGTGTTGTTGTCCACCTTTACTCCAGACAACATCACCGATGATGTGGGATCCACGGTGATCGTCAAGGAGGAATTGGACCTGCAAACAGAGAAAAGTTAGCATCGAAACCAGTACGTGTCGGGTACAAGGCTCATGTTTTGCGCGGTTCATGTCATCAGACTGATTTTTCTTTCATTCTCAACAGCTTGTCGAGTCTGAAAAGGGACTTTTTTCCATCCTGATCTCGCAACCAATCGGTTGCATTGTGGAAAGTGCAGTCATTGGCTCACCTTCTATTCTGCTACAACGTATCACCGGCGTTTGTGAGAGACTTGCTGTGTATGTTGAACCATGACCGCAATCACGAATGACATTGAAGAGTGAGTTCCACTGCATCCAGAAAAAGTCAGTATCTGGACCAGGATTTTCAGAGCAAGAAGTTCACATTTCACTGCTTGGTGGAATGCTCAGATCTTCCATCGTTTTTATCATGCTCAGCATAACGCCGATTCAGATAATCCGCCTACTTGTCATCATGGCTTTCAAAATTGATGCCTGCAGAAGAGAAAATAGTCGACTTACTCTCTCTTCCCCAGGAATTTCCGCAATTTTTGCGGACATGGGCCATGCCATATGTATAGCCAGTCATTTCCTGGCTGATGGGTTGTGTCGTGGGGGACTGATTGAAACCTGCATGCATGAAAACTCAGTATTCAAACAACGAATCCTTGCAATGTATCAAGGCTGCCATGGTGTTATGTTTGTTGTGTCATCAGATGAACGAATTGATATCATTCTCGACTTGTGGTCGAATCGATTCGATGCTCTTGTCATTATATGACTATGGTGTATGGCAGAAAGGAAAGTTTCACGCTTACAATCTTCTCTTGCAATGTGGTTTCTCTATCGATGAGATGGACCGTGTGTGTGATCAACGCATGGCTGCGGAACAGAACAGGGTGTTCTTGATTGACGTGGTTTTCGCAGTGGAGGACAAGTTTCACCTGCATGCGAAAGAACAGTCAGCATCAAGATCAATATTCAAGTGTATGTGTTGCACCACTGTGTTCTTCAGTCATCAGACCACTTCTACAGTACTTCATGCTCGACAAGATGTCGAATCGGCACAACATGGTTCTCATCTTGTGACTATTGGTGGATCTCGGGAAAACAAGGGTTTTGCATGCCTTCTGGTGTTCCTGACCTACCACCCTCGTTGACAGAGGAGCCTTGTGTCTTTTCAACCACTTTTACGTGTCTCATTTTGGCTGATTGATTCCTCCTGCGTTTGATCCCAGTCAGCATGCGGCCCCTCATGTTCAACGAATGAGTGGCTTGGTTATACGCTTAGAACATCAGAGCGTGCTATTTGAAAAAGCATCATACTCGACAAACGTCGAATCATATTGAGGGAACATTGTCATCATGCAACTTCGAAACATGTTAAACGTATGTGAGAGACGTGGCTTACCATCATGATGGAATGTGACCAGTCACCCACTGGCGTTTGAGGCTTGCTGAGCCTTTTGGGACACCGATTGATGGCCATTGTTATTTTCCATGTCTTTGTTCTTTCTGAGCAAATGCTGTGATGGTGTCAAAGAGGTAGGTTCAGGACATGATGAAAACCCACCTTCATCCCTCTAGTCGAGGTGATGAAGTGACTTTTCATCAAGAGGCCAAGGCAAGATGGTCTCAAGAGACAATCATACCTCACGGGAGAAGGTGCTATCACAATACCAGTTAGCCAGTCAAAGCGTCAAGAAGGATTGATGAAACCTCACAGGATGTCTCACTGCTCCCACTTGAGTTCTCACAGAACCAGGGAATCAGAGGTGGTTTTCACGTGTTTTTCTCACACTGCATAATCCCTAGGAGTTCAGGCATCCTTCTGATACTCCCAGAGAGCATTACAGATGATGAGGCAGCCTTTGTTGGGGCTGATGATCATGTTCATATATTTAGACACGTGAGTGCGAGGAGATGAAAGTAAGAGAAGAACTCAACGGCGTGTTGTTTGTTTTCACCCAGCACCAGCCGCAACAAGCGCCGAGCACATTGGGAGCGCGGCTGGTAAGCGGCTTGAAAAAGACATGCGGCTTGTGTGGCTATTCACAAACATCTATTGCCAAACAAAACGACAGACGATGGTCTAGTCTGGTGCCCGAAGGTACCTGGTGTGCGAGGCGTGCTTGTGAGGCAACAGAGCGACATGCAGCCACGGTACGAACCAACATGTACATTGATATCAAAGAACAACAGCATCTTGTAAGACTAGATTGAGCTCTGCAACTTGCAAGCAACTATCCAATATCAACCTCAGTCACAGATACTGCCAAACGTCTTTCAGGGGTGATTCAGCCTCGTAACCACGTGACGAGATCCCGGCCTTACTCCTTCCGGAGACAGGGGGTATCTACACTGGTGGTATCTAGAAATTTATCACCTCCTTCCTCCCAATGCACATCTTGAGATTCCATAATCTTCTGGGCTGCATCTTTTTGTCGAACAGCGAACGAACGAAGGACGTTTTCTTACCCTAGAACCCTTGAGGAAAACACGAACAGTCTCACCTTGTTTGCTGAAAAAGGATCAAAGTCTACGAGCTAGGAAACACGTGGCACACATACACCACGAACGATGATAACCAGGAACACAGCTGTCAGAGTAACCTGACGACTTCCCAAGAAAAATCCCTCTGACACCAGGAATTTCCCTCCAACTCAACGTCAATCACCCAGTGTGTGCTTGGCCTTGAGGTTAGAGTTTTGCTCCTCGAGAAAAACGATTCTTTTGGGGTTGTGGCAGCATGACAAGCACTTGTATGATTACTATCGGATCATTCAGTGAGAGATGTCATCCTTTCAGAATCCCAGCGGACGAAGACGACTTAACAATCCATCTCCGATGGAATGCGCAGGTGTGCTGGTCTCCGAAACAAATGCCGTGGTAGTAGCTCTCTCGATTGCTCTTGAAATGTAACATGACGACTGAAAGCTTCTCTGCAACGCGATGACCACGAATGATGTTTTGAATACTTGTGTACACTACGATGTTGAATTGAAAGGACAGGGGCAGACGGATTTTCTCTGTACGGGAGTATAGATAACCCAGGCAGAATGAAATTGAAGGTTATTCTTGATACAAATAATTGTATGTCTATTGCTAATCATGTTCTAAACTATTGTACTGCCTATTGAACCGTCTCCAGCGATGGTGCATCCCGCATCAGTCCCCATCACCTATTAAGTTTTCCGTATCCGTATCATGCTCCCCGTATCCATATCATCTCAACCAACTGCGAAGTGAACATTCCCTTTTTTTCTTTCGTGTGTGATCCATCGATTTCCCGACAGGTACCGTATTCAAAGAAAATGGGCGTAATAAATCTCATATGTTGCAAAATTGGTGTCTTGGTCGGTCGTTCCCCCTTTTTTTGGGTTCCGTTCGTCCCGCATCGCGTATCTTCGGCGTGTATCATTCTCTTTCGTTCCTGTCTCGTCGAGATCATCATTCTCCGTATCCGTACAAAAAGATATAAAAGCTCAAGTGCCAGGGGCAAACAGGCATCGATGAGGTCCAAAGAGACACTTGGCCTAGATCAATGCAGCAATCGCAAGAATGGCGCCCATGAACATCCCAGACGCTCCGGCAGTGGACTTGAAATGGCTTGCGGCGCCAGTGAATGTTGCCGGCAGTGCGTGGGTTGAGGTCGATGCTGCTGGTGTTGTTGTGGAGTGATGTGTGGTGACGGCGCTTGGGATCGATGTGCTGGGAATCGTGGTCGTTGACGAGATCCAGTCGTCCCAGGTTTCGGATGATGCTGTTGTCGGTGCCACCGGGACTGGGGTTGAGATTGTGGTCCAGTCTCCCCACACCTCGGAGGTGGTTGTTGGCGCAACTGGGACTGGGGTTGAGACTGTAGTCCAGTCTCCCCAAACTTCGGAGGTGGTTGTCGGCGCAACTGGGACTGGGGTTGAGACTGTAGTCCAATCTCCCCAAACTTCGGAGGTGGTCGTTGGTGCAACTGGGGTGGACACTGTGGTCCAGTCTGCCCAAACTTCGGAAGTAGTTGTTGGCGCAACTGGAGTTGAGACCGTGGTCCAGTCTCCCCAGACTTCAGAGCTTGATGATATCGTGGTAACGATGGTGGGCGTCCAGTCTCCCCACACTTCGGAGGTCGGTGCTGGTGCAACTGGGGTTGTAGTAGTTGTAGTCCAGTCAGCCCAAACTTCAGTCGTGGAGGTCGTCGTGGTCCAATCAACCCAGATTTCCGTCGTCGTTGATGATGTGGTGGTAGTGCTGGTTGTTGTTGTCCAGTCAGCCCAGACTTCCGAAGTTGGGGCTACTGCCGGAGTTGTAGTGGTCGTGCTAGTTGTCGTGGTCCAGTCAGCCCAGACTTTCGAAGTCGGCGCTACTACTGGAGTTGTTGTAGTGGTGGTCGTTGTTGTTGTCCAGTCTCCCCAGATTTCCGAAGTAGGGGCTACCACTGGCGTTGTAGTAGTGGTGGTTTTGGTTTTGGTGGTCGTGGTGGTGGTAGTTGTCCAGTCAGCCCAGATTTCCGAAGTTGGCGCTACCACTGGAGTTGTCGTAGTGGTGGTGGTTGTGGTAGTTGTCCAGTCTGCCCACACTTCACTGCTGGACGTCGTAGTGGTTATTGGGCTAACTGAAGAGGTACTCGTGGGGGACGATGTATTCCAATCACCCCAAACGTAACTGTCGGTCCCATTGGCGGATGGGGGAAAAGGGTAAGGTCCGTCAGGAGTATCATCGCTGGTTTGGGGTCGAGGTAGAGCATTGGACAATGGCAGCGACGCTACAACGGCTGCCGCCGTCACAACGGTAGACTTGGTGGAGAAATGCATGGAGGGCCACTGAGAAATAATAGGACAAAAGTACAAGCACGTGCTCGGGTCTCGGTATGCTAGGGAATGGGTAGTGGTAAGAAGTATGTATGAACACTGAGCACGACGCAGTTTGTGCAAGAAGATCAAAGCTCACAGTTTGCGCTATGATGAGTGGATGGGAAGATAACAAAGAAAGATTGCACAGACCGGTATGCGACCATGATCTATATATACGCTGGAAAACCACAGGAGACTCCGTACGCAATCCCCCCCAAAAATGCTGTGCTCGTATCCAGCCATCACCTTGCATTCGCCCCGGAGGCTGAAATAATGGAACTGCGTACGCTGATAGGTGAGCCGGCAGAGACAATACGGACAATAGTCCTGGTTGCCAGCCTTCCCAGGAGCTCCCAGCCTCGCGCTAGTCTGTTTGTGGCGGCAGTCAACAAAGAACAGCCAATCATCATACTCAGCCTCACCACTAGCGCCGTTGCGTTTCCCCGGCCTTTTTTTTTGGATCCTCGCCATCCCCTTTTTCTTCCCAAGTCTTGCACTCTGCCACCACCCCTTTTTCTCCACGGAGTAATCAACGCTCGCCTACGGATATCCGTAGTGCGCGATATATTCGGTCTCTTGTGTGACTGGGTGACCATTGTTGCTATGTAGGTCATGACGCACGCGCAATCCACCCGTGCTGACCGAGCACAGCACCCTGGCAACGTCTTATTGAGCCTTGTATGGAGTACAATTCCGTCAATCGGCAATTGCGGCAATCTATCGACGCATACTCCGTACCGTTGTTCCATACTCCGTATGCACATTGAAAATCTCATATCACAGCCGCAATAGCCGTCAACGAGATAGGAAGTAGCTCCACCTAAGTTGAATGGTGCATACAAACGTTTATTCTATCATCTCGCCCTCATCATACAGTACGGCGCATGCTGCAACCAAGTGCGAGTATGTCTCACTTTGGTACACTGCTGTTTCGCGGGTCATAGTACTCTAGGTAGGAATCTTCAAATCCAAAGATCCATCGACCAATGCACGCTCCAAGAAAGTTGAACAATAACCCCAACGGCTTCGCAATGAGTCTCGGGCCCGGTAACGCGAGCACGACATTTGCCCGGTTGTTGAAGAGGCAGACCTGAAATATATTCCGCGGTACGCCGGCTTTGCGACAATCATCTCGGTATGATTGCGCATTTCCTTTCCTCTAGTCAGCTACGCAAAATCTTCTTTCTTCTCATGGGCTGAGGTTCTCCGAGCAGAAAAGCGCCGATTACCTACTGAAAAACTCCTCATCCCTCACCCTGTGGCTTGGGTCCAGGACAAACTCGACGACCAGATCGTCCTTGGGGCTGGCATTCCGAAAGGTGTGGAACTTCCCCGCTGGGATTTTGACCACCTCCCCGGCGGTGGCGACTCGTTGGCGGCCGTCGAAAAAGAAGGCCGCCTTTCCCTCCAGGACATGGAAGAATTCGTCCTGCTTGAAGTGCCAATGCATCGGAGGATTCAGCGCACAGTTGGGGGCGTGCGGAGTGACATCCGGATTCTTCCTGTCGTCGTCGCCGTGCTTGATTGGTGCAGGGGGCAGTCTGTTTATGACGAGATATCTGTCTGAAGGCGCCTTGAACTCAATCGCCGAGCGGCCGTCGTCGAAGAAGATCTTGTTCAGGTGAGCGACTCGGGTTCGTGGGGGGGTTCGGGCCAGAAAAGAGAGCATCGTCCAATAATGGTCCCTCCGTATAGCCGGACCGTTCTGAGAATCGGATCGCCTATTCGACGTAAAATGTTCTTAGGCAGATGCCGGATTATCTCGAACCAGGGCCGCAGCAGGTTATCATGGGCCAATGCCGCAAAGAGGACTTCAGTCCCTCGACAGTAGACCGCACAAAGACTGAGATCCCTATTATTTTTGACGGAAATTGAGGCCCTTAGCTTATCTTCTCAGCGGAACGCTTCGTAGTGAGAGAGAGAGAATCGATGATAGGGAGCCTGACGGTGGAGGGAGAAAAATCCCGCATATCCGTACTCACGTATCTGTACTTATTGATCGGATGGTTCACGACACCAAGTTCGGCATCAAGATTAGTGCCGCCCCGACTTCGGCTATTATGTAATACTACCAAGGCTCGTTAGCAGCCTCCACACAAATTTTGGTACTATCGGATAGAACTCGTAGATCTTAATCACTACTCCTTATATTAAAGCAATTCTGTCAAAATAATGTCGTGCATTTGAGTTGTAAAGATGGCCGTCGGAGGTGCTCGCAACTCCGCCTGTTCAACACATCCCGACACAATCTGCCTCGGGGTGGCTGCTGGTTGTGTATGAATCACGACAGAGAGTTACAAGACTGCAAAACACGAAGGTGGAGCCCAGGCCGGTCATGACCTTCCTAGGACACACCCAGTCTTGGGGATGACAGCCAGGTATTGCTCTCCTCAAGATGCGCCTCTCGTCGTCAAAGGGCGTGACTGAGACTCAAATGATTTCCACCATCCGACTGCCAGTTCTCTAGATCTTTAGGCACCAGAGCCAGACACAGACTTTGGGTAGTCGGTTATGGGAATTGGGGTTTTGGTGTGAGAAGACTTACTTGACGGCAACATTGATTCTAGTACGTAGCGGAGCACACCATACTGGGATTGATACTACGGGATGTTTTCAAATGCAGAGCTATGCCACGTGGTGAATGGAATTCCCTCATCCCCGGATCCCTTCAACTCATCACTACACCCTCTTACATATTGCCCGAGGGTGGTGTGGATGCTTCGTAACGTTTAGACATCAGGAGATTGAAAGGCCGATGAAACAACAAACGAGACGATACAGAATATACAATACACAACGACAGCATAGTCATACATACATACATACATAGATACATACACATCATACATCATACATCATACATAGGACATAATACGTCGTCAATCATACTCGTACACGACACCAATTATTAATAGCGCCTACTGTGTACCAGTTTCAAATCTACTTTTCTGTTCTGTCTAAAGTCCAACCAACTCCAGCAATCTAAGTTTTTTTGTCATCTTTTCTCCCCAGCCTGTGATTGTTTGCAAAAGATTCCCAACAAATGAACAACCACTTCCAATCAAACTCGATCTCGTCCTCACGATGCAAGCACGAGAGCCAAGAGGGCCATTCGTGTGTACAGTCCGTAGCGCATCTGTCTGAAGTATGCAGCGCGCTGGTCAAAGTCCACCTCTTCGCTGATCTCTCGGTTCCGCGGGAGAGGGTGCATGACAACCATGGTCGACTTGGCGTACTTCAAAACACTGTTGTCCACAATGAGACTGTCCTTGAGACGTTCATATTCTGCGAGGCTGGTGAAGCGTTCTTTTTGAACTCTGGTGCAGTAGAGAACGTCGCTCTTAGCCACGATCTCTGGTGTCAAGGTCTCAGATTCCATCGCAAGCTGGCCAGAGGAGATGATTTGCTCGCGGACCTCTTCTGGGAGAGCAAGATCTTTTGGCGCAACCAAATTAATCCTCACTTCGTAGTACTGGAGTAACTTGACCAGTGAATGCACAGTCCGACCGTACTTGAGGTCACCAGTAAAAGTCACAGTCAAACCAGTCACAGTGCCAAGCTCTTCTCGAATGGTGAACAAGTCCAGGAACGCCTGCGTTGGGTGCTCTCGGCTGCCGTTTCCACCGTTGATGATTGGAACCGGTGAGAACTTGGCAGCGGTGGCCGCGGATTCGTTGTCTGGGTGGCGAAGGACCACTGCGTCACCATAGCAGCCGAGAGTGCGGATACTGTCTTGCAATGTTTCGCCCTTTTGAGTACTCGAATGGTCGGTGTTGATTGCAATGGTTCGGCCACCCAATCGTTGCATAGCAGCATCAAAGGATGCCGAGGTACGAGTGCTCGGCTCATAGAACATCGTGCATAACACCTTGGACGGCAATATCGGCACTATTCCCTGTCTCTGAACGCCCAAGCGCATTTCCTGGGCCACCGTGAACAGGACGTGAAGCTCTTGGCGAGTGTACTGGTTGACAGACAGTACGTGACGGTTCTTGAATGGTGACGACGCTAAAAGGGAGAGTAGTGACGGTGAGATGGTCGACGGGGCCGTGGGTTGGCGGAACGCCGCAGTGGGGAGAAGAGGACTGTTCGTGTCATCTAGCACCTCGTCCATATTCCGTGCTCGAGTGATTGGGCGGCTTCGTACGGTCGTCGAAACCCTCCTATTGGCCGTGGCTTCGAACATGGTAGGACGACGATCGACCGAAGCGTCTACTTGAGCTCGCAGAATGGGAGATGTTGGCCCAACAGCTGGAGTCGGGGGGGTCAGGAGATGAGATGACATATCTACACCTCTCGGGCCATCAAGTGAAAGCTCTCCATCAAGGCAAGCGGTCTTGCCCTGGAAGATCACTCTGGAAATTGCACCGCGGAGGGTCTTCCCTACAAATGGAGACCAGGCAGATCCGGCTTGGAGAACATAGGGACGGTTGATGTCGACTTCTATGGAAGTGTTGTTCTGGTCATGCAACTCGAAGATAGTCTTTGGGTTATCGTGGAGGCGCGTGGTGACATCTTCCATAGTCATCTTTCCTTCTGACACTGCCGTAAGCAGTAATGGAAGAGCATCGGCCAAACCCACCGTGGGGACGGCATGGTCGCCAGCGATCTGGTAGGGAATACTACCCACCGAAAACACGTCAATGGCAGAGAGATGATCCCACAACGCTTTCTGGTCCACCGCCGTCGGCAATGCTGGGCAGTCTGGGTAGTCGGCCTGGGAGAGGAACAGGCTGTATATTGACACGTCACATGTGACCTTGAGACCCTTTTCCTTGGAAAGAGCAATCAGACTGATATCGTCTTTGGAGGTCACATTCATGACATGGACTTTCCTGCCATGGAGACTGGCCAGAAGGAGGATCGAAGCCAGATCGGTAGTCTTCGCATCGGTGACTATCGGCTTATATTCTGGCCAGGTTCCGAAATGAGCCGTCACGGTGGCGACCTTGTTGATGTTTCCAGCGAGATGATTGAATGGTATGAACAGTGAACCGACTTCTCCTTTGACGTGCACGATCTGCTCAGAATTAGAGTCCGTGGCCGCAACAGAGTAGTTGAAGTCGCAATATGAACCCCCTTCGGCATTCTGCTGAGCAATCTTCAGCGAGCGAACATCGGTTATGGCACTGTCAATGCCGACAGGCATGACCCGAATCATGCTGAACCCAGCGGCAATGGACGCTTTGGTGACAAGGCTGAAATCATGTGAACCCGTTTGCGCCACACCAGGGACAAATGCCGCAACGTTGATTAGGCCTGGAAGCACTGCAGTACGGTGGCTTGTCTGGAAGTCAATGGTGTGAATACTGAGGTCATAGTGCCTAGCAAGCGCTTCGATGAGGATTTTCGCAATCTTGACATTGGTGATCAATGGAGTCTGATAGTCGACAGCCATTCGCCGTGTTCGATAACCCTTGCTCATATAGTTGGCGGGTCTTCTGAACCGATTACTTGAAGGCAAGTTGATGTACAAATCAATTTTGTTGTTTGCGAGATGTTGCGTCAGCGAATACTCCGATTTCTGCTCCTTCTCGTCACTCCCAAGAACTTCCAAGTATTTCACTTTGATGCCATGTTCCTCGAGGAAATCGGCGGTTCCAGAAGTTGCGAAAAGATTGTAGCCCATGTCATGGAGCTTACGAACAGAAGGGAGCATCTCCATTTTATCCTTGAAAGATCCGATAGAGAGGAGGATATTCTTCTCGGGCAGTTTAAAGCCTGTCGAAATAGTTGCCTTGAGATAAGCCTCATAGCGATCACGGCCGAACGAGGCCACTTCACCAGTGGACGCCATCTCAACCCCCAAAACTGGATCGGCACCAGACAATCGAGAGAATGAAAACTGGGGAGCCTTCACACCGACATAATCGGCAGGAATGTCAACGGGTGGATAAGGTGTGACTGGCCTACCCATCATGACTTTTGTGGCCATTTCAATCAAGTCAACGCCCATGACTTTCGAGACAAATGGGAAGGATCTCGACGCTCGAACATTGCATTCGATGACTTTGATCTCGTTGTCTTTGGCAATGAATTGGATGTTGAAAGGACCAGTGACGTTCAAAGCATTGCCAATTTTGCGCGTAGCTTCTTCAATTCGGGCGATTGTCTCCGGTTCAAGATCTTGTGGAGGGCAAATCAAGGTGGCGTCTCCAGAGTGGACGCCTGCATTCTCAACATGTTCGGAAATGAAGTGGCCAATCATGACACCATCCTTAGCAACAGCATCCATCTCGATCTCCTTGGCGTTCTCAATGTATTTCGTAATGACAACGGGGTGTTCTCTAGAGACATCCACAGCTTGATTGAGATAGCTGGCGAGATCATCCTTGGAATATACCGTGTTCATAGCAGCACCAGACAATACATAAGACGGGCGCACCAGGACAGGGTATTTCACCTTAGCGCAGAATTCCAGTGCTTCCTCAATGCTAGTCAATTCTTTCCAGGCTGGTTGATCAACGTTGATGCGATCGAGCATACGAGAGAATTTGTACCGATTTTCGGCAGAGTCGATCATATCTGGTGAAGTCCCAAGAATCTTGATGTTAAGTCTGCTCAGTTGCAGGGCGATGTTGTTTGGCGCCTGCCCACCCATAGAAATAATTACCCCATTTGCTGATTCGAGTTGATGGATGTCTAGCACAGTCTCGAGATTGATGTTCTCGAAATAAAGCTTGTCAGCTTCATCGTAATCTGTCGAGACCGTTTCCGGATTGTCGTTACACATGATAGTCTTGTATCCTTCTTGTCGAAGGGTTCGAATAGCTCTGACTGAACACCAATCGAATTCCACCGAAGAGCCAATACGATAGACACCAGATCCGAGGACCATGATACCATGATCTTCGAACGTGACGTCGCTTGCCATACCATTGTATGTAAGGTAAAGGTAGTTGGTGTAGGCTGGGAACTCTGCAGCCACAGTATCGATCTGTTTGACAACGGGATGAATACCAGCTTCTGCCCTCAAAAGCCTAACTGCAAGCTCATTAGAGTTCCAGTAGCGAGCCAATTGTCTGTCTGAGAAACCAAGTTGCTTGGCTTGACGGAACAAAGATGGCGGAATCGTTGACGTGCTGTATTTGGACATCAGCTTTGCAAAATCGCTCAGGCCTTTCAATCTTGACAAGAACCACTTGTCGATCTTGGTCATTTCCCAGATCTTGTCTACACTGTAGCCAGCATGCATGGCATTAGCAATAGCAAACATTCGCTGATCGGAAGGAGTCTGAAGTTCGTCGTCAACCGACATCAAAGGATTGGAGATGTCAGAGAAGCCAAGATTGTGGAGATCGACCGAACGAATCGCCTTCTGTATGGCCTCTTCAAAGGTTCGGCCGATTGCCATGACCTCCCCAACACTCTTCATGGAAGACCCAAGTTGAGTTGAGACACGTGTGAATTTTTTCAAATCCCATCTGGGGATCTTGACAACCACATAATCCAGCGACGGTTCGAAGCAGGCACAAGTCTTCTTGGTCACTGAGTTGGAGATCTCGTTCAGTGGTATGTTCAACCCAAGTTTTGCTGCGATGAAGGCCAGAGGGTACCCTGTGGCTTTCGAAGCAAGAGCTGAAGATCGAGACAGCCTAGCGTTGACTTCAATAATGCAGTATTCCTTGGAGAACGGATTGAGGGCGTACTGAATGTTGCATTCTCCAACAACGCCGAGGTGTCGAATGACATTGACAGCGGTTGTGCGGAGCATGTTGTAGTCCTCGTCTGAGAGAGTTTGAGAAGGCGCGACAACGATAGAGTCTCCAGTATGAATGCCGAGAGGATCAAAGTTCTCCATGTTGCAGACGGTGATGCAGTTGTCGCGCGCATCGCGAACGACTTCGTATTCGATTTCCTTCCAGCCCTTCATGCTTCGCTCAATAAGAACTTGAGGACTGGCGGCAAAGGCCTTGGTACACAATTCTCTTAATTGCTCAGCGTTGTCAGCAAATCCGCTACCAAGACCACCTAGTGCGTAAGCAGCTCGAACAATAACCGGGAAGCCAATGTCTTTGACAACATGCATGGCCTCTTCGATGCTTGAGGCAGAAGCAGACTTGGCGCATTTCTCGCCAATAGATTCCATACTTCTTGCAAATAGCTCACGATCTTCTGTTGTAATGATAGTATCAATTGGCGTTCCTAGTACGCGAACTCCTAGACCTTCAAATTCGTCCTTTAGCTGAATACCAACTTGAAGGGCAGTTTGGCCACCAAAAGTGCAGTAAATTCCATCTGGTCGTTCGTGCTTGATGACCTTGCGGACGAAATCAGCGTTGACTGGGAGAAAATAGACCTTGTCTGCCAAGCCTTTGGAGGTCTGAATTGTTGCAATGTTTGGGTTGATCAGGACAGTGTAGATGCCTTCTTGTTTCAAGGCTTTGATTGCCTGACTGCCAGAATAGTCGAATTCGCCGGCTTGACCAATACTGAGGCCTCCACTGCCGAGAACAAGGACCTTCTTGACCTGGACTCGTGGGTGTGCTTTGTCATTTTCCTCAATCGTACCACCCGGAAATGAGACAGGCTGAACGAGGGCCTCAACTGAAGCAACACTCTTCATGATGGCATCAATGAAGACGTCAAAAAGGAATTCGGTGTCTCGAGGACCAGGGGTTGACTCGGGGTGAAATTGGACACTGAAGTAAGGACGAGAGACGTGACGGATGCCCTCGTTGCTACCGTCGTTCGCATTGACAAATAATTCTTCCCAGCCGTCAGGTAGCGTCATAGAATCGACCGCGAATCCGTGGTTCTGCGAAGTGATGTAACAGCGGCCAGACAGAAGGTTTGTACAGGGGATGTTGTGACCACGATTGCCGAATTTCATCTTTAGAGTATTGGCTCCAGCCGCACGAGCCAGGAGCTGATGACCGAGACAGATACCGAAAATTGGCGTTCGCCCTTCGGACATAGCTGCTGCGATATGCTTGACTGTGGTCGACATCATCGCCGGATCACCGGGGCCATTGGAGATGAACAAGCCGTCATAGTCTTTTCCCGCGAGTTCTGGAAAATTGTAATCCCATGGCACGACTAAGACTTCAACTCCACGGGCCAATAGACACCGCAATTGGTTGTACTTCAACCCGACATCCACGACCAGGACACGGACCGGTCTCCCTGATGGATGCAACAAGGCTTTGCTCTTAGGAGGGGAGATAACTCGAGGCTCCTTGACGGACACTTCCGCCACCAGGTTTCTTTTGTTTTGATCATGCCATTCTACAGGCTCGACTTGCTCTCTCCAGCTGACGGGGCCCATCATAACCTCGCCGTTAGATTGCGCATCTGGTCTGATGCCATTGGAGAGTTTCGCTTGTGAGGCCGTAGAAGCATACAACATGCGACCAAGCATGCTGCCTTCTTCTCGAATGATCTTAGTCAGAGCTCGAGTATCGACACCATACATAGCTGGGACACCTTGTTCTTTCAGCCATGTGCCGAGTGAGGATGTTGCCAGGTGATGAGAATATGCTTCTCCTGCATATGAGGCAACGACAAGTCCACCGATGTGAATTAGGTCGGATTCGAAGTGTTTTGGCAGGTTGCCGAGCAATTCATCCACGGTTTCCCGTGAAGGGACGCCATAATTGCCAACCAGAGGGAATGTGATGACTAAGATTTGGCCGCGGTAGGAGGGATCTGTTACAGACTCTGGATACCCGACCATTCCAGTCTGGAAGACCAATTCTCCAGATATACTTTTGGGGGCACCGAAGCTTAGACCTTCGAAGACCTGGCCATCCTGAAGTTCGAGATAAATTTTCGCCTCGTCCTCTTGGGAGGCTCGAGCGGTAGCAATAGGAATCAAAGAACCCATCCTCTCCCCCTCAAGTCGAGGTGTTGCTGAAATTGTCCGATCCATTTGTGGAAAACCAACAGAAGCCGCCACAGTAGGGCTCTGTGGTAGGGAAGTGCCACTGGGAGAAGGGCGGCCGTCCCCAGTCAGGGGTGTTGTTCGCACCATGGTCGCAGAGAATTCTGCAGAGAGTGCTGCAGGACGTGGTCACTGGTACATCTGCTGCATATATGTGAGGCAGTCCCCTGATTGCGTTCAGCTTTTGAGACAGGGACAAAAAAATTGACAGGAATAAGATCTGAGTCCACTGGGTCGAGGACTTTTTTCTCTGATGCCAAGAAGCAGCTGGCTGAGATCGGCCAATGGGTGGCGAGGCGGTGGGTGCAGATCGTGAAGATTAAAATGATGGAGCCAACGCCAGTCTGACAACTGTAATTCAAGAAATAACACCGCATATTGATCATAATCGTCCGTCAGACAGAATAGTTTCCGGTTCTGCGGAAATAGTGGCTAGCGCGTGCTTAAATTGTCTCTGGTCGAGTCTTAAATGTCTCTAATGCGCGAATAGTGTTTGCTAACTTCGGAAATGAGGACTACAGGGTGTCGTAGGGCGGTGCAGGTAGGGAGAGCCCTATGAAGCATCTGTATCCCTACAGGCTACCGCACAACCTGGAAACGAGAGAGAAAAAAAAGAAAGGAAAAAGAAAAGTAAATCCTGGGGATCGACATTCGCGTCCATTCGCATCCCTACAGTACGCCTTCCCCCACGCTGCAAGCTGCATAAGCGCAATCACTGGTGTCTGGCCTTGCAAATGACACCACTCGAGGCTCTTATCGGTTCGCTTCCTCACTGCGCATGAGGCTTCTACTGTTCTCATCGCATCCCCGTCCCACGAACCATAACTACCCACTGTAGATTTCTGCCGACTAGCGCATTATGCACATGCAGAGACAAGCGGTGACATGCATGCAGCCACAGATCGACAAGAGTTTGGGGGGGTGCATTGGCTGAAACGAGTGTCGCTATCCGTACCAAGAAATCCCGCACCCTGTTTACCCATCGCCATGTCCATATCTATACGAGTATGAGCCTCGATTGCCATCCATGACTTCTGCTCACCGACTCGACTTTTTGAGGTCTTGTCCACATATTAGTTTTCTCCTTCTGGGTTGGGTGTTTTTGCTTTGTTCGATCTATTCCCGGCTATACCAACTCTTTGCGGTTGTTGTGTTTTCTTTTCGTTGCTGAATCTTTTCCCGCATCCGCATTGTTTACATGTCTTGAAATTGATCTCGACTCCGCGAAGCTTTCCCTCTCCCACCCAATCCCTAGCTCACTGGCCGAAGAGAAATGTTCTCTTCATTATTGCGCCCTGCGCGTAGCCGGCGAAATCGCGATCGATCGCCGTTCTCCTCCTCATACGCCCCTACTGTTCGCTCTCCAGACACGTCGCGCATTCGCGCCTTTCGAATCCGCACACGGTCCGAGGAAAGAGGACGCGGCAATCTGGGACAAGACGATGAACACATCTCGGACATCGAGGAAGAGGAGGACGACGACGAAGATAACGAGGATGAAGATCTATTCGGGGGGGTAGAGGACGAGAATCACATGTTGGATGGCCTCGACGAGGATGAGGCTGCGGACACTGCACCACTGCTGCCCATCTTCTCGGCCGCACACCTTGACGCAATACCTGTGTTCTCACTGACTCATGCGATTCGGATACTGGTTACTTCTCGCTGCGACACAGTCCTCAGCTGGGAGCAACTTCGCTCACCGCAAGTGTCTCAGTTCCTGCTTAAGCCGGTCGAGCAGGAGATTCGCAAGAATCATCTCAATGCTGCCACGCACTATGCTCTCATGGCAAATTGTCTGCAATATGGCAAAGAAGCAGCCGTAGGGACTGGCAATAGCGGCACCAACAAAACCCGAGGAATGGTCTGCGAGCTTCTTGCTATTAGGTTGCTCAAAGACTATTCCACTCGCGACTTGATCGATGCTCTGTCCTACGACTTTGATCCTCTACAGGGTCAACTTGATGCTGTGGGACAAGACGGTGAAGGGAGACGTGGAAATGCCATGTTGACGAAACCGCCCCAGCGTCCAGCCAGAATATCTTGCTTTGAGATTGCTATTCGTGCACAGGCAAAGAAGTTCCTCTCCCATCCTACCGTCGTAAAGCAACTTGAAGCCATCTGGGCTGGCACCATTGTATTCCATTCAGCCGCCGACAACCTGCACCGGAAGCTTCCATTTCAGCGGCAGTCTAGAAGCTATGGCACCAACGACGCTGAACCAGGCACAAAACGCAGGTCTATCAGTTTCGACGGCACGCATCCTCGTCGCGCCGTCACGATCTATAACCCACGAGATGCCTCGTTATTCAAGCTTTCCCGCCTACGAGTCCCGCGTTACAGAAACATCTTGTCCACAACGTCCTTTGCGGTCTTGTTGATCCTTTTCGTTGCCGTCCTGGTCCAACGCTCCTTGGAGATAACCACACTTGAGGTTGTCTTCTGGTTTTGGGCCGCCGGGTATATGCTCGACGAGATCGTCGGCTTTAATGAACAAGGATTCAGTCTATATCTGGCCAGTTTCTGGAACGTTTTCGACCTCGGAATTCTGTTGATCTTATTCGTCCATCTGGCACTGAGGATATATGGAATTGTTATGCCGGATGTCAAGAAGCTCACCGTGGCCAACATGGCCTACGACGTTCTTGCCGCCGATGCAATCCTCCTTTTCCCTCGACTTTTTTCGGTTCTCGACCATTATCGTTACTTCTCACCCTTGCTGATAGCCTTCCGCTACATGGCAGCTGACCTTGTTGCAGTATCTCTGCTCATTGTCATCAGCTGTAGCGGCTTTTTTGTGGCTCTGACATTATCCTTTGGCGACGATGGAGTCGATTCTCCAAGCTCAGTAGCCTATGCTCTGCTACAGATGGTAATGGGGTTCACGCCAGCAGCCTGGGATCGATGGTCTGAATACAATGTTCTGGGGAAAACGATCCTGACCTTGTTCCTGTTCATCTGTCATTTCCTTGTGGTTACCATTCTGGTCACTGTGCTGACAAACTCCTTCATGGCCATTGTGCAGAACGCCAATGAAGAACATCAATTTCTATTCGCTGTTAATACGATATCACATGTCAAGTCGGACGCGTTATTCTCATATGTAGCGCCTGCGAACATTCTTCAGTGGCTGCTCGTTCCTCTCCGGTACTGTGTTCCATTTCGGCAATACGTGAGGATCAACAGGACGACGATCAAGCTCACCCACTTCGCAATTCTGTTCACCATCTTCACGTACGAGAAAACTGTGCTACAGTCCACAGTATTCGATAGCATCGATCTCGTCGAACGTCGAGGCCGCAAGCGACCTGCTGCTCAGTTCAGTCGGCTCCATCGGGCGCCGTCAATTGCGACTTTCCGACAAGATAAGGCCCTTGAAGAAGTCTTCAGGCGACCTTTTGACAGCACGGTGCGTGGTGAGCGACATCGTAGAAAGGCGAGCAACGTTGTCAATAGTTGGATGAATGGTATGGGGGATGACGGAGCGGCTCCGCCACAAGAACAGGACAGGCGTATCGTCGACAAACTGGAAGCGAGGACAAATAAACCCAGGCTATTAGCCCCTTTCGTCCGTGCTCGCACTTTTTCTCGGCGCACTATGTCTGCCATGTCTGATCCCGAGGACTTTGCTACGAATGCAGATATTTTCTCGGCCGACGATAACAATGCTGTTCACGAACCCCCAAGGGCATCGCCTCAGCATCAACCTACCCATCTCTCGGATGGCGATGATGGTGACGGGGACGATGAGCTACCCACGAATGACGAGGGAGATGAGGACGAAACGACTACATTCGACCATCGCTCGCCAAGGCTCAAACCACAATCTCTCCAGCTTGATGGGGAATTGCTAGATCGCGAGTATTTTTCCAGCGGCCCAGGATCGGCCAATTCCCTACCGCATTCAGCTGTATCGTCTTCTCTTCAGCGAACGAGACATTGGGGTGAACGACCTGGAAGACAGTCCCCTATACAACCATCACCAAAACACCGCCCTCATCAGCATTCCCGCAATGTGTCGTCTACAACCATGATATTTAACCCAACTGATGATACCAGCGCTGAACCATCGTCGTCAGCAGGGCAGACAACGGCCGTGCACAGTCAAGCTGGTGGGCACCTTCCGACTTCCGGGGCACATACACCAATATCCAAATCGGCCGCAAATGCTACAGGTCAACGATCGCCAAAGCGAACGACGGCCGGGCCCTATCGAATGCGGCCTTTTCTCCCTGGTAAAGATGACCCAGCAATTCGCTCAACACCAAACCTTTCCCACATATTGGAAACCAAGGCACGAGCCAACGCTGTACGACGCAGGCCATCACTTGAGATGGATTTGGTCTCAGATATTGGAGACAACCGGGCTATTGGAGGTGGATATGTTGGTGCGCTCCCAGTGTCACTGGCTGCCCGGATGGAGAAAGGCATGGCAGAATCTCGTCATCTCCGAGCTCAAAAGCAGGAGCAAGAGAGATTCACCAAGATCATGATGGCTCGGATGAATAGCCTCGAGGAGGGCTTTAGGGAAGTAATTCACGAAATGCGCGACCACATGAAGCAAGATGAGCTGAGTCGAAGTCGTGAAAGGGTGTCTAGACCTAAATCCCGCCAGAAAAAGGTCAAGGGGAAAGAGGCATATCGACCAGCAACGGCGGGAGGGGATAAGGAGAATGTCGATCCTGACACGGCGCAACTCGAGAAAGAAGTCGACATGAGTGAGGTCAAAACCGAGGATGCTGGCTCAAGAGCTATTGACGAGGGTGGCACAGCAGGCGAGAGACCAGCATCTCGTTGAGGAATTCTTCAGCACGTACACTTTTAACGGTGAGGGGTCATGAAGGTATTATGGCCAGTTTTTGCACAGTATTTGAAGCGAAGCATTTGTTTTGAGCATAGCATTTGATTTGGATACCCTTGGGCGGCTCAAGCAACATAAAGCCTATATTTATGCGTTAATTGATAGTCAACTAATCGTCGATTTTGACTTTTGAGTCGCTATGAGCAGTCTAGCTGTGTTCATGTTCCTGGGACCATTAGACTCCGACACCTAGGTCAGGTACCCATGTATCTCAGATATTCGGCACGGAGAAACCTGGAACTGGGTTTCGGGGTCACGTGCGCTGGCCAAAACGGGGAAGGTGTGCCGCCGGCCTGGTGTGACGCACCTCGAAACAAGGTGATGCTTTCAAGACGAGACAACCAGACGAAGTATCTCGGCATTCTCCCTTGACCTAAAGGCACCGTATCAAAGCCTACGATATACTGTAACCCTTCCATTATCCTTCGCGGCCAGTTGTCTTGCCCAACCTTCTACAAAGCCTCGGACGATTGTGCAGGTTGCTACCGGGCCATGGCTTCAAGTTCGGGGCAGTCCAACCAACTGCTATAGTAGGTATCGGCGTGATTCCACGATCGTGGTGGTGCTGATTCATTCTTCAGTGCATGCATTGCCCATGGAACCACCATCTTGACGGAGCATACATCACCTGGAACCTCATCCTCTTCAGCCTCCTCGCTTGCTTCCGTCATTCTTCCAAAAATCTCTCATTCAACACCAGCGAAACTCACCTATACACATGATCGACTCTTCGTACACTACATTGCCGACTCTCCCTCCTCGACTTCGAATGGCTCCGATGAACAATTGTCCAGCCATGCAGCGCTCACATATTTGGTGGTTGCGCAGACAGAAATGGGTAGACGAGTACCATTTGCCTTCCTCCTCGAATTGAAGAAGAAGTTTCTGTCACAGTTCAAACCAGACTCTACAGACTTCCAGTCATTACCAGCCTATGGCACGGCAGCGTTTAACAGCACCCTGAGAGCAATGCTTCAACAGTACAACACCGCTCCTCCGAGCGACGCACTGACGAACGCACGGAAAGAAATCGACAACGTCAGGGACATCATGACAGAAAACATTGAACGCGTGCTCGAAAGGGGAGAGAGGATTGATCTACTGGTGGACAAAACAGACCGCCTGGGAGGGAGCGCCCGCGACTTCAGGGTGCGGAGCCGGGGCTTGAGGCGGCAGATGTGGTGGAAGAATGTCAGGGTGATGGTGCTGCTGGTTGTGGTAGTAATTTTCCTGATATACCTCTTTGTTGGCTTTGGATGTGGCTTGCCAGCATGGGGCAAGTGTGTTGGATGAGGAAAGAGTCTGAAATTGTTGGTCGAGCGATTCATGTTCTTTTGGGCGGCACTGTATACTATCGCTGGAGTTTTGCTAGGCACAGCACCCGCACTGCGTTTACTATTCTTCTCAGTGCCACCTACTCCCTAGGCACCCAGGCACCTGCACACTGACCGTATCTCAGGAGTGCTTGTAGGAGTATTAAATCAGGTACCGCGGCAATGTCGCTCGTCCTTTTGATCGAGTCCCGCCTCTTCAGCCAACTCGGTATACTTTCCTCTGCTGGGTATCGAATGCTGTGCCTCGAAACAACGAATCGAGCTTGTCCATTGTTGTTTCCTCGAGAGAATACGAGAGGTACGTGGAAGAGAACAAAGCACATCAATCTCCAATCTTCAGGCCCGGACAGTTGCCTGAAATGATACATCATCTACAGGGCCAACCCTGACAAGGTAGGATTCATTGGCCGCTGACGATGACAATCACAATCGGCGCCGAAATACCGAAGAAAACCAGCCTTTGTTCGACGCCCGCGGAACATAGCCAGCCTTTCAAAAAGCAGACTGTATGAACAGTAACTGGCTTATGATTGATGCACAAGCAAGGCCGGAGAGTCGGGGGGAAGCCATCCGACCACAAACCAGCCGTGGTGACCTGCGCACTCTCCCCGCCTGTTTTATGCCCAATCGCTGTGACGGTCAGATGGGGAAGACGGTGTCGTACAATTAGGCAGACACAGGGCTGAACCAGACGACACCTCTCGTTCTCGCAAGTATTCTACAGCATCGTTTTGCTGCACAAATGTGATATGGTTCTCTTCTCCCATGTCCTTCCATCTATACAATTTTCTCTACCCCGTGTGCACCGAGGCTTCTTCTGGGTTGCCGCTTCGCCCATCCATCCGACTCGATGAAGACAGGCGTTCCAGCCTCCTGACCAACAAGGCTGATCTTCAAGAGGAGATTCTATCGACAACAGACCTTTAGGCAGACATCTTGTCACAACTTTGCAACCAATACGCGTGTCTTTTTGTGCTTTACTTCTCAACGCGTCTCTGTGGAATCCAGCGTCATGGCGAACCAGAATGAAGAATCTGAAGGTGTATCACAAGACATAGAGCTAGCGAAGGCTCTCAGTCGGTCTCTGCTCGATGAAAAAGACAGAACGAGCCTACAAGCCGAATGCATTTTCGACCAATTCTCTAACCCGTTACCAAGTCTTCTGATGAGCCTCAAGAATGAGTTTTCCCCCCTCTTTGATCCTCTCGGGGATACCGCCATCTACATTGGAGTACCCGAACAAGATCCTAGCCAGAGCGACTCGCAGTACCAATGGGTCATCAATCACTTCAATGTAGTACATGTCGTCCACTCCAGCCGATTACTGGCCATGCCGGAGACGTCGAGATTCACATACAACGATCTCCTTGGTCCATCATCAATACGCTCTGAGAGACGCCTGAGGAAACTCGGTGTTCTAGACCGGTTAGAGGCCGAGCGTGGAGGACGAAAGTTCAAATACTACCTTGATCTGCGCCCGCCCACAGAGGATGATGCAGCTGTGGAGGCGATTACGAAATTGAATTGTTCAAAGGGCGTTCTGACTTGGCATTTGTTGAAGACGAGGTATGACCTGTCTGCATTACACGTGTGTGGACATGAAGGAATTCAAGACGTCGCCTTCGCAGAGACGACTGTGAAAGCTGCTGCAGATGCGACAACGGAGACGACCGACGACCCTGGGAATCAAGATCAGGGTACGAATGAAGCCACGAAGGCCAGCAAACCTGAGGCAAAGATTGGCGAAAGCTACACTCGTCTCCGACATCACGCCGCCCTCGAACGTTTGCTCAACGCCATATGTGATAACGACCCCAAGCTCGATTCTGCACCAAAAGTCTGGACCTTTTTCGCCGTGGCGCAATGTTTCGGTTGTGCCGAGCACCCTCGTATTGCAGGCTGGATCACTACCTGGATCTACAATGACAACAATGCACACTTCATACAGAACAACCCTGAAGTCGTCTATCGCATAGGCATGGCCATCAAATCTCCCGACCTAGTTCGAGACTCCTTTTCTATTTTGGTCGGGGAGCGGGCTTTACTATATGCTGGCGATAAATTGAAGCAGAACCCAACACCAAGGAATTTCGTACGGAGCATTCATGGGCGGGAGTTTGACGAACTCGACGACGATGAATCAAGTCGTATCAGCGCCGCATCATTGGCACTGGTTGAACGAGTCACCAATGATGTTAGCCTATTGTGCCGAGATCTCTCCTGGCTCGAAGAGAGCACGGAATATGCGAAACTAACTGGAATCGTTGCAGAAACTCTTGAAGAACAAAACTTTCTATTAGGGGCCAAAACCTTCGTTGAAGACTATGTCAGAACTGTCTTCATCTACTGCCTCTGTCTGGAGTACCGCGTGTTTCCAGGGCTGGACAAGACGTTGACGCAGAGGGATGTGTACCAGGGCTGCTCTCCATCTGAACGTATGTTTACGAAGACCTTCTGGCTTTTGTTGTCGGAAAGTGATCATCTCCGCCGCACAATGATGGGTACTGAAATGCTTGTTTCCGAGTACCCTGGGGAAGTTTTATTCAAGAAGGCATTTGATGCGCTTGGTCTCGATAGACCAATTCGTCCTATGGCTGACCTAACCGGTACTGCTCTCCACGCCACGATCGATGCGGTAAACCGATTTTGGCTTCAACGGTCCGACGTCACGAATCAGAAGGGCAAAGAAGCCGTGCACGATGGGTTCAATCATAACTTCAGCACAGGTTTCTCTACCACTCAAATTTCATCTCTGCAGGATCAGTCCGGAGTTCGTCAGTTTGAGTCTAGCAACTCCGGGGAACAAGCCGATCACGATGGGCCGCCAGTGTCACCATCGAAGCGCCGAAAGACCTCAAACTTCGACGGACGTATCCAACCTCCAACTTCTCCTACCAAGGACGATGCCTTCGACAGTCACACAAGAGGTATGCAGACAGACTGGGTACGGAATGAGTTGCTTGATCAGCCAGGCAAAAGCGGTGGCGTACTTCACAAAATTCGCAACGTCGTTCTCAGACCGAAGCCAGTCCCTCAAGAGGAAGTTACTGGTAATGCCAATCAACGCAGCGAAAATCAGCCTACACAGACTGAACTCGAACCGCCGCAGAGTCCCGATCAACCAATATCGCGACGCACCCCAAGCATGGTGAATGACGATCCTCAGGACCTTTTCCAGTTCGACCCACAGGTCGAAACCACCGGCAGCCCGGCAGCAGTAGGCGCGCCCTCCTCAAGCAGTGCCGCAGCCACCGGAGCAAAACACGGCCGTGACCGTTGGTATTCGTCTTCGATTGGCTATCCACCACATCAAGCCTGGCCCCGTGTCAACCCTGGTATCTCGATTGACCGTGGCGAGTTGACTTCGTGTGCCAGAGGGTTGTTGGACGAAGCCACTCTCAGTCTAGACGGGAGCCCGCTGCAGGACGCCTACCGTTACAAAGCGTACATGTCGATCAAGCCCAAGGCGATGATGAGGGAGATCCACGAACAAATCACCAGCCTCTGTTACGACATGGTCCGGCCGACCCACCTGTTGCACCACGGGATGGAGCTCACCACGGAAAAGTTCGACACCCTTGTGTGCCTGAAGGCCGACGAGTTTCGCTTCCTGCCGATCTGGTGTCCAGACGGCAACGACGACGGCACCGGAGGAGTGTTCGACGACCTTCCGCTGATGGACACGGATCCCGCGGTGTCGTTTGCACCGGGCCAGATTCCCCGGCCGGCGGGATACGCGGATCACGGCTCCGAGGACGGGAGGAGTTCCTTTGAAGACGTTGCAAGCGAGGCCGTCAGCACCGTCGGGAGGGCCAGTAGACTCGCCACCGACGGATCGCATACCGACACCGTCAGGAGTGTAGACGATGACGACTTTGCACATCTCGAGACGAATTCGACCTCGGACGCTCTTGCGGACTCACGTACACGAGTACCCGTGACGGCGGTCGAAGGGTTGGCTCGGCGAGTCGCCGCGGCACTTCTCGACGATGACACCAACGGTGGCAGCGGCAATGTCAGCGTGCATTATATCGATGAAGACAGCGAAGAAGAAAGCATCCAACTTGGATCCGACTTTGACGACGACGACGACGACGACGGAGACACGGTTATCGGCGATTCCGAATTTGATCTTAATGGCCATGAGCGAATGCAGGAACATGACCAAGACCAAGACCAAGACCAAGACCAAGACCAAGACCAAGACCAAGACCAAGACCAAGACCAAGACCAAGACCAAGACCAAGACCAAGA